CGTCTATTTATCAGATAAATTCCGTCAGCGCCTTAAAGCTGCCTATATAATAGACTCCCGCCTTTTATCGATTATCGATACCCTCTAATAAGCTACAGCTAATCCTATTCCCCCTACCCTCCTATACGAGTTATATAAAGACCTCCTCTATATACGTTAGGTTAGCGGTCTCCGTTCCTTATATATCCCCCGTTCTATATTAGGAGAGATCTTCTAGATTATCTACGACTAACAAGGTTATTAGGGTCTAGATAGATACTAGGCTAAGATACGTAGTATTATCTTCTATAAGGGCTTAAAGCTGCTAAAAGACTATATCGCGCGCTACCCCGAATATCAGAATAATATAGTCTACCGTTACCGGCCCTACGGAAGCCTCTAGCCTATATTATCCCCCCTATTCTATTCTATATACTTATAGTGGACATTATCACAGGTCTCCCTATAAGCGCCGGCCTAAGCCCCTACTCCCCCCCCCTAAAAGCTTCGACGCTATAATAATATACACCGATAAGTTTACTAAACGAGTAGGATATATCCCCGGCCGTGCCGATTAGGACAGCGAAAGCTAGGCTAAGCCGCTCCTAACTATATTTATATCCGGCGACTAGGGCCTACTAACGGTAATTATATCAGACCGTAATCCTAAATTCGTCTAGGGCCTATAGGCAACAATCTTTACTATCCTCGGTATTAATCTCCTCTATATAATAGCCTACTACCCCTAAGCCGACGGTTAGTCCGAACGCTCGAACTAGGTCGTTAAAATCGCCCTCCGATATTAGATCTCTACCTACCCCTAAGCTGACTAGTTATCGGCACTACTAAACCTCTAAGCTTCTATAAACTCCTCTATTAACGTATCGACCGGCTATACCCTATATAAACTTATATATAGTACCGAGCTCCGACAAGCGTTCGACATAATACTATAAGCTTTCGATCACGATACTAAATTCTAAGCCTGTATCGATACCGAGTAATCCTTAGCATATACCGCTATAAAAATAAAAACCTATTTCGATAAGAAGTATAAGCCGATATACTTCTAAGCCGGCGAATAGGTATATCTTAAGCTTTCCACCGACACTATAGATCTAGGTTACTCAATCCTAGCTAATACTAATAAGCTACGCAAGTTCAAGCAAAGATATCTCGGCCGTTTCTAAATCCTTTACCGCGTAGGCCGTCTAGCCTATAAGCTTAAGCTCCCCGATAGCTAGCAACGACACCTAGTTATTAGCGTCGAACATCTCGAAAAATGCCCCTAAGGCCTAGATCCATAGGACCGCTAAGCTAATAATAGCTACTATATACCTACCGACGATAAGCGCTTCCTAGACGAAGAAAGGTATAAGGTTGCTAAAATCCTCGCGAAGAGAATCACTAAGCTAAGAGGAAGACCGCGCGTAGACGGTACAAGCCGCCTATCGATTACTAAATATCTCGTTCGTTAGAAAGGCTAATCCGCTAAGGAGGATTAGTAGGTAGCGAAGGAAGATATCGCTGCTAACGATCTTATCGCTAAGTTCGAAGCGAGTAGGCCCTCTAATTAATAATCTATATTCCCCGTGTTTATCCTATAAGCCTAAGCCCTATACCTCTTACCGATTCCTTACCTAATAACCTTACTTTATACCCTTACTTTATAACCTTACTTTATACCCGCTCCTATCTATCTTACTATCCTCACCCCCCTTCCTATTATCTTCAATATTAGTATCTTATCTTATTATTATTCCGTTTTATTATTATCGTTTTCCCTATTATTATAATATAGTTATATCTACCCTAACCCCTAAGCAGCGCTGCCGTATAACCAATATATCTATAGTATCAACTAAGCCGGAAAGCTTACTAGCTAAGACACTATCTAAATTAAGACCTACCTATAACCGCGAGCTTACCGATACCCTATATACGGCTACCGATCTATAAGAGACCCGAGACTAGATTAATAAGTAGATCTAAGGGTAGAACTCTAAGCTACTAAAAGCGTCTACCCTCCCTCCCTATACCGCGATAATAATAACTACCGTAGGCGAATACTAGCTGCCCCCTATAAGCGTTAAGCTCTTAGATAAATATATCTATATAGTTACTAAATTCCTATCCGTTAAATAGAGGAAATAGCACGACTAGACTAAGGACTTTAATAACGCTAGTAAAATCTATACCGACTATACCCTACTAGCTCTAAGCCCCCTTCTTATCGCCTTCAACGTCCTATTTATCCTAGTCTTCCGCGGATATTATATCCTCGCCGGTCCTTAAGCCGCTAAAAAGTATAGTATATTATCTAATATTAAGAATAATACGACTACTAAGGTAGCCGGTACCGACTAGCTAGTCGGCCCGGTTATTACCTTCTAGGTATTCGTTAACGAACTAAGGAATCTTATCCGTATATACTATAACACTATAGGAGAAAGGGTAACTACTAAGCTAGGCGACCTAACCTTTATAGGCCTTATACTAAGCGAGAAAGACTAGCCCGTAACCCCTAGCCGCTATAATCGCGTCGTAAGAGGCTACTTTGATTTCTTACTCTAGTATAATAGAACCGCCCTCTATTTTATTAGTATAGCTAATTATCCCGACTATTACGTAAGCTCGAAGCTATAACCTATCTCTACGCTAGCTCTAAGCTAAGCCCCCGCCTATACTTAGCTAGACCCTATTAAGGACGCTCTCCTCGAATAAGCGCTTATCGAAGCTAATCCTACCCTACGTAATATCTTTAACGAGGTCTACTAAGCTTAACGAACCTTCCCCGAGGCTATCGATATAAGCTACTACCTAACTCTAATTAGGAACCTATAGCTCTTTAGGAAAGCTCGAGCGGAAATCGAGAAGCTAGACTCCTACTACGCTGCCTACCTCTAAGCCTAGATAGATATTTCCGCTAAGGTCGAGAGCCTCCGCCTAGCCGTGAAATAATTTATACTAGACCGCCTCTAGCCTCTTAAAGACTACCTAAAGACCCTTATAGTCCTAAAGTAAACCTACTAAGGCCCTATAGGGATTCTATTATACCTCCTACTAAGCCCGGATATACCGCAGCGGCTACTATCCTATTTACCTACTCCGACGCCGATAGCTATAGACTTCGCGTATATAGAATATAACGGCCTAGTTCCCGACCCGGTCGATTAGATACTAGAATCTATACCCTAGCTATAAGCCTCTACCCCTCTTCCTAAGCCGACCGTCTAAGTATAACCTACTAAACCCCTTCTATATATTTCTACCCCTACTACTACCCGGCTAGAGCCTCCTACCCCCTATCCGCCTATCTTTACTCTACTACCCCGTATACCTACTCCCCTAGCACCTATCTAAGAAGCTCCGGACCTACTCCCCTAAGCGGAAGCTATTCCCCCTCCACTAGACTATCCTCCGCTACCGGGCTCCCCTATTCCCCCCCCCTCTACTAGGCTCCGAGCTAGATAATAAAGCCCGCGAGGCTATACGAAAAGTAAACGAAGCCTAGGCAATTATTCAGGCCGATCCTAAAAGCTAATACTGTTTTTATTACTTTTCCGCATTAGGGACGATGCTTTAAAAAAGGGTAGCATATGTTACCCTCTAAGCTAGGTCAGGTAACCCGCAGTTCCTTCTTAGCTAGTCTTAGACAGAAACAATAGGATCACCTTTACATCTCCCGACTCTGTCATACCCCTAACATAAAATCAAAATTCTGTTTATCAAGAGCGTCTAGCTAGTAACTTGAAAGTTTATATTAGATAGCGGTTCAAAAGTTTTTTCCGACCCTACTTTTCATTGCTACAACAACAACCTATCATAGGGATATTTGATTCCTTGCACGTTCTGTATAGTATTCCCGATATACCCAAAGCCCAGCGCTATAACAAGCTAGTCAGCGAGATTGAGAATATCCGACACTCTCTGCCAGTAATCTCAGACATCTAGGCATCATTATGTTGAGCATTACTTTCTATCGATCCCACCTTTACAAACCTAAACAATATCCTACTACTTATATCTACAGAGGTTAATCAAAGTGATGTGTACTTTGGGGAGCATTGAACTACCCAATACGGCTTAGTGCCCCCCGGTGTCACCTTGTCGTCTTGAAAGAACATCACATGTTGCGATCTCTAGAACTAGTCTAGTTTAGGAACTGAGCTTGAAAATTTCTCGAGTGTATATTCAATATATCATGTGATATAATGATTTGCTATTATACTGAAATTGCTGACCTTTGTCTTTTAAACGCTATGATTTACTCATACAGTCACGCTTGTTCTATACTCACTTTCTGACCTCGGTCAGGATTCAAGTTAAAGACAGGTATGAACGAACACACGAGTAATTTCTAACCGAGGTCAGAAAATTAAAGGAGTGAGATCATAAGGGTGGACCTGAAAATATAAGCGATTGTTAATCGAGGTCAGAAAAGTGAGTAAGGTTATTAGGAATTGGTATAGGCCTGAATAGTCTTCCGCACGACCAGACGTAGCCCAGGTTAGGTTTTGGGTCGAGTCCTTTGACCCAAGTTAGGTTCTGTAGAAGTCTACGAGTACCTGTGTGGTCAAAGGATGGTCTGAAGGCCTACCATATATCCAAGTCTCGGCATTGTTACATTAATCAAGAACGAAGATTGCCCTTGGACTAAATAGAAATAAACCACACCAACTGGGAATCAGACGTCTCTGGTGCCATTCGAGGTAAAATCTGACTCGTCAGCTTACAGGTCAGGAAACACGGATATAACAAGAGTCGAGTGTATTCGTGTAAAACTAGAGAAGCTACTTGGTAACATGCGAAGGTGTTATATGTAAAGATAATCGTTTATTCCCTTGGAAGGAGGTCATAATAAGCTAAGGCTAATAACATGATCAGGCAGTGATAGCAACTCTTCTCGTGAAGCCAAAATCAGGCAATGGTAGCAAGACTTCTCGTAAAGCCAAAATCAGGTAGTGATAGCAGCTCTTCTCGTAAATCCAGATACGATACTAGGATTGCGAAGTTTTTGCTTATGCGGGGTCGACAAAGATGATGAGGTAGAGAGCATCCGCCAATATCCCACAGCCATCATAGCTCACTGCGACAAGCTGCTGAATTTCTGACTGTATGGGGATATTTCGGCGTCTGCTGTCTTCCTGAGAGTCCCTGATTGGCCCGTGAATGAAGTCCGCAGATGAATAGCCCGGTGGAGCGGGTTCTTTGGCAATGGCGACGGGCAGTCCGATCCACTTCGCAACCCAAGCTGTCCATTCCTTCACGTCGGGCTGCCATACAGTCGCTTGTAGCAGATTTGGGTCTTTGAACACCATGATTGCCCCTCCGCCGGCTTGGATATATCCCAAGCTGTAATGGAGGCTTTCAGAAGTATAAAACCCCGGCCCGAATTCATTATTCTTGTTGACTGTGTTGGTTTGCGTGATGAAAAATGAAAGCGTGGATCTTAACGCCGGGAGGCTCATCGCTCGAAACCACAGTCTTCCTGCTTCGAGCTTTCCACCTGATTGCCGGCGGATCTTGGTCTCTAGTCGAGACAAGTTCTTATCCGCTTTTTCCTTCATACAGAATATCTCGCCCGAAGGCATACTGAGTCGATTTGTTTCACAGATCATACTGCCAGGGAACAGAGTGGGATTCTCCGAGACGCCTGGAGGGGATACATGTTGAGTTGTCAGATTATCAAGCTGGGATTTTTGCGAGGGAAATAATTTATAGCCTCTGCAGATCTTGTTTGCGATAAATGAGGGGATTTTTCCTTCGTCAATGTAGCGCTCAGCAGGCCACATCAGGCCGGCCCCAAGAGGAACAGTCTCCATACTATCTTCGATAGTGTATGCGGAGCTATCAATGGCTTCAACCAGCTCATCAAGCCCGGCTAACCAAGCAATACTTCGTAGAGGGCCGATGAACTGCAAAGACCCTGTAGACACATCAGTATAGAAACATCAGCTTTTCATAGGAAATCAAAATGATCGAAGATGGCCTTTCAACTTACGACAAGAACCGTCCTCGTCCAGGAGCTCTGCAATCTCTTCAGGGATGTCCTTGTGGGGATATCCCTCCACAGCGGACCATACAGGCTGAAAGCCGTGCTTTTCCAGCCCCCGGATACTGCGAGGCCAGCCGCGGGACAAAACTGTGTCTCCGTCATCCAGGTCGGAATCGGTCTGGTTGACTTCATCAGAAGGATAGTTGCCAGGAGCAGAATCGGCCATGTCTCTGGTTGTAACATCTATCGGTATGCCTGATTGATCGGAAATAGAAGAGGTTGTGAATGGGGTGACTGCGGCATCTGATGACAAGCCCGTATGAGAAGCAGATTACTCTGATTCCTGTGACACCGCCCGCTTCCGCTTCAGGAGCGGGCCTTTCATGATGGCTTTCTGCGTTTATCGACGGTCCTCGAAGCGAAAAGAAATTGTGAAGATGTTATTTCCTACGATAGCTAGTCTGCTGATGCTACCAGAACCCTGAACGGGTCGCATGGTTATCTTGTCGCAAGCGCGATCGGCTTATCATAGTAGCTGTGCCTTCCTTGACTTTCCCTACTTCCTTCCATCTTGGCTGGATCAGCGAACAAGCCAACAAACCACCATACACTACGATAGAGGAAGGCGTCCCAACCAGGAAACAGCTGCTGTTTGAGCGAAAGATTGTAAATTATCGGGAATACTAAGCTACATCTGCAAAGACTGTGTAGTATGAAATATATCCTGCAATCAGAGATCATCCATCGTAGGCATTTTTCCCACTACATTATGAACATTTTCTAAACGGCGAAACGACTTTGTTGCAAACAGCCTTGACATGGCTTGTCCAAGAAGAAATTGACACTATTAATCGCCTACACTAAACTTGCTCCAAGATCTGATCTTCGGTCCGTAGATAAAAAAGGCAACCGGTACTGGGAACATCAAACCAGTTAAAATGCCCAGGAGGGTCATGGCCCAGTTTACACCTAGATTGTGAAACTGGAATTAGTAGCTGGTCAGTATCATGGTCTTGCTTGATTCTGTTTCAGATAACATAATGAATGAACAAACCATAGCGCTCGCGAATAAAGGGAATACAGCACCCAGCCACGATCGGAAAAAAGAATTAGCCGCAATGGCCGAGTTTGCATACACAGTATACACGTCGATGATATAATTCAGCCCCTAAGTCGAGATTGTGATCAACAGGCCGTTCATGATAAATTAACATCTGCCATCAGCATGAAATGGAGTTTGAAAAGCTTTTGGCACTTACTTGTAAAAATATCAATAGCACTCCAGCTCCGAGAAAAACTCCAGAAAGGGCCTGAGGCACCCATATGATACCAGGAGATGATGTCCACGCAAACCAAAACATTCCTATTGGTAATAGAATCCCCCCGATCATCATAGGAATCAGCCTCTCTTCCGGATTGACTTTGCCTGTCTTTTGTAGGATACGCCGATATCTGGTCAAAGAGAATCCTATGATGATCGCACACCCTATAATCACTCCAACTGTAATGCTGACAAAAGGCAAAGCACCCACCCCATCATTCCAGCCCCGTACTTCCTGGAATGAAATAGGGTATGCCTCGAAGCACAGATAGAGGAATCCATAGATGAAACCCATATATAATGTGATGAGCAGAAGAATCGGCTCCTGACCCAGCATTATGAAGGGCCTAATGAGGAATCTAGTTGCAATATCCTTTATATCGACTTTTCTTTCTTCTGCCTTTGCATGAAGAGCCCAGTTCTTGGTTTCAAATCGTCGCCGCCATGCTCTTTTTGTAAGTAAAGTTCCTTCAAAAGTCTCGGGGATGAGGATCAACCCAATGGTCGAGAAAAAGAAGGCCATTATAGCTGTGATATATTCTGTCCATCTCCACCCTAGGTGCGATATAGTGATGAAGCCACCCACAATTGGCCCGGCAACAGGTCCAATAAAGGTAGCCCCAGCGAATATGGAAACTGCAATTCCCCGCTCTACTGGTCCGAACAAGTCTGCTAAAATACCAGAGGCCTAATCTCCATGTTAGTAGGGGCTAGTTATCTCTTGCCAGCTGTGCAGATCTGCTTACTATTGCTAGCGGTGCACTCGCAAAAAGTCCGCCTATGAAGCGACAGATGAAGATAGTTTGCAAATTTTGCGATACAGCGACTGGAATTTGGAAAACTGCGAAGATGAAGAGGCCGGCAAACAATGGTCGCTTCCGCCCGTATAACTCTGACATGGGACCAAAAATAATAGGACCAAAGGCGAATCCAAGAACGAACAAGCTTGTAGCCAATACCATTACCTCCTGTGAAACTTTGAACTTTTCTGCCGTGACTTTTGTTGCTGTACTGAAGACAGACGAAGCAAATGTCACACAGATCGTCATCAGACCGAGTATAACGGTGATCACCCACTTGCGAGTTTTAGAGAAGTTCTGGGGATGTTCCTACTTGTCGCAACGCGAGACGTATTAGTATCAAGGATACTAAAAGGCACTGGTATTATAACTAAGGATATTACCGGGTCATGAGGTCCATTCCAACCCACAATCAAGTTGTCTTTGGCTTCTGTTGTCCCGTTTGGGGGAGAATGCGAGCTCAGCGCCGAGTCGGAATATGTTTGGGGTGGGCTGTTGTCTGCAATCAAGGTTTGAACACTGGCAGAGTCTCTATGTTCAACTTCCTTTTTTCTTGTTAAAACCCCTGTTAAGTCTGTTTGGGTTCCTCGTTCGATTGTAGCCGGGGAAGTAGGAATGGCAATATTAGACTGAGCCGGAGGCTTGGGGCCTGGGGCTCCGGTAGATGCCTTGGCTTTTCTATCATTTGCTCTGGAATTAGATCGAGGCATTTGTAGGGTGCTCTCGAAAGAAAACGAAAGAGCGTTTTGTATGTTTGATGATAGTATTCGTCTTCTCTTTATATTTGGACCTTGTGATTGTAATCTCTCAGTCGTCAGACGTCACCTGACAACCTAAGTCCCAGTCATTGCGCCAGATCGACGATATTATTACGTAGAGCTACCGTTCAAACAAGCAGATATCAACATGCGATTAGAATCTTGTATCCTACAGATATATTTGAAAATTCGAGGATCAAAGCCTTGTTTAAGAAGGGCAAGACTTTTTGGGCTCGGGTTCATAGGGTAAACTACTAATTAAAAAAAGCCCACACCAAATGGTCCTTACTGACGAACTGGACAAGGATTGGCTCGTATTTAGTTATTAAAGTATCCATACACCGCTTTAAAATCACAGAATAATCTCAATCAATTTAGAATTTATCTTCCCATCATCAGTCTGGGCAATAGTATGACTTCCCGAAATCAATGAAAGGATTTTTGACAAGGTTATTCGATTTAAACAAAGGTACCACCCTTAACCCAACTGTTAATTGATTTTGTTTTCAATATTTGTCAGGGCACGTTCAGTCGCAGCGTACAGCCTGTCCATTAAATGGCGGGTCAAACATCATAGAGGGAATATCCAGTGACGATCTTGCGTCTCCAGAGCATCTCTCATTGCTAGGTTTTGTTAGTTAACGAGAAAAAATCGTGCAGGGCCCGTGGAGAATCAAATCAATCTTACCTATATAGCCAACAATTATCCAACGCTGCGATCCATCGAACATCACCACTGCCCATTTTTAGCTACATTTCCCTTCCTTTTGTGTTTCGCAAGCAAGAACCTCAACATACGAATGACTCAGCTTTATACACTTGCCCTCGCGAATACGTTCCCAGTGACAATTTATAGGGAAATTGTCATTGCAGTATTGGATCTATCATTCGTAAGTATAGATTAGCAGCATATTTTTCGGAAAGACAGAGCCTAGGATGATCATTTCTCATACCACCGAGTGATCTCCGAAAAGAGGCACGGCCAGGCTACCTCCGGAAAACGAAACAATAATTGCGACCAAAAACTTTTTGAAAAGCATGTCGGAGGGCCTTCGTGTGAGGAATGCACCCAGGAAGGGTCTTAACTAAAAATACTGGCTATGGGTACGATAAGTGCAGATCCGCCATCTGGGACAAGACAGATATGCAGATATTTATATATTTTCATCGGGGGGTGAATTGATAGGCATCTACACGTAATATAGCAAGCATAACCTTTCAAAGAATTAGGTAGAAGTCATTTTTAGGCCACTAAGAAAGCCTACATTTGTCGTGCAGAAAGGATTGAAAGCAGTTGCAATAAAGACTTGAACATATCCTATCAAACACCGAGATTATCCGGTGTGATGACGAAAGTTGTGTCAGGCAGTGAACCCGCTGGACAACATGGAGGCCGAATGTATGGGAGATTTCGTGCTCTAATACCCAGAAATATATAGCAATCCACCCACCCCCGATTCTGTAGTACCATCTTCAGCCTTTAAATATTAATCCCAATCTCGCAGTCAGAACAGGTGGGAATAACTCTTATTGTAATACATCTCTTTCTGCTGACTGTCATTACAGGTTTCTCGTGATACCTATGCCGGGCATGGAGACAAGTCAAGACCGATCGAAAAGCCCCACAATAGACAACTTAAGATGTTAGATGTATTAGGTGATCCCGCAAACCACTACCCGGGGGTTGAAAGGTGGGATCGCGTGCTACCTGTGATTTTAAGATGAGAATGAGGACTATCGAGTGAATGCGCCAAGCTGGAGTAAACAGACGTCTCGAAAATCATGAAACGCGACGCTAGGGTGCAGATCAATCATAATGGCCGGAACTGAGGATATATTTGGCAGAAAGCATAGGCTACCCTAGACAGATCAGGTGTCTCACAGCACGCCCGAGGCATCCGAAGCATTCCTGTGCGCCTAAGCCATAGCCACCTTGAGAGACAGATCCACACTAACTCTTCAACCACGTAACCCCGATTACCAAGTGGCCTACCGCGACCGGTGTCTCATAGAAGCCAAGTCATTTTCAGGATCGTCAGCGGGTCTATGGGGTATGAGTAAGCGGGGACCATCGGAGCCCCAGAACTTGGAACTCAATTGCGAATCTTGTGAGAAGCCCCGATTAGCCCCGATTAGATGTTGTCTTGTTCCATCAAAGAGAGTGCCGGTATATATGGCACCGATGTTTTATCCTTTCTTTCAAGAAGGATCGGAAAGGCGGAGCTAGAGCCTGGAACCTAACCTCACAATCCCAGATCCAGGACCCCACACCCTGAGGCCAAATGCGCCTTGGTAAGAAGCCCATGCCGCCGGCATGGCTTCTAGGGAACTTGAACCGCTTCCATGATCCCTGACCCTCAACCCGGCCTGTTGTGGGCCGTGAAGACGGGTCAGCGGTTTTGCGTGTGATATCCAGAAGACAGAAAGACGGGCCTCGAGGTAGCTGCGCCAAGCTCCTGCCTTTACATCCCGCCTCTCCCGCCTGTCCCGCCTGTCCCGTCTGCCCTGTCTGTTCCTGGATGACGCGGTCCGCGATCCAAGATCCACGTTGATAAGCCAGACTCGAGGACACCGGATAGGGTGGATAGACGCCATTGCATCGTTCTTCATCCAGACAGCCAAGTAATTTGCAATCCATTGCAACTGATTCATCAGCCCTGCGATGATCCCTTCCCGAGTGAAGTAAGCTCGTGGGGCGCCAAAGCAAAGCCCCACGCGTCACTGTATCAAAACGGTCGTTGACACGCGGCGCCAAGTTATCCATTGCATCAGCAGAATGGGCGAAATCATGCTGCGAGCACAAAACCAAGGCTCGTCAAAGTCTCGATGAGGTATGTCTCCTGACAATCACTTCGTCTCAGGAACAAATCCCGATTCCACCTATCTCCAGAATGACGCGGCAAAGGATGCCGAAGAGATGGCCCAGCATCATATAAACTGGCATCGGCCAGTCTCAGTCGACTCTCGAGTAACTTCACTATCTGATCTGTATCTAATCTTGAGCTCTCGGTGATTTGGCTCCTCAATTCAACATGGTTCAGTTTTCGAAGGTTCTGGCCGTCGTCGCGGCTTGCCTGGTGGCTCCAGTTATGTCTCACCCAGGCGAGAAGCATGATCCGCATGTGGTGAAGCGCGAAGTCATTGAGCGCGATGCGATGGCGGCAGCCGCAAAGCGGGCTCTGGGCGGATGTGAGAATTCATTGCATGCGCGGGAGTTGAACAAGCGCAGCATCGCCCGGCGTGCTCGTACAGTCAAACAGCTTCGTGAAAAGCGTGGTGTTACTGCCAGTAAGATATCAGAAATCAGCCTGGAGGCTCCCATTTGTCTGTAACCCAACTCACTGAGCGATTATTCAGGTCCTCAAAAGTGGCGCCGCAACCTGGCTGCTCTCGAGAAGTGGGAAGCCATTGACCATAACAAGACCGATATTCTCAATTATAGCCCGGCCACGCCCGAATCAGTTATCTTCTCCGCAAACACCAGCTGTATTCTTACTCCCACCGTCACTGATGGGCCCTACTATGTATGGGGTGAGGTGGTGCGCCAGAATGTGAAGGAAGAGAAGTATTCCGATGGTGTGGATGTCTTCTTGGAGGTGCAATATATCGATATCAATACTTGCCGCCCTGTCCCAGGCGCCTTGGTGGATATCTGGCAGGCCAACGCCACTGGTGTGTACAGGTATGTCTCGGTCTCGAACCCCCTTTTCGCGGCGTGTTATTTGGTCGCATTATCTAACCGAGGCCTCGTAGTGGCATTTCGACCTCCGGCAATTATGCCGCGGACGGTTGGGACTCGACTTACCTCCGTGGAATCCAGCAGACGGATCGTGACGGCGTGGTTGAATTCGAAAGTATTTTCCCTGGTCACTACGACGGACGTGCCACTCACACGCACTTGTTGACCCATCTGAACGCCACTCTTCTTCCCAACAAGACACTTGAGGTGGGCACCGGCAGCGTGGCCCATATCGGCCAGCTGTTCTGGAACGAAGTGCTCCGCTCGGCCGTCGAAGACACGTACCCATACACCCTCAACACCCAGAGTGTCACCACGAATGCCGACGATATGTGGAGCGTTAAGCAGGCCGACAGCGCCTACGATCCTTTCCCCGAGTACATTTATCTGGGCGATGACCTCGACGACGGCCTTTTTGCTTGGATTCAGATCGGCATCAACGCGACCGCAGATTACACCGACAACTCCTATTATAGCATTGCTGCCTACTATGATGCAGATGGTGGTCATGAAAACAGCGACAGCTCTGCTATGGGCAGTGGCTCTGGTGGTGCCACTGGTACCAATGGCACCATGCCTTCTGGAAGCGCTAGTCCCAGTGCTTCTGCCTCTGCGTGAAGATTATGGATATAACGCAAGGAGCGGGGCGAGCGCGATCCATGGCTCCCTTTCGCCACGTGCATTTCTGCAGCACAGTTTACGGTCGATCTAGGGAAGATGCTGCCGTTGTTAGGCGGTCTGATCCCCTGAAAGCTGCAATGAGCTGGATATCCGAAGCTCTTGCAGCACAAAGTTCTTCTCGAACAATATTTGTGTATAGAATAGATCAATACGGCTCACGCAAGGGGTGTATCAATACAGATAATATAGAGACAGAAAATGGAATCTTGAAGACACTTAGAAAAACTTAGATCTGTTTTCTGTGCCAGATCAACGGGCACTCAACTAGGCGTCGTCACCCCAATGATCCCACGTGGATCGGAGATCCGAGCTTTCGTTCTTCCGCGCGTGTAAAACCCGCCAGTCAACCTTATTGGGCTCTTGTCCTCAGCTCGAGGACATGGAAACGGCCATAGCGTGCCAATAGACGCGCACGGACAGCAAAATCCATAGTACTTACAGGGACTACAGAGGCTGCCGAGGGGGGTTTTGTTGTTGTGGAGAGAAATCTTGCGGGTCAAGCACATTTAATAATCTGTTTGATCGGTTAAACGCCGGCACAACGAATTCTGAGTCTTTTTTTGTCTACATCGGCTCCATAGTTCGCTAGTTTATACTCCGATGAGAGGTGGCTTGTTGGGCTTGGACCAGGAGCCCCATCGACCCATCCATGATCTTGGATCGCTAATTCTGGCATTCCACGATTACGGGAATCCCGATGCCATGCGATCGGGCTTGGAATTGGATTGAATTATTCAGAATGGCCGTTCCTTAAGGCTGAATGCCATGACTGCTCATTTTCGTACCAAATCGTATCGAACCGCCCATTCCCAAAAAGGTAGGTGGATGGCTTAGGGTTAGCCCTAGGATGAATCAGCGTAAGCCCCCGACATCAGAACCAATGAAATCATTTGATTGATCTCTCTTGAGAGCTTCGGGGACCTCGATCGCCCTCGCTCCCGTACAAAGTACTCCGTATAAAAGGGGCCGAGCACACTCGTGGCTCCACCAGATGGCCATGTTCCCCTTTGTGTGGAGATCATCTTGATTCCATTTGTCCTTGCAAGTCCAACTGCACTGAGCGATCGTGCAAGGTTCGGAAGTCGTCGGGTTTGAGATCCCAACCATGTGCCAGAGAGCGACAAGGCCAGGATGACCCAGCCAATTCCACAGTTACATTCAATCCCCATGTCCACAGTCCATCACGTCAAGAACCACCGACGAACTATCTTGGCAGCTTACTGTACCTTGGATGAGTCGAAATAAATCAGTCATGGTCCAGGGACCTAGGAGCATCCCTGATGACAGATGTCACTTCATGGTTCTTGCCGATCTCCCATCAAGAGGCTTAGCATTGCTGGTATCAATAGCAATGGAGAGTATTTACAGACTTCGCCCCTCATCGGTTATCTTCTTGTCGCCCCCTAGGCCCTGTTCATCTGATCGTCTTCCCCTCCCGTACCATCATCATCCCTAGTCCGCGTTGCTGGGTTTCCGGAAGTCCCCACCGGGTCGGCCGGATTTCTCAAATAGGCCAACAGTCAAACCTGGTTTCGCCAACGCCACCACCCAATCATGGCTGACTGACCCGTCCGGTCGGGATGCGGAGGGCCGATGCGGCTCCTCTCCCGCCTTACAGTACCGCACGTACTCCGTACTGTTGAATTATACAAGTTGAGGGACAGAGCGGACGTAAATGGGCTGCATCATCAGCTTGTCACCGAAGGCGTACATTACATATACAATGAACAGCCGATAATCCTTGTCGACATACATTTGAGCCGATCGCCTATTTGCTTGGAGAATTAATCCCTGAGATGAGCGGGGACCCATCCGTTGTGCGTCGCGACCGCAACCTGTGTGATTCCAATTACACCGTATCAATTCCCTATTCCGCCGTTGCGGTGCAAGGAACGGAACACAAGCTCTTCGAAGAGTCAAGGGAAAAGATATGGATAGGGTGTATGTCGGCGTGTGTACTTTCATCTTCAGCCCTTCAAGACGACCTTCAAAACAGTGTATGAGGGGACAAACTCTCTTGGACTCCCGATCTCATCCCGTCCCACATCGGCCCACGAGTCCCAAACTGGCCTCGTCGCTTTTTCTGTTCTCCCCTCATCTACTGCGCGTACGGACGGAGTACAAGTTATACGTATGCAGGGTCGAACTCATGCCGCTCCCTTCCCAATCACCACTACCACACGGACTCAACGGGGGTTTCATGCATTCCTCGCCTGCCGATCGAATGGATTAGACTCGGCCCTAGAAATCAATATCCCCACTGGTCCCGCGACCTGCGATTATTCATGGACCCAGGCAGAGGAGTGGGTCACTTACCCCCCTTCGGCACCAGTGATCAAGTCTAGAGCTTTTGAAGGTTTCCCTGGGCATAATAGCCGGGCAGTAGCGTCGAGATCTTCAGAACAATCCCATGAAATAAAACCACGAGGGGGCCACTTTCTCATCTTTGAGTCTACTCCCCCTTTCGTTAGGCTGGAAATTCATCTCCTCGATCGACCGATTCCGTCCTCCTCCTCCTGTTCCCTCCCCCCCGGCGCGGATGGGATTCTCGATCCCTCGTCCTCCATCCCGTCATGGCCGATGAAGCCTCTGAAGCGGCCATCCTGGCGGCTGTCCAAGATGACAGCCGCAGCAATGCGATCCTGACGGTGACAGCGGTCTTCCTCGGTATCTCTCTCTTCAGCGTCCTACTTCGATGCTTCGTCCGAACTCGCGTCGTGCGCGCATTTGGATGGGATGATATCATGATGCTTTTGGCAATGGTAGGTTATGTTGCTTTTTTAATCAGGTTCACCGCTAGCCATGAGGAAGTCGTATAGACTAGGATGTCGCTTATGCTTCCGAGTAGGTTCTCAATCTCGCCTTTGCGATTTGTGGAATTTTGGGAGCCAAGTATGGCATGGGGCGGAAATTGCTCTACTTCGAAAAATACCCTGAGAACTTCCACCGCGCCCTTCTCTGCTGGTGGATGGGTCAGATCTTCTATGTCATCACTTGTGTCATCGCCAAAGTGTCGATTATCATCACCCTGTTGCGCATCACGGTCGATCGCCTGCACGCCTGGATCCTCTATGCCGCCATTTCCTTGGCCACCGTCGTGGGCCTCATTTTCTTACTTTTCACCATCTTCCAATGTACACCAGTCGATTACTTTTGGAACCAATTGTCTGAGCAGGGCACCTGTGTCAACAAGAACACTCTCATTGGAATCGCATACCTCTATAGTGTCGGTGCCGCCGTGACGGATCTCACAATTGGTCTCCTCCCGGTAGCGTTGATCTGGAACCTGCGAATGAACCAGCGCACTAAAACTGCCATTATTGGTATTCTGGGCATTGGCTGCATGTAGGTGTTTTGGATTCTTCCTTGGCCCTTCCCGCTCTGCCTCCATTGGTATTGTGAGCTTTTTGACTCTGTGACTAACTAAACATCTACAGTGCGAGCGCTGCTGTCATCGTCCGGATTCCCTTCGTTCACCATTATAAAGACCGCGAATTTTTGTGTAAGACTTGCCACTCCGCTTGAAGCCCATGTGGGACAGAAAGGACGAAACTGACGTCCAACCTCCTTCATCTAGACAACACTTACCAAATCTCCATCTGGTCTAACGTCGAGGCCGGTCTGGGCATCACCGCCGGCTGTCTGACCACTCTCCGACCCCTCATCCGATTTCTCCGCGACGGCTCCTCCGCCTCGCGCAGCCGCAACAATCGTACGCCCGGATCTTTTCCCTTATCCAGCAACGTGGCGCAGGGGTTCCACCGATCCTCCCATCGGTCCAAGCACGAGGAGGACGATCGCGACGGTCGAAACCAACTCTGGACAGGCAGCGAGCATGATGACTACCATGGCATTACCACAACGATTATGGGTAGCCAACGTCCTAATCCCACCAGCAGCAGCGAAGAGGATCTTAACCCGAGCAATCATACCACGCACGGCGGATGGAAGGTTGAACGGTCCGTTCGGGTGTCCGTGCGCGATTCTTGAACCGATTGATTATTATTATCGGCATAATAATCCTAATTTCCAGCTTTTCTTTTCTTTTCCCCGCGCTGTCGGGTCCATGTATAAACACTATACCAGCACTATACGATGTACCTAAAAGATACCACTTTGATGATCTCAAGCCAATGAACCCATTGTTTTCATGAATACCCCCTTCTCCATCTCCGTTATCATACTCTCTCTCTGCTCACGGTCGCAAGGACGGACTATCATGTATAGGGCTATGGATTCAGGAGTACTGATGATTTGACCAGCCCCTCCAAGGGCCCATTCTTATTCACACTGAAACGCACGGCGGTCACTGTTTGCTGCAGGGGGCCAAGCCTGTACCTCGGAGGGATGGGAGGGTTTTTACAGGCTACGACCACGGTGAATTGGAGCGGCGATGGTGGGTCGGCTGTAAGCGAGATGATCCCAGCCACTCCGCGTGTCGCCCCGATGGCTCCATAAGGCCTCCGATTACATATCCTCAACATCTCTCAATGAGGCACTGAGTCAGGTGGGCGGAGGTTTCACAATTATGTTCTTCATCTGGTCCCGCGTGGAGGGTCCGGGAGCTCAACGATCGATTTCTAGGCCCGAAATCACCACGGTCTAGATCTCCAGATTCCAGCCTAGCGTCACTGATGTTTGATTATCTTCTATCCCCACTCGTCTACCTAAAGGGCATGTCGACCCTGCTGGGGGGCCTAAAGATTATGTTTATCTGTCCTGCAGGCAGAGCTCCATGCTGATGCACTTCGTGCTATATTTTGAGTGATGATGCTCCCACCCACCGGAGTATTCTTGCCCAAAACAGGCCCCCACCCCAGCACTTTATGCACTCGCAGTGGGCCTGCATGAGGGGGAACCGACAGGGATCTTCTTTACCGAACTGCCATCGTTTCAGAGACTTGCCGTAGAGTCCGGGAGTCTTACGGCACATGTGGCGATTCCACGATGTTTTCGGATATTTTCGAGAAGAGGTCCTCTACATACAAAATGCTTTTGACCATGAATAATTTTAGTAACTCGAATGGATATTTACTTGAGAACTCATCACGGCCTCTTATGACCTGCCAAGCAATAAACACGACAAGGAAGAGAAAGAAAAAAAAACACCCCATGAGAACATACTTTCGCCGCTGTTTCACTGTGTCGCCTCCTGCTTGACCTCGTTGCGCACGAGACCTTCCTGTGATGGCGACACGCCGACGGCGTACGCGTCCACATGGGTTGAAGAGAATTTGCGCGCGGAAATTTTTCTGGCGAAGAGAATGTCGAGCTCGGCATAAGTACGTCCCTTGGGCTCTGGCAGTCGGAAAAATGCCCAGACAAAGGCAAGTAGCGCCGTGCCTCCCCAGAAGAACCCGGTTTTTCCTGAAGCATTCCACGCGGTCGGGTTCATGAAGTAGGGCTCCAAAACCTGCGACACCACGTTGATAATCTGGTATGCCGTTCGGGCTAAGCAGACGGTTAACGGGCGCAGGCGCACAGACGAAGTCTCTGATACAATTGCATACGCGATTGGTCCAACCGTTAGAGAGTACACAAACAGCCAGATCATACATAGCGCGGACTGGGCCCACATGGCACTGGTGGTATGGGACGAGGCGCTGATGATGCCGACTAGGAGCAAGAGTGTGGCGAGAATGCCTTGACCCCAGACATAGAGGGTTCGTCGACCGAGATAAGTGATCAACCACCAGGACAAGACTGTACCGACAAAGGCCACACCAGTGCAACCAACTCCCAGCTGGAATGCTTTGCCGACCTTCATGCCAGCCTGTTCGAAGAAATAGGTAGGTGTATACGCGAAGCTACTTCCTGACAGGATTTGACCAACGAAGGCAAAGCAGCAGATTTCTGTTCGGCGCAGGTCGACACCCTTGAAGCATTCCCAGTAGCTGGTGCCAGACTCGATTTCAGCCTCGATCTTCGTTGTATGCACCATCATGGCGAGTTGTCCGTTGATTTGATTCTCGGTCTTGTTCCCTCCGAGTCGTCGGATGCTTCTCTTTGCGTCTTCCAAGCGATCATTGCGGACCAAGAACCACGGGCTTTCGGGCGCCAGCCAGCAAACCACCATCAAGGGGACAGGCCAGATCCATTGCAGCGCAAAAGGAATTCGGTATGACCACTGGTCGGGCCGGTCGACCAGGCCGTACAGCACTCCGGACGCAATCAGTTGACCGATAGCCCAGCACATGTTGACATAGACCGTCAGGTAACCTCGCAGGTTAGTTGGACAAACCTCCGATGCATATGCGGGACCAACGGTCGCGAAAACACCCCAACAAAATCCACAAAGAATCTGTCCAACCAATAGAACAGCAGCCGAGCTGGCGAAGAAGACGACGAAGATGAAGGCAGTCAAGAAGCCCAAGGCGGCGATCATTATTGGTCGATATCCAAACTTAGATGCCAAGTATCCATTCAAGATGCCGCCTATGAGACCGCAATTCTCAGTTTCCAGGCTCAATTTCCATCACGCAGTCATGGTGGAAGCAGGGAAGGACAGTGGTTACTTACCAAAGATACAACCAACCGTGCTTCCCATGTTCAAACCACTCTGCCACGGAGCTGACACCTGCCATCCAACATCCCCCCATAGTCTTGCCCATATTTGTGCTGAAAGGTAGGGTAGGCAAAGAAGTTGCCCATCAGGATGGTATCATAACCCTCCATCACGATGGACATGGAGATCAGGACAGACCACATCACAGCTTTCCTGTTGTCGCGAATAGCCTCCCAGAGGGTCTGCGCATGTTCCTCGTCAGTCGCCTGCTTGGCCTCGACGATAGCCCCCGTCCCTAGTGTATCCTCGACATGGTTGGCGGCCGACTTCTCCAGGGCAATCTCAGTTTGGGTCGTGTTGTGCGACATGTCGAACCAGCAGTCGCAGGTAGGTCCGTAATCACCAGCGGGATCCCATTCAGCTCCAACGGCTCGCCGACAGGGTTGGCCCTATATATGGTCTCTGGCCGGACATGGGATCGGGCTCCTTCACGCGCCACGACAAGCAAGATGATCCGGGGATAATGTGGAGAACGACGCGCCCGCCGGTGGTGTGCTTTTGTCGTGCATTCAGGCTAATAAGGAGAACGTGAGCCTATCCGAACTTGTGCTATAGACGGGCAGTAGCCAGTAAAAAGGCAAGCGACCACGTCGTCTGTCCAACCATGGACTGAACACCACGAGAGCGACCCTAATTTTGCACCTATCATGAGCCAGGAAGCCAGGAGACAGAATTGGGAACGTGAGCCACAAGCTAAGAATTCACCCGGAGCCGATCAGCATCCAAAATGTAAATTGGTTTCTGGGGAAGCGAGATTCTTACAGCAGACAGTGCGCGTTCTGATTGGGCCCCCAGTCTATGGCACTGGCGCCCCCCAAGCCTCCGGCTGCCTCTATTCCCAAAGCGAAACGGAGCTCGGGGCCGAGGCGTCGTGACTTGCCCGCCGAAATCGCCCTCTGCGGGCTGGACCGGACCCTGGACAGCCCCAGACCGTCGTCCGCTCCTCTGGTTCCCGAAGTGCCTAGATAAACAGGTAATTCGGACCGGCGTATCGACCTTGTCCGATCGAGTAACATGAGGCCACTCTCGTAGACCGGCTGATCCGGGGTTCAAGTCACGGCGCTTTTGCAGGGGTCAACGGAATCGGGTTTCTTTTAGCCGCCGACCGAGAGCGCCAACAAACTCCCGAGACTGGAACAACTCTTGAGGTTCCCGAGAGCTCCTGCAATGATCAGTCCACCGTCGATAGTGTACATTAGTGCGATCCGGAGGGAGCGGGACTCGCCAGTGAAATTAGGAAGTCCGATCAAAATGCGGGGAGAATCTCATCTAAGGTTATCGTAGAGAGTTAATCTATGATTACCTACACATCGAGAGGACCTCGATAACACCACAGCATTGTGGGGATTGCGGGGCATCGCATGATCTCTTCTATCCATGTTTTTCATAATTACCTGTTCTGTTCACTATTGTAAGGAATATAAATTCTGATCTCCTATCAACATCTGCTCGCTTTAGTGGATCAGTTCACTCTCTGATCCCCTCTCTACTCTCACCCACGAAGTTGAATACATGTGCCGAAGTTATCCTATTCCGTCGGATTGCCTTCTTAATGTTTGCTGATAAGTTGGGACATCACTTATTATTGACCATGTCTGCGAATGTAAGTTTATTCAATGAATATAGCTCGCTGTGTATATATTTTTAAACATTATCGTTTGTATCGTCTAGGCTTTGGGGTATCTTTATCCATGAAACTGCCAGAACATCTGGGATCGAGAAACAACCTGGAAAGAAAGGCAACAGAGCGTCGGAGGTAATATCCGCGAAAAACCATCTATCTGAACGCTATGCCGTAACAGAAGTATGATGTAGGTTAGCCTGAAGAGTCCCCACTTTTTAGCTGCCTTCAATTCGAATTTGGACCTCGTACTCGCCCGTCCCTCGAATTGTGCTTTGAGTTCTGAGATGCAAGAACCAGAACGGCTGTCGATCTGGTGTGCTCAGCCCCGAGCCTGAATGGCGCACCACCCAGCCAGTCCGGCCTTGGGATCCCAGAAAGAGACCGCTCACTGGAGTCCCGCGTTCATATTGGCGGTATGCTTGTAGCGGTTCGGAGTCCTTGGCGCTTAGGCCCCATTCCATTTCATTGGTGCTTGAGTCCCGTTCAAGACCAACGGCATGCCAATCAAGCGCCCCAGCCCCGGAGGGCACTAGAGCCTCGTAGGTCTGGAGAGCGCCATTGCAACGGAACATGGTGGGGGCGGTCTGGGGGCTGTCGGCGACGGTGATCTGAAGACAAGGAGATTGGAGTTAGCTCAAAAAATATATTGAAAGTGCGGTCGCACAGGTCTTCAGGTGACGCACGATGCCCTTTTCGATTCCCGTTTCGCCAGCCGATCGCTTCACATCACAGGTGGCCGCGTATCCTTCAATGCTACAGGCCGCACCGGTTGCTGTCGCACTGTTACATTCATCGATCTTGATCGTCCAAGGGCCGGCGATATTTGTTTCATTGTTAAACCCTGGGAGCGACGAGCAGCCGCTCACCGCAGTCGTGGTGATCCCCTGGGGTTGAGCCTGCACACCGATTGCAAGACCGATGACTGTCCAAATAGCCGTGCAGATCATCGCATTGAAAGCTGGGATTTTCCGACCGCCTCCGACAGAGTAGAGCGAGAAACAGAGGTTGAAGAATTTCAGGAGGAAAAGAAAGAAAGAAAACCAAAGCTCGATGGGAATTCGAGCCCGTGGGGGGGAGGGGAGCCTTGTGTTCCCTTGAAAATCCACTATCGATCATGGACGCGGCAGTGCTCTGGTTCCCAGGTAGCCAACAAATACGAGAGAGCCTCATTGATGTAGATCACTTTGTTGGTAAGCCCCCAACAACACCGCGAATCGCCGTAGTAGGAGAGCCGCGAATCACGGAAAGCTGGAGGGGACGAAGGGGACTGGGACTATTCAGGAAAATATTCCCTCGGTCCTCATAACATACCACCAACAAGAGATCGATCCTCAGAATTCTTCAGTCAGTCAAACCGTGATCTTCAAAAGTTGAAGGACCAGACCAAATGGGGACCAAACGGCCCCAGGCAACGTCATCGGCGGAGTCGAGTGGAACCTAACGAACAGGCGGCCGGGGCTATTTTTAAAGATGTACAGACTAGCGGAACAGAATTGGCAGAACTAGCAGAACTAAGAGAAGACATGAAATCACTAATACACAAGCTTAAACAAAGAGAGAAACCCCATAGTCACATAATATATGCCGTAATCTGAAATCTATATCATGGATCGCATGAATCTAACGAATTTTACTATCTTCTCCGCCAGGTAAAGATCATATATCATCAGCTATAGAAAGGTTCACTAGAAAAGTTCACTCGTCGCGAGCCAGGAGCCCTTCGGCCTCTTGAGCATCCTCATTGCCACGCTCGCGAGCCAAGGACTCGGCCATGGCCAAGCCTTCGTGGCGGCCCTTCTCCGCGTTCACCATCCACACCAGGGGGATGGGTAGCAGGATCAACACCGCAATGAAGAAGAAGCCAGACCGCACCGTCCCCGTCGCATCTATCAGCACTCCCACAATAGCAGGTCCAATGAACGAGCTGCCCTTATCTGTGGCGGCGTACAGGGCAAAGAAGGCGGCTTCGCTCCCGGGCGGTATCAGCAGCCCAAAGAAGGACCGGCAATAGGAGGCCAAGCCGCCTGAGACGATGCCATGAATGACACCAAGGGGGAAGATCTCCCACGGCTGTTGCAGGCCAATCACACCCCAGTTCTTCACAAACGGGATGTAGGCAAGCATGCCATACAGTGGAATGATCTCGAAGAGGGCAATGCAGATCATAATAGTTTGGTTCGACGCCCATCCGAACCGCTTCGATACTCGTGGCCAGAGGAAGGCCCCAGCCATACCGGAAAGGGTGACTGTGACCGACAGACACCCGATCGAGGTGGGTTGCATGTGTAGCTCCGTGCGAGCGAAAAGAATGGCGGTCCCCGAAACGGTGGCCATAGCATCGGATAAGAGAAACCAGGCCACCAAGAAGACCAGGACTTCACGCAGCCGCAGGGCGGTTCTGAAGGTCTGCCACAGTGACTTCCAGGCGAAACCAACCAGACGCAACCACGCGCGCCAACGAGCCACATCTGAACCGGCCGATGCGTCGAGGGGCGGACCAGGCCTGGGCCGCAGCCAGTGGCGAGAGACGAAGGTGAAGGCACACCACCAGATGCCAACAAGAAGCAGTACAAACCGCATAGGGAGTGTTCCTGAGGCTTTGGCAAGGGAGGTCTTGTTCAGTAGGATGAGCATCAGAATACTCAAAATCTGCACAAGCACCGCGGCACAATACCCTAGGCCAATTCCCTTTGACGAGATCTGAGTCGACAGCAGCAGTTCTGGCGAGGCAGATGCTAGCTTCGATTGCTTTCCTTCGAGGTCATCTGCGGGCGATCCATTATCAAAACCGGGCTCCGGCATACCATCCAGACTGTCCTCATCGCGCCAGGTGTTCCAATCGTCGGTCTCAGTGTGTGGGTTCAGGTCGAACATTTCCTCGCCGCGGTCTTTGGAGGTAGATTGAATGGACGAATCATTGGCCACGAGCACTGGCAGGAAAGAATTTAACACGACAAAAGATGATCCTAGACAAGTGACACCGATGACCACCAGTATAGAGCCGAGGAGGAAAACCGACGGAGCTATGAGAACGAAGAGCATGCTGGTGACCGAACCGATGAATCCGAACGATAGGAGCAGGGTCTTGCGATTCTTTTCTGTATACACACCACCAGGAGAAGCGCTCCTCAATTAGCTCTTTCCAATCCTGTCGGGTAAAGATTATCTCATCACCCATGGATATACGCATAGAGGTTTAATCCACAACCATACCATAGTCAGCCAGGGCGCTGAACGAGATTAATGTCAGCGCCTGAATCAGCACCGCCAGTGAAAATGTATACATGGCGAAGCTGGCAGTGGTGGTCTGGAATCCCAGCACTCCCACCATACATTGTTCCTCGACGTACTGAGGATCGTTCTTGTCGGGGGCGCCAGGTCCCCAGCATGGCCGATGGCTATCGTGCAGAGATCCCCGCTCGCGGGCGAGCTGCTCGAGCGTCAACGGCAAGAAGGACCCTAAAACGGAACTCGAGTGAGAAAAGGCGGCTCTTCCCAAGCTTCCCCATGGTGATGCTTCAGAGGATCGGACTTACCAACGCCACACACGGCAAAGACCTCGGCCGCGATACCGTAGGCGTACCAGCCGAGGATCTCCCGGTGGCTGGTCGGAGTGGTGTCTTCGCCGGCATACCGAGGGGGCCGTTGAGGGACCGCCTCGTCAGGAGGCGACGACTTGAGGGCCGCGAAGATGGACCACATGGGTGAGGATGCAAGAGAGAAGCAGATCCATCATCGAACAGATCAAAAGGATCTAAAATGCAGCCCTGCAATTCATGTTCGCCGGATGTGGGCGGAACAGGAACAGGGCGGGGAATGCGGTCATTGCCAGGAATTGGGGCCCACCCGGCTTAATTAAGTTAAGGATTAGCGGATTAGCTAAGGGACGATGCTTCCCAATGGAACCTGAAAGTGCAAATAGATTCAACATTCACCCTCTTGAACCACCAACTTTCCGCCCGGACTTCCGTTCTCACTTGATTGATCCCCCTTGGAGATCACTGGAGATCCAGAAATGGCAAGCTGGACGAGCAAAAACAAGTCTGGGAATTGCAGGCCCCGCTCGATCCCCTGGAACTATGGTGGGCGCCTTCCATGATGGAGCTCTTGAGTGCAAAAAGCAACAAATTATTGATTTTTCAAGGGAATGAACCCATTTTCTGTGATCAATATCCCTCTAGACTGCTTTGAATTTTTATATGCCCCTCCTTTATCCGACAGGGCCTCCGAGATGACTCGACCTGGATTTGGAGCTCCTCCTGCACCGGCCGAACGTACCCCAGTCAAATAACATCCGGGCCACACTTTGACGAAAATGTGTTTATGATAAAATCTTTTCGTAGCATACAGCCTTGCTCTTGAGTTCACCTTTAGCATTATCTCATGAGAGAAAGCAGTGTATAATCTTTCTGTCGCTCCAACTCCGTGCGAAGCTAGCAGGTAGGGTCTCGGTAATTGCTTCTCGTCCAATCCGTATATTCGGGCATTTCATGATGTCACACCTGCCAGATGGGAAACAAGCAAGCAGCAAGCAGCAAAGACCGAAGAACCGAAGGAACTGAAGAAACCAAAGACGTACAGGAGCTTTGGAGCGCACCTGCCGGTTCCGGCCCGGTCCCGGCACTCGTGCTTTCACTTGTCGGTTATTGTTTTGGATCGCGCTCTTTTTTCTCTTTTCTCTTCTTCGACCGTTCTTTTTCTTTTATTTACACCGTTCATCGAATTACATCAACATCAATTTCACCTCAAGATGGCAGTCGTGCTGGATTCCCTCCAATTCGTGCTGGGTCGCCTGCTCTACCCTATCCGAGGCCATGACTCGCGCCAGATTATTCATGACCCAGCTTTAAAAGAGCATCCCGTACCCAACATGTCACTCGAAGCACCCGAATGTGGTCCATCGGGGTCCAAATTACTTCCTCATCATACTTGCCTTGCTGAGGACCGGGTTGGAGGATTGCCAAAGCTCCGTTGGACGCCTCCCGAAGCCAGTGAACCAGTCAAGGAATACGTGTTGATCTGTGAAGATATTGACATCCCAATTCCATGTCTTGTCATTCATCATGGTCTCTTCTGGGGTATTCCTGCCTCGGCTAATATGGCAACCCCGGCGGACATCAAAGAACGTTCCGATGCTGCAAAGACACGACAAACAGAGGCCGGATGGCGATTTGTCCCAAACCCTCTCGGGACAGCCTATGGAGGTGCTGGCGCACCTTACGGACATGGGTCTCACCGTTATGTGTTTACCATAATCGCTTTGAATGCACCACTGGAGTTCCAAATCCCTGCCAAGACGACCAAGAATGACATCAAACGGGCCATGGCTGGCAAAGTCATCGGCTGGGGCCAGTGGGTCGGTACCTTTGAGCGCACTTGGTCCCAATAGAGAAGTCGGGGGTTCAGCGGACTACAGCATAATCGAACTGTGCTCGTATCGGAGTACCGAGTGAGTATCAGCCAGGCTCCATAGATCATTGCACAGAGGTGTCCTTAGCAAGGGCAGTCATACTCTACTCTTCTAATTACCGTCCTTTCTGCTGTCTTTCATATCAGAGAATGCTCTAATTTTAACATTGAACATGACTATGGTTCTCGCAACCCAATCTTATTTCTATATGGCCTAGGAAGATTCCTTGTCCATGCATGAAACGAATCCCGTTGTGTCCAGCCTCCTTCCGAAAATACCACCCTTTTGAACAAGCCAAAGGATAGTGCTTAGAATTAAACAAGTCATGTCAAAATGTCATTGTCACTGTCACCTTGAATAATCTGCACCAATACTGCCAATCGACCAATAATGGATTCTAGGGACGATTCGCATGCCTTGAGCGTCGCAGATCCGTTTCGATGAGTGGAAGGGCCTTCCGATAATACCGGCAGAATGCCCTTTAACCCCTCCATAAGCTCGACAAGCCTCATCAAATTTCGCCCCAGCAAAGTGCGGACAAGTAACCTAATCTCAGCCTCATCGAGCTCTGTCTGTCCAAAAATGACTTTGCTTCGGACACAGATGAAGTGTGATGCCGGTGGATCGAAGGTCAACATGGCTGTGTCAAAAAAGCTGGGTTGTGAGGTGATGTCATATGCTGAGCATAAAGCCTCAAGTAAGGGAAGGCATTGCTCTGAGAGTGTCGGAAGGGTCACAACAGAGTATTGAAGCTCTTTGGTGCAATCTTCACAATGGACCATCAGCATACCCTGGTGACAAACACGATTAACCAGGCCTAGAACAGTCTCCGCATCAATGACAGCATGTACATTCTGCAGATCTGACATGATCTGCAAAGCTTCGGTGGAGCAGCGACAAGGTTTATCCATGGTCATATCTGTCTCGAGAGTGAGAGTCTTGAGATGGGGGAAAGTTGCGGACTTGGACGAGTTGCTTGAACTGCGGGACTGCTTGTATTCCTAACCTATCAAGAGGCCGAAAAGTTTGGCCTTCGAACCAAGTAACAGTCGTCACGCAGGGTCGCTTTCAAAAATTACGACCAGGGGTCCTGAGAGAGCAACGTGAACCACAGTGAGGTCGAACATTGGTCAATGTGGAAATCCAATCTTAATCAAGGGCTGAATCACAAGCCCTGCATTCTCGGAGTGAAGGACTATGGCTACCTGTGCGTTTCAAGGATGTAGGAGCTATTGTGAGTAGGATAGAACTGTCAAGCGCTCCACAGTCTTTCTGACTGTTAGCTCTACAAGGAGAACAGAAAACGTCAGAAAAAAAGTCAGAAACATCTCCGCATTTCTACGAATGCATTTCTGAGTATTGAATGCTTGAACCTAGACTATGGGGTATGACTTATTGTCTAAATTGCAGAACGTCTCCAAAGTTTTTCAATAAAGGTGACCTTCTACCACCAGGTGGATTTGGCAACGGAGTCTTGAATTTAAATGGCAAATGAAATTCATATAGTACGTTGCTCATTATAGTTACTTCGGCTCCATAATCGTTCCTTTGGGTGGTGGGAGGAGGGGGCTCGCAGATGGCATCATCCTACAGCCATTTTGATCTTCATCATGATGAGCTGCAACCGACGATCTGTCTCCATAATCATCAACATCCGACCTCGCGAGATGGCTGCTGCCAAATCTTGTTCCATGCAAGCACGGATGCGTCTCACAGTCAAAAGAAGCATTGAGAGTCGTGTTTGTAGAATTTGTCGGACAAAACAAGTCTTTTCTTCAGAAGGCACGGGAAACCCCCCAACAAGCAAAGGACAAGCGTCAATGTGAGACTTGAAACCGGCACCCATATTTTTTGATATTTTACCTCCATTTTGAATGCTCATGACAGGCATTCCGTCTTGGACGGGACCCTTGGTTGACGTTGCTGTGACATCCAGTGTGGTAAGAAGACTATCGATAATGACAATTATGACCATGAGCATGTTTGCCTGTAATTCGGATTGTGAGCATATCTTGCACTGTAGAATTGATTCTGCCTGGAGCAAAAGTTCTTTTTGCCATGCAATAATCCTGTCAATACTTGACAAACCATTAGGACCTGTTTTAAGGCCCATTCTTACTAGATCGCCTAGCGATTGCTTAAAACAGCTGCAGGTAAATGTTGGAATTCCTTCCAGGGTGGGCATGAATCCTGCATTCTCAGGCGAATAGATGTCACTGTCATGGCTATCTCCAGGAGACTTCAAACCAATACATCCCTCCATTGGATCGACCGAGCTATCTGTTGGTGACACTTTGTCCATGGGCCAATTTTCTGGGAAAGAATGAGTTTCAATCCTTGTATTGGGCTCATAACTCCAAAACATGGGGAAATTTTCGCTCATTGATGGAGTATCAAGCTGTTTCTCTGGTACGAGAGGTTGAAAAGGACCAAGCTCTCTCTCTATGCTCATATATGTAGACGCGAGAATTGGCCCTCCCTGGAATGTGGAAACATAAATATCCGACGCTTGAAATGGGGCAGGTAAGCCATGGTGCGAGAGACCCTCAGATGAGGAGTCGAAAGAATCTTCAAATCCTATTTCGCCGTAGTGAAGCTCCGGTGCTGTGTCAACTGATATGCGAGTTGGTACCAACTCCTGAAGCCAATTTTCCGAGTCAAAGTCAATCTCGATCTCCTCTTTATACAAATCTATGAGCCAAATTCGATTCAAAACCTAGGAAATGAAGATAGGCAATATACCTGGAGCCTCTTCCCCACCGCTCTCTGTTCTGGCAGATGCTGACAATCGTTCCTGGATAATCTTTCTATCCAAACATCGACCGTTTCGAGCTCTCGCATCAGTTCCATTCTGTGAACTACTGTTTTTCTTTTTGGTGGATTTCCGAATTTTCTTTTCAATCTCGGGCTGATCTGCTCTCTCAAGGACTGGATTATGGCTTTGCTCATCCTGTCTGTGTCTCGATTCTTTTTTTTTGGCTGGACGCCCAAGCCGCCTCGACACACTGTAAATACATTCTATTTTATGTTTCTGACACCGACGACAGGATGGCTTCTCGTGACTGCATCGAATTTTTGCTTGCTGACAGGCATTACATGTGGATCGGACTTTGACACTCTTAGGTAGCTGTCCTGTGTTTGGTTTGGACTGTCTTGGAACATTCATGTTGAGCTTTGAACCAGAGTAATTGGATTTTTAATGAAGAATACGTTGAACGTGTTGCATTGAGACATAATTATCATTTGTCTCGAAGGAGACAGTTTAACTAATCTCTCTCCCCTCTTCTAACTTGATTCAAGCATCATACTTGCTGGTTTGCAGTCCGAATGTTTCCCATGATAGGCTCCGTATGGACCCTCCCACAGCTACCGCCGAGGCCAGGGGAGATATAAAGTTACATCCGAGGGTATATTCATGACAAATGATCTTGTCCTACCCCCATGGTGGAAGGATTTTCACATACGATGCCAAATATTGCTAGTTCGGGTTACTGAAACGAAACCATAAAAGAGCTTCAATCTGATTGGTTGGGAATTTTGTCTCGGAGGCATCTCAGCACAATCATACCATGGTATTGTACTGAAATTTCATCCAAGAATTTCTGTATCATTCTGCAGGATTGGTACAACTGCTGATCACGCCAAATACCTTCAGTTTCCATAGTTAGTCATCTGAGTGACAATATCGGTTGTTAATCCACATTCAATAGCATATAAACATTTAATAGTTATCTCCAAGCCCCAGTCTTCGGTGTTCAAATTTGATCGTTTATTGAAATTCCATTGCTCTCTGCACGCTAATATCAAGCATGGCTCAAATACGCAGTTTGTTGGTTACTCATACTCAATCGATTGTTCCCTTATGCTTTTTTCTTCAAATTGTCCATTTGAAACGTCACAATTCCTACACATGACGCCGAAGAACGCAAAAGTCAATTTCTTATTTCTTGGTCAACCGTCGTCATGCTTCAAAATGGAGATCAGAAAGAACCAGTAGTATTATTCCCCGAGACCTTACCAAAGGAGTAAAGTGATCGCCAGGAAAACCCCATCTCTTGTTATTGTTCTTAATTTACGATATGAAAGCGTTATAATAATTGAATTTAAACATTATTTTCAAATATCATTTATCCTAAGACATACCGAATAGCAACCTCGAGATTATCATAGAGGATCCAAGGAAAGCTCGTATCAGATGCCGCAAGGATGGGTCCTTATCCAAGGCTATTGTGCGCCAAAAGTAGCCATTTTAGCCTTATCTCCCTCGTGCATTCTATCGCAAACTAGTTGGACTCGTGTCACATATCACTGAGCGAAAGTAGGTGGTGGTTGCACTAGGAGGTGGGGAAGGATCCTCTTTATCCTGTGTGGTGTTCTTGCCAAAGAAGTAGTTAATGGCAAGAGGCGGATTCAGCGTTGCTGCTAGCATGAATTCTTTAATATCGAACCCAGCACGTGCTTCCATGGTAGCAGGAAAGATATGCGTGAAGCATTGAGGGAATTGATAAAATGTTGGTTGCTCAAATAGAAGGTATACATAGCGATGACGTGAAAGGGGTGGCGGCTGTGGTGCAATATATGGTGCTGAATCGATAATTTTCCCATTCTTGTCGGAGTGCAGAAAGCCATAATTATCATTCCCTTGGCACTTGAACATAAGATTGGGTCGGTACCAATGCAAGACAACTGTCTGATTTCTGGTTCCCGGGAACATTGCGTCAAGATCAATAAAGAGGAGCAGGTAGCGTGCATGACATGGGAGGTTCTTGCCATTTATTTCTGGCATGACCACAGTATCTGAAGACTGTTAAGAGGTGTAAAATTCAAGATCCATCATAAGTGAATACAATCACCTTTCGTGTCTAAGGTTGATCCTGGATGAATCCATTCCTTCCCCGGGTACCGGACATACAGCACTTGACCAGAAAGCGCAAACAGAAAAGAGGCCTCTGAGATAGCGAGGACTAGGAAGTAAAAGCTTAGGCTCATCCAAATCATTTTTTTTTCAAAATTTCTTGGAATTGAGCAGGGTCTTCTTTGAAAGGAAGCAGGTCAGTTATGAACTCATCAGAGCAAGTATTCGCTATTTGAATGGGCCTAGCCGCGGTAGTATCGTTCTTTTTCTGCATCGCTTGTTCTTTGCATATCTAAAACTCCCCGAGATCAAATAGATTGCTCAGACCGTGCTCGACGCCAGTCCTCACCTTTACGATAAACAAGGATTAATAGCGGACTGGCAGTAATCACGACGCCCGACACAATACAGTACGTGCACTGTATTCCTAGCCTATCAATCAAAGGATTTATAATAGCAGCAGCCCCAGCGCCTATGAAACATCGAACAAGATTGTTTGCTGCCATGGCTGTAGCCGGAGTTTCATAGTACAGATCTGTAATCAGTACGTTCATAACATTATAAGCAGCCGTGATACAGAAACAGACGAAAAATACCATCAGAAGGACAACCCAAAGGGACGAGTTTTGTCCAGCCAGGATTCCATATAAAGCAATCCCGGCGGAAGAAAGAATCTAGTTTCTCCTTCAACATGCTTGAACGAACAATCCCAGTTGCGTACCATTATTCTGTCAGAGACTTACAGTCATCGGGAATCCGATCTGTAGGCGCACACGCTCTATCGGGAACACGTTCAAATCATGTCTTTCGCTTGAATCAGGCAATTGCTGGGAAGTTGCCAGAAAACGTTTATAGTTCCAATCTACCAGCTTCCCATTTACTGTGGCACTAAACAATGATCCCAGTCCAGCAGGAATGTAGCAAAGCCCAACCTGCAGGTCATTCAGGTGGTAGGTTGTCGCAAAATGCGCGGGAATTCCAGCCGTTATCGCGTAATAACTACCGAATACCAATCCATTGACGAGCAAAACCACACCAACTGGTAATTGAAAAATTAATTTTAGCGAGGACCATGGGCTGGGGACGGAAAATCTCCTGTCACTTCTTTGAAGTATAAAATTCTCCCGTCTCACATCGGGACACGATCGGGACGATCCCAAACAGTTCATTAAGGATCTATTCCATCCACCTGGAGGGATTGATCCGTCCCCTACAACATTGCGACATGTTTCTGGGAAGAAAAGAAGCCACGGGATGAAGAACACAGAGGAAAGGATGGCTAAAAACCAAAATATGGCCTGCCAGCCTAGGTATTGACTCAATAAGCCACCTGCAATTGGACCTAATGATGGAGCCAGTATATTGCTTAGTGATGCCAGTCCCATGTAGGTGCCACGTTCAGCAGCAGTGACAATATCGGCCGTCACAGCGGAAGCAAGGGCAACAGTACCACTACTACCACAGCTTTGCACAGCGCGGAGCAGTAGTAGCACGGAGAACCAATGCTGGAGTGCTAGGCATATATTTCCTGAAATATAGATAGCGAAACAGAATATATATGCTGGTCGACGCCCTGCCTGGTCGGCGAATGACCCAGTGAAAGTGGGAGCCAGGCCCTGGAAGATCTAAGACCAATAAATTATGAACGAACCTCGAGTGATGTATAGACTAGCGCACCATATATGTTGTTATAGTCAAATTAATTTGCGACGGGCTGACATTCAAGTCTTTGGCAATAGAGTTCAACGCTGGGAAGTAAATGTTGGCAGACAATGGCGAAAATGTCGCCGCCAGAGCGGCGGTTGCCACAATCAGACGCTTTTGAGTCTTCGTGAAGGCAGAATATGGTTTGGTCTGTGCATTGGGAGTCGGAAACAAAGGGGTTGTTTCGAGCGGTTCGTTATTGCTACTGGGTTCCGCTGGGTGGTTTTCTTGGTCGCCCATGTGGCTCTTACGGTTTCTATCTTGGGGGAAAAGAGGCGGACTTGATCAGTGATCAATTTTGAACAGAACCAGCTGAATGTAAAGTCTTTCATTTCGGGAAAAAGAGAAACAATCATTTCATCTCCACATATTGAATCCCAGCTGGGAGTTTTAAATCTTCGCCGAAATCTCCGTCTCCGCAGCCATGTTACCTGTATAAATATGCGAGGGCCGGATGAGTTTGCCCCGAGAAACTAAATATCATGAATTAGAAAAGTTCCCGGAGCTTCGGGACATTCAAGCCGTACCCCTATATTCTCGCCAATGTGCCATGATGCCCATAATTCGATGGGTGAACATAGCACCAGGGATCATGTCAGGTTCGAATCCTCTAGAATATACAAGCGTCAATCTTTCTAAACCAGCTCAGCTTAGGAAACCAATGATACGAACACGCCGGTGAACACGAAATTTCCATAAAAGTCCCCGTTTGGAAACAGGCGACGGGACAGGAAGTATTCATCCGGGGCCACCGCCTCCTCAATGACCTCGGTGATTTTCAACAAAGGATTTGATGTTTCCGGGAGGTCCTGAAGGATAGTTCGAATGGGCCGGACCCGGGGATCGATGCTCTTGTACTCCCGATGCCCGTATCCGAATAGTTTACGTTTCCCAGCTTTGACTTCTTCAAGAAAGGCCGGGATATTGACCGGGTCTCCGATCTCCTGAAGTGCACTCTGCGCAGACTCCGCAGCGCCAAAGTGAAGAGGGCCATGCGCCGCAGAAACAGCTGAGATCAGGCAGGAAATGGGATCCGTCAACGAAGACGATGTTACCAGCGCCGAAAAGACGGACAAGGCCATTCCATGATCTGCATTCAGCATTGCGAACCGGCGAAAACATGAAAGGAGAACTGGGTCAGGACGCGCCGTAGCTGAGTCCACCAAGTTCGCCATCTTGAAGAGGTTTTCATAGTATGTGAGATCTATATCCGGGGGTTGCCACATGGTGCCCGACCGGTGGCATCGGACGATCGCAAATACCACCGCATAGCTTGCGACCACCTGCAGAATGATTCGATCACCCTCGTCCGCACGGTCTTGATAGAGTGAGGGATCTGAAGAGATCCGGGTGACTTCCGGGACGGTGGCGAGATAGGCCGCCAGACCAGCAATGATCAATGGCAACGGGGCGGTCGTTTTCCTGGGACGAAACGCGAATTAGAGATCGCTTCCAGATATTTTGGCCTCCCAGCACGTATCCCAATGCCTACGGGAGATTTCGAATCGCCTGGTGAACAGCTGCGGGGATGTTCTGCATGTTCTGCGCCAGCGTCCGACTCAACTCCACTCGCTGCCGGTCTGTCGGGAGCGCGCCCCAGAGAAGCAGATGGAACATGTCTTCAAAGTCCTTTTCCCACATCTGCTCCAGGGTGTAACCACGAAATATCAACTCGCTCCGTTCATGATCGCTACATCGAAGCGTTAGCCCCTCAAGGCAATCTCGCATACTCTGGCCCGAGCTACTCACGAGAAACTGATCGCCGACTCTACGACAGCCGTATTCTGCAATCCCGGGTCGTAGACTCGCAAGCCCCGCGAGAGCTGATCGCCACGATGGGAGCCAGCGACTGGGGCACGAATGCGCTGTAGATCCAGCGCATGCACTGCATTGCGACGAATCGGAATGTCGTATTTAATGCCAGTGCGCAAGTCCTGCACCAATAGTGTACCAGCTGACATGGTCGTGTAGTTCTCGGGAGAATATTTCGAGGAAATGCTGGGAGTTCGCGATTAGATGGAAAGCTTTGATGGCGTGGAGGGAGTGTTTCGCCTGGTTCGATCGTAGTTCGATGGATAGCCACCGATGATAAATGTCGAGATTTCGGAGACTTGAAGGGGCTCGGAGTGCGGACAGCTTCGTGAGATCTCGCAACAGTGGCCGAAAAGGACCGCGAGATCTGTGTTACGCGAGAATGTCGCCGCATGGGCAGTCTACGGCTTGGCGCTGGTTTAAACAAAACGAAAGGGGAAAAAAGGAAAAGCATGTAAGATCGTATTGAGCTAGCTAGATATCTGGGTGCTCATGGAAATCACCATGTCACCATTTCGTGTCGTGTATCATTATCACTCGTTAAAAAAAAGAAGCCTTGGACCCATAAGAAAGAAAAGAGAAAGAGAAGTAAGGGAAAACAAAAGAGAGACTTGAGTTCAGAGTCCTCTTTCTATGTTCCATTTTCTTTTTTTTTCCCAGTTCCCATTCTTTTCGTGCAAGAAGACAAGCGGAAATTGACTAGGACGGGGGCATGTGCTCGAAGGGGTGAGCGAGCGACTCCTGGCAGAAGGGAAGCTTGCCGACAGTCCAGATCTCAGTGTCCTGTGATGAATTAGCGATGTTCAGTGAATCGATTCCAAGCTCCGAGCCTTGTTGTATTGCGAGTCCGAGCTACATACTGGCTTCAGGTTCTTCTTGATCTCGCTGTCCAGAGTGCCGGCCTTCAGAGCAATGATCGGAGGGGCCGCCTCGGGGTCGTGTGCGATAGGCGAGCCACACTCAGAGCAGAAGATGCGGTGCACGGCCATACCGGAGCTACCCTGACCCGCGTAGCTCTTGACGGGGCCGGAGATGGACAGCTTGTCCTTCAACACAACGGCGACCAGAGCTAAAAAGGAGGGAGTCAGCCATTGAATGCTTTCAGACACAAATTAGAGACCAGCGAGATCAAACTGGGGGCACTGACAGTAGGTAGAACCAGTCTGACGCTGGCAATCATCGCAGTGGTCGTAGGCGGTGACGAGGGGCTCCTCCTGGTCAACGGTGTACGTGACGGCCTTGCAAAGGCAGTGGCCAGTGAGAGGCATGGTGGCGGGACGTAAAAGTGGGATAACCGGGGTAAATTGACTTTGATTCTCGCAAGGTGCTCGCCGAAAGGCAATTCGGGTTGTTCAAGGTGGGGGAGTCGAGGACCTTTGGAGAAGTGGAAGAGAGAACCTTGGGAGCTGCGGGAGCTGAAGGTATTTAAAGGCACGGGATTTGTCAGGCTGCACGTTGCTTTGAGTGCCGCTTTTTCTAACCCCTTCGATTCCGGCTGGGCCTCTGATCTAGTCTTTGGACGATGTGACTAGTCGGGAATATGGAGTTGAGATGGGTCACTGTCATAGGCTTCGCGGTTCGAGTGGACTCAATGATACTGAGGGATGTTTAATATGTGGACCCGGTTGGTTCGTGGCTCTGCACAATGCATACGATCTACGTTTCTCTTTACGTGTTTTTTTTAATTTGATAAGTATTTGGATTTATCCCTCCTCGGCTAATGAAACTATGCATTAAGTCTAGTGGATTCCATGGTTCTTTCTGATTAATGGTAGCTCTGTGCTCGCATGCAAGAGTCCGAATCGAAAACTATAGACCCGGCAAAGCAGCGATCGGTCAGGGAAATACACCCACGACCGCGGCTCCTTGGATGAGATCCAGGACAGCACCTGGACTGATAATAGCTGGAGAAATGGACGACGGGGACTCGGGGACTCGGGGATTCGGGACTATGTACATTGATCTCTCTCGCAGTGGGGGAGGGGGTTTATGCTTGACCGTGCTTTGACACCGTGCTTAGTCCACGCTGTCATTTATGCCAATCTGTCAGGTCCTCAGGGACGAAAGGACTATGGCACCAGAAGGCACAGACGGATGGGAATCCCGGTGGGCTCTGGTAGCTCACGTCTTAGTCTGACAACCCGACAATCCGATATCTGTCCCACTGTCCAGTGATGGTGCGTATAGATATCCAACAGCCCATCTGACAGGAAAATTGGTGTGTGCTCCGTACTTTGTATACTTCAGGGATCACGGCCCCGCGCATGACATCATCCAACCGCAATTCCAAATTCCGCATGACAAATTCTGGAGCCCCGCTGATGGGCTGAAAAGACTAGAAAATAGGCGGGCAGCACAAATGGGAACAGGACATGGACTGAACGCTAGCGCGGCACGGAGAAAACCTGGTGGTGGGAGACTGTCCGATTTTCCAGACGACGGCGAGGATGCCTATTTGGTCGCTGTGAAAAGGACAGTGAATCCAAGTCCATCGGTTCTTCGGGCTCCTAGAGCTTCGGGCCTCGATGATGCCCGGTCCCAAGGGGTTCCAAGGGGTGGGGAGAGACATCCACAGGCCTCTCGGAGTCCAGAGAGGGTCAAAATCCCCCAGCCACCGCCAGCCGCGCCACTAACTCCTGGTGCGCCTGCGTGAGCGTCCGCCGTACAAAACCGGTCATGCCCCAGGGACACCGCAGATCCACCTGCTCCTGCAAGAACAATCCGCCTTCGGGATCGCCCTGCCCCTCCTGTGCTTCCTGCCCCTCCTCTGCTTCCTGCCCCTCCTGCCCCTCCAGCTGGAATTCTGGCGAACGTGGCTGTTCTGGGTGTTGCACGGCTGGGGGATCCTTCTTCTCCGACCGACGGACCACGCTCCAGTAGTTGCGGATGTTCACCCCCATTGGCGCATAGATGTGCGTCCGGAGCCCCTGTGGAGTGTCGTGGAAACAGGCCCGATAGCGCACCTTACCCTGGAGCAGGCCCCACGGCAGGATGGCGATCCGGTCGGTCAGCTCGTACCAGATCGCATCTGCTTCGTCAGGCGGGGCATCGGCAGGGGGCGCGCACCGCTCGTAGTGGATGACCAAGGGATTCTGTTCGATCATCGCACCGTGATTATGCAGCGTGTGCACCACGGATTCCGTGGAGGATGTCGCCAGGGGGGTACATCTGGCGAGCGTCGTCCGAGTTTGCATCCTGGCCAACCTGGGAGACCCGAAAGATTGGATGGGGGGAAGTGGAAGATGCAGTGAGATTCCGGGGGCGATTCGGGATATGGAATATGCACGAGACGCGCGCGCAGGGAGGGGGTGGAGAGAACGAGGCTCGGACAGAATGGAATGGAAGACTAGACAAAAATGGGGACTTGCGGAAGGTGGTGAGCTCGAACAGGGAGAACATGGGAGTCGTCGAATGCGAAGCGCCAGCGGTTCGACGTGATGCGTTGGGGGCCGTCGGGGAGCAGCCGGGCCTCGGGCTTCATGGTTGATCATCCAGCCGGGGACCGGTGAACGAACTATTGGGCTCTTGGGTGCTTGGAGTGTCTTAGCGTCTTTCGATTTGAGTTGTTGACTATTTGACCCGATGCTATATTTGCATAAACTTCCTAGTACTCCGTACTCTGTGCTCTTAATTTGAGTGGACACTTCGACTAGCCTGGCATGATTCGTTCCCAGCCGACCGGATCGCATCCAGCATCCCCCACTTCGAGGCTGCGCACCAGGAAAGGTAGAACAAATCAAATCATCCTGCAGAAAGCCCAGAACAGCTATAATGAGACTAGGTCAACTCGGCATTTGGATTGCGCGTGCGATTGGCAGGGCAGTCGCTTTGATTCCCTCGATCTGGGACGAAGGACGAAAAACGCTTCCTTTGACAGACCGCATATACTTGTATACCCCGTTATACGGATTCCTCGCACTCGGCTCCTGCAGATGGCCCATCAACACAGACAATCGCGGCCAGGTCGGGGGAGATGCAGCATCCTACATGGGTGGACATCAATCTTAGAGGGTTATATACGTATATTCATTGTGGTGTATGCACAATTCCTTGCTAAACACACCAGGTCCACCATTTGGTTAGTCCCGTTTCATTTTGTATGGGCGGCCTGCTTCCTTCGATTTATACAGTACTCGGTAAAACTCACGTCTCTTCTCGGGTCGCTCCCCTCAGAGACTGGCTTTTCGGGCATGCTCAATCTGATCCGCGGCACTCTACAACGAACGGGAAGATGGTCAGTTTCCGAGCATCATATCCAGTGCCCGTTCCGTCTCGAAGACGCAGGTCAGATCACGTACCTGCATCTGCGCTGCCATTCCCTCGCTCGGAATCTGTCCACCGTAGAACATACTCTCCACTCGTTGCGCTTCACGGGCATCATCCTTGGTCACATAGGCCGGAAAGTTGACCGTCGCCGGAGGCATCCCCAAAACCTCGTTGCGGGTGGCAATTGAACGGACTTGGGCAGACACTGATCCAATGCCGGGTGGTTTGTTGAAAGCGCGGCCCTGGAAACACAGCATAGCAAGGCAAGGGCAAGGTTAGCAATGGTCGACATAGTTATATAGCAGATGCGAGCAGATCATAGCATAGCGTGTCGCATAGCCCAGAATGGTAAAAAAAGTTTATGCATGCCTCGTCTCCTACGCACTAGATGCACAACTGCTGCTCATCTATGCTGCCTGAAAGAGTCACGGTCATACCTCAATGGCTCGAAGATCTCGTGCATCGTCCTGCGTGATGTGGCTCTGGGGCTTGCGGGAAACCTGGTCGATCTTGCTATCGAAATTCATCTGTCGCATGGCGATGCTCTGGGCCGTCGCTGCAGTCTATTAGCGTCATGTCCAATCAATAGGCCATAGTCAGTTCTCCTACTCCCACCCTAGAATCGTGGGAGCTGCCGGCAGTGCCAGCAGGAGAAAGTATAAACGTACCCGCTGGTCCACCCCGGACCGGCCCGCGTCCAGTCAATTCATTCTCGGCCTGGGAGATCCGGGACACGTCTTCCGCGGTGATGCGTTGCCCACATTCTGCGGCTTGTTTCAGCTCAGCAACCGAGGGCAGATCGACCTCCATGATGGTCCGGATTCTAACAGATTCGAGAGGTCTGTGAATTTCACCGTATGTCTAGTGGGCGACGTCTAACTATGTGGACCTTGTGTGCGTGCCATATATAACAACTCATGGGCGACTGTGATGTCACCATGAAGGCATGTCTAGATCGCCTCGCGCCGCTGTGGTGGCGTTGCCACAGGCCTCGGTCTCAAGCGAGCGAAATCTACCATCACTGTCATCGTCGAGCGGCTGAGATAGGAGATTTAAGGAGCGATTCGGTCTTCCAATTGGGGACGTTATGCTGATTGTTCTTGAGATTTTCCCGGAAGTACGAAGCACTCACAATAGATTCATCGTAATAGTCTTAGCAGGGTATTGCCTAATATTGAAAGTTCTTCGCAGCGAGGACGGAGAGTGATCATTAGGAAGAATAGGAAATAGGCATCTCATCAAACAAGGCTTATAGAGTGTAGTCCTGAAGGTGGCAAAGATCTGCGTCGTATGCATACCGAGGACTCGATACCGAACTAGGGCACCTTTTTTCTCCATCTCGCTAATTTCGCTGCGCGCAAGAACAAGATGAGAGTTAGGGGAGGGATTAATATCTACATATAGAAACAGACATTGACGGGCATTCACCCCCTTCTACAAAGAAAGGCGAAAAAGTACAAGATACGTGACTTGGTAGTCACTACAGCTGTTCGTGTAGGGAGTCTCAGCTACTTTCTCCACCTCCCGCGATCAGATAGCATATAGCTCAAGACCCGAAGAGCAAGCTTTCTCGGTTCACTCTCCGAGGCGGCTGACCGGGTGCGGCTGCATTTGCATCATGACAAATGCGACCAGGATGACCACCCTCCCTGGGTGGCCCTCATGCGTCTTGAACCGCGGTGCAGCTAACCGGCCAGCACTGGAATCTACGACCCTGGGGCGACGGCCTCGGCCACAGTCCTCACACGATGACACCATTGCACACGCCCAAGGGATGCAGTGGAGACGCAATTCGACCAAACTGGCGGGGCAATAGTCTCTCTCGCCTTCGCGCTACATGGTTACACGATGGGCTCGGTCGAGTGGCCCTTTTGATAACAAGCCTCCCTCGACTCCGTAGCACGCAGTCCCTGCCGTGCTCCAACCACTAGGGGTAGATGCACCCTTATGTGTATACCGTGTCCCCGTGTTGCCAGTTGGTAGGACGGTCATCCTCTGTGCGAGGCCTCGGGAGGAACGGGTTGCTGGTTGCCGCCGACAAGAAGTCTCAATGCGAGAGGGATGAGGGAGAAAGTATTCCGATCGGGTACCGTATGTCATGTCAGGTCAGTTCGGACATGAAACTGTTTTTTTCAAAAAGGTTGTTCTTGTTTCTTGAAATTTTTCGTGGAAATGCCTCAAAAGAGGTACTCGGTGCGCCTGTAGTGAATATGATCGCAAGTATAACCAGTGTAGAAAAGATGATACGGGGCCCGACTAGGTTTATACTTCGGTCTCCTCCCCGGCCAGGCCGGTGCCGGATTGCACCGATGCCTTTCTATGCCGGTTCCGGGGTGATTGGCAGGCGGTAAACAGAAACCGTGAGCCACCAAGAAAAGAGTAGATCCGCGATCCGAAGAACAGAGACAAGAAGTCGGCGCAAGGGAACTGAAACAGGATATGAGACGAGTACTAACCACAGTAATATTCATTTATGTTCAAATCTTGAACTTCTTCAAGTCGAACTTAGCCTAAGCAACCTGCCTTAGTACTCAAAGAGTTAGTCAGAATGGCGGCTTGGGTCCCTGTGGGACGCTGTATATTCTATGTTCCCGGTCCGGATCGCCCAGTCCGTTTTGCCCGTCGAGCTCCTTCATCTCGTTTAAGCAAATCTATACAATCTCTCCTCTCATTCGCCGGCTCGGTTTTGTCAGTCGACTACACGTTCTTAGGGCCTATATCCTAGATCTTTTTGCCCGGAATAATCGGCTAGGCTAGCTCGGATAGCTCTCCGGCGATTGTGATCCATGGCCACGTAAGGACCACTTTGACAATACCCAAGTGATCTACTGACATGCCCATAGACCTTTGAAAAAAGGGAAGAAGGCATGTACCGAGTGCCGTCAGCAAAAGGTAGGCCACTATCTGAGGCCGGCAAGAAAAGAGGCATTCAGCCGTTCGAACTCTATGACTAACCGGTTCAGGCCAAATGCGATGTCTATCTGAATCCCGAGCAGCCCTGTTCCCGATGTCGCAAGGTCAAGGCTAACTGTGTCATTTCTGACCCCTTCAAGAGAGAGCACAAGCGCAAGTATGCAGATAATATGTCATCTAAATCTCCTTCCCCCCAACGTGACAAACGCTGATGCGCTCATCTGTGCGCTAGACGTCTCTCGGAGCTGGAACGGGAATCCGAGGACCTGCGACGAAAGCTTCGAGCCTCCTACCCGGCAGAGCCCCATCCATCGCCGATCGCACTTCTGACGGCGGCGGCGGAGATGGGTGTGCGATCTGGTCCGGGAAGTGACTCAATTTCCACCTCGTCGCAGGTTGCCCCAGATTCCTATCCACCGCAACTGCTGGCCCCGAACAACCTGGACCATGCAACCCCGGTACCGGCCCTAAATGGGGTTGATACGACTAAGCCCCGAGAGTTGAACAGGGTACATGTCCAGGCTGCGGAAATAGATGACTTATATCAATTGCATGTTGGAGATATCCCCCGTTGAGATCAAGATCCCAGAGCTGACATCAAAGCTCCAGATTCTTTCGTCACTATTCTCAATTCCTCCCCATCCTGGATCCACAGACCCGGCCTAATGCCTATTATGCTCAGTCTCCCTTCCTATTCTGGGCTGTTATCGCTGTGGGATGTCGTGCCTACCCTCGTAACCCCACGTTGTTGATGGCATTGGCTCGGAGTGTAATAGAGATGGCATTCCTTTCAGCTCTTTCGACATCACCACCGTGGCATACCATTCAAGGCTTGCTGTTGCTTCTAACTTGGCCGTTCCCTAAGGGAGATCATCCCGATGTGACATTCCCGCTCAGCGGTATGCTTCTTCACATCGCCATGCAAAATGGCTTGCACATCCCCATGTCAAGCCATGAATTTTCCCGAGTGAAGCTCTCGGTGCCGTCGGAAGCTGATTTACTTCGCCGATCCGAGCTATGGGCCCATTGCGTCATTATGTATCAAAGGTTAGTTCTCCGTGGGAGAGGCTACTTGAAGGGTTTCGGCTGCTCATGCCTGCACGCAGAGTTTGTGTCCTGAAAGGACAATTGCCGCGAGCGCTCATGAGCCACGGTCAAGACCCAACGCATCGACAGGTACTTATCGACAAAATTGCCCCGTGGATGGCACTCAAAATCAGATGCCAGGAGGTGATCGCGAGGTGCAGTGAAGCAGTTATGGAGAACGGCATGCGTTCAATGTCCTTGGATCAGGAACGAGCCCTGGATATTCTACTTCGCACATATGAAGGCCAGGTAGATGACCTGGAGCTACAAGCCGTGACTGGTATGTATATTCTGCTATCTTTATCAGCGCGACTCACGTGCTTTTCTGTTTCCGTCCCTATTTCTATCTTGTTATTATTTGTCAAATTTCCAGCTAATTATATACTGCCATAGATGATGAGAGATTTGATACAGGTCTTTGTCGGATGGCTATCCAAAGCTTCCATTTTTACAAGATCCAGACCCTTGTGACAAGCGCCTGTTATCCTCGGATTCTAGTGACTGCTTGTAGCTTGATTGACTATGTTCAGTCTCTGTCAGAGCGCCTCGGCAGCGTATCTATGGCTCCGATTCACATTGGCTTCGCGTTACTTCTCGCATCAACATCCTTGCTCCGCATTCTCAAGAGCAATGCCGCTTCGCAGGGACTTGAAACTGAGCGCGCTCGTACCTCTTTTTTTACCGCAATTAACCTGGCGAAGCTGATGTCTATTGATAGCGCTGACATGGCAGCGAAAACGGTCATTGTCCTGAATTCTCTATGGAACAGCAGCAAAGCGTTCCGCAAAGCCGATGGAACCGAATACTCGGTATTGCGCATTCGTAGTCGACTAGTGCTGAGTCCGATTCTTGACACTGTCTGGTGGTGGCGAGACGAGTTTGATCCACAAGCACGGGCTGTGAGATCAGCCCTGGAACCTACTGAAGGCGTGGTGTACAACCGCTCTCGTTATCTCCCGGGGGGGGATAGCGGTGCCGGGCTTGGCATGGACGTCGGTCGTGATGTGACTGGTGCTGGGCCGGCTTCATGGAAGCCCACTCCTGACCAGACGGCATTCCGACTTGATGAGCAATTCTTGGCAGATTTTGAATGGGCCTTAGGGGATGACGCGCTGTTCTCATTGGATCCCGTTCCTACCAGCTGGTCATCAACAACAAACCTGCTCTAGGAACAGACATTGACAGACCCAATTACAAGGCGATTGGGTATCTGAACACAAAACTCGAGACCCCGGAGCCGGATCATTCCTTCCCTGTCACTTACTACATCCTCCATATACTATCCCCTGTGGAGATCCGACGGACATAGGGCTCAGATACTTGGGGCGTTGGTGTGGCACCCCAGATCTACCACGATTTCTGTTCTTTTCCGATAGTGCCGAATCTTGGCAAAAATGAGGCGACTGGACAAATTGAGAACGGGCCTCCATCTCAAAATGGAAAATACACTTGCGCCGGGTCCAAGTTGCCTGGGATAACCGCGCACCTGCTTCATTCGTTTAGATTGGACCACCAAGGAGGTGAGACCCTGCATATGGCCAAGAAGCGAATAAGCAAAAGGAATTGTCAGGTACCTATGTCTGTCCAATAACCAGTATCATGTCAGCAACTGGGTCTTGGATGTCTCAGATCCCCAGTTTTACGCCACTCAGCCCGGACCAGGACGGTTCTGATATCGGCGGAATCATAGAATTTCGGGCCTAAAGCACGATGCAGTTGAAGCAGGGACCTGAGCACATGGCATGGATTATACAAAGCATGAACTATCACCAACTACAGGAAGGAGATGAGCTGGCCAGAACTATACAGTAAACTCCCTGGCGAGTGAATTTTAATAGCTAATCTGAAACCTTGCGAGCAATAAACAATTCAATGAATTCGCAGATTTCAGAAAGGAGGATATTTATCTGTATCACGTTGCTTAAGGAATTGAGCATCGCCCTTGTTGCTGTCTCTCGTCTCTTATGTTTTGGCGCAGGTTGAATCGAGCGGTCGGACCAGCATCTCCACTTGACACCTTTCCTTCTCCCACCAAAAGCCTTCTAACCACTCAATCCCTACGGCCTCTCAGCTCTTTCAGTTTAGCAACTACTACAAGGATCTGAGACCATGCTGTTCCAAAGCATTGGGCCCTCTCCATCGTGGGATCCCACTTTCCCTCTTTTGACCTCCGGGTTGCAACCGGACCCCGACGCCCGCCAATGAAACCAGCCCCCAAGGCCCTGGTCCTCTAACGCTCCTGCAGTTTTCGAGAGTTCATAGACTTCATGTCGGGTGACCAACAGCAATTTGCAATTTCAATTCTCTGGTATCTCGTCTCGGAACTTCCGTTGCCAGCCGTGGGAATCCCAATTCCCCGCATTTTCCGGGCGGGTCGATCGTGGCCGCGTTGTCCCCCGTTCTCGCCCTTCTCATAGGGCGGGTCCCGAGTTTCCCCCGTGCTTTAAGTAACGATCAGCAGGGAGAAAGGGAGAGATTCGAATCTTGCCTTCTGAGGGTACCGGCAGAATAGCAACAACTTGGGGACTGTCGCAACTCGTTTCTCCGAGCGCGCGACAGCCATGAAGTGTCCTTCCGTCAGTCCTCCGGATGAGAGCATGGAATGGCATGATCTCCATCCTGTCTCGTTTGCCTCTCCTCTCTCGGCGTGGTCTGCGCTGGAATGGGCTGCATTCTTTATCAGCGCGCTACGACACCCCGACAATCCAATGAAATCTCGAAGATCTTTTGCCTCTTTGCCCCCACTCCCCCTTCATGGCCTCGGCTGTTCACATCCTGCCCGTGCATTTACATTTCTCAAGATTTCTCAAGAGCCGACGGAAGGGCGGCCCAAATGAACGTGGCACGCGGATTCAAAACGCGCCTTCCAGCCCAGTGACAGACTAGTTTAACGTGTGGCTGTCAAGTCCGCCAACCAACGAAGAAAGCTGAGACTGAATCCCGCTAACAGGGTAAGGGCGGCGCTAATGGCCATGTCCCCCTCGCCCAAGACCCGCCCAGCCCGTCTGCACTGGCTTATCTCCAACAAGCTCGTTCCACCAAGCTTCCCCGTTGGTGAACAGGCTCCTGATATAGTTCGGCGTGGTCCATGCCAAGCACGTTATCAATGTCTGTCGCCTCGTCCACCGTCTGATTTGTTGCCAACCAGATTGTGACGGGGCCAGCTTTCCCGGTCACGACCTGATTCCCGCTCTGCACTCGGTGATTTCCTGTGCAACCCCGATCCAGCCCGTTCGCGTGGCGAATGTGTAGGTGTAGAAGGAGACGCAATGGTGGCTGCGTTCCCCAGCCCTGCATCGCTTCGGCTCGCTTCTGTCCGCTATCCGGGATAAATTCATGACCGCGGCTTTGCAAAGGGCCTTAGTTTCGCAAGGTCTGGCGGACTGCCAAGCCACCGGGGGCCCCCCCAGATTACCGCTACCAGCTGCCCTGTTCGCTAGGGCTAGTTTCGGTCCGGTCATAACAAAGTATGTACTGACCCCAGGTAGCATCCGCCACCAGCTGAACAAGGGGATTTGGGGGCTTACCCGCATTCGGCGCCATTGACTGGCTCCGTGGGCAAATACATTCATGTAATGAGAGAGTGGGAAAAAGCAACAAAAGGTGGAAAAATCAGACATAAAATCGCTGGTCTCTATGACAAATTCGTGATTATCCCTGATCATTGCTGACCATTCTGGTGCAACATCGGGGACATCCCAGCTATCAGTATCAGCGCCTATCGCGACGCTTTTTTCTAGTTTCTTACTTCAACAAGTATTCTGTGCGATATTCTACCACGTTTCTGTGCACGCTAGATCTCCACTAAATCCTACTAACCGGCCCTAAACTAGTCGCTGTCGCCAGAACTACAGGCGGCTTTCACTTGGTTGGCCCGGTTGCTGTGGTCGAATTGATGCACCTGCCTCTTACTTGCCCCAGCCCCCGTCACTTCCCCTCCTCGCCGCCTGCTTCATCCTCGAATCATCTCTCCCTTCCCCCCCTCTCTTTACCTTCCTTCCGTCGGTGCGTTTAACCCCAGCCGGGACCAGTGGGGTTACATCCACTTTAAAGATTGTGGTCTCAGATATCGTCGGTCTCGTTTAGGCGATAAGGCGGACGCCCGTCGGACTGTTGTTGCCAAGGGCATCGCTGGCGCCATAAAACACATTCAGTCGCCTTAACTCAAGCCTTTTCCCCCTTCTCTTCTCTTTCTTCTCTCATCTCCCTCTCTTGCTTCATGCTTGATTGAGCCCTTGGTTTCAGTCCCGATCTGAGATCCACTGCTTCTCAACCATGGAGAAGACCGATCCTAGTATCGCCGTGACCACCGGCGCCGCGGTTGATGAGACGGCCCCAGATGAGATGATCCATAGGCTGCGCAACCTGAAGGCGCACCATCACTGGGATCCCAACCTACCTGACGATGTGGCGGAAGAGGTAGAAGAGGCGTTGCACACCACGGATAAGGGTGCTCAGGTGGAAATTGCCCATGAGCTGCTGGACAACTCCCCATACCCTGAGGTTCGCGCCGCCGTCCCGAATATCGACGAGGGAGGGCATAGCAACACCATTCGGGCGTGGACTATTGGGTTGCTCTTTGCAACCATTGGTTCTGGCCTCAACATGCTGTTTTCCATGCGTCAACCCTACATCGTCATTCCATCTTATATCGCCCAGGTCGTTGCCTATCCAGTGGGTAAGGCTTGGGAGCGATTCATGCCCAGCAAGAAGTTCAAGTTCTTCGGCATTGATTGTAATCTGAACCCCGGTGTCTTCAGCAAAAAAGAGCATGCGCTAGTGGTCATCATGGCAAACGCCACATTCGGTGGTGGCGCCGCTTACGCGACAGATGTTCTATTGGCGCAGCGTGCCTTCTACGGTCAAAACTTCGGATGGGGTTTCGAGATCCTTATGTGCATCTCCACACAGATGTTGGGCTTTGGTATTGCGGGTTTCTTCACCAAGTTCCTGGTGCAGCCCGCGGCCATGATCTGGCCCTCGACTTTGATCAATACTGCCCTTTTCTCTGCGCTGCATGACCACTCCAAGCCAGACCCCCGAAAGACCTCGGGTTGGAAAATTGGTCGGTATCGCCTCTTCCTGTACACAATGCTCGCGTCCTTCTTCTGGTACTGGTTCCCTGGTTATATTGCTCCGTTCCTGAGCGTTTTTGCCTGGGTGACTTGGATCAAGCCGAATAACGTGATTGTAAACCAACTATTTGGCGGATGGACCGGTCTGTCCCTCATTCCAATGACCTTTGACTGGACCCAGATCTCGGGTTTCAACTTCAGTCCCCTGATTGCACCATGGTACGCCATGGCAAATACAATGATTGGCATGGTGATCTTCTTCTGGATTGTGACTCCAGCTCTCCACTATAGTGGCATGTTTTACTTCAAGTATCTGCCAATCAGTGACTCGGACAGCTACGACAACACTGGTGGCGCGTACAACGTGTCCAAGATTCTTACACCCGAGTTCACATTTGACGCCCAGAAGTACTCCGAATATTCGCCGCTATTCCTATCCACTACATTCGCCCTGTGTTACGGACTGTCATTCGCAGGTATCATTTCTGTCATTCTCCACACCGGTCTCTTCCATGGCTCGGATTTGTGGACCCGATTCCGCAGTGTTGGTGATGAGGACGAGGACGTGCACAATCGATTGATGTCGCGTTTCAAGAAAGTTCCGATCTGGTGGTACGGTGTAGTGACCCTGGTCATGATTGGGATTGCGCTGGGTGTGTCCCTTGGTTATCCAACTCACTTGAGCTGGTGGGCCTTTTTCATTGCACTGATCATTGCTGTCGTGTGGTTCATCCCTCTGGGAATTGTCAAGGCGTCGACCAACATCGATATTGGACTGAATGTCTTGACCGAATTCATTATCGGTTACATGCAACCTGGCAAGCCCATGGCAATGATGCTGTTCAAGACCTATGGGTACATGAGTATGTACCAGGGAATGTACTTCTCTCAGGATTTGAAGCTCGGTATGTTTTATTTGGAATCTCTGCTTATTTTTCCCTTGGCGTGTTGTTCAATATACACTGACTGTGATGTTCAGGACATTATATGAAGATCCCGCCGCGTGTGACCTTTGCTGCGCAAATGGTTGCTGGTGTTTGGTCTTCCATCGTGCAAATCGCTGTCATGAATTGGGCGCTGGGTGCTATTTCAAATGTCTGCGATCAACACCAGGTCAACCACTATTCCTGTCCCAATGGACGAGTCTTTTTCAATGCCTCTGTCATCTGGGGTGTCATTGGCCCTGCTCGCATTTTCTCCGTTGGCCAGATGTACTCGCCCATGCTCTTCTTCTGGATCGCCGGTGCTGTCCTCCCCTTCGTCATCTACTTTGGTGCTCGTGCCTTCCCCCGCAGCCCCATCCGGTACTTAAGTGCTCCGTTGATTTTTAGTGGATCTGGTTTGATCCCCCCGGCCACCCCTCTTAACTACCTCAGCTGGGGCATTGTCGGCTTCATCTTCAACAAATTCATCCGTGACCGCTGGCGCGGCTGGTGGATGCAGTATAACTACGTTCTATCCGCAGGCCTGGACGTCGGTCTTGCCCTGTGCACTATCCTAATCTTCCTCACTCTCAACCTGACTGGGACCGATTTCCCTACCTGGTGGGGTACCTCAATTGCCTCCAACACCATGGATGCCTCCGATACCGCGATCCAGGTTGTTCTTCCCGAAGGCCAGAAGTTCGGCCCCACATCATGGTAATCAACCCACTTCGTTTCTGAGATTCCATCATTTTTAAGTGGAAGGAAGCTGGAATATATTGGAACATGGGCTCGGTGGTAGACCGGGCTCGGTGGCGGTCATTTCATTCAATGCATATTTACGTGCAACGTGATGATGATTGATTGGATTGCCTCACTCTCGCTTGAGTAGGTATCCTAATTAATGTGTTTCTTCCAAATATTTAATTCAATTGAACTCCATGATTACCAAACAAAAAAATACCCCTGGCTCATGACTTACTTTCATAAATCGGCTAAAAATGGTCGGGTTTCCACTCTATATCGATGGGAGACCATTGTAGGATTTGATGGAACTGATGGCGGTCCAAGAAGATGAACACCTCGCAACGATCTTACACACTTCTATCTCAAGGGTATAGGAATAGATAGTCCATGCTTAAACGTAGTACGGAGGAGCTATTTGATTCAAGGTAGCGACTAAACTCGCTATTCCTAATACTTCGCCAACGAAGGCTAATTATCGAATCCAGAGACTATAAGCTATGAGTTTTGCATATGCATTCTTTTCACGCAGGTATTGGAAGACAAGAAAAAGACTGTGTTTAACAGAATTGAAATGGTTGAAATGGTTGAAATGGCATCATATATACATGGTCAATTTACGCTCACTCTCAAATCATGATCAGAGCGAAGCGGGTATTCACAGAAAGAAAAAATTGGAAATTTCATCAGCGGCCGTGAAGAACCTCTCAAAGAGAGCTGCGCTACGCCGCGATCACATCGAATATCACTATCACATTTCGAGTACGAGCACGCAGGTACGAGAACCCCAAGTGTTTCGATGTGGCTCGGCTCATGGAGATGTTTATTTAAGCGCGGTTGCGGCGGCGGCGCATGCCGACCTGCAGACCGAGGGGCTTGCGCAGGAAACCCTCGCGGGTCTCCATTGGGCCATCCTGCTCGATCTGGAACTCGAAGAGGCGGAAAACAGTAGCGCCCATGACGAGAAGCTCCATCTCGGCGACGTTGCGACCAACACAGGCGCGTGGCCCGTGGCTGAAGGGGATGAAAGCGGCCTTCTGGCGAGGAGTGAGACGCTCGGGGCTCCAGCGCTCCGGGTCGAACTCTTCGGCGTTAGGACCCCAGATCTCCTTGGACCGGTGGATGGTGTAGCTGGGCACGGAAAGAACGTCGCCGGGTCCGAAGACGTGGCCGGAGATGGTGACGGGGTCGGCACCAGCGGGGATTTCGCGGGGAAGACCCATGGCGGAGGTACTGTGGATACGCATGGTCTCCCAGATGACCCACTGGAGGTAGCTGATATCCTTGACCATTGCGTGAGTGGGAACATCGATATCCTTAGGGATGGCATCGTCCAAAGTCTTCTGGAGCTTGGCAATGACGCCAGGGGTGCGCTGGCACCAATACAGGATGGCACAGGCAGTGTTTGAGGTAGTATCGGAGCCGGCAATCAGTTGGGTAAGAGCCTCGGCGGTAAGCTCCTCACGACCAAGCTTGTTGCCATTCTGGTCCTTGCCCTCCATCAGACGGGCGAGCAGATCGACACGGGTGTTGTTGGCCATGACCTCGGGCTTGAGACGCTCGTTGACTCGCGCAATGGCAATACCAGCCAGATTCTCGACAGCCTCGATACCCTCGGTGAAGAAACGGTCGGGGAAGTACTTGGCAAAGGGCTTCAAAGCGGGCAGGCAGCCGAGAGTGGCGGAGACTTCGCCACGACGGTTGAGGACCTCAACAGCAGCAACATACTTGGCCGGGTCATTGGGGCTCTTGCGCATCTCGGCAATATCCTCGCCCTTCTCCAACATGCCGAAGGGGGCGCCAAAAGCCAGGTCACCGATGATATCAAAGGCCAGATAGTTAAACCAGTTGAGAGCGTCGAGGCTAGCATATCCAGTCTTCGGGTTGGCCTGAAGATCAGACATCTTGTTCCACTGCTTGACAAACAACTCAATGTTACCGTGGATGTACTGTTCAAACTGGCCGATGGACTTTGCGCTGAAGGTGTGCGACACGGTCTTGCGCTTGCGGGTGTGCTCGGCACGGTCGCGGGTGTTGAAGAGACCACGGCGAATTGAGACGAAGGCATCATAGAAGTCACTGATCACAATCCAGTTAGCATTATATTTCGGAGAATTGATTGGACAGTGCATTGGGGAAAGGACACATACGCCTTCAAGAATCCATTGCCGTGTCCGTAGACAGCTTGGATAGCGGCATCGTCGGCAATCGAGACGTGGCGAGGGGCAATGCGCACCAGCTTGCCGTACTTCTTGTGAGCCTGGTCAACCGACACATAGCGTTTACCTTGGCGGGCTTGTAGCAGCAGCCACAGGTTGGTGAAGGCCGCTAGACTGGGGCTAGGGATATCGCGCAGCCGCGACCGCTGCAGGTACGGAACCAGGTAGTAGGCGACCGCCAGACCCAGCAGGATCCAGGGGGCATTTTCCAGCGAGATCAGCATGATGAGGAAGTTATGGAGCGGAAATGTAATGCACGAAAGGGTGCCAAGAAATAGCGTGAAAGAGAAAAAAATGGCGACGAAACCGCAGTGGGAAAGACACCGGCGATCACCAACCAGAAGGCGGGGAAGCAGTGAGGTCAGCGACCAACGAAGGACCGTAACTGGAGGCGACGAAGTCCTGTTCGAAGCTCTTGGTCGAAAAGTTCAAGTTGAATCGGCTAAGGTGGAAAAATGAAAGGCTGAAGGATCAGTCCATAATGCACGACTGACATTCAAGCACTGCTCGTATTTATGGGCGACAGATCGGTGAGGCGCCTGAGCATCATCCCCGAGGTCTAACCGGCGAACGGGAACGTAAATCGGTATCTGGGGATGCGCCGCAAGTGGAGCCGTGTCGCTCATACTGCCGTTAAGGGCGCCCGAATCACCGCTTATTCGGTTATTCCCCCAGCGACCGAGCAATCAGAGGATCCATATTTGCGAACCAGCAAACCCGACCGCTGACTGATGCACGATCCGTGGCCGTTGATTTGCTCACGAAAGCACACAGGGTCAAAAACCGCCCCCGGTGGAGGAACGTTGTGGGGGAAGGGGATACACGTGACTGGAGCCAAGGTCGATTTGGCGTGTACATCGATGGATGACGAGAACCGTATAATCGTGGACGATCTTGGATAGCATAGATGACGGGAGTAATAGAGGATCTCATTGAAATGGTCGAGAGTCCCAGGCTCGTAATATGTATAGAATATGTGCTATGTACATGCCATTCCACGGCATCACCAGTCTTCAACACGAAACAGCCCGTTGCGTTTCTTCTCGCCTTCCCACCGATCAATCCACGCCTTCATCTGCTCTCGAGTCCTCTGGTTGCCGACATTGACTGTCGGGATCACTTTCCCGATTCGGAGGGCACAGCAGAACATGGTCAACTCGCGAAAGGAGCTGTGTTCGCTATACGGCACGCCGAAACAGGCACTTTCCCGCGTGCTTCCGCGTTGCGGGGTGAGATGCTCCGAGGTGAACGGGGTCCGCCAATGTTCGCCACGCAAGACTGTCGGTACCGGCGGGTTCTCCAGCATTCGACCGGCAGGTGGACGGTACGACCAACCAGTTGGCCGGAAGCCAACCACTCGGGAGAAGTGTGGCTTCATCGAGTCCAGGTAGTCGGTAAGCGTGTCGGCCCGGATCTCAAACAGCGTCTGCATATGCACCTGTGCCTCCCGGGGATCACTGGTCAACATGGCGGACAGTTCGGGGTCCTCTAAACAGGCGCAGATCCGTTGTTTTTGTGGCGTGGCAAAGATCTTGGAACCTAGCGCCCGCGCAATGCCCAAGCATATTCGCTCTTTGCCAATACTATACGTGCCAATGACTACTAACAACCGGCCGCCTGCGGAAGATGAAGAGGAGGATGGCCGCTGAGCAGAGTCGCTCTTCGTCACGGACAAAAACTTGCTCATCAGGCTGCTAACTCCAGTCTTCCCCAGCTCGTTTCCCACCCCGGCTTCCTGGTTAAGCCGAACACAGAGGTCGGAACACGCCGCGATTACATCGTCCTGGCTGGGGAACGCATACTTCGGGTTGAGATAGGTGGTGTCCAAGTAACAGCTGTCAATCCGCTGTTGCCGAGGCTGACCAGTAGTCGGGTCATTAGGGTTTGGTCGTAGAAGTGGATGCCGGACATGGTCCGGCGAAGCGCGAAAATCGCCACAGTGTAAAATGCGTTGCCGTCGAGCGTGCGGACCACTGCCAAAACTCTTCTCGAAAAGAAACAAGGAGCTTCCAGGGCAGTGGTTGGCGGGAATCATGGTAACCTGCACGCCCCCCGTATCAGGAACCTCGGAGGTGGTCTCGAAGTCAAGGCCGACAATCCATTGCGGATCAACGCGAAGCTGTTGCCGGACAAGATTTGCTGTGGCCCGGCTACAATATATAGGCCCATGACACCACGACTTGCTAAGTCCAATATAGTGATCACTGTGAAAGTGGCTGAGAAAGTAGGCATTACATCCCTCGACCGCTCCGTAGCGAAAGGCATCCACACAAATCGAGAAACCAGGAAGAATCTTGTAAAACGGACAAGTTCTCTGATAAGCTTGCTTGCCACGTGAAGAGACCTCGTTTGCAGCCGCCGTCTTCCAAGCCGTATCTTCTGCATTTCCTGCCATCATCTTCGAAAACGCAGATCTTTCACCAGAAGTGTTTTGGGCGTATGGGTTGGCCTGTGCAGGTCGAGCGATGGCAGCTCGCTCAGCCAGTGTTAATGCTTTAGCCGGGGCATCTTTCTTCGAAGTTGACGGGTTAAATGTTGTGTTTGGAGTCGTTGTCGTTGTAGAAGGATCCGGTGTTATGATATCAGTCTTGCCATCTAAGCAGTCATTGACATGTACTGATATTTCGGTCTCGCTCAGTCCCACTAGCGTTCTCTGGCATATCGGGCAGGCTGCGACTTCACATTCATTTTCAGGGTTGAGGCTAGCAAAATCATCTAATTCGTCCAATGTGCCCATGCTATTGTCATTGTTTTGTACATCCTCGTCGTCGTTCCACGGTCGTTCTCGAAACTCTTCCCCTACAAACTCGTCCTCTTCAATATCGTCAAAATTCGTGAATTCATTATCTTCGGCATGGCTCGTGGCATCTCTTACCAATGGCGACTGCGCGGGGTCCGCAGAAGGGTCGTCATCGACTGGAGATGGTGGTTCGTTCCTCGTGTCAGCGGGGGCGAGCGAAGACTCTTTCAACTCTCGGTATGCATCAATGTCGTCTTCACTGTCTGATTCATCAATGAAGGGCCCACTCGTCGTCTTCGTCGTTGTTGCGGGCGGAGAGGGAGCTGGCTCCGCGGCATCACCTGTTTGTGGTTTTTCTTCTGATGGGCTTGGCGAGTCCATCTTCCGACGCTTGACAGACAAGCCATTCTCATTATATTGCGAGCGTCCTGGATCTGGTATATCATCGTCATCGTCGCCCCAAAGGTTTTCCGGCGTTGGTGACCGTGTTCGCGGGCTAATATCATTCGTTGCAGCTGCCATGTCTCCAGATTTCACTTGTCTTTTCTTATCCTCCAGAAACAGGCCACCCGCTGCATCATTCATTGAGCTATTCCCATGTTGCTGTTTCGGGGTCCCTCGGCCACTACTAGGAGACCCAGATGAGCCAACAAACTGCGTGATTCGAGGTTGGCGGGAGGTGGCCCCAGGCGGGGTATCGGTTTTCTGAAAAAAATTCAAGATGCTTCCATTCCGTTTCGTCGAAGATGATTTTGCCGAGGAAGAAAGACCCTTGGACGGCGTGGACGTCTTCCTGGCATAGGGACCTGCCATGTTCTTGATTGTCGAATAGTTGAGGGTGGGCCAGCTAGAAATTTTCGATTTTCGAGGATCAGTTGGGGCTGGCGTTACAGCAGGTAGTCGGGGATATGGCCGTTCTGGTACACAGTCCTGGTCAAGACTGTATCACCAGTCATCATCCACGCGAAAAGGGTTCAAGTTGGTGTGGCCACTCGGAGTCTCTTGGACGAGAACCGCGCGGGCGGCGCGACACGAAGTCACATGATCAATTTGGGTCCCTTTGTGGTATCGATTCATACAGAACCGGCAAGGTCATCTACGTTCAAGCGGAGGATATATAGTTCAAAACCAAGACTGGTATTGATTGATTGCAAAGGGTATTGAAAAAATTAACATGAGCAACGCAATTCCAGAAGGGGTCGTGGTTCTCCCAACGGCCTTGCTTTCGCAGCATATAGACCGGAATCACTGAGAATCAAAACTTTCCCCCTCCAAGTTGGTACAATCCTTTTCTGCGTCTGGGAGGTTTGGAGATAGTATCAGATGAGACTGTTCAGCAGGTGGAGAATCCCCTTCGTATATCCAACCAATGTCCCCGCTCTTCTTCGTTCTCGACGCTGCGCCGTTCCGCCTCCGCGCTCGCTCAGTCTGGGGAGTATCATATCACGAGGAAACGTGGAGAGGCATTAACAAGCATAGATATAGTGACTTTGAGGGTGTTGTGTGGATGTCATAACCGATTTACCGGGCTTTGCCGGCCTGGTTGGCAGCTTCTGTAGAATTGAAGACCTTGGTTAGCACGACCCCTCGGATAAAAAATAGAAGCCAAGTTTGCCAAGTAGGAAACACTGTCAAAAAAAAAAAGACAATTCGTATTCCGTCGATGGTTCCAATTTCAGAGCCCTCGGCTTAGGGAGAAAGGAAATGAAGTCATATCACTCACCCCGTCTTGTCGCATCCTCCAACAACCCAACGTCAACTTCCGACCGCGGAAGCATGACATAGCGCACAACGCTGCCACGAATGAACATGTTCTTCACAGATGAGAGGTGGGGGTATTTGTCCAGCTCCAGCACTTCGATATCGTCTAGCTTAATGTTGAGGTACTGGTCGACCGACTTCAGGATACCGCGGATGCGGATATCATTCTTCAACTCAATGGTGACGGTTTGGTTGGTGAGGGTCTTGAAAAAGCTACAGAAAATGCATTGTCAGCCTTGTGTTGAAGAGTGAGCGGTTAGTGGGATTGCGCAATGGCTTGAGACAGTACCTGAAGAAAAGCATGGTGTCGGAAGTGAGGGCGCCTGGCCGGTAGAAAACGAGAGACGAATAATGTGATATGCGGAGCCAAGAATTCAATTCTCGGTCTATTCGCCGTGTCAATGGGGAACAAAGGGCGAGGGCAAGTGTGACTTGAGACGTTGAGCGAAACAGCGGGCGATGCTGTGGAGCTTCAATGAGATAGGTCATGTGACCTGTATCGACCTAAATCAGTCGCGGTTTTGCCCCTCCGCAATGAAGCTACAAGTAAATCGTGTGAACACTCTACATCCAGTCAGCCGTCAACTTGTCCAACAAATATATCCGAAAAGGATCTTTAGAGTTCTCCAGGAGAGTTTCTGTGTTCAATGTTTTACCCTTGATGTTTTAATTTTTGATCCATTGTTGGTTTATCGAAAAGTGCTTTGAAAATATATAACGGATTGTACGTAGGATGCAAGTACTAACTATCACATTTTCGACATCGTTCTCCAACCCGCAGGTTTAAGGTATTATTAACACACAAGAGAACTACAGGGGACACAAAATAACTAAAACCAGTTCTGAATCTCGCTCAATTACAATTAGTTGGATGGACACCCCTGGGGCACAGGTACATGGTGGCATAAGGTGGGTATCAAAATCAACATCCACGTCAAGATCTCTTCGCGAGCTCAGATCGCTCTGTTCTTTTTTTCTTTTTTTTCTTTCTCTCGTATGTTCAACCGCGAGCACTCTGCTTCGCCGGCTTCGGCTTCATCGCCCACCCAGACAGACAGGTCCACCCTGCCCCGTTGTTTCGCCCCTCATCAAAGACAACACTCACGCCTTCGAGCAACTTGGTCCGGTCCCGACCCATTTCCGTCCGCAAGGAGAGGAGCCACTGCTCCCACATCCAACCACCGAGCACGCCCGTGACACTGGCAACGTCTTCCGTGCTACCAGTGTGGTTGGGCGCCGGCGCACGCCCTTCCAATTTATTCAGCGCGCGCATCTCGTCTGACTCCACGCCCATCGGCAGATACATCCAGGCGCGTTTCATATCGACAAAGCCGCGTTGCCGCAGACGCGAGAGGAAGCTCTTCGAAGCGAGGGGATCATAGCCTCGTGCACGCAGGTTGAAGGCAAACTCAACGGAGGTCGCGGAGCCATATGAGCCGGCCCGCGAGATCTCCGCATCTAGTACCATGAACTCGATGTAGCCACCCGGCTTGAGGCAGCGCATGCACTCCTGCAGGACGAGGTCGTATTCGTCTTGACCACTGCCAGCAGGACAGGAGGTCTTCAGCAAGGCGTGCAAGGAGCGGGTGGAGATCACGTCGAACTTGTTGGCACCAAAGGGTAAGTCCCACAGCTGGGCGACGGACACCACACGGTGGTTGGGCGGGCCCTTGATGGCCTTGTTCACGTTCTGGCTCTTGGGAACCACGGAGTACACCTTGGCACCCGGATACTCCTGTGCAGCATGCCAGCCCCATTCGCAAGAAGCCTGACCTCCAAGATCCAGGATTCTGACCGTGCGCGTCTTCTCGCCTTCCTGTTTCTTAGCAGTGCTCTGAATGCGTTCCATACGCTTAGTGGCGGGGCTGGTGAGCAATTTCCCGCCATTTAGGCAACGCAGGGCCTCCATAGCCCACATGGGCCGGCACAGCTGGGCGAGCACGAGCTGTTCCTTTTCCAGGTTGGAGAACTGCGCCTTCTCCGCCAAGGAGGAAGTCAGAACGGAGTTGCGCGGGGCCTGAGAGAACGGGCCTTTATAGGCGGGCCGTTCGGGGCGGACAACCTCGTACTTGCCCATGAGACAGTTGATGTGCATGTCCTCCATGCCGAGGCGGAAGGACTGAATGGCATCAAAGCGCATAGTGCGGTGTAGGAAGCCGTCTTCCTCGCTCGAGCGATCTCGGATCGACTTGAAGCCACGCCAGTAGATGGAATCCTTGCTGGCAGTCACTGATGGGCGCGGACTGGGGCATTCTGGGACGCCCTCGGAATACCGGACCGGCTTCAAGGTGGCAAGATCTTTTTGCTGTTCCCCTTCTGTATCATCTCCCTCTGTCTCCGTCTCGGAGAATGTCGAGGCAGTTCGCGGCTCGGTATCGTTGACCGGATTCGTCTCATGCAACGCGGAGAGATAGGAGGCCTGGGCCGCCAGCCAAGTACTGGTGCGGTCGATACCGGCCGCGGCACGGGATCGAAGCTCGGTGTCATACAGTTCATCGTACTCGGGAGCAGCTTCCACGGGCGTAATCTCCTTCACAGGGCTGTTGCCATCTTGGCACTTGAAGCCGTCCTGGTGGGTAACGATCCGCGTTGGGGTTGGCGGCGGGCGTCGGGTCGGAGTCTGAGGAGGAAGTCGAGTTGGAGTTTGGGCAGGAACTTGACGGGCAGTTGGAGGGCCATCTTCGATGCGCACGGCCGTGATGGGGTCTTCCTCCTGTTGCGAGCGGTCTGGCCAGCTGATCACCTGCTCAATGACTTCACCTCGGTCACCGGGGAGCGGGAAGTTATAGAAGCCTTCCGCGGTGGCGGAGGATGGGGTTGCAGTGTCCTTCGGGATGGACCAAGTGTGACGGGCACGGGAACCCAAGGAAGCGAAAAACCCGCCGGGGGAGGGAATACTCAACTCGCTGAAGCTGTAACCAGACATCTCCGATGCGGGCGTGAGACCCTCGGCGCTCCGGGGCCGCGTGGGTGGTGCCTGCAGCTGCCACATCTCGTCATTGGATTCGGACGTCGCTGACCAGGGCTCGAGAGGCTGGTCCACTGGAAGGTGGTGCAGCATGGCCAAGGCTCCGTCAGGCAGGGAGACGCCTTGATCAGACGGGGTGGGCTCTCGCGAGGGGATATCGAAGGTCGACTCCCTCGTGGGGGTTGAGTCTTCCTGGCCCTTGGGAATTGAAGGGAACCGTTCCAGCACGTTGCGCCAGTCATCGCCGGGGCTTTCGATAGCCATGGGAAATGACTGAAGGTCTGGGCTCCCTTCTTCCGCGGTGAGTTGCTCGCTGTCACTCAGATCCATGTCCGTTCGGACGCGGATCTCTTGCGCGTCCCAATTGGTATCCGGCAGCGAGCGAGTGTCGGGTGTGGCTAGACCGCTGAGATGGGATTCCTGGTCCGAAGTGAGGCTCCCATCCAGCGAGGGAGGCGCATGGCAGGCGGGCACGGAGCGGCCTAGCAGCGATAGCGCTGCCGGGGACAGCGGAATCTTGGGAGGTGGCGTGGGTGGCATCGAGGTCTTGGCCGGCCAGACGGGCGAAGGGATATCCAACGAGAGATCTCGCTTGCGGCTCCCCGTCGAGGTGATCGAGTGCCGGGTGATTGGTGTCACCAAGCTGGACCGCTGGGTGCCCGGAGCAGAGAAGCACGAGTCGCTGACATCCGTGGCGGTATCGTCGTCCGTCTCGCCATCATCCGTGGCATCATACAGGTCGTCATAGCCTTGAATCTGCTGCATCTGTTCCTTCTGCTGCTGCTGCCATTCCGTATCGGAGCAGCACGAGGAGTCGGTGCAAGCGGAAAGCGGAGACATCAAGCGGGCTAGGCGGGCATGGGCCGGGGCCGACAGCCCGGAGGTCTTCAAGGTCAACTTGGGACTGGGCAAAGCGGGTTTGACAAGCGGCAAGCGTCCAGCGCCTTTCTCCGCGAGCGCTTCGCCAGTGTCTTCCATTATGGTATTAAGAACCGTCCCCCGGGCCTGCCGGAGGGGCGGACATCGTGTTGTGGAGGTTCGCAGAGAGTCGGTCATCTTGTCTGCGTCCAGGTTGATGAGATCGATGGATCGATGGTTGATCGGACAGGAGAAAGAAAAAGGTAACGGATGAATAACCAGTAAGCAGCGACCAGTAACAAGTAAAAAGTAACAAGGACTAAGAAAATTCGGGTCGTCTGTATAGAGCGGAAGTGTTCTCCAAGGACACGACGTTTCTAGGGGTATCTCAAATACACGAAAAGACCCAGCATGGACACCGATCAACGGATGTCTGGGAGGGCGAAGAGAGAACTGGAAATGCAAATGGAAAGGTAAAGAAAGACTAGACCGCGGCTACCAGAGCGAGAGGCCAGAAACAAACTCCAAAAAAAACATAAACGGGAGAAGTTGAGGCGAAGGGCCTGGCGGTAATAAAGGTCTTGATATCAGCACGAGTGGGACATCCGGGGACGGAGCCGATCCCTGCGCGACTCCACCTCCACTTCGTCACCTGCAGAGCAGCAGAAGCACTACTGCAAGATTGGGCACAGTCTGGTCGGCGGTCCAGCCTGGACGGCCGTCATTGGTGCCGAGAGACGATGGGCTCGAGGTGGGCGCCTCGCCTGGTACCACCGGCGAGGGCCCGCTCAAAATGGGGCCCGAACGAGACTGGTGACTGGCAAGCCTGACCAGCATTAATCGTAGAGTCCGCGAATCAGCAACGTAGATGGCCAAGAAGGAATTGAGGAATTGAGGATTCGACGAAATCGCTGGGCTTCCGGACGAGAGCCAGTCAGAAGCCGCGAGGAAGCGCCGGGCAGGACGGAAGTATATAGATTCACCTATCACATTCGCCATGATGTGCCCCCACCCTCCCTTTGGTGCGAGGCCCGTGCAGCTTAACTTTGGGTTCGACAGGGTTATGACAGGGATTGTTGTAGGCAATTGTTGCTAGGACATCCTTCATCCTGCGAGCCTGCATGGTGCCCTTGCTCTCACTGGGTAACGATCGCCGGTAAAGAGGGCAAATAGGCCGAGAAAGGCCTCGTTAGCACCGGATCACCGGGATATTCTTAGCTCGCAATCTTCCATAGTCACCAAAAATAGGTAAAATTAGCCTGACTTAATTTTAGAAATCTCCCCTAAGTCTCCCTCTCGGACACAATGACCGCTAAGTGGGCTCAAATTAGTCAAGTTAAGTCGGCGATCATGATTTATCCGATCCGGCTATACCGCTCGTGATGTATACGGAGGACAGCGAAGCAAGCGTACTTGATTACAGAGCATGCAACTTCCACCATGCTTAGCTTTGCCCCCAACCTAACACCGAATGGGCTTTGACTTGACAGACGTAAGCTAGAAAGGGAGCAAGAGGCAAAGCAACCTGACACACCCGATGAAACAATGTTCATGCAAAAAGGCATACCTCGGCGGCTTCTTAAGCTGCCATGAGCCCCATTTCATTTGGTGAAGTATCATTTGGCGAGGTGAAGCAGGGAACAAGGGTGGGCGCCTAAGGTGCCACCGACTCAAAATCAGCGCTGTCGGAGATTGCATGATCTCAAACCCATGGACTCCATACTACTGCACACCTGAGACAGGATGTATAGCGCCGACGAGGTCTTGCCGCCGACGCGAGGCCCAGTCGCCGCCCAGTCATCGCTCGTCGATACCTCAAATAGGCGCCCGGCTGGCATCATCGAAGGGGTGATACTCGACACAGCCCTCTCCTCTCCCTGTCACTACGCTAACTAGGGGCCGGTGGGGAGTGGAACAGCTGGGGCGGATAGAAAACGATATACCTGAAACCAAGAGCATATACCAAGGGTGAGAGTGGCAGTGTAGCTGAAAGGGACTCTTAATAATAAATGATATCTCAGGATACTACAGTGGCTAATTATGTTTGTTGAGAAGTAAATCTTTTACCCATCCCTCACGAATTGGCATTCTGAGTACCCCCAGGCTTCGTCATAATAAGGCCAAGATGTATCATTTCAAGGCCCTCTGGGATCGCGTATAAGCTGGCACACAGCAACTGAGATGCAGTCAAAAACTAAATTCCCCAGATCATCTATTACCTATAGCAGATGCAAACCTTTCCTCAACCCACATTGAGCGGTCTATGATCGCTTCACTGCAAATCATGTACCATGTCTTGGTCTAAACGGAATCTCCATTTGCATTACCATGGCCGGAATAACCGTTGGATGACTCTCGACGACCCAACGATTGGCCGACGGAGTCGTTTTCGTAGGTGTCGAGAATGGGGAGCGCACCGACTCACATCATGTTGGGCACAAGCTATAATGTAGTCTGGAAACGGACTTGGTCGACGCCGAGGATTCTGTCTGCCCAAACAGACATGTTAAATTTCTTAATACACTACATAAATTGGGTATAGTGTGGAGCCCATGTCCGGAGCCTCGTACCATGTAAGCACTCAAGAGCTAGAATCATCGGTATAATCTGCCTCGACGGACAATATACTACTAATCAAAAAATTACTACACCCAGAATGACATAATGAATTCAATCGGACACTTGATGTAGTTCAACCCGGGTGCACGTGACGGCTCTCGTAGACTGAGACCGGATCCGCCTAAATGATGCTGGAGCGACCTCAAGGTGACATGGGCAGGAGACGAGATTTAGACTAGAGGAGCTACTGAAAAACTACTTCAAGTATCGTGCATGAAAATAAAAGGAGACGTGGCCATGTCAGCCAGCGAATTTCGACAGCCGACCTCTCCGAGCCGAAATTATTTCTGCACAGAGGCGCCCGAGGTTCTCGAGTCTCGACACGCCGGGCTTTCGCATCCTCAAACGTCCGACGCAGGTCCACCCACACTTCCTGTACGTCGTATGCGGACCTGCAGAACCTGCCGTAGCGGGACTGCAGCATCGCTGGCGACGACAGAACTATACGTTCGACTTGGGCTCCACGGGTGGATTGGTAGGTACCTGATCAGGGACATGATCGGAGGATTTTCGGGACGAAGTGAATTCTTTTTCGAGAATCTCAAAATTGGAGGCAGCCGATCGCGCGCATCTGTGATGCCATGATGCCGAAAAACTATGACGAAAAACAATCACTCGGGAACTACAGTGTACAGAGTATGGAGTACGTCGGGCATTGACGTGCAAGTGATCTCGAAGAAAACACTCCCTCGCCTACTCCGTCACTCCCTCAATTGCTGGTCGGGCGGGGTATGGGTTGTAACCGTATTCTTATGCGGTGGCTGTTTTCATATGCCTTCATTAGTTTGCTGGTGGCGTTGAACAGTTCAGTCGCGGGCGCTCTGTTTTCGCTGTTTCAACCTCAACAGAAAATGGGGTAGGCATTGGCAAGTTCCGGCGGGCAAGTTGGCGGCTTATCATGCCTTGATGTTACCAATGGCTGATGCGATGACCGTCAAAAAGCGTTGGGAATGCCCCTCAATGACATGACTCCATTAATCAAATCGAATGGGTTCCCGTATATGAAGCACATACTGTACTTCAATGGAGGGGCAGTTCGGCTCGGATCACAGTGCGCCGCGGGGTGCACAGACGTGTCTTCCGGTCGCCCCGCTGGGTGGACTCTCTACTTCAGGTAGTCCAAAGAGCGGCTATACTCCGCCTGCCGGCTATTGAAGTGGCGTGGGACAGCAGCATTTTCCGAATCCTTGATTATCACAGAGGCGGATTTTTTGGCCCGGATGCCAAGTAAAGGTTTTTCAAGTTTTCTTGCCGTAGGCACAAATCAGCCTGTTGAAGAAGACCGGATCCTAGGCCCAGCGAATGGCCGTATCTGCGAGTCACCCTGTGAGTGACCTTTCCTGGATCTTGAAAGGAAGAGGCAACAAGATGAAGGGCACGCTGCAATTGTGGTAGGTCCTGGGGGAGTCTGTTGGGGCGGGCGCATCCTTGATTTGTAGGCCCACGGAGTGATTGGCGGATCGATTCAGACGCCAAATTCTCTCAAGCTTCGACGCGGATTCCAGGCCATTGCCAATCGGATGCCGAAATAACCTTAACATCTCATTTGCGGTGACTAATCGGGGTTGCATAATGAGGGGAGTGAATCCTGGTCAGAGCTCCAGGTCAGCCGACCAGCCTGATTTTTCTTCTGCTTTAGCCATTGTATCGGAATGCCCGAAACAGGTAATCCAGGGGGGTGTTCGAGTTCTCGGGCTGATTTGTCAGGTCATTAGGTCGCTCGTCCGACATATCTTCCATCGTGAGCTGCTCTGGGGCTGGCCACGCTGGCTGGAGTGGGCCTTCGCGGCCGGTCTAGTGCAAGGGAGGGTCCAGATTGCAGCGATCGTCGCAGAGATTGGCACTGCGACGAACCCACGTGAGCCGCGGAGCCCTTATCAAAGACCGTTTGCGTCAGACTTTTTTTATTAGCTGCTCTTCTGTTCTGTGAACTGGGAACATCCGATGTTAATTGACTCGATAAATCCCTTTATTAGTAGAAGAGAATGAAGAAGAACGATGCAATGACTTCAGTCCGACCCTTGTCCGCCATATGGAGATCGCGGAGAGGAAGGTGGCTTGGAGCATGTCTCCGAGCTTAATTGAGGAGATGCATGCTGTAGCGTATATCAGGGTACCCTGTTCACGAGCAATGCGCCAGGAGCATTCCGGGTGCAATTCAAGCGTACTTGAGAAGACGACGAAAGGAGCCTAAAAAAAGCGGGAGAGATAAAGTTGCCAACAAGGGGGCTCCGATTGCATCTTACGGTGAACCCGGCATCTCCACCGAACGGGGACCAACGTGGACCACCAACTTGCCACCTGATGTAAACACTACAACGGCGCTTCAATACTAAACCCGCCGACTGCCACTCCCCTCTTCTCCTCCTCCACATCCCCAGAAACCTATACCTCCAGACCTCCTACTTCTTTCCCTCTCCTTCCTCCGCTCCTCACCATGTCGCCTCCCGCCATCATCGCCCCCTCGATTCTTAGCGCCAACTTCGCGAATCTCGGCCATGACTGCGCGACCAAGATGAAGGAGGGCGCCGACTGGCTCCATGTCGACATCATGGACGGTCACTTCGTCCCCAACATGACTATCGGATGCCCTGTCGTCTCTCAGATCCGCGGCTGCGTCGACCGACCCCTCGAACCAGGCTCGACCGGCACCTTCGACTGCCACATGATGATTATGGAGGTGAGTTTCTCGGCCCGCTTTAGCTTGTTTTTTTTTGATCCCCTGGGCAGCTCTCGTCCGAGAAATGCCCCCATTCAATTAGTTGGGATCTTGAGCGCTGACTCTAGCCGCCTCCGGTGCGATAGCCTCACAAATGGGTCAAGGAATTCCAAAAGGCCGGCTGTGACCTCTACTGCTTCCACTACGAAGCTGCCGTATCCTCCGTCGCCGCGACTGACCCCACCGATAAAACAACAACCGACCGAACCTCCCCGCGCCAATTGATCAAGTACATCCACGAGGAGGGCATGCAGGCCGGTGTCGCAATCAAGCCGGATACTCCGGTGGACGTCCTCTGGGATATTCTGGACAGCCCGGACCAGGCCGAGCGCCCAGATGTGAGTGTCTCCGGAGCAATGATCTCGCCGCGAATATCCCTCCCCTTTCCCCAATTTGCTTTTCATTGATCCTCGTTCGTTCTCGACTACGCGCACTCTTGGATAAAAAGAAAATTTGCCTTGGCTTGCTTTGCCCGCCCCTCCCCCCCTCTCTTTTCAGCCCACTTCGTTCGGCGCTAACTGCGGGCCCCCCGCTCCCTTTCACAGATGGTTCTCGTCATGACAGTGCACCCCGGTTTCGGCGGACAGAAATTCATGGCCTCTGAGTTGCCTAAGGTGACCGCTCTGCGCGAGCGCTATCCCGATCTGAACATCGAGGTTGATGGTGGTCTGGGCCTGGGCACGATCGACCAGGCCGCGGAAGCCGGTGCCAACGTGATCGTGGCGGGCTCCGCGATCTTCGGCGCCGCCGACCCGGCCGATGTCATCAGCAAGCTACGCGAGGCAGTCCAGAAGCGACGCGGGACAGCTTGAGGAAGAGGTGGATTTAAAGCGTAAGGGCCGGTGCGGAGCGGACTCCGGTTCGCGCTCGTCATTCTTGAAGCGCTGTGGTTGAATTCTGGGGCGCTACGAGAATGAGTGCTGGAAGAAGGAGAGTCACACATATATCATGCACTCCGGGAGGACTGTTGCGCAAATTCACACAAAAAGGGGTTCCGGTGTTTGTTTTTTTGTTCTCCCCGTTTTTTGATTACCTGTTGATTCTTTCTGCGCTGGGTTTCATGTGAACATTTCCCTTTTTTTTTCTTCTTTTACTTTTCTTCGTGTGAGCGGTTCTTATATTCCAGGGACGCTTTATATTCTGCCCCCAACCCTTTTTTTTTTTTTTTTATCTTTGGAATTGTGTACTTGTTTCTAATGATGAGCTACGAATTACATTCGACGTGTGAATGGACTTCTTGCATTACTGCACAAACAAAGAGATTTAAAGCTCCAAATTCAAGGAGAGCATCATGGCATTGGCTGACTGCAAACTGGTATCATAAATACTACTGACAAGAATCAACGGAGGGGGAGGGGTTGCGAAAAAGTGGTCGAGTGGGTGTGTTGGGGGAGGTTGCATCGTCCTCATGTACAGATTCATCAAGGTCGTAAACAGCGTGAAGCCCTTACTCCGTCGCGGTGACGGTCTCCGTGGCCCGGGAATCTTGCGCTGCGGTTGAGGCAGAACCCTCTTGCTTCTTCGGCTCTTCCTCTTTCTTCGGCTCTTGGTCTTTGGCCTCGGTGCTGTCATCCTTCTCTTCGCTGTCCTTTTTCTCGTCTTCCTTGGCCTCCTCCGCGCTCGATTCCACTTCTTTCTCCTCGATAGACTCCTCCTGCGGCATCTCCGCCGCCTCCTTGCGCAGCGCGTCCAGCGAGCCGGCAGGCTGCCCAGAGGAGATGGACTGGCGGATCTCCGTCACCACCTTGTCATGCTCGGCCTTGTCGCTGCCAGCAATGATCGACCCCCGATGATGCTCGACCAGCCCCAATGCCTCTGCGTTGTCGGCGTGGAAATTGGCCGACGAGACTGCCGCCACCTCGGGCACTAGGGGAGGCCGTTTGGCGCCCTTGGGCGAGTCGGGGGCCATGTCGGGCAGCTCAGGAGCCACGGAGCCGCGATGCACCTTGGTGGATGGGGGCGAGGAAGACTCTGACTCGGGTTTCTCCTTCGACTCTTCCGTAGGCTGCTTCTTCTCGTCGGACTTGGACTTCGCCTTGGACGCAGCCTCCGAGCTCGCTTGGCGCAGGGCAAGGACTGCCTGCTCGTCCTTTTTGTCCTCCGTCTTGGCAGGTGGGCTTTGGATCTTGATGGTAGCTGGCTTCGGGGCTGCGGGTTCGGGCTCTTTTGTTTCGGTCGCGGGGAGAGGGTTGCTGGTGGCTGGCATGCCGTCCAGGTCCTGGACACCGTTGACGACCATGCGCAGCTCGCCGAATTCGTTCCATTCCTCGATCTCCTCTAGGTCCTGCAGGGGAAAGTGGGGTCAGTAATTTGATGGGCAAGGGGCATGAGAGGAGGGGGGGGGGTGTTCTGGGAAGGCGGGGTTTACATACGCCTACAATGTTGCCGTATTTCACAAGGCCTGGCAGTTTCTTGCCCTTGGAGCGTCGTCCCCAGAGCTTGCGGGCGGCCTCATCGGTAGCCACATCAATGGCACGGAAGGGGAGCTTGTTGGCCTTGAGAATGGTCTCGATGCGAGCGGTCGCGGTTACGATGTGCGAGGACCCCGCAGTAAGGGAGGTGTACAGGTAGAGAGTCGAGTCGGACATGATGGGAGAGCGTTGCGGCAGAAGGAAAAAGAAGAAGGGGTGAGGGTGAGGGGAAGGGAAACGAAGGCCAGAAAACCACGACTGGACTTTGGATTGTACCAGCAACGAAGACAGCGCGGACGGGGTCAAATTGCTCGAACGAAACAAAGACCGACGGTTTGTTATGACGTGGGGTTGTCACGTGGCTGAGGGAAATACAACTCGAGACTTGAACTACAGATAAAGGAAGAGACCTACGAAACAACGACGCCACAGTACTGTAGTGGAAGTTTTTCTTCACGGGTTCATCCTTCTCTATACGATCTCCACAGTCTCCAAAGTATCGAAAGTTCCCCAGATCCGGAACCTGGCAGTCGAGCGTGGCAACTTGACGTCAGCCCGACCCTGCGACTGGGTGCGGAGGCCGCCAGTGGACACCGGTTTCCTTGCTGGTAGATTCGCAAGCACTTGGGCACTTGCGCTCAGAAGTCGTCACAAAGAACGGGCTGCCATGGTTCGGTATGCTTCGCGGAGACTTGGAGAGCACAGGGGAACTTAAGGGTCGTCTGCTTGCGGCCCTCGCAAGCCTTTGGGGAGTATGCAAAGTTGTTACTCCCCATGACCCCGAGAGGCGTTGCGATGGTCAGGACCAGGGACTTGTGGATGGCTGGTTGGGCCATCCTCAACCTGCAAGAATCCTGATTGTTCCGGTGATGCAGCATTCCAAGACTTCTCAGTGGATCGACCGTGGAGGGATGGGCGAGGATGTAAGACTGTGGACGCATGGATCGGAGACCGTGACGCTGCCGTAATGAGTAATGAGAACCACTGTTTGTCTGTCATATCACGAAAAACCCTCTCAACCTGGCCCTGGAAAAAGCGAGGTGCATTTCGTAGAGCAATCCAGAGGGAGAGATGTGCCCCAAATAAAACGGCGACCGGACTCAAGACGTGTCGAGAAGTTGATAGCTCCGATATCCAGCGGATGCCAGCATGAACGTCTGCATTCAGCCACAGGAAGAACTCTCGAAGAGGACGGGTGGCTGGGTTCCGCCGTCCGCCAGCTTTGCAATCGGTCTGTCAGACCGGAGGAAAGTCCGATGGATGATCCAGCGTGTCGCAGGCGATGCGGCTCTGGACCAAGGGGCCCTTCCCCTGATCTCCGATTTCCAATCTGAGCGCCTAGAATTTCATTCTGAAAATGAAGCGGCCGAACTCGTGATGCGCCCCCGCTCAATTTCGAGAGCTGCAGTGGCTGCGCTCAGCGAAAGGCACGGGGTCTCTCGATCCTGGTCTGTTGAGAGAAACACAGCCACTGCCGCCTCGGGGATGAGAGCGAGAGATGCGCAGTCATGTCTCCAGCTCTCACCGCAACTTCTCTCGAGGTTCTCTCGATTGGAGATCAGTCAACCAGGGGGAGAAGTATAGCACGGATCGTTAAGGTCGGGTGATTGGAACCTAGCGAGTCGGAAGACAAACTCAACACGGAGGTCACTTTCCAGGGGTGTATCTGGCGAGTCGGGAGTAGAAGCGGTGTCTCAAACAGAATGCTGGTATTGTTTGCTATTTGCTATGTGGTACTTGCAAAAAGGAAAGATTGGGAGTGCCTGTTTTCGGGTCGAGCTTGGATTTTGGGCAGGCTGATGGTGGCAAAAGCCTAACCCCGGAGTGAAGAGCCAGATCCAGGGCCAAAAGGCCTAGAAGGTCGTAGATGATGCGTGGGAAAGCCGAAGTCCGCAAGCAATCAAGATGGCGTCCTGTCATGTCGGGTCGATTGCTCGTGAGGAGCAGTCGAGCTCGAAGCCCCATGCAGGCAAAGGCGAATGACGAAATCCAGGTCTGCAGGATGGAAAAGTACGAGACGCCTCCATGGGGCCCGAATGGCACGTCCGTGAGCTGTAGGTGTGTAGCGCCTGAAACTCAAATGCGTGTCCTGCGTTATTGCATCGGCCCTGCACTCTCAGCCAAGCGGCAAGAGTCCCCCCTTCGAGCATGACACATCAGAAGTGACAGATACCACTCTGCCATGATCCGAGCGTCTGGAGCTTCTGAGGAGGATCGACGGAGTCAGGACGTTGGGTTGAAACCCCGGTCGATCTGCGACCTACAGAGAGCAGCGCGGCCTGCTTCAATGAAACAGGGGCGGCAATCGCGTTCCCCTGTCAGTGGCTTGGGCATATCTCCCTTTGGGACTTGACGTCTCCAAAGTAAAAGCAAGCACGGCCAATGGATCTTCGCGGGGAAATCGAAGGACGGGCTTCCGGGATCGAGGATTCGGAATATAGAGAGTATAGATGGCTTGTTTTCACGCAGCCTGATCGTCCATCACAGGTTCGACGATTCATCCTTTTTAGATTCCCGAGTCTCCAGAATTGGGCTACGTATATGATGATCTAGTGGCCTTCTGTACGGAGTGACTCGTGCTCTATCTATCATCCCCCGTCCAGAGCCTGGATTATGATTAGTGCGGTGATCGTCCCGGTTCGCTCCTCCACCTCACCCTTTTTGGCGGATTCATAGTCCTTGAGCGGTGGGGTCCAATGAGAAGAATGAAAAGCAGACCTGTACAATCGGACGAGGCTAGAGTCTTCGGTTACACCGCGCAGGCTATAGCACGGACCAAAAGGGTCTTTGAGGACTGGACTGCGCATATTCAAACGAGCGAAGGGTCAGTGGAAAGTGAGTCCGAGAGTGGCAGGATGATCGTGAACAACCCATCGTGCAATATGGAGTACAGAGTGCCCTGTACAAGCTGTTAGAACCATAAATGGCGTTAAATCCTCCACCAGCATCAATTCTTTTGCTCCCATTAATGGGTGTATTGGTTCTATTGACGATAGCGTTGGACTAGAAGCCCACCGACCCGTGGTTCGTTCCCGCCCAACAGTTCGTCACTCCACCAGAACAATAACTCCGCGCCACTATTGGCTCCCTGTTGGATTTTACCTTTTGTATCGCGCAGATGTATACTCCGTCCACCGTACAGAATGTCCCAGCTTGTCTATGCATGTGGGTAGAGGAGTCTGTAGGGGACAGTGTCGCCGGGACTCCAGCGTATGTCTGTCTGTCTGTACCTACATCATGGACACTGTGTCGGGTAGGCACCGACGGGGATCAACTGGGATACACGATGGGGGCCGTCGTCGTCTTCCTCCTTCCGGTTCTCTTTGAGGTAAAGCACGAGAGACTGATTCGTCCCACGGGTTTGATGGGCTGACCTGACGTCTCCATTCATTGCCCACCGTCCCACCCGGGCATTGGGCGCTGGACACTGCCCATCACGACGGCGTCACCTGCAGGGCCCGACTGATATTGCCGGCTGCAGGCGGAGAGGCCGACGTGGCAGTCGATGAGACGCCCGAAACGGGGGCCGCAGGGCCCAACCACCAACCACCAATGGACCAGAAGCCAAGTCGACATCTGAGGCAAACAGTCATGATGGGAAAAAAAGCGAGTGGGTTCGAGTAAAGAGAACGAGGAAGGGGCACGAGGGGCTGGAAAAGTGGGCTTGACTGGATACATCGACTCCATCAGGTATCTGTTGTTGCCAGTGTACCCGTGTACCCCATCAGTCGAGTGTAGGAGAGAGTGTACTATAGGTACGATCACGGTGAAGTACTTCCCTTTCCCTGGCGAGCCCACCTTTTCCAGCATCCGCTCTAGGCGCTCGGTCGGCAACGCTCGTTCTTGGGTCTATCCGACGGCCCTCAAATGGACCAAATGAATGAGGTAGGTCCATCGTGAAGAATTTGCCTATCATTTGGGTACGCCGAGAGTCGATGTAAGCAGAATAGTAACAGATCTAAGCCATATATTAAATCTCAAGTATAATATACATGCAGCGGGCATAGTTCTTCCAAGGTTGCAGTACCACAAAGCCGAGGAAGGGGGGTTGATGTGCCCCCCTTGAAGCCGGAAGTTTTCAACGGAGGTTGGTGGGCAGGCCCGGGGGCTGGGTTTCGGGGAGGGCAAGACCACTCAGGGGACCTTCTTCGGGGGGGCTCGTCCCTAACCACCTGCTCCCTCTTCCCCCCCCCCCCCCCCCCCCCCAAGCCTCCGGTCGCCAGCCACCCCCAGTCCTGTAACATGCGGTCAGGACTGGACTCGGGATGATCCGGTTCGCTGCCTCACTTTGATCCGCTGGATGTCCGGCCACCGTAACCGCCCGTGCTGCAGCATCCTGGGGACCAACCACGCACTCGACTTTCCCCCCACTGTGATTGAAGCCCGTCTCTGGCTGTGCTATTGCGTTGTCGCGCGGGAAGGGTAAAAATGGGCGAATCTATTGTATCTAAAGCTGGCTATTCCCCCCCCATGTCATCATCACGAGGTTTACGGGGGCTCTGGTTCCTAGTCGCCTGGTTCATAGTTCCTGTCTGCTATCACCACTATCACTAGGGGAGGACCCGATCGTCGAATGAAAGCCCCCCATTTGGGGGCCCAGACCGTTTGGGCCGCCCGCTAGAAGGATAGAATCTCCCAATTAAAGACTGGGTCTGGTTAGGAGCTTGTTCAGCAGATGCGACAGATGCGAGAGTACCTTGACGTTTCTGCCCTTTCCCAGTTTCAACACGAGCAGCATCATTCCGAGCATCATCTAAGCCGTAGTCCGTCGTAGCCCATGGGCATAGCTCTTTCTAGTGCGCAGGGTCATCGACCTCCATTGCGTTTCTGAAAAGGGAAAAGTAGTTCCACGGGGCCCCCGACTAGTGAGCCCCGTTAGTTCTCGTATGTCCTCCGCCAATCCCTCTCAATCTTCCTATATTCCCATCTGACATCGCGGTGGAGATCGATACTGTCCCCGTTTTAGTAGGGTTCGTCTAGCCCGCGACGTGCTCCTACTTCGACTTCCCCTATGCTTCCTTGATTCCCTTCTTCCCCATGGGACTTTTGCTCGCGACCGTTTTTCTTTTTTCTTTTTTCTTTTCTTTTTTTTACTTGATTCCTCTGGCACTTCCCTCCTTCTACTTTCTTCCTTCCTCTCCGTTCATGCTGCCCAATTCTTGCCTCTTGCGCAAGTCGACATTGCTTCCAGTTCGCTCCGTCGCTCGTCCTCAACCCTCCCGCGCTTTGAGTTCTGGTTTATTATCTCCGGGCTCAACCCACGTCCTGGACGTTCGGTTTTTGTCGCCCCCTTATCGATCTATAACTTGAGATCCCCCACAATCGCGATCAACTAGCTTGATCAGACCCGTTGGTAAGACCTATTTTATTGTTCATGATCCTTTCCCTTGTCCCCACCTTGCCTCCCCCCCCCACCTCTTCGTCCTATCTGGAAAAAACAAGATCTATGGTCTATATTCTATATGCTATCAAGGGTGTGCTATATCCGATAATTGATAGACCATGTCCTGTCTCGCTTTCCTTCTCTGTTTCTCTCTGCCGCTCATCTTCCACCCTGTCCACCCCCCCTCTGGATCCAACGTTAATGGTCATTAGCCTTTAACCAGCTGGGCATCGCTGGTATCCTCTCATCTGGAGACGACTGAGCAGACAGCGCCGTTCATTCTGTCTTGTTTGTTGATCCGTGATCAGAATACGTCGCCAAGGATAAGAGAGATCTCCTATCCCTCCCCCAGACAAGAAATAGAGGTGATCCCCATCACACTCGCCCTTTTCCCCCATCTTCCTCCCTCTCCCCCTCTCTGTCGCCATGACTCTCACCCAGGTCGACGATGAACAACTGTTCACGAGGGCCATCTCCGGATATCGCGAGGCATTTTTGGTTCGACATTCCCACCTCCCGGAGTCCCAACGCAATCAACTCTGGAAACAGCAACTGAGTCAGTTCATCCCGGTTGATGGCCGAGAGGAACTGGCCCTGGCTGGAAAACCAGGGAATCCGGGGAAACGGACTCGACAGGACGCAACACCGCGGACTCTGCCTGTGTCTACTACCGCGGCCGCGGCCGCAGCTTCGGCTTCTTCTGGTTCTGGTCCTCCGCAGGCAAAACGGCGAGCCACCGTATGTGTGACCTTGGTTACTTGAACCCGCCTTCTCTCTTCACTTCCTCCTCCTCCTCCACCCTCCCCTCTCGTGTTCCTCTACTCTCCTCGTCCCTGGATTGACAATTCGCAGACCCCGGATCTTTCAGCCACTAGCGAGTTGCGACGGGCCTACTCGCAAACCTCTTCTGCCGAGGCGCCGCAGAAAGGTGCTTCCCCCCCGGGACAAGGATCCTATCGACATATCCCGATGGCTCGCTCCCAGAGTCATCACAACCCGGTGTCCCACTGGTATCCGCCGGCGGGAGCCGCCATGGGCAAGCGACAATCCTTTGGTCCCGCGCAGACTCAGCGCCGTCTTGACCATGTTGACGAGTATTCGCCGTCGGAATATGCGAAACACCTTGATGGACCTGATGCCTACCTACATCCGCAACCGCCGCAACCGAAACAACAACAGCAGCAGCAGCAGCAACAACAACAACAACAACAACAACAACAACTTTCGTATAGCCCTGGCCCTTGTCCTGGTCCTGGTCCTGGTCCTGGTCCTGGTCCTGGTCTCCGCTCCGCCACCACCACCTCCGCGTTATCATTGGGGCTTGCATCAATTGGATCGACTGGGCCGGCATCGGCTCAGCATTCTGGACAGCCATCCCCCATGGCCGACGCTTCCCCCGCGGCCGCGGTCGAAATGACCCGCAGTGGGACGACCGACACCATCATCGGCGGATTCAACAATTTTGGCTTTGACTCGGCGGGCTCACGAGCGGATCTGGACCAGGCCTATTCCATTGCCCCGGAGTGGGTGCCCACACCCACCACTGGGCTTTCTTATACAAATCCTTCCTTCCCTTCTGTCCCTTCTTCCCTATACCCTGACCTAGATACCCCTGCCTCTTTCCCCTTCGCCTATCATGCTTCCTTCTCTACGTCGGCTCCCTCCGCCTCGTCACTCCGGCCACCAATGCCACCCTCATCGCTTTCCGCGACAGAAGCAATCGACATGAAGCCCTCAATTTCCAGCGAAAGCAACCACTTCAGCACAACCGCACCCTCTCGTGCTGTGCGCCGCACGCAGGAGCAAATCGCTCACGCAGCTCGCCCCATCGCGCCGAAGCGTGAATCCTACGACCACACCCACCTCCAAGCTGATCCCAATGATCCACACAAAATGGTCCGGATCTCGTCCGCCGACGGCACCACTAAAGAAGTCGCTGCCATCCCCAAAGCCAGCGTGCACCGCCCGCCCCGTCCCAAGACCTATTGCCGTCTTTGCAACGACCAGCCCGAAGGCTTCCACGGGGAGCACGAGCTGCGGCGGCACGTCGACCGGGTGCACGCTCCCGTACGGAAGGTGTGGGTCTGCGTTGACATCTCCCCCGACAAGACCTTTCTAGCAAACTGCAAGGCCTGCCGCAACGGCAAGCGCTACGGCGCAAACTACAACGCGGCCGCGCACCTGCGACGCACGCATTTCAACCCATGCCAGCGCGGCCGCGGTGGCCGCGGCAAGGACAGCGAGAAGCGCGGCGGCAAGGGCGGCGGCAACCATCCACCCATGGAGGTGCTGCGGCATTGGATGCGCGAGACGGTCGAGCGCGCGGACGAGAACGATGGTTTCGGGTTCGACGTCCCCGCAGAGCCCGTGCTGAGCAGCAGTTCCAGCAGTTCCAGCAGCAGCACCTCGCTGACGGACTGCAAGGGGCTCATGGTGGCGGCGGGGTGCGGCGAGCCCGGGCTCAGCATGTCGTACGGGATGGACGCCAGCCCGAGTCTAATGCACGGGTTCGAGGGGTTCTCCGGGGTGGCGGCGTCGTTCGATATGGACGCCACACTCGACAACTCGTTCTTTGTCGATAACCAGCCGATGCAGTCGGAGCTGGAGTCGTATGTCATGTGAGCCTGGTTTGTAGATTTGTGATTTGATTCTCCTTGTGACGACAGTGTATTTCCCATTTTTGCGTGAATTCTCTTCTCCTTCTCTTGTCTATGCTTTTTCTCCCCTATTCTCCATTCTTGTGCTTTTTCTTCTTCAGGTTTCTTTTCTTTTCCTTTTTGCTTTTTTGCACCTTTCTCCAGCCTGTTGGGTCTATTAGGGTTGTGTAAATTTAGGCCGTGTACCTGATCGAGTGTGTCTATACGGGATTGGAGCGGGATTTGGATCTTTGGGAGGGACAGGGGGGGGGGGGGCAAACTGGGATATAGGACTCATGGGACAGAGGATTGGAGCGTTTTAGGGCGGAGGGCATGACTGCATGGGGTGTCTGGGTTTGAATTCTTTTGGTCTTTGGTTGCTCACAAGCAATGAGACAAAAGTCCTGGGAAATGAGATGGCATAAAGTTCTGATCTGCACTTTTTTGGCCTGTGCTCCCACTACCGGGGTTCTGGTCTGGTTCTGGTCTGGCGCGTATCTCTTTTTTTTTTTTTTTTTTTTTTTGTGCTCCATGGGAAGTTTGGTTTTGGCTTTCTCTTCGCATGATCTGCAAATGCTTGGTTTTTGCTTTTGGTCTTAACTTTTTTTTCTCTTTTTTTTCTCTTTTTTTTCTTTTTTTTCTCTTTTCTTTTTATCTTTCTGATGACAATTTTCTGTTTTGGGAGAGTGCTGTTGGGGCTGAGAGGGAGTTGTGTGCTCTCAACTCACCCCCGATGGTTCTCGTACTGACATGAGTACAAGCATCTGCAGCTAATGACCCTTGCCAATATTAATGACATGATCTCTGATTTTCTGCTGGATGAATTGGTGGGCTTGTAGATTGTGCCACAGCGTCGTAGCCTGAACTCCAGAATCCGACTCCCTCGCGGCTCAGCTGATGTTGAGATATGGACTGTTGTGCGGGGCGGTGGAGAGGGAGATGATCATCCGGGAACGGGTGAAGATAGTTTTCCATCTTTCCTTGCCTATTCTGCATAGGGGGTGTTGACCTGCGACATCATGGTAAGCCATTCCCAATCCAAATCCCAGACTCTGCCATCGCGACCTTATATCCCAGGCTTGCCCTTGTATGTTTACGGGCGGTGAACCAGTCTCGGGCCAGTCTCGGGCCGGGCTTTGCTAGAAAGACAGGCAGCAACAATACACCCGTAATACCGTCGGAAATAGGCCGGGCGGTGAAGGGCGGACCACCTGCGAGGCTCGGGAGGAAGCGGTTTGGGCGGTCGAAAGATGGAATGAGTCGAACCTGGGCAAATTGGGGTGGGCGATGGAGTCGTACAGTGGACAGGTGACACGGTGGCGGTGGACTGCGCCAATGATGGGGAGAGATGGAGATGGAGTGGAGTCCTGGCTGTGGCTGACTGCGTTAGGGCGATGTGGATAGAAGGAAGAGGGTGTACTCCGTAGAAGCCGGATCGAACGGTGTTCCGTGGGCTGCGATGGGAAAGCAGGGGACGCCAGGAGCAGCAGATGGGATGATCTCAATGCGGTAGTCATGCCGTATAGTGAGCGATCTCTTTGTAATCATATCGGCTTGGTTTTCAATATATCTACCTACCTACCCATCTATCTACCGAACTATTGGTGGATACATGTTCGTTTATAGGGTATTTCTGGGCTTTTTTTTTAGTAGCATTGCTCGCAGGCTGGCGGGGGGCCCAGGTGTGGCTGGGGCGCCGCTGGGCATCGGTTGATTTCCCCGGAAGACAACCGGAAGACAACTGGCGATTGATCCTCAGCACTTCGACCCAGTCACAGATCATGGGATCTACCTCCAAATAACTCTCTTCCTCTCCTTAGGTAGATATTGGGTGATGGTGGTGGTGGTGGTGATTCTTGACCATCCGTCGAAGACATGATTCTCCCTGACTGCAGATGTTTATAGATCGGCCTGTCCAGGAACCCTCGGATCGCAAGTCTGGAAATGAACGGTGGAGCCCCATCCAGTAGGCAGCCCGGTCTGGAAACGACCAGTAGGTACCGATATATCCGAATAATTATCTTCATGTATGAGTATTTCACTAGGATTCCATACCGACATCCAGAGATCCCTACTCCGTGCACAAGTGCCATACCGAGCTACGAAGTACTCGAAGATACGTCGACATGCGCCAAGCCAGCACTAATCCGGGCCTGCGCCAAGTACCTCTGAGTCCTTCAGCCCTGCCAAGCCACCGACTGGTTGAGGGCGCCGGCGCTAGGCTTCCAAGTAAATCCCCAATCCCCCCAAAGAACTCATTACTCCCATCCCTCGCCCCTTTACCGATCCTGAACTGCTTGTAAATCTTGTAAATTCTCACTAAATTCCTAATTGCTGGCCAAGTAGTCTGGTATTCACCAAATCTCTTCCGAAAAAAGCACTAGTCAAAAGCCCCGTCCACCGTGCTCCCGTCCCACGTCAGTCGGCTCTGCAGTGGAAACTTCGTTCTATTGCTCGGTAAACCTTGTCTCCTCTTTCTGTCTCCCGTTACCTCCCCCTTCTCCGCCTTCAATCCTCCCGAACTTTTCTCTTTCTTCCTTCTCTCTCCCCTGAACACATCGCTTCCCTCGCTTACTCCCCGGTCGGATCGATAGCTTGATCGCATTCCGCCAATCCTTACCCTTCTACGCTCACAGGTGAGTGGATCGCCGAGAGTTTCCGCTATCGCCGTGGCGCCCAACTTCCTCCTATCCCAGCTCTCCTCGAGCTGCCGCTCCGATGGCTTCACTCCTCGCTCGTGTTGGCTTGATATCAGACCTCTGATCTATTCTATTTTGTCCTCTGCAGATTTAAGCCCGTCGCAATGTCCTACCAGCAGCCCCCGTATCATCACCAGCCCGGGTAGGTTCACTCCCGACTTCACCATTGTGGTGAAGCCCGCTCCCTCCGCACCGGCAATTGCCCATCCAAACCATCGATCACCTATACCGTCCATCCCTCCAGATTTATATTTTCATACAGACCCTCCAGCAGCGGTCGCTACCTTGGTTGCAGAATTTCTGACTTGCTTTCGACATAGCTACGGCCCACCTCCCCCCGGACCTCCTCCCGGACAAGAGGGTTACTACGGCCCTCCCCAGCCCGGTTACCAACAGCCTTACTACGGCCAGCCACAGGTACTACCATATCTACAATCCTGATTCCCGCGCAGTCATTGACATATTAAAAAAATTAGCCTCAATACCAGCAGCCGCCCCCAGCTGCGTACGCTCCCCCAGAGCAGCAGAAGAGCAGCGGCGGCGGCAAGGGTTGCCTCGGCAGCTGGTAAGTTAGGACTCTTATTCTTGCTGACTATGTCTTGAACGCCTCTAATTTCTCGCTCCATAGTCTTGCCATGTTGTGCTGCTGCTTCGTCTGTGAGGAGGGCTGTGAGTGCTGTGCCGAGTGCATCGAGTGCTGCGAGATGTGTTAGACTCCCCGACCTATGACCTCGATGATATCTTCTTTCTCCATGGCGTTCGAATTTTTAGATCCGCCCGGCAGGATTCTGGGACGGATTCTGCTGCACTCATTGGACCGCGCAATTCTTTTTTGACGTCTCGTGTCGAGTCGGGCTTTCCTTCAAGAGACTGCCTCAAAGGTGGCATCAAATTCTAGCTGATGTGTTTATTTTCGCTTTCTACCTTGAGCTCATTTTGAATTACAATTTACTTGGATTCTGTAGTCTCGTTCATTCATGCCTGTATTGGATTTTCTGAGGTTCACGGATTTTTCCTAGATGAGACGACTTGTAGCTTTATTAAGATTCTACCAGGGATACTATGACGGCAATTCAGTTTTCCATTATGTCTCACAGCTAGACATTGAACCAATATCTTAGTTGTTGAGACTTAGATCCAGATCGCCTTGCACAGCCCAATGAGGCAAGACCATCATTCAAGAGATGACCCAATTTCTGAAACAGTGGAACCTAGCAATCGGCGATGTTTCTTGGTCCAAATGGCTCAGCCTCTTGAATGATTGGCAAGGGACCGGAGTTGGCCCGCCGCTAAGCGCTCAAGTCTCATGCATCGCCATGCTACCTCATTTGGAACACCTTCTCCAGGCGGTTCAGCGATCATGATCAGTGGCCCAGGAAGGAGCACATAAACTACGGCAGCCCCGTGTGGTTGGTTCTTATTTTCTGTGCTTAATTGAGTTTTTGAGAATGCTATTTATAGTTTTTTGATCTTTCACAAGCCCCCCCATATAGTTCATCGATACCGAGATTAGCAACGAAGAACAGCGCAAGCCCGACCCCGCTGGATAAGGATGGCTTGTGCCTGCTCTCTTTGGATAGAGGAGGTGCGAGGGCTCTCTCAACAATCTATATTCAGAAGCATATCATGCTTCAATCAAGTCCTCTCTATAATGAGCGCCTTGTTAGCCGCCTACAGAATGGCCAATAAAATGGCCAAAGCCGAAGAACTGGGCTATCGGGCTGTCGAACCTCTTCTTTTTCCATTCGGTACACATCATACAATAACTTTAACTGCCATTAATAATCTTGTGTTTATCTATATCACTCGGGGATGGTTCGTTCTGGTAGACAAACTAGCCGGGGAGCTTCTTTCCCTTTCAAAGATTCTCAGACCAGGCAGCTATATCGCAATCACGTCCATCTCCACTCTAACAAACATACGCGTACAGCAAGAGGCTTTGAAAGAGACACAAGATCTATACGAAGAATCTTTGGTAGGATTTAGAAGTATACTTGGTCCTGAACATCCCCTTATTATTCAACACTTACAATGCCTAGTCTTGGCAACAAAAATGCACTGCCAACATAATAAAGCCATGGCGTTGATGAAGGAATGCGCTAGTTTGTAAGAAAAGGCTTTTGTTGTAAATTATAATGTAACACTAGTCAGCTTGCAGACTATCGAGGATTGGAAAACCAAAAGGGAGTGATTGGCTTATCATGAGTTTTCCGAGGATCTACCATGACCAATAAATAAGTGACTTTGCGTTGACAATTGATTCGGAACAGACATTACACGACTAGATATAACCGAATACTCCTTTCAAATTGCTCATGTCAGCATGATGCTCGATCGACCGAAGCAATACCCACGAGTCAAGGTCTTTGGTGGCCTCTATAGCGCTCGGTGACAACTGAAAGATGATACTCTCATTTGTGAAATCAAAAAAGCGGCAAAGGCGATATTGTTTTTCAACACCTACCTACTGATCAAGCTCCTGTTAGAGACATACAAGAAGAAAATCTCTCCATGTCGAAAGACTCCTGTGGCTAGTATTGATCAATTTATCGAATGATAGATGGGGCTGGGATGATTTTGGCGCTGTATTCGACATGTTTCTCCTGTTGACGAAGCCATTGGGACTTAGATATTGTTTGGGTGCTCAATGTTAGTATCTTGTTTTCTACTTCAGAGAATGATAAGAAAAAAAATCGATGTTCCACTTCCTAATATATCTCATCTTTCTGATCGAGTGCGGATCAGAATGTGCACTCGCCGAGCGCTTTACTGGTCTGACTGACCCCACTCACTTTGGTGACACCATAAAGCACAACATTAGACCCAGCCCCGCAGGTGGAAAGTGGAAAAGTGGAGGCTCTGGGGTTGCGGATTAGCACTTCTATTTTCCCCATCAATCAGATCTCGCGACCGAGAAAATCATCATAAGGTACTTTGTGCACCGATAGAGCCAACTGTTGGACTGTGGTGCTCTCCATTCTGTCTCTGTCAGAATGGCACGGCCTTTTAGAACCCCTGCGCCACCTCACATAATGGGCCAGGCACGAGTCCCCTCACTTCACGCAGGGATTCGGGTATTAGTGAAATGCACTAGCTTCCGATGTTTCTCCAGCCGTGCTGGTCGCTGGAGGGGTATGTTTGGCCCAGAATACTCCTCCTGGGATTTTACCCAATCGAGACATGCAATATCGGCAATTATGCAAGCTAGTCGTATTGCAGTGCCTCGAGAGCGGAAATGATCTTCTGCAACGTCCTGATCGTCCCTGATCTCAGTTGGAGTAGATGAGGGGTGACGAGAATGCCGAGCAAAGGGAATTTCACCCGGTTAAATCACCATGCGATGCCAGATTCACAGTAGAATGAGGGGACATAAATACTGAATGGTGCCGCCTCATCGGCGATTACTTCTGATCTAAACCAGGCAGGATCAGCAAGCTGCATCTGCAAGCAACTTTCTATTGCGGCAATCATGTTACGCGAGTACCTTCTTCTGCCACTGCTGGCATCATATGCAGCAGCTGTGCAGATCTCGGTAGCTAAGTCTGGAGGCAATGTTACGACTAACTTGCAGTATGGTGCGATGGAGGAGGTACGATCACTAGACACATGTTTAGTGACAGTGATTAACATGGACTTCAGGAGATCAACCACTGCGGCGAAGGTGGTCTATATGCGGAGTTGATTCGCAATCGAGCTTTTCAGGGCAGCACAACATATCCATCCAGCCTGGATGCTTGGTCAGCTGTTGGGGACTCGAGTTTGTCTCTCCAGAACTTGAGCAATCCTCTTTCTTCGGCGTTGCCTACCTCTGTTCGAGTCAAAGGAAAAGGCACCTCTGGCTTCAGTAACTCAGGCTTCTGGGGAATCGATGTTCGACCGCAGAAATATTCAGGATCATTCTATGTCAAGGGATCTTACAGTGGTGCTTTTACTGCTTATCTCAAGTCCGCGACGACTGGAGAAGTATGGGCAAGCGCCAAGGTGTCTTCAAAGAGTGTTGCCAAGGAATGGGTGCAGCATGAGTTTGTTCTCACACCATCGAAGAAAGCCCCAAACTCCAACAATACGTTTTCGCTAACCTTTGATGCGTCGGTATGTATGCGAATTGATTGATATCATTCACCTTTTCCATTTACTGATAGCGACCAGAAAGCATCTGGCGGCTCGCTAGACTTCAACTTGATCAGCCTCTTCCCGCCAACTTGGAATGATCGCCCAAATGGAATGCGACGGGACCTCATGCAGGCATTAAGCGACTTGGGGCCGGTGAGTTCTGCGTTATTTTTTCTAATCTCTATGCAATAACTGACTTGATAGAAATTCCTACGATTCCCCGGTGGCAACAACCTTGAGGGAGACACCATCGACGGTCGATGGAAGTGGAATGAGACAATCGGACCGCTCAAGGACCGACCTGGTCGCGCCACGACTTGGCAATACCAAGAGACTAGCGGCATGGGCTTGGTTGAATACATGGAGTGGTGTGATGACCTCAACATGGAACCAAGTAAGAACATCAACAATGATTTTCGTGAATCCGAAAGCTGATTGAATTTCCCTATAGTTCTTGCTGTATGGGCCGGTCTGGCTCTGAATGGAGATGTAATTGCCGAGGAAGACCTTGATTTCTACGTGCAAGATGCTTTGCATGAGATTGAGTTCTTGACTGGCTCTGTTGATACCGAGTATGGTGCCTTGCGCGCGAAGTATGGCCACCCAGACCCGTGGGTCATCCGATATATCGAGGTTGGGAACGAAGACAATCTCAACAGTGGTCTAAGCTCGTATGAGTCCTACCGGTTTGCGGCGTTTTACGATGCAATCACCGAGAAGTATCCCGATATCCAGGTCCTCGCATCAACTGTCGCAATGACTCTTCCAGGCACGGCTGGTGGTGACTACCATTTATACGATATTCCGGATAACTTCATCACTAAATTCGATATGTTCGATAGCTACAGCACTGAGCATCCTATTCTCCTTGGTATGTGTTTCTTGAAACCGAAGGAATGTTGATTGGTTGGTTGGGAAGACGAAGGAGGATATCCAACCTTATCTGACATGTTTAGTCTCAATATTTGTGGTGCGATGAACTGACTTGGAATGTAACAGGTGAAATTGCTGCGACCGAGTGGAACAACGGAGTTGGCATCGACTGGAGTGATACTCACTTTTCTCTCTATCCTTGGTGGCTCGCCTCGGTTGCCGAGGCCGTTTTCCTTCTGGGTGCTGAACGCAATGCGGACAAGATCATTGGAACTACTTATGTGAGAAAATAAATCCTCCCCAGAAAATATGCTCTCGGCAAAACTAACCAGGAAAGGCTCCATTCTTGATGAACCTCGATAACTACGAATGGTCCCCGACTATGATCTCATTCAACGCCGACCCCGATGATACTGCGCGGTCTACTAGTTGGCACGTCTACAATGTAAGGGCTTTTGACGATAGATAGTAGATATACCTGTGTGCTCGCTAACATTTGAACAGCTTTTCAATAAGAACCACATGACCAACACTCTGCCGGCATCTTCAAATAGCAGCTTTGGTCCACTTTACTATGTCGCTGGTCTGGATGACAAGACAGACTCGCGTATCTTCAAAGCGGCTGTCTACAACAGCACTGCGGACGTTCCCGTGTCATTGACCTTCGAGGGTATTGGGCGGGGCGCGACTGCGGACTTGACCGTCCTCACCGCGCCAAGTGGCTTCTCGATGAATGAAGTTGGCGCTGCCAACGTGGTCCAAAGTAAGACAACGAAGATCAAGGCTGGCAAACAAGGTGTATTCAGCTTCAAGCTGCCGAACCTGAGTGTTGCAGTTCTGACAACCAACTGAGTGAGCTATCGAACCATCCCCGCAAAAGTATATATATAGGTTGCACACAACGTGTTTTTGAGGTCGCAATCCATGTTCAGCAGAATGCTTTAACTTGGAGTACTAAATTCCCCCTTACGTCGAAATCCAAAAAGGGGCTATTTTGAGCAACCTCATACTAGAGAATATAAAATTGTTGTCTTGGACATGAAATAGAAAAAAAAGGGTTCGAAGTAACTCCGAACGTAAAAGTCTTCGAGTTCATATAAGGAAACGTTTAAAATACGTATATTCCAAGCCACTCACAGCTCCCAGTAAAGGTTTAGTCGCTCACTACCATTTCACAGTACACACAGCATTACTCTCCGATCATAGCTAGATCTTGAACCCAAGTTCTAATTTTCACCTCCAAGAAGAGTATCCTCAAACTCCGCGCCTAGGAAAGATAGAAGGCTAGACCAGCGACCAGCAATGCCCACACACTGGGTGAGAGCATTCCAGATGCCACATTAGAGGGAACATAGGTTGGAGTGGGCTTGGTAGTGGTTGTGGTCCAAGATCCTGTGTGGGTTTTGCAAGAAGTGGTCGTCGCTGTAGTGGTTGGCGGGTGTGTAGTATGGTGAGTCACGGCAGGTGTCGCCGTTCCCTTTGCCACCAAGCATACGCTTGTGCTGGATCCCGAAGTGACCGTGTCGAAACTAACTTGCGGGACAGTCGCTGTCTGCGAAGCCCAGGAGATGGTCGTGCAGGGGGTCATTGGGGCCGCGGTGGTCGCTCGAATCTCACCAGTAGTGGCTTTGGAGAATGTCGTCGGCGCATGAACAGGGGCTGGAGGGGTGCCACTCGGGACAATATCAATAATAGCAGGGTTCTTTGGAACATAAGGAGCGCAGATGCCGGCGAAGTAAGAAAGTGCACGGTTGGTTTCATCCTCAGAACTGCCCCATGCATGGATACAAGAATCGACCTTTGCGGTGAACTCGGACGATGGGCAGAAGCACGCGGCATCGCTGTTCGAGTCACACTTGGGAATGGAGAGCCAAGTATTAATGCACTTAGGGACCACTTCGGGGCATGGGGCCGGGACCACGGATGGACTGGTGACATCGGACGAGCTGACTGGGCTCGAGGGAGAGTGGACTGGCTTGGATGGACAGACAGTAGTCGAAAGAGAATATGTCGACGTCAAAACCACGGTCGAGTGGGAGGGGCAATCGGTAACTGTTGGGGGACAGTTGGTCACGGTAATCTCGGCAGTCGTCCACACCGTCGAAGTGGTCATCGGCGGGGATGGGCTGGTGAAAGGTGGAGGGGTGACAACCGGAGTGCTGGAGTGATCAACCGAATGCGATTCACTCGCTGGCGGGGAAACCGGGGGCTTGGTCCCAGTCGAGCAGTCAAAGTTGATCTGATGAATGTTGAGATCGCATTCCCCGAACTTGCTCTCTTCTGGCAGCATGAAATTGACCGCGACTGCACCGCCACACTGGGTGTTGGCCACATCAACTCCCTCAGGCGAGCTCCTGACAACCTGATGACAGAAGGAAGAAGATCCGTCATCCGGCATATCATACCGAAGCAGAACGTCCGTGTTGCGGGAGGTTGAAAGACGGAAGTCGCTCACGGAAAACGGCGCATCAGCGGCGTCCACTTTCAGCATGTAGCTATCATCTCGGGAAAGCTTTCCCTCAATGCACTTGCCCTATGCATGGTTAGTACACATTATACTTGTATCTTCTTAGTTAAACGAAAATGGACATACCCCTGCAGATCCACAAGCATCCTTGGGTGAGAACCCAACGAACTTGAACCCCTCAAAGGCCCAGTCATCCCCTTCGGCCAGATCCGACCAGTCAAACCCAGACTGCTGGGCCGGCGAGCACTGGTTGTCAGTGTTTTCGGGGCTGGGATAGCAAAGATCGGTGCCCCACCACTAAAATATTTGTGAGCAGAAATGCCTTGGAACTGCCAAGATGTCTCGGTACTTACAAGGCCGGATGGGTGGGCGAGTGCGCCCACGCCTAGAAACGCGGCAAGAGAAAGGATTGAATGCATCATCAACAGTGATAGTAAATGAATGTGTAGACAAAAAGAGTATTGCGATGATTAATGACAGACAGCAATTAACTCTATCTGAGAAGGCAAAAAAAAGAAAGATACCGAAAAGCGAGGAGTGTCGACTGAATGTGTTGTGGCGGACAACTTCCGTAATACTGGAAACTTCATGGCTTTTAAGTCTAAAACTATGATGAGTTCTCAACTATTCACACATCAAGCAAGCGGTTGTTTATGTTTGTTGATGATCGGAAAGAAAATGGAATTCAGCCACCAAAGCGGTGGCGGCCAGTCTCCGCACATGCAGAGTCCGTCCCATGGTTACCAATTATGAGAGACACTCGGCAAGGCTTATTCCTCGTGGGTGTATGAAGAAGGAGGAACAGATGTCAGAGAGAAGAAGGGGTGAACGAGAATGTGACATTCCTAGAAGCCCGAAGCCTCCAAGGGTGAATCAGTAGTATTATTTCCAATATTCTGTTTGCACTTCAATCCCACTGAGACAGAATTTAAGATATTTCATTAGTCTCTGCTGATAGATATATGTAGTCTGTAATTGTGAAAAGTTATAGAGACCCAATCGTGTCACAGGAACCAGCGCTATGAAACATGACTCACTTCAACCTGAAGTACCAATTATCTCTGATTCAATTTTCTTGATAGTGGCCAACTTTTCTCTTAAATCGGTCAATCGAATAGTCCTATAGAAAACAACAGATCAACAGGAAAGCGAATCATAGAACTTCGGGTTGGGAAGCTCCGAGATGTAGCACCATTTTGACCCGCATTCTGACCTTATCCCTTACATTGTTAGGATCTAGAAGAAAGGGGAACATACAAAGCTCGTCCAATGATAGAGCTTCGCTTCAGTACTCAGAAAAGTCAACATTCCGAGCTCGGCAAATTTGACTTAACTTAATTTCAGTGCTTTAGCCTTAAAAAATCAGATCTTTTGGCTGCTCTAATTTCGCGAGACACCATCGAACAACAAATCGCTTCAACTAGCTTGCCACACACATATTTCGAAGGTATTTTCAGAATAGAAAGCTGTATTGAACAAAGCACTAACCGATTTTCACACAATCTGGCCTGGACGCTAGCATATTCTATCCATGGGCTCACACCAAAGGGCTCCACGACAGAACCGGATCCCATTCTGGATACCTATCCAGAGAAACAAGACCACATATTTTTCCACGACAATTTTGTGCATTGTTGTAGAATAAGTACGAATTTTTAACCTGTCAAAATTCGACATAATTTCAAGGCCGGGATTAAATTGCATTTTGCTTGAAAATGGAAACATATGGCACCGGCCTTAGGGTGCCATGGAGTTTGGGAACAAAAAATGCCGGCACACTGTTTCAACGACACTAATTGGGCTTTTACTGGCCCCCGATTAAAGTAACACTAGCATAGAGGGATTAGTATCCGAGAAAATATTAGAGGTACCCAAAGAGCTTTTGGCGACACTTCTGATGAAGAGGCTTGTGCCAGCAAGGCCGGCACAACCAGGCCTGTGTCTATCTGTCGACCTTAGGAATGAACCAAAACGATCGCGTAGAAATGATGACAACACAGCTCGTCTCTTGCCACATCCCGATAATCAACTTGGCGCTTCAAATCACAATCTTAGTCCTATAGGCGACGGGATCTTCGACACAAAAAGCTAGTTCAATTCCAACTACAGACGTCTAGGTTCCCAGAGTATTATACAATAGTATAATGTATACAGTTCGATGGATAGATAGGTGGTTTAAAACAGGATTGAGCCATCTTCGAGGTCTCCCATGGTCAAGGTGTCTCTATTGAGAAGCACCCAACCGCACTGTACCTTATTTCTGATGTTGATGAATTGTTCCTCGGTTTCTGAAATCTTTGTGGTTCATTGTGTGCTTAAAGCCCCAAAATATCTCCCGGTAATTCTCTTGCCCAGCTACCGTGGTCTTTGATTTATAATATATATACCGGCTTTGGCTAGACATGCTGCACCATGACGGCATAGCTATTGTAGTGGGGAAATGGCCTACAAGGGGGATCTCTAATTGGAGGATATCTTTCCAGTACACAGTCCTTACAGGATATAGCTTCAGATCTCTAATAGGGAGAAGAATCAACTCTTACACTCTCTTCGCTCTATCTACTTCTGCTTCCTATAGGGGAGGCTTCCTCTATTGTGGTGTGTGGTGGTTTGTATGCTGGTTTGTTGAAGCTATATCCTCCTGCCTGAATTCTCAGGCTTGCCGCTGAGCGCCCTGGTTCACTATGTACCTATTGTTGTACTTAAAGGATGGTTCGACCCCCCGGGAGACTAGAGTATAAACTTGCATCGTTAAATACAGGTGTGCGAGATTGGCTGTCAACTATAATGGCTTAAATGCATTTGATAATCCTTCAGACCTTGACGACACCCCAGTCGCTCGCTCGGTTTTGAATAATTGATCCTATCATTGCTTGTCAGTATTTCTATCAAATTTCTGTTGATTCACTTCATTGTATGAGAATTGACTAGGGATCGATCAGCTTCTGACGCTTAGCTGGCGAGAATGGCCGTCATCGGGCGATTTTCATCTCTCAAATTTTCGCGATCCTTAATTAGGAGTCTGTCTAGACTTTTCTCATGGCATTACGCGTTCAGAGATTTTTGCATTCGACACTTGCGTCACCTGTCAGACTAACAGAACTATGTAATAGTGATTCTCAATTGGATTGAAATACTTCGCCAATTGAGATCTCTGGCTATCTAGTGCTGACTATGAAATGGCTCTAAATTGGCCCGGTTGAGTTGTTTGACCCGCTCCTGAATATTCCTTTCTCAACCAACCAATCAAGATTGTTCATTCTAACGGCCCCCTTCGGCTCGCCCCAGATCATCTTTCGAGTTACCAGATCGGGAACGTAAGCATAGCACCCCTCCATTTGGACTAAAGCTGTCAGCTTACAAATTCACAGGATATAAATAATTAATTGTACTCCGTTCGCTTATTGACATTTTCTCAAAATATTTTCTCTCTCTCTTTAGCTTTCAAAATAATTGCATTGAAGTCTGGACAACCGAAATGGCCTACACCATCTATGACTCCTCCATCCTCCAAACAAAGCGCGTCTTGACTTCGCTGTCTGACATCCTCCACAAGGCAGAGGAGCATCCAAATGCCGCGAATTTTCCCAATAGTCGACTTTACGAAGACATGAAGTCACTTAGCTATCAAGTCTTTTGCGCGACAACTCAAACTTTGCTTGTCTTGGCTAGATTGACAGATGCAGAGCCGCCGGTGCACGACTCAAGCAAGGATGTCCTTTTCTCTTACGCTGAAATGTACCAGCGCATTGAAAAAACACTCCAAGCGCTGGATGCTGCCGATAAGACCTATATCATCGAGCACTGCGAGGATGTTAAGCCCACATCTCTAGGCACGACCACGATGCCATTGTCTGGGATAGTGTATGCAAATATCATGCAGGCGAATATCTTTTTCCATGTCACGACTGCATATGGTATTTTGCGGAAGGAGGGTGTTCCACTGGGAAAATGGGATTATCTAATGCCCTTTGTGATGCAGCGATGAATTGTCTGGACCTCACGCCTGGCAAAATTTCTGGAATGTATCATAATACAATAATCTACATAAGAGTATCAAACAATGAAGATTACTGGTACCTGTCTCTTCCATTGGTACTATGCTCAAAATCTCAAATCAGCGACATGTGAAGAGTGGAATACGTATTTACATGAGGCCAAAAACCAAAATGAAGCGTAATCTTAGACGTGCTCCAACAATAGAGGTTTGGTAGCTTATTCACCGACGATGTATGGGGGTCTCACGAGGGACTCACTTTAACTACAGAGGTATCACTTCAACGGCGCAATTTCCCTCTGGATACAAAAGAACTTTCCGAATTATCGGCATTGACGTGATCCGATGGATCTGTTATATGTTTTACATTGCAAATGCAATGCGAATGAACTCAATTGACAGAGGGGAAAGTTCCTCGTGCCAAGCTACATTGCCACTATTCAGCCGATAGCTTTGATTCTGAAGCCCTTAATTCAAAAAGTTCCTATTGGACTAATGAAGGTATGATGGTGTAAAGCATAGTGAAACTCGGCTGGTATGGTCCTGTTTAATCCTTCATGTATTTGACTACGAACCCCATGAGCCAGAGAACGGAAGGCTATGGGCGGGAAATATCTTTCAGAGCCTTTTCATTTGGAAAATTCTATCTACTGTTTTCACTTTCGAATTCAATAATATCTCCGTAGCACTTACAATCTTGAGATTGCCAAGTCTTAGACCAGAGATCTGCCTCCGGCACCACCGTGGGCTTGGCAAAGGAAGGTGACGACTTGGGCCGTGAGGCAACCTCCTGGGACGTAAAGCTAGAGTTCATCACCTCACCGTGAAATAATCCGGCACCTTTGGATGGGAGGAGGGGCGCAATCTCCAGAATTAATCTGCTCCGGTACGTTCGAGCCCTTTCCCGCGGGTGAAGAAGGCTGAAATAGTTGCGATGACTCCACAGGAAGCAGACGCGGCAAAGCATAGCCGGATGCCCTTGTAATAAACCATTCGAACAGCCATCTGCACGTCTGGAGGGAGATCATGAATAGCGGATACAGAATGACGAATTTGGTCGATAATCTAGACAAAAATGAGAATCAAGATGGTCAGCGGATCGCCCATGGCACTCTCAAGTCAACAGGGAAATGGGGATGTACTTTCCCTTTGTCTGGTATTCCACTCAAGGCCCCCCCGAGGCCTGAGTTCAATGTATTCTGAATGATGGCCGAAGTAATAGCCACTCCCCAAACACTGCCGAGAGAGCGAATGAGATATACGGTAGAGGCAGATACCGCATGGTCTGAACCGAGGTCAGTCGATTGTCTTTGTCCAGTAACAACCAATGGAACCTTACCGGAATGATCGAAGGCAGCAAGAAAGGTAAAAAGAATTCCAGGGTAAACAATTCCCTGTCCTAGGTTGGCGGGAATGGTATAGGCAAAGTATTTCCACTCCGAATCATTAAAGCGTAAGAGAGTCACCAGCAAATTTCCGAAAAACATAAGAGCAGCTCCTGTGCGAACCAATTGAGCTAGCTTTCCCCATCGTGACATCACGACACCGGAGATAAATCCTCCCAATGGTGTAGCAAGAGATGGAATCACCAGCCGGGCGCCTGCTTTGGAGGGACTATCCAGCAGAATGACTTGAAAGAGCAGTGGTAAGGTAAAGAGAAACTATGGAGGCCAGTTCAATTAGTATGTTGCGAAATGGAAATCAATCAAAGGACACTCACGGCATATGCTGCCATCCCAACGCACACGTTCGCAATTTGAGTCGATACGGCAAGCTGTCCTTTAAGCATCTTCAATGGTATGAGAGGCGCCGCAGTTGTTGTTGCTTCGACGGCAAAGAAGGCCCCCAAGAGAACAATACTGGAAACAAGGGATAGGATTACCCAGACGTTGGTCCAAGGAAGTTCATTGCCGCCCAGGCTTAGGCCTACCAGTTGACTCGACAAAGCGAGAACCAGTAGAAGTGAACCAAGCAGATCAATTTGTTGCCAGATGCCGCGAGTCGGTTGCAATGTCGGGGATTCTTTCTTAGTCGGAGACTTCAATACAAAATACCCCAAGACTAGAGCTGACAGCGATACCGGAACTTGCATCAAAAAGCACCAGCGCCATCCGATCGTGTCGACAATTGTGCCACCAAATGAAGCGCCACAAATTGCTCCGAAACCATATGAAACATTTTGGACTACCTGGTACATCCCGCGCTGGCGGAACGGAATCATATCGGAGTTGATTATGGTTGCTATGTAATTGATCAGTAAAGATATCGCATGTCGTTGAAGTGCTTTGAGAAGAAGAACACACCCATAGTCATTAGGCCACCACCGCCAATGCCAGTCAACGCGCGCATCACGTTGAGAAAGATCACATCTCGGGCGACCGCGCATCCCAGACACCCGATCAGGAATGAGACGGTGGCGGTGAAGAAGCAGGTGCGGCGACCGAGAATATCTGAGAGACGTCCATATAGTGGCTGGAATGCCGTGCTTGTAATCAAATAGGATGTTGTTAACCACGAAGCAGTATTGGCAGCGTTGAATTCGGAACTGATCACGGCGTAAGTCGAGGCCGTTATCGTGCCATCGAACCCGCCGAGAAAAACGTTTGACATGATCGCTATTAATAGATTTTGATTAGCATTCAATCTATTAGAGCAGGGTATACTTTTCTTCTAACCTAGCTGAATAACAAGAAACCCCGGTGGCGGCTTCCACAGCACCGCTTGATTCGGTTGCAAGAGTGGTCGTTCTTCGCTCGGTGTCATCATTGCAGGGGCAGAATTTTCTGTGTCTTGATATTGGGTCATATCTTCCGAATCACAAGTTGAAAGATTTTGTTCGCCGCAACGCGTAACTATAGCGGGGTATGTTGAGGGACTACTTGAGAGGTCCTTTCAGTAAAGTTTCAAACCAGGGAAATGATGCTAAGAGGGCCTAGGCAAAAACCAGAAGTTCAGCGACTAGACTTTTTCCGCGGTCAATCAGTATAAGAAGTTTGGAGACGAAAATTTCAAATCAATTCTGTCAACGAGAGCGGGAAACTGCAGCGGGCACTCGATTAGGAACGTGGGGCTCTTTTCGGCCGAGGAAGCACGACATTTGCTGCGCTTCGCACATTATGATTGATCGGCGCCTCCTCGGGATGATTCGATCAATCTAATACGTGAAATCATTGTTCGCAATGGCGATAGAAATATTAATCTAAGCCATGCATGTTATCCATGGTCGGGATTCTTATAAATGCACTCGCTGTCCCCTTTCCTTCATCCCTTCTCTTTCTATCAGTGCTATATCAGTTTCTATAGCCTCTATAAAATTGGGTTCGCACAATTTCTAGCGGAACACCAAGTTTCAGTTCTTTCGTCGACGACTTGACCCAGTGCAGAATATTCATCTAAGGTTAATGTACCCTATTTCGCACACAATGGACGGCATCATGGAAACTGATCGCTGGATTAGTCCTTCTTCCTATAATGATGAAGGTTCCTGAAACCCTTGTCTGGATCGCCGCATTGGCACCCCTAGCTGCTGCCAATTGGCAGTTTAAGTCTCGAACAGACCTTGCCCCACCTCGACTTAACATCACCATCCCTGCGTCTTTCGATGTTGAGGAGGGATATCTGTTCGTCGCCCCGTTCGCGGGTCAATGGGCGGAACCACAGCTCCATGGCCCACGTCAGGAAGGGCCGTATATCTTTCGTGATGACGGCGAGCTCGTTTGGTCTGGGTACACATACTACTCCATCTGGGCGGCCAATTTCCAGGCCGCTTGCTGGAAGGGACAGGATGTCCTATTCAGCTTCGAAGGAGACCATAACCCAGCATATGGGCACGGACATGGACATGTAACAATTCTTAACCAGAACTACGAGACGATTCGAGAACTGCGTGCCGGGAACCATAAGCTCATGGATAAGCATGAATTTCATGTGATTGATGAGAGGACTGCCCTAATTCAGGTGTACCAACCAATTCCAATCGACCTGACTCGGTGGGGTGGAAGCCCAGAGCAACAGTGGATTGTGAATGCCATCTTTCAGGGTATGTCATTTCCCACTGCTATGACTTCAAGATGCCGCTGGCTAATATCGCGGCTCGTGACCTAGAATTGAATATTGAAACTGGTGAACTGCTTTTCGAGTGGTCAAGTCTTGAACATGTTAGTCCTGACGGTACGATCCTTCGCTGATTACGCCTTGATCTGTCTGTACATCTTGTTTAATTATTTTGCTAATTCTCACTGCGATCAGAGGCCGTCCTCCCCCTCAACCCTGGTCAAGCTGGTGCAGGCTTTAATTCGTCGGACGCATGGGATTACTTCCATATCAATTCAGTCGACAAGGATGCATCGGGTAACTACTTAATCTCCGCTCGCGATGCTTGCGCCGTCCATAAAGTCAATGGGACAACTGGGGAGATCATCTGGCGTCTGGGTGGTCTCCGGTCTGACTTCAATCTGGGCCCCAACGTCCGGTTCTGCTTCCAGCACCACGCTCGTTTTGTGTCGCAAGACAAGGACGAAGAGATTATCTCTCTCTTCGATAACTCGGCCCATGGCACCGAAAATCACCGCGGCCATGAGGTTCACACGCATCCTTTTTCTCAGGGAAAGATAATTTCTCTCAATACTGCGACGTGGACCGCACGGACCGTTCAGGCATTCCAGCCTCCAGATGGACTTTTGGCCAAGTCGCAAGGGAGCACTCAACTTTTACCCAATGGTAATGTCCTGGTCAACTGGGGTTCAGAGGGCGCCTTGACCGAGTTCCGACCAGATGGCACCCCCATTTTCCACGCTTATATGGACTCGGGCGCTCTTGGCGAGGGCGTTCAGAACTATCGCGCATTTCGATATAACTGGACCGGCTTGCCTACGGAGGAACCTGCCATTTTTGCTGAGAGAACCCCATCAGGCACAGCGGTGTATGTCTCGTGGAATGGTGACACCGAGACAGCGATCTGGCGGTTTTATGCAGTGACTGACCAATATGGATCTCGGACATTCTTGGGTGAGACGGAGCGACAAGGCTTTGAGACTTCCTTCTCTTGGACTGGTCACTCCTACTCGTATGTGGCAGCCGAAGCCGTCTCAGACATGGGCCACGTCCTGAAAACGACGTCGGTAGTTCCTCTCCATAATCAGGTGTTGCCTCCGGGGGGCAACAATGTTGAAGCTGATAAGATCGCCTGGCGCCCGGTTGTTTTCCAGCCATAATCAAGTTCAGCCATCAATTCAATCCAAACGAGGATATCTCAGTAGACGAGGGAGAATACGAGAACGAGGGGAGCGAGCAAGCGAAATTGTGAACGTCGGAGATTAATGCACGTGAGTTGCACATGGTAGTCGCATGGCACGAGAAGGTTATCGTTTGGTCATCTTTTGTCAACTTTAATCAGTCTTTACCGGTCTTTATTAGTGAGAAGAACCAAAAGAGTCTCTCAGTCAAAAACAATGTTGTAGGTTGCCCTTCCTGGTAGAATAAAACCTCTTCGGATGTTCATCTCTCCGTTCGAGCAGTCGACGCAACCGGCTCTTGGTCCTCTTAATTCCCGTCAATCAGCGTGCCTCGCCACGATCATTCGACCGCTTCCCCGCGTTCGAGTATCGGAACCCATCCCAAAGAGGCCAATGCTGCTGAGCCGTGGGTCCACCTGAAATACGACATATACGCAGCCAATCATCAGCTCGCATGGTAGTTGACCCGACTGGGTTTCTTGATCAGAGGCGGCGATGATGACTCCTCCACGGTAAGATCGCGAGGGAGCCCATGATAGGGGTGTGTCCACTTGGCACCTCGTTGCCATGTGGATCTACCTAATTGTACATACTGGATAATATGGGTCGCTAAGTACCGGTACTACCTTGTATGTCTTTCACCCCGGCCCGTCCAGGCACCTCGATGGCAACCAAACCAGCCAAACCCTGCAAGAAAGATCAAAGAACCCAACGAAAGACCCTGGATGTTGGGCCAACCGATCAGCTTCTCGGATCGCGTGCGTTCCGTGATCCGGACTGATCAGCCCGGTTGCCGGAAAGCGTAATCTTGACTGGCAGTTTCTTACACTCCAAATCATCTCCAATCTCTCTTTTCCGTTCCTTTGATACTCTTGCTTTTCGATGCGATTCATTTAATCATGGCGGCACCTCAGCCTCCCGGCCCCTTCGGGGGTAATGCCATCGCGCAAACAGCAGCGCGCCTCATGAACCAGTCCATGGAAGAATCCATAGCTGAAGAGAGCTTGCATGCTAACCGCGGAGAGATCGATGATTCGGCAACACCAGTCACCGTGGCTGAATCAGAGGAATCCAGGCATCGAGAAATCACATCTCTTGCCCGAACATTTTCACAGCTATCAAAGCAACAGAGTATTGGCAAAAATGACGCTCAGCAGGAAGGTGTGAATACTTTCCTTGAAGCGAAAACCAATCCGGAGCTAGATCCTAATTCAGACCAATTTAATTCACGGAAATGGGCTCGAAACTTGTTGGACATGACGCGGGATCCGGAACGTTATCCGCGTCGCACAGCAGGCGTCTCATTCCGCAATCTCAACGTCTTCGGCTATGGCACAGCTGCCGACTACCAGACCAACTTTGGTAATGCCTGGCTCAAAATGTGGAGCTGGGTACAAGGACAGTTGGGAATGAGGGAGAAAAAGCGAATTGATATCCTTCGGAACTTTGAGGGAATTGTCCACCAAGGAGAAATGCTCGTGGTGTTGGGTCGTCCTGGCAGGTAAGACCGGGCTGTTCTATCTCATAGGCAGAGGACCAGCGAGCACATTTACTAACCAATATGCCTCAATAGCGGATGCTCAACATTTTTGAAAGCAATTTCGGGCGAAACACATGGTCTTTTCTTAGAAGATGGCTCCGATATTGAGTACGATGGTATCACTTGGCAACAGATGCATGGCAGATTCCGAGGTGAAGTGATCTACCAAGCGGAGACCGAGATCCACTTCCCCCAGATGACGGCTGGAGACACTCTTCTCTTTGCCGCTCAAGCACGGGCACCGAGTAATCGACTACCTGGAGTCTCGCGCGATCAATACTCGGTGCATATGAGAGATGTGGTAATGGCCATGCTGGGTTTGTCACACACCATGAGCACACAGGTTGGCAATGAGTACATTCGCGGAGTCTCTGGAGGAGAACGAAAGCGACTTAGTATTGCCGAAACAACGCTTTGCGGCAGTCCTTTACAGTGCTGGGACAACAGTACGCGTGGTTTGGATAGCTCTACCGCTTTAGAATTTGTCCGAAACCTTCGTCTATCCACTGAATACAGTGGGTCAACCGCTATTGTGGCTATTTACCAAGCCAGTCAGTCTATCTATGACATCTTCGATAGAGCTCTTGTTCTCTATCAAGGCCGTCAAATTTATTTTGGTAGGGCGGATGACGCGAGGCGTTTTTTCATCGATATGGGCTTTGACTGCCCCGACAGACAAACCACTGCCGATTTTTTGACTTCCCTGACAAGCCCATCAGAACGCCGCGTCCGCGCAGGATTTGAAAATCAGGTACCACGAACTCCAGACGAATTCGCGACACGATGGAGGGACAGTGATGAACGAAAAAGGCTTTTACAAGAAATTCAAACCTGTCGATCCCAGCATCCGGTTAATGGAGATCAATGGGATGCTTTTAATCTTTCCCGGGCAGCAGAGAAAGCTAAAGGTACTCGAGCTAAATCGCCATACACTCTCTCTTACTGGATGCAGATCCGTCTATGCCTTTGGCGTGGATTCTTGCGATTGAAGGGTGATATGAGTATGACACTAGCCACTGTTATCGGTAACACCATTATGGGCGTTATTATCTCCACCGTCTTTCTTGATCTACCCAGCAACACTGGCAGTTTCTTTCAACGCGGCGCTCTTCTTTTTTTCGCAATTCTTCTCAATGCATTTGCTAGCTCATTGGAGATTTTGACTCAATGGCAACAGCGACCAATCGTGGAGAAGCATTACAAGTATGCCCTCTATCATCCATCTGCGGAAGCTATCAGCTCGTACATTGTGGAGTTGCCTTCGAAGGTCTTGGTCGCAATCACATTTAACATCATCATCTACTTCATCCCGCATTTGCGTCGGACACCCGGTCACTTTTTTGTATTCTTCCTCTTCTCATTTACAACTACATTGGTCATGTCCAACGTTTTCCGTACCATCGGAGCTGTCTCTCGTTCGATGGCCCAGGCCATGGTCCCGGCTTCAATATTTATGATGATTCTGGTCATCTACACCGGTTTTACCATTCCTGTGCGGGACATGCACCCCTGGTTCCGATGGCTTAACTACATAAATCCAATTGCGGTGGGTTTTGTCTACCAACTTAATCTACACATAGAACATCACTGATTGATTTTGTACAGTACGCCTTCGAGTCTCTGATGATAAATGAGTTCAGCAACAGAAGGTTCACTTGCTCTGAATATGTGCCCGGTGGTCCAATGTACACTGATGCGCCTTTGAGCTCCAAGATTTGTTCCCAAAAGGGAGCTGTGGCGGGCGAGGACTACATCGACGGTGACGCTTACATTAATACCACGTTTCGCTACTTCCAGTCCCATTTGTGGCGGAATTTTGGTATCCTTTGTGGGTTCTTTTTTGCGTTCTTGCTCACTTATGTCATTGCTAGCGAGTTTGTACGAGCTAAGCCATCTAGTGGTGAGATTTTGGTCTTCCCGCGTGGCAAGATCCCTGCTTTTGCTAAGAAGATGCGTCAAAACGATGATCCAGAGGATGCCGCCGTGAAGGGAAAACAGGAAGTAGCAGAGAAGGCTCAGGACCTGGCTGTGCAAAGCGCATCTCTGGCCAAACAAACAGCGATCTTTCACTGGGAAAATGTCTGCTACGACATCAAAATCGGGGGTAACCCGCGACGCATCCTTGACCGTGTTGACGGATGGGTAAAACCTGGAACTCTTACCGCATTGATGGGCGTTACAGGCGCTGGTAAGACCTCACTTTTGGATGTGCTCGCCAACCGGATTACAATGGGTGTTATCACTGGCGAAATGCTGGTCGATGGTCGACTTCGGGATAGTTCGTTTCAACGCAAAACAGGCTACGTACAACAGCAGGATCTCCACCTGGAGACTAGCACTGTTCGCGAAGCCCTTGTCTTCAGTGCCCTTCTTCGCCAGCCCCACAGCATTCCACATCAAGAGAAACTTGATTACGTGGAAGAAGTTATCAGGATGCTGGAAATGGAAGACTATTCTGAGGCTGTCGTGGGTGTTCTGGGAACTGGGTTGAATGTGGAACAGCGCAAGCGACTTACTATCGGTGTGGAATTGGCGGCCAAGCCCGACTTACTCCTCTTCTTTGATGAGCCCACATCGGGTCTCGACAGTCAGACAGCGTGGTCAATTTGTACCTTGATGCGCAAACTCGCAGATCATGGACAGGCTGTCCTTTGCACTATTCATCAACCATCTGCGATGCTGATGCAACAGTTTGATCGGTTGCTTTTCCTAGCAAAGGGTGGTCGAACAGTTTACTTCGGAGAGCTTGGCTTAAACATGGAGACTTTGATCAAGTACTTCGAGGACAAGGGCTCTTCTAGATGTCCAAAGAATACTAACCCGGCCGAATGGATGCTCGAAGTCATCGGTGCAGCTCCTGGCTCCTTTGCAGACCGTGACTGGGCAGAAACGTGGATCAATAGTCCAGAAAGAGCTAAAGTAAGAGAGGATCTGGCAGAGATGAAGGCTGAACTGTCTCAGAAGCCTCTCCCTCCAGAGACTGTTGGCTATGGAGAATTTGCTACACCTATCTGGTATCAATTCTATGTGTGCATCACTCGCTCGTTCCAGCAGTACTGGCGCAGCCCTGGGTATCTCTACTCAAAGGTTGCCATGTGCGTCTTCCCGGTATGTCAACCAACTTGGTTTAATAACTCTTCTTATATTTTCTTCTTCATCCTATCTTCGCCATCTTGTATACCCTAGCCTGTCTACCTGATCTTTGTGCAGATATGATGTCTAACTATTGGCAGCCTATTTTCATCGGCTTTACTTTCTGGCGTATGCCCAACAGTCTACAGGGTTTACAAAATCAGATGTTCGCTACATTCATGCTGCTCATTATACTTCCTAATTTGGTCCAGCAAATGATGCCGAGTTTTGTGACGCAGCGAGCGCTCTATGAAGTCCGGGAGCGGCCTTCCAAGGCATACTCCTGGAAAGCGTTCATGCTCGCTAGTATCTTCACAGAGCTACTTTGGAATATTCTCATGTCGGTCCCAGTGTACTTCTCATGGTACTATCCGATTGGCCTGTATCACAATGCTCCCAGTGGGCAGACAATCGCACGAGGAGGAACCACCTATTTGTTGATTCTCATATTCTTGATGTTCACATCGACATTCAGCTCCCTGATAATTGCAGGGATTGAACAACCGGAGACAGGAAGTAATATCGCACAGCTGTTGTTCTCTCTTTGTTTGGTGTTCAACGGGTGAGTCAGACTGATATCTTATTTATTAGTCTTATGTGGTTAGAGCCGCTAACATCGTCTTTTTCGAATGTGTTCAGAGTTCTAGCGAGTCCCTCCGCGCTGCCCCGTTTCTGGATTTTTATGTACCGCGTGTCTCCGTTCACCTATCTAGTATCGGCCGTGCTCTCTACGGGACTGTCAGGCGGCGAAATCGTATGCTCCAGCATCGAACTACTTGAAGTAAATCCACCAACAGGTCAAAACTGTTCATCCTATCTTGATCCTTATGTCAAGGCATACCAGGCGAATTTGTTGAATCCCGAAGCGACAAAAGATTGCCAGATTTGCTCGATTTCGACCACTGATGCATTTTTGGCCGCTCTGAGCATCAAATTCTCTGACCACTGGCGCAATGTGGGCTTGCTCTTTGTGTATATTGTGGTCAATGTGTTTGGGGCCCTTTTTTTGTATTGGCTCATACGTGTGCCCAAGCGCTGGGCGCACAAAGTCAAGCAGGCGTGAAGGATGTGTGGCATGCAAACTAAACATTGACCGTGGCAGACCCAATTTTTCATACATTCACGTGTACAGCTCTTTAGAGAACCTAGAAGAGATTTGACCACGCACAATTTGTTACTTGGATATTGACCTTCGCCCCTTCTTCATGCATTTGTGTACGTATGTAACCAACTATCAACACTATAAATCCATTTTCCTCCCTCCGTAGGCCCCAGAAATTCAGCCAGTGATCCCGTCTGTGGCCCCCTGATCCCCTTGTCAGCTTCGATCTACATCTCTTGCGGGAGGATAAGTCCGTATCTTTCCATGACCCTCCCAATCATCTGCTAGTTAGAAATTATTGTTTGACTTCTAACCCGTGTGTTTGGGTTTTGCGAAGCGGTTAATATTCGGGCTCGGGTCGACAGGCCAGTCACGGATGCCCCGGGTTGGGCGGTGGAAGGTTTTTAGCGAGACGGCATTGCCGTGGGGGCCAAAGTCCAAGATTGTCACAGTGGATTAGTTAAAGTTTTTTTTTTCTATTCAAAGGGGAAAGGCGAAATTATTATTTGAAATCAACAACAGGAACGCTTGTCACCCTATGGAAGTTGGGATGTGAGAAGCTACTCCAATGATTCAATAGGAATATGCGTAGGTTTTGTATGCACGGAATGGGACTTGGTCGTAATAAGCATAGCATAATATTTCTTGCTGCCACGACATGCAGATATTACAACTGAATGCAATGATGAACTCGCATTAAAAGAGCAACTATTGTGTGTAATACCCTTTGAAGTTTCACGAACACAGTAATAATGGCGAATAATTCGTATGCCGGGGCCATTCTGGTCTCGGGCGGAACAGGAGACGGTGAGCAGCGGTGCTCGGTCAGACCGGGAAAGGAATCCGACTGCAGCGGACAACTGTCTCTGTAAGAGTATATGAGATACGATTGGCCCGGCAGTCCCGCAAGCCTGTTGACGGACTGCTCGAGGGGGCTTAGGGCTGGCACAGATTGGTGATCCGCCGCGGCAAGACTGGTCGGCCAGCACGCAGACACCGCCAGTCTACTGAATAATTAGGTTCAAAGCCACTACCAGCCGGTATGTACGGAGAGGCGTGGGTAATTTGCATGCCTAGGATCAGCCCGGGGGCATTCTTACCACCTCGCTGTCTCTGCTTCATCGAGCGGTACGCGTGGCGCAGACTGGTCACTGCGCGGGTCGCTATGGACTAAGCCAGCTTTAGCAGGTCTGTCTACCATTCTATTGGGTTACGAGATGGGGAATCCTGGTCACAAGTGTTTAAGGACCCATCTCGCATCCATTCCGCATCCATCAAGTTGGGACAACGGGGGGATTGTTTCCTCTTGTTAGGGTTGCCCTAGACCCGTCCAGTCCTGACTCGGTATCAGTACGAACAGGAAGAAAAATATAGGCCGTAGCGCCCGCGCTGGAAATAGCCAAAGAAACATCGTCATTCTGGACCAATTCGGCACTTCGTTAGCCTCCCCGAAAGTGGAAAAGGATTGGGGCTCGAGATTGGGGTCCGAAGGGTTGACCAGATCAGGTTAGACGTGCGATCTCCCGTGTTATCGTTTAAATGATTATTTTTATTGGTTTTATCGCCGTGGCTTGTTGGTCGCAGATGTCAGTTATGTTGCTCCCTACTCTGCCTCAACCGGTCCCCTTTAAGTCCGAGAAATTAAATCCTAACTTGAGAATTTATCACGGCAGTGTTATCAATGATTTCAATATCATTTGGATCAGCTTTCCAGACCCGAGCTGTCTAATGCACGCCGTAAGTCCGATGATTGATAAGCAACTTCTCGGTATTAGTAGTATACTGAATGTCCTCGCGATCCGTCCGAGACAGACGATGTAGATGGGCCATTTCACATCCTTGTGGAAACATTGTGGTCATTCGGAGACTTTTTCTCGTCTATCGCGTTTCCTCTTAGATACTTAGCAACTAAGTCTGTGGTTCCTGTGTAAACTACTAAAATTGCTTGATGAATATCCTGGTCAGTCCTCATGTCGGAATAGCGGCATCCTGCTCGTCAACAATGCACTTTATCCATTTAACGAACACGCTTAAATGTTCCTTTCTGGTTCTGGCGCTGAAAACCATTCGATTCATTCATCTCGGTCCACTTCGGACCCACGCCCGCGCCCTCCTGTTTCCCACACCAACCTGAGGCTTGTTGAGGCTCATTCTGGCCCCGCAGATCCACTGATACATGGGCCGTTAACAGGTTGGGTGTTTGGCATTTGCCCATCACCCAGTGCACATCACTCCTATATTGATGCAACGCAGCGGTCCCACCGTTTTGGTTCTCTGTGGAGCCCAATACGGCCAATGTGGGAGCGCCTAGGATTCTCTTGTCCATCATTCTTATTCCTAATTAGTTCTGAGGTTCTTATTTATACCAATAAGTGTCAGCCCTGTTTCGTGTTTGAATTTCCTCTCGACCTCTAATTCTCCTTCCCTCTCTCTATCCTTCGGCCCTGCATGAAAAGAGAGTTCCATACTCAAACCTTTCCTTCTCATTCGCCTCTATCTTCTCTTTCTTCCTTCTCCCCTCATCTCCCTTAAACCACCTTCTTTTCCGAGTCAAAATATGGATCCTTACCCCCCCTTTTACGGAGATCCCCCACATTCTGCCGATGTCCGGTATCTCGAGCCAGTCCTACGAAGCCTTCGACCCGTCGCTGCCCACCGACCAACCTTTTGTCACACGGGCGTCGCACTTTCAGTTTAACCTCTCTTCGCCCTATGAGCTGGCTAAGACCCGAGAAGAATCCATGGTCTCGCAACCATGGTGGAAGTTTGAAGATCATTCATTCGCCTCTACGGATTACATGGCCCCTGAGCTTCCGATATATACAGATCACGTTGTATCATGGAACTGTGGACTATCAGGCGTTTCCGACCCGCAGAGCCCACGAAGTAATAGCAGTGGAAGCATTCCAGTTATGAATTGTATCGCATCCTCGTCATATCCTCATGAAGATTTCCCTATCCCTACTGTCGATGAGCAGCAAGTCAGCTATCCAGCCGCCGACACTCTCATCAATCTCGACCATTCTTCGATGCTTCCCAGGACCCAGGTGCTTGAGGTCAATCCCGATAGCCGCTCTTCCTTTGATCAGTATGAGTTTTACCCGTGGTCGGGGAGCCAGTCGAACTGTAGCGGCACGCCTGAACAACAGTGGCATTCACCTCTACCGGCGGACACCTTGACATTGTCTCAGCCCCCAACAAGATCCAAAAGTCGTCTTGCTTCGGTTTCAAGAGTCCGAAAATCTGTTGAGCGATGCCCTCCATCTTTTCCTGGCCGTAGCCGCCGGCGTCGAGGAGTGGCTAGCGCAGACAACGCTGACGGCAACAACCCTCGAATCTTCGTATGCAGCTTTGCCCCGTACGGATGTGAAAGTACATTTGTCTCCAAGAATGAGTGGAAGCGCCACGTCACCTCTCAACATCTCCAATTGGGCTTTTATCGCTGCGATGTGGGCAAGTGTAGCGTGCACATGCACCAAATGAGTCCTGAATCCTTCCTCTTATCCGCTGCCTCTACCAAATCACGCGCATCCACGCCTCCACCGGGTCAACCGAACGACTTTAATCGCAAGGATCTATTCACACAACATATGCGGCGAATGCACGCACCATGGCTCCAGTCCGGTCGGCGACGTACTCCTACGGATGCCGAGCATAGTGCTTTTGAGACTAGCCTGGAAGATGTGCGTCGGCGGTGCTGGCACGGCTTACGAACACCGCCTCAACAAAGCCATTGTGGCTTCTGCCATGAGACATTTACCGGAGACAGCAGCTGGGATGCCCGTATGGAGCATGTTGGACGGCACTTTGAGCGTGATGATCATCAAGCGCTTAAAGATGAGACAGAGGATCTAGCACTACGAGAGTGGGGACTTCGTGAGGGAATTCTGAGCCTCGTTGACGGGAAATGCCAACTAGTGTCGTTGGTGGGCATGGATCTATAAAAATCAGCCGGTTGCAATGATGTTGGGTGTTCCGTTTTTGGATTATGCGGTTCGGGGCGATTTAGGTGTTATGAAATTCGGGGATTTGTTTTGCGAGGCGTATGGCTGATACGTTGGTTCACAAATCTTCGCGCTTTGCATCTTACACTTCAGAAGGGGCGATATTGGCCCTGCTTTCCCTCATGTATATCTATCTGTACAGGCTTCACGACTTGACGTCTGAGGGTCAATCATATATCCACGCCATGATCATGAACAATACAACAACAATTAGACAATATGGAATGCTTTAATTCTCTATCGTTTCTGCTTTCATCTCCGTATCGGCTTTCGTTAGCGCCTACAAAATATAAGATCCGCGGGTAGTCTGCTTCAGGCCCACCACTGTCAACTTGACATAACCAAAACCAACTTTCCAACTCATCCGCCCCCAAGCCGATAATATCCTTCAACCCCACATATCATAGGTCACAAACCTAGCCTACCGTCATGCCTGTTCTTTGTGCCAATTCTCCACTCATTACGAGTCATATTTCAGTCGGATCCCCATCTATCCCACCCTATCACATCTCGATACGTCGAATATCTATTTCGACATTCCTGGTACAATAATACAGCCGTAATCAGATGACTAGACTTTCTGGCGGACGATCAACGGGCTGAGTAGCTAGCATGTATAGTCAAGAGGAAAGCTTTAAAGCACCAGAAAGACCGTGATCACCACGCGACATCCTGTCAACTTGAAACCAAGATGCTGAATGCAGAAATCTCAGGCGACTTTATGCATGACCAGTCCATTTTTCATTCTCAAATCTTTGGGATTTGATGGAGCGAGTTGCGGTCGAAAGATGAAGGGCCAGATGAGGGATGAGGAACAGACCTAATTAGGCAGGAGGAAATGTACCTATGTAAGCCGGTATCTTAAATATCTTAAAAGATGAGAAATCATTCGATCTCAATGATAGCGCCCCAGCCCAGGAGAAAAGAATTGTTGGAAAAGACAATAATTAACATTCCGTTGATCGACTTGACTCGGAACGCTTGACATTTCTCCATTGGGACCTACACACCTCACGAGTCAAAGCTCATAGTCTACAACAACCAGGCACCTTCCTGATAGGGCAGCCAACTGCCTATTCACTGCCTGTCAACATTGCTCATTGGACCCCACGCATTGAATCATTCGCTAGCCAAGTGATGAGGAGCCTGGCACTCTCATGGCCCCATCTCGGTCAGGCTGTCAATCCAACAACTGAGCAAAAGCCGCTTGAAGCTATTGCGGAATGAAGCTAAAGCTGTATACTCAACACAGCCCCGCCAGAGCGGTTCCCCGACTCCCCAGAATGATCAGGGTGCACTGCCCAGGAATCGCTTAGCGCGGATTATTAAGCGACAAGGTGTTTTAAGAGATCGGGATGTGGAATTATCATATGAATCGGCACGACAAAATTGTGTCTTGGGGATGAGAAGCTAGGTCAACATTCGGAACAACTGTGTATGTGGGATTTGGGGGCCTTCAGCTAGGAAGACGTCCAGGTAACGGCTTTGTTCCGGGTCCGAGAGCGGGCTTGGAGAACTTGGGCTCGGACACGCACTAGCGCCGTGTATACTCTTCAGGGAGCACCCGATCTTTATGCCCACATGCTATGACCATATGCTAATTGACCTTTTATTCTAGGTAATTATGCTGTCATTTGCCGACAATGATCATGATGAGGATCAAACTGGCTTGACTCCGAGGGAGTGGCAGTTGAAACTTCTCCATAACTCCCTTTCATATAGTGATAGACGGATTATTCGTCATTATTCTGGACTCGCATCCCTGTCCATAGCGATTTCTATTTGTTAGTCAGTCTCGGTCTGGAGATCATGAATCGTGGCTTCAGGAACAGCCCCTCTTGCCTGGCCCCCACCCCTATCGAGTAAAGCTGCACACTCAGTGGCATGGGAGAAATGAGCACTTTTGTTTATGTGGAACTTGTACAGATATGGAGCTTGTAGAATGCCCTGTGTTTGGTCAGTCGGAATAGCCAGGATGAGCCAAAATAGCGTCCCCGAACGATGTAGCTCGACAACTCGTCAAAACTGGAGACTCAACTTGGCCCCCATGTTCGCTCCTCTTACCGTATTAGTACACGAGGGCCTGCAAATCAAGAAACCAAGGAGTCGGTGATCTCGGCGATCTTCATGCAGCAAAAATAAAATAATTCAATTTTTCAATAAATAAAACTGAGATAATCGGGTCATACTGTAGTCCGAAACGGACGAACCAGCCCATCGGGTTCGGCTGAAATGAGGCGAAGCATATGGATAAAGACGAGACGAAGAAAAGGGGGAGAAAAAATTGAAACAGGAAAACTCGAACGAGGCCATCCGAACTTGGAGTTATGATGCGACCGAACTTATTTGCTACTGACATAAAGATAAACATTCCGGTGGCCTCTGCAAAAAACAAGTTCTCAGGTCGACAACATACGAAGAACTGTGCTCTGAATTTAGTGCTTCGGATTTTGCAAGTTGAAATTGCTGAACCGTTCTCGAGTAGTAAGTGATCAGGCGTGTTAAAACAGTCACTCTCTTATTTGCCAATTTGCTCCTAACACCATTCAGGCCGACTATCATTATGGATGTCTTCTAAATGCCAGTCATCAAACACCAGCAACAGAGTTTGTTCGTGGCCGGTCAATCTTCACGCATGTCAACTTAGGGTTTGGCACCAACCCCGGACATCCACGCATCTCATTCTCGACCCACGATAAACTTTCCCCCCATCTACCGTGAATAACAGCACTTGCGCTCCACACAAACTTCTAATCCTCAAGGATATAACCTAAGATAGGAGGAAACCCTCGCAGCCTCTCGACGAGGCTGGCGGGACTACCCGGGCGCCCGTCGTCTAGACTACCCGATACGGAAATACTCAGGATGTTTAATGGCGATTGGCAATGGCAGCCATTCGAACAGGGCCACTGGGAGTCTATCCGAAATAAAATGCGTTATTCAACGATAGACCTGCAGCTTGAATGAACCGCAGACTCGGCGCTGGATGCTCGGGATGTTTGTTTAGACCCAGCTGCCGTCATTTGAATGTCGGATGCGCAGCCCTATAGGCGTCCCGAAAGGGAGCTAGCTTCAGCGCTCCAATATGCCTTCCTTGGCTCAAGCGCTGACAACAATATTTTAGTACTGCAAGAGCTTTTGTGGTACTTGATCACTTTCATTGCCCGGCAGGAGGTGGGGGCTGTATGCTTGCGTTTCCAGATTGCTTACGCAGTTCAAGTAAAGCGTGGGCGGCTGGAGAAAGCAACATCCGTTGTTTGAGTTGTCAGTTATCGTGGAGATATTCCAGCGCGTACTTGAAGCATATCGACTGGAGTTGGTAAGAATGGTCGAGCTGTTTTTATAACCCGGATCAACTGCCATCAAATGCTTGACTACCATGAACTGACTAAATATTCCACCGACGTTACATAAAGTCCATTTTTGACAATAGAGAGAAGAAGAATAAATTGAGAAAATAATGCTCGGGTAGTAGACTCCATCTTCAACAGGTGAACGACTATCACCCTCAATCCCACATCATTAAATCAGATGGTTCGGAGTACCGTGCATACAGTACGAGTCTGTTTTGTCCCTCCTCGCCACCAGAAAGTAGCTTGGATACAAGCATTTCCCAACAACTAATCACCGATGGGTCTCTTCTGGTTTCCATACTCCAGCTCTATCTTCCTCTATACTCTGATTGTGGGTGAATGTCGCCCAGCATAAAGCCGACGCAGATTCGGCCGAGATATCCCAATCAGGAGATCAAACCCGATCTTCTCGAACAACGCTTCGTCCATCAGCTCGAGATCTATAGATTGAGTGTCACGATCAATATAAACATGGACGTCATATACATGGAAGGGATATACAATACTATTTATTCAGAGAACTTCAGACGCTTCAGAGATTCAACCAATCTCGCCGTAATACCTCTGATAAGCAAACCAGCCCTTCCGGTCAAGATTGTTCAGCTTCTCGGAGAGAGCATTCAACTTTATCCACCTCGACCCACTGCGACACGCACCCGATGATGGTATAAAAGGTACGTTTTTTTTCTCTTCGCTTCCGGTGTCGCTTGATTCTGATCCTTGTCGGCCTCTCTCACATTCCTCCTGGCATAATCCTCATATCCACCCTTCCAATTCAACACATTAAGGCTCTTATCGCAACAATGGCAGTCGACTTGATGAAAGACTCCTTTGCCAAGCGTGCGATGCAGTTGCGGGAGTATATATTCAGCCAGCCGACCAGCACATTCGCGAATAACCCTTGGGCAGTGGCCCACGCGATTGACGAATTCACCAGCACAAGCGGCCCCATGATGACTTTCAAGGGAAAGAAACTCGAAGTTGCGAAAGCCCAGCTCATGGCACAGCAGCCGCCCCCGCGAACGCTCCTGGAGTTCGGCACATTCGTGGGCAAATCCGCCCTGGCGTGGGGTGCCATTCTCCGAGACATTTATGGCGAAAACGTCCCGGACGACGTGAATGTATATACTTTTGAGCTTGATTCTCAGATGGTCATATTGGCCCGAGATTTGATAAAACTCGCTGGTGTTGATGATGTCGTGCATGTCATCGAAGGACCAGCCTCTGAGTCTCTGAGGAAGCTCTACGCGGATGGCCAGGTGACCAGTGTGGACATGGCCTTCTTCGACCACTGGGAGAAATTCTATCTTCCAGACTTACAATTGATTGAGGAATTGAAGCTATTTCGGATTGGGTCATTGGCGATTGCTGATAACACAGATTTCCCAGGAGCCCCTGATTATCTCAAGTATGTCAAGGCAGGAGGGAAGGGGGCTGCCACGTCCGTCCAGTATCAGAGCAGGTCATTCGAGACTGAGACTCAGTCAGGAAAGCCGGTATGTGTCTCTTCGCATCTTTTTGCTGTCATACTGCTCGATCTATTTGAGTCACTAACTTGATCTACCTCTTCTAGAGCGTCGTGGAAGTTAGTACTGTGGTTGCAATCGAGTAGACTGTGCTGAGATGGCAGCATTTAGCTCGTCATTGGCCAGCTACATGGAATTAAAGAAATTTTTTGTTAAGATCTTGCTGCAGCAGTAATTCACTGAGCACAAATGTCTTTTGGATTGGGGGTGGTTATTCTTTATACAGGGGCGTAAATCTTCCAGTGTGCTTCTTATGAACATCCCCAGAGTTTTATATTTACCTCCATGTAAGCAAATGGACAGTCGCAATGACTTAGGAAATGAAAATTTATTCAAGAAATGCTAGTCAAGACAATTATCCCAGGCCTATCCTCCTCAATTCATATACTGCTTAATTAGTGCCCGATTCGTGGGCACTTAAAGCCACCTGGGGCATAGTCAACTACCCTAAGTACCAAACGCCATCTACGTGTAAGCGGCCCCAAACCCATCACCGCCTCAACTCCCCGCGAATCCCGGCTCCGAAAGTGCAGTTCCCCACTCGAAATTCACCTTGCGCCATGGTGAATTGAATATTCTCCGCCTGTTCTTCACTCCTCTCGTTCTTCTGCAAGGCATGCTGCAAGTGCAGTAGAGCTCCCTAGTTACCTCTTGGCCACGTTATCCGGATCGCCGACCTCCTTGAATCCGCCATCATGTTTGTCCGACCTCGAAGTCTCAATGCGCAACCACTAACATGGCCCCTGCCAGGACCGTCTTCTCTCTTATTATAATCAACAAGGCCGGTGGTTTGATCTACCAGCGCGAATTCCAGGCCGGCCTGCATAAACTCTCTACCAACGATTATCTTGTCCTGGCGGGCACCTTTCACGGGTAAGCCCTTCAGCCCTGCAAGATGCACCTCGCTGCGAACCGATGGAACCTCGAGATTACTAAATGATGGTTTAAATCACAGTGTCCATGCTATCACCCGCTCCATCACTCCCAAGCTCCCTCTTGCCCCAGCGACCGGGTCCCCCGCCGTATCATCACCCGGTGCCAATGCCCCCGCGGGCTCAGGCTACAGCCATCCCAACCCAGGGGTTCCAGTGACAGGCCTGGAACATCTCGAGACTGAAAAATTCCGATTGACCTGCTTCCAGACGCTGACTGGAACCAAGTTCCTGCTGTTTACCGACCCCATGACCGGCAACGTGGATACGATTGTCAACAAGATCTACGAGCTGTATGCCGACTACGTGATGAAGAACCCGTTCTACCAACTCGAGATGCCCGTACGATGTGAAGCCTTCGACCGAAATCTGGGTAGCTGGATACAAGGGCGAACATAAAACAGGACACCCATTCCGGGGTGGGAATAACTTCGGAATGGCTGGTTCCTGGGGACGGGAGCGTGCGATGACGACCTTGACGACCTAGATTATCTTTCTTTTCCTTCATTCTTGTCTTTCTACTGTACCTGGAAGAGGGAAACCCAAGTTTCCCAGCTTGTGCATAATACCAATCAAATCACATCAATATTTCCTATCGTGCACCCCTTCGAACCCAGTAGACCTAAAACGTGCCTAAGAAGACGGGACCCGGGGGGAGGGGATGGTCGACTCTCGAGTATACAGGAACAAGTACAGGAACAGAAACAGGGACAGAACAAAAGAAGAGCAAACGCCGGGTATGCATCACAGGTCATTTCCATGGGAATTGGAATCTACGCAGTGTCCATCTTGTCGTCGTCCTTCTTATCTTTCCCGCTGGACTCACCCGCACCCTCTTCGGGGATGTTGTCCAGATCCGTTTTGCCTTCGGCCGCTTCTCGATCGCGTTTCTCCTTCTCCTGTCGGTTCTTCTCTTCCTCGAGGGATAAACGAAGAGCAAAGGCCAGCTCGGGATCGTTCTCGGCATTATCCTCGAAATTGAACCCGCCGGCATCACCGCCCTCCCCTCCGGAGGAGGCTGCGGCCCCAGCACCTTCTCCGGCGAGAATCGGGGTGGCCTGAAGCTCCTCGCTTAGAATATGAGGCCCGGGCGGGATGACCGCAAGGTAGGAGCTGTCGCCGCTTGATACATTATCCACGAATGCCTCCAGCTTTTTGGTTTGATCAGACTCCAGATCACCGAATGCCACCACGTCGATCGACACGTTAATTTTCTTCATCTTCTTCGCCAGCTTGACGAGGGTCTTCTCATCCTCCGCGATTGGTGAGCAGGAGAACACGATAATTCGTTGCCGCTGGGACTTCTCGGAACGGTGCTTCAGGGCCAACTGAATCACGAACATAGCGGTTAGTGATGCAAACAACATGTTTCGCATGAAATTCAACATACTGCGGCAACCTGAATACTAGAGCTCAGATGCGATGTTCCATGGATCTTTGTGCGATGTAGACCGGCAAGAATACCGCCGAAGTCTGTGGTAAAAGTCGAGAGCACCTCGGGACCCTTGCCTCCCATGCTCATGAGGCCCACGGCTGACTGTGGGTGTGCGCGCATCTTGACACTGTGGATGATGCCGACGGCATCAACCTGAGCTTGCCACCGGGTTGATCTGTATAAGCCGAAAATTAGATGATGTAGTGATGGCGATACGTCTAGGAAACTCACGTGTAGTCTCCATTGCGACTGCTCTCGCTGTTGTCGACACTGATGAGATGTTAGTAGCGCTACAAGCTCGGGTTGGGGAGCAATGACAAACATGATCATAGTAGCTTCGAGCGACATGATGATGGGATGTGAGGGAAAGGATGGGGAGAAATATAAGGGGAACGATGGAAACAGGCAAGGTCTAAGGACGGCGGTGATGACGATGAGGTGAAGCTCTCGATTCTGCCGAGAAATTCCGCCCGGGGTGGTGTTTGTTGTGGCACCGTGCCTCCACATCCACCTGCTCTCTTAGTCTCTAATCCAAACCCCAATACCTTCCACCATGGCTACTTTAAAACGCAAGTCTCCTGAACTTATTAATGCGCAAGATGCTACGCCTAGTAGTAGGCCAGCTAAGAAGCTGTGCCTGACCCAGGGACAGAAACAGGCGCTGATTGACAACCTTCAACTCGAAAGTACGTGAAGGGAGGGGCGATATGGGATTGTATGGGAGATAAACAATGCTAACGGTGGCAGTTACCGAGCGCGCCCGCAAGCTTCGCTCTCAGTATGCTTTGCACGCAAGTGACCTCCGTGCCCGTATTGAACGACGCGTCAATCGGATTCCTGTCTCACTCCGCAAGGCAAACATGGGTGAGCTCCTGGAGAAGTACTCTGCGCAAGCTCAAACTACCTCGCCCCTGCGAAAGACATCGCCTGCAAAATCTTCGCGTGCCCCGGCCATGATTTCTATCGACCAAGCTCTTTCTCCCGCTGGAACACGCGACGGTCGGACTCGGCGCACAAGGTAGGACGAGAAACTAGCCTCCATGCACAGTGAACTTTTCCACTAATGGGCTTTAGCAATGAGGGCTATTCTGATAAGGAAAATGCTCCTGCTTCTGGTGAGCCAGAAGGACTCAAAAACCCTAAGCGTCGGGGTAAGGCCCCGGCGGTGGGTGGTACATCACGCGTCGTGTCTCAGGAAGTGCGAGGAAACGACCACAGAATCCTATCGCCCAAGTCGCTCAACTCCCGAACATACCCGCAGTCGCCCTTCCGTGCCTCCCCCGAAAAAGGCCAGCCATCGTATCTCTCCCGACCGACGTCTCCTCTGAAACCTTTCAGTCCACTTCGGGCTGCAGGTCCAGCTTCTCGCCCACGTGGAGCCACCACATCCTCCGCTAGGGACACTTTACAACCTGCAGCGGCAAAGAAGGCAACTGCCCGTTCAGCGACAGGCCCTAGGTCTGTGAAGTCTCCGCTCCCACGTCCAGCAACCCGCCAAGGGGAAAGAAAAAATAGCTTCTCGTCCACCGCATCCTCAGGAACCACTGTGACAAAGTCAACTCGAACTGGCACTGGTGCTAGGAAAGCCACAGCCGGTACGGCATCTACAACCGCCAAGAAAGCAGCGGTCCCCCGAGCACAGGCTGCATCGATGGCCGTCAAGAAGTCTACTTCTGCCACTGCCGCATCCATGCGGAAAATAACTGCCCCTGCGGCAACAACTGAGGCTTCTTCTCGCGGTACACGAGCGCTACGTAAGAGGATATAAAAAATTTAGCGATACGGCATTCTCAGCGTATATTCATTGATTCCCTTGAGGTTCTTAATCGGGAAAGGAGTTGTATTTTTCAGCGAGGCTTTTTGCCATCGATGGGCATGAAATTGAGTTTTAGTGCGGTGACCTATGTCCCCGTGTTGGCTTTCTTATGCTGGTTTCATTATTGGTGTTTTGTGAACTGTTTCTTCTGCTTTTTTCCATGGTTGATTTTATTTGATATTATCTGGTGTTTGTCTCTTAATCTGCATAGACACCGTGTCTTACCTACTTGACAAATGCAACCAGGTCCCCGAAGAGTTTTAAGGGACCTGTTCGATTCAACGTTTGGATATTCAAAGGTATTCTAAATAATGTGGTGAACAAGAGAAAGGAGCTGTAGGCTGTGCCCCGGTTTCAGGTTAAGAAGGCGAAGAACGAGATTGGCGGATGTGTTATATATAGTTATATATATCGCTCATCCAAATTCGAAAGGCCTAGTGCATGTGTCCTATACATGCTTTAAATCTCGAAATTGAGTCTACACAGTGCATGTTTAATACGATTCAAAATACTTGGAATTGCAACAGTATTTAATATCGTAAGATATAGATCATCCCAATGGAGATTGCTATTAGCCAAAGATGCATGGGTATACTAGTTCTAGGACAAGGAACAGCAAAGCGAAAAAAGGGAACTAATAACTACATTTAGTTCGAAACTCTGGACTCAGTACAGGTATCATCGGTTGCAATCATGCTGATTGACAAGCAAAATTTAGCACAGAGAGAGGAGAAAAGATAAAAAAAAGAAATCAAAAAAGCGGCTCCATGGAGCGGAAGAAAGTGAGTTAAGAGAAGAGAAGAAAAAAAAAAGACATGCAAAAAGACGGACCAAGGTAAAACCCGGAGCCTGGTCCATGAGAGAAGAAAGAGACAAAGAAAACGAGCATGAACTGTAAGTACGCTCATAGCGAAGGAACGCAGGTGGTAGGAAATATGGGTATGGATGAAAGTGGAAGAACCAAGAAAAAAGGAAATGCGCGGCAAGATGACATGACCGCTTCCACGAATTGCTGGAAACATGTGCACGATATTGGTTACCAACTGAGTTGCCAACCATATAGGAATAGGTATCACTTTTGGATGGACAAAGTAAGAATTTTGAATGTGAGAAGAAAAGATGTGAGAACGCCGTCAACCAACCTGCACTCGACTGACGAGATGGTTGGGCAAATGGACTTGTAAGAAAAACGCTCAACACGCCCCCAGCACGATGAAATGAAATAAAATGATACACCATGGACCCTGCCACAATGTTGCAAATGGATAAATGCAAATCAAGGGGTATCGAGGTATATGACTCGATCGCAGCTGTGCAAGTGTAAAGACGGTGAATGTTGATGGTCTAACCGGTCACACCCATCCCGGGGCTGGGACGGGCCCGATAAGGAAGGGATTGTTGATTATCCGATGCGGGTTGGCTGCCGTTACTAGTGCTTCGCTCACGGCGAAAGCCGGGTTGTGGGCCGAAGTCCAATCCAGCCTGGGGAGTAGCGCTGGAGGAATGAGAGTGGCTTCCACCAGGCCCGGGAACATGACGAACTGAACTCTGCATCTGCCAGGCGGCATCCTGGGATGGGTCTGTCTCGATACGTGCAGATGTCGGGGTGCTCTGTTGATTTCGGTTGGAGCTGGTAATGGTGAAGGTCTCTCCGCCATTATCTGGTCTTGTCGAGAAGCTGCCTCGAGCAATATCACCGTAACGCTTCAAAATTTCCTTTGTCGTCACTTCAGCATTCTCCCTAAAGAGGGTGGAATCGCTGAGAATAGATTGCAAGTCCTCCGGAATCTAGAAGGTAGACATAGTCAGTTTCGACGCTAATCACTGAACAATAGTAGGATGTTGCGCTACTCACCTCACACATAGTATCATTATACGTGATCAGCGCATTGACTGCCTCGATAGCTAGGAAACTCTCATCCACAGTGCTGTTCTTTGCGTTGGGGTAAAGAATGTTCGGTGTCATAACAGTAGCCAGGTTATGAATGTCCATTTTGCTGCCTGACTCTTCATCAATGTGCGAGAAAGAAGACGTCCAGTTGAGGAAAGCGAATAGGACTTCCATCGTGTCACGATGGGCCTTTGGCAAAAGGCAGCAGGTGAGATGCAGAACTCGCTTTTGTATTTCAGGATCGGGGAGTTCTAAAACACAGGTTAGCTTCCAAATGATTTCAGATCGATGGGAAGGTAGGGTGGTGGTCCTGCTCACTTTGTGCAGTAACAAACAGGCGATGCAGCTTGAAGGTCATGAGCGGATCTGGCATCTCACGAAGGAATTTCTTCAAAAGGGCTGCAATTTGCACAGGGTTTTCCTTGGCTAAATCCACCTGCTCATACTTGGTGTCGATTGACTCGGCAAGATCCTTGAGTCGACGAATATTGCCATTCTTTCGGAAAACACCTTCAACCGACATGTCCATCTGGCGCATTGCAGAAACTGCATCGTCTACAAGCGCAGGGATTCGTAATGCACCAGGCCCAACGCCATGAGACGATTCAGTTCCCTCCTTCTCTACCAGGTAATCCAGGCTGACACCGAAGACGCCCTTCTTCTTGCCACCCTTCTTGGGATCTTTGAAGGCACGTCCAAATATGTTCCAGATTGTTGGCTTTCGCGATTCAATCAGGGAAAGCAGCTCCTCCATGTTGAATTGGCCCTCAAGTAGGGGTTCCATAGACAACACAGCAACATGACGGACAATAAAGTATTCCAAAGCCGTAAGCTCCGAAAAGTACCGCTTGCTTCGAATGGTAGGATCAATAAGCATATCCATGTTACTGTTTGAGACCCCACGTTGATGGCCGGGCTTATACTTGGGCATTCCTTCATTAGCCTCAATCAGTTTGGTACCAGCATGTCGGTATGCATTGGGCCGCTGTTCCTTGGCCTGCTCAGCTGCAACAATGCGCGGGATGTCATCCAGGGTCAGGGCATCCTGGGTGCCAAAGGTCAAGTCTTTCACGGTCTCGCCATTTGCATCTCTTTCTTCAACAATTTGGAATCCAGGACCACGAGGATCACTGCCATCATTTCCAGAAGATCCCGGACGAGCACTTCTACCTTCCGGGCCATCAATGATCCGGGATGCCCGAGCCTTCTTGTACGTGGTAGAAAGAGTGCGTTCATTGCGAATGGAGCGTAGGCGACGCATTTCGCCGACAGTCTGCTCCAATGATGACTCTTCCATACCTTCACGAGAGCCGCTATACGACTGAGACCGTGTGTTGGACCGGCGGACCATGCCGGGCTGCGCGCGATATCCCTCCTTATTCTCATACTCCTTAAGATTGGGATCATCTGCAACAAGGGACGAAATGTTAGAAGCATATAAACAGGGGGAAAAGAACAGACCAAAGAAGAGGGGGGGGGGAGAAAGAGAGGACATACCGGATGTGTGAGGCAAAGTACCCCCGCACGAAGAACAGCCAAAAGTCGAGCCAGTGCGACCCGCAAGAGGAATACAAATTGCTGTAGTTTGGAAACTTGAACGAAACCAGCCTGTGCCGTCGAACTGACGTTATTTTGATGAGCACACGCGGTGCAATAGATGCGTCCATCACTTTCATTGAATAATGCATCTGGCAGGTCAGAGCTCAAATCCTTCTCACACGAGGAACATGTCACATGAGGCGGTTTGATATGCCAGCGGTTATCCCCGCACCGAACACATTCATCATCTATGGGTTCCTTGCACGTAGCGCAGCAGTCGGACAGTTGGTCAGCCAGTCCCTCAACTCCGGCCATCAGATCAACAGGCGCATTTTCATCCTCTTCCAACGGTGCAAGGGACTCCTGGTTGGCGAGATGAGCGAGGAAATTGTTCAGACCATCCGGCGCCGATTGGTCTCTCTCAAGCTTCAAGGCACCCTGCAGGCCAATGCGGATAAGAAGCTTGAGATAATGGGCGAGGCCCGTCACCAAAGACAGTAACTCTTGAGTAACCCCCAGTTTCCGGACCCCAGTCTCTTGTGTCTTCGAGAGTAGGGCGAAAAAAGCTACGATCTTCTTGCAAAGCAATTTGGCCTCCCGGCCATATGACAATTCTATACCAGAATGTTAGCTCGAGGTTGGAGAAAATCATGAAACCCTGTATTATCCACCAGTACTTACCCTTGACGCCATGGGATTTGATATACGCAGCTAATTCATCAACGGCAGCAAACAGAATCTCCACGTGGGCAATGAAGCGCTTGGCTACGAGGACACCATCGATGTAAGCGCCGTTACTGACGTGCAATAGCATATCAGAGATGCACGCAGCCGATGATTCTTCAAAGGTAGAGAGCGTGCTCCAAATATTGTAGACTTTTTCTTCCATCACATCCTCTGCCTTTCGGATATTTTCACGCTCTTCGGGGGTGGCATCCGCACCCGTAGGAGGCGGCTCCCACGTTTGCCCGGTAGGTGATAGTCGTACATTCCAGAATTTATGAATCATGTAACATTCAGGGTGCCAGTGTTGATTTTGTCCATTGCGGAAGATCTCCACGAATTGTTTGAGAATCGCCGTGTGACAGCCATGGCAACGCTGAGCAAATTGTGTCGAGTAGTGAAAATGACAGTAGACCTTGCCCTCATGCTCATAGTATGAATCCTGGGCACCAAAGACGGTGGGACATACTGAGCAGGTGAAATGCTCAATGTGATACTTGCGATCTAGCGCAGTGATGTAAGAGCCTCGAAGGGCCCCACCGCACTCGTGGCAGAGCAGGTTCAGTCGTCGAAAGTAATCCGTCTCGCAGAGTGGGAATTGACAGCTCCCATCTTCGGAGTCGACGGGGAAGAACTTTGAGGCAACAATTTCACCGCAATCCTGTAAGGAGCAGAGATTAACATCACTGAATGGGACCTAAAACACAAGAAAGCGTACGACCGAGAAAGGGAGAGAGGAGGTTGGGGGGGGGGGGGGGGGGGGTGAGTGTTTAGAAAAAAGACGAAAGCAAATACTGGCAGGTATTTGCAGATGCAAAATCATGCCAAGTTGACCTACCTCGCATTTGAAACATTCAAGATGGAAAGTTCCACCCAAAGCACGGACAAACTGGCCCGTGAGGGGCTCATTACACTTTTGACACAAGCGGGATGAGCCCGGTGACTTGTTGTGAGTGCGTCCATTGGGACGTGACCGATCCCGAATGTTGGATCGATCCCGAAAACCTGGTTGTTCCGGCTCCAGGCCACGGGGAGAGCGATCCTCTGGGCCCAGAGGGCTGTTGCCTGCTGTGCGGGTAGTGGGGGAGTCGAAAGGGATCAGGCTGTCTTCGGGAGAAGTTGGGGTGTTTTTCTGATAGCTGCTTCCATAGCCGGAGGTGTTCACCGTCGGGGTGGGTTTGCCTGCGACCAGGCTGGCCGGGAGTTCACCAGGGGGCATGATGGGCCCCCGTCACAAATCAGTGAGATTGAATTGCGTCAAAGGTGGTGCGATAGATGCCGCATGCAAAAGTCGTGGTGAAAGGTGGTGAGGCGAGTTGGCGGCGGTAGCAGTGGCAGCGGTCGTGGGAGGTGGATTGTGTTTAAGAGGCGGTAAACACCACACACGATTGCGGGGGGGGATTCTACAGGGAGGCTAAAAGGACGGAGTGCGCACACTAAAATCCTAAGAGAAATTGTAAGCATGGACATCAGGTGAGAAAGTTGGGGCTCTTTTGGGGCCGAGAAGGAGTTGGGATGCCTCCTCCACCGGGGGAGCCAGCTGCACTCACCTTTACGCCATGTAGTTTCGAACAGACGGGAAGGGGGAGGTATAGACAGTCTGGGAGAGCGGTTGGGTGAGGAGGGGGGCACGAAAACGACCGATAGAGAAGGTTGCGATCGGTAAGGAAGGGATTGCGGTCGGTGAGTTGTGAGGTTCGTTAAGCGCGTCTGCGTCGGGGCCGGACGCGGGGGGTCGAGGCTGGCAGCTTGAGTGGTGAGCCGGCGCACAGGTGGACGAGCATGTCCCGAGGGACGGGGAAGAGCGCACCGACAGAGAGGTACGTCGAGAGGGAAAGGAAAGATCGGGGGAGGGGGTGGTGAGGATGAGAAGGTGAGGGGGTTGGGAAGGAAGTGGGCTGGGGGAATGAAGATGGAGAAGGTTCGGGCATTTGTTGCCCCCCCCCCCCCTAACGAGGTAACGAAGTAACGAGGTAACGAGGAGACCCTCCCGGTACCTGGGCACACTATGGGGCCCTCGTACTCAGGGCAAGTCACTGCCTCGCTGGTCCCTGGGTCACGTGTGGGGACACACCGCCCCCGACGATCGTTTAGTTCCGTTTAGTCTTTAGTTTCTTCGTCGGGTGTGGCCGTGGATCGTGCCCTTCCTGTCATCCCCATTGAGTGAAGAAGATGAATGGCGCTGCAACCCATGGCTCGGGGGGTCTTTTGTGGCATCTGGATCTTCCTGAGGTGGTCCTGGTCCTGGTTTGCACCTGATCTACTGCGCATCCCGGGTCCGAGGATGACAGGCAGGACGAATAAACTATGGTTATAAATAGCGATATGACGTCTGTGAACGCCGTCGGGGACGCCAGGGGAGGCGGGATGGGGTACAGAAGCTCCCCCTGCCGCTCCAATCCTTTAATTTGGCGGCAATGCGATCAACTCAAAGCAGTGCGATTCTTCCTGGCCGCTGCCAGGGCCTCCAGGGGGACCAAGCCTGCAGGATTCGGGGATGATCAGCAACTCGGGAGCCGTTGACGGTCGTCCACTGGGCAGCCAGCGCTGGAGCCAGTGCCTGGAAGCCAAATCATCCAAGTCCCACCGAACCATTCGGCGTCGCCCATGGAACCCAACCGAGCCCCCCGCGATGGCTTTTTATAGCGTCGGTTTTCTCTGAGGTGCACCCACTGGTTTCAGCCACTGCCGAACATAGAATGGAGGCCTCAATCCAGGCTCGGGAGGCGCGTGATATTGCGATGACCACTACATTCGCCGGGTGCTGCATCTCAATCTGGGATCTTATGAGGATTGTCCATAGATGGCCCACTCACGCCACCCGAACCCACTTGTCAAAACCATGACGGCAAGTGCCATTCCCAAAACTGTAAACGCTCGGGGAAAACCAGGGCGGAGCTTAAGCGCCCGCGGCCCCCCAAATATAGTAGCTTGACCCTCGTGATTCGGCATTCATTGGCCAGTGTCTGCTATAGAAGAAACACAGTACAGCGATACTGACCACAATTCTCGCATCATTCGGTCCAGATGGTCTGTTTACTATGGATTGTATCTTGTATAATTGGTGATTGGGACGCGACGCTAGCGAGCATCGCGACAGGCCTTTCACGCCCGACGGCAGCTTCAGCCTCCTCCGGCCTGCAGGCAGCCTCACCTGGCTGTTTACCTACCTGAAGCTTCTGCTCAACTATGGATCCGCTGCCTTTGTCTCCTTCCCCGCCTCTCCCTCTCTGTCGTCCATCCTCTCGTCACCACCCCTTTTTCTTCGTATCGAGATCGCTGAGAAATACCTTTGTAAACCATCAAGAGGGCCCCGCTGGCCTCCTAACATGGCAGACCGGGGTTCCCTGCGTGTGCTTCGGGTAAGTGATGCGATATCCCCCTGCCCCAGAGTTCAACAATTCCGCTGACCCACAAAACCCCCTCCGCGCAACAGGAGCTGAAGCAGCTCGAACGGAGTGACCAGCTAGGTAATTTCCATTTCCAAGCTGGCGCCTGGAATGAAATGCTCAACAAGTTCGTCGAAGCGGGCTGAACTAACTAGACGCTTAGCGATCACTGTGAGTTACAAGGAACGCAACATTCGGGATATCAACGCCCTCATCATCGGGCCCCCTGGCACTCCGTATGCATATGGCTTCTATCAGGTGAGATCCCTGAACGATGCTCTCGATGCAACAGGGCAAAAGGACCCAACCCGTCTAACTGGCACATGCGAGAGAGGTAGTTCTCCATCATCATTCCCCATGGTAGGTGCATCTGCTCTACATCGCCAGTGAGAATTGACTCACAACCAGATAGAGTACCCAGCAAGACCTCCCAAGGTCTCCCTCCGAACAACCAACAAAGGGCTCACTCGATTCGGCCCAAACTTGTATGCAAATGGCAAGGTCTGCCTGTAAGCCATACACCCTCTTGCTCGCCGATCAACGTTCATGAAACATAAGACTAACACTAAACTCCCCTCCACCCTCCAATAGCTCGATCTTGGGGTCAGTTCTTCATGATATTGCGGGTCCACCTTGCCCAGTGCGCTAGGTCCTAACATCTCACAGCACCTGGACAGGTGAGCGGGGAGAGGAATGGTCAGCAGCACAAGGGCTAGAATCTGTGCTGCTTTCTATCCAAAGCCTCCTGGCCACAAAGCCCTACTTCCTGGAGCCTGGATTTGAACACGACACCAATGAAAAAGACGTAGAGATTTACAGCTCCAAGGTAAGCCAGCACCTGTCCACAGCCATCATCAAGGTCCGAGAGACTAGAAAGTGAGCTGGGAGGAAGGTCCACCCCCTGAAATTTGAGAAAAAAAGAGTTTAATTTTCCTGTTGAAATACAGATCCGGCACGAGAATTTGCGCCTTGCGATCATCGCACCCCTGGAGAAGGCTTTTGGGATAGAGCCGGTTGCAGACCCGCCGAGTTCTCGATCAGAGTCACAGTCACGCGAAGAATCATCTGAGAATATGATCCTGAACCATCTTGGCAGAGCGAATCTAGAGGTCGATCTATTCGAAGACTTTTGCAAACAGCGCTTACTGTGGTATATGGAGCTATACAAGGACGCAACCCAGGAGGGCATCACGAAAGAGGGCGATCGTCATTTGAGCCGATTCCCCCAAATGGCGTTCGAGAGTCGCGGCAATAACATGTGCGGCCAGTGGGATTATCACACCCTCAAGGACCGCCTTGACGTGCTCGAGAAGCTCATCATCGAGGAGACCGACCGATGGCCAATGGAGGGTCTGCAGGCCGCCAAGGACGATGCCGGTATCGCGGTTAGCCTGCGCGCCCAGCTAGAGCAGATCTCAGCCGCACTAGCCGTTCGCAGCGAAGGGACAATAGAGGTGAAGATGGTTGACGAGAACCCCTTTCTTTGGCGACTCACGTACATAGGTCGCCCCATGACCCAATTCGACGGCGGGATCTTGAAAGTCAAGATTTACATCAGCCCTCGTCACCCCGTGCAGCAGCCGCGCGTGTTTCTTGAAACCCCGTTGTATCATGTGCGCGTGTCGACTCAGAACGTGCTGGCCTACCTCCCAGCGCGTGCCGAGGAGATGAGTCGCCATATCGATGGGATAATCACCTCCTTGGAGGAGGAGCAGCCACCATTCAATCCCTACATGACCGTGAACCCCGAAGCAACCAAGCTCTGCTGGGGGTCGAAGGACGAGCAGCGGCTGTACGCCCGGAAGCTCCGTCGCTCGGTCGAGAAGACGATGGAGTAAGACAATATACATACCGGTCTATATATCTCGATCCGTACGGCGCTGACCGGTTGATGCCATGACAGATTACTGTGATAATGAGGCGAAAGTGAACCTAGCACCACCTAGAACTGGAAGCTGACAATGCGGGGGACTTGCAATAGCTAGAACGTTTGACGTGGATTGGATAATGCAGAAGACAGTATCAATTCAACTTGAATGTTCCATGTCTATTTTCGCAGACTGAAAGTGACTATCTGCAATTTAGAGGACCTATGTAATCGAGCCCCAGCGACGGCACAATTTGCAGGAATGCAAAAAAAGAGAAACGAATGTCTACCCACATGGTCGGAGTATTTACATTTACTGAAATTCTAGATTTGCAATGAACGAGTAGAGGCGCCTTGTTTCCCTTGCACAGTAAAAATTGGAGTTGGCGCAGGTGTTGATAGAAAGTCACGTTTCAGGCTTAATCCCGATAAGGCCAAATCTGGGAATCGGGGTATCTTATCGCACGTGCCAGATTGCCTCCTCCCCAGCTCCATCCAAGTCCCCTTTTCCACGCTATCCGGACTCAAATCGATACTACCACCAACACCAAAAAGTCGCCACAATGTCTGCAAAGCGGCGCACACTCGAATTGGGCAATGTGCTGGTGGTTGGAGGCTGCGGGTTTCTGGGGTGGCACATTGTTGATCACCTGATGAATTTCCCCTCGGAGTCCGACCCCAGCGTTGCACTACCGAAGCCTCAAGGCGATGCGCGCTTTGAGTATCCGACCCTGGGATCTCGATACCCTGAGTACAAAGCCACCGTGTCTGTCGTTGATCTGCGCACCACTCATAACCGTCTGCCCGGCGTGAATTACTATGACGGCGACATTACTTCCGTCGAGTCGATGCTGGAGGTCTTCCGCGCGGTCAAGCCCGATCTCATCATTCACACTGCCACCCCATCTGTGCTTGATGGAAATAAGCCGCTGCTGTACAAGGTGAACGTTGAGGGAACTCGCACCCTGTTGCAGGTCGCTGGCGGCGAGCACGGTGACTGGGGTGGCAAGTGCAAGGCATTCGTCTACACCAGTTCCAGCTCTGTGGTGCACGATACCCAGAGTGATTTGAAGAACGTGAACGAGGAGTGGCCCTACATCCGCGGTAAGCTGCAGCAGGAATATTACTCCGAGACCAAGGTGAGTCGTCTATACCCTGATCAATGGCTCGTCACGAGTCAAAAAAGGCCAAGGGATTCCGCTAACCAGATGTTTTCTTGCTGCGCTCGTGTAGGCCGACGCCGAAGAAATCGTCCTCAAGTACAACCGTCAGTCTCCGACTGGCATGGTCACCTGCGCTATTCGCCCGGCTGGCATCTATGGCGAGAAGGACACTACCGTGACCCACAAGATCCTGGAGCACGGCTCGCAGGCCTCGTCGACCGTCCTGAAGATGCAATTGGGCGACAATGACAACCTTTTCGACTTCACCTACGTTGGCAACATCGCATACTCGCACATGCTGGCGGGCGCGCGCCTGCTGGCGACCTACGACCGCTACGAGTCCGGCCAGGGCGGGCCCCTGGAGCATGAGCGGGTGGACGGCGAGGCGTTCAACATCACCAATGATTCACCCATTTACTTCTGGGATGCGACGCGGGCCATGTGGGCGCTGATTGACCGTGTCGTCGAGCCGCAGGATGTCTGGGCGCTGCCGGAGGGTCTGCTCGGCTCCATTGGCGGGCTGGCCGAGACGGTGCTGGGCCTGTTCGGCAAAACCCCGCGCCTGACGCGCCGGATGGTGCGCTATTCCTGCATGACTCGCTACTACTCCATTGAGAAGGCGAAGTTCCGTCTGGCGTATTCTCCGGTCGTGCCTGTGGATGAGGGCATCGCCCGTGCCGTTGGCTACGTGGTTGAGTCGAAGCGCCAGGCGGAGGGCAAGAAAGCGTTATAAAGAGGTGCTGAAGGGGCTTGGTTATGTGAGAAAGGAAATTTTTTTGTTCATACTGTAATAATAGGAAAAGGGTGAAGGCATCCTTGAGCTATGCAAACCGATACACCCGCATTCTAGACAAAACAACTGAAGATCCGCAGTCCATCTCGGATCGCCGTTCTACAACCAAACAGATTCTTGTCGCTACTGATTGAAAGGGGTTCCTTGAATTTAAACTAGGAAGATCGGGTTATTCGGAGCTAATCCCACAGCCCATTTTGAAGGCAACGGAAATAGGCCAAGTTATAGGCCACCAACAGCGAGGTATATAGGAGAGGACGACAGGGTAGAAAGAGAAAAGGGGGAAAAAAGAGGAAAAATAGCGCTACAACGCTCATCAGGTCCGGTCCTGATCGACTTTGTCGATCTTGTCGGAGGAGTCGGCATCCTTATTGTGCACCTCCAACGCCGATACATTATCGAGCACCTCTTCACCATCGTGCCTCGCAATCTCAACATCAAACGCAGCTTTGCTGTTAAAGATGGTCTCCATCTCCTCCAGACTCTTGCCTTTAGTCTCTTTGACGAAGAACCAGACCAAGATCGCCATGATGACGTCTAGTGCAGCATAGAATAGGAACGTGTAACTGCCCCACGCGCTCTGCATGTAAGGAGTTACTAGGGAGAAGAGGAAGTTGAAGAGCCATTGGGTTGAGACCGAGACGGAGGACCCAATCTCGCGGATACGGGTTGGGAAGATCTAGATGGATGTTAGAGGGGAACCGATTCCGACGGTGTAGTCCGGGGCAGGGACTCACCTCCGTTGTATATGGCCACGGCAACGGGCCCCAGCTAAACTGATATATGGAGTTGGTGAGGAAGATCATGGCAACGGTTGCAATACCCGACGATGTCACTTCTTGCTGCGGCTTGGGGGTGGTGTTGTTGACGACCGTGACGATAACGAAGCAGACCGCCATCAGCAGGGCGGAGATCCAGAGGGTTGGCTTGCGACCCCATTTCTCAGAGAAGAACAGGATATAGATGCCGACGGTGACGAACTTCTCGGCACCAAATAAACCAGTGATGAGCAGCGAGCGGCTGCTATCATTGCCGACTAGCAGCTTGAAGAATTGCGGTCCAAAGTATGCCAGCGCCGTCATACCCGTGCACTGCTGGCCACAGAAGATAAAAATGCCGAGCAAGAGGCGATACCGGTTGGCGGGCTCAAGAAGTTCGCGCTTCTTCACGCCATCCGTGGCCCGCAACTCCTCGGCCAGGCCGACCTTGATTTCATTGAATTCGGCGCGGACCTCGGGGCCTGTGAAGAACCAACAAATAATATGATAAGCAGACCGATCGACATGATATTCTATATTCAAGGTCCATGTATTCGATTGTCTTACCTTCACTGGCACGCATCCATGCCAGGCTTTTCCATGCTTCCTCATAGCGCTCCTTCTTAGCCAACCACCGAACACTCTCCGGCTGAGTGAACAGCCCTAGGGCTAGGACCGATGCCGGCACCAACTGCAAGCCGACCGGGATCTGCCACTGCTTGGACGACACAGGCAAGGTCTGCTCGACCGCATAGTCGATCCAATAACTAATCATGACTCCCAATGCGAAGAGCCACTGCACGCCTGAGCCCAGCATGCCCCGAATCTCCTTGGGCGCCATCTCCGCATTGTACGTCGGCACGACGGCCGTACCCGCGCCCAGACCTAGGCCGGATACAAAACGGCCGATATAAAAGCAGACCAGGGAGTGCGAGGGGACGACCTGCAGGATGACGCCTAGGCAGAAGACCGACATCGCGGTCTGGATGGTCTTCTTGCGCCCGAAGCGCTCCGAGAGGGGAAACACACATAAGGCAGACAAGAACGCGCCGACGTTCTGCAAACTGACCATGACTGCGCTCACGGTCGTTTTGTCGGTGTATCCAAAGTCAATTTCGTAGGACTTGAAGGTCAGAATGCCGCCTGGTGGGAACAGGATGGGTGTCAGCCTTGTCAATTAGGTCGACAATGCAGCCCTATAACGCCATATAAAGTCGCGACCTACCAACAATTCCAGTGTCATAGCCAAACAAGAAGCCGGCCGTGCAGACGAAGAAGCCAAAGAAGTAGGCACGAAACGCGCCAAGTTTAGTTCCATTCAGCCGCGCCATAGTGATGTACGGTGCCCAGCTGCCGGCAGCTTTCAGCTCAGAACGGGGGAGAGGAGAAGAGAATGGAACGAAGAGGGGATGCTCGTTTCTTCTCTTTAAAAGGGAAACACCGTAGGGGCCGAACTACATAGTGATCCGAGCACTATAGAGAACGATGCGACTCGACCACATGGCTGCGAGTTAAAGTTGGTCGCACGCAAGCGTCGCCCGCGGATGTCGCCATCGCACGCCATCTCTTGGGCTCAACCCGGCGAATAGGCGCTTTTCTTCAGGCCACCGGACCCTGAGACCCTTGATATCACATCGGCTATCGGCTCGACCTCAACCCTCTATCCCAACCTCGCCTTTTTGTTGACCTGTCCATGAAACCGACTCTCTTCATAAAACTCGGGAGCTGATTCAGGAGTCCATGACATCTACGAGTGGAGCGGTAGCTTCTCCGCATTTTGCCCCGGCCCCACCCCAGATGACCTCAGCACTTCTCTTAATGATTCGGCTGGTCGCGTCGATCGCCCCGAGCAGCGCCGGATCTCATATTAACAATCCCGGTGTTTCAGTTTGTTGCTCCACAACACAAGGGTAATCCGTTGAATGAGGGAATGAGATCTGCTGGCCGATCTGCTGCTCGCCCTGATGTATTGATGGAGACAACATATTAGACTGCCCGGGGACTACCTCAAAGTCATGCGCTGAATAGCCTTACGGTGGAAGGGCCACCTACATTGCCTGCTGCTAACCCCCTGCTACAAGCCATGGGGCCCCCGACTCAGCATGGTGAAAGCTCTCAAATGACTAGATCGTCCTTCGAGCCACCAGCATCTCGGGCTTGGCCAACCACATGGACAACTAGCAGCGCCATTGCAATGCAGGCGGGATCCTAGACTCCCTGGATGGATCAGCTTCCCCGCAATCAGGCGGCATCGGTTCCCCAGTGCAGGGGTCCGCCTTCCCCCCAGATTCTCATGAAGTGCTGAGCATTTACTGTTATCCGTGACTCTACTACTGTCAAATGCGTCGCTGCAGGTAGGATTAAAAAGCATCGGATCAGCTCTTCGCATCGGTCCTCTGGGAACGAAAGATATACAAATGATACACCGAGAAGTCGGAAAGCTTGGAAATATTCCTTGCATTAATCATCAGACAAGGAACTTCTCCAGATCGCGGAGCGTATTTAGAGTTTTTTTGTTGCATGGGATTGGAGTTGTCGACTAGGCGCTGTCGGTATTTGAGAATTGATGCTAGTTGGTCCGAGCCAAAATGGGTTGATAGATGTTCAAATAGGCTCCTCGGAGTCGAAGCAATGTGCGGTGAATATAGGGAGTATACCGGCGTATGAAGACGGGGCTCATGGAATATTTTCTTAGAGTCAAGCCGCGGCGAGACACGAAGTCTTACTCTTTTACAGAACACCCCACGCCGTTGGTAGGATAAGTGTGTGATACACAGGAATGGAAGTAATGGCGCCTAGGGACAAGCATTGAAGCTAGTAGATATATGTAGAACTGTCTTTGGTCAGCTATTTACAGATCTGAGTGATGCATATAGTCACTGAATATTATCCTGGTACCTGGTATGATATTACTCATTCATATTCCTATATTCTGAGTTGTCTGCTGCATTGGTCCAAGACATTGTCGCTAGGGGAGGTCGCTTTCGATGTTGAGTTGCCGCAGTTGTCAGAGATACAAGGCCAGGTGAGATTGGGGGCTGTTATATTCGAAGGACGAGCCGTCTGGGGGGAGAATTTGGAAGTCCATTATAAAGGCAGGTCTGCAATAGTTGTCCGGTATGTTTAGGGCGATGTCGCAAGGGCTGAGGTAATGATGATAATTAGAAGGGCAAGTGTCGCAATGGGTCCAATTCGGGCAATATCGGTATCGAAGGTGGGCAGTCGCATTTTAAATGTTCGCGCAAGGGCTGTGTGGGTTTTGTGTTTATGCCTAGGCGGTTGGCCCCTTGTCAGTCTTTTCCGTAGCGACGAGTTCGCTTTCAGAGAGATCGTCGGCAACGGCCTCCGTAACCGGGCCAGTGTAGACCTTTCGGCCGCGGATATACCAATAGATCATGGCAAATAGCAGGACCGCCGCGAGATAAACACAGGCGTAGTTCATCTGGAAAAAGGGGAGCATTAGAAAACCAATACCGGTATTTTGCGACTGGGAACTTACAGTATCGGCAGAGACAGGCATGGCGGTTGGAAGAACGAAAATGACGCTGACGAACAAAGTCCACAGGCACGCCCAGATATTGACGATCGTACTGAAAGGACCCATATGCCAAGGGCCAGGTTGGAACTTTCCAAAGAGAAGCTTGCACATCACGGGGATACAGTAGCTCCAATCCAGAGCAATGGCACAGACCGTGAAGACACCGGAGATAGCAATGTACGAGCCCAGACCAATGAGGTTGATCGCAATGCAAAAGAAAACGGAGATCCAGACCGCATAGAGAGGAGTGCCAGTCCACTTGGCCACTTTGATCCATACATTGGAGAAGGGCATCATGCGATCGCGAGAGAAGGCGAAAACGGTGCGTCCAAGAGCCTGCATCGCAGTGAATGTGACGAACTTGATAATTATCAGTGCGGCAATCGTGAAGAACATCCCGCCGCCCTTTCCGAGACTGTTGTAGAAGAGCTGGGCCACAGGCTGTTGCATCGGCGAGCTGAGAATGCTATCCGGGTCGCCCATGCAGAAGCAGAGTACGATATTGAAGAGAAACCCGGCCACATACGTGAAAAGCATCGCCGATGAGATCGCCCAGGGAGCCTTGAGCTCCGGGTTGCTGATCTCCTCGGTGATATGAGCGGTCGCATCATAATCCGTCATGGTCCAACTGACAGACAAGAAACCAAAAAGCCAGCTAAATCCAACTGGTGTCCAGCCAGTTTCCGCTTCGGTATGTGTAAAGACGTATTTCGCATCATTTTTGTTCTCCGTCAACACCAAGAGGGCGATGCAGCACGCCACCAGCACACAGACATGGAAGATCACATAGAACTTGGTCATCTTCTCCATCCAATACGTGGACAGTGAATTGACCACGCCGGTGATGACGGTGAGTGCCGCCATGACGCCGACAGTGGTGTTGGTGGTGATGGTGTAGTCAAAGTCGCGACTCATGGATACCGCCGCTAGAAGCATCTGCGCGGCGCCATATTCCGAAGAGGCGACACCGGCGACTTGACCCAAGAGGTTGAGCCAGCCCGTCACCCAACTGATCGAGGGAACCCAACTCTGAGGGGCCAAGCGCGATATGGTGAAGTATCTGCGAGTGGATTAGGACCGAGATCTCAAGGAAATAGGGCTATCGAGTTCTGTTCTTCTACTTACAGTCCTCCAGACGTTGGATATGCAGAGACCAATTCAGCTACCGAGCACTAGATGGGTCAGCCAATATATCCAACTGTGAGGAGCCAATTACCTACCGCAATGCACATGCAGCCAGCACCAGAGACAAACCAACACCAGACGACCGCACTACTGCCACCTGCATACAACGGATAGGAAAGGGTCGTCATGACGGTGGAGAAGAGACCGCTAATGCTGACCGCGAACGAAAAGGTCGCCAAATACCCAAACTCGCGCTTGAACACCGGGTTATAACCGAACTTGGTTGCCAATTCGGAGTCGTCCTGGGTCAAATCGGCGAGCGCCACTCGCCTGTGCTGGCCATCGGGGCCCCGAATGTCGATTTGTCGGCTGTCATGGTGACGCTGACGGAGTTTCGTCTCACCCGTCACTTCTGTAGGGTTGATATCCGCCATCGTTGGGAGTTAGTATACCGCTGTATACTGTCGCGTGTGCAAAAAATGTCGAGTCCCGAGTATAAAAGCAAGACAAAGGGAAAAAGAGGAAAAAGCAAAAATGCTATCGCGCCAAAAAAAAAAAACAATCGCGCCAGCCCAGAAAGCCCTTCAGAAAGCCAATAATACGAGGGCAGGCTTACGATGGCGTCCGTGGGGCACATCCTGATATCCACCCGTATCGGCTGTCAAGACCAGGTTCAGGGGGTGTGCGATAGTTCGGACCGGGGATTTCATTGGTGACCTTGGAGGCCAGTGGCTCGCTAAGACGGCCGACGAAGGCACCGGGTCAGTCGCCCACATGGCGGAACGTGGGCTAAACAGGGCTAAACATGGGTATACATGGCTTCACCGTCCATGAGTGGAGTCCCCGGAGAAAAGCTTGAGATCTCGGGATCGCTGCCATTGGTGAATGTTATCGGGCGGGCAACACCTTCCTAATAGCGTCGACCATTCAATTTGAGTAGGTTTCAAGTGTCAGCCTCACTGGCTGCAATACGCCCCGTTCGGCGCCTTGAAAGTATAAGTGGTTCTTCTCGGGTGCAATCGCCCGACCATGGTCGCGCATGCTCGCCCTCGGTATTCCGTATGTTGCATGGTTAGTCTCACGTGGGATTCCCGGCCGGAGATCGCCGGTGGCACGATAGGCCAATTTGTATGATTTTCCAAAATCAAGTATGAACGATATATTGAGATCTTTCGTCCTAAAGTTGGAGACCTCAACTCTGGCATGAAGAAGCCGCGGTGGTAACGGGCAAAAGTGCCTTTTCACCACCGCGCGTCGTCGAATCCTGGCGCCGATCTTCCCGGTTGGCCACAAAACTTCTGTCCAGACTGAAATACCAGGTGTGACAGATGTCGGACAGGTGTTAAGTTCGGGCTTGTCTGTACCTGAAGGGATGAGTGATGAGTACGAACAGCAGATCATTCTTCACATGCGTCTAGATTTGCTTGATCGCAGCTAGCGCGTCTAAGCTGCTAAATGCCCCACACAAGGCCCTTCTACCCCTGTCAGCCCAACATCAGGAGGAAAGTGAAGACTCTCGCTCTTAGGCAGATGACAACTGATGAATTAATGGTTGCTCCAGTTTCAATCGCGCCGGGAGTGGTGGAGTCACTTTCCCTAGGGTAAGATGACACGCGAATCTTGTGATCGAACCAAACTCATACCCCCGAGTCTCTCTACCGCAGGTACCCTTGAATGATAGCTTCGGCATGGTATAAGCAATAAGTAAGCAATAAGTGATATCATAAATGGAATGCATGAGTCTTTAAATAGGAATCTGGCTTTAGGTTATCAAGTCATACTTTAGGCGAGCTAGGGTAGACGTGGGGAAAGCGGAAGATCAAAAGTACGTATGACTGGATATGAGGTTTCACGCAGCTATGGCCATGGCTCCTTAAACAATGTCGAGAGGAGGGGGGGCTCATGACGCCATCTTCTTTAGGACTTTTCCAAGAACCTTGTCGTGTTAGGTTGCAACACGGTGGAAGAATCTAGGTGCTTTCGACCAACTCCGCTCGACTGCGAAACTCTCAGGGCGACTTTTCAGTCCTCTAACCCTTGAGCAAATTGCTGGTTTTCACATGTACGTGAGAAAGAGCTTCAGTGATTTCAAGTAATCCCACATCATAAGCCAGATCCTCACTGGGCATGAGAGAATAGACTTGTCTACACTTCCGAATAGATATGAAGGCGCCAAACAGATTAAATTGGTTGCAATCTCCTGCGAAGTTGCAAGATTGGCGATTTGATGGCCAGCATGTTGGTCATACTCCACATCTCAACATACGTGCCAATGTCTCTTTCAACACTCTCCAACTCCGCACCACTGGAGTTCCTTCGCCAAAGTGGCAGACTCATCACTTTCTAAGGTATCGGGCCCATAGTCAGAATTGAGGATAAATTAAAAAAGCAATGATTCGGGGCGATGACACATGGCAAAAGGGATATCATTCAGTGTTGAACGGTCGAAGAGAGAAGTCGAGTGAAGGTTTAGCGGTGGAGACCGATTGATCTTATACAGAGGATCCTGTCTTGAGAACCAGACGATAGAGAATTTCAAGAAAAAACGACTGTTTGAGGCATACTGGTTAGAGGGGCCAGGCCTGGAAGATGAACAGATGGTGTTAGAGATAATTTAGATTCTATCAAGATGTCCCGCTGAATACGAGCCTGCCATGTTCTAGTGGCTCTTGCCGTTGTCCTGCGTTATGCCAATCTGTGAAAACATGGCCAACGTGCCTGCCGCATAGAATAAAGAAGAACAGGCGGGAATTTGATGGCCAGCTTTGCCTTCTTCACGGTGTTTTGAATTTTGAGACAGCATTCATCGTTTATGTGCCAGTAGCCCCCAATGTTGCTGTCTACAGTTTCACGGCTACTTGCGGCACCATTGTTCCCAGCGCTTTCCACCTTAGCGCAATGGCCAATTCAGTTTCTTTTCAGCAATGCCTTCACCTGGCCACACAAGTCAGCCGATGCGAACTACGACTATGTCGTGGTGGGCGCGGGTACAGCTGGAATGACGATTGCGGCTCGCCTGGCCCAAGCAGGGTTTCAAGTCGCCTTGGTGGAGGCTGGGGGTTACTACGAGTCCGCCAATCCAATCTCGCAAATCCCGGGCGCTGCGACAGTGGGAATCGGGGCCAACATAGATACTGCAACCTCGGTAGACTGGAAGTTTGTTGCTCGAGAGGTACCGGGAGCAAATCATCGTGATATCCATTACCCTCGCGGCAAATGTCTCGGGGGATCGTATGTACTCATTCCTTCTGTGTCGGGCGATTGGAAAGCTAACGATTTGTTTGCTAGATCGGCTCTCAATTTCATGATTTATCAAAGGTCTAGAAATCCTGTCTTGGCGATATTGAGTCATTGGGACTAATCTCGTCACGTAGGCCACCTGCAGATGCGATGAAAAGATGGGCAGAGCTCGTCGAAGATCCCAGTTACGATTTCCATGAAACTCTTCCCTTCTTCAAGAAGACGGTCTATTTTACACCCCCGGGCCAGGTTTCAGGGATGTCATAACACCGTACAATGATTCATTCTATGACAAAGAAGGCCAGCCCCTTCATGTCTCCTATCCACGCTATGCAATGCCCTTTTCCAGCTGGGTGCGTCGGGCCCTAACTGCCGTCGGCATAGAAGAAGTGCAAGACTTTAATGGCGGCTCCATTATGGGACATCAGTTCTGTACCATGTCGATTCGCCCCGCAGATGAATCGAGGAGCAGCTCAGAGTCCGCATTTCTACAACCTCCTCATAATTTGGACTCTTTGATGATCTACCAAGGTACACTAGCGACGAAGATTCTCTTTGACCTTGGCAATCGCGCAACAGGAATCAAGGTTCAACAACAGACGCAGGAATTCACCTTGACTGCAGGACGTGAGGTTATCGTGTCTGCGGGCGCCTTTCAATCCCCACAATTACTGATGGTCTCGGGGATTGGACCCGCTGATGTTTTGCACAAGTTTGCTATTAAGCCCATTGTGACTCTTCCTGGGGTGGGCCAGAACATGTGGGACCATGTTTTCTTCGGTCCCTCGTACGAAGTATCAGTGGATACATTTACTCATATGGCTCAGGACCCAATATTTCTGGCTAGTCAAGTATTCGCTTATATGATGTATCGAGATGGAATGTTGACAAATCCATCCACTGACTATCTCGCTTTCGAAAAACTCCCCGGTGACTATCGATCAAACTTCTCAGCACAAGACGAATCTCAACTTTCATGGTTCCCCAGATATTGGCCCGAAGTCGAGGTAATATGCATTCTGTTGCTTTGATCCTATAAAAACTAAGCCTTCTATCGCTATCAGTATCTCGCAGGATCAGCATTTGTTGGGAACTTTTCAAACCCTTTCGCACAACAGCCGTCAGTTGGCAAATATGCTTCCATCATTGCCAGCATAGTCGCACCCACCTCTCGCGGGAATGTGACGATTCAATCGGCACATATGGCAGATCCGCCCGTTATCAATCCAAATTGGCTAAATACTGAAACAGATCAGAAAGTGGCTGTCGCAGCATACAGGCGGATACGAGATACTTTTAGCACTCAGGCGATGGAACCGATACTTATTGGCCCGGAGTATTTCCCTGGCGTCGGATATCAGACGGACGAAGAAATCTTGAACGTAATCAAAAATACGATGATGACTATCTACCATGCCTCCTGTACATGCAAGATGGGCACTCGAGGCGACAGGATGGCCGTCGTTGACAATCGAGCAAGACTCTTCGGAGTAACTGGGTTGCGAGTTGTGGATGCCAGTGCGTTCCCACTTCTTCCGCCCGGCCATCCCCAATCAGTAGTTTGTGAGTTCCTCCCAGCTTGTTCCCGATTCTTATATCGAAAAGGTCTAACGGTTTTTAGATATGCTGGCCGAGAAGATTGCCGCTGATATTCTTGATGCCTGATACAGAGGAATCGGTTGAATATGCTTGACTTGCCTGTGACTGGAAGTAGAATGACGGCTTGTCTCAAAGAACGAACAGGATTGATGACGAAAATTTCATTTTTCCAATATCCGAATCACAAAAACTCCTCTAGATTTATTTGATTCAAGGTATCAAATATGTTGTAATCACTCGGTAGACAATCAGGTGAGAAGGCATAACCATGATTGTTGCCAAATAAGTCACCAGCGTATGGGAAGTTATGTAGAGCGTTCGGGTCAACACCATCGAACGTTTGAATGTCAGGTAGATTGATGTTGGCTCCGGCATGACCAACAATAGAATTTTCCAAATTTCGGGAGAGTTGAGCTTCGAATACCATATTCTTCGGATCGAAGAATTCATTGAAAGGCTCTAACGGAGGGCCAGTCATATTTGAGGATGGGAACGGATCCAATGGCGGGCATGGTTTTGAACATGGAGGAGGATCATAATTTTCGGGGGGTGACGGTAAGTGATCGCCGTATCTTTCACAGTAAACTTTCTCGAGATTCCGTCCAATCCGTTTTGCGATGTTCCAAGATGTGGAAAGTTCGCGGAGCACTTGAAAGCATAGACCAGCGGCTGCATGTGGAGACAAAGTTCGAGTACTCTCTTCCTCTGGAATTGACTTCGAGTAGTTTTCAAGAGAGCAGCATCTCTCAATGATAATCAAGGCAGCTGACAAGACACAATGTGTAGCGGTAATGGGGCTTAGCTTGAAGCTGCCAAAAGTTTGTCTGTATTTCTGGGCAACAATGATCATAGCCCGTACTGAGGCACTGCAGTTGGCTAGGGCAGGTTGAGTTCGGTCATGCTCAGTTGATTTTTCATCAGATTCTTGCGTTTGATCTGTGGTGGCAGTAGAGCAGACGTTGTTTGGTGTGTTGTTCATAAGAAAAGGTCCACAGAGCAGGATATAGGCAGTGTGATAAACCATATATAGAGTATAAGCGTGGGCAAACTTGGAAGGACCGGAAGCTCGTTCAATCTTTAACTCAGATGGCAGATCATAATACCAAGTTTTGAGCTCAAGAATACATAAGTCAAAGAAGATGGAACGCTTTTGCATATGGAGAAGAGGTTTCGGTGACCAGCTGAAATCATATTATCAATTAGATGTGGAAGGGCATCAATGATGAAGGAAAAGTATGTACTGACAGAGAGTGAAGTATTTTTTCCAGGATACGACACAAATCAATCATTGCTCGGTGTAATTGTACTACATCTCCTTGAGAGGCTGCACGTAGTTGCCCATTTGCGGATGGCAAGTGAACGTTTGAAGCACATTGTAAATCTGGTTTGTTGACAGCGCCTTGTGAATCCTATAGAAGAATATATGAGAATCACAAGAACCCCAATACAGGACTGAATCTGGGCAGTTACCAATAATGTGCAAACACGACCAGTATAACTGGCTGATAGTTTGTCGTGACAATACAAGGCCCAGTAGATTTGCCTGCGGAGCTCAATTTCAATCGCGGGAAGGGCAACTGCTCCGGCAAGGACCGCAGGATCCATATTGAAGCCCATGTCAAGGGCAAGGCGATTTGCCATACCGTGGTGAAGCCATCCAGCTGCGTCGGATCCCATGGCCTGGTGGCATAGTTAAATTAGATGAGGCTATGCGTGAGAAAAGAACAGATAACGAGTGCCTTACAATATAAACCATGCCCATTATGGTCAAAGCCTGGATTGTTGTTATTTTGGGCCACCGAAGATCGTTTTGTATCAATCTCTCAGCTACGTCAAGGAAACCCCTGCCTGCTGTATTTGAATCCGCTGGATCCGTCCGCACTTCAATGCGGTCGCAATAGCGTGATCCCAAAGCGAGAATGCAATTCAGTAAAAGTGGACTACTATATCGTCCACCACAAATCAAACTTTCCCTGAATAGCTTCTCATTCACCACCTGGAGCCATGGCTGTTCCCATTCAAAGTAAAGGTCAATAAGATGGGCTTGGAGGTCATTTGAGATCGAATGGTGCTCTGTAAGATCTTGACTGCCATTCAAAGCACCGGCGTCTTCAAATGTAGCAGAGAAGGGCTTGAATGAGTCACTATAATAGCTCGTACATAAGGCATCGATTTGAATGGCCTCTTCCGATGGGGAATCTTTTCATTATCAGCGTGGGTTCATCCAAAAGCAACTGCTGAAAATTTTACCATTCATGGGAGATCGAAATAATAAACGCCCGCTAGTCGGTCCAAAATACCGCACCTCACCATCTTGATCAAAATTCAACGACTCATCCAGAGTGAGCGCACCGTCGAATGTTCCGCACAGATCTTCCATGTTAGAAGAAGAACACGGGCAATTCCCATCGCCTGGCTGATTAGGTGAGTCGCTTTCGGTGAGCAGTTGAGCAATGGAGGCCTCAACATCGATTCCATGGGATTCAAGAACACGTTCCAAAAGCTCCATACGCTTCCGCAACATCACAACATAAGACTTCGGCGCAGGTTGCCTCCCATCTTCGGCAGTGGAGTACTGGCACTGAATACCACGATCCGCACATCGAGAACAAGATGGACGTGTCCCGTCACACTAGTCATGATTTATTTTAGAGACCTAAACTTGGAAACAGGATGAACAAAACAAACTAGGCCGGTATTACCTTTGCTCTTCGTCGGCGACACTCCTCGCAGGCTCGGGAGGTATACTTTCTCCCGGGCCGCTTTCGCCGAGCATGAGAGTCATCTTTTGGTGCGTCTTGGGGCATCTGATGAGTAATCAAACATCCGATGCCGCAGTCTGAGCTCGGATTAATCGATGGTGGTCTTTTACAAGCCCAGAGAAAGTAGTTGGCAGGAGGCGACAATTGATATTACAAAGCAATGGCTTACAGTCGACACCCTATTTTTTAGGCAACAGAGTTCTGGCAACCAGGGGCGGTGAACCTTCTTGCTTTTCTGCCATCTCCGTCGTCAGTCGTTCACTGCGGATTAATTTCACTAGCAAGCAGAACACCCCACCATCTACAATATTTTCAACATACGATTTTTCAACAGCCACGAAATATATTGATTCAAACTAGTTTACTGGGACAAAAATTGATCCTATGACCTATTTGGAAGCATTCCTAAGACTTAAAACATGATTGGGTGTATGCGTAGCGCGCTTAGTAGGCTGCTGACCGTGCTCACTTTGATGATGCTGAATCGCTCCAATAGGTATTACTGGTAACGCTTTTTGCCGTATGAACTGAGTAACCGTTAAGCTATCCAGGCGATATATCTGACGATTCGATCTAGAACGTTTCTGACATTTCGATTCGCCAATCGCTTGGAAGATTGACGAACTACGTATCTTGTAACATAGTTTTCACCTTCGAATATTATATTTAGTAGAAGCGAATACCCGATTGCCGATGTAGAATCAACTGCTATTACCCTTTTCCATCTTCCTAGTTGTATAAAAGTCCTCTGACTGTGGATATTTCTACGTATGACTAGTCTGATGGTTCACATCAGGCCTATTGGGAATCCGGTCTCATCAAAGTTATGATATCCTTGTTTTGAATCCCGCTTTTATTAATCATACGTTACTCTAATATAAAACACTCACGTAGGCTTGCTGACTCTTTGTTCAATATATATTCATAGTCGTCAATATTTGGGAATCGTGTATGAAGCTCTGATAGGCGGTGGATACAGCGTGCAACCTAGTTGACGCCAAGCCTATGTGGCAGGAGAAGAAAGATATCACCACGTGCTACTAGTAGAATATTCTCTATATCAGCAATTGCCAAAGGCTTATGGAATTAGTACATGATCTAGTGATCATATCATTGTCGAAGCGAATCATTTTTTTCTTGTGTCAATTTATAGTAATTCTCATGCGTTCCCTCACGACTAGGCCTGATTTCGATCCGGTAATGTAGTGTAGTGATTATTATATTGTCAATCGCTGCAGCTCGACGACTAGAGCACGCTGATTATTCTGTATTTCTTTGATGAATAATAGAATATATTCTTCTCAATCAGGCGATTATGAGTGTTTTGCAGAGCGATTTAGGGCCATGATAGTGATGGAAGCTGTAGGTCGCGCGAGAAGCGCGCTCTTGATGGGTTTTTCTGCTCGCTATTAAACTACGGTACTTGAATATCATTTTATAATTGCTGATCAGCGTTTGCTTTTGCTGCATTGCACTTATTTCCTCGGTCCGGTAGGCTCGCTGTGTCTCACTCAAACAACTTTAACAGGTATTGTTTGTTTTCATCTAATTTGATATTGAGATTGGAACTAATGAAGCTCAGGAAATTACTTGAGCCAGCTTGATTCATACTTAGGCTTAGTCTTTGCATAGGAAAATATACCGTAAGGACCAGTATGATCGCGATACAATGGGGATCGAGCGCAAATTTGGTGATCTCTAAAGAACGCAGATCTACAAGCAGCGCTCTTTGAATCGCTTCCAATAGCTAGGGGGCGCGGTACAGTGCGGCATTAACGGAGTCTACCGAGATTACTCTATCGAGCGGGTACTAAATCGAGAATTCTATAATCATTTGTGGTCCCTCGTCCTATAGTCTCTTGTAAGTCCTCTATATCTCTATTTAAGAATAGTTCATATGCTTTATATTACGACTCCTATTCTGCAGTAGATAGGCTTATAGGTTCTTGACGGCCTCGCAGACACGTATAAAAGCAATTTGGGGAGGCTGAGACATAGTATAAGCCAAAATGAGGGGGCCGACATCGCGTAATTTCCGCACCTCGGAGGCTTTTCCGACATGCATATATTAGCTTAAAAGTGATAAGCCGGTAAGCCCTAGCGCAGTCACCTAATATAAAGCTAACATTCATTCATCGCTAGGTACCTGATTGCTTACTCCCACATCATAAGCCATCTCAAAATTCCATATATACCATCTCCAGACGATGAAATTAACTTTCTTACACATCTTGTCTCTGCGTCTTTGCGCTGCCGCTCTAGCTGTTCTTAGCAACGCCAAACCAGCGTAACCAAATCTCGTCCTCTCGACGTCGACAATAAAGAGCGACGAACAAGCTTGTAGGACAGGAATCAGGGGGGAAGAGTTAAAGAATCGACATCGGAATTGGTGTATCTCGATAGCTTTGAGCATTATGCCTTCTCTGACACGGGCCGGCTAGACCTCTCGGATGATCCCTCCACTGACCAGTGCCTGAATGTAGTCGGTTAGATCGGTTTAGCGAGGGGGAGCTACAGTAAGTATCTGTGCCCTCCAGTCCTCCAGTGTGACGGAGTTGTTGCTTCCCCAAGAATCATGGCGATTTACACTTTTTGCGGGACAGGTTGATATGTGACTTCGGTGCTTACTGTATTTCTGGCCTTCAGCCAGTCAGATTGATTTTCGCCTTAGCATCTATCAAAAGAAAGAAGATTTTATCTGATTCGTTCCCGTATTGTGGTGATCCACTTAGCAGAATCTGTACATATTCTGCTTCGGGTATTACTGACTTATAATACCTCTTAACCTACAGACCGGTCTGTAGGTTACACTGGCGCCCCCACATCGCTTATAGAAATGGGTGCGCCCGCAATTCCCGTCAATTTCCCGCCAGTGGTTGCAAGTGACGACACGTGATGAGAGAGCCTGGCTTGTATGGAGGAGGTGCCAAGCCATGGAATATAGGCTATGATACGAGGCTCTTGTTGCGAAAGAGGCTGTGCAAAGTAGTGCAGTATGTGGCAGTCAACGATTTTCTTTATAAAGAAATGATTTGTGAGGAAATCGCATTTGGTGCAGTATATAGTCCTACGAAGTGATGGGCATAATACCTGTAGGTGCATGCTCAAAATCGCGCACGTGTCGATTGATTCAGTCCCACCAGCCAGGTGAGGTGGTCATTCCATCAACAAACAACTTCTACAACTTATATTCTGCTCTCGTCTGATGTATCGCTTTATCGAAGACAGATCATAATGAATAGTGAGAGCAGATCGCACGTCTTCCGAGTGACAGGCCTGACGAGGGATCTGCCCGATGGAGATCTCCAGACTGCACTGCAAGAGACGCTCAACGACAAGATTCAACGAATACGAGAGGTCGCATATCAAGGTGGAGATCCCAATCGTGCCTTCATGCTAAGAAAGTGACACACAGAGGGCGGCGCTAGTACAGTTTCGCAGTTTCGGGGCGGGGGGCCTTAGTTCCTCTGACCTGAGAATCGCCCCGCTTGGAGTCTGACAGGTCGAGATGGGAGATGACGACGTTAGCTTTGATAGCCACTTCGCAGGATTCACCCTGCTCTCCGCGCCAAACGAAAATGAGCCGGCGTTTGCAGAATAAGGAAGTATGCCTTTATCGATATCGAGAATATAATGTATGACAGTAACATTGCTATTACCGGACTGGATGGACATACGTACGGATTGTGGCAAGGAAAGTGAAATCTGGGTCGGATATGGCTCCGTGACTTCCTATCGAAGGATCTTCCGCAGTGCCCCACAATGGTCAACAGGTATAACTCTAAGCTATCGAGCCACGGAGTGGACACGCGGGCGGGAGCTGATAGAGGAGATGAAGAAGATTCGAAACACGAACGTGGTAGGGGTGCGATCTGACTTTGCTATCGATTGTAAGTTTGGCTGATGTTTCGAGTAATAGCTCCAGCAGAGACGTCTAATCTGCAACTTATATATATTTGGTACCTATAGACGAAAAAATCGAAACCGACGAGAGGAACATAATCATCTGGTGGGCTTGTTTGTTGATATACCCATATGGTAAGCACGCATCTCTTCTTATAAACCTGATCTGGTTAATCCCTTTCGTCCTGCGGACTTGACAAGCACTCCCAGTCCCGGTGATTCGTAACAGGCTACATGGGAACGGGAACGACGGGCTTTCCCGACAGCTGGCGCTAGTGCCTGTACATCCTTGGGACACGGACACATAGGTCGTAGTGGTAGGCTAGTAGTAGTCTTAGTGACTTAAGTAGCTCAATCTCCACGCCAATCAACACGTGGACCTCCCAAGTTATACGAACCCGACGATTACCCCTGTGAGAGCCTGCAGTAGAGACTAAATCGTGTGGGAAGAACGGCAGCAGGGTTTCAGAGGAGCTGAGCCAATAGATCGGGGGCACATCTAGATGGTACTAACCTCCGTGCACGCGAAATCTGGCAGACACCTTCCCGTATAGGCAGAGAACATTCAATTGGAACGCCCTAAGCAATTGGAATGCCCTAAATAAATCACACATTGTCCCCGCTTTCCGCTTTCATCATCTATTGCTGGCCGCTCGATCTCCTCTTTGACGTTCTTGATGGACCTCTCCACTAACACTCTAATGGCATCTGTTGATATGATGATCGACCAGGAGGACTGGAGTCATATCTCCGAGCCCGCCTTGCGGAAACGTATCCAAAACCGCAACTCTCAACGCAAGCTCCGTAAGTCTCACAGGCGATTAGGCCCAAGACCATTAGTTGATGTAGTCTCAGGTGCCAAACGGAAGCTGCAAAATCAGTCGATCCCATTTGAAATCATGGCATCGACACCCGTGGTGGAGGAGGGATCAGATGTGTCTACGTTCGCCCCCTGGGCAGCCCACTTTCAGAAAGCTTCATGGATTCCGTGGACACATTTTATGCTTCGTTGGACCTCGATTTATCGTCAATTGACCCGGAAGTTCTGGGCGATACTACGAATCGCACAATAGAGACAGCATCGCTGCCGACGCCGACCTGGACAACAGATGCAGATGTTGGTTACTTTGACCCTGACTTTTCTCCGTGGGATGCGCAACAGGCGCTGGAGACCCTGCCCTTGGACCCGGCACTGGCTGATGCGGTTTCGGGCAAGAAGATAATAGCCTCTGCTCCGCAACATCTGCCACAACGACAACCAAATTCGGGGGACGTCCATATCTATATTCACAACCCAAACTCTATGACCGTCCAGCCTGGCCTTGCAGCAGTTTCAGGACCAAAGGGTACCTCCTCGAATGAGTCGGCACCTAATCAAAGCCGTCGATCCAAATTCAGCGCCCACATATTCCCGCGTGGCTTTGAAACCGGATGTTCATCGAGAAACAGTCCAGGGACATGGAAGCAATCATTCCGTCAATGGAATAGATGTGGCACCAAATCGTCTTCGCTCCCTGCTCGTGAAGTCGCGACATGCATCAATTGTGGGCATCACGTTGCGGTCCGGGAACCGGCAGAGCCCAGCCACGAGCGAGTAGTCGAGATGCTTTCCGAATGTAGCCCGGAACTCGCCGAGCTGGCCAAGCAGCCGAACGTGCGGATCAGTTATGGCTTGCCGCCGTTGTCGAGTGAGCAACGCTCACGAGACATGACATCGACGGAAGAAGAGATGGAGGGTGCCAAGGGGGATGAAAATGGAAATGCGAAACCCAGTTACATCTTGATCTACACGGGACATGACCGGCCGTGAAGGCTGCATATAGATATGACGACACTATCTCCTTCTGTTGATTAGAGACACGCCTGGACTGTTACTTATACCTACTCACCTATCTCAAGTTCTGGAATATAAATCATGCCGAAAATACTGTTATTGCCTCCGGGAACGATAAAGCAAGCTCTTGGAACTGTAACCCTTTAGCTATGAAACTAGAGATAACCGTGAAGCGACCAAAATCAACCCATAGCTGCCTGAGTTCTAGAATGCACGGGCCGCACCGTTCCTGTGGCTTGTAATGTCCGAAGGATCCAAACCAACGTTCATGCTGCATATTTACGACGTGCATGCAGGGTGGCGCCCCAATAACACGAGATTGGCTTTTCTGACTCTGACTGCAGCGTGGCTGGCGGGTGACGGGTGAGGCAATCCAACACCATCGGAAGAGGTTGGAATATTTAATGCCAACTTAAACCAACACATCGACCGCCCAGCAGTCGAGCCAATAGTATCCAGTAATCATCTTTGCGGTGTGTTACCATGGATATTTGTGGATTTGCGTTGGTGACTGGCGCAGGGAGCGGTATCGGCCGGGCTACGGCCCTGGCCTTTGCTCGGGCGGGAGCCGCTGGCGTAGGCTTCGCGGATTTGAATCTCTCCAGCGCTCAGCAGGCTGCTGAAGAAAGCAAGAAACTCGCGTCGAACACTGAATTTAAGGCTTTGGTGTTTGAGCTTGATGTGACAAAGGAAGAGCAGGTGGAAGCCGTTGTGGAGGAGTTGAAGCATTCCTTTGGAAGGATAGATTACATGGTCAATTCGGCTGGGGTAAGATTGTTTTCTTCTCTCTGCTTTCTATCTTCAGTGTCTCCGTTACAAATATCTGACGATTATGTACAGATTGGAGTACAGATCCCGGCGGAGATTGCCGACGCCTCGCTGACAGAGTTCAATCGCTTCCTGGACATCAACGTCACAGGATCTTTCCTCCTCACCAAGATTGCCTCTCAAGCGATGAAAGAGCAGGAAGCAGTGACGGTCAGCTTGGAAAATCCCCTTCGAGGTGTGACTCGAGGCGTCATCCTCAATATGGCTTCCTGTTCGTCGTACGTCGCGACGCCGTGTTTGACGCAGTACACCACGTCCAAACATGCAGTGTTGGGGTTAACCAGAAATGCAGGTACGTTTGACTTCACAGAAAGAAGAAGGAAAACACCAAGGGGAGAAGCTGACAAATGGAAGCATTGGATAATGCCAAGTACGATATACGAGTCAACTGCCTGTGTCCATCGTGGGTCGACACGCCCATGGTGGACCAAGCCGTGCAGGGTAATCCAGGACTCAAGGATTTGATTGCAAAGGCCGTACCAATGGGCAGGATTGCGCAGGTGGACGAAATCACGGATCTCATCCTGTTTCTGTGTAGCCCTCGAGCGAGTTATGTCACAGGATGTGGTTGGATTATTGATGGAGGGACCACCCTGACGAGTCATGTTTGATGCTACGTACTACGGCTAGAAGAGGGATGTCATTGTTTGTCAGACGTACTCGAACCAGGAATGTCAGAAACAGATTCGAGACAGGCAGATTTTGTCAGATTTTGGTGTCAGATATGGAAACCCAAATGTGGATACTCCGTTGCCTTAAGAATATAATAAATACATCAATAGATATCTGCTATAGTTCGGTCAAATCACACACCCTGATTAATATTGAACACCATTCTATATATCCAAACGAGAAACACACGAGTATCCAATCATGACTACCACCGCCGCAATCGATTTCATCACCGATGGCTTCCCAGCCCCCGGTCTGCGACCCATTCAGCGTCTGATCACCGGCAACAAGGAGGAAGATGGCAAGGGCTACTTCCTAGCCACCGATACCGGCGATCATCATCGCGTGATGGGTCAGAATCAGGCCGTGGCGAATATTATCTACTCCACCCACGAGAATCCTGTTGATCTCAACGAGGAAAAGGATATCAAGTATGCCCAGGAGAATGAGGTAAGGACAGATGAGACGAAATTAGCAATTCGAAAAATTCACGATCTAAATACAGCCATGAATCTCAAGCTGACAGACAGAATGATGGAACAGCCCGGTCTGCATATCCCCAACGGCACTGTGGTGCGGATGATCGATTTCGGTCCGGGAGTCGAATCGCCGATGCACCGGGCCATGTCCATCGACTATGGTATTGTCCTAGAAGGCGAATTTGAATTGACACTCGACTCGGGCGAAACCCGCATTATGAAGCGAGGTGATGTGAGTGTGCAGCGGGCTACCGCCCACAAGTGGAAGAATATCACTGCTGGCGAGACGGAGCCAGGTCGCATGCTGTACGTATTGCTTGACTGCAAGGAGGTGACTGTGCAGGGCAAGAAGCTGGAAGGCTTCTTGGGTGAATTGGAGAAGGAGTACGAAGGAAGACACTAAGCCTCAGAACGATCCTAGAGCGAAAGAAAGAAGAAGGCGCCTTGAGAATACTAGTGCTTGCAGCGCAATATAAGACAAGAACATGTATTAAGTAGCCCTTATTTACTCCTATATAATTCCGAGAGAAGAAACAAAATCATAAAAAGTAGGTATACTCAACCTTAGTAAACAAGTCCCAGATCTGCGGTGAGCAATTCCCGTGTAATCGTCGTGCAATTTCGTCCAGCAATTTTTGAGACCGACCTTCTAAAAACCATTCACCACGGTTAGGTCGCAGAAGGATCGCATAGTAGGCTAAGAGTAGTAAAGCGCCCGGAAAATCCCGTTTTAAGAGAGCGAGGTACTCGGGCATAACACGTATCGGCCAGGAATTGAGAACATCCCATATCGTTGACGACTGTCCGCGTTGCTTGATGAATTCGATCGCTTCGACCAATTTTACTGCCGAATCACGATAGACCGGATATTCGGGTTCGTGTTCTGGGGCTACGGATAGCAAAGTGACCAGAAGCGGGTCATTAGCGTCTGCCGTGACTCCTAGGTCGTCCCGCCACAGGGCCGTAAAGGGAGCGACCGGGCCACGGGTGAGTTCGTCCCAGACCGGGCAGAGCATGGCGCAGCCATTGCGGAGAAGGTTGATCCAATGCGACTGGTCCCCATCATCATCGGTGAGAAATAGTTTTGGTTCCTCGGACTGGGAGCTCAGGGTACAGATAACCAGGAAGAACGAAAAGGCCAGCACTGCTTGACAATTGTCGAGGTCGACATGCATGCAGGCCCATCGGAAAGCGGGTAGTGCTTGATCCTGGTGTCGCATAGACCGGATTGTGTAATATGTTCGATGATCGGGGTCGATGGAAGCTAGATGGAGGGCCGAACAGGCCAATACCCCTTGCAGCAGAAAGGGAAATCGAGAGGCAAGCTCGACCACAGTGACCCCAAATGCGTCTTGAGTCTCCGGTGTACATGAGAGGATCTTGTAGGTATAGCTTCGATAATAATCGAGCAAGCCTTCATCGCTTGTGATCACCGATTGATAGGGGTCCAGACATGCTTCACTGAAGGTCGGGGTTGCTGTCGTCTGTGCGAGGTAAAAGAAATCGAAGTTCAAGATCAGTACACGATCTGGTCAGCGTATAGACGGGCTTGTCATTTACCGTACTAGGGAATGTGTCATTCGTCAGCGCATCAGAGCTGTCAGACACGGACGCGGGCGTTGAAACCAGGCATGCCGGATTAGTGAAGTAGCGCAGCGCATTTCCCCGAAAGAAGGTTTGTAATGGTACTGCTTTCCACAAGTTGTTCCCCTCCGCGGCGGGAGTTTGGTGTGCGAGCCGCCAGTGCTGCTTCATCCGCTTGGTCGTAGCACAAAGGTAAGAACATCCGTCATGACAGCAGGCTATTCCATCCTGGACTGGAAGCAACGGCACCGGAAATTGGTCGGCATCGGGCGAGACGACATCATTAGGCTGGGCCAGCTCGAATTCGGAGGCATACTTAACGAAGGCTTGACGCGATACGCGATGAACCTCATGGATTTCCTTGAGATGGCGCCCCACGGCGCCTGGTTGAATGGCGTAGCGGCAACGGAGGCAGATTAAGACCTGATATGTTGGCAAATATTGTAACAGGTCAGATGGGGAGACCGCGTCCACCGGGGACATGATGGAGGCCATCATGAGGGTAACAGAAGAAATGCGCAGTCATCTTCGCGGAGGAGGGGTCGCCTGGCTTAATGAAGGTTTGGGGGCTGAAAGGCAGCGGTCGTTGGTTTGCACAGCCGGAGCCATTCCACTTCCGTTGATTCACCACCAGGCGAGCCAAAGTGCACTCTTTGGATGGGATATTCTCGCGTGGTTGGCGTAAATACCGAGACAAGGAGGCTCCACAAGTCCCGTCGGACGCCAACTAATCCTTATGAGAGATAAGCGTTGAAAATGAAGTTCAAAGAAATCCTACAGTGATCGGCCTCGTATTTGGAAAGGACTAACAAAAGATTCGGTCTGGATGTGCTCACCCGACGGAGGACAGCCCATGCAGAATTTCATATTTCAGGGATATTGTAGACTTTGATGGCCATGTAAACGCTGTAGAATTCTCTGAGATTTGAAGATATCACACGATTGAAATAAAATATTCAAGTGAAAAAGAGAAAAGAAAAATCACATAGGGGGAGCATAGCAGAAGATAGCTAAGGGAGTAGTCTGATAAACGGCCGAAAGCATAAAAGAACTAATCAGCACAAGCGAGTCTGACCCGAAACGTCTAGCACAATCTCACTTCTTGTATTTACTCAGGGCAGCAACAGCAATCGCAGCGAAAAGAACACTAGATCTCCGATAGAACCTGGTCTATGTTCATTACCGGCCCCAACTCCGACAATGTCAGATCCCACACTTGACCCTGAGTGATCCGACCCGCGTCACTATCGCCATAGCCCGCAAAGGGAGCGGGCTTGCAGTCACTCAAGTACCGGCCATTGGAGGCGTCCCCAGCCAATACAGATGAATGAACCATCGTGCGGGCTCCCATCGATGTGGAGCGACCGATGACTCGTTTCATCCCGCCCAGGACCTTCGCAAAGGCGCCCTCGGCCGTGCGGTGCAACTCTGAGCCATAGCAGAAACCGGGGTTGACAAGATTGAGAATGGAACCCTGAGAGCGTTTGGCAGGGGACCGGCGCTTCCACAACTCGAGGAAGAAGAGCTGGTACAGGAGCTTGGAGGTATAGTACCGGTCGCCCATGTCGAAGTGCTTCTTGTCATCCAGCACGTCAAGCAGGGAACGTTTCTCGGTGCTCGCGACCTGGGCCTCCTTGAACGTAGCCCAGGCGGCGGTTTCGCTGCCGACGATGGAAATTACCGGACGGGACCGGTCGAGATGCTGCTCCGCCTGGCGATCGAGCAGGGGGAGCAGCTGAAGTGTGATGAGTGCCGTACTTAGCCAGTTGATCTGGATACTCGACTCGTGGGAGGTCGACTCGTTGACGGTGTAGTGAAAATTGGCTACCCCCGCATTGAGCAGCGCAAAATCGATCAGAATCTCGGACTTTTGTAGGCGCTCCACAAAGGCTGTCACACTGGCGTAACTGGCTAGGTCCAGCTCCCAGACTTCGACTACAGGAGGCTTTGCGGATGCGGGCAGAGAGGCGAGAAGGGTCTTCCGCGCAGCTTCACCCTTGGAGGTGTTGCGGACGGCCAAGATCAGATGGGATAGACCAAGCGCGAGCATCTGCGCCGACGCCTGGTAGCCCAACCCGGTGTTGGCGCCAGTCACCAGACCGGCTTTGCCACGCAGAGAGGTAGTGGAGGGCGCCTTGGGAGGGCATACCAGGAACTGGCGATACAGAAAGCCCAGTTGAGTGTTGTAGAACGGCATCTTGAGCTTGGCAATAGGCTCCACGGAGACTTGACGAAAGAGGATGAGATGGTGAGCCACGGAATGGGCGACATGCTGATTTAAATAGGTCGATTTGGGTCATTTGAGAGCCTGGTCGACGGACCGATGACAGGGAGCGACGTCTCTGCGGAGCTTCGACGTTTCGGCAGGGATGCATTTATCTAGCTCAAGCAGAGCTTCAGTCCCTAAAAGGGGCCATCTCGACGGTGCCGTTCCCGGCTCTCATTGGTGGCGCGGACTTAACAGGGATCTCCGGCTAAAGCGACGGTGCCGTTCTCGCAAAACGCATGTCACGCACTTTAAAGTCGAAATGCTGTGTACCTGGAGCCTAAATAGTGACGAGTTAGTCTGACAATCACACTGGAAGACATCGACGCTCAAGGCTTTATGGAAACAAAGAGAATAAGAAAAAAAAAAGCCAAATTAGTTTCTCGCCAGAAACGGGGCTCCAGACTATAGCACCTCGCGCCGCCGTTTGGACAGTTCCGTGGTTCACAGCGCTAGATCCTGCACCAGTAACTCCCACACTCCCCTAATACATGATTAGAAGATATATAAATATGGTTAGGGCACAAACTAGGTGCAACTGCCTCGGCCTTCTAGTTTCAAAATAATCGAGGCCCATTATACGAGGTCGAACAGTGTTTCGACGCGGGAAACGCTACTGTGGTCGCGCATCTCTATAGATGATCTAAACGACAGAGTGCGACACGCATACACAGCAGTCCAGATGATTATCAAGTGAACGAATCAGCTTGACTCGGAAGGCCACGACTGGCGGGCGGGACCCGCGGGTTCCAGAGTGGAAAGCGCGGCCTTGCATGGACAGTAGATATGCACGCTAGCCTGGACATTCACGATTGTCCCGGAATTTGTTAGTGTAACTGTAACTACTAGCCGACCCTATAGTCATAACGAAGTTCTATAACTGCAGGAGACTAGGCCTAGCTTTGTTTGGACCTGTTTCTTCGATAAACCAGATGGTTCCCATCGTCCACTATCTCACGAGATATACATAGTGTGATCCAGAGCATACTAATTTTCATGTGTAGAGATGTTTTTACCACTATTTACTGTCTATATCCTACGTAAATCAAACACTTTCTTACTAGTTTCTAATATTATACAACTCTCACCTCCTATCTAGACTATAATGGGATAACACAAGTCTTGTTACACGCTTTCTTACCTTCCCTACCTAAACAACTACCTATTGAACCAGGGTGCCCTACGGCAAGCCTGCGAATGCAGGCAGGATGAGATGGATCAGCGAACCAGCCAACAAACCACACCACACCACGATGGAAGGAAGCCTCTCAGAGAGGAAACAGATGCTGCTTCGGCGGAAGATGTGTTAAAGTTAATTCTCTCCCTATCGGATATGCGAAGCTATATCCTGTAAAGACTGTGTACTAGGAAAGATATCCCCCAATCTGCCATTTCCCCACTGTACTATCTTCTGTTGTCCCCTATATTACTAGTATACGTACTATTAGAATAGAACTTAATATAAATAAGATAGCAAGAGACGGATTAAATAAGATATTAGGCGCTGCTGTTATTTATGGAAGCAAAAATAGGATGTTGAAGGCTAAAAAAGCGTGTAATTATAATATTAGTAGGCCCATAGTTTAGAGTACTTATATTAAAGCGCTTCAAAATACTAAGATTCTAACTTCTCTTCCTCGAAAAGAACTTTCAAGGAAGCCTTTAAATACTAGTATTTATTATATTCTTTACTCAACTTATAAGTGCCTAATAATAACGTAGAAAGATCTTGTTAAAGAGATTCATTCATATTCAGTCTCTCGGCTTGTTTGGTTTCGTGTGCCTGGGCATACGCCGTAACATAGAATGAGGTTTCTGATCGGTCCTACGACAAGAATGATATTTCCACGGGTCGAGTTTATTTGTGATATAATCCGACTCAGTCTATCTAGGTAGATCCGTCTTGCGGAACTTCGATATCGCTTCAGGCAAGGTACGGATTGTAGATAGAGGGAAAAGAATGATCTACAGGGTGTTGGGTTTCATAAACCCGCCGCGAAATCAGCGCCAGATGAGAGATGAAGGGAAAAGCTTCACCTTCGAAAACACGGCCCGAAGTTCATGTATATGCTTTAAACTTTTTCAAATGGCAACGAGCGGGAATTTGACTGGCACCTTGTGGGTTCGAGATCTGAACAGCGTTTGAACTACTGCTCCTGTTGACTGATGCGAATGCCTCTCCCCTCACTCACGGAAAGCATAGAAAGCTCGATCGGTAAAAGCTAAATTTCAAGGAACTAACCTGGCTCTTGCTTTATTTCATGATTTCTGACCGTCAACCTGTCACGTTCCCGGACACCATGCATGTCAGGTCAGAGTCAGATATGACTAAATATAAGACCCGCCTCACAACATCTTCCTGAGGATCGTCGACAAGTGTTACCAGGTAACCAGATCGATCGAACAAAATGCATCTATACGCCCTTTTGTCAATTGTCATAATTGCCTATATCTGCTGGCGGGGCATCTACAACCGCTATTTTCACCCTCTCCGTGAATTTCGCGGTCCTTTCTGGGCCTCTGTGTCCGATTTCTTCAAGCTATGGATTCTGCACACCAAACAGGCCCATACATTAGGCCTCGAGTATCACCAGAAATATGGTCCCATTGTGCGGGCTGCGCCAAATCTCTTGGCCGTGGATGATCCCATGCTTTTGCCGCAAATTTACCATCGACGGGTGGACAAAACGGACGTCTATACCGTCGGGGTCCTGGGTGAAATTGCGCCACCCTTTCAAACACTCAAGCACGAGGAGCACGCGATGAAGCGAAAGCGAGTCGCAGCGTCCTTCACCCTGACCAACCTCAAATCTCTTGAAGGCCAGGTCGATGATCGTATCGCACAGTGGACGAGTGTATTGACCTCCCGGTTTGCCGAGACCGGCCAAGAGCTTGATTTCGCAGCTTGGTCGCAGTGAGTGTAACCCAAAAATGGTATGAATACAAGATGGATTAAGAGAACTTACTCAGTTAGATGGTTTGCATATGACATGATCTGTCAGCTCTCTTTTGGCGAGCCGATTGGATTCGTCTCTCAAGGTCGCGATGTGGAGAATCTGATCGAGAACTTCCATCAGATGGCGCCTTTTGCGGCAGTGGTCGGGGCCTTGCCCTGGCTCGCTCGTCCTTTCTTGGAAAATCCCATCACAAGGCGGTATTTCATGCCGAAACCGGGTGATGGGTCGGGGACAGGAAAGATCATGGCCGTACGTAATGTGACCTGTGGAAGTGCAGCCCTGGGATACGACGAGGCTAATTAATGCCAGTTCCGCGATCGGCTCCTTGCGGAGCGTTTGAACAACCCAAAGCCACGACAGAAGGGCGATTTCCTCGATAATATCTTAAATGCAAAGAATCCTGATGGGTCTTCAATTACTCTGGACGAGGTCAAGACCGAATGTTTTGTGCTCATGGTGGCAGCGTCCGATACCACGGCCGCGTTTTTCTGTGGCTTTGTGCGATACGTACTACAGACGCCAGATGTGTACGAAAAGCTTATGACTGAGATCGATGATTACGATCGCCGAGGTCTCCTGACACATCCTGTTCCGCTCTACGACGAAATCAAAGATATGCCATACTTCTCGGCTTGCTACAAGGAGACGATGCGTTATCAGCCCTCTACCCCAATGATCATCCCGCGCTACGTCTCTGAGGGAGGAATGACATTGCACAATCAATTCATCCCAGCGGGAACCGAGATTGGAGCCAACCCGTACGTGGTTCATCGGAATCGACGAGTCTTTGGTGACGATGCCCATGACTTCCGCCCTGAACGATGGTTGGAGGATGCCGAGCGAACGACCTTGATGGATAAATGCATTCTCACATGGGGATATGGAACTCGTGTTTGTCTGGGCAAGAATATTGCTCTGCTGGAAACATATAAGCTATTAATTCAGGTACCGTGGTTCTTCATTTCCCTCTTGATAATCATTGTTTCACCTCGCTGATCACCTTTCAAGTTCTTCCGATTGTTCCGCCCAAGTATCAACAATAGGGACAGACCGATCTGGAGGCAGGAAAACCTGGCGCTCTTGGTCCATCATGATTTTTGGATCAAGATTGCAAGCAGGGAACGTTGATATATGCCTACGGCCATCGCGAGCCGAAGTTGTGACCTAGCTCTGTATGACCCAGGAGACAGAATAGTGCAAGCTGCGCTCCGTTATGAAAGTCCATAAAGTCCAGCTCATGGAAAACCCTTTGAAACGAGTAACCTCGAAATCAAACAGTAAATTTTATCGTCTAGATTCACGTGCGCTCTTCAGAATACTTAATTGATTACTCAAGACACATAACTTAGACAAACGACAAACTTAGCATCAAAATTTGAACCCAGAATGAAGGATCCGATACGGTATCGACGTAAAACAGCAACAGTCGCACTTCCAGCAACAATTAATAGGATATGGTTGAATCTAAATCTTTGGAGGTAACCAAATGTAGAGGCAAACCCAGAGTGCACGGTCAACTCGTCTGGATACGAATAATGATTGTTTCGGTCTAGGCAATGTACGATTCGCGATGGAAATTGATCTATAACATCTACGGAGCTCTCGGTACAGCGAGGAAGAAATAGATTGAGGAGATGGTGGTAATGGAATTGAGAAACTCAAGACAAATCTAGTAGAGACAAAAAATCTAAACAGCCAACTTCTTCTCTACAGCATCAGACAAACTCTGCAACGACGAGGTCTGGTTGAGAACCTCCAAGAAAGGAATGTCAACCTTGAAAACACTGTAGAACCACGAACGGAACTCCGACGCGATCATACTATCCATTCCATAAGACGCAATCGGCTTACTAGAATCAATTCGATCCAGGTCCATGAGGAGGAGATTGGAGAATCGCTTCCGAACCAGAATTAGAATTGCGTCGTTGAGGGTAGATGCGGATGCGACCTCGCTGGTCGAAGCCATGGACTTGAGAACACCGGCGGAAAGGCCTACAGCCCAGGGAATGCTCGAGAGTGAAACAGCACCGGACGTTCCCGAGGAGGAGTTCTCGGTGGAGGGCGCATCTAGCGAGGCGGCCAGGAGAACGGCTCTGGGATCTTGCATCGTCCCGTTGTCGACATCAAAGCCGCGGTCAAGCAACTTGCGAATTCCGTGGGGTTCCAAACCAGTGAGAATGTGCGAGACAGACAGGCGATCATATTCTAGGCCAGGGAGCAGGTACTTAGGTTCATTGGCGGAGGTATGAGCGAGAGCCAGGTCAATAACCTGGAGTAGTTCGGCCTCGCTCAGTGGCTGAATTCCCTTTCGGAGCAAGAGTGCCTCAATCTCTGGGTTTTCATGGAGATAGCCGACCTCAGAGATCATACCAAGGCCAATCGATACAATGGGTTTGCCGAGGCTGCGACGATATCTTGCGAAAGCGTCGAGGAAACCGTTGGCCGAGCAGTAGTTGGATTCCGTGGCGGTACCCACGCTACCCGAGACCGAGGAGGTCAGGAGGAAGAAGTCTAGTTCGCTGTCGCCGCGTGCCTCCAGAGCGTTATGAAGATTCCAAGTTCCTTGCCATTTGGGTTGAATGCCCGTATGCCAGGCCTTGTGTGACATGGTCGAGAAGAGCGCTTCGTTAAGACCCATCGCTGCCTGAACCACACCACCAATAGGCAGGGTGCAAGCGTCAACCGCGGCCTGGACGTCATCTGCGCTGACAATATCTCCACGCACGACTTGCACAGTAGCGCCGGAGGCCTCAAGGGTGGAAACAAGCTCCTGAGCTGCAGGCTTGTCACAGCCCGAACGACCAAGGAAGGTGAAGTTCCGAGCACCGCGATCGAACATCCACCGACTGAGACTGCGACCCAGACCTCCAAGACATCCGACAAGGAGATAAGATTTGTTCGCATCGAAAGTGGTCAGATGGCGTGCATGAGCAACTCGAATCATACTCGATGGATTCTCGAGTGAGATGACGACTTTGCCGATACGACCTTTGGTGGAGAAGAAGCGGTATGCCTGGGCAATCTCACTGACATCAAAAGTGGCGATGGGAACTGGCTTGACAGCGCCGGAACGATACAGCTCTAAAGCTTCCGCGAATTTCCTGTCATTTACCACTTAGCGTTACTGCACACCACAAAAGGGAGAAGGAGAGGTCTTACGTGGTCCAAATCTTCCGGTAGTGTTCATCGTCGTGGTAGAAGAGCTCTGTGAGATCAAAGGCAGTGAACGTCGCGTTGCGAAGGAATGTGCGCATATCCAAGTTACCGGCATCAATGATATCACGCTTGCCAACCTCGACAAAGCGACCAAAGTTGGCGCAGCATTGCCAAGTGGCATGAAGAAGATCGCCTGTCAAGGAATTGACGATGACATCCACACCGCGGCCGTTGGTAGCCGCCAGAATCCCCTCCACAAAGGACTCATCGCGAGAGCCAAATATGTTCTCACGGGGAATCCCAAAAGTGGTCACGAGATAATCTTTCTTTTCCTCCGTGCTGACAGTTGTATACACAGTCGCTCCTCGCTGTAGCGCAATAGCGATCGTGGCGGTTCCAAACGCACCGGCCCCAGAGTGCACAAGGATACTTTCGCCAGCGCGCAGATGAGCTCGATCGTCGAGAGCATACAGCGCAGTTCCATAAATGACTGGAAGAGTCGGCATCACTTCGAAGGACTCGTGTGGAAGCATCTTGAGACAAGCCCAGGCCGGCACTCGCTCGATGGTGGCAAAATTGTTAGGGGCTAGGACAACGACGCGATCGCCAGGGACGAGATGCGAGATGTCTGATGCGACTGCTCGAACAATTCCGCTGAACTCGATCGCAGCCGTACCTTTGCGCGTTTCGACCTTACCAGACAGGGTGTAGATGTCCTTCGCATTGAGACTGACAGCCTTCACTTCGATCTCGACCTGCCCAGAGGGGATCTCCGTAAGAGGCTCCGCTAGACGCTGGAAGTAGATGGAGTCAGTAATACCGACACGCTGGATAGCGAGACGAGCAGGTGAGGCTTCAGCCAGGGTCATTGTATCGATATCATTAAACTGACGTTTGCTGAAGAGATCATTGAGAGTGGTGTCTGGCACGAATCGGCTGATGTGGAGGAGACCATCGTGCCAGGCAAACTCCTTGTCTTCCGCCAAGTCATCGAATGTAAGAACATGCTTCACCGTGTTGCAGATGGAGAGGCGACTCGCAGGACCAAGAGACTGACCCACGTCTAGGATGAAGAAGCGAAGAGCTGGCTGTTCCAACATCAGGGCTCGCGATAGGCCGCTGGCCAGGGAAAGATCAGGGGCTTGGCCGGCCATGGTGGCATGGCCCGTCAACCAGACGAGGTTGGCAGCATTGTCCGTCACGATCTTGAAAAGCTTCATTTCCTCCGGTGTCATGGTGGCAAGGAAGGGGCTTTCCAATTCCAGCATAGATATGACAGTCGACTGCGAGATGATGTCTTGCGTGACTTCACCCAGTTGGGCGGAAATTACATCCTTGATTTCGAAGAATTGACGAAGAGTTTCTGTCATTTTGGACGGTTGTCTGTGAAGCAAGACAATGCGGCCCTTCGGCTTGGTCTGTGACAGAGAGGGAATGGCCAGCGTGATGCCATGTTGCAGATTGAACGTAGTGAATCCCGCTTGTGCTAGCGAGGCAGACATGAGACTCTCCGCTCGGCCAACAATTATGCCATTGACGTCAAGATGGTTCAGCAATGTTTCAATCTTCCCCAGTGGCTTGCTGCCAGGGAGATGAGGAAGCAAAATCATGTCGTACTTTCCACTGGCCTCCTCATTCGTTGTCGTCTTCCACTCCCTCACACGAGGGAAATCTCTCTTCTCATCGAGTAGATCCTTCCACCCGCGCGTCTTACAGTCACATCCCTGACCAAGCTCCAGTACCCGCAGACGAGGATTCTTGTGGGCGGCCAAGTCCAACAAGGCAGACACCACTCCGACCTTAGCATTGTCCGCCAGGTCGGGGCGGCTCTGGAGGAAGTTGTTGATCTTGTCTTGCAGACGCATCTCATCGTCTGTAGTCAGGCTAAACAATTCCGGCTTCCAGACCACCCGCAGGCATGGATGACGATTGGTAGATGAGTCTTCCTGTTCAGCCTTGCCAGTAAATAGAGAGAGGCGAACACTGCGCATATTGATAACAATAGAGCCCGATATATCCTGCAGCGAGGCATCGATAGATTTCGTACCAAATCCAGTACTCTGCGATCGAGTATGAATAGCCCCAGAGGTATTGACACAACCTGGATTGGGAGTGTTGATCTCACACTCGTCAAGGAAAACCGGCAGATGAGCGCGAAGCTGATTTAGATTACCAGCCGTGCCACCCATAATGGCAGCCTGAAGACACGCGTCAATCGTCAGAGGGTGTACGGTATAGTAATCTCCTTTGTATGAAGATCGAGACACTCTCTGGGTGATGGCAGTCTCGGAGACTGCAGCTGGATTAATCCGCCTTTTGTCCGTCTTCATTGAAGTAAGTGACTGGAACGCAGGACCAAAAACCAGACCCTCATCAGCCAGCTTGGTATACCACGGCCCCATGGACCATTTCTCATAGTCGGTTGCGTCAACTGTGACGGCTGGGGTGGAGGATCGAGCGCCAAGCTTGATACGGCCTGTGCAATGGGACACTGTGCCTTCATCCTGGCGCGAGGAGATAGTAAAGTCATACCAGCTGCTAGAGGCGGTCGCTTTGGAAATCCGAGCAGGGGAGACAGTTGTGTACAGGTCAGCTTGCTGGTGTTCATCCGCGTGGACCGTCAATGCGGAAGCGATATTGAGGTTCCGCAAGACGAAGGATGTGTCTGCTTCGATGACGCCTATGATCTGGGAAACCGCTTCAATCGCTATCGCGATGTAGCCAGCTGCTGGGAAGACTACCTGGCTCTCGAGTTTGTGATCACCCAGCCAGGGAAGCTCGTTGAGCCGTAATGTGTTTTTCCACACGCGGTCAATGCCATTGCCAGCGGCCATTTCCGATCCTAAAAGCTCATGACGTGGATACCTTCGGGTTCGAAGATCGCTGCTCAGTCTAGACTCTCGCCAAAGTAGCTGGCTGTAGCTCCAGTGGTATGGGGGCAGATCGGGAATGACCTTGGCTGCAGTGGATGCGACATCATTGACAGCCATAATGTCAATTTCATGACCACGGAGATACAGTTCTCCAGCCAGTGCTTTCATGGATTTGTCAGAATCCTTCCCACGGACAAGGGTAGCACTGTATGTCACGTCGTCAAGTGAGCGTTGCAAGGATGCCCGGATGTGCTTGATTGGCAGCTGCAGGGCTGAATGTGGTCCAATCTCAATGATATGACATTTGCCCTTCTCGAGAACACGAGTCATGGCCGCCGTGAACTGGACGGGGTTCTCAAGATTCTGGCGCCAATAGCTCAGGGGAAGTGTTCTGCTGGTTTGGCGGTTGTAGCAGTTAGGGCCATCAATGCCCACACTCGAGAAGAACTGCACGTCGTTGTCGTATGGGTTGAATGGGAGGGTTGGCCATGCCTCCTCGATCAGTCGATCATATTCAGCGCCGACCTCTTTCATCATGTATGAGTGGTACGCTTTGCCGCCCGTCTGCAGCTTACGGGCGAATTTTCCGGATTGAGAAGCTGTCTCTAGGAGGAGGTCTACACCGGACACAGTGCCAGACACGGTCACACTCTCAGGAGAGTTCACACAAGCCACGACCAGCTCATCCTGGAGTGACAGACTTTCGATCAGTTGGCGTGCCTCTTCTGCACTCCCACCAAAAGCAACCATGGCGCCTTGTGGCTTGAGTTGCCCAACAACATGTCCGCGATAATACGCAATCATGATCGCCTGAGCTTCACTCAGCAGGCCAGCTGCATATGCGGCAGCAATTTCGCCCGACGAATGGCCGGCCACCATCTTTGGGCGCACTTTCCAGCTCTTTAGCATGTTAACAATTCCAATTTGCACTGCCGTGCACAGAGGTTGAGAGAAACGTGCGTCGCCGACGCGGCTGTAAGGAGCTGCCTCCATGAGCGCAGCCTTGATCGACCAAGCAGGTGCTTCAGGCAGCTGTAGCAGCACCTTGTCCAGCTTGTCGATTGTAGACCGGTATATCGGACTCCGCTTGAGCAACTCGCGACCCATCTCAGCCCATTGAGCTCCCTGGCCAGTGAAAATGAAGGCCATGTCCAACTTGGGAAGGTCTTGAGTTACAAGCTTGTCAAGAGCGAGGTCGGTCTCGGCAGTAGCCGGACTAGCAAGGATGTAGCCTCGTCGGGCCAGCTTCGATCGTCGGTTTGCCAGAGTATGTGTCAGATCAATAAAGTCGTACTTTGCCCCCTGACGGACGCGGTTGCCCAGGTCGATCACTCGGCTCTCTACTGCGTCAGTGGTGGAGGCGGACAAGGGAAGAAGATACATCTTATCCGTTGGTAGATCGTATATGATCGCCTCAGGAATTGTGGTGATGGATGAGAGAAATTGCTTCGGATCTTCCAGAATCTATCAATGGTTGTTTGGTTAGGCCGTGCTTCGAAGGGAATGGGTGCATTGGGAGGGTGAAACGTACCGTATGCGCATTGGCACCACCATATCCGAATGAATTGATGCTTATACGACGCATGGCAGAGGGCCAGCTAGTGAGCTTGGTAACGACCTTCATGTTCCATTCATCCAATTTCACTAGTTCGTCAGCATAAGTCTCCTCGATGACGTCAAACTCCAAACACACTTACACTTGGGGTTCAGTTTAGTCACTCCGATGGTGGCAGGGATGGCATTGTGTTCGAATGCAAGGACTGCTTTAATCACAGCTGTAATACCACTGGCTGCCTCACTATGTCCGACGTTTGTTTTGTTCTGTATGATCGTGTCAATAAATTTCAGATGGATTGCCGAGAGGGAGACCTTACCGCGCCGAGCAACAAAGGAAATTCTCCCTTGCGCGAGAACACTCGACTCAAGCCTTCAACTTCCATGGGATCACCGACAGCAGTTCCGGTACCATGGCACTCAACGTAGTCAGTGTCGTGTGCATTCAGACCGGCCATGCGATATGCTTTGCGGATGACTTCAGCCTGTCCTGAGATACTGGGCTGAGTGATGCCAGAGGTTTTGCCATTCCTGCTGCTGTTAGTATGACTCCCTAGTGACTGAGTCTATACAAAGCGAAGAGAGACATACGCATTGACAGCGCTTCCTCTGATGACCGCACGGATGGGGTCACCATCACGTAAGGCAGCCGACAAGCGCTTGATGTACAAGGCGCTCACACCCTCGGCACGGCCGTATCCATCGGCACTGGCATCAAACGTATGGCAAGTCGATGTGGGAGAGAGCACACCTCCTTTCATGGTACCCAGATGCTGCTCAGGCCCCATGATCAGGTTGGCACCAGCTACCACTGCACCCTCGCACTCGCCAGCCCTGACAGCGCTGACCGCACTGTGAAGACAATATATGGAAGATGAACAAGCCGTGTCGAGGGTGAAGCTGGTGACCCGAATCAGCGACCATTAAGTCATCAGTTAGCCAGCAAAGACGATCACATACCTTGGACCACGAAGATCAAAGATATAGCTGATTCGGTTTGAAAGAATCGCGGTGCCAGAGCCAGTGGCACTGTACCTGTGCAGTGCCTCGGGGTCCCGGGCCTGCATTGTCTGGAAGTCCACGGTAAAGTTGCCCACAAAAACTCCAATATCTGCACCGGCAGCCTGCTTCATTGAAACACCTGCACTTTCAAAGCATTCATACACGACCTCGAGCAGTTTACGTTGCTGGGGATCCATATAAGTCGCTTCTAGATTGTTGATTCCAAAGAAGGAGTTTTCAAATTGGCGGACATCCTCATTCAGAAAATAGCCACCTTTGGTGTTCATTACCCCGGCGCGATCACCTTCAGGGTGATAGAATCCGTCGGCGTTGAAACGAGTCTTGGGCACATTGCATTGCCCGGAGCGCTCATTGATGAGCATCTCCCAGAAGTCGTTGGGGGAGGACACGCCTCCCGGGAGTCGACACGCTGGACTTGATTAGGAATAGGTACTTGAGCAGACTTGCGGCACGAAGCTCACCCATGCCAACGATCACCACAGGATCATTCATGTTGTGGTTAGAGGCCAGAAGAGCGGCAGCGGGAAGGGTTTCGATCGAACCCATGATGACGTTGGCGATGTTCACGGAGTGGACTTAAGCAAAAGAATGTGTGTTTTCTCCAGGATATACACGCCTTGTCACTATATAATGGATCTGGTCCAGGTCAGACTGACCGACTCTGCAGGAAGAACGGACATCGGTGGATCGTCAGACGTCAGGCTAACGCCCTGTCAGATCGGTCAGATTGAATTCCATCTAAATCCGGTCTATCGCCAACATCAAACACTAAGTACCACCACGAACAGGTCAAACAAGATCAACATGAAATCTGTTCTGATTACTGGGTGAGCTTGTTCCTCGACGAAATACCATTCCGACTGTGGGCTGATTGACGATCTAGCTGCGGCAAGGGCGGAATTGGAGAGGCGTTGGCGTTACAGTATCATGCTCGAGGTGACAGCCCTCATTTGCGTCGATAAATATTTCCACCTAATCAATCTCATTGTTCCAGGCTTTACCGTTCTGGCTACTCTTCTGCCATCTGAATCTAAGGAGCACCTCTTATCGGTCGGCATCACTTGTTTCGAGCTGGACGTGACCAACGAGGAGTCTGTGTCCGTCCTGCGCAAGGCAGTCGAGGAAATCGGAGATCGCTTGGATATTCTGGTCAACAATGCGTAAGTAGTGGTAGTGTCTGCGCCCTTCTCCCGGCAGGAATCTCATTTCGTTTGACATATCCTATTTGTTCACAGTGGAATCTGTAAGCTTCTATCTATCCATCCGACCCAAAATCATACTAAGTTGCAGGCTATACCATGACTGCCATCGACACGGATGTGCACCAAGTGCAGCAAATGTTTAATGTCAACGTTTTTGGGCCAATGAGAATGGTACACGCATTTCATCCATTCCTGATCAAAGCCAAGGGATGTATCATCAACATTGGTTCAGTTGGGGGCATCGTGCCATACATGTACGGCTGTAGGTCGATACCCAAGTATCAAATTGGTTAGATGTGATGCAAGGCTAAAATGCAACTCAGCTTCATACAACGCAAGCAAAGCAGCACTTCACCACTGGGGAAATACTCTGCGAGTGGAAATGAGTCCATTCAAGTTTGTCATACCATCTAGCTGCATTTCTCTGTCCGTTCGTGCTGACTATTCGGCATAACAGTGTCCGAGTTATTAACGTATGTTTTGTGACCATCTACGGTCAATAAAATTCATAGCACCAGGCGACGCATCGACTAAATATACCCATAGATCATATCCGGAAATATCGGGACTAATATTCTCCACCGTGACGCCTCCCGTTCTCTCCCCAAAGGTACGTTGAAGATCGCGGATCGCAATCTCCAGAGCCAACCGTCACTGACCGAGCCAGACTCTTTCTACACTCCGCTCCAGGAGGAGTTCCAGGCCCATGTCAAACGGATCCCTAGTAAGCTGAATTCCCTGGAGCACTTCCTTCACAGTCCAGAAAGCTGGCTGACCGACCGACAGATACCACCGACCGCATGGTGTACGCCAATTCCGTGGTACAACAGTCGCTCCGACGGTGTCCACCTGCTTGGTACTGGGTAGGAAATACCTCGAGCATTGTATGGTTCATGGATGTATTCGGGTTTCGCACTGTCTGGGTGAGTTTCAGGTGCTCGGTCTGTTGCTAAGAGTCGATCTGACACTAATAGGACTATGTTCAATGGCCTGTCTTTAACCTGGGAAAGTTGAAGAGAGCAGCATTATCGAACTGAGAAGAGGTAGCTAATATTGTCATACTTATCCTCAGATAGGAGAGATCAAATGTCTTTGACTTGAGTGAAATTATGCAATTTCGTTGTTGATGACCTCACGTAGTAGTTAGGGATCTAAGTAGTCCACCCGGATTCTGCGAGAAAAGGCTCCGAACTCTCTGCAGTACCCCCATAAGAATTATATCATTTCGAATCATCACTTTATGGCTCTTTTTGTTGGAAATGACTTATTGCGTCGTGTTTTCCAAGGTAGATGAAGTATAGAAGACGCTCTCAGGCTTGTCAATTAATAAAGATGGGCATTGATGGCTACTCTAGCCCTGCAACATAAAAATTTAAATAATGCTCAAGACGGGCATTTTGCCTTTAGTCTAGAAAAGGTGACTTTAGAGAATATTTTTGATAATGCGCGTATTCTCAAAATCATTCACAAGATATCTCAGGCTGCCTCTACTGCTTGCTCTTGACAAGTGGATTTTTGGATAGACATACGTATATTTAGGGAGACGGGAAAGAAAAACAAGTATTCAAAGATACTAAATGATGGCGTTCACTATGGGCATCTCGAAGTTTCTTCAGCGCTTCAATCCAGAAATCTTTAAGCACTGTTGTAAGCACAGCAAACGCAGTTGGCCTGTCACTTCGGACAATGTCTGCAAATAACGGGAGCCACGCTGAAACTTAGGGATTCTGAAAAGCAGGGGTCTTATCTGACCATGCGTTCTTCAAAATCATAGTCGATCGTTCTTAATCCATGTCCTCACTGGCAACAACCTTTGACACCCGCACCTCCACCCAAAGCTTGTTTTCTTCGAAAAGGAATCGGCCGTTACCAATCCAAACACTATTTTCAAGATCCTTAATGCGAGCATCGCCCACTTCAAATGTAAGGTTCAGTGCTTCACAGCAACCGTCAGCAGAGATCCACCATATCTGGTATATCTTCAAAAACTCACTCGACTGCCCGAAGGGAATTGTCTTGGGCTGACCATTGAAAATGCCCGCCAGATCAGGTGAAACTGTGGAAACGCCCGAGTAGGCAAAGTTGATACCCTGGAAAGTGGCCTGTCAGAACTATAGTTGCATGTTTACCAGCGTTCAGTAGCATACTTCGCCATCGGTCGTTCTATGTCGATAATCAGTGACCAAATTTAAAACAGCTGGGGGTAAGCTCCTGTATCAAAGGCTTACCGAGCAACGCCTTTGACATTCATGCGGGTGTGGTGCTGATCGGGGTCGAAATAGAGCCAGTCTCCGGCGAAGGCAATTTTTGCATCGATGCTCGGCGAAAAGCCATCCACGGAAGAGATTGTGCCACCCGGGGAAGACTGCCATATTGTCAAAGAAATCAGCCCTGCTCAAGCATGAATCAAGGCTGCGATAAACTCACATAGTGGATAAACGTGGATCCGGAGGAGGTTGCTCCTGTGGAAATTTTATGAGCTTGAGTTTGTGCGCCAGACGGAAGAATTGATTCCTCATACCAACAGGATTACCTTCTCCTACTTCGAACTGTCTCCATGTAAATATCACGTGTGGTCTTCGCGGGCATCGAAATAGTGACATACCTTGATTATGTATGCGGGCACAACTGTGGGGAATCCAGATTGTTGAGACATGATGACTTTGAATTGATTCTTGATGCTCCTGATAAGGTGTAAAATGACATTTTAGGGCTTAAATATTCATCAATTGACTCTTCTTTTCAAATATCGGGTCAGACAGGTTGACGGTAAGTCAGACTGTCAGACAACACTGTCAGATCGTCGGTCATGCTGCTCCATTCGATCATTAATGGTGTTTAGCATAAAAATGCAGTCCATTTGGTTTTGATCAGTTTCGGAGATTCTGATACTGGGGCGATATGTGGAGGAGACTATTTATATACGTGGACATCTTGGTCAATAAACACCATGCCTGGCATTGCGGGTTCACCAGTATGGTGAGTCGGGCATTTGGTAACATGCCAGCTACCTTTGTGATGTGTGCTCTCAAAGATCCGCCTTCAATACTATATTTCGGCCTCTTGGAGTCTTCTCGTCCGCTGCGGGTATTTGATGGTTATAGAGTAGTTTGAAAAGCCGAAATAATCCACGCGGCGCCGATCGTGCGGCCGTCAAGCGTTTCTCCCTTCACAATGTGTTTCCTCAACTAAGACAACCTCGACGACTCTACGTTGGAAGTAATGATTGTAATGGGGGACGTTCATTCGATATTGAACTCTGAAAGAAACCAAGGACCGCACGACGACCGTAGATGAAAATTCAGGAAGTGAAGTATCAAAATAGAACGGAGAACTCTCGCCCCTTCGTGACTTGAAAATTTCCTAGAGTCTGGCAAGATGGACAACTTCGACCTAGAGAAGCTACTCCACTGACCAGGGCTCATCTCGAATTCGCATGAATGGAGCCATATCCACCAAGTGCCCCTGTTCTTTCTTCAACTCCAACGCAGTCCGCCCGTCCCCCAGATACGACCACATGTTGTCCTCTCGATGTTTGATGTCGTAGTCCTCAAACCTGGGGCACTTGAGCGATTTGATCATGTGAAGCATACTTCCCGGCCACAGCTGAATTCTTCCGTTGTATTTCATCCACGATCGACAGGACTCGGCCCAGACCGAGTTTGAATCATGCCATGTATCTACATGGCGTCGCCACTGCGTTGTCACACTTTGCTTGGGTGTCAACGAATGTAGATTCTCAGTGTTTATCTTCGCTGCACACTGTAGTGCGTACTCTGCTTGGACCTCATGCTGTTGTGGATGATGCGTCAGTCGTTCGTTTCACGTCGTTGCGGCTCGCAAAACGGCTGAACATACAGTAATTAAGACTGATCCTTGAGCCCAGTTGCCTGTTGGGCCACCAATGAAGAAAAAATTGGGAAAATGTGGCGTGGCCATGCTGAGATAGATATTTGGAGACTGCGTCGATTAGCGTTCTGTAATGTTGGTTTGTCATGGGGGTGAATTACTTTACTCCACTCTTCGCGCATGGTTCGGCCTTCCGAGCCGGTCACAGTGCTGTGAATGTTAGAAGACCGCACGGTTTGAGAAACTGAATAGAAATACTTACAAGTGTGGTGCAAAGGCAACGTCAAAGCCAGTTGCACAAATGATCAGATCAAACTCCAAATTGTCGCCGTTTCCTAATTCAATGCCTGTTTTATTCAACCGTGTGATTTTATCGGTGATCACTCGGACATCTCCATGCGAATTCTGTCAGTACTTCGATAAAGAGCCACAAATGTAAAGTGAAATGCTCACTGTCTTCCACCAGTGCTTCAAGGAATCCATCGCCAGGCTGTTAAGTCAGCGGTTGCAATTTGTCAGAAGGCGATGGATTATTAGGAGCACATACAGTTGGTCTACGACATCCGGGTGAAAATTCAGGCGTAAACAACTTTTTCAAATCCTGTCTATCGGGCCCAACTCGTGCGCTGATCATCTGGGAAATCATCTCGGTTGTCATATCGTGCATGGGATGATTGCGCAGGAAAATCGGGAATCGCTCCTGCATGACTCCGTCGACAGCTTTGCGGTATTCTAGAAATCGTGCAGGATCTGTGCGGAAGACATGCTTCTCATCTTCGGTGTAGAAATGCTTCCTAGCCGGTGCAGGCATGGCTGACTTTTCAGGATCGTCAGGAAACAGACGCAGATCCTGCCATGCTGCGGGAGGGACGATCCATTGCGTTGATCGTATAAATACCGATAGTGATTTAACATCTTAGGTGTAGATCGTCAGTGAAAAGATCGCGCATAGTTATGGTAGATATGTCTGATGAACCTTTGACTATCTGGGGAATGATTTGGATTCCAGAAGAACCCGTTCCGATGACGGCCACCCGCTTATTCTTGAAGTCAATGCTCGGGTCCCACTTCGCAGTGTGGGTGAGAATGCCACAGTAGTCATGAAGACCGTCGATGTCGGGCCCTATGGCTGTTAACATGGCATACGTGGGTGGCATTATAGGAGGATCCACACATTTCCATCGGTTCAAAGGCCCTGATCCATTGATGAGGACATGACATCTGTCGTAAAACCGAGTACCGTCTTGCCGTTGCAGTTCGAGTTGCCCTAGAAAATCAGCAGTTATTCAGCCCGATCAAAAGCCGACAGACAGACGAACATTCACCATCTTCTGCACACCAAGTGGCTTGAATCACTTCTGTTTCAAATCGCACGTATTGGTAGAGATCGTGATTTTTGGCAAAATTCACCATATAATTTTGAATTTCCTGTCCACCCGCGTAGTATCCACTCCACTCTGGATTAGGCTCGAAGGTAAAGGCATATGAATGGGATGGCACATCACATCCCACACCGGGATACCTAAGCCAGTTCTACTATATCAACATTATGGTTATCGTCAAGCATATTTCGGGAAACGTACCCGTTCTCGAACCATGTTCCTCCGACGTCGGCATTTCTGGACGAGTTCTGGTTAACACAGTATCACAGGGCCAACAAGACAGTCAGTGCTCACTTTTCGTAGATCGTCAGTTCATAGTTAGAGAGAATCTTCTTCGCCTTATACGCCGTGATCAAGCCAGCTGCACCGGCGCCAACATGAACCACTTTGAGTTTTCCTGGCTCAGAGTGCGCCTTCTCAACATAGTCAGTTTTCGATATGGAGCCCATGGTGAATGTTGTCAATTTTTCAAAATTTTGCGAGGCTCGCATTCATAGTCAAGGCTAACCATATATTCCGGCCCCGCGGGTGCGATTATTTGGCACCGAGTTGACTTCTGACCGTCTGACATGACTGCATATGAACCAGATTTTCTGACCTGACATACAGGTCTTTTCAGCCCACGTGGCTAGAGCCTCACCGGAGCCGATCCCAGTCGGATCATGCAGGAACAGCTATTGATTACGATGGGTCGATGCGGCTTGTCGTCACTCAGGTACTAATTCAAGTGGCAGTGCTTAAGTTCGAACGCAATTTGCGAATGTCACCCCTGACATCCACAGATCCGCATAAATACACGGCTACTTCCCCGCGAAAATAAGAAGAATAACAATATAAAATAAACTCGACCGGATATCACTCGACGCCGTTTCAGCGACCGCATGTGCAAGAAGCCATGATTGCCTCTGTCGTTTGTGTTGTCGCGGGAGTTCTCTCGTTGGTTTCCCAAGCCGGGGCCGCCAACATCGCCTCTCTTGTTTCTCAGTTTTCTCCATCCACCGAGGTTTTCTTTCCCAGCTGGTCCAATTGGACAACCGATACCGTTCAAAGATGGACGGCTTGGGAGGAGCCGACCTTCTCTGTGGCGATTAAGCCCGCGACCGTGTCAGATCTGCAAAAGATCGTATGTTTAGATCCTCCACGGTATTTCTTCGCAGTCTAACCATCCTCGGATACAGGTCCGATACGCCAACGCGTACAATGTCTCATTCTTGGCAACCGGTGGAGGCCATGGCTACAGTACCTCTTTTGGAGCTCTTCAAAATGGCCTGAAGATTGACCTGGGATTCCTCAATAGCATCACAATCAACAAAGATCAGAACACCATGACCATCGGCGGCTCTGTCAAATTCTCAGACATTATGGATCCTCTCTTCAATGCCGGAAAAGAAATCCGTGAGTCCTTTCTATCTTGCAAAGTGTGAACTGTCAGATATCGTCGTCCGATCTGACTCTTTTCGAATAGAAACTGGTTCATGTCCTTGCGTCGGCATGGTTGGAGCCACTCTTGGTGGTGGCGTAGGTAGATACCAAGGTCTTCACGGCCTCATCCTAGATGCTCTGCAGTCAGTGGAGCTTGTCACCTCCACAGGTGATCTCATCACTGTGTCTTCCACGAAGAATTCAGACCTCTTCTGGGGTCTTCGAGGCGCTGGATTCAACTATGGAATTGTCACCTCCGCCACGTATCAAATTTACGATCTCACCAATGATGGCAACGTGCTCAATGCGGACTTCATGTTCCCTGCCAGTCTCAATGAGACGTATTTCAACATTCTTGCTAGTTACCAAGAATTACCCGCCGGTCTGTCCTTGTATTCTTTGGTGATGCATGATGCTTCTTTGGGAGTAAGGCACCCTCCAACGAACATAGCTACTACGACACTGGGCTAATCCGTTTCATTCAGCCTGTTATTCTACTCAACGCTGTTTACCCCGGTCTTCAAGAAGAGGGGCTGAACTTGATTGCTCCATTCCTCAATCTCACCTATATTCAACGCAACATCTCTATGGTCCCATGGAATGCACTTGACAATGATGCCGGCTTTGGTCTAGCAACCGCATTTTGCATCAACGGTGAGAAGCATGACATGTGGTCACTGGGCGTGCGCCAAATTGATGCAGCGACACATATCAATTATTTCAATGAACTCGCCAAATTTTACACGGATTATCCCTCCGCTGCGGGAAGTACCTGGCAGGTTGAATACTTCCCTGTTCAAGCAGTCACTGCTGTGGCAGATTCTCAAACTGCCTACCCTCATCGAGAGATCCGGGCGCACGAGTAAGCTTCCTTCCCATTGGGCGTCAACGGATCCATGACGGTTACACATGTTCTAATACTGTTCGTAGGATGTTCTCCTTCAACATTACCGATCCCTCAATTGGAGTTCAGGTCGACAACTTCGCCCTTGCTGCTCTCGATGCTTTCAACGCCACCAGTGGGTTTGATGAGATGCACATTTACGTCAGCTATGCTCATGGTACAGAGGGATTAGACCCAATGTATGGCTCTGGGAAGCTCCCGAAACTGCTGAAACTGAAGCAGAAGTGGGACCCAAAAGGCTTGTTCAGTTACAACAATGCGTTGCCCAACTAACTGGGCTCGCCTTATTTGACTATTCAGATTCTGGACTGCATGCCACCATCACGGATATCAATGAACTTTCTATTAAGGTCAAGGTCCGGAGGCCGCCTTGTGTGTTTATATATCCTCCGGCTTTACTTTCGTGAATTCAATCACGCTTCCCTTCTGCTTCCTCCAGACGAAGTTTCTCTTATCTTTGGCCTGATGTAGGAGTTGTTGCAGGGCTTTGTCTGAGAATATTCAGTTTCTTTTAAGCTTTGTTAAACATTGTAAACCAATACAAATTCAAATAAATAGGACTAAGGTGGAATCTTATTTAGGGCGCTAATATAGGGCGTAAATAAAAAGGTAGTAATTTAGGATTAAAGGGAATATAAACAGATATAATATAAGGAAATGGGATTCGTATATAGAGTCCTCTCATCCCAAGAAATCGGCGTAGATAAGCTAGGGTTTCTGCTATCGAACTAAGAGCTATTAATATATCGCTATTAGCGATTCGTGACTCGATCGCATTAGCCAATATTTGACGAGATAAATAAGTGAATAAAAAAGTGGTAATCTTCTCCGAATCCTAATGTGGTCCAGATGGTAGGTGGAAGTTGCATCATATTAGAAACTCTCAATATAGTAGGATACGGTGTCCGCTGACAAACTTGGGATTCAATGGAACACGATGCTCAATCTGATAATGTCTAGCTATCTGAGTGTGTACCTCGCTGTCTAGCGCGTTACGATGCTGGGTTCCCAGCATACCCGGGATACCATAGAAAACATGTAGGGAATCGAGTAATTATTTAATGAGCTGACGCAAATAGAGATATGTGAGTCGGCGGTATTATGCAGTCTTCCTTCTCAACGAAATATTCTCTATTTCAGGAATCGTTGAAGGCCTGGTGAACGCAACACCTGAGTGTAGTGATTATACCCATTCTTAAAGCGAATCATCTTTTTCTAGTGTCAATTTATAGTTGTTTTTTTTTGTGTTTCCTCACGATTGGGCTTGACTTCTATCGGGTAGTATAGTTTAGTGATTAGTATATTGTCATTCGATGTTGCTTGACGGCACGACTAGTCCACGCTGGGGGATTCTGTATTTCTTTAGATCGAGCGTGAATTCGGCGGTGTCTGAAGAGCGAAGATCTAGGGGCAGTGCTTATTGAATCGCTCTCTAATCGCTGGCAGGCGTGATGCGGCGCAGCATTAACGAGTCTACCCGGATTACTCTATATAGAGCAGGTAGGAATTGAGTATTCTTGTAATAATTCGTCGTCCTACAGTTTCTTATAGGACCCCCGCTATATTACTATTCCAAAGATAGTTTATATGCTATATTACGACTCCTGTTCTGCGGTATACAAACTTATAGGTTCTCAGCGAGCTCACAGGCACCTATGAGAGTAATTTCGCAAGGCTGAGGCAGAAGTATAAGCCAAAAGGAGGGGGGGGTCAACATCGCGTAATTTTCACCCCTCGGAGGGTTTGCCGGCATACATATATTAGCTAATAGTGATAGGCCGGTAAGCCCTAGCACAGTCACTTGACATAAAGCCAACATTTACTCATCGCGAGGTACCTGATTGCTCACTTCCACATCATAGACTATCTCATAGACTATCTCAGAATTCCATCTATACTATATCCAGATGATAATATCGACTTTCTTGCATATCTTGTCTCTGCCTCTTTGTGCCGCTGCTCTAGCTGTTCCTAGCAACGCCAAACCAGTCCAACAAAATCTTGTCGGCGTGGTCATTATGTCCAAGCAAGACGCAGTCCCCGGTCACAACAATGCTACATACGATGTCGTGCCAAAAGCGGACCAGCTATTGAATGTCGAGTTCCTCGAGGTTGCCCCAACGCCTATTATCGCGTAAGACCCCCTCTTCGATGTACGGCTTAATTATACTGTTTTGACATTCTGAAGCGACCGCGTCTTCTTCGTCTACCTGCGTGGTAATCTACCTGAATTTAAAAAGAAAGAGCTAGCACTTCCTGAGGAGGGGCTCATCGATGCCACCCTCTCTGTAAGCGGCTCTGCCGTCTACCCGGATGGTAGCTACGATGACCCAAGGTCCCTCACAATGCCGCTTAAGACTATGGCCTTCAACGACTTAGCCCACCTGGTCATTCGCAATTCCCGTGGAACTCAGGTTGACCACATGCCTAGTAGCGGTCGCAGCGACATATTACTTGATTTCCAGATTCCTACAATGTTTCTGAAGAGCGGTATGTGGACTTTCAAGGTCGACGCGAGACTCCGAGACAAAGACAATACTTGCATATTCGCTATGTCGTTGACCCAATGGTTAGACGGGGGGCTTTGAGAGCTAGTGTCTTGGGAGAATTCGCAAAATCAATGTTCTTGGCGCTTAAACAAACTGAATAATACTGCGCATTTCTAGATCCTGTCAATTCAGGGTACGGTTAAGATCAACGGCAATGTATCCCTTCAGTCGGCGAGTGCACCACTCATATGGGCGAATGTAAAAGTTCAACTTCTGCCACTTGTCAAAGGTCATGTTGACTCCATCATTCATCTGCTCGAATCGACAACGTAGGCACCAAGAGCAAACCAATGGTTTTTCGGGCACCTCGAGGGAGCATTTTGATAATGAATAAATGAAACTAGTGCTGTGTTCTCCAAAAGACTTCGGAGAATATACCAGCAGCAATCAGGTACGCAACATATGTGGATATAATGAGAATAACTCCAATCAACAAGAAGTTGATTTCATGGTAGATGGTAGACTAGCCAACCAGTGAGCAAATGTGCTAACATACCCGTCACCATTGGCAAAAGAAATGAGGTAGCCAAGTATCCCAAAGAGAACACCAACAAAAGCTCACTAACAAAAGCTCGTGGCCATGATGCCCTCATGAAGAATGGTGATAAATGGCATTTCGCAAGGTGTATCTACGGTCCCAATTACTTGACATCAAGCTTGTGCGGCTTTTGCAATTTTGACCCGCCATTTTTGTTGGGTTTCCCTTTCATATTCCTCAGAGTGTGGCCTTCGTGGGCCCAATTGTTAATATACAGTAGGCAAATCTACGTTCCAATGAAATTGGCAAAAAGGAACGATCAAGGTCGGCAGTTGGCAATGCTGGCAGTAATTCTCTACGGCTACTATGATGTATAATATCGTGACATCTTTCCTAACTCAGGCTTGATAACCCAAAGGAGTATCTTTCTAGAAATTCTTCTAACTTGCGTTGGCTTGGGCCCCGACACTACCGGTTCCGGCCCTAACAGGTCACCTGGCCAACTTTTCCATTTTTCCACTTTTACACTCACCAATCCTTGATCATTGGCTCTGGTGATACTGCATCGTAACCCCCTGCGACTGAGGAATGTGGTTTCCGTCTCTGGCCGAAGGCCTTGTACCCTACTATTTGATTTTAGACATGTATCGACATACAAGAGCCCTCGTTAGGCGTTGGGCAACTCTCGAGCTGCGATGTGATGGCTCTGGCATTGCAGATGGATCTCGTAACAGAAGCAATCTGTTGGGATCGCCAGATTTCCATCCTGCATCCCTTGTACCGGACTTATCTGCGAGTCCGTCGTTTGCTGACCCCCTTTACCCAGTAACTGGTCACACATCGGACGCCACTGGGACGGCAGGCGAAGGAAGGGGACTATTCCAATGGAGTACGTAATAGATCTTCAGGAAATTGGTTAAAAGACTCCATGCCGAGACATCCACTAATGCATCCCGCTGGCCCACGAGCGGCGCCAGCAACTTCAACCTCCCTGGCCATAAAGTGGATCCGTGCAGGCTAGTCACTCAGCCTGATTGGATGATGTGAAATGTACGAGAGGGAGAGAAGCATAAAGTTTAGTCGGGGAGTATTATATGGAAATTCCGGTTCGGTCGTCAGAGATGGGACGACCACTCATGGCGAGGCAGGGGGCGGGAAAGGTCGGCCGTTCCTCTCTTTCTATCCCTGCAGAATGGGGAAGGGATGGGTAACAATATTCAATGCGCGAGCCCTTCCAAGAGAACATTTTGGTCGATCTTTAGGAACAACAACCAATGATGAGCAGGCCAACAGATGAGGCTAGCTGGTGGTTGTCTTTTCTGGGCTTCAATGAAAACCCAAAAAGAGCGAAGGCCCATCAGGTGATCGGGAACCCCGCAAACCCAAACTGGAAACCGGGGCAAACTGTGGAGACGCGGATCTTCCACGGTCCACTGGAACTTTGACCTTGGAGATGCTGCAGTGCTGGATCATCCCCCGAACGTTCCGCTGGCCGATCGACTGAAAATTGGGCGGCACATCATACCGGGGCACCGACAAGAGAGGCCCGCAAGAGGGGCAGGAGGCCGTAGGAGATCTTTTCTCGACCCGCATCCAAGGGAGGGGAAGGGTGGTGGAAGCGGGAACGGAGTGCCGTTCGAATGGCCAATAGTCACGTCTGTTTCTCTTTCTCACTTCCTCTCTCTTCCTCTCGCCGACCAATGTCTGACACGGACATGGATCATGACGGACCAGTCAGGAGACTGCAGGATCAAACACACCTCCTGCGCGGCGTGGGACAAGCCTGTCAGTGTGACGAGTGGTCTGGTCAACAACCCCGGGGGATTTCCCTCGAGGGTGCGGTCATGGAGCGATGGATCTAGGAAGGAGAAGACGCAAACCAGATGCCGATGCATTCTCCATGCTTCTAATGATGACGACCGGGTAGTCAAGTCTCATGGCATCATGGTAGCAGCTGCGGGCTGCAGACTGCACGGCCCATGGATCCGCCGTTGTGGAGGGGCAAGCGAGTCTCGTGTACAAGCGACGATGGACGGTGATTGGCGGTGTCCAGTAGTTTCAGAAGGGCATGGATCATGTCTCTTTTCTTGCCTGTTCCTTTTCCTCTCTAAATTTTTTGTATGTTCTTTCTTTGCTCTTGTGGCGCCTTTCACTGATATTACTGCCCGGGCTAGAACGATTCGCGATGCTGTGGTGGCGCTGGAAGACCATCCTCACGGGCTGGACGAAGCTGGATCTGGATTTCAGGAGCTCAGAGCAGCAGGGCCCATGCATTGGCCCCCTGAAGCTTCTCTAGCACCGAGGACCACGATAGCACTCTGATAGCACTCTAGGGATGACATTCCGATTCCCCGGGGTTTCCCCTCATGGGCTGTCTACCTGGTTCCATGTCTCGAGATAACAGAACCGAGTGTTGAAAGCTTTACTCGCCCAGGATGTGGGCGAATGGGAATTTCACTCAGGAGGATTAGAAGCAGTCAAGGACTTCGATGAGCCAGGGGGATTGTACAGCTCCAACACAGGGATGAAGGCCGGTCCGGGTGCATCAAGATATACAGATACTTTTTTGTTCCCGACAAACAAAGTACTTTTCGGCCCCGATGACGGGCCCGAGGGGCTGGGATCGTGCGGAACGAGGGATTGAGATATGATACATCTTCATACATCCCGAATTCCATGTCGTTGTCCATCTAGGCCGTGAAGCCATTGTAGGCTCGGTCATTGACCACCGGCTGTCCCGTGCGCCGAAGTATATATATCCATCAACGTCATGAGCAAGGGCCATGTAAGCACAGGGTCCCTGAGGAGAAGGGGGGAAAATTGATGATAGGAAGACGAAACAGATGTCGGAGATGTTGAGGGACCTGTACGCCCTCCTTTCTCTCGCTCTTTAGTCTTTGCGTACCTGGTGACTGTTGTCATCCTGACGTTGGAATGTTTCCCGAGTGGTTCAACTTGAGGATATAGTCGGTAGGATAGACTAGGTACACAGGTAATGCGGGTTCATCTGGATTGCCGCCTCCAGAAGCAAGCAAACTAAGAAGCCAATAAGGTGGAAGAGTGGAGGATAGCAAATATAGTTCCATATCTATTCGAAGCGATGCAACAGGAACCGCTGGAATCCGCCGAGATCGTCGAGGCAGCACAAAACCGACTGTCGGGCGACCCAGTTTCCCGCCGCCAATCACCGCCCGTCGCCCTCACACCCACCTCCTCTTCCACTTCTCCCCTCTCCTGCCCTCTCTTTTTTTTATTCGAAGACCTTCAGTCCACCAGCATCTTTCCTTCAGAACCTTTGAGTCTTCTTCTCTTACCTTGGACCTTTGGGTCAGCCTCTGTTGGGGTTGACGTCTATGATCTCGCGCGTCGCCTCGCGCCATTCCCCGCATAGTCACGGCTTCCGTTATCCTCCGTCTTCAACAACACCGTGTTTCACATCCGCCTTGGTCTGCCCACCGCGGATCAGTCCACCAGCCGTGACCAGTGTGCCGGAAAAAGGACCATTGAACCTTGCCCGAGCATTTCCCGTCATGGCCTGTTGATATTACGGATGAATCGATAGCCTCGCCCGCCCAAGAGCTACCCGCTCTGCTCCAGCAGACGGTTCTGCTTTGGCTCGCGACTGCCAGAAGCCTGCTTTGCCAACCTGCATCTCAACTCATTCCTCTTGATCCCGACGTCGCATAGCCTTGACCGGCGACGCTATACCACGGCCGGGGACCTCCCTGTTGAACCCTTCCCCTCCTACAAGAGTCAACATGGCGAACAATGGCTCCTCCACCCCCCAGTTCCTCGCGCCGCCGGCCGTCACAGCCCTCCGGCAGGAGGCCCGGAATATCAACCCGAAAATGACACGGACTCTGAGTGAAGACATACGGGAGGCACGCGCAGACTTGAAGGAGGCGGCGGAACAGACGTTGAACATCATCGTCGATCTCGATCTGGAGGGCCGCATCAAATGGGTCAGCCCATCGTGGAGGCAGGTCGTCGGCTCGCCCCAAGAGTCAGTCGAGGGCCGCATGATTGCCGACATTCTTCTAGGCAACAAGGATGTCTTCCGCGATGCAATCGAGGCGATGAAGGTAGATGATTCGCGGAGTCGATTTATTCGCTTTGCAGTACAGATGGGACCAGACTCGGTGTTGAAGTACGCACCGGAACCGCGCCCAGCAGAGCCCGAGACTGTGACAAGCGCCGAGCTTGGAACACAGGAGCAGAAGAGCGCGGAAGAGACGGAGTCTTTGCTGGCCGAAGGCGATGATGATCATGATGTCCTAATGATGGAGGGACAGGGAATTATGGTCTATGACCGGACAGACGACGAGGCCGGACATGTGTGTTCAAAGCCCCTTTCCCTGGAATTCATTCGACCTTGAGTGATATAATGTAAAACTGATTGCTGATAATTGAATGCGATAGTCTATGTGGATGCTCCGCCCGTTTACTGAGCCCCGCGAGGTGACCATTGACCTGCCTCCTCTGTTGGTGGAGTCTTTGGGCGTTGGCGCGGAAGTCCTTGCCAACTACCTGACGGAACTGGCCGAGGCCGCAGCCAACGAACCTGATCCCTCGAAGCATCCTGCTCCGACCCCGGTGCTTTGTCGGATTTGCGAACGCCAGATTACACCGTGGTGGTTCGAGAAACATTCGGACCTCTGTCTACAAGAGCATCGAGCCGAGATGGATGTCCAGGTTGCGCAAGAGAACCTCAACGAACACCGTCATGCAATTGTGAGGGTATTGGATGCGTTGGAAGCGCGACAAGGGAGACCGTTGATTGGCACCGATGGTAACATCATACCGCTCCCACAGCCAGAATACAAAGGCCTTCCGATCGGCCCTTCACCCGTGAGCTCTACGCCCTCATCGGCCCCGGTGTCAGGGATGAGCTCGGCACCAGGAACTCCCCCTCGCTCTCGTGACCACTCGGCCTCAGAGCTTACCCCCGGACGGCCGCGATCGTTTACGGTACGGCGACCGCTGGCTCGCATTGTGGAGCTGGTGCTAGATCTCTGCGATACTGCCTTGGAGATAAGCATGCCAATGATCAAGGAATCTCAGCGACCAGAAAACGGGGAGGATTTCCGAACGCTTTCGCCCCAGTCTGAGTCTCGAATCTCGCAGGTGATTCAGTGGCAGTCTCCAAGCTCCAACACGTTAGAGCAGGAACAAGGTCTGGCGGCTTTGGCTGGAGATACCGAACAAGTTGCCAAGGCCAAAGTTGATGCTGTTGTTCGTCACCGTAAGATTGTTGAATACGGTGAGCGCATTCGCATCGAATATACTGTGCTAGTCGAAGAATGCATCGCTGCCGCTCTCAGTAAAGCCGAACGCATAGCTGCTGGACAGCTCAGTGACTCATCATGTTCCTCCGATGAAGATATCCCCCAGGACACTGTTTATGCCAGCGATGCTGAATTTAGCAGTGCTGCTAGGGAAGAGCCCTTCCTGCATGCCCCGAGTCAAGAATCGTTGGCATCTCAGCCACAGCCGGCTGCTCCAACCCCACGCAAACCGACATCGGCTCTCACCATGGGCATGCGAAATTCCCCCGATCGTGCCTTGCTAGCTCAAGGAGAGAATAGATCATCATCTGTTGCAGTCTCTACGGGGTCAAACAGCCCCATGGAGTGTCCAACGCCACGATCTCATAAGAGTGCCGCGGGACTTTTGGGGACATCTCAATCCTCCCGGCGAGGTCTTTTGCTGGCCGACATCGATGCGGGTGATAGCAGCGACAGCAGCATGCCATCATCCACTCTCATCGGTGCTATGCGAACGGATTCCCCTTCCTCTGAGAGGAGCTTTGACCGCAAGCGAAGAAGCCTGGTGCTTCCGGGGCTATCCAGCTCTCCTCGCCGGCAACCATCCCCTGCTCGTATCTCTGGTCCTCACTCCCCACTGCGCATGCCGAAGCCTCGGCTTTCGAATGGCGCTGAGAGCCTCCCATCGCCTATTGTATCGCCATCCACTTACGGCAGTGAGCTGGCCTACCATTATCGTCACCATCGTCGTCAATCCTCGGCAACTTCCTCAGATGTGGCAAAGCCGCCGCCGTCACCACGTCTCCCCTCTGTGAGTCAGCAACCTCGCCCTGCGCCACCCTCTATCAAGGACTTCGAGATCATCAAGCCTATTAGCAAGGGTGCATTTGGCAGTGTTTATTTGTCCAAGAAAAAGTCAACAGGTGAATATTATGCCGTCAAAGTGTTGAAGAAAGCCGACATGATTGCCAAGAATCAGGTCACCAACGTTAAGGCTGAGCGTGCAATCATGATGTGGCAGGGCGAAAGTGACTTCGTCGCCAAGCTGTATTGGACATTCTCAAGCAAAGAGTATCTCTATTTAGTTATGGAGTATTTGAACGGAGGCGATTGCGCCTCGCTTGTTAAAGTACTTGGAGGCCTACCAGAGGATTGGGCTAAGAAGTACATTGCCGAGGTGGTTCTTGGAGTTGAGCACCTCCACAACCGTGGAATTGTCCATCGTGATTTGAAGCCAGACAACTTATTGATCGACCAGACCGGCCATCTCAAATTGACCGACTTTGGTCTTTCTCGAATGGGTCTGGTTGGCCGTCAGAAGCGTGTGCTTAAGAGCCCCAACGAACCGGCCCCAGACTTGCTCAAGCAGGGTCCATTCCCTCGTGCGATCTCAATTACCTCTTCTCGGTCGGCCTCGTTCGATTTCCAGGCAGGATCCTCGCCCAGTTCGACCCCATTGATCACGCCTGAGGTCGGTAGTAATATGGTCCAGCCATCCTACTTTAATCTCAATCAAACTGGCCTTAGCCGGCAGAGCTCGCGTCGCGCATCTGGATATCGCAGTGACAGTGCCGGTAGCGATAGCTTAAACGGCATGTTCAGGACCTTTTCATTAAATGAGCCCAGTCAAGATCTTGCAGCCCCGTCACCTAGCATGCTTTCAACCAGCTTGGCCGAAGAGGACGTTCATATTGAAGCTGGCGAATCGCCCCATCTTTATCCCCTGCAACCGACGTTCAGCAATCCCTTGGCGCAGAACACCCCTCCACAACAGAGCATGATGCCCCCCGTGATGGCGCTTTTCGATCCCGAGGATCACGACCGCCGCTTTGTTGGAACCCCCGATTATCTTGCCCCCGAAACAATCAATGGTATCGGGCAGGATGAGATTAGTGATTGGTGGTCTTTAGGCTGTATCATGTTTGAGTTCATTTTTGGATATCCGCCTTTTAACGCCCCAACCCCCGACGAGGTGTTTGAAAACATTCTGCAAAGGAATATTAATTGGCCGGATGATCCAGAAGAATACACATCCCCAGAAGCATTGGACCTCATGAACAAACTCATGGCTTTGAACCCGCGCGAGCGCATTGGAGCTAACGTGGAAGAGAAGTTCCCCAACGGCGGCGCCGAGATTTGCCATCACCGTTGGTTTGCTGATATCAACTGGGATACTCTCCTGGAGGACAAGGCGCAATTCGTGCCCAACCTCGAGAACCCTGAGGATACCGAGTATTTTGATGCTCGAGGGGCCACTCTACAAGCTTTTGCGGAGGAGATGGAAGACGAGTCTTCTCCGCAGGCCCCTGCCACAACCGGTGCTTATCCCGATCGACCGCATGATGCTCTGTTCAAGGTGCGGTCTCAGGTCAATTCGATCAAGCGGCCTTTGATGCCACTGCACATCCCTCCGCATGTCCGAGATGCCCGTGATTCACGGAGTCGCAGACTCAGTGAGCCGGCTTTGGCAGATGATTTTGGGAGTTTCAACTTCAAAAACCTACCCATGCTAGAAAAGGCGAACAAAGATGTGATACAGAAAATGCGCCAGGAGGCCATGCAGGCGCAGCACCGCCAGTCGACTTCTACTACTGCCCAGACACCTGTGACTAATTCTCAGCCATCGCTCGAGGGAAGCCCCCCTTCCAATGTCTCTTCAACGCACACTATCTCAAAATAAGGGCAACAATCGCCCGTCGTCCCCGTCAAGCCTCAGCCAAGCGAACTCTTCACCGAGCAGGCCTTCGCAACCGTCTTCTCCCCTTTTGGTACAGTTCAGTACTGGCACAAATCATGAACGGCGCAAGACATCCGGCTCTTCGTCAACTGCGTCGCATCAGTCGAGTGGCACATTCCAGCCGTCTTCTGTGGAACAGACCCGTATGCCAAATCTTCGACTTGGCTCGGTTGCTTCCTCTCCAGTCAAGGCGAACCGCATGCCCGCGCATTCGCCGGACAAGCATCCATCGAGTCAGCGACATGGAAGTGCCCCAGCAAGTCGTGCCCGATCGCAAACTATCGGGTCTCAGGATGGAGGAGAGCTATCACTCACCAAGGAGCCATTTGTTCCTTCGCACCACAAGCGTCGGAGTCAACTCTTCGACATCTCGCCTTCATCTTCTGACAACGAGGATCCCCGCACTAAAGCACTTTTGAAGGTTCAACGCCGCCGGCAAAGTTCTCGTCGCTTGTCGCAGTTCAATCTTCAGGGTGGGCCCTTCTTCCGGCCTCTGGATGTACTTATATGTGAAGATCATCCGATCTCTCGTTTAGTGCTGGAAAGACTGTTTGAGAAACTTCGGTGTCGAACTATCTCCGTCAACAATGGTGCTGAAGCTGTCCGATATGCGCTGAGTGAGGTCCAGTTCGATATCATCATGACTGAATTCAAATTGCCCCAAGTTAACGGTGCGGACTTTGCGCGTATGGTGCGAGAAACCCGCAGTGCCAATCGGCATACCCCAATAATTGCTTTGACTGGCTACCTGAAAGATCTACCGGAGACCCATTACTTTGACGCCCTCATTGAAAAGCCTCCAACATTGTCGAAGCTTACCGAAGCATTGTGCAGATGGTGTATGTGGAAACCACCACCAAAGGACTACAATCCCTCACAGCCTTTGCCTGTTCCCACGCCACCAGGTCGCCAGAACCCGACCACCACAGACGACAGCCCTAGCTCGGCATCTTCTGGCTTCATTCCCAACCCCCCTAGCTCGTACCGTGGATCCAGCCGTGATGACTCAGTGAGCAGCAGCATCTTCGGTGATATGGAATCCATTAAGCCCGATGATGGCCCGGTCATCATCAGTCGCCCTCACGATGATTGGGATCAAGGCCAAGGCGGACTGGGAATCTCGGAAGAGGCACATCCCGGAAGCCCTGATCCCAAAGCAATACCCGTCCCCCATCTCCTACATGCGATGTCGGCCCCGGCGGCTATGGATGGAAGTGGCGCCCTGACGCCTCGCAAGCAACGGTCTAGCGAAGCTATTCGAGCGAAGCGTGAGTCTTTGGAGCGGAAGCGCTATGAGTGTGCTGAGTCCGGCGATGACGAGGACGAAGAACTGGGCAACGCCCAAGCTCGTCGCAGTCCTCCAGCCCGCAGCCGTCGACCTGGATCCAAACTTGGAATCGAGATGATGCGCACTAATAGTCGTGGCAGCGTTGTTAGTGGCAGCGAAGAGCTACTCAAAAAGGAACGAGAGGCGCTGCGTAACAGAGGAGAGTCCGACGCTGATTCCGATGACAGGCCCTTGGGGTCTCCCGGCAGTGCCAGTCTCGAGGATCGCTTCGAGGGTCTCAGTATTCCAGAAGAGTCTGAGATTGAAGAGCCGCTTAGCCCCCAAGGCTCACCCTGCTCTTCGCCTACTCGAAACCGACCTTTTCTCTCTCACTATGAAACTTCAATTTACTCTGGGCCCACATGCCTTCCCGCCCCTGCGAAGACAAGCTCGGAAGGACTGAAACAAGGGCAAACTACACCTCCGTCAGATAATCAGGTAGCCAATCCTGGCCTCGGCATTGCACCCATTACACCCGAGGTCAAGCTACCTGGAACTCTTCTCAATGCTGATGGCAGCTCTGGTATCGATACAGACTACAGCCGAACTCCTGATGCGGATGCCACACCACGCCCTTTGCATCCATCCCCCAGTCTCGATCTAGAGCAGACACCTCGTGCCCCAGAACGGTATTATACCGGCCTATCGTCATCTAAACGGTAAAACCTCTCTACAGGTGTCTTCCCAAGAAGCCATCTGCTCTTCCTAAATCTCAATTCTCTTGTCTTCTTTCCACATAGTCTGCATCTCATCTTGACATGTCCCATTTACCCTCGTGCAACCCCATTTTTCTTTTTCTCCATTATGTTTTGACCATGTCCAGCGGACATGCGTACCTAACGCAAAGCGATCTCTTCTCTCACGTCTCTTATGTCCATGTTGTTATACTGTGATTGTCCTGTCTGGCTATTGGTGCAGGGTGTTCCGGGTTGATTTATTCCCCACTTTGATGCTCTTCTTTAAAAACTCTCTTTTTTTGAGATTGCTTTTCCTTTTCCCTCAAATGCCTGGCATAATAGGTAGTTTTCTTTCTTATTCCATATTCAAAACTGAACCAAAATTTATTCTTTTGTTCATTCATACAACAAGTCTTCCTTTGGATACGTCGATTGCCCACAAGAGCATTCAATTCGTCACTGTCTGATTACAATACCTTGAATCGCAACAACTTGGGCAGTCCCTTCCTCTATTTCCCATTCACTTTGAAATCAGAATATGCAAATCAGATCTTCCTTAAAACTATAGCTTTAAACCAGTGTCAGTAGAAGTCCGGAGACCACTTAAATTAATTCAAAGACGAGCCCTTTTCTCCAGTACTTCGCAGAAAACCTTTTCCAGCTGAGTTATGGCCGCACCACTGATCTGATGATGGAAAACTATTCTCTTCCCATCCAGTCTAATTCCATGCTTTTTTCCAATCCAATTCCATCGCTCAATCTCTATCCCCGCATGTTTCAAATCTACCCATACCTGATTCGTCTCCACTGGGCGAAGTAGCATGCCACCTTGGTCTTTCCAAAGTCTTCCTACCCGTTTCGCTTCATCGTGGACCAATGATAGTTTCCCGTGGCTTTCCCAAATGTCAAACCCAAATTGTTCCTCGACAGCATGTCTGGCCGCCGCTGCAAGAACTCCAGACTGTCTCATTCCTCCTCCAATACTCTTCCTTAGGCGACGGAGCTGTGCAACCAGGCGGACCGATCCAAGTACCATAGCACCCATTGGAGCGCCCAGGTTTTTACTGAAGTCTAAGCTCACCAAGTCACATGGCGTACAATAATCATAGAGACTGCCTGCTCTTGCAGCAACTGCTTCCCAGAGTCGAGCCCCATCCAAATGCAGCATCATTCCATGCCGATGAGCCCACTCGCTGATACGTCGTAATTCTATGAGAGGTACAATGCATCCACCAGCAGTATTCTCAATGCTTATCACCCTCGTGGGACATTTGTGAACATCATCCGTGAGAATTGCGCGCTTGATGATATCTTCCAACGTCATATATCTTCCATTCGAGGCTCTGACCTCATGCATAGAGGCGCCACTCATTCCTACACTACCCACCCCCCTCGAAGTGAATTATGTGCGCGTGAGAATCGGCAAGAACGGCATGGGGAGGTTGTGGCAGTAGCGTCCGAATAGCAAGTTGATTCGCCATGGTCCCTGTTATAACAAAGGCTCCTGCTTCATGGCCACATAATGCGGCCATGTCGGCCTCAAAAGAGGCTGTTGTTGTATCTTCTCGGAAGACGTCATCGCTGAGCGTTGCTGTAGCCATTGCGGCTAACATTCCCATAGAAGGGGTGGTGATCACATCACCTATATGGATTATTAAGAACACGGGTTAGTAGAATACTATTTTGAATCAAAATGCGTCTCACTTCGAAAATCATTTTGCGAATTACGCGTGGTCCCCCATATAACATCTTCACGTTCGGGTTTGACCACGCTGGAGGTAGTATTTTTGGAATTCATTTGATAGTGCACCTTTATCTAAAAGGATATTATAACTTGGGAAGTTGTTTGGGTCTTATATCAATATAAAACCCGCTGAAGCGCAATTTCAAATAGTGTGCGCTTTGCGTCAAGTCAGCTGCAACGACAAAGAACAAAACTTAAATCCCGCTTGGACAGAGTCCTCAGAAGTTTTGAGATCAAAAATGCTGAAAATGGACGTATGCCGCGTTCTCTCTCCATTGGCCTGCGCTGAGTCTATAAGACTAGCCTTGACTGATTCGCCCTACTTGTTCATCCAACATGATATACGTTGAATGATTTGCTAGAAGGTATCAGAAAAGAGTTTTATTTATGAGTCATCAATAGCCAGCAACATGAAAGTGTAACTTATTTTTCATCTACATAGCTGAATCTTCTCGTATATGCAGCCACTATCCCCTTAATCCTTGTCATCATTCTGAATAGTTTTATACGTCGTGGATGGCACTTGCTTTCCAGTGCTGATTTGTTCTTCTTGCTAGACTTTGGACCTTTTTCACCTCCAGAAAGAAAACCAATTCGATTCAGATGCAAGTATACACGGCGATATCATTCTGGGGATGGTAAATAGTCGCGTGTCTCAATGCATTGACAGTCGTTCTCTGACAAAACAGATCCTGTGGAGTTGCCTAATCTTGGCTATATGCGGCTGACCTTTGTCTTTCTTTAAGCTGACAGATATAGCGCGCGTAGCATTCTGATTGGACTGCATATTTCAAGGCCTCCAACAACTAAAGAACTTATATTACATCTATTCACAAGCCGAAATACCTTTTGGTGCTGATCTGCACTATGGAACCTCCTAAGTAACCTGCCCAGTCAGCCTTGAATGTATGTGCTCTACCGCACTGCACTCGCACCAAATTCATATGATTATATATAGTTGTTTTTCTATCCGACCATTATGGAAATTTCTTTTGGACATTTACCTCCCAGAATCAACCAGAATTCAATTAACCAAATATTCTATTTGAATTTCTATAAAAGTTTTGTTTATCAAAAAAAAAAAAAATGGATAGCGACAAAGATTCTCGCTCGTGCATTCAGAACAAGGAAGTTCTGGAAGCACCCATCAGCGTGACTGAGAACCAGACAGTTATTTCCGAGCAGTTATATATCTATGGGCTAGAAACATCCACCAGTGGGTACATACAATGGCGCAATGATTGTAAAGATCACCCTCGAAATTGGTGTCTCTGGCGAAAGACATATGATACCAGTGTTGTTATGTTTCTAGAATTCTATACGTAAGCTCTATGAAAGAACCTCTGAAATGGACAATATTGCTTATAATAATGATTAAAAGGACAGCTATAAGTACAACAGGGGTGAGATTTGCTCTTTCCATAATAGTGGCCAGGATCACTAAATTGTCCGTCAGCCCATTGCTGCGGAGCACGCAAGTGATGATTATGGAACTGGCAAAATAATCACTTTAATTGCTTTTACTCTGATGTAAGGGGCCGCCTTTTTAAAAATCGTTCAACGCTTCTATCAAGGCTTGACTAAATTTGAATTAGGTATCAGGTTGGTCAAGCTTTAGGTGGTGTCATTATACCACCCTGCTCTGAATTATTCGGAAGGCGCATGCCCTATATTGTATCCACGTTGGCATTTTCTCTCGCCTGCCTCTTTCTAGGAGCTGTACCACACATGAGTGCAATTTTCATTGGCAGATTTCTCTCCGGCTTTGCTTCGGCCGTGCCGTCAGTAGTGATCTCTGGGTCTGTGGAAGATCAGTTCAATGCAGAGCAGCGAGTTTGGATTGTCTTGCTTTGGAATGCAGCTGCAACGGCCGGGCTTGCATTTGGACCAATTTATGCTTCCTGCATTTGTGAAACAGCGAGCTGGTAAGTTTTTAATATCTCAAATGAAATCTTGTCACTGAAATTCGAAAGGCGATGGATATTCTACAGTGCTGCTATTGGCACTGCTCTCAACCTCCTGCTCATATTGGGTATGCGAGAAAGTCGACCTAGTAAATTGCTTCGGAAAAAATTAACCTCTTTGTCGATCGAGTATCCCGACGCGGACCTAAAGTTCCACTCTGCAGATCCATTCCCCGATCTTACAGCGTTTATCGATGTCGTCGTTATCCGGCCATCCCAGATGATGGTCACGGAACCAATTTTGATAATTGTTTCGATGCTGAGTGGCATATCCTGGGGAATCATCTATCTATTTTCGGAATCCATCACCAGGGCCTACATTGCTCTTGGACTTGATGAATCTAAGGCGACGTTTCCTCTCTTTGCCTTGGTAGTCGGCATCTGTATTGGGGCAATCCCTCATATATGGGATGTTCGCCACATACGGAACAAGAAGCGTCAGAAACTGTCCATTGAACCTGAGGATAAGCTCATAGGGTTCGCATTTGGTACTCCTGCCCTCGCTATAGGCCTGTGGTGGTTCTACGGGACAACTCCCCCATCTATGCAGCAATCTCACTGGCTGCTTCCCACAGCTGGCCTCGTTTTTGTCGGCCTAGGTGTGAATGAGATTGCTTATACGCTCAGTGGATATCTCACTGACACGTATACCGTCTATTCTGCATCGGCCTTTTCGGGACTGGCATTTGTCCGCGCTTTAGTTTCTGGCATCATGCCGTTGATTGGATATACTATTTTCGACAGATCGCAAGGAATGCTGCCTGGCTTTATTATTGCCGCCATAGCAACGCTCTTCTGTGCTGTACCTTTCATCTTCTTCAAGCTAGGGAAAGCGCTTCGCCTGAAAAGTGGATTTGCCAAATATAGTTTTGAAGTTAACATGCGAACTCAAGTTGGTGAAGTATGACTAAATGTCAGCCGCAGCTAGGTTAACAGGTGGAAAAGCTACTTTGAGGGAGCTTGAATTGGGAGGATGATTTCATGGGCCTATACTTGTATTTATGAAGAGGCAGGCACCTCGAAGTCTATATGTTTAATTTGAGGGTTGACGATGCGTCGGAAACCAAACTCGACTGTTACACTAATGGTCTTCTCTGTGGAATTTTGGAATGAAGAAGGGGTCGAAACAGCGTGAATTTAAGACTTTGGTATTGACAAGGAAGACATGCTGATATTTTGGGATTATTTTGCCGACTTTGAAGTGAAAATTGAATTAAGGACAGTGCCTGGTATTTCAAAGCTTCCCCAATCCGGCAAGACTTCTGAGAAAGATAGATCCTCATGGGCATTGCCTTGGTAGTGTAATTTCACCGGCGTTGAAGGTCCACATTGGATCCCATGATTGCATACCGTCAAACCGCGTGTCGTTTAACCTTATCTCAGTGTGCCTCTTCACAAGTCTGGTGGAATCTTGGAAGCCTTTGACGGTCTAGAATGGGTGGATCCCATACCGCGATCGTGATACGGGGGTTGTGGTTGTGGCGCATGGTTTATAATTATTGTGGGCAGGAATGTGTCCCGCAGCTGGAATTCTAGATTCGATCCGACCAAGTTGACTGGACCTATCAGCAGATCTATCTAAAAGGGAAGGTAGCTCATTCATCCAACTCAGTCGTATAGATCTTGTGTGGCAGCTGAGTCTACAGGAAGGGGGGTGTTTCTTTCCTTCAAGCTTCATACTCTGCAGAGGGTGAAGAAGGAAAGCCCCAATAGCCCAGATTTAACCACACTAGCTGTGATGACATCGCCAGTAGACCCTGGTCAGATCTGTGCATTATTTGGCATTAGCCTGCACACCAGCTTGCAGGAAATGAATAGCCAGCACAAATTTCTTCTCCCCTTCGGCATCCCCCCAAAGAGGTATTCCGCCAGCCCCATCGAAAAGCAAGTCAGTACCAGTCACATCAGCGCCCTGCTGAACAACTCAACCCTCGGGTAGCGTCTTCTTGGCACTTGGCACTGTCAACGGATGTTTCGCGCGGATCCGGCCCGATGATCCTGCTGGTTTAGGGAGTCAAAGAATGAGCAGAGAGACCGGTAGAAGCCCGGGGGTTGGCTGTTTGTTGTTCCAAAAGAAGATGATCGCCATGTGCGCGGGCTATGCTCCGTCGTCTAGATCGAGCCGGAGACCAAGAAATCGTAAAAGGTCGGTGTCGAGTACGCACGGGGACGCGCACCAAAGGTGCCCACGCAGCCTGCATGCATTTCGGTCGGGGACGGACGGAGACCTCGCCGGAGCCTGTGAGAGGCCATCTTGTACCCTCCGATTCAGCTCTCTCCCGTTCTGACCACGATCGCTGACAGTCGATTGGGTTGATAGATGCTGGACTGCGGGGGGGGAGTTGGCACCATGGTCGCAGCCGTTAGGTCATTCATACCACGCCAACCCCCGGTCCGCCGTCAGCGAGAGATGGCTGTTGATTGCTCGGATAGAGTTTCCAACTGCCGGCGATGTCATAGATCTTCATCTTATGCCGCCACAGACACGGCCAACGGAGCACCCGGAGCCCGATTGACCCACTGCCGACCAAGCGATAAGCTGGAGAGGAGGAGAAAGAGGGGAAGGGGGGGAGGCCCTTGTCAACGGATAAGAGAAACTATACGGATCTATACTCCGTTGAGATCCCGGGTCTGAGAGCACAGCCCGGGCCATCACGTATAACAGCCCCTGGCCCCTGACGGCAACAGAAAAGCTTTTCAGCCACAGTATCATAGTTCATGGAACACCGTCCTTCTGCTTGTGATAACTAGAGAGTAGATTCATGATAGGTGGAGTGGAGAGGTGGATGCAGGGGCGACGCACGGTGGCGACAATGGCGTTCCGTGGCGGAGACGAAAAAAAACGAGCTGGAAGAGCTTTGCGAAAGGCATTGGCTTTCTCTTGATCTTCAGTGGCTTCTTCTTTTCTCCGCGGTGCCTCGTTTGGTCGAAGATCCACCGGGCCCTTCGCCATTGACGCCACCCGGTGGAGACCCAGTAAGAGACCCAGTTTAAACGGCGGTGGGCTGGAGAATGCGATTGTGCGTAATAGCAGGGCATGGACAACGGTACTGTGCATTCATTGCGCGTGTACGACTTGGCGGGACTCTGGTTGTACTGGTGCTGTTGTACATGTTCGTGGGTGATGCAGCCTGATGCGTCTCGACCGCGGTTGGATGGTTGGCGTAGTTCATGTTGGTTTGTATAGTTCCCACGGCAGCTTATCCGTGTGCAACCTCCCCATCGCCCATCTCGACGGCATCCTGGTGTGAACCAAAAGAAACAACAGAAAATCGAATCAAAAATGGCCGGGCCATCTGCCTAATAATAGCATCGATTGGATTGCATCTCGACCCTGAACATGCCTTAATTTCTTTAATGGTCTGTGCCGTAAAGCCCAGACTTGACCGCGACCCACCGCGGCCCACCGGGTTTCACGCGCAAGTCGACTTTGGGTCTGTTCTGATCTTCATGAGTCGCGGTCATCGTCTGTCTTGCCTCTGAGTTTCTTCTCCTCTTCGACTACTTCACACTCTGACGGTTTCACGGTCTCTCGGTCTTTACTGGTTGAGCTTGGCTCGCTGCATTCGTTTCTGGCCTTGCCCACCAACCCTCGCTTCTGCTCTTGATACTCCCTCCGCCTCTTAATACCCTTCCCTTGAGATTCCCCAGCTCCTTTTTCTCAACCACCTGCAACGAGGAGAACGGAGGATTGACCATTGACCACGACCTCTCCGGGCCTCCATCTCTGCTGGAAAAGCGTGCGGCGCACCAGATCCTCCGCCCACCCCCACATTCTTGCGATCGGCCTGGCGCCACGATGTCCAGCCCCGCGGACGAGCGCAAGGTCTTACACCTTCAGGAGCAGAGAGCGCAGAAGCAATCGAACTCAGACGAGGTGACGCCCACCTCCGACGATGACACCTTCGTGTCCGAACGTCACGGCGAGTCGGGCCATCGCCTCAGAGTTGACACCTCTTACAATGACGACATGCCGCCCGCGATGACCACGCCGTCGGCCCGTCGGGAACAAGCCACCCGCCTGGAGGACGATCTGATGCTGTTACAGGCCGAGCGTGTGGCATCTCGATCAACACAGGGCGAAGCAACTACTGATGGCGATCGGACTTCCATCAGCCGGACGCGATCGCGCCGCACTGAGAATGTTGATGAGTTTGACGTGGCGACAAACCCGCTACATGAAAAGGCCGCAGTCTACACGCCTCCAGAAAACCCCAATACTAAGCTCTCGGTATTTATCAAGAAGCTCCATCAGTCCAGCTTCATTGTCCGGTATTTTACCTATATCGTGCCCGTGGTGCTGCTGCTGTTGATCCCGCTGTTGATCGGAGCTCTCAAGTACCCTAATACCAGTGTCGGGGGGTCAAGCTGATGTGGTTCGCGATCTGGTTGGAAATCGTTTGGTTGACGCTATGGGCTGGCCGAGTAAGTGTCTCAACCCAGATCACTGGTCATTGCCAGTGCCATGTGGTTGCCACACGGCAGCGTGCATGGACCGATAATCATTTGCTAACGAAATGCTTTATTTCAGATCGTCGGAAAATGCTTGCCCCCGGCCGTTAGCATCGTCGCCAGCATTTTTACCAACAACGCGAAGAAATGGCGCGACATGGCCAAGCAGCTCGAGATTCATGCTGCACTCTTCTTTTGGTGGCTTGGCGTGGAAATTTCCTTCTTGCCAACCATGAAAAACCATCATGTCGATGGTGATAAGGGAACCCGCAGCTGGGAAAGCACCCTGAACAAGATCATCATCGTCATTTTCGTGTGGACCATCCTGAACTTGATCGAGAAGATCATCATCCAATTGATCGCCATCAGCTTCCATCTCCGCACCTATGCCGACAGAATCGAGATCAACAAGTTCCAGATCGGCAGCTTGACTAAGCTCTATGACTGGTCGCGCAGCCGTATCGAAGAAACTGACGAAGCTTTCGAGGAGAAGCAAGTGGACGAAACTCCTACGGGAACAAAGACCCCCCTACACTACGCCGGGAAAGCTGCTGGAAAGGCTCACCGAGTCGCTAAGGGCGCCCTTAATAAAGCCGGTAATAAGCTCACTGATGTGGCTGGTGCTGTCGCGGCCGATTTTACCGGTCGCAAGGCGGCCCACAGCAGCGATCCATACCAGGTCATCCTCGCCCTGCTACGCACGACATCTGGCTGCCAGGTTCTAGCCCGCCGTCTCTACCGTACTTTTGTCCGGGATGGGTTCGATACGGTTTTCTCGGGCGACCTCAAGGAAGCCTTTGACAACAGCGAGGAGGCTGAGGCTGCTTTTGCGATGTTCGATCGTGATATGAACGGAGATATCTCGATGGAAGAGCTGGAATCTGTTTGCGTGGACATTGGTCGGGAGCGCAAGTCGATCACAGCTTCTCTCAAGGATCTAGACTCGGTCGTCTCCAAGTTGGATGATATCTTCATGTTCTTTGTCTTTGTTGTGGTGCTGATTGTCTTCCTGTCACTGATTTCTACTTCCGCCGCCGGTGTATTGACTTCTGCTGGATCCAGTATCCTGGCTCTATCCTGGCTATTCTCCGCCACGGCCCAGGAACTTCTTCAGTCGATCATTTTCGTTTTTGTGAAGCACCCCTTCGATGTTGGTGACCGTGTCACCATCTATGGTAACGCCGGTGATGCTGGTCTCGGCGATGACTACTTCGTTAAGGAGATCACTCTCTTGTACACCGAATTCAAGAAGATGCAAGGTCATGTGGTGCAGGCTCCCAACAGCTATCTGAATGGCCTTTTTATTCTCAACCAACGTCGCTCCGGTGCTCTTGCCGAAGCTATCCCCATCATCATCAAGTATGGCACCACTATTGACCAAATCGATGCTCTTCGTCAGCGCCTGCTGGAGTTTGTGCGCAGTGAGAAGCGGGATTTCCAGAGCAACATCCTAACCGAATTGCGTGCTGTAACTGAGAACTTCTCGCTTACTCTGAACGTCGTCTTCTTCTATAAGTCCAACTGGCAGAACGAGGGTCTTCGTCTGCAACGCCGCAACAAGTTCATTTGTATGCTTATGATTGCTCTCCAAGAGATTGGCATCGAGGGCCCACGCATGAACCTCCAGGGCGCGAATGTGGACATTCCCTTCCATGTCAACTACGGCCAGCCCATGATGGCACCCACTCCCAAAGAAGAGTCTCGCGAAATCGAGGAAGTGCCCATCGGCGAAGACTCTGCAGGCCTTCACGAGAACACCGGTACAGCCACAGGAAATGCTGCCCGACACCCATCCATTCTGCGCAAGGGCATGAACACTGCCGCGGCGCGTGCTCGTGGCCAGTCCGCTTCGCGCAAACATGTCGACTTTTCACTCGGCATGTCCAATATGTCCGCCAGCGATGTCATGGGCGACGTCTTTGAGGATCGATCTGTGCGTGTCAACGATGTCGTCCGCACTGCCAACCGAGAAACTCAGGAACGTCGTATCCAGGAAGAAATTGAAGAAGAAGAGGAACGCCGCAGTCACGGCTCTTCTTCACGTATGTCCTCGCGACACCGCCGCCCGTCTAATATTAGCGCACCGTCCCATGAAGGCCGTCCGTCCACGGATGCCCTCAGCTTCCGCAGCGGTGCCTCATCAACTCGCAACCGTTTCTTCCGTCACCGCAGCAGTGTCAGCCATGACCAGGGCGACATAATGGAGCAGGGTCGCGTTGATTCGCCGACTCCACCCCCGCCAGCGGTGAATGCGCCCAAGGAGCACCCGTACTAAAAAGAGCCGTTGCATTGGTGATTTCTTTGAGAAAGCAAGCCGTGTCTGTTTCGATATCAATTTTTTTTTCTTCTTTTCTATTTCTATCTATTTATTTTTGATCTCAAGTCATCATCACGACAACCCTGTCGTTCCTTGCATATCTTACAGCAGCCTTGTTACATAAAGTTGGGCTCCATAATCTGTGTTCATTTCCTGTGGGTTGGCCTTCTGATTCTTTGTCATACACTACTATATCCCCGAATATGTATGGTACATTTCTCTCTTTCTTTCCCTGTCCGAATAAATTACGCTTCCTACCTGTCTCTCCTTCTCTACGCAAGATATTGCACTCCATTCTGTGTCTTGTCCACTCTGATGAACTCATGAAGCCACACAAATACTTAGCCAATTTCGATTGGAGATTCGAAGGTTTTCTCAAGGATTCGGAATTCTTAATAGTTTTGGTTAATCTACGTGCACATGTCGATTCAATCCGAAAAATCAAAGTGAGGTTAATATGAAGTGTCATTACATTCATTGCAGAAGCCATCGCCAAGCCTGTTCGAAGCTTTCCTACCTCACGATCTTCATCCGGGGTAAGGGGGAAGAAGGTGGGGGTGGTGGTTGAAGCAACATAGGCCCATCGTGACTGTTGAGAGAGAGCTTGGAAGCTACCACGGCAGGCTCCTTGTATAGCTGTGGAGCCTCAGGAGCAACCAAATCCAGACTCAAACATCAAAATTTGTTCCACACAACATGGTGCATGTACTTCCTTTTCTTGCTGGTAAGGAACAATGACGTTGGGCTTTGAGGTTGAGATTGATTGGAACGAAACATGTCAAGATAGACGATCAAGTCTGGAGAAATACGTAGTATGCTGAGTGAAGAGGTTGTATGTAAGCCCATAAATTCGGATATATAAATTTAATAGCAGGATGTCTACAGTTGATATTCGACTACGAGCGACAAGCACTAAGCTGCGTCATACAGCAAAAGATATTCGAGCATCCTATTCATCACCCTTCCCGGTTTTATATATGTGTTCCGTTTGTAACATATCCAAATACGAAGCCTCTATGCAATGAGAGGCAGTCCGATCACCCAGGCAAATAGCCATGTCGTCCAAGAATCCGATCCCAACGAAGTTGCGATTCCAGGTGACGTTGTCGAGGAGGCTGCGCCGGCAGAAGATGATGATGAGCCAGCAGTAGATGAGGGCATGGAGCCAGACGAGGATGTGATAGACGGTGTTGAAGCAGATGATCCAGAGGCGTTGTTCGACGAGCCTCCTCCTTGATTAGTGGATGATGACCCACCGGCCCCCGACGAGGTTGCAGGTTCCGGCATCGTCGAAGAGACATCAGTCGTCTCAATTGGACCGCCAGGATTCATGGACGTGAAAGTTGGGATTGGGATGCCGGTCAGTTTTGCGGTGTCCAGGACGCACAGGATGCCGGTTGAATCGCAGATGTATCCAATCTCGCAGCAGTTTCCATTCTTGCAAGTCGGACCCCCATTGCATGGCGAGTCGCACTTGGGTATACCTGTTTGGTATATGCATGCTACTCCTGATGGGCAGCAGCCAGTTCCATCGGAACAAAGGGTCTGTGTCGCCTCGGGACACTGTGCATCTCGGGCTTCCAGATTGGCAAGGGCGACAGCGGCTGCAGGCCGGAGCATGTTGGCACCAGCTAGCTGGGTACCCAATAGGAAGGTGACTATATGCCACTGGACGTGCATATTTGATGGGCGTCAGGTTTAATGGGAATTGGTAACGAGGTGCGAGTGATGCTCGTGAAAGTTGACAGCATACGGGATTACCTTCGACTTATGAACCCAGATTGCGCCCCGGGGGCTGAACACTCTGTGGATTGAAGGGGAACCCTGTTTTCAGGGTCCAGTCAAGCTTCGGGTGGACGGGAGGGTCCCCCAGGCCCCAGGGCAAGCGATCTCGTATTCTTCCCCGCGCTAGCCACACCGTCGTCGCTGCTCACTGCCCACCCCGTCGAAGTTTCACGATGAGCTATAATGGAATGGTCCGCACTAGCAATCATTCCAGCAGGTTTTGCGCCCCATTCGGAGTTTCGATTTTCAGCCAAGAAAGGGCTTCGGCATTTTGGCCGACCGTTAGGGGCGCCATACAAATAGGGGCGCCATGGGCACCTCGTATTCGCACCATGGGTATGAATACTACACACCCGATCATTGTAATCCATAATCATCGGCTTGATAACGATGTTGAGCAGTCCGCAGGTGCTCCGCCATGATACGGAAAAGAGCGCCGATCCTGCTGGACGTCCGACGGTGTCATGTGATGAGACAGGGGTTGGGAAATCCTCAGTCGATTCAGGCCCGTTAAGTGTGTTGTCCAATGTGACAAGGCACTTCCAGCTGCTCATTGTGTTGGTGCTGGGTCAAGCACGTTCGTTGGCTATCGGGTATGTAGCTATATCTTTGGACGGGACCATTGGTCACCCTTTTCTTCCGAACGTCTCCTCACGTCTCTTCCTTGTGCTTCTTATTCATATCAGTTGGCCTAGTAGGTTTTCCAACAAGGTTGTATGTTCTCAGGGAAGAGTCTTGAAATCACGTAATGAAAAAATAATGAAGCAGTTTGATCGGGAATAATCTATTGTTTCCATCAGCTGAAAGTCGGGTCGAAAAAGAAAAGGTCCCGGTCAAAATCCAGTCCCAGTCCATTGCCTGTCCCGTTGTCCTCCATTCTCGCTATTGTCAAATCAAGATTTTTAGATGACTGCATGATGCCGGTATCCTCCCGCATCATTAATATTTTACTGCACATTTCCAAGCTGTCTCTCGCAGCTCGTACAACCTGCAGGTCGACAGGTGCGCTCGCCTCCGTAGCCTCGACCTGGGCCAGGATCATGCACAAGAACATGTGGTTTTTTACGTTAGTCTCACCCAGCTTGATACGTTCCTCTGATAGATCAATGAGATCTCGGACAGCCTTTTTCAGAAATTCACGATATTGATGGGTTCTTTGCAAGGTACCACTGAATTGCTGGTTTTCCACGTGCCTGAGCAGCTCGAGGCTAATGACCGATGTAGCACATCGAATGCTCTCCCGAAAAGGTCCGCTGCCAATCGATATCAGCCGAGAGAAGGTGCTATCCGGCTCTGGAGAAATGATGGCGAGGGCGGTGTCAAGACTTATCCGAGAAGAATAATGGAATAGCGGGTTTCGATACGCCTGATTACTGAAAGAGTAATGTAGCGGAATTATGAAGCGGCGAACAAGAAAGTCCAGCATATTTCGGTGGAAAGGAGTAGATACATCATTGTCCGTAAGGCGATGACAGGCCTGAAGAGAGGCCATAAGTTCAGAGCTGAAAGAGAGAGCTTGGTCATATGAGGTCGTGGCATGGAGCCCATTGAGATTTTGAACGATCTGAATGCGGCTTGACAGTGAATCAATCAAGGCGAGTTGGGCAGATGTATCAGTGAACGCGGATCTCGCGACAGGCCGGAGTTCTGTTGTCGTGTCGTTTATTTGATCGTCATTGATGTGCGAAGGTAGCTCAGTATCAAAATCGTTCCATGATATCCTTGGTGGCATCCGCGCATCAAGGGATGACTGGACGACTAATTCGAGAACCGTGTACCAAAGTCTGCGACGCACTTCGGCTTGTAGAACTGATATCTTCGCGGGAAGATTCTTTGGATCACGGTGCAACCCGATCTGCATGGCACCATGGATAAGAGATCCGACTGATGTCCATGTCAAATCATCACCGATGGAAAAAATCTGCCGAGAGAGAATGGTCAAACAGAAAATTTGAATCCCAGAGACATCGAGTCGGTCCTTTTCCAGAGGCCCAGATAGCCATGTCTGTGCAGTGTATATCCATTGTTGAACCAAGTCGATATTCCGGAGGGTCGCGGCTCTATCTCCGTGGTCATATAAACTAGATCCTATACCAACCACGAGATAAATTTTGAGTTGTTCATTAAGCGCGATACGATCAGAATCATCCCAGTATTTCCTGTACTCAGACCAAAAAGTCGGTATGTGAAGAATCCGAAGCCTGTGTACATCCAGATCAGTTTCATATCTCCGTTAAATGTCTTGGAAAAGAAGACCCGTTCAAAAATTTCTCTTCAATTCAAATTTCCAGATATGGAAAGAATAGAAACAAGGGATTTCTCCTCAGAGGTACTTACGCCGATTCAAAATAATCTATGTAGAGAGTGGCCATAGTATCTGCCATCTCGCGGGGCAACGGAGGCAGTCCGAATCCCGGGAACTGTGGTCCTCTGCTAGGTCGGCTGAGTTTGATGTTTCTTGCTATAGTTTTGCAATCCTGAAGCGAATCGCCGGCTTGGGAGACCAGCACTGAGACCTCAGGGTGCTCTTGTTGTGAGCCCGCCTGGCTCTCCTTGCTTAAGATCGCTCTATAACAAGCCATCAGAAGGCCAAATTCATTAGCCCCACCTTTCCATTGAGATTTGCCCCAGTCCCTAGGCTTTTCAAAGATCGCTTGCCACTTTTGCGTGTCCTCTGGCAACTGATGGTCCAAAGATGCCGAACTAGCTTCTGATAATACTGGGGCAGATTCGCCGATGATCCTTCGAGACTCAAACTCGGGAAGCAGATTGGGAAACAAACTGCCAGTGACTGCAGACCCCGTACTCGAGACACCAGGCTGTGAGCTGCCCGGGATATCATGACCTTGCAATTGTGCTGCCGGCTGCTGCCGGCTGAAATAAATCGAGCCCGTGATGGGCTCTTCATCCGCGCGATATGTTTTGTATGTGCACTTGGTCTTAAAGCGCACACAGTGCCCGCACGGATTGTTTTGGTTGCACTTGATTTTACGCCGACGACATTCCTGGCACGAGAAAGCTGGTCTTCGACGCCGGCGCCGCTGTGGGTGAGCTACCTGTTCGGGTTCCCGTGACGGCGATGGCGGCTGTGGTGGTAGCGGTTGAGCCTCCATGAAAGAAGATACCAGGGTGAGCTTTCTGTTAGCTAAATCATGGATGTATCAATTCAGTGTGACAAATCGAGGTAACCTGTAGTTACATTCTCCGTAAGGGTGCATCTGTCAGATCAAAGTTACGCTGTTGCCCCGGAACTGCTGACAAATCTTGTATCCCTCCACTTCAATTATGGTTGCTTCAGCCAAATAATCGTGCCCAGGAAGGAGTGCTAAATTATGAATTTGCCTCTGTCCAGCCTCTTTCACTCGCACCGTGCCCTGTTATATTAATAGCAATTACAATTGCTCTATACCATTTGCTAATCTTTGCTGATCTAATCTGCTTCCCTGGAGAAGGGAGCTGAAAGCAGATTGGTGCTCCACTGCACTTCAACTAGCTATGGTATCATGAGCGATTGAAATCATCTACTTTTCTTGTATTATCACTTTCGATGTTCGAATTGCATTGCTGTCCCAAGCATTCAGTATCCCAGCTTTCAAACAAGAAAACGAGCTAAGATTAATGATTGCCGACTATCAGTGCTGGATATTAAGGGTATCTAACACCACTATCAGATACCACCATCAAGACGGAGCTCTCCAACGTAGCTTGTGGTAATCAGGGAGGCTCCAATTTTTTACCATCTCCTTCATCATGTAGTCTGCGATGTTGATCTTGAAGAGAGATGCCACTCCCATCAGGCAGTTTTGTAAGAACACACCAATTGATGTCGAAGTTACCCAGTCCCACTTGCCATCGTCTTCGCCAGCACCTTTTTGCACCTGGTCCATGAATGGCCTGAATTTCTGCTCGTATGCCTTGAGCGCATTTGTCAGACACTCCTTTTTGTGGCCAATCGCAACATTTTCGTCCCATACACAGTGTGCGTCAATCTCCCCCGCTAAGACATAAGCCCCCACTACTGCACATGTTGTTCCCATCCCAGTGTTTACCGTGGGACAATATGCAGCATCCCTAATAAGACCACTCGTCCATGGGACCAGTGGTCAATTTTGACTAGGACCATGCGCTCACAATAGAAATCGTCAACATCGTCCAAGGACTTGACGATATCTGGGACGATCCAGCCTGCATTCTTGAACATCTCAGCGAAAGTTGCCTTCTCTTTCTCAACGTCTCCAGCAGTCAAGGCGGCGAACGTTTCAGTGCCTATTTTTCCACCTAGGTACACTTGAATGTTGTTGGAATTGTGTCTCCGCGTCATGACTCCTCGACCGCCTGAGGTCATATACATCGTTGCAATGTACTTCTCCTTGGGTTGAATTGGGCGAGGAGCAGTGAAGTAGGCCAAGAGCATGTTTTGAATAGAAAAGACTGCATTGGATGCGTTTTTTCCGAGCATCATTCTGCGAGTACGGGAGGACTGGCCATCGGCACCCACAAGAAGGTCGAAGTAGTCGGTGCTGCCATCAGAGAAATGAACTTCTATCATGTCTCCTTCGTCTCGGTAGCTCTCAATATATGTTCCAAAGAGATACTCAGTATGTTGCTCGGTGGCATCATATAAAAGCTGACAGAAGTCCCCTCTCATGATCTCATATTCACTGGTAAAGCTTTGTGTGCCCTGGCCTGTGTTGTTGGCCGGAAAATAGGCCCAGCGTCTTCCCGAGCCATCCACAACTTGCATCCCCTGTTCGGGTACAGATTTGGCACGGAATGCTTGTTCTAGGCCCATGCGTTTCAAGACATCAATTCCATGACCACGAAGATCAATTTGAAGACCAGTGGCTCGCAAACTTGGGAAACGCTCCGTGACTGTGACATGATGCCCAAGTCGGGAGAGACAAAATGCGAGTGCATTACCTGCGATGCCTCCACCACTGATGAGAACTCGCATCGAAAGCTAGAGGGCAATTTTGATACTGAATGAAAATAATAGCAATATAGTCTCTCTGGTTGGAAAGTTGAAACCACAGAAGTATGTATCATATTTATATTCTGTTGTAGAATCCAGATTTTATTGTTATTCAGAGGCAGACACGGTCATATCGGGGAGACGGGCATACCGGGCATACCGGGCGTCGGGAGACGGATGTAACGGGAAACAAGAATAAACACAGTCATGCGCTACTAAATACATCTAGATTCTTTGGTTTTGAGCGGCGACTACGAACAAACCTCAACTGTACAATTTTGGTGCACTGATGTTGATAGGACACGCATCCAAATTTCACAATCTAACTGCAGGCTTGTTGAACTTTGTTCCAAAACAACAATGCCAAGTTGGAGTCATATTCACGACCAGTGCGAAAAGGCCGGAGAGAGGGTCTAGCACTTGAAGGTCTCGATTACGGTTCTTGAAATTCGATCCAATTGAATCTAGAATGCAGAGACAACACTAAATTTTCAATGGCCAGCAAATTGTGGGCAAGTCTAACCGGCCAAGTCGTGCCATCGCCCAAAGGGGGGAAGGAAACGACGGGCGCAATCAAATCGATCAAATCAATCAGATAAGCCGGAGGAAACAGGGCTCGGTGGGTCTCCCGTCGCGTGCTTGAACCCCTTTAGAGGTTTTCCGGCATTGGATCAGGGATCAAACATAATGAATGGGTGGCTTCGAAGAGAGCCAAGACATCTGGAACCGGAATCATTGATCATAAGACGCAGCTTGTGGCGGATCGTCCGTGATGATGCCTGAAAATGGGAAAGGCAGTGGCTCTTCCAGCCAGTCGTTTTCTGGATAGGTTTTCTAGCTCGCTCTCTAGTGCAAAATGCTGCAAACACGTAAGCCTTAGTGAGCTTGTTCCTGAAACTAAATATCGGTATTAAGAAAATTTCGGCCATTCTCCGTTATCCCACCGGCAACGTGGAAATGTCTGAAGGATTATAAGTCTGGGCCATCAGACCTCCTTTTTTCAATCCCAAGGCTCTGAATGCAAGGCGCTGCTGTTCCTTTGCAGAAATCCCACATACGAGCATTCTGCTCGTCAATTGGTAAATTATAACTTGCACAAGCTCGAGATCGTCATCTTTCCACAATGGCTATCAGAAAACGGTTTCTCAATCCATTCGGCACCCAGCAGCCATCATCTGAGGGGCAATCTGCAAAAGGTCACCTCGACCCAGAAAGTCTGCCCAACGCAAAGATTCCTCTCGAGAAGTCTAAGGAGACTGACGAGCTCCCGCAAGATGAAGAGATTGTCGATGAAAAGGCCCAGGCTGGCACACAGAAGGCGCAGGCGAGTGCACAAGTCTGGACTAGGAATACCTTGATCGTGGCCTATGTCCTGTGAGTGTACTTTTCTCCTTAAAGTGAGTCCTGATACTAATCATGCGACCATTAGAGTTTGGATCGTGAATTTCTTAGAATACTTCAGTTCGGGTCTCCTGAGCACTCTCTCGCCATACATTTATAGCGATTTCGAAATGCACTCTCTGACAGGTCTTACTTCTGTAATCGCGTCGTTGATATCGGCCCTCATCAAGTTTCCCTACGCGAAACTAATGGATATTTGGGGTCGACCACAGGCGTTTGGAGTTAGTGTTGGGTTCCTGACTCTTGGACTGGTCATGATGGCTGGCTGCAAGAATGTCCAGACCTACTGCGCTGCTCAAGTTTTTTATCAGACTGGATTCAATTGCATCGATTTCACAATGACTATATTTATTGCTGATACAACGGCATTAAAGAATCGCGCGTTCTGGATCGCATATGCTGCCTCGCCGTACCTAATCACGCCTTGGATTTACGGTTACGCTGCAAATCAGATTCTGGCTCCAGGGGGCATTGGATACCGGTGGGGCTTCGGTGTATTTGCCATCATCATGCCTATTATCAGCACCCCATTATGGGGGTTGTGGTATTATATTCAGAAGAAGGCTGAAAAGATGGACCTGACCAAGAAGGAAGATAGCCAACGAAGCCTGTGGCAGTCGGTCATCCACTACTGCATGGAATTTGATGTTATCGGTTTACTGATAATCGCTACCGGCTTTTCTCTCTTTTTGTTGGCATTCAATCTGTACTCATACCAACCCAATGAGTGGCGATCACCACTGATCATATGCTTTGTCATTTTCGGCGGTCTCCTCATCATCGCTTTCACTGTGTGGGAAAGATACTTCACACCGGTAAAATTCATGCCGTAGGAGCTGATTCAGAACCGGACGGTATTCTTTACATTTTCCATGGTTGTCTCCCTCTACCTCTCCTGGTACATCTGGGATAGTTACTTTTATTCTTTGCTACAGGTCTTGTTCGACCAAACAGTCACGCAGGCGACCTACATCTCCAATATTTATACCATAGGATCTTGTTTCTGGTGTCTCGTCTTCGGCGCCATACTTCGCTACAATGGCCGCTTAAAGTGGTGGGCCATTTGTTTTGGCGTCCCTTTGACCATCTTGGGGGTGGGTCTCATGATCAAATTCCGTCAACCTGATTCAAACATCGGGTACATTGTCATGTGTCAGATCTTCGTTGCCTTTGGTGGTGGTACCCTTGTGCTATGCGAGCAGATGACGGTTATGGCTGTTTCTGTGCAGAGAAACATTCCTTCCATACTTGCAATTGAAGGTGTCGTTGCCAACATCGGGAGTGCCGTAGGGGGGACTGTCGCTGTCGCCATGTGGACTGGCATTTTCCCAGCAAAACTCAAGGAGCTTCTGCCCGCATCTACCCAATCCGAGTTTTCCAATATCTATGGCTCGCTAGCCGTGCAGCAGTCATATGCAAAGGGCACAGCAACTCGAGATGCCATCGACCAGGCATACGGTGATACTCAAAGGCTCATGCTCATTACAGCGACCTGTCTATATATTATCACCTGGACTTCCTGCTTTTTCTGGAAAAATATCAACGTCAAAACGATGAGTCAGCAAGCTCATGGAGTGCATCTCTAGCCTGGAGGCTCCGTTTCAGGTGACAGCATTTCCGATTGGGCCGATGGAATCCAGCCTCAACGATGAGATCGTTGCTAGGCAGTAGTCGAAATTCCTCTTGATGGGGTTGATGAAATACTACCTTTCATTGTAACATTGGAATATTTAGATATTCAAAAAAATCTTAGGCATCCAAAATTTATACGGCAGATTTTTCCAAACAGTCTTGAAGAGAGTCACTCCAAATCACCAACTCCTAAACAACCAATCAATGAGGGAAAGCAGACGATAGACAAGCAAAATCAAAAGGTTCCGCGAAACTAGCTACCAATAGCTGGTCACTTAAACCCCTTCTAAGCATTTAAGTCGCATGATCGTGCATCCTTTGCGGTTTTGCGTCCTCACAGACCCAATCAGCGACCCGAATAGACTCCAGATAAGCCGCCACGCCAAGTCAAGCTAGTCCAAGGATGGACGCCTGGAGTCGGGACCCCGTCGGAGTTTGGGATTAAATCAGTGTTCTTGGAGGCTCGGGATTCGGAGTACTCTTCTACATCCTGACAGCCTTGTGAGGGATGGCATTTTTGAATCCACGAGACGCCAGCAACCACCCCGACTTTCGTGTATCGTCGCGCAACCATGTCCTGTCCCGTTGGTAGTGACGATGTATTTGGCCCGCGAGTTCTTTCAGAATGCCGCTCATTTGACTTCACCTTATTATTTGAAGATGCGATCTTCTCCCTCCTCCCAGCAGCCCTTTTTCTTGTCTTAGCCTTATGTCGCCTCTCAGTTCTGATCCGAGCGCCGATCAAAGTAACTTCGCATCGACTAGCAACATGGAAACTGGTATCAGATCGTGCAACCCTAATTGCAAAATGTTCTCGAATAACATAGTGTCTAGATCTCCCTAGCCATATTGCTAGCCCTTCACATTCTTTATCTTGCATTCCAGCTCCAGACATCTCTGCTTCACACAAAGACCTCCTTGGCTGCAAGTCTACTATCATTAATTGCTATTACCGCAGCATGCATACTATCCTGGTTGGAAGATCAACGCACCGTCAGACCATCCGATATAATGGTGATTTACTTTTTCGTGACGACACTACTAGCCCTGCCTCGAGCACGGACTTTATGGCTTTTATCTCCAATTGTCAAAAATCAAGCGATACTCTGGACTCTCCTAAATATTGGTACAGCGACCGTCTTGTGTCTAGAATCACTTCATAAAACCAAAGTCCTACGCTTTGCCTATAGATCTAGCAAAGAAGGTACCTCAAGTTTTTGGGTTCGCAGTTTTTTTATATGGGTACTTCCCTTATTTCGAAGCGGCTTCACTACAATTCTCCGAGTTCACAACATGCCCGAATTAGACCATAATCTACAAGGGGTTTCCGCAGAACAGAGACTGATCAAAGCATGGCCGAGGAGTATGACCTTTCTGATAAATCTTTGTCTCGCTTTGCTCGATACTTGTGGCTAATTGATATCCAGCCAAAAATGCCCGCCGTCATCGGCTACTACAAGTCACTTTTTTAGCGTACCTCTGGTCCTTTGCCAGCGCGATTTTACCGCGCTTATGCCTCACGGCATTCAAATTTTGCCAACCCTTCCTGATTAGTGCTACTTTGGATTTTATCAGCGCTTCTTCGAACCCGGACAGTCGATATCAGGGTCCTGCACTTGTGGGAGCTTTTGTATTGACATATCTTGGAATGGCTGTAGGCTAGCTCTCTGATTCTGGCTTCAGCTTGTATCTCGGGACCTATCTGACTAGACCATTCTTTAGGTGTCCACTGCAGTATACTGGCGTCAATCCTTCCGTTTTAATACCACAGTCCGAGCTGGCCTCATCTCGCTACTTTATCGGCAAACAAACAAACTACCTGCAGCCGAGTTTAAATCAAAGCAGTCAATCACACTGATGGGGACGGATGTAGAAAGAATTATAACCAAATTCAGATTTATTCATGAGGCTTGGGCAGCCCCAGTCGATGTTGCTATCGGAGTCTTTCTACTCGCCAGACAGCTCGGAGTCACTTGCCTGGTTCCGGCCGTCATCTCTATTCGTAGGTGCATATAGATCCAGTCATGAAAGGAAATGCTAATTAGACCTTTAGTCGCTGTTTTGGCCACGATACCTGTTTCTTCAAAGTCTAATTTAGCTCAAAAGCTCTGGATTGAGCGCGTGCAGGCACGTCTCAGTACAACTTCCAGTATGCTACATGACATGAAGTCCGTCAAGATGCTGGGCCTTGGCGACAAGCTATACGCCTGTCTTTCTCAGCTACGCAAGATAGAGTTGCAAGTATCTGAAAAATTTCGGATTCTGCTTATCTGGCAAGTTGCTTTATGTAAGTTGTTTTTTTTTCTCCGTATATGCGTATCACAATACTAATCAATGAAGCCAACGTGCCTGTCACTTTTGCACCCTTTGCAACATTCGCTATTTTTGCAATCGCTCAATCGCTTCATGGTGGAGAATCGCTTCTTTCAAATCGCATGTTTACTTCGCTTTCCTTAATTTCCCTGATGACGGATCCGCTGCTTATCTTTATCCAAACCCTTCCGGCACTTTGGGAATCCTTGTCGTGCTTTGACCGCATCGAAAGATATTGCACCCAGGCACCTATAGATTTCCCTCAAAAACCTTTGCTAGCCGAAAGAGAAGTGGAGTTGACTGAGAACCATGTGTCGATGCCCGAATTTTCTGGAGCTATACTTGAATTCAATAACGCAAGTTTTTCTTGGTCTCAAGAAGCTCCAGCTCTACTCCACGACTTGAGCCTTTCGATCAAGAGGGGAGAAATTTCCGTATTCATTGGATCAATTGGAAGCGGAAAGACTACGTTATTGGAAAGCAGTCTAGGTGAAACAGTACTGATGGCCGGTTCCATGTCTCGGTTCTCTACCGATGTTGCTTACTGTCCACAAGCCCCATGGATTACGAATGATACTCTTCGCCAGAATATCATAGGACCTGCGCCATATGATTCCAAATGGTATAACTTTGTCATCTGGGCTTGCTCTCTTGATGCTGATTTTGATAACATCCTTGGTGGAGATCTTTCAAAGGCTGGAAGTGGAGGGATAACCCTCAGCGGTGGCCAGAAGCAAAGAATTGTGAGTACAATATTGAAAATAGTCAAATCTTGGTTTGAAGGATTTTCTTGACTGATTCATTGAAGTCCCTCGCGCGAGCTGTTTATTCCCGAGCACCAACTTTGATCCTCGATGATGTCTTCAGCGGGCTTGACACCAAGTCTGTCTCCGCTATATCCACTCGTCTACTCGCACCAAATGGCCATTTCCGAGAATCTGGCAGGACGGTCATTCTTGCGACACATAATCATCGCTTGCTTCCATACGCAGACAATGTTGTATTGCTTGAGAATGGCAGGATCTCGAAAAGTGGGTCGTATGACGAAATCCGCGGAAGTCTACCACATGACAATCACAGTCAAGACAGCGCCGATTCATCAATTCAAGAGGCGATTGGTTCCCAAAAAGACAAAGTTGAGACTTCTCTGAACAGATTCACCAGCAATGCAGATGATGAGAATGCCGAGCTGAATCCGTCACGTCGAGATGGAAATTGGTCTGTGTATAGATACTATTTTCGATCTGCTGGACTCGTGGTCATGCTAATTCTGGTCTTTCTGGTTTTGGTCTGCGGCTTCGCGGACAGGTTTTCCAGTATGTTATACCCTTGAAGATTCCTTCTCCTTATAGAGCATATTTCTCACAGGTAAATAGCGGTGTGGCTTCAGCAATGGTCCGATGCCAATGAGCAGAATCCAAACCAGGATATTGGCATGTATATCGGCGTTTATGCCCTCTTATTTACTGTTTCGCTGATTGGGCTCCTTGTTGGGTGCTGGTATGCTATCTTCCAGAAATTATGATTAAACGCCACATGCTAAACGAATTCAGGCTTCTATTTGTTATCCTTATCACCAACACCGGTCGTACAATGCACTCGGATCTTCTCAAGTCAACTTTGAGGTACCAGGAATCCCACCTTCCGGTTCCCAGAAAATTTTGATCCTGGATCCTTACTCTTCATTTCTTTCTAGTGCGCCATTTAGCTTCTCGCAGAAGGTCGACGCCGGTTTGATACTGAACCGGTGAGCGAGATATCGAGACTTTGGCCGTGTCGGACTTGACTAACATACCATGTAGATTCAGTCAAGATCTTGAACTGATCGACATGAACCTCCCAGCGTTTTTAATGAATACAATGATCTGTATGTTTGCGGGATTTGACTCTCTCTGGTAAATTTGAGGCTTATAATCAATCCTAGCTTTCGCAAATTGTTGCGTTCTGCTTGTCATTCTCTGCGTGGAGGGAAAATATCTCTCCATTACTATTCCCGCCCTGGCAGTCACTTTATTCTTCGTGCAGAGTTACTACCTCCGAACCTCTCGTCAAGTCAGACTCCTTGATATCGAGGCCAAGTCACCCCTATTCACGCACTTTGTGGAAACTATGCAGGGCATCTCAGTCATTCGGGCTCTGCGGTGGCAAGTACCTTTCCAAAATCGCCTTCAGGAGCTACTTAACCAGTCTCAGAAACCCTTTTACATGCTCTACTGTATCCAACAGTGGCTGCAGCTAGTCCTTGATTGTATTGTTATGGCCCTCGCTGTCATTCTCGCGTCGCTTGTCATATCTCTTAAAGACAAGTTTAGTCCCGGCGCCATCGGTGTTGCCCTGAATTTGATTTTAAACTTCAACCAAGATCTCATGCAGCTTATTCGGTCTTGGACCATTCTAGAAACGTCAATTGGGGCTGTTGCTCGCGTACAAGACTTCACTTCTACGACTCCAGCGGAAGACCAAGATCGGGGTGAGCTAGCGACTGTTTCATCTAAGTGGCCTGAGCAGGGCGAGTTGGAATTCCGCAGTGTTGTCGCAGCGTATAGGTATGTGAAACCCTCCATGGGATTGATTGTGATGGACTTGTTGGCACATGGCTGACATCTCGAGTCTCAGTCCTGAATCTCCACCAATCCTGAAGAACCTATCACTTGTGATCTCACCCGGTCAGAAAATTGCCGTCTGTGGCCCGTCAGGCAGTGGCAAGACCTCACTGATCCTTGGTCTATTGCAGATGATTGAGCTGCAGGGAGGTCAAATTATCTTGGATGGTGTGGACCTGTCTAGCGTGGCATCCACCATGGTACGCTCCCGGGTCAACGTGGTCCCCCAGGAGCCATTCTTTATGCCCGGCACATTGCGATTTAATTTGGACCGTGATTTAGAGCAAAAGCCAGTGTCTGACGAAACTCTCATCCACGCCCTTGAAACAGTCGGTCTATGGAAGAAGGTCTGCGATAATGGCCATCGGGGTGAAGAACTGGATCAGCCACTTGCTATCTCGAATTGGTCGGCGGGCGAACGCCAGCTGCTCTCCTTGGCTCGTGCATTGATTATGAAGAGTTCGATTCTTGTTCTGGATGAAGCCACAAGCAGGTATGTATCAAGACGTCCGCCTTTGCCATATAAGTGTATCCATCATGGCTCCTGTACTCACCTTTTTCTGTTCTTGGTCAGCGTGGACTGGGAGACCGAAAATACCATGCAGACGATTATTGAACAAGAGTTCGCGTCTCAGACTGTGGTGTCCGTCATTCATCGCCTCCGTTATATCGAACGCTATGATCGAGTCGCACTGCTCAAGCAGGGCCGACTAGTCGAATATGATAGCCCGCGGGAGTTGTTGTCGCGACCGTCCGAATTCCAGTCTTTCTATCGGACGAAGCAGGTAGAATGAGCGTATATGGAAATGGACTTCCCCAAATTGAAATAGGACTCTGATACAAAGCTGCATTTATGCATCCAATAACCTATTAATCTACATATTATGTTCCAGCAGACTTTGAATATATTTTTTTAACTTAGCCCACTGGGGTTTATTTCTCAAAGGTTCATATTGGCAATGCAGATATAATTAGGTCATCGGTATGCGTCTTTGCTGTTTTGAAAGTGTCGCACAAGTAGAGTTGATTAGGTGTAGCAGAGTAAACAGCCTAAGTTGGGAAGAAGGGCTGGCTCATTGAGGGATTAAAACACAACCAATACCTCTTCCGCGAGTTTTCTGTGTGTTTCCGCAGCAAACAAACCCAATTCAACGTGATCACCTGTTTGACACCCACCAAAGAAACAACAACACCGACTACTGACGCAAATCAGACGCCGCCCCACCCTCGTGCTCTTTCAGTTGCTCTCTTTTCTCCTCGCCCTCCCAGAAATACAACCTTCTACACATTGTTTCTCGATAACTAAATTTTGTGAATTTCCCACCATGCGAGGCGAGGTATGTATGCCCCTGCTGCTGCCAGAGCCGTTGTTGCTGCTTCTCCACATGCGGAGCACGTTCGGCCCTCATTGACCGCGGAACCCCCCACTCAGTCCCCCCTCCCCTGAACCATACGACATTTCTCCATTCATGGAGGCGTATTGCTGCGATTGCTCTCTGATGGATGACAGCATCATTTGCTAATCCATTCATCTGTCTTAGATCTGCCACATTCACATCGGCCAAGCTGGTACTCAGCTGGGTAATTCCGCATGGGAGCTGTGAGTCTACGTTTACCGTTTGTTATCTGTGGCGCACCCGCTGATCATCAACACTACTGGAACTAGGTACCTTCTCGAACACGGCCTCAAGCCTGACGGTCATCACGATGCTAGCATCACTGATGAAGTTGCCTCCAGTGGCTCCTACGAGACCTTCTTTACCGAGACCAGCGGTGGAAAATATGTTCCCCGCTCAATCTTTGTTGATCTTGATCCGTCGGTATGGTAGAAACTCGAAACATGCAAATGGAGCTGATAAATTGGATCCAATAGCCCATCGACGAGATCCGTACTGGCACCTACCGCCAGCTCTTCCACCCAGAGCAGCTTATCAGCGGCAAGGAGGATGCAGCGAATAATTGTATGTCGGGAGACGGAAATGCATCGGTCGGCAGCTAATGGAAAGCAGATGCTCGGGGCCACTATACTGTCGGCAAGGAGTTGGTTGAATCAGTCGTCGATAAAGTCCGACACGTGGCCGGTAAGTGACCCTATCATTCTATCTTCAATATATTACAGACTGATTTGCAATCTAGACAACTGCTCTTCTCTCCAGGGCTTCTTGATCTTTCACTCTTTCGGCGGGGGTACTGGGTCTGGATTCGGTGCCTTGCTACTGGAACATATCTCCACCGAGTATGGCAAGAAAGCGAAGCTCGAATTTTCGATTTACCCATCACCCCGTGTCTCCACAGCAGTCGTGGAGCCTTACAATGCTGTTCTTTCCACCCACAGTACCATTAATTACTCCGACTGTACGTTCTTGGTCGACAACGAAGCTGTCTACGATATTTGCCGGCGAAACCTAGATATTCCTCGCCCTGGGTTTGACCACCTAAACCGCCTCATCGCGCAGGTCGTTAGCTCAATCACCACGAGCCTGCGCTTTGATGGCGCCCTGAATGTGGACTTGGCCGAGTTCCAGACTAACCTAGTTCCATATCCACGTATTCATTATCCACTGATCTCTTACGCCCCGGTCATCTCAAGTAGCCGCAGCTCGCATGAGAGTCACAGAGTGCAAGACATCACCTTCCAATGTATGTCTTCTCTCTGCAGTTCCATACCAAATAATTGCAGGTTTAGATTGACTATGGCCCAGGTTTTGAACCGAACAACCAGATGGTGGTTTGCAACCCTCAAAATGGCAAATATATGGCAGTTTGCTTGCTGTACCGCGGAGATGTCGTGCCGCGCGACTGCACACAGGCCGTGGCCGCCTTGAAGGCCAAAGCATCCTTCAACCTCGTCGAGTGGTGTCCTACTGGTTTCAAGCTGGGTATCAACTATCAAAAGCCTATGCGTGTTGCAGGAAGTGAACTCGCGCCAGTCGACCGATCCGTCAGCATGCTTTCTAACACTACCGCGATTGCTGAAGCCTGGAGTCGGTTGGACCACAAGTTTGATCTAATGTACTCGAAGCGCGCCTTCGTGCACTGGTATGTTGGTGAGGGTATGGAGGAAGGGGAATTCTCAGAAGCCCGTGAGGATCTTGCTGCTTTGGAGAAGGATTATGAAGAAGTTGCAAGCGATACGATTGAGGAAGAGGTTGGCGTTGAGTACTAAAACGGCCCGTGACCTCTTGATTTCCCTGAGTGCACATCGTGTATGTCTTGAACTTGTCCGAGTATACGCTCCCCATGATCTTTCTTTCCACAACAACCCAAGCTTTTCCGTTCATACCACTTCGGCGTTCCTGGCATTCTTTGAATGATTACAAGCTGCAGGTTATTCTTATTTCTTTGATTTCAGATATGAATGATCATTGTTTTATCTAACCCATTACCCAAGATCTAAAAATAATCAATTACCCAGTCGCCTCCAAAGAACGCCTGCCCATCGCTGAATATAGAAAAGACGACATTGATGTGAATCGGTGATGTCTCAACTCAATGCTGCTAGATCCATTTCCTGGAGCAATCTCAATACCCGCTCGTAGGTCCACATGGTCACCGCGCTCGCGGGCGCTGCCTTTAGCAAGCTGACTGTCAGTCCTCGGTACAGTCCTCGCACGCCCTGCGTTTTCAAGATGAGAGATATTGATCGCACCACCCCGTTATATTCCGGAATGTTTCGATGGACATATCGTGTCCGTGTTGGACCTTGTACTTGTAGGCGTTTGCGGACGAGGTCCAGCGGAAAAACGCCCGTTTTCGCAATCACACTGGCCAATACACCAGCTGCAGCGTCACCAGTGCCAAATGGTAAGGACTCCCACTTGCTCATTGTCGGCCTGAACCCTTCATATGCCGTGAAGAACAACCCCATGTATGGTACAATCTGTGCCACGGCCGCTGAACAGCCTCGAAAGAAACCCGCGGGGCCCTCCTGCCGTGCGATCTCAACTACTGAGGCCCGTAAAGATCCATAGATTCGGTCCGTCCCTTGAGCTGCGAAACGTGTACGTAGGAGATCGAGAGGGTATGTGGTAGCCGTAGCAATTCCACCAGCGACGGCACCAGCGGCGAAGGATTCGGCGGACGGCGGGAGGCGGTAGGGGCCCAATTCAGCCAGGGCTTGGGTGGTTGCTCGGTAGACAGTGAACTGAAGGGCCCCGTAGCAGACATACATCATCTCGGCAGGGATGTTGCCCTTCCATAGTCCCTATTCCCCAGCTTTCGTTAGCTTGTCCCACTCCCGCACTGCAATCTCTGGGTCCGAGTGGACTCCGCAACAACGTATCAATCGAGTACATACCGCGATGCCTTCCTGCCGGACGATATTTCCCATTGTCGACAATGTGCCTTTGTAAACAGGCCCGACAACCGTGCGATGCGATGCCGGGTCTGATAGCGAATGGATCTGCAGCTGCAGGCGGATCTTGACGACATCCAGCGGCGCAATGCAGAAGCGCGAGATCAGCCCGGCGGTCCCGCCAGCCAGTACCACTTGTCGCTTGGTGCCCTCATCTTTGAGATGCTCGCCCCCGGCCGACATATCTGGATAAGCTAGGGGATTAGGAACAGAAGGAAGCCATGGCAGATTGCTGTTTGTTATTATTTTTTTTTTTCTCCGGGGGCGAATGGAATGGGTATCCGCGGTGATTTACGTAAGGTCGGCACGCAGTACCTTGACACCTTGTAATTTAGGCCAAAATAAAGGACTCAGCCGCCAGAGACGGCAGGCGGTACAGTACGTTTAGACCTCGGCTTACAGTGGCTCTTACAGTCGGATACCGTCCCCGAGTCACCGCGGTTACCGTACTCCGGACTAGCGGAGTATGGGGTCGAGGGGCATCACATGTCCCCGTTGGCACTTTTCCTTTCTTTTTCTTCACCCATTGTGAGATCGCCTGCTTCATACCTAGTCTATCAATGCGATTATCTCTGCTTGCCTTCAGACAGCTTACGCGGAACCGAACAGTGTCTGTTCCGCGGGGGTTTGTCACTTCCACAAGATGGCTGCATCCCGGAGATTCGCAGATGACAAACCTTTTGTATAAAGCTACTGAGTTCAATGCGATTGATCCCGAACAGTCGAATGATCAAGGTGGATCCTTTGTAGAGGTCCACAAATTGAAACATTCATCCCCCGACAACCAGCTCGATTCCACAACCCATTTGGAGTTTGTGAGGCCGGCTCAAGCATGGCTTCATGGAGACAGCATTAAGCTATATTCCCCGACGCGTGGCTCGCTAAAGCGATCCTACTTCTACCTACGTGACCTGTGCCAGTGCCCTCAATGTAAAGATCCACACTCGAAGCAACGCTCTTTCCGCACCAGTGACATTCCCGATAACATTCAGGCACGGTCGGTGCGATGGGATGGCGGGGATCTCGAGATTCAATGGAGAAACGATATCCCTGGATACGATGCAGAGCATACATCTCGATGGAACATTAACTTTCTGAAACGCCCTGCGACACTCACACACGACCATCAATCGCCCAACATGAAGCCTATGCACTGGTCCGGCCGGTCAATGGACCACCTGCAGCACTGGGTTCCATACAACGATTACATGCATGATGATGCCACTTTCACCGCAGCAATGCGAAACCTTTCTCGCCTTGGCCTAATTTTCGTCAAGGACGTTCCCGATTCTCGCGAGATGGTGGAGCAGATTGCCACACGTATGGGGCCACTCCGAAATACATTTTACGGCGCAACTTGGGATGTGCGTACTGTGCCGCAAGCCAAAAATGTTGCCTATACAAACCAGCATTTGGGCTTTCATATGGACTTAATGTATATGAATGAGCCCCCGGGCTATCAACTGCTTCACTGTCTACAAAACTCGTGTGAGGGCGGCGAATCGCTCTTTGCCGACACATTCCGCGCGGCGGATATCATGAAGAAGCAATACCCTGACGAGTTCAGGATGCTCGCACAACGACACTTCAGCTTTGAGTATGCGCACAAAGAGCACAAGTATCATAACACCCGGCCGCTATTCGATCTGGACGCAAAGACCAAAAAGATACGCTATGTTAACTACTCCCCGCCTTTCCAGGGCCCTCTTCCGCATTACGGAACTAAAGACACTGAAGGAGCTGTTGGCCCCCGCTCCGTCAGTATAAGGATTTGACGCGAAGTCTGGGTCTTTTCACCAAACTGATTGAGGAAGAAGGCTCTATTTTCCAGTTGAAGTTGAACCCAGGCGAGTGTGTGATTTTCAATAATCGCAGGGTCGTCCATGCTCGCAATAAATTCAATACCTTGGAAGGGTCGCGTTGGTTGGCCGGTGCCTATGTGGATGAAGACGCACTTTTGTCGAAGTATGCAGTGAGCTCGAAAGCTCACTGGCTTACCTGGAAGGCGTCCGATCCTTACAAGTTCCATCATCAGAAAAAGAAGGACTTTGCTGCAACCGGGTCGAATAGCACCGCAGCAAGATTGACTGACGAGAACGCCCCACTGGGCTTCGCGGCTGACGACTATGCTGGAGCCTCTCGATGATAGACCTCAAACTGCGGAGATCTATATGCATCCTCCCGCTATGCATTTGGTTGGTGAAATATGGATAGACATCTACATCCTAGCCGTTGTATCCTATTATCTGCCATGTTTCCCGTCATCGAGCCAGGAACAGAATATCTCGAGCGCGGTGGCGAATATTTTCAGCATACATGCTTGAGAGTTCCCATACGTATAGTGAGATTTAAAATTCACCGGGGCTTCATTACTCGCAGCGTCCAATTTACGTAGATGGATGGCGGCGTCAGCTGTTCTAAATGAAAGGTTACAGAATTGGAAAATTGAGATTTTATCATATCGAAGAAAAACGTATATTATCATGATGGATTTTTGGAATGTCCGGGCCAGGGCGAGTCATGGGTATAATGAAGGGACCGGTCGTCTAAGGCTTGCTAACCGAGAACTTGTCCAGGAAGCTAGGGTCATTTTCGATCTCCTCACGCACCTAGCCAGATGGATTAGTAATTAGTTTGAGGCGATTGGGAGCAAGAGGGAACATACAATATCCAGACCACCAACCAGCTCTCCCTCGACCCACAGCTGTGGGAATGTGGGCCACTCAGCGTACTCTTTTAGGCCTTGCCGAACGTCCTCATCGGCCAGAATATTGAAGAAACCGTACTTAACGCTGCGTTCGCGGAGAATGCCAACAAGTTGCCGGCTGAAGCCACACTGCGGCGAGCTAGGAGTACCCTTCATGAACAGCATGACAGAAGCAGCCTTGGTAAGCTCGTCCAGCCTCGCCCACAGAGCCTCCTTAGACTGCTCCGGAGTAAGAGCAGGGGCAGATGCAACAGCAGTGGCATTGGCAGCGGGCCCGGGGGCACCTTGTGCGATAACAGGAGGCTGTGTTGCAACGTCAGGCCCGTTCTCACGGGGCGTAGCCGCGAGAGCGACGGGGATATTAGCTCTGCCGGCCCCGTCGGCGGACGCCGCACCGCCGGCATGGCGCTCGATGGCGGTGCGGACCTTCACAGCATCACTTCCGCTGATCTCTTCAAGTTTCTGTCCATTGCGCATAAGAACAACGAAGGGCACCGCAGTGACGTCGAAATCCTCCGAGACATCAGGCAGCTCCTCTGCGTTGATGCTGACAAACGAGATTGAGGGCGGGGAGGTAGCGGGGTACTGTCCGGCGATGGCTTCGAGGACTGTTCGCATCTGCGCGCATGGCGCAGCCCATGGAGCGTGGAAGTAGAGGACGATCAGGGTAGAAGATGAGAGCGACGACAAGAAGGGCGCGAAGTGGTCCTCCGAGGGGATTTCGGTGAGGGCCGACATGGTGGTGGGGGGTACGTAGGGCGATGAGATAGGGAGTCCGAGGTCGGAGGGAGGGCACAAGTAAAAGAGACAGCCAGCGGCAGTAAGAAGTGTTCTGTTTGTTGTTCAGTAGGTTTTAGTCGAGGCCAACTCGCTCTCGGGCGCAAGCAATGGATGCTGTGATGCGTTCTATAGAGGGGGTTGAAGATCGATGGCGTGACGAGGGCGAATTTTCCGGCGATCGTCCGTTATCAGATCGTGTGGGCGTGACTGGTATTTACACGTTCCGTAAACTTACGAGAGAATAATTTGTCTTATCGCGCGCTTATCTGATATCTACACGTGACTCCTTGCCGGATTCTTCGAGGATTTGCGAACATTGCTTGGACCTCGTCATAGCTCAAGATGGCCGGACATCATAAGCGAAAGCGATCTGATGATGACCCTGACCCTGTTGCCGAGATTCATTCGAACAATATCGGTGTTGCGGAGACGCTATCACGACTCAAGCATGCCTCTCCTACCGATTCACACCTGAACTGCCCCGACGCTGCGAAGGGCTCCAACAACCTCCCGCAACGCAACCCGAAGAAGAAGCGTGTAGATGGCGAGAAGACGAAATATCCGTCCTTGACGTATGTTGATGGCAAATTGCAGTCCTCCATCCGCATTGCCGATTTACAGAGTCTGCTGCTTTACTGTTTTGCCGATGGGATTTCGCCGCAATGGATCTCCATCAAGCACTCCGGACACATGCGCAAGGCCGTATTCTTGATGGTTCCGGGACTAGAGCTGGGCATGTTTGACGGTTCGATCCCATTGGATTCACAATATGCCACTAAGACTTCCGTGGATGCGGAAAACCCCGAGGAAATGGATGAAATACGGGAAGACGCAGAGAATTCCACAAAAAAAGCCGACTTTGAACGATGGAAGCAAGGCCTACCTCTCGAGGACCGCTCGCATCGGTTCAACCCACGCGCACTTTCACGCGATACACTCCCTGTTCCTTTGCAGCCATTGGCTGACATCTTTCCCCACGTGTGGCCAGTTCGAGCCCCAGGGGACGGGAAATACAACAAAGTGCATTCTCCACTGCAGGCCATTTTGTTATCTTCATTGCCGAAATCGAAAGACGATAGTGGTCGTGGAAAAGGCGCAAGGCCTCCCAAAGTGGGCAAAAACTTTGTGCCAAAACGAACCCCTATCACCACATTTTTAAGTTCCTTCGAGGATCAGCGTGAACACGATTATGTTGTTCATCCGGCTTTTTTTACCGCAGATGGAGATAAATCTGCTCAAGTTGAATCTCGTCGTCGTGCGAAGCAATCCGCAGATCATGGTTGGGTTGATACCTTAGTTCCGACATTGGAGGACGGTATCGTCCCCGAGAATGAAATCGAACAGGGCAGCATGACCGCCGGTCGGAATATTCTGTCTCTGGATTGTGAGATGTGCCTGTCAGAAGGTGGCCAGTCAGAGCTCACACGGATTAGCATGGTCGGGTGGGACGGTGAAGTGGTTCTTGATGAACTGGTGAAGCCAGCGCGCCCGATTACCGACTACCTGACCCGTTTCTCAGGAATCACCAAGGAGATGCTGGATCCTGTTACAACTACTCTGGAGGACATCCAGACACGATTGCTCACGATTCTCACTCCTCGATCGATACTTGTCGGACACTCTTTGAATTCCGACCTCACAGCATTGAAAATCACGCACCCTTTCATCGTCGATACTGCCATGATTTACCCGCATCCTCGCGGCCCTCCGCTCAAATGCAGTCTTAAATGGCTCACTCAAAAGTACCTTAATAAAGAGATCCAAAAAGGCATGACTGGCCATGACTCGGTTGAGGATGCTCGAGCCGTCTTGGAGCTTGTCAAGCTGAAATGCGAGAAAGGCGAGCTTTGGGGCACCAGCGACGCTTCGAATGAGAGTATTTTCCGAAGATTGGCTCGGTCCACAAAGTTTGGTAAAGCTGCGATCCCTGGAGAGGGACGAACTGGCGCCGTCGTTGACTGGGGTAACCCTGAGCGCGGGTACGGTTCTCAGGCAACAGTATCCGTCGGATGTAGTGACGACAACGCCGTTGTGAAAGGGGTATCCGCAGTTGTCAAAGGTGACGAATCCAACCCGGCCATTCCAGGATCTGGCGTGGATTTTACTTGGGCACGTCTCCGCAATCTCGAAATTGTCCGAGAATGGTGCACCCGTCTTCCGGATGCCAGCAATGCCAATGAATCTACTACACTCGCCCCGCCACCTGAAGAATCTACTCCGGCTGTCGGAAACGGCAACGGCTCTCTTTCGCCGGCGCATGAGACAAGTCTCTCGGATGCTCTTACCCAGACCGTGTCTGATATTTCTCGCATTTACGAGTCCTTACCACCTTGTACTCTATTTGTCGTGTACTCTGGCACTGGTGATCCGCGGGAGGTCAGCCGGCTTCAAGCAATGCATAAGAAATATCGCGAGGAGTTCAATGCCCGTACGCCCTGGGACGAGCTAACCGTGAAGTGGACAGATGTCGAGGAGCAGGCGCTCAAGGGGGGCATGCGAGCGAGCTCGAGAGGGATGCGGCTTTATGGTTGTTAAATAGCTTTGACATAGTCAAGAAGTATACAGGCCTCTAGAGAATCGAACATACGGCATTAAACTAGCATCCTATCTTCTACTGTCATCCTTCTTTAATTTTATTTGCAAAAGTATGAGCGAAGCGCGTAAAAATACAATAAGCTCCCGCTCCTTGGTGTTGATTTGACGGTTTTAGTGCCAAATCCTAACAGATAAATGACATTGATGGAAACAGCAATACAGATCACTCCAGGTCAAATCTTCGTGGAGAGGATCTCATGTCAACTTCTTATGGTATTTGTCCGAATTATACGTTGTGCACAACCTGCCTAACAAAACTGATAGGAAAAGGCCGGATATAATCTAGGTAGGACCTGGGAATCCATTGGCACTGTGACTGGTAACTGATGACCTATTCTGATCAACCTACATGTATTTAATTCCCTTGTACTTCTAGTCTTCCAGATCCTTTGGTCCGGAATGGTATTTTGCCGGGGCATGTCATTGATGTACCTTCTTCCTTTGTGCGCGAAAGTCATCCATCTTTCTGTTGTAGTGGGGAAAGGGCCAACGATCGGTGATCTCTGATTGGAGGGTATCTTTCCTAGTACACGGTCTTTACAATATATAGCTTCTCATCTCCGATAGGGAGAGAATCAAGTTTGACCCAGCTTTCACTGCAATAGCTTCTGCTTCCTTTGAGAGGCCTTCCTTCATCGTGGTGTTTGGTGGTTTGTTGATCTGTTCGTTGATCCATCACATCCTGCCTGCATTTCAGTCTTGCTGTAGAGCGCCCTGGTTCACGGTGTAGCCCCACTTCATTAGCTTGTCATCGGCTCCAGCCAATTAGTACATGAACTAGTACTCTAGGAAGCACTAGTTCTTGGACCTTGTACACCATACCATGTACAGAATTTAGCCCCCACTACAGTAGCTTTGCTTCATCCTAGTCATCCTTGAGCCCTGTCTCGTCACCCTTCTAGGTAAAGATCTCATCGTTTCTCTGCGTCGGCGTGGTACTCAGTCAGGCTCACCCTTGCCGAACGTAGCCTCCGAAAACCATCGGTGTCGGAATTCTATCCACTACCATGGCCTCAAATCCCATTACAGCCGCAGAGATCATCTCTGTTGTCCATGCGGCGGCAGACCTCATCCAAACCAGCTATACCTATGCCTCGGATGGCGACGGATGGACAGAATATCTGAAAGAGTTGTCTGCCTTGATTGCTCTTCTGTTTCGGATTGAACATGCAGTTCTTGACATGGATATCACAGAGCTTCTGCCATCGCATTCAAATTCCATGGATCAAAATTTCTTGAGCGATATCCATGCTCAATTTGTTCGTATGCATTCGAAGTTGCAGGTATTGAACGCAGACAATCTTGCTTTCCAGATTTCGGAATGGCAAGAAGATATCGAGGCGCTTCGCAAGCTTCAAACAGCCTTTTCCGACCTTATTTCTTCCTCTGTGATGTGGTATGTGACCAGTTCTCTATCCAACGCCGTCCTATAGCACTACTAACTACTAGCTATGCATAGCAGTGTCTCGACGAGCGAGGCGCCAGAGGTCCGAATTTCTCGAATGGCAGCTACAGAAGTAATTTCTGATATCCAAGAATGGAGCCCATTATTTGGAGCATGCTTCACTGGCGATCTCGACCGCGTCCGACAGCTACTTTCCAGCAACGAGAACTATCATATCCACACCAAATTCGGTTGGACGGTTCTACATTGGGCCATTATTGGGGAAAGCCTAGAGGTTGTTCAAGAAATCTTTGAGCATCATGCGCAGTCCCACGACCTTGTCAATCCCATCCGCCGAATGAAAGCGACCGAGCTGCTATCCTACTTTCAGGCCGTCCTTCCTGTGACCCTTGCTATGAAAGTGCAGCACATCGATATATTTAACTTGGTGGTGCAGCACCTCGAGAATCCAGACGGACACAAGGAGGTGCTGTTGAACAGGGTCTGGGGGGAGGGGGAATATAAGGTCAAAATCTACGGATTGCCCAGCAACCCGTGGAGATCAATGACTAGGTGGGGACGCGTCCACTGTTTTAGGCTACAGAGCTTGATTCCTGGCACACATATTCCCACAACCAATCCGGAAGCGATCCAGTCCCGCCCTGTCGAATGGATCAAATGGACATCTAGCCTGCTGCGTGACGCGATTCGCGACCAGAAGTTCTCCATGGTTCAGATGTTGATCAGAGCCGGCACAGATGTGAATTACGGTTACAGATTGCATGAGGCGTCCCTCCGCGAGGACCCTCGCTACGTGAAGGTCTTGCTGGCAGGTGGCGCAGACCCACGGGTGATAAATAAGATTACAGGGCGAACGGCCCTGAGCGAAGCTATTCTCAATGGGTTTGTTGAGACTGCCGCGGCTCTCATCGACGGCGGCGCCGATGTGAACCACGCACTGTGTCCTCCTAGCAGTGGAGATCGGGTGGGATATATAGAACGGCTTAGTATCAGAGGACATTACATCGAGCTGGGAAATCAGGGGGCTACATCTCTGATGTTGGCCTGTGGCTTTCACTTCTATCAGGAACGGCAGGTTACCAAAACGAACGCTATCGGCGCACCGCAGCCCCCGGAAACCGCCCTGGAGCTCTTCCGTCTCTTACTGGCGCGAGGTGCCGATCCTACCATGACAGACTCCCAGGGCAGGACCGTTCTACATTACGCAGCATTGAGACCATCCTCGAAACTGATCGAATTGCTGGTCGAGTCGGGCTGTTTGATCGAGGCGGTTGACCGAGAAGGCCGCACTCCGCTCCAATATCTGGCCCTCTGTAACGAAGAGAGATACGAGACCGATGAGCTCGAAAAGGCTGCCCGGTTGCTTTCTGGTCACCAATCCTCTTCGCTGCTGGCCAAGGATCTTCTCAATCACCCAGTCCTCCGGCCGGTAGCCTCAGAAGAAGACGGCGACTCCGAGGACCTCCAACCTCCATTCAAGAAAGCGCGCTATTCTCACTTGCTACCGGTTGTCCGACAAAGTAATGGCATCTCCTGTGACGAGGAAAAGAATGACGAAGCACGCACTCCCATTCTGTCCGCACTGCTGGCGAAACGATGGAAGGTAGTTCGCATCTTGGCCGACTTAGGAGCGACCCGCCCGTCCAAACTGGACCTGGAAGCGACGCCTATTCTCGATCAGGTCATCGAGGCGCTGGAACCTCAGATCCTTGACTTGATTCTTGGCCAGGGCATTATCCCGTCTGCTGGCTCAATTTTTGCCCTTGTGCAGTCATTCATTTCCCACCGCCTCGATCCAAAGGCAGCTGAGGATACAAATCATACAGATCTCTACGCCAAGTTCCATCATATGCTCGCCGCTCTCGTATCGGGCGGAGCTGATATCAACTATCGCGAGACCAGTGAGGAGGCGGTCACAGGAACGACGCCGATGGTTCTCGCGGCCACAATTCCTGGATCTCGTCAGATTCTCCCGGCTCTCCTGGCCTCCGGTGGGGATCTCTATGCGCCGTCGACGCAGTACTTTGACGCTCTCCGCGCCGCTATGGTATATGGAGAGCCGGCGGATCTATCGTTCCTCGTGGCTCACGCTCTTCGGCATCCGAATACCTCGCATTGGTCCCACCAGCTGGCCCAGACCCCAGAGGAAGATAATCTGCTGGCGCAGATCTGCAGCTGTCTCCACGACGCTGGTCTCCTCGACAGCACCAACCATCACGGCCGCACCCTCCTGCACCTGGCCGCCGAGCAAGATCACACCTCGCTCCTCGCCGCCCTCCTCATCCACAACGCCAGCCCTAACATCCGAGACCAGGAGGACTATCTCGCGCTCCATCGCGCCGGCTTCGCCAAACACGCCCAAGCATTCACGCAGCTCCTCCCTTCCTCTCTTCTCTCCTCCTCGTCCTCCTCCCTCCTCGACCTCCTCCTCTCCCCCGTTGACAAGAAAGACCGAGTCAACCTCATCGACCACGCCTTCCTCCACCGCGCCACCCCCTTCATCACCACCCTCCTGCAACACGGCCTCTCCCCCAACCACACCGTCCACTTTTGCCACTCCGATCCCAAACCCGCCCTCTACTTCGCAGCCTCCCGCAACGCCCACGATCTCGTCACCCTCCTCCTCGACTCCGGCGCCGACCCCAACGCCCCCGACCCGTTCGGCTGGCAGCCCCTCCATGTCGCCAGCCTCCACGGCTACTCTGCCATCTTCTCCGCCCTCCTCGCCGCCGGCGCCGACATCCACGCGCACACCAGGAGTTGGAACACCTCCGCTACGAGACCCACAGGTCTCTACGCTGGCAACGCCTGGCATGGCACCCCGCTCCACCTCGCCGCCATGGGTGGCCATGTTGGCCTCGTCACGACCCTGCTCGCGCGCGGCGCAGACGTCCACGCTGAGACTGGGACCGGCAGGATGGGTCTGTACTTCATGCCGGGCCACGGGCCGACTGCGCTGCATCTCGCGCTGGACACGGACACGTTCTACGGGCGGCCGAATGCAGAAGAAGGGGGGGCGGGTGCAGGTTGCGGGGATCTTGGTGAGTGCGGGGGCGCGCGCGAGGGGGTTGTTGGGGCATCCCAAGCTGAGTAGGGCGGTGGAGTTGGCGAAGGTGCCGGGATTGTGGGATGCGCTGGTGGAGGCGGAGGTGGAGGCCAGGTGGGATTGTGATCTGATGTTGGAGCTGTAGAAGGAGGAAGAGTCAGAGTCAGTAGAATGACCGAAGCATGCTGAAAGATAGTCTGGAACATATCCAGGAGCTTCAAAATCTGGGTTGAGATCATAATGACCTTCTAGTACGAAGAAGGTACCTCAACAGTTTCCGATTATAGGGGGAAAAGAGTGCAAGGAGTAATAAAAAAAGAGAGCGATGAGTACTGTACAAACTGTATATACTTGCCATGATAGAGGCAGGCTGCTAAGAATTCGGCCTGCTCCCTTGATTGGTAACTATAAGTTGGACGTAGTGACGGCTACAAGTACAAGAAGCAGTAAGAGTAGGTGTGTAGGTATAGGGAGGTAGAAGCGATATCTAGTGATTCGGATCTGTTGATACGATAAAATAGCAGGCTAGGAGACCAATAACTCAGAGCTCGCTAACACGAGCCCTCTATGGAAAGGGAGATAAACTATGTGTGAGATACGAAGAAGCGTATTATATGAGTAAAAAGGTGTTTGGGTGCGGGGGCGGGCGGGCGGGGAGATTCTGTCACTATATAACCTTATCGGTTAATCCACAACATGAAGGCCGGCCGGTAGCTTATTCCGTTTCCCGTATGCCCGCATACTAGATAGGTTGCTGAGACTATTAAGCTATATATCATGGTGTGGTGTCCCAGGCTACTGCCGGGACTGCTGCGAGATACGGGACTGCTGCGAGCTCTAGGACCGCGGGGGCGGTGATCCCTTTCGTTTTGCTATTTCCTTTGTTTGTATTTGCTTCAATCTTTTCGTTCCAATCGCTGATTGGCCTTATGTTACGGACAACACTTCTCATACGCCCTAGGCTGGAAACCAGAAGGTGCAAATCCCTACATATCACCTTGTAAATAGAGGTAGCTCCAACAGGAGTAAGAAAATTGATTGATTGCAATTCATCAGCTATCCTTGCAGTACACAAACGAATAAGATACTTGCGTATTGGACTCATCTAAGCCGAGTCGATCTTCGAACATGGGCTATCTACATTGTGCCATGGAGATGCTCTACCTCAATATTGAGGAGTGTGCTGGTAAGACCGATAGATATTTAGCGCATATATCATGATTCGTCCAGATTGCAAGACGGCTTGAATGAAAAAGATGATACGAACGATCAAGGAGCCTTTCCCGTCGCCGATTTTTACCCTGGCCCGGGCCATGTCCGAGCGCAGCCACTGGCGGTGGTGGCAAGAATTTAGTCGACTGTAAAAGGATTTTCAGCTTAGCTTCATCAATTCTCGTGTCATGATTCCACATTCCCCTCACCCTGAATGAAAAGGTTTACGTATGCGGGGTTTTGGGGTTTAAGTTCAAGGACGGTCGTTATCTATTCATATATCGGGTGTTATCTCAGAGGAACTCCTATCGGGTGGGAAGCCGATTCTGATGATGGGCTTGACATCTTGAGTATGGTCTTATCCTCATCCCTCCAGAAATGTTTATCCTTTCGGGTTCCTCCCCGTAGCGTAACCAGGAAAATGCCCTGGGGTCCGTGACAGTCAGACGGTACCGCGGTATCGCAAGTCAAGGCTTTCCGGGCGATGCCACGCGAGGCCTGCGCCAGGATGCGGAGATACGGGGTCTCCTATTGGTGCATCACTGACCCTAGTAAGGTTTAGTCTGTTTAGATCCAAGCCTAATAAGGATCAAACACAAATGAAAGCACCGAGTCCTTGTTACTGGTTGATAACACGGCCTCTCGGGCACAGTTTGAGTGCAGGGGGGTCTTGGAGACCTCCCGCGTCTGGGCGCCATGGTATACCAGAATTTTAGGCTTTATTTAAATTGACGCCATGCCAGCTTAAAATGATATTATCATCTCTTTCTTTGTGTTCATTGCGCATCTTCGATTGGAGAAGAGAAAACACTCGTCATGGATTCACACGCAAAAAAACAGTACGAGACAGGCTATGAGGATAAAGGCCCTGACTCTGCAGGTAACAGTCAGGATGGCGAGAACATCGCAACTGTCATTGATAATAGTGACCAGCTCAAGCGACGACTAGGCAACCGCCAGATTCAGCTCATTGCCATCGGAGGGTCCATCGGAACGGCGACATTCGTGAGCATCAGCTCTGGCTTGATGAAAGGTGGACCGGGAAGCTTATTTCTAGCGTATACCATTTACTCATGTATGATGGGTTTAGTGAACAATTGCATGGCAGAGATGGCAGTTTTCATGCCCATCAGTGGAGCATTCATACGCATGGCCGGTCATTGGGTTGATGAAGCGTTTGGCTTTTGGGCAGGTTGGAACTTTTTCATCTACGAGGCGCTCCTCATCCCTTTCGAAATTACGGCACTGAATTTGGTCTTGACATTTTGGCGGGATGATATCCCCGTTGAAGCTGTGGTAGCTGCGTGTATTGTGATTTATTTGTATGCTGCTTAAGCCCTCTTCATTCGTCAGGCGCACCAAGCTAACCGGTATTTTGATAGTGTACTAAACGCCTTCACTGTTAAATGGTATGGCGAAGCAGAATTCTGGCTTGCGACCGGGAAGGTCCTTCTAATTCTTATCGTTTTTCTTTTCACCTTCATATCGATGGTTGGCGGAAATCCCAAACATGATGCCTATGGATTCCGCTATTGGAATAATCCAGGTTCATTCGCCGAGTATATTACAACTGGCTCTCTAGGGCGGTTTGAAGGCTTTCTGGGCGCAGTATGGAGTGCATCGTTCACTATTGTTGGACCAGAATACATGTCTATGGTAGCTGGTGAAACAAAGCTCCCAAGACGGTATTTGAAGACCGCTTTCAAGACCACTTATGCTCGATTTGCCTTTTTCTTCATAGGAAGTGCATTGTGCGTCGGCATCGTTATTCCATACAACGATAAGACATTGCTCGATATCATGAGCGGATCATCCAGCGGCTCTGGTACTGCATCAGCTTCTCCATACGTTATTGCTATGAATCATCTCGGAATCACTGTTCTGCCACACATCACAAATGCTCTGCTAGTCACAAGCATATTCTCAGCCGGAAACGCATATACTTACTACGGTACACGCAGTCTTTATGGCCTTGCCTTACAAGGTCAGGCACCCAAAATTCTATCCCGATGTACCAAAGCTGGAGTCCCGATATATTGCTTGTGCATTGTTATAGTATTCCCTTTTCTCGCATTCCTCAATGTATCTAGTGGCGCTGCTCAAGTTCTGACCTGGCTTACAAACATCATCACTGCGGCACAGGTCATTGACTATATCGTCATCTGTGTCACATACATATTCTTCTACCGTGCTTGCCATGCGCAAGGCATCGAGAGGCGAACTCTCCCCTACTATGGATACTTCCAACCATACTCTGCTTGGATCAGCCTCGTATGGATGACATGTGTGGTATGCTGCTATGGATATTCGACTTTCTTACCGGGCAATTGGAGTGTTGGTGACTTCTTCACTTATTACACTATGGTTTTGGTTGCACCGGTGCTCTTCTTCGGTTGGAAGATTGTCAAACGCACGAAATTCGTGAAGCCACATGAGGCAGATCTAATTTGGGACAGACCTATTATCGATGCCTACGAGGCCACCTTTACCGAGTATGCTCCAGGGTTCTGGACTGAGATCTTGCAAATGTTTGGATTGCGCAGAAACAGGAAAGAGAGGCAGAATATCTCCTGATACTGTTGCGGCAAATTAATTACTCGTCATTTTGAACACTTTGAATTCTCTAATCAAGATTTGAGGTTTATTAAATTTGGATATATCAGGCATAGATATCCTATCCTGCTTGTAAATCGTTCCTCAATCGTTGTAAGGCAAATCAAAACAAGGCCCATCATTATTTCGACTCGTGGAGCCTTTCTCGGTTTTCGGCCGCGACATCTCCCGTCGAATAATGCCCATGACCTCCTCCTGATCGGCTAGGGAAGTCACAGTACCACGCCGCGGCCTTTGTGTTTCATCCTGCTCACTGCCAGAAGTGGCAATTTCCGGGAGAGTTTCCCCCGTCTCCTCTCTGGCGAGTCTATTTTCTTGTTGTTCCATGATAGCCGCCATGACACGTTCTTGATAAACCTTCTCGTCGGTTTCCTGTTTCAAAACAGCGTAATGCGAACGTCGATAAACACCAACTGTACTCAACACGAGTCCACATATCTCATATGCAAAGAGGACCGGGAGCGCATAATCAAGCTGCGGGTTGCATCCACCAGACCAGATATCGATCAGGACCTGGAAAATGCTATGCGCAGGCAACGCATAGCCCCAATGGTAGAAGCCAGGAGAGAGCTCAAATGGCAAAAGGATAGACGTAACATTTAACACAATCCAGGAGATCAGCGCCATAGGTACAAATGGCGGAGAAATCCAGATGGTGAAAACATCCAGGACTAAGAAGTTGAGATGGGCAAATAACCACAGGGCCATCCAAGTTAAGACAAATTGGTTGCCATTGACATGCCAGCCATGCCGGAAAGCCCATATGGCGCCAGTGGTGCACAGAGATCCGACAAACGTATAGGTTCCCGAAATCATTTGACGCACGATTGCAACACGATGGGGGTGTACGTTGACGTAGAGCTTGAACTGTAGGTAAAGCCCGTTGACATACCCTAGGTAAAAGAATTCTTGAATAAGAATCAGAATAATGACCAGAGTATTATATATCAGACGTGAGCCTTGTGAAGTTGGCTGAATATTATCCGATGCTAGAATCCACGGATCCGAAAACACTCCCAGGGCAGCCGAGTCGGAGCTATTCAAAGCTTGGATAGTCTTTTGACCGTTGGACTTCATGTAAATGACTCGGGCGTCTTGTGATAGCTTTGTTAAGGTATCATAGATAGCCGAATCCACCACGGTCGAATAGCGTGCTTCATTCCACACCAAGGTCAAGACATTGCTGGCATTGTATGTGGAAGCGGCCGATCCACCAGCTAGGGCGGCTATCAAGTGGTCGGATGAATTGGGTGACACGTATAAAGCACCCCAATATTTGATTTTGCATACTGCATGAGTAATTGAACTAGGCTCGGGGTACGTTGATGCAGGATATTCAACCAATGTTGGGAAATCAGGTCCTTTTACTTGCTGATAAGCATTGCGAACAGCTGTCCCTATGGCACCTCCATCGTAGTCCACAAATAAGACGTTGAGATTGTGAACGTGGGTGTTTTGTTGAAATAAGGAACCAAAAATATAGCAGAAAAGTCCCAAGAAGAGAAATTGAAGAGCAAGAAGATTGATGGTCGCCGCTTTCAGCAGCCCCAATCGTAGTGGTCTTACGGAGGGATCATTAATGCTTGGGCGTGGTTGTCGCGCCTTCGAATAGAAGTGCATTGGCTCTGTATCCCACACCGAAGCTTAGAGAAGCTCCGAGTTGTGGGGAAATCAAACGACCAGCAGGAAGCAAGTTGTGACTCGAAACTCGGAATGACGCTCTTGGTTGACGAGGCAAGTGAGACTTTTGAAGCAAATTTGAGCTAATCCCGACAACAAAATTCGGTGGGGCGAGTCAGCAAGCCACTCGGCACGGATACGCGGAAGTTCAGGAAGCAGCCCGGCTGGTGAGAAGTGAGTCAATCACATTCTGGTCCATTCACAAGTCTTTTCAGACATTTGGTAAGATCAGGTTAAGCAAAAAAGGGTATGTGGTCGCCACTCCTGCTGCGGTTGAGGTTAGAAGGGGGTAGAATCTCTGGAGAAGCGTGAAGGAGTTGACGGAAGGTCAAAGCTCGGTCTAGGCCCCTCGGGCCGGTTTGGGAAAGTATGGAACCCCGAACCAGCAAACACCGAAACTGCGCTGAGCATTAAAAGTATCAGAACTTTTCAAGGCAGATATTACTGCGCTAAGATTTGCAGTCAAAAAAAACGTCTGATACCCATTGACCAGCCAGATTTTGAAAGGGTTGTTTGTTACTTTGAAATTCGCAATTTTCGGGGCACCGAGTGTCAATCGCAAGGTTTCAAAGCTCTTCAATTCATGTCCTCGTCCCCCGATTTCATCTCAAATAAGTTCTGGCGGATCGGCGGTACAGGCGGTGAGCCTATGTTCACATAATTCTAAATATGACCTGGATATGAATTGGCAATTTATGGTATCGACACTACGTGATGAATTTGATGACACATGAAATAGCCAAATGGACCGCGGTGGGAATTTACGACCGCGGGTCGAAGACAATAAATCCAACCAGCATACAAGCCACTTCTAAACCTACACCTTAGAGTTGACATCGATTCTCAAGACTGTGAGGATTATGCATTGACATCTGTTGATTGCTGCGTCCAGAAATTCAATCAGACGATTCAGTTGAGAACAAGGCCGTTGGTAAGCTGGCCACGCTCAGCATACCTGACCAACGCAGGCTTGCCTACGTGAACGCCTACGTGAACGCCTCTCGGAAAAGAAACTATTCATTAGCAATCTAATCCTCCTTGCTAAATAACTAGCGGAGATACGAAGATAATGTTGGAAAGGCAGCTCTGAAAGCAGAAGGTGCAAGTCTCTTGTCCAATATCAGGTATGTGTTTGACTTTCATAGCTCGCATGCTTTCTAATACATTCGTGTCTTTTATAAATCATTTTATCATCTATTCATACTCAAAAGGTATTCTATCTTGGGAGATGATTTGCATCCGACTCAGTTCTCAGCCAAGACAATGTAGCCTTTAGTTCAGGCCATAGGTTTTGCCTGTGAGCTTCTGCTTGCAGTAATTTGAATTCTCTCAATGACCCCGCATACTTTGAGGCGATTTAGCATCAGATACTCCGGAGGTTAATGGTGATCCATCTGAGTTGAAGTTGATCTATCAAGGAATTTTGAGCAACCCATTTATTTTCAAAGCCACAATCATCCAGAAAGTCCACAACACAAGAAGATCGGAGACTATTTGGAAGCCCTTCTGTCGAACTATAAATGACCGCTAGACCACAAAAAGCGTGAACACACCAACTTGTGCCTGTACAGCATAATACAGTATTCTTTCTGGTTGAAACCTTCCTTTACGAATGGAAACAGAGTAATTCCAATTTGTGAGCAACGGGCCTCTATGCTCGATGGTGCGGTTCAACAAATTTCTCTCTTTGTTTCTATAAATGTTATAGCCACACGGCTCTCGTTTGAATATGCCACGCGGGACTTCAGACGACAAACCCTTTTTGTCAACCCGAACCTCCTTCATAGCTGCACATATATGTTGTATGGTCTAGCAGTATTATTTTGTGATCTCTTTGATGACAGGGGCAACTTTTGATTTCTTGAAACAAAATCAAAATATCAATTCAGCGCTTGTGACTGTGCTTTTCTATTTTCTCATCATGAACGTGATCTCATATATCTCGCAGCCGAGGCTTTTGCTGGTGGAAGGGTGCTTTCATCCACCAGTGTTGCCGAAATATTACTGGTTAGCAATATCTATGCTCTCGGCACTTTCACGTGCCCAAGATCAGAATCTCTTTTCGTTGTCTAGCCTTGGTGGGAAGCTCTCTCTAACTCAATAATGATGCCTGTATATACTGTATCCACGTACATCTTAGCACCTCTTGTGGGGTCAGACCTGAATGTGGGGTCAAAGAGCAATCTGGATCTTTTAACAACCACAGACCTCCGCAGAATTGGCCATGCTGGCAACGATGAAACCAGAAAGGTTCGATTCAAGCAAATAATAATCCATGTCAAGGCCCCATTAGGCCCACCATTGTTTCTGTTGGCCTTAGTCTGCTCTAAGGCAAACCCACAATCTTGGCAAAAAGAAACCCCCGCTTTTGAGGCCCCATCCGTGCATAGGCCTAAGCGTAGGACCAGGCTACTCCGGATGTCTTGCGTGATGGGTTGGGTGAGCAACAAAGTATTGTCATTTCCCTATTATCAGTTATATATGGAAATTTATCTAAGTGTGTATCTAGGAAATCATAATTCTGTTTTTGTGTATTTACTGAAGTTTTTTTCTCTGAAAAAAAAAAACCTATCGTGTAATGTCGCACCGGGCTAGACTTGAGACTCGGGAGGTACTATCACGTTCTGTTGCAAGGGTCTTGAATGCCGGATTCGTTTCGGATGGTGTCGCGGCGGGCATAGAAGTCTGATGAATGCCTCTTCCTTGGGCTATTCAGGCGCGAGGGATCTTCTCTAGAATGACCAGCATTGCTTTGTCGCCATGCCCCTTTACGTAGTCAATAAGTTCCATGGCCGCTACTTTCACGAGCCCTTCTGCTTGTAATTTCTCAACCTCGGCCTTGAAACCGCCTGGCACCCAAATCTCTTCAAGAATTGTAGCAACAATGATACCATTATTCTTGAGAACCCGGACAAACTCTCTCAAGGCAGGGTTGGGGCCGACGTGGCCTAAGGTAAAAGTGCCCACACAGACGACAGTATCATAGGTTTCGTCCTTTGTATTGATCTGTGTTGTCAAATCTGCTTGCGCTAGTTGTCGGTATACGCCGGTCTCTCTTGCCACATCCAACATGGGTTGAGAGAGGTCAATGCCGTCGATCGCCTTTGCACCGGAGATTGCGAGTGCTTGGCCGACCAGACCCGTTCCGCAACCGGCATCCAGTATAACACTGTCAGCTGGGCTTTTGGGTGACTTGAACTTGATAGCAGCCTGGGCAACAAGGACTGGGGCAACATAATTCTGTGCCTCATCTCCGACCTCGTCATTGTATGTGGCAGCCCATTTGTCGTAGATGGACATGCATTCAGCAACGCTGGGACTGTTGCGGGCTTGGCCCAGGTATAGAGTGCTCTCGGGGATTGGGGCAGACATGTTGTAAATGGTAATGGGGAATCTTGGAAGGTGAAAGGAACCTGTCTTTGTCTGGTGAAAGGTATCTGCTGTGTTATTTGCAGTGAGTATGGTCTGATTCTGTTCCTGATGATCCAAGCGATTCCCCGTTCTTATAGGAATTTCTATATAGCTGTTAAAAGCTGCACGTAATACCATTATACCTAGAAATAGATTGATAGGATTGCGTGATGCGGGGTCGCACGCGAATCATTCCTGAACAGACCATATTCGTACATTGATGATGTCGGTGGTGGATGATCCCCGAAATGGTCCGCATCTCGCCAAGAGGCGGAAAAAGCAACTTTTCTGCAACGTCTAGACCTACCCAATGGTTCCCGTAAGAGGCTCTAGTGTGGGTTTGGATATACTTTTGGTACCCCTCTTTTTCCGCGTCATTCCTTGATTTTCTGAGCGGGTATGTTCCATCCTATGCTCTTTCAATCAAGGAGTCGTGGCAGAAACTGCAAGGACAATTGGAGGGCTGCGCGCGATTTGCGCACGGTCGAAAAGAGGGGGCATTCGCACGATTTGTTACCTGCATGAGCCTGCTGCACTTGCTTATGGGCCATTTCACTTGAAAGGTAACAAGTTTCGACTTTTGAGTTGTCAGTAATTGACTTAACACTATGCCGTGTTACTTCAGGATGGTTAGTAGAAGACGGCCCGTTTGATGTGGCATATTAAGATTCGATGCATGCCTGAGATTTAATACATAAGGTCCATTTCGGAGATCTCGATAATGCTTAAGAATGATTGTAAGATTCAACGCCACTTACGCTATATACGTACATGCGCGCAGCAAAAAGGTCTGGAAACAGAAAGGGTCCGAGAGTAAGAAACGCGTCTGTCAGAAAATGGATTCACAGACCTTTCATTTTTCAGAGGCGAGAGAAGCGCGTCCAAGAAAGAATGCTTTCCAGGCGATTCTACATGCGTTCTAGATCTCAAATGGGAGATACTTTTGCCTTTTGTGTCCTCCTGCAGAATCAGTCAAGGGATAAGATTATCCGGTGGTCCGCAAAAACAGCTCAGTAAGAGTGTCTTGATTCTCTGTTGCACCTTTTTTCTATATCCATCATGTGACGGATCTTGCGGGCTATTTATAATTATACTCGGGCTTAATTTGGTTTGTTTCGTTGATTTTTTCGAATGGCAAAAGTTTATAACCCTATAAAGTCTGATCAAGAGACCGGAAAGAGAAGGTAAATATTGTCACGCATCTGCAGGACAAAACTCCGAAGATCCCGGTGACCCCAGATGAAAATTTTTGTGCAGGAGATGAATTTGGGCTTTGGCAGATAGTTGACAATTGAATGTTGGTCAATAAACATCTGAGAATTTGCCAAGACCCAATCATTATTCTAATTTATCGGAGAGGCTGTAGTGAAAAGTAACCATCTCTAATTTATTAAACAAATCCTTGATATTCAAGCCGCCCCTAGTATTGTTCCAGAAGTATCAAGATGCACCTTAGAATTCAAAATTCCACCTAGTGGCAATTTCCATCTATACAATGCCGTTTCTTGCCGATCCCTTGCCAGTTTCTGAGAGTCATGGAGATTAAGTCAAGATGCTTGGTTGATTTGGCTTTAAGCCTATTTCTGCTCATCTTGAAGCCACTTGAGAAAACAGTGCTCGAACCATTTTTACTTCTTTGCAGAATAAGCTGAGGCAACGAAAGATGTCTTTAGCGAGCAGGCTCACTGCTATGCTTCCACAATGAAAATCGATGGCAAGTGAACCGTTTGTATGATTGCCAATATCTCAATGAGAAGAGAAGGGGTAATCAAGGTTCAAGCACATACTGCTTGTAGGTCAAAAATGAACCCGCCCTTCGAAGTATGGGATCATTTTCCTCCCCAAAAATTCTTGTCTAAGAGATATCTTTGAGAGATATGTCATCTATTGGCTGTTAACGAGACATCCCGGCCATGCATGAATTTTTTCATTTTTTGTTACATTTACAGGCTTCAATCTGTATTTACCAAATCCGTGGGGCCATTCGACTTGATTTTTGTTCCTCTCGGTCAGGCTTGTTGCCACATCCGGAGTTTGGACCCACTGTGTCATCGACAGGGCGCAAGCCTACCTACACCCACCATCTTGGATGCAAAATCTGGCGCACGCTGACTTCTACCCTTCATTACTGAGTTGATCCCTGTAATTCAATCTCATCGTCATGCAGAGTTTCGAAGTCTCGTCGCGGGATAATGTGGCTGATGCCTACGAACGCAATTTGCCGCCCGTGGACGGAGGCAAAGGGGCCTGGTTGTTCTTAGCCGCATGCTTCATTATCGAGGCGTTGATCTGGGGTAGGCTGAACACATTACTTTATTAGGGGCACGATTATTTTAACCAATCAACGCAGGCTTCACTTTCTCTTATGGTATTTTTCAGGATTACTATAGCACCCATGAGCCATTCAAAAGCTCGGGCGACACTGCTGTAGTTGGCACCTGTGCAATGGTGCGTCAAACTGGCATTCTCACTGATATGATTGCTAATCGGACCACCAGGGAATTTCATATATGCTCCTCCCTGTCGCATTCGTACTGTTGCAGGCAGTCCCTCGCCTCAAGCTCTGGGCGGCTCCACTTGGTTTTGTGATTATGTGTCTCGCTCTCTCATTGAGTTCATTTGCCACCAACACCACCCATCTTATTGTGTCACAGGGCGTTGCATACGGCATTGGAGCCAGTTTGGCTTATGCGCCAACAATTGTCTTCATGGATGACTGGTTTGTGCAAAAGAAAGGTCTTGCATTCGGGATCATGTGGGTGAGTCACTTCTCATCCAAGCTCTCTGCTCGCAATCCATACTTACCATCACTTAGGCCGGAACCGGCCTATCTGGAGTAATTTTGCCTGTTGTGCTGCAGTGGATGCTTGGTGCTTTTGGTTATCAAACCACATTGCGAGCCTGGGCCATTGTGCTTCTCATCATGGGTGGTCCGCTCCTATATTGGGTCCGCCCACGACTTCCAATCTCTCGAAGGTCGCGCCCTCCGCCACTGGATTTCCGCTTTTTGTGTAACAAAACTTTCTTGATTTATGAAGCAGGAAATATTCTCGAGGCAATGGGCTATTTCCTTCCCACAATTTATCTTCCAACTTATGCGCGCAGCCTTGGTGCAACCGGCATTAAAGCGTCCTTACCTGTCATGCTTTTCAATCTGGCCTCCGTGTTTGGATGCGTGGTGATGGGCTCTATGGTCGACCGCTATCACGCTACCACATGCATTCTCAGCTCAACTTTTGGCAGCACCTTTGCTGTGTTTTTGATCTGGGGATTTTCTGACACTTTAGCGCCGCTTTATATCTTTTCCGTTCTTTACGGCCTTTTTGCTGGCTCTTTCACTTCGACTTGGCCAGCAGTCATTAATGAGGTCAAGAAGAAGAGTATATATGCAGATAACAGTATTGTTATCGGCTTTCTTTCAAGTGGCAGGGGTATTGGTAACATTGTTAGTGGCCCTCTCAGCGAAGCATTGCTTGAACCCAATGCCTGGAAGGGTGTTGCCGCAAAGGCATACGGATCAGGCTACGGCCCTCTTATCGTCTTCACGGGTATCTCAGCCCTCCTTGGTGGTGTTGGAATCATTGCCAGATCTTCGAGATTCTCTTAATCGTCGATTAAATCACGTTGAGCTTACTTTTTCATGCAACGGCATTTCGGTACCGAGAAGGCCTGCCAAAACCATAGATGTCGTGGTCACTTACTGTATCATTTAATCTAAAATCAATTCAATCCCTATTTATAATTTGAAGTATCGTTTCTCATCTTGAGCTCTTGTCTAATTCCAACGACGAAAGACCGTTACTCATCATTCTAAATGGCCTAGGTGGGGCTTCGCACAACAAATCGGGATCAGCTTGGAACCCCCGTCGGCCATTGCCCGACTGCCCCGAGCGAAAGGTTCAAGCTTGTAGCAAGTAGAATCACGTACTGGAGAAAGGCCGATATCTTGAACGAGTGAGCCTTGCTCTTGGCATTATTTGGCGATAATGAATGATTGTTGATGAGGTCTAAACTTCCCTTCCTTGCACTGATTTATTCTGGATGTTTTTTTTTCTTAGAATTTTCTCTTTTGGCCCCAGTAGGAGTTACTCAAAGTACTCGTGAATAATATGGATCGACACAGACTACAGTACTACTAGACCTCCGCCGGCCTTGGACGGGGTGTTGCCGACTTTCAAGCTATGCTTTCCCCGGATTTTCCCCATTCCCCACCTATTGTGGGAGCCGAGACACGCTGAAGCTTCTTCGGTGCTTGAGTTGTTAAAATCGTCTTAAAATGCAAGCCCTATCCAGTCAAATACAGCCTTCCGACTTTCCCTCCACTCTATCTCTCTTCGCGCAAAACTCCTCCCGACAATGTCCAGTCACCACGAGGAGAAGTCCGCCCAGGAGTGGGACGAGAGCCAAGATCACGTAACAGTGGCTTCCCTCGCTGCATCATATGTTCCCGGTTCCCCAGAAGAAAAAAGATTACTTCGAAAGCTCGACTGTCGAATTATTGTATTCTTCCTCGCCAAAAAGCTGAATCAAAGTCCACTAGCTAACTTATACATGAATCTAGCCATGCTGCTGGGTTCTATTTGTTTTAGGCTATCTTGATCGGGCGAACATTGGGTCAGTTGCACCTGAGTCTTCAGTTTGTATACTGCTTTGTTAATTTCAATATCTTTTTCCAGAAATGCGAAAACTGGCGGGCTCGCTGATGATTTCAAGCTCACCTCAAATGAATACTCTGTGATCCTGTTGCTCTTTTTTGTTTCATACGTCATCTTTGAGGTACCCTCTAACATGATCATCGCTCGTGTGCGACCGTCACTTTATCTCTGTGGCCTTGCCTTGCTTTGGGGCCTTATCGCAGCATTGATGGCTGTCACAAAAAATTGGCAACAGCTTGCTGGGGTGAGATTTGTGCTTGGGTTTGTGGAGTCAGGATTTGCGCCCGGTATTGCGTTTTATCTCTCATCATGGTAATATTCGCGAAGTATCTGCTCAATAACCACTTCTGACTTCTTAAGAAGGTATCGGCGATATGAGCTCGCTAGTCGGTTTGCAGTGTATTATACGGCTGTCGCAGTAGCCGGTGGTCTCTCTGGGCTCCTTGCTGGCCTCATCACTCAATATCTTGATGGCGCACGCGACATTGCAGGATGGCGTTGGCTGTTTGTCTGTGCTATTGCTCCATCTTACATTCTCAGATAATCAGTTCTGACTCTATACTAGATTATCGAAGGATGTGGTTCATCCTTCGTTGGATGTGTGCTTTGGTTTTTCATGGCTGACTATCCGTCCAATACGCGGTGGCTGACTCCTGAGGAGCAGCTACTGGCCGCCCAACGTCTAGCCTTTGATGGCCTAGGGAATGCTCAGAGCGCCCATGGGAGGATTGGTGAAAAGGAGGCACTGAAAATGGTTGTAAGAGATTGGAGGACTTGGATCTTGGCTCTTCTGTATGCTCTAGTTACTGGAGCCCAGACGATTCAATACTTCATCCCTACACTCGTAAAAAACTTCGGGTGGGATGATTGGGAAGGCCAGTGTTAGTTCAACTACTATTTTTTTCTTGTGAGTTTTCTTTTGTTACTAACTGGATGGTAATTAGATCATACTATTCCCCCGTATGCATGCGCTGTGGTCTGCATTTTGGGAATGTGCTTCGTTGCCGACCATTTCAAAAACAAGGCGAACTTCATCTCACTCTTTGCCGGAATTGGTACGGTTTTCTTCATCATTGTGTGTGCCAATACGAACAATAGTGTTCGATGTGAGTTTCTCTGATATTTTTGTCTTTTGGGAGTAACAACTGACATGCTCCGGCTGCCAAGATATATTCAATACATTCGCTTTCGGCTGCATTTATGGCACTTCGCCTCTCGTCCTGATGTGGGTGGCCAATATTATCTGCTACCCCGCTGAGAAGCGAGCCGTGGCTATCGGACTGGTCAATGCTCTCGGAAATACTGCCTCCATTTACGGTGTGTTCTTGTGGCCCGATCGTGATGCGCCTCGTTATATTCCCGGATTCAGGTTCGTGTCCATCTTTATGATTCTAGAGCATCAAGAACTGACTGATAATTAGTGCAACGACTGTCTGGATGGGTGCTATCTGTATTATTGCCATTATTGCAGGGTATCTATTCAAAACACATCCTATCGAAGCTCCCGAGCCAGAGGAAGTGGTGGCCGCAGAGATACGCAGACAGCGAGAGAGAGGTCAGATTCCAGCAAAGGCATAATAACACATAGAACATGTCGATATAGTAGGATATAGTATAGGCTAGGGAAGGTAGGATCCAATACAACATGGTGCTTTAATGTGATAATATCTAATAGTAACTATTCAGTGGGGAGTGTTGACACTGATATATGGTCTTTTGAGGAAATGGCAAGCCTGTCCACCCTAAAATCGGCTTCCACCTGCCTTGATCTAAACGATATATAGCCCACAAATCTGCTCTCTGGGGAATACTTCTATATCTTTAAACCTGATGCCCCTGTGGATCACAAAGATTATAATCTGAAGATCCTTATGGAGCATCATTAGTGTTTTTGACCGTTCCCTGCTTCGTACGATGAAATAGCAAACTAAAACGACGAGCTCTGATCTGGGTCATGCAAAACTGTCTTCCGGACACTATGAGGCCTCTTTGTCTCACAACCTTATAAGAGATAAGTAATGAAGACAAGGCCTTTGTACTGAAAATTATGAAACTTGACCCAAGAGATCAGCCTTCTACCTAGGAACTATTAGTAGACAGCTGGTTTGCTTTAGAGGAATGACCCTGGATCAAAAAGACGTATAGTTGCTCATTTATAGTCTTAGTTAAGCAGGATTTATCAGGTAAAATACGCAGTATCTTTGAGGGCTTGGGTCGTCGTGGTCGCATTGCATTTACTTAGCTAGCCCTTTTGTTTTCTTTCCTCTTGATCCTTCATGTTTGGTGAATGCACTCTTCTTCTTTAAGAGCTTAGCTTTTCACATGGACTTGACGTGTTTTGTCTCTGTTGAACCAAAAGGGCGGTGACGCATGTCATAGACATAGTCAAACATACATCTATAAGGTGCAGGACTATTCAGGTGCTCCAACACTTTGGATTCCAACTCTATTTTCTAGTAGTGCTTTCTACATTGATATTTTACTGAAATATGTACAGCAATTATGGAAAGGATGTATGTAAATGGAAGCATAGTCATCTTGATATGGAATGGCAAGGGTAATTTATAATTGGATGGTTCAATAAGTGGCTATTCCAACATGGCTTGATGAAACCTTCAAGGTAGTTGGCACCATGAAACCAGGCAAATGATATCTAAGGTGAATCACAATGGACAGTTCGAACCATAATCAGCATCTTCGAGGATGCATCGATAGAAACTGAAAGCTGGCCGAGAACTAATTCTTCTTCACAGGAAAATGGGCTCTTCGCTTCATCAGATTCAAAGAAGCAAACCCTGTATGATGGTTGCGCCGGTCCTTTAAGCCGTCATGCTTGGCTTCTATATACCATGATCAGCGTTAGTTTTGAAATGCCGACGTGCGATAGCTACCGCTGGCAGACATCTTTTGTTCCTTGGGGCACCAAATATTTTGACATTTCTGTAGCGATGAGAGAGGAACTTCTTGGCCGTCTTTATGATACTTCCAACCTGACAAACTGAACCATGAAGCCGCCACTATTTCTGAAAATTCGGTATCGTACATTCCTTCTCAGCGTGTCTCGTCTGTCTCCATCGTTTCTTCTCGTTGCATAGCCATTTGGATCATAACGTCCCGCATTGCGATCTTGGCTCTACGCTTCTCTTCTGCTTCTGTTTCCGAGCTCTTTACGCCATTTGTCATGTTCGACTGGTGTCCTTTTGGTAAATTGTCGGCATTAGTCCACGTATCGCTCCCTTTACCAGAATCATCGGCAGCCGATACTTGGTTGGATTTTCCTCCTGCATCACCAACACGATCTCTAGCTTCAACCGGGCCCATAGACTGTCCGCGTGTGCTGCGACGGAGGCGTGGTCGACCGCGTCGCGAGTACTCTGTACCTGGACTTGAATTTGCAGTCGGAACCTGGGTTGAGGTGTTGGTCACAACAAGCTCCCGGGAATCGGACGGCGCTATGTCGGCTGGTTGCGAAATGACAGGTTTGGTAGGCTGCGTCATGGATTTCCGAGGGGGTCGTCCAGGGCGCCGCTTCTCAATTTTCTCCCCATTTTCTTCATTTGTCTGAGTAAGCCTTGGTCGTTTAGCCGTACTCTTCTCTGTATTATCTGCGCGCTCTCCGGTTCCATTTGCGCCATCGGTTCGGTGGCCAGCTTCGAGACGATATTGAGACGTAGAGGCTGAAGAACTTCCAGAGTGCTTGGTAGGGACGCGGACGGAGTATGTTGGGAGGTTTTCCAAAGACAAATCATCGATCATGTCTTCTTCGTCGAACGAATCCGCAATTACTTGGCTTCCTCCAGTCGAAAAGGCATCAGGCCAAGCACGCTTCCGGCCGGCCTGCAACAGGCCGGGACTTTGCACCTCCGGTAACTTACCCTCCCTCGCCGAAAGTATTCCTGGATCTTTCTGCTTGAACTCCTCTATGAAGCGGTTCTTCAACTTCAGGGCCTCGATTTCTAGCTTGAGCTTCTCGATCTCTTCTGACTTTGACTTGAGCTCCTTCAAAACTGTCGCGATCATATCAAATCCTTGTCCATTCATATTTCCTGTTTCGCCTAAATGTCTGCTTGGGCCATTCAACTCGATGCGAAGCGCCGTGAATGAATGCTTTAAGTCTGTCATTGTATCTTGTAGGTGGTTGACTGAGGTGGATATTTGATCGATGCTTCGACCTTGATGTTGCATTTGCCGTTGCATCAGTGGGTCCACTGAATACAGATCCGATGTGCCGGCAGGTATCAGGGCACCATCTTGGATGGAGTTGCGATCTCGTTGAGGGGTTTTCCTTTAGGGGCGGATTGAGGAGTTTTTGGAGGGTCCCTTCTTTGAAGATAGGGTCGGCGGTACGCATCGTCACAATTTCCCTGAATGATACTTTGGACATCTTCCAAAGGATATTTGGGCTAAACGCAATCAGCAAATAGACGAAGAGAATACTAGACCAAGGTAATTCTATAAAAAAACCATGCCACGCACCCATTGTCAAGTTCGCAAAGAACACCCAGTTTCTGTTGGCACAATTTGCAGCTTATCTCCTGGATAATGCGCTCGCGGAGAAGCGTCATATCGGATGTGTTTGGGATCTGTTTCCGCTCCGAGGAAATCGAGATGCGATGGAGGTTGACGCTTAGCCATGCTGTCGCGAGGGAATATGAACTGGACAACTTGGCCCATTCATTCTCTAGCACGGCCAGCGAGCTAGAGCAGCGAAGACACTGGCATAGAATAGCCGGCTGTGTCAGGCTACCCAAATCCATCTTCTCGATGCGACGACGTAGGAGACCGACTACCAGAGCAACTTGAACAGAAATGTGCGGATTTCGGACGCATCACAGGAGCTGAGTCAGCGGTCCAGGCCCCTGGATGCGCTACGCCATATTTGGTTATCGATAAGGGGGTGTCTGAGCAATGACATCATTGCAGTCGAAATGAAGATAAGATTGAACATGCTGCGCCAACTGGATGGCAGATGAAAGCTAAATATCTCTTCAGTTTAGGTGCTTTCTAGTCTTCAATTTATTGGGTTTAGTCTGGATATCCGTGGTACAGATATGGAGACAAGATCTTAACCGCAGTGAAAGGATACCATGTAAAGAGATCTTGACAACATTGAGGTGCTATTTTGACAAAGTTTTAAAGTTAGCGAACGCTGGTATAACAACAAAAATAATAGAAGTTTGGCACGAAAATTCTTCCTGTGCTACGTTGTTCTTCGCTAGTATCTTGTACTACGATTCCTTCATTTCGATGTTATCCTGAAATACAATCGACCTTAGCCGAGGTGTTCCTGCCGGGCCCTTTGCCGTTTAAATTTTTCAAAAATCATTCTTTGGCGTCAGATTAAGCTCTAATGCCGACAAATTTCGTGAGCGCAAGGGAATTCTGATTCTCGGCAGATGAGAGCTACATATGGTTCCTCTTATTCGCAATTATTACTGGATCTATGATCTCTACATCCAACGAGTGCGATTTTTTTTCGTCTACTTTTGTACTATTGCCCGAATCCACCTGTCATCTTATTTGTGCTCTATTCAAAGAGCCTTCTTATGGACCCAGAGCCCCACCGGAACCTACCCTTTTTTGCATTTGAAGTATCAGGGACGTGTCATCTTTTTCGACGGCTCAGTTCCCCGCAGCTACATCACGTGACGTAACATATTCCCCGCGCTTTTTCTCCGAGTTGCCGGCTTGCAGTAGCAAGGAACTCATGAATCGCTCATTACGCCCTTTCTGTCGGCCCTTTACAACACCAAGGCCCCCGGTTAATTGCAGAGTCGCTCCTCTCATATGCAAAGCCTCCATGGCGACCCTACTGCCTAACGGAATGGCAAATGCCTCGGCAGTCAGTAGCCATACTACATGGCACGGTGCTGGAGCGGCCGAATTTGACTTGCGCAGTATGTCAATTCTCTGTCTCTTCCTGTTAGTTGGCCAGCCTTACCATACTTATAAGTCGCATCGTAGGTGACACGATGACCAAACCAACCCTTCCCATGCTTGACGCGATTTGCCAGGCGACCTTGCTGGATGACGTCTTCAACGAGGACCCAACCACCAATGCTCTCCAAAGCTACGTCGCAGAGAGGACTAGGCATGAAGATGCGCTACTGGTTTTGTCAGGTACTATGGGGAACCAAGTCGCTATTCGTTCACACCTAGCTCAGCCTCCATATGCTGTATTATGTGACCACCGATCTCACATTATCTGCTACGAAGCAGGCGGCGTCAGTTCTTGGACCGGAGCCACCGTGCAGACCGTTGTTCCCAAAAATGGCATCCACCTCACTCTTGAGGATATTCAGAAGCACGCGGTTCTTGATGACGATATCCACCACTGTCCTACAAGACTCATTAGCCTGGAGAACACCCTCGACGGGATGATCATGCCCTTGAGCGAGGCTCGCCGTATTGTGGAATGGGCTCATGCTAATGATATCAAGGTACATTTAGATGGCGCCCGGTTGTGGCAGGCTGTCGTCTCTGGAGCTGGAGGCCTGGCCGAGTACGCCAGTTTGTTTGACAGTGTTAGCCTCTGCTTTTCCAAAGGCCTCGGTGCTCCGATCGGTAGCATCATTGTTGGCTCCCAAGCTTTTATTAAGAAGGCTCGGTGGTTCCGAAAGTCGATCGGCGGTGGTGCCCGGCAAACGGGTGTCTTTGCGGCTGCTGCTCGAGTCGCCCTCGACCAAACCTTTGGTACGGACGATCACGGCAAGAGCGGCCAGCTGTCTGTAACCCATGTCAAAGCCAAGCGAATTGCGGACCTTTGGACGAGTCGCGGAGGCAAGCTGCAGTATCCCGTGCAGACAAACATGGTCTGGTTGGACCTGGAGGCGTCCGGGGTGGGGCCGAATGACCTGGCCACCATTGGAGAAGAGAAAGGGCTGAAATTACTTGGGGGCCGGGTGGTAGTTCATTACCGTCAGTACTCATGTACTATCTGTCCCTGCGATGACTCAAATTTCTGACCTATCAACAGAGGTGTCCGACGAGGCGATTGCGCGGCTGGAACAAGTATTTGACATTGCGATGAAGGGTGATTACCAGCGCAGCACAGACACAAGCCAACCGTACGGGAACAGCAAAAAATAGCCCATGTATAGAGAACAAATAACTAGACAGAATGTATTTAGAGCTTCGATGTAGGTGTAGAGGTACACGGAGAAGATAAGATTTCCGACTGAATCCATGGTTTGACGGGACTCGAAGCAGCTTATTCGTGATCGGCCAATCATTGTCCCCGCTCCGGGCTGATTCAGCCCCAGGAACCAGCGATTGCTGCCTCAGGCGGGACCCCGTGCGGCTCGAACTTCTTGTTCTCTTCGTTTCTCGGACGACGACCTGTCCAGTCTGTCCCAGCTTCCACCCCTTCCAGTCTGTTTGTTGAACCAATTTTTATCACTGTGGATAGATAGCAAGGGTGCTTGCTGGCCTGTGTGAGTCAACTTCGAGCTCCCTTAACGCAAACAAGCAGCCTTGTCGAACTTGTCCCTTCGTGAATATTTGCAAACACTGCGCTAACCAGTCGTGATTCTTTCTAGAAACTTCTTTCAAAACCTCAAAATAACCGAAACTAGCGAGAAAGTCTGATCTGCGGTCATCCAATGTATTTCATCTGTTCCATAAGTTCAGATTAGACACGTTGGTGGTCTTTTTGCTGTAGAGGCACCAGTGCCTACGGCTGTGATTCCTCTTCAATCGAGGCTCGATTGTTTCTTTCGATTCATCATATCTGGAGTGTGCCATCTAAATCCCTACAACATCTGATCCCTGGACCATTCAAGGCGTCAACTAGGCTGCGTGGGGAGTGCGAAGCATCCCGCTTTTGAGCGACCCTCCTCCTGTCTCGTGAAATCTACCATCTGGCCGCATCCCTTGTGTTGGGAAGAATTGGCCTCATATTGTATTTGGTGCCGCTCGCACTGCTTTAATTTCTCTCCATTATCATTTCCGTTTGTTGCGGTGGCAGTTCACCCAGGTGATCGCCCCGGTGACTCGTTCCTGCATCTCAGCCCCCGCACTGTCCAAAGGTATATATACCCTTGTCCCCACGGACTGTGCAACATATCCAATTTACTCACAGGCCCCGTTAGGCCAGGATTGTGTATTCAAGCCCCTTTTATGCAAAAGTTTCCTTCAATCAGCTCATATACCCCTCGCTACATCTGCCACCAGTAGTCTTTTTCTTCTTGCTTTTTTTTGCACGTTAGCGCTCCGCATCTGCATACACATTTGCATTCTATCATTGTGTCGCCATGGAGGCTACACAGGAATCCACCCAGCCTTGTGTGGACCCACGCCGCATGGGCCTGAATAATTCAGGGCTCCAAGAACAGGATCTGGCTGACATCGTCTGTATCCTGCACCCCAACTCTCACGCCGCGCATGATGCCGTTGCTGCAACCGCGAGTCTGAGCACCCAGCACATTCTCCAGCAAGATGTCTTGGATTTTGAGACCTCCGAAACAGCAGCCCTGGATATTGCACTCAGATTATCATCGAAAGTGCATGACCTTAGCGTCGGATTCTGCTTTGGACGCAACCGGGCTCGGTGTGATGTTCTGCTGGCAGTCGACGATGACGCAAAACGAGTGTCCAACACTCACTTTCGGATTTACTTGACTGGCGATGGCATTATTATGCTGCAGGATACGTCGACGAATGGCACCATAGTAGACAACTGTCGCCTACGCAAGAACCAGAAGGAAAATAGCCGAATGCTTTTAAATGGATCTGTCATCCAGGTTGTCACGGGAAATCAAGGTTCAGATGAAGTGCGATTCATCGTTCGAATTCCATCGCGAGATGGTTTTGCTGTACCATACACCAAGAATGCCCTTCGATATTTCGAGCGAGTCCAGCAACTCACAACAGGGATCAAACCGCGACAAGGTACCACGCAGCCGGGTCTTTCATGGTCGGTGTCCAATACATATGGCATGCACTGGACCGGCGGCTCGATGTACAATGTGACCGGGCAGATCGGAAAAGGTGCGTTTGCCACTGTCTACAAGCTGGCAACGAAGCAGCATGGTGCCATCTACGCTGCAAAGGAACTGGACAAGCGGCGCTTCATGAAAAATGGGATTTTAGACCAAAAAGTGGATAATGAGATGAAAATTATGCGGGATCTCAAACATGTAAGTGTGGTATGTGCTCGTCTGGCTGAATATGGCGAGACTAACGTTGGTCTGATATAGCCCAATATCGTTCAATACGTCGACCACCATGAACATGATAGATGGATCTACATAATCATGGAATACGTTGCTGGGGGAGAGCTGTCTACCTATTTGTCAAGTCACACCAAAATCCCGGAGGATATGGTGCGAACCATCGCTCGTCAGCTACTTAGAGCGCTTCATTACCTTCACAAGCGCCGAATTACGCACCGCGATATTAAACCAGATAACATTCTGATCGCATCTCTGGACCCATTGCGAGTTAAAATTTCTGACTTTGGCCTGTCAAAAGTGACTCAAGAGGAGACATTTCTGAAGACGTTCTGTGGCACGCTTTTGTACTGTGCTCCTGAGGTGTATCCCGACTACGAGACCTATCGACGTGGGGAAGCTCGAAAGAGACGACGCGTGGGGGACCCGTGAGTATTTCTTTTCTGCAGTCGCTTGAACGATAGCTAATTCTTTAAGACCTCCCAAAACATCTCCGTACAGCCAGTCAGTCGATATGTGGTCGCTTGGTGCAGTACTTTACCATATCCTGTCCGGAGTTCCTCCATACTCAGGACGCGCTGAGGACCGTGGTGTAGCCATGTTGCGTAGCATCATGGAAAGTGAGGCTGATTTCGATATACTCCGTCGCGAGGGTGTGTCTGAATCTGGCGTCAATTTTGTCGCACAGCTCCTGAACCGCGATCCTTTTTCTCGACCAACAGAAAAAGAATGCTTCCAGCATCCGTGGATTTCAGAGGTGCCGGATGTGGATGAGTATGAAGATGACGACATCCTAGTCGATGCTCATGATGGTCTTTCTGTTATTGGCGAGGACGCAGAAGAGGAACTTGATGCGTCCCAACTTTCCCTTAGGGACCATGCCGAGTATGCCCTTGTGGCTGAAGGGGAGGAGTCAAGCAGTAACGAAGCCCTTGCCAAGAGGCCACGGATTGAATCCGGTCCGACGGACATACGTTACCCATCTCTTCCCAAAATTGAGAGTTTCCAGGACGGCCAAGTCGTTGCCGAGCACCATGCCAGACGCCTCTTTGGGGAGGTCACATCATCGGCTTTGCGAAGTTCCCACGCCCTCGGTGAAACCGGCTCCTGGAATGGCGACGACATCGACGGCGACGGATTCGCTTCTTCTGGTGAGTCCATGAACGATGAACGCAGTGTCTATTCGATCATTTCTCTCCCGGAACATCCCTTCGGCGGCACGGCGCCCAGCCTCATGGGCGCAGAGAACCTGGTTGGACGACTGAACATGAACTCTTCACTCCCTATCCTACACCCTCAGGGGGGCCTGGTTAACCAAATTTCGACTCGTCAGACAAGCCCTGGACAATCCAGAGAACCCCCCAATGCCGCTAGCACTCCGCGAGTGGAACAGATCCCACTCACCTCCAGTGCAAACGACACGACCCCCAAGGCTCCTAAAATCTCCCGCCGCATCGAACTTGAGCTGCCTGAGACGGCGAGCGAGCGCTCTAGCAGTTCTAGTGCGCCAGTCAGCCGCCCCAGCCCTACGAATCCTCCCAATCCTGTTGGCAGTGCGGAGTTCGACATTGAGCTCGCAACTACACTCGATGCACAGACCGGAAAAGCCGTCCTGGAGCAGCTACGTTCGATTGATGACCAACCGCCCGAGCTGATTATCCATCGGCAGCCTGACGGCATTCCCCAAGCCATGCCGTCCACCGAGTTTACCAAGCCCTCAAAGCTCCTTGGCAGGCTCCGGAGCACCCCTGGGTCGATGTTTGACCTGAACCTCCGCCTCGAAAATCGCATGACCTCGTGGGGCCGGGGCCCCAATGCGACGGTGCGCCATCTCGACAACCTGGATGTTCGCATTCCTGCCTATGCCCTGGAAATCACATTCTGGGCCCCTGGGCTGGAACGTAAGATCGCACGGGGCAATGACTGGACCGATGTTCCGGGGGTGATGGCCGTCTTGTCGACCAAGACACGCAAGTGCATTTGGGTCAACGGGACGGAGCTGCGAAAGGGCGGCCCGGAGGGCCTGCAGTTCGGCAAGCTGTACACAGGGGACACCATAACGATCTACAAACACAAGGACAACGGAGAATTTCTCGAGTTACAGTGCGAGTTCTACCACGGCGAAAGCGCTCAGCCTCGGCCTAGCCACGAGGCCGGGTTTGTCGTACGCCAGGCACTTGTGGGCAAGTCGGACGGGGCAGCAAACCGGTTGCCCGTCCGGCCCCCTTACGCTAAGGCCGACGAGGACTAACTAATAGATTGGAGATGATCAGAATGGGATCGGGATCGGGATCGGGATGTAAATCGGATTGGAATCGGAACCGGCTGGAGTCTTGTCTTGTCATTTGTCTTGTCTCTCTGCTTCTCCGCTCTGGACATAGATTGCTGGCCCAAATTGGACGAGTTACACTATTGCATCATTAGGTGTGAGCCCGAGGTAGCACAAAGCCTATGTGGAGTAACAGGAGCTTTCACAATGGGGATTGTCCGCATGCGGTCAGTTTGTAGACCTTGAACTCGGTGACAGGAAAGTTGATCGATTGATAAGCGGGAAGCCACGGTCGAGTCGATCTCCCGAGCCTCAGATCGGCGGATGAGGTATGTCTCAGCAACGCCCGCTAAACTAAAGTCAAGGATAGAAGGCCCGATAGTCAGAAGGAGCAGTTCAATTTCGTAGTCTCTGCATTGGAAGGTAAGTTGGGGATTGTATTCTGCCGGCCCGACGTGGTGCCTGGCGCGGGCTCGCGGGACTGGCTGCTTGCGGCAGCCTCAAACCACCGAATCCCCTGTCACTGACTGGCAATCTCGCGACAGGACCCTTCGTGGGTCTGTGCAACGCCTTCATGAACGTCCCGCAATTTCTCTCTCGATCCGTCGTATCATTTAATCTTTTCTCGCCTAATATCTAATCTCCCGCCTCCCCTCCCCTCCCACTCCCAACCTTCGGTCACCCTGACCTCACCTTCCAACCTCCCGGGCACCCTTTGGAAAACGACGGTCCAATTCGGTCGACGATCACAAGTCTACACAGTCGACAATTCGCACCGCATCGCGTCCCTCTGGCATCGCTCTCGTTCGGACCCTCCTCTTACCCGCCGATCATAAACCCATGTCCCTGTCGCGATCACCCTCTCCCCACCCGGGCGGAGGGTGGTCTAGCCCGGGCCTGACTCCCGGCAGTGGCTCCTCAACACCGCGCGGCTATTCGCCCGCCTCTCTGACGCCGGGGGCCGGTAGCATATCGTGGGCTACAGCTAAGGCGAAAAGCGACGAAGTGCGCGGCTATCCGTCGTTCTCGACACGCAACAGCGGCTTCTTCTCCCGTCAGAAACACAAGATTTCCCGGCGGTTCTCGGGCTTTCGTGGACACGCGTCCCGCACTGGATATGTCGACAAAGATGCCTTCGGACGGGGAAACCTGCACCCTGGTGGTGCGGCCGGTCATGGACTAGTCGGGGCTTTCAAGATGCGTATGCGACGAGGGAGGTCCCGTACTCTCTTCGGGCTGTTTTTGTTATTGCTCGGTTATCTGTGCTTCTGGTCGAGTAAGTGATGGAATTCCCTCTTCGACTGCACGAGTCGCTCGGAAACATCAAACTAACGCGAGATTTTTCCCTGTGATAGCTCTCGTACGATTATACCGACGATCACCACTGGGTGGTGGCCGTAAGTTCGTCATTATACTGGGATCGAACGTGGAGGGAGGCGTGATGGAATGGAAGGGCGCGCGCGAATGGGCAATCGAGCGCAACAGCATTTGGAACAAGCAACAATATGTAGAGCACTGGGGCTATGAACTCGAGGTTGCCAACATGCTTGCGAAGAAGCGATACTCGCACGAATGGCGCGAGAGCTGGGAGAAGGGCGACGTGATTCGCGAGGCAATGCGCAAGTACCCGCACGCCGAGTGGTTCTGGTGGCTCGATTTGAACACCTGGGTGATGGAACATGACACTTCGCTCCAGAGCCACATTTTCAATGACTTGGAGTCGAATGTTTACCGTGATATCAATGCTTACAACCCGCTGAACATGACACATCCGCTACCAGAGTTCTGGCTGGACGACTTAGGCCGTGCCCTCGAGGGCGATGAGAACCCGGAATCCCTGAACCTGCTTCTCACGCAAGACTGCTCGGGGTTCAATCTGGGCTCCTTCTTTCTGCGCCGGTCCCTCTGGGCTGACCGACTTCTCGATGCATGGTGGGACCCCGTCATGTACGAACAGATGCATATGGAGTGGGAGCACAAGGAACAGAATGCACTGGAATACATCTACCAGAGCCAGGCTTGGATCCGCAGCAGTGTTGGCTTTCTTCCTCAACGGAGTATCAACGCGTTTCCCCTCGGCGCCTGCGGCGACGAGAACAACCCCACCGTGCATTACCAAGAAGAAGACCACGACTTCGTGGTGAACATGGCCGGGTGCATGTTCGGTCGAGACTGCTGGTCTGAAGTATACAACTACCGTGAGATTAGCAAGCAGCACAACCGCACGCGCTGGGCGCGACTTCTGGACCACCTTCATGGCATCTATGGCTGGGCATTCAAGACAGATGGCCGCAATGGTCAATAAGTCCAACTGCGCTCCAGCCATATAAACGTGGCCAAATTCCTTTGTTTCTTGTCCCTTTCGATATTCAACGTCACTTTTTTCATGGCCTGGACGCATTTTATCTGGATGGCCAAGCATTGTATGATACAGTTTACACTTTAAAAAGACTGGCAGGCTGGGGGTGTACATTGGGTTTGGGAGTATCTGCATTCGTTGGGGGTTGCAGGTGTAATCGGCGCTGGATTTTGCAACTGCACAAATATTACTTGGCTTTAATTGGTTTCTGCCTTTGGACATGAACTTCTTGAATTATTCCAGAATAAGTTGGTCGCTTTCGTAAATTAGGTGTAGATGATCCTGCTATTCTGCCGCTTAAATTCCTAAATTAGGAAGGAATCTGACAAATCACGTTATCGTAAAACACTTCCCCCTCCACCGCTCTTGATATTCACCGCCTATACTTCCACCAATCATCGATAACGTAATCCATCCACCGGAGGAGAGATGGATCGTCAACCCGATCAACGTTCATCGCGACCTTCCAAAAGCCTTATCCAACGCCTCCTGGACCCCATTGTCCAGACTTTCCAGCTGTCTCCGGACCTTCGACCCATTTCAACTCTCGGAATCCGAAACAGACCCTGTATCAACCACCAAGATGCCGACTCCCGAGTCCGCGGCCTTCCTTGCCAAAAAGCCCACCGTCCCCCCGACCTACGAGGGCGTCGACTTCAACGACACCGTGGCCGTTCACAACGCCCGTGATGCCATCATCCGTGAGCAGTGGGTACGCAGCATGATGTCTCGCCTGGTCGGCGAGGAATTGGGCAAGTGCTACAACCGCGAGGGCGTGAACCACATTGAGAAATGTGCTCACCTGCGAGGTAAGATCTGCTTCACTTGGTACCCGTCGCGATGGGTGGGGGCTCTCTCGATGTCAACTCCTCGGTGTCCTGGCTCGAGCAATGGATGATTGAGCTCGCTAGCCCCGAATTGGGCCGTTCCAATCTGAGCCAGATTTACTAACATGTTCGCAACAGAGCGATACTTCGAGCTGCTTAGCGAGCGCAAGGTCAAGGGCTACCTGTTCCAGGAGAAGAACTACTTCGAGAAGTTCCAGGCGGATAAGACCGCTTAAAACAAGGCCTGAAATGTCCTTTAAGCGCGAAAACCGGGGCGAGTGGGTGTGGAAATGAGAGTTCTGCGGCGGTTGGCTCCTGTCTCCGAAGATGAGAGCTGGAAAGTACCCATGATACCACAGTCTCGCCCATATGGAGCTTGCCATTCAATGTCCACCACCGCTTCTCTTTGTAGCGTCGGGGGTGTCGCACAGGTGTCAGGACAGGGCGTACCAGGAATGATGTTAACACCAGCAACCTTCGGCTTCTACACCTACGCTGTTTTTGGAAAAGATGGAGAGCACAACAGGAAGGTTTGCTCCCGTGCACTGTACATATACTATATCATTGTTTGGTCAATTTTATTTCATTTTGAAGAACAGCCGCAGTGTTCAAGGCTCCTAGACGGAAACGTATATCAGACATCACCCACCTAGAGGTCCGTCTTTTGCTGTACCGATCAATTAGCTCTATTCTACGGAAATAAAGAGAGCATATAACGCGTATCCTTTTATCTGCGCTTGGGCCATAGTTCTGGGTATCATATCAATAGTACACATTTGAGGCTGTCTGGGTCCGATCAGGAAATCCGCCAGGAGGCACCGACCCCCAGCTGACACAGGTTCTTCGTCGCTATCATCTGGATCACTTCCAAAGTGCAGGTCCAATCTCTCGTCTGGCTGGGCTCGCATTTGCATCAAGTGTTCTCTGTCCAGGGAGTCGGCCTTGTAAGGTGCAGGCGGAGTATGGATATCCCGACCAGACGGCAAGTTAGCAAGCAGAGGAGCAGATGGGGGAATGGGTTGGGTGTTAATCTAGAGAAGGAATCAGTAACGTACCACATTGGCCCGGAGGAAATCAAGAACTTACAGTATCGTTCATTTTCACCCACTTCGTCTCCAGCATAGTAATCACCTGGCGCTCCTCGCTACGTCCTGCATCATCTCCCGGATCCAACGCGCCCTTGGCACCGTGCCCACTGCCGGCGTCTTTGCCAATCTTTCGCTCTTCCCGCCGCTCTGTCCATTCACGCTTCAATCGAGAAAAGCCGCTCTTCGCAGGGACTCCAGCAGCTTCTTCTTCAGCAGAAGACCCCCCTCGAAGTCCCAAAGGAGTCCGCGCCGCACGCAGCCACGCAATGCCCTCACCGGTCTTGCCAGCCAGCTCCGCATCAATACCGAAGAACCGACAAGCGCGAGCGCGAGCGACACGGCCCAGCACACCCGCATAGCCGATAACCTCCTCATCAACACGGAGACTCCGCCCAGCCCCAGATCCCACGGCGCTCAACCCAGCGTTAGCTTGCTCTGCATACTCCGCTGCGCGCACACACAGCCTTGCAAAAAGAAGCGCCCGCACCTTCGGGATTTCCGGCGCGCGGACCATCCATTCCCGGTCATTCGGGTTACGGGATTGAATGCACGCCGTGACGTAGGCATCATCTTTCATAACCGCAAGGAGCGTCGCTTCCGAAAGAGCCAGTGACGATAATGCAGATTGCGTGCTGGCGTCCAGGTCCGGCACAGTCGCTGTCGTGGCGGCGGAGAGCGCAGGAGACGAAGCAAGGAACCCATGCGCCGAGCTAGCGTGTAGCAGGTTGCGGGTCGCATTTTGCACTGCAGCAAGGCGTTGTTCGGCAGTTTGTGTTGTGGCTGCATAGAGGGTTTCCACAACGCCCACGCGCGCGAGCCGGCTCAGGACATATCCGAGTGTTGTAAGTGTAAACGCGATTTCAAAGTCGATGCCTTGGCCGGATACGCGCGCTCCGCGGGGACGAAATGATTTAGCGGTTGATATGCCAGTGGAGCCTCCCGTATTAAGTATATTGCCTGCCGATAGGGTAGGCTTCCAGGAAGATTCGATCTCGGCGCGGAGTGTGATCTCGATATGTTCGCCGGCGAGGGAGCTCATGTTTCTAGAGCTATCGATTCTGTCACCATCGCCAGAATGTGTATATTCATGATGAATTGGTCTCCCTGTAAGACCATGTGCGATCGTAAAGACATAAGGTATGTATTCATTCAGAGCGGCGAGGACCGTCGGGAGGTGAGCGTCCTGTCGGGAGCCGCGGGGTAGGCGTTTGTGAGCTTTGAGGGCGATGCGGAGAGCATGGCGGGCAGTGGAGGCAGCCTGTGGGAGTGACGGGTGTGTTGAAGAGGAAATGAATGTTTGGAATGACAAAGGGGAAGTTGTTGGCAGAGTAAACGCGTAAACCATTCTGATGACGGTGCGATGCGGGGAGTTGGAGATGTTTGGAGACCCAGCCAGCCTGATGTCACCGCCGGCTAAGATAAGCGTGGGCTTGGCGATAGCAAGTATGGCGGGTTGCCGGATATCCAAACCGGGATGTGGTCAACTATCAATGCATGTCACTCTTTCCAGTAGACTATGATTTATTATGAGAATGTTTTTCGGTTAAGATGATCGCCTTCTTCATCTCTTTTTCTGCCAGGGACATTCTTAAATTAACATAATAGAGTTATCAGATGGACAGGTCTGCATGGGAGCAACGGTTTGGGCAATCTGAGTTTATATGGGAAATGGCGCTGCTATAATATTGCCCAATTCCTATCTGATTTTGAATAGTAAGCTTGGGAACTGTAGATTGTAACAGGCTGGGAGGAAGGTTTTACGACTTCGTTCGTAACAATTTTAAACAAGCAACTACCCAGTGATGTATAGATCGAAATGCAGAGACATAGAAAGGCTCCACAAATTGATGCCCAACCTATCTAAGACTGAGTCGTGAGATCATCAATGCTATCAAAAATTGTACAGTCATCGTCATCTTCGCACATAGTCGTTCGACCGAGGTTCTTGTCCACAGGTCCTGTCGGCCCACTAGTGTAGTGACATTCAGATGAGATGCAGTACTGGCCCGTCTCAATGTCATCAAGAAGCCCAGATGGGTATTGCTCATCACCCCAGTGGCCGAGCCAATTTAGCCAGTCAGATGTCTCATCTGCCTCCTCAGTAGCCCCTGTTCCCGCCCCAGATGCGACGACGAAGTCGTCTGCATCAACATCGTATGTGTAGCCACGGTAGTTAAGCGTCATATCCCACATGTATCCTTTGTCAGTCTTATCAGTGATGAGGCCCAGTGCGATAGTATATTCCTGGGTGCCTGCGGTCACATAGTTGGCGTGTCCTCCGTACGCGACGTACGTAACAGGGCGTTCGCCTGAGAAGTCTACCACATCCCAGTAGTAGGCTGAACCAGCGCTATGCTGGGAAACATAAATGGCGTAGGGCTCTTCATCCACGAACCTGATCTATTATGATATGGATTAGCGAGAGATGATATACGCACGTGATTGAGTGTTTACCATGACATGCTCCCAGTCACCGACATGATCATCAAAGTTGATGTCCAATACACTGGCCAGAATGTTATATTCAATACTTATTCGTGACTTCAGTGCGCAAAGAGGTTTTGGACACTCACCCTCCGCCATAGTTGTAAGAATAGAAGTAGAAGTAGAAGACATCTGTCGTGGTGCTGTTCTTCTCTGCGACAATGATAGTACCTGGAGCCGCGCTTAAACCATCGCTGTCAGGAATACCATATTCCGAAGCAAGCCAGGCGGGTATACTATCCAGTGGATTCAGAATTGGGCCATCCGAGGCAGTCAGGTAAACATCCGAAGCAAGATTGTTAAGCGTGTCGAGAGTAACCGACCCATTGGTCCCGGTAGCGGTATAATCAACCTCGGGCTCAACGTTGGCCAAATGCGTCGTAATGTCAGATGGGAACCATGCCTCACCACTGTAAAGGTACGATATGGGCGCGTATGTGATGGCATAGTCGGGGAGTGTATCGCGTCTGCGCAACTTTGGGCCAGCCTGCTTGTGAGGCGCCGCGGCCGCAAGGCTGGCGAATGCAAAGAGCGTGGAAATTTGGCGGACTGAAGGCATCCTTTCTCCTGTGATAGTGAATGATCAACTATGCGGAGTAATCTGGGTGGTCACTGCCATTCTTATAGGCTTTTCCGCCGAAAATTAATGGCTAGTCCCCGTTTAGGCATTCTGTTGGGTTGTGACCAAGTCAGACCGAAATAGATTGTCATCTCTGGTCAGTGACCCATGAAGAGGAGACGGCTTCTCATGCTCAATGCAAGTAGCAGGGACAGAGTGACGAGGTAAGAGTGGATTCGGGTATAAAACGGACGAGATAGGATGGGCGGGGCGCACGTGGACCAGCCTCGAGGGACATACACAAACAAGAGACAGACAAGGAGAGCTGTATTGGTGTAGAAGCTCTTCATGGGCGAGGTGAAGGGCCAGTGAGATTGGTCCAGGGGAGATCGTGTTCTGCATGCAACCCACCATGTGAACAGTTGATAGGCGGGCAAGCCATGGAATGCAAAGATCAGCGTAGGTGGCGCTGGTGACTTGCCCCGACAATATTAATGTAACTCGGGACGGAGCGGGCTAACTTTGATCAAATAAGGCACAAATCTATTGAGCAACAAGCATTGTCTTAGCTCCAATTGCACCTAGCTCAACGCGTAATCAGCTGCAGAGGCGGAACTTTTGCGAAGGCTTTGTTGCTTTATTTCCCTGCCTTCTTTTTATTTTATTTTCTTTTAATTCTCTATTTGCAGAACTCAAATAGAGATTCAAATTTTGATATATGGAAATTGCTCTCTTGTAATTTAAACCTACTAAATACTTGTTCCAACAAATTATAATTCATTGTAGCATACTTGCTCTTGGGGCTTCAGAGAAATGCAGCTGTTTGGCTAGAGCAAAAAGCACGATCGGCTCAACATCTTCCCTCTTCTCTAGGAACAGAGTAGGTCTTTACCAAGTGACTGCGCTCATTTGATCTAAAAGATTATTGAATCATAAAAGTACAAATGACGGTGCCGAAACAGGAACTTCCAGGAGGATAAAAATTTTTAAATGCATCGACGCCAAGATTTATTTGATCTACCTATTTCTATCCCATTGGTGGAGATGATCAACAAATTGAACATCAAATTGATCAACAGGGAAATCCGCAGCAACCTACCCCATTGCGGAACTTATACCGATATTTGTCTTCCCATGCGGCCCTGAGAAGTTCTCTACCTCGGCACAACAATCGATCTACGCCAATATCATCAGATTGTAGGATTCAAACAGCATGCACATCAAAATTATTGAGAAATAGCTAGTTTTGTAGGCATTTGCTTGAATGACGAAATGACCCTCTAGTTAATGTAGCTTTTCCCTCTCTGTAAAGACAAGTCTTATCTATTTCTTATATTCATCGCCATCGTCTGATCTTTGTGCATCAAGTACCATGACATCAAAAAAGCTTCATGGATGTAGTCAAGAGCCGTGTACGGGGAATTCTCAATTCTCTACTCAGTCCTTGCTGTGCAGTGAAGCCTAGGGATCTCGCCTTACTCAAATCCAAGCTTCGATTAAAGCCCATGAGCTTCATGACACTATTCATTGAACCAGCATTGCGCATGCTGGTATACATTGGCGAACTGGCGATCTTGGGTATGGCACAGTGATGGTGTGTTTCGGATATTTTGAAATTCAGAAGAAGCGTTTACGCAAAAATGAACGAAAAAATACAGCACACCAAGCAAAATGGTAGTGAAATACTCCAACTTATCTGGGTTCTATGAAGATACTTCTTCGTTCGTGATAGATGTTGCAAAGCCACGTGGCGTTACAATGAGAGTCAGAGCCAGCGGGGTCTCAAAAGTGCTGGGAGACTTATTACAAAATAGGCCTCAGGAGGTGACTGTGGTGAACCAGGAAAATAAGATAACTCCCACTGTCTTTCAAGAGAAAAAGCCCAGAAGGGGGTTTTAAAATAATTTGTTGAACAAATATGAGTGGCTTTGTCATTATTGTAGAGTTCAAAATTCTATTTCATCCTGATTGGAGCTTTGCTCTCTCAAAATTTGTTTACTCCCATTTTTGGTTTTTTTCATGGTTGTTGGACTTTGGGAGGTATATTGCAAGTTCTGCTCAGTGGAGAGCTCGGTGTCAGGAGTGTCAGTCTGCAATGGAGACACAGTGCCGCTATTCTTCAGGTCCTCGAGTGACTCAGTGAAACTGACTTCTAATATTCGCGAGACAGAGTGTTTACTATTAGGTATCATAGTGATCTTTTAAAATGAATATCGATAATATATCTATAAGATTCAGATATCTATATCTTAGGGATATTTACTATTATATATAAGAATAAATCTCCGGTATAAAAGCCTATAGTATTATCTAGTAAGTTTCCGAGCGCGAGTAGACTGACTTGGAGGATTTCAATTGAATACTAATATATAGAGGACTACTATATCCCATCGCTGATACTCTTAAATGACTATAATTATTGTAATTATTGTCAGGCTTTTTTTCCCTTCTCATGCACTACCCTTGAAATCGGAACTCTATCCCGTACTACATTCTAGGAAACAAACCGTGAAAATAGAGAAGCCGGCATGGTCTTATCTCTACCCTTACTTAATTCTGGCAAAATTCTTTTAATGAGTCAATTTTGCAGTGATCGCAGGATCCATGGATATAGGGCTGACAACACGGCGACATTATACTTACTAACAAGGAATATGCATGGGATGTGTGCTTACTCGGCATATGACTAGACGGATATAACATCCCCTATCTGGCCATTTACACGGGGGGGGGGGGGATTCCCACGTTCATGTACGACTAGTATTACCTCTTTCCTTCGACTAGTCGAGCAGTTTCCTGTAATATTTGACCCCCCGTCCCCTTTCTCGTTCGAATAGTGTATATTATTAAACAGATATGCGGGTCAAAATTCGTCTTCAGAATTATAGGATTTCGTGGGATGGGTGGTTTTGGAGATGGATAATATTTATGACCGTCTGAGGAACCAAGTTTGACATATTCTAGAATTAGAATCAGTTAATCAACGGCTATGCAAGTCTTTCTAATATCATAATATCTGTAGACACTGAATGTACAATCCATGGCAGCACCAGTTCACAATTAAATTTAATAGCACGTCAACTCTAGGAGATCGTTTAGAAGTAATCCATCAATCATATCTTAACAGAGTCGTCGTTATACCACCTCCGACCCTGCCACTGCAAAAAGACGGTTGGGAAGAAGCTGCAGCCCATAATCAATGCGGCAACCACACCAGAGCTATTAGCGATGCCAACGCTGTCGAACATGGACGTGAACCTAGTATGTGTGGTAAGTAACTCCGTACGCAATAGCCACACGCCAAATGGCATGAAGAAACATGAAGACTCACCAGAAGGGCCCAATAAATCCCCAAGTAGAGCGCACAAAGTTGATGAACACTCCAATGCTACCCGCATCCTGCGGATAGGTATCAACGGCATATGTGGTCATGACGGTGGTCACAACTTGATTACCAAAGGCAGCAATCCCAGTTCCAATGACAGGCTTCACGTTCCATTTCCCGACAGTCGCATGCTCAGTACACACCAAGAATACAACCATGCCGGCAATGCTGACGAGGAACCCAATATAGCTCAGCCACAATCTGTATTCTGGTGCGGGCTTGTGGCCAAGCTTCTTCGCGCGAGCATTCATCCACATATCCGACATAACTCCTCCTAGTTGTTCACCAAGAAGAGATCCAATGATTAAGCCGAGGAACTGGAGGCCTAGTTGCTGTGCATTGAGCTCAAACTTGCTCTGGAGCAGTTGAGGTACCTCGACAGAGTTTAGCACTGAGCAGAAGAGGAAAACCATCGAATAGGAGATTGCCGCAAGAAGTACAGGGACGTTCGTGAACAAGGTCAATGGGTGGTAAAACTCGGAAAATTTAAACGGGGCCGGGTCGATTCGTCGAATATAGATATACTCGCGCTTTAAGACGGAGGATTGCGACTCGATCTCGGCACCGACATAGCGAGTCTCGGGGCCAAAAAAGATATAAAGGAAGAATTGAACGGCATTGGTCTAGAGTTCCCGTCAGCAATTGTATGGTTATGTGTACGGAAGTTGAGAACACTGACAATTGCCAAGATCCAATAAATCCAGCGGTATCCAACACGCTGAGCGACAAAGCCGAAGATGAAGGGGCCAACTGGAACACCTAGGGTCACCATGACCGTCCAAATTCCCATATACCGCGCCCGTTCATGTCTAAAAAACGTCTCGGTTACAACACCGCTTCCGATTGCCATGGCAGGCGAGATGAAAAAGGCCACCAGGGCACGACAAGCAGCCATTGAGGCATAGTCCGGACTCTTAGCACAGCCAATGTTGCAAATACAGCTCAGCAGTAGCGACAGGAGGAAAATCGGCCGCCGTCCGAAGCGATGCGATAGTGGCTTCCAGAATAACGGAGCACCTCCAAGAATAGCAATCTGCAAGGAGGTGAGGTAGCTCACCCGCTGCAAAGAGACCCCGACATCGAGCGCAATATCTTCATACGCGCAGATAATTGCAGCGGCTGTGAAAGTTCCCATACAGGCATGGAACGCAACCAGACCGAGGTTGGTGGTTTTCTATCATTGGTGTCATGTCAGTCGAGGTTCACACATACTCCAGCAATTTCACTATGCGCTTTTGAAAAGGTTTTCGCTATTTCTCACCTTCCACAGGGGCCAGTTGTATGGATCTGCCGGGTCCATGCTAGGAACTGGGTCGAGATCCAGAGTGCCATGTCGCTCAATCAAATATGATTTATGCGACTCGGAAAGAAATCTGGACGGATCAGCATTGACACCGATATTCTTCTCCTCCACGTAATCGGTGTCCAATTTCGTGGTTACGTATTGGTCGTTCGATGCCATCTTCACAGCTTTCGAGGGGACTGGGGAAATCAATGATTACAATTCCACAGGGGCAAGAAGGGACAGAAATAGGAGTCGGGGGTGCCCCGGACCCCGCGTCTCCCCAGGCTCCATTCAGGACCGGTGAACTCCGGGGTTATGGGGCAGTGTGGACTCAACGGGTGGGACATGCTGGAGTTGTCATCGTGGAGATGTTGGGGGTGGACTAGATTTGGCTGTGATTACGAACTACTGGGCTCACAAGACGACAACCAGGGTGTGCAGTGGGGGTAGTTATATCTACTATGGCTTCTATAGGCCAGTAGAAGCGACGATAGGGCGTGCTTGTGTATCACGATGGGGGGTGGCGGCCTGCCGGTAATTATAGACCGGAGCTATTGCCGGCGAGTCGGTCCCATCGAGATCCGATGCCGTCTGGAGGAGACTGGAGGGACGGTAAGCCTAGCTGCTTATGCAGTTTGGTCGGCTAGTAATGTCCCGATTCACAGGGTCCAGGCCAACTACCTCGCTTCATCGTGGCGAACTGCCGAAGCGCAATCCCGGAGCTTTTGCACTGAACTCGGCCTTGGCTGCACTCTAAAACAAAGCCGAAATCGCCAGCCAAGTCGGGTGGCGCGGGCACAGCAACTGCGATTGAGTTTGATATTCGGAATGTAGACCGCGATTGCTACTGTGAGGAATGACATTCTTCGTACCTTTAAGAACTCATGAATTCATGATTACCTGTTGATTTGGTGATTTGTTGGCCTGGAGAAACCCCGGGCTGTCAACCAGCGGGGGATTACGGGGGGCCGAAACTCCACCGGGATCCGCTTGTCAGACACTTGCCGAGCCAGAACAACTAAGGATGGGGTCAGTGAGACTGTGGGTTTCAGTACACCGGACATGTGATTGAATGGAACAATCCACTATTGTATCGTATAATAGAGGCCTAGGTTTGATTCTGGTGTAATTTCTGGCATTCTGGAAGCTAATCTCTTGGGATATTCTCTTGGATATCATAATCTGGATTCAATGGCTATTTCTCAACATGCCAGTCTTCATTTGAGGGCATGAGACGTATACCTTGGCTAGGTTGTGAAGACAGCGAGAGGCGCAGCGCTGGGTAAAAAGCTGCCATACCAATGAGCAGGTTGCTCATGAGGGGAGACGAGTAGAGTAGGGTTGTTATATCCTTTGGAATCAGTCCGCTGGCTGTCTAATGCGACTAGATTCCCAGACTTTCGATAACGCTGGTGCGTGATATGCCACATCTCTGGACGGCGCGGCGGGTCACGGTCGGAGCCAAGAATTTCCGATCTGAAGAGCTGCCCATGTTTTGCAGAGGTCTTTGGTGGACTTGAAGCATGCGGTTCGAGGTGTGATTTGGGGTGGTTGGGTTTGCATAGCTCGATTGCTCGATTGAAAATGATTCACATTTCCATGGCATCTTCGTCTGACAAATGGCTTGGCGCACTGCTGACGCCGGATGTATCGCTGCCAGGGCTAGGTGGCACACGCGATCGGACTTGAGCCCCCCATTCACGGATACTGGGAGCGCCGCCCTCTAGGATAACAGGGTGTTCCTCTCCACTCTTTCCTAGCACCGTACCAGCGTATCGTGACTCTTCGCCAGTTTTGCTGTGCTTCTTCTTCAGAGCTGTCAAATAATCCTCCTTCTGGATTGCATCGGGGTCGACCATGTCGCCTTCGCTGGGAACAAATCCTGCAATGCGACGGATCTCACGGTGTGCAGGTCCGGTGATCCACCCAAGAAGCGACTCCAGGCCGCGCAGGTCTTCTTCATTGTCCCAGTCTTCTTCCCATTCTCGTAGTTGTGGTCGGAGAGCGCCAGCGTCCTGTAGTGCTTGGTAAACATCTTCAAGGACAGGCGATGGATCTTCGGGGTGCGCGTTCGCGGCGTGAGAGGCTGTGGCCGAAGCGAGAATCATCAAGTACCGTCCGGTCAGGTCTGCAAGAGATTCCAGAACAGATGGTCGCGTAGAGTGAAAGCCCTGAGCTCGTAGAATCTGGATGATGGGAGGTCGCAAAAGCGCGATGTGAAGATTGTGTCCAGACATGACGATGGGAGTGGTCGTGGACAGGGGCAAGCGGAATTGCCGGAAGAAACGAGATTGATTTCAAAAATCGTATGACAATCGAAAGTTGCGATTTATCCACGTAAGAGGAAATGTAGAGTATTGTGGTGGGCCAGGAAGGCACTGTACGTTGTCTTGGTAGGTGTTCGATTGAAGCTCTGATGAAGCCAACTTTGAAAGCGGAGAATTCAGTTCTGGCGCGTCCGCCGATCTTCCACCTCCTTCCCACCTCCGCCAGACATCAACACTTGCCTGTTTCCACACTTTCCAACCTCCGCGGCAAAAAACCATTCAGTTTGATCATCGAGATCTCCGTCAGTTGCCCGCATCATGTCTGATGCGCCGCGACCAACCCTCAAGCTCAAGCTGGGCAAGAGACCCGCAGCGCCTCCAGCTGAGCCAGCGCCAGCGCCTGCACCAACTTCAGCTGAACCTTCACAGCCAAAATTGACACTTAAACTCGCTCGCAAACCCCAAAATATAGCTGGTGAATCCTCTGAGAAACCTAAAAAGAAGAAATCGTCAAAAAAACGGCCCGCCGAACATGTTGCGCAGCCTGAACCCGTGGTCGAGCAGCAAGGCCCAAAGAGGCTCAAGCTAAACACATCCAAGAAACCTGCACTCCAGTCGATTCGCATCAAAAACAAGGGCATGGTACCCAATCGACCGGTTGGCGTCGGCTACGATTCAGAGGCATCTGATACGGAAATCGATCCATCTATCGAAGAACAGTTCATTCTACGAATGTTACCCGGCGAAGACTGCGAGTATCTGCAAAAGGCTATCAATGAACGGAGGTTCGATAAGTCGGAGTTTTCCTTCAAACCCCTGACTCGCGATGGACGACGGGCCATCTTCAAAATCCGAGATAAACAGTACGCAGCGGCCTTGGTAGATCTCCCCTGCATCATCGAAGGCATGAAGAGTTGGGACCGTCGAGGCTGGTACAAATCGGCCGACATCTGTCAAATGCTGTTGATATTAGGGCAGGTTTCCAGCGACCAGGAAGCTTTAGATTTTCCTCTTCCTCCAGACATCGAAAACCCGGATACTAAAGCACTCCACTACCCTCATGGTCTCGCGCCGCCGTTACGCTGGGTCCGCAAACGACGCTTCCGTGATCGTGTTAGCTCACGTACTATTGAACAAGTCGAGAAAGCAGTCGAAGATTTAGTTGCGCAAGACGAGACATCACTCTTTCCTCCAAGATTCGAGTTGGTAGATAGCGCCTCGCTCAACCGTGCGGAAAGATTCGAACAGGGCGGAGAATACGACGAGTACTACGATGAGGACCAAGATGCGGAAGGAGAGGCAGATGAAGACATGATGGATGACTTTGAAGACGCACTGGCCGCCGAGATGGAAGCCGCCTTGGCGGCCGGAGATGATGACGATGGGGTTCCAGCAACTCCAGCGGATCAGCCACTCACAGCGACGACTCCAGCTGCGCCAAACGAAGTTGGAGGTGATGGAGACTCGTCCGGAGATGATAGTGACATGTCTGACGAGGGCGGTGATGGCGCTGACGATGACCTTGATGATGAACAGCTCGAGCAACAACGCCAGCTGCAACAACACCGAGAAGAAGTCGCTGAGCTGGAAGCTCTTATTCGCACAGAAACTGCAACATGGGAGAAAGTCACAAATCATATTCTGCGCAGCAAAATGGGTCGGCGAATCCAGGAGCTCAAGAAAGACCTGGAACTAAAGAAGGTCTCGATTGGAATGCCGGACGACAATGACGTCTAGTCTTCCTATTCAATTTCCAGCGATCCTATGCCTCTATACAAGCATATAGTAAGGTGCCATATTCTCATACTCTGATATCTTCCAACTATTAGTGTATCTTTTGGTTATCATGGAAGAAAGCCTGTTGTAGGGCGTGACGTCATAGAGCCATCAGCTCTTTCTCGAACTAGGAGTCGTTTATGCTATATATTTCTTCGCTCTTACCTATCCGTCCTTCGCACCCGTCATATTCACGCATGCGCTCATTGCATATACGGTCTTCTAGCGATCATTTGAACCACCGAGGGCACCGTCGGCATGGAAACCCGTCATCGAGCTGCACAGCCAGAACAACCCCCCAAGCAAGCTGCATACTCTCAAGCAGCAAACCCAGTCTCCCATACTCCCCAGGAACAGCGAGAATCTGCGCCTACAGAAAGACATTATGGTGATGCACTCGGCTCTATTACTCGACGAACCGCTAATTCCCAGCCATCAAACGATGCCGCTCGCGCTCGCCTCGATGAGGAACATAAGCAGGCAAAGCGAGAAATGCAAGACTCCCCAGATGTCGATTTAGAGTACGGAGTTGAGCAACAACCCGCAGAAGGCTACATCGCGGACTCTGTCGAGCGCAAGGGAATGGGTTTGCGCCGCGCCCAAGCTGGTGCGCATGCTGGTCCCGTTGGCAGTGCTGCCGGCCCCGGACACCCTGGATTTGGAGAGCAGGAGGATCTTGCGAGGAACCTGGACCAGAAGCGGGTGGAACATGACCGCATATTGGGTGATCGGATCGGGCGCAGCCCTGCAGGGCCTGAATACGATGTTGCTGACCGGCAGGCGGTCCGCCAGCGGCATCTAGCACGAAAAAACGAGATAGATGTGGAGGAGGCAGTTAAAGATACATCAGGATCATCTGTAGCGCATTGAATTTCGACATAAAATAAGAAACTATTTCGACCAAACCTTGCTTTCTCCTTGAAATTGCATCCAACTTGGATTCAACCATCACTATTCCATTGTGCCTGTGAGATCATCGAGTCACTCATATTCCATGAAAATTGCATCGTTAAGTCTTTCTGTCCGATGCTGTTCAGCTTCAGCTAATCCACACTACGCTGCCACAACTAATAGTCCATTAACTAGCTATTGAACTAGGGCGCTCGTCTTCAAGACTGGCAGGCAGACTGGATGACAAGGATCAACGAACCAACAACCAAACCACCACACACCACGCTGGAGGACGGGCTCCCCAAAAGGAAACAGATACTATCGGAATGAAAGAGTGAGTAGAAGTTTTATTTTTCTCTATCTGAGATGTGAAGCTATATTGGTAAAGACAGTGTGGTGGGAGGATGTCATCCAATCAGAAACAACTTATCGTCCGTTAGGCCGTTTCCCCACGACACGAAGAGTTATTGACTCGGAGTGAACTCTCCAGATTATGTCATCGCGCACGGGCCATGTAACCGCTCTGGAGCATGAAGTAGCATGTGATGCCGCGGAGCTTTGATTATAATTCGAAGAACCAGTCCCGAGCTGCCCGATCCTGGTTAATCGATGGGGATTTTTTAAGACGACAGGCCTCGGACCGGTTGATCTTATAATCACCATCAAACATCATCATGACCACTCTTTTCACAGTCCCGATCACCTCGACTGGAGGCTCCATAGTGTGCACCAATCCCACCGCGAGTAAAGGCAAAGAACAGCAGAATATCTATCTTCTAACCTTCACTTCGCCAAAAGACAATCGTTTGACTCCGACTTTCATTGATGCGCTGATTTTAGCGCTAGATATCATTGAACACCGCTATCCAAAAGGTGTCGTGGTGACTACCAGCGGTATCGCCAAGTTTTACAGCAATGGATTAGACCTGGAGCTTGCAACAAGCACAGAAGGTTTCCTGGATAAATGGCTCTGGCGGTTGTTCAGGCGATTTCTGACGTATGCATTTCTTCCGGTCAATTTTCAGGAGAAATGAATGCTAAATACTTTTTATTAAGATTCCCTATGCCGACTATCTGTCTGTTGAACGGGCACGCATTCGCAGGTGGCTTTATGCTCGCCATGTATCATGACTACCGGGTGCAGAATCCAGAAAAAGGATTCTTGTGTGTCAACGAACTGGAATTCGGAGTCCCTCTACAAACACCTATGATGGCGATCTTCCGCGAAAAGCTGATCCCCACCAGCTTCCGGAATGTGGTCTTGGAAGCGCGTCGATTTGGTGGCAAGGATTCGCTACAGGCGGGTATCGTTGATGCGGTTGGCGGTCTAGAAGAAGTCATTGAGCTGATTCTTAGTCGAAAATTGCTCAACAAAGCTGAAACAGGGATTTATGGCACCATGAAGGAGGAAATGTATTCACGAGTTCTCAATGGTCTCGATGACCATGTCGGGAACCTGAGTTGGCGAGACAGGGTCGAAGACAGAAATCATACGCTACAGAAGAGAAGTTTAGAAGATGTGGAGCTGTGGGAGAAAGCTAATAAAGCAAAGCTCTGAGGGTCTTATTAATGACATGTGTATTATCCCTCTATTGGCTTGTTGTATGTCACAAGCTTTAATTAATAGACCACATGAAAGCTGCACTATGGTCTCCTGAATAATTAAAGGGTGCTTTCGGACCTACTTCTTTGGTACATAATAGCATCCAACCTCCTGTGGATATATTACTCCAGGAAGCTCAGATCTCACCAGCTTTCTTCAATCAAAATCAAAAAATTTTATATGTACCGATCTTTACAATAGTTGAAGACTTGACTATCTCTTATGACTGGCAACTTGACGTAATCGTGATCAGTATACGCTATTATGGAACCATATAGGTTGACTTTTGCCCCGTCAAATATTTATAGTAGCTGGATCTCACCTCGGAGAACTAATTTTCAACATGATCAACACCCAGCCATTAACTTAAATATTTAACAAAAAAAAAACACAGTCACAATGGTATTTTTGAGATGCCTATCTTGCCGCCAAAGTAACCTCTTCGCAGATCGTTGTCAGAGGTTCTGGAGGACATGTAAAAAACCTTTCTCATCCCTATCATGTTGTACACTAATGTGAGTTTTTCAGTATATCTCAATAACGAGATAGAAGCTTGTCTTTCAAATGTTTTTGATGTTACAGTTGATGAGACATTGCTCCCCGCAGATTGTAACCACAGGTGTCGCAGTGAAGTGATTTATTTTCACGATTGCTGCTGGCAGCTCCTAATTGAGCACTTCAACAAGGATGAGCTCGACTTGGGGAAATTTTACCAGGCTTTTGTCATAGCTCCAAAGCCATATCTTTATCATATTCTGGGTTGGTGACTTACCTTCACAATTTTCTCCTGGGTTCCATTGGAACTAATGACACCGATAGACTATGATCATTGGCAATTTCTATCCCATGGATCTTGTGACACACCTTACTTTCCAATATTTGAGAAAATGGGCCGGCGGTGTCAACCTCTGCCAGAACCAGAGCATCAAGAACGACCAGCTACAATTCGATATTCCGGTGATCCATTCGCACGTTTTCCGCAAGAAATTATGGAAGAGTTGTTGAGTTATTTAAAAACTACTGACTTTTTAAAGTTCCGCTTGGTCTCTGCTGTGGCAGCAGATTTCTTTTTCAACCAGCATTTTTGGAAGACCAGATTTGCTCTCAACCGAGAGCGTGGGTTCTTAAACTATCTGGTGAAATATCCACAGGACCTTATTAAGAAGAGGCCATTACACCTGGACTGGCGTTGGCTCTACTTCAAAACAAAAAAGGTTCAAAACAATGAGCAGCTAATCAAAATGAAAGAATATTGGGAATGGAATATATGGTTGAAAGAGCGGTCTACTATGATTCCGAACCCTTGCAGTATTCCAGTTAGGAAAGTTCAGCGCAAAGCCAAGGGCCTACGTTGGAAGTACTTTCCTAGAGAACGAAGTGGTTATTTATCCTATAGGATACCTAAGTTTCCTAAATCTTGGGTTCAAGCATTTCACCAAACTATATTCTTGGATAGACCCATCTTCAAGATTGGAATTTCAATTCTCGATGAAGCCCAGAAAACATGGGTCACAGGAATCCAATTCTTATTTGGGGACAGTCACCCAAACGAGATTTTGGGGTTTCGAATACCCACAAAGGAAACATTCATAGACATCCCACCAGATCAACACCTGCGAGGATTCAAGCTTTCGTATTCTAGAAGGTTCAGTGGTGAATGCCAATACATCGTGGCAATTCAAATATGTACCGCGTCTCCCTCTGGCAACTCAAGCTTCCGGTCTTTGTGGGTGGGAGTTCCATCGCTAAATCTTGAGCATCGGATTACTCTATTCACAGATGCAAATATAGCTGCTATATGCGGAAGATTTGATGTGAGTTCACTCGGTCATTCATCAACTTGATGGTACTAACGATAACATCCGTACCTGTAGGACTGCAAGATGGTTAGAATGAAAATTGGGTTTTGATTGGGAGCAAAAGGAACATATTCCTGATATCAACTTCCCTGTCCCATTTTTGGATGTGTCTTTTTTGCTTTGATAGCTATCCTATGACGGGAGTTTCACTCTTAAAATTGGTTTATACACTTATTTAGTTGTTAAATTACGGGGGCCGGGTAAAAGTCGCATATATGGAGGTAACTTGACAGTCTTCCCAAAATCTGACAGCCGCAGGCCTTGGATTATGCGCATTTGTCACTCCACGCCATGCACCACACGGTCGTGTAGCCTTTCATCATGCTGACAGCTGTTTTTGTGACCTGCATCCTTGTCTCGACTGGCCCAGAATAGCAAAAAAAAGCAATATATGGATCTAGACGAGATAGACCCCTTCGCAAAATTGAAATCTAAGCTCACGGAGGCCCGATGTGACTAGTTTGTAATTCAATCACCTCCGAATTATAAAACACATTCGCCGAGTTTCCAAGGTAAAGCGAGGGAGGCCCTTCACTTGTGAAGGTTGAATAAATAGGCCAGGATATAAAACAGTCTCGTGCCCCCAAGTTCTGGACTATTACTTTGCTATACACAATCCAATTCTCATTAATCTATCTACTCAAAAGTATCAGGTAATAAATATTGAGAACCCCAGTTTCTCCATTTTCGATTTTCTTCCGATTGTCTAAGAGATTGGTATTGACTATTTGACTATCAGAGGAACGAAAGTCCAGGATGCGGCTCCAGTTTCTTCTCGCCCTCTTAAGCTTGGGAGGTGCCACCATTGCTGCCCCAGTGGCCAAAGAGGCCGGTTTGTCATGTCCTTTGGTGAGATATCTAGAGAAATGTCAAGCTAATCGAATATGGCAGGGGTAGGAAGCTCTGACGGAGGAGTTGGCGGCGGCGGCGGTGGAGGAGGTGGTGGTGGCGGTGGGGGAATTGGGGGAGGGTGGGGTGCTGGCATCGGCGCTGGTGCTGGTGGAGGTTTCGGGGCTGGTGGAGGTGCCGGTGGAGGTACTGGAGGCGGTGCAGGCGGTGGTTTTGGAGGAGGTGGAGGTGACAGCGGTTGGCGCAAGTAGAAGGAGTAGGTCTAATGATCTGAAACGCCAGATCGGCCGACGCATCCTCGTGAAATGATCATGCTCTTGTTCTTTCAAGATATCTCTAGTAGGTGTATTCGTGTAGTAAAGTACATCAAGTCGTAAGGTATGAAGTCATAAATCAAAAGCGCTGGTCCAAAATCATGGCTTCTTAGCCTTGGATGGCCGGGCAAGCCGGGCAGGTGTCCCTAAGTGATCAACCAGGGGCCGATATGGCGACGCCAACACATGCTCGGCGGCTGGCTCTCGTCGAGGCTCGCCTGAACTCGGTCGTCGCAGTTGCTCTTCATGCATACGGTCCAACGAATCGCCCATCACCTTATATTTGGCCCAATTGATTGGGGGCATTCGGACCACATTCTGTGGCGACGGTATGGAACCGAACTTTGATGCAGAGGGCTGGTTGCCTTCAGCATGTTTCTGGTCTTCTTGTGCATTCTCTTCTGTCTCCATGGCATCGTTGTCGGAGAACTGAATGATTGCCCCGCGGTCCTCCGTGCGCAAACGGCCCGCTGCCAACTCGCGCGCGAAGCCCTCTGGATCCGCGGCAGCAGCTTCTTTCAAACGATCCAGCGTTTGTATATCGCGCAAGCTTTGCTGCTTCTGTAGTTGCAGTATAGAGATCGCAGAGCGCAGAGCGATCGCATCTGGGTTCTCGCTCTCGGAGATCGGAACTGGGGGCGGCTCCGGTTTGAAAACGGGCGGAGCTGCTGGGGGAGGTGGTGCGCGGTATGAAGTCGTCGATTCTGGTACAACCTTGGATGTTGGTGAGGGCAAAAGAGGAGGTGGTATGATCGTGGCGTCGTTGGATGCAACTGGGTCGAGATGTGCGAACACCGGGGTCACCGGGGAATAGGGCGGGCGGGGTGGGGTGCCAGGTCGATCCTCTTGAAATGAAGTCGCAGTGCTGTCTTGCGCAGACTGCATGGTGATATAGAGGGGGAAAGTGCGTCAAGGCACCGTCAGGAGGGTATATCCTTCGTCTCTGTGAGAATGCCAGGCACGCTGTCTAAAGCGAAGTGCGGAATGAAGATTCGAAGGCTGGCGCGTTCCAGTGGTTCTGGGCCCGCGGCAAGTGACGACACCGACTTAAGCCTCAATGGACCCAAACCCCAACAGCGCTTCGACAACGCCGTGCAAAACAGGGAATGGTTTGATCTTTGAGAAATTAAGAAAATTCAATCTATGTGGATTTCTCTTTAAAAAAAACCCCCCACCCCCGCAACATGTCAGTCTGATAGGCAAGATATTATAGAGCTTCGCAGTTGCGGTAGGTTGAGGCTCTTAGCGCCCGGTACTTGGTCAGGGCACTAGGTGCGAATCACAGATGGAGCATCTGTTTCACTTTCACTTGGTTTCCCATGGCCAGAGAATGAAAGAAAATTATCAAACGAACCTTGAAAGCCTGAAGAGGAATGAACGCTGTCGTTGATAGTTGAGGAAGCATAACAGGAACCAACACCAGTTGACCGCCCAGTTGACGTCTCACCGCCCCAGAAAATTTCACGATCAGCCCACCGGCAACTATACCTTCCTCCGCCCTGACTACACACAAAATGAAGCGCAAGACTGTGGAAAGAGGCTCTCTTGATGGCAATGGCCTGCCGGAATCCAAGAAGCGTGCCCTCTCTAGCGAAGAGGCCGGTGCCCGCTTTCGTGATGGTCTGTTTGATGCCGCGGAACAAAAGAAGTATACCGATGCATACACCAAGTCTTCCCCGTATGTCTAGCACTAAATCCTGATTCCAATGGTCTCAGAGCTAATATGTTTGGGGGTCTAGGTATCTCCACGGTGTCATCTGTCCCTTAATCGAACCCTCCCTGCTACGGTCCGTCCGCGATGAGATTCAAGAGCACCTGTCTTTCACCGAGAAGGAGACCGACATCTACAAGATCTTCCAATCGGGCGATCTGGCAAATCTGGATGGTCTGGATGATTCTTCTCTTTCCAAGCTCCCGTCCCTTCTGAAGCTTCGTGATGCTATGTACTCTGCGCGCTTTCGCGAGTACCTGTCTTCCGTCACTGGCTCGGGCAAGCTGAGTGGGCAGAAGACGGACATGGCAATCAATGTTTATACCGAGGGATGCCATCTTTTGTGCCATGATGATGTTATTGGCAGTCGCCGCGTCAGCTATATTCTCTATCTTACCGATCCCGATACCCCGTGGCAGGCAGAATGGGGCGGTGCGCTGCGCCTATATCCGACCACAACCAAGAAGGATGCTAAGGGTGAGGATGTCAAGATTCCCAGCCCGGATTACAGCCTCTCTATTCCCCCTGCCTTCAACCAGTTGAGCTTCTTCACTGTCCAACCTGGCGAGAGTTTCCACGATGTCGAGGAGGTATATCACCACCGCGAGGGCGAGGATAAGTCCAAGAAGCGAGTGCGCATGGCTATTAGTGGATGGTTCCACATCCCACAAGAGGGCGAAGATGGATACGAGGAGGGATTGGAGGAGAAACTTGCTGAACGTAGCAGCCTTGCCCAGCTCCAGGGCCGCGGCGACTTGTACGACCTACCTCAGCCGAAGCCAGTCTCTTGGGAGGAGCCAGAGGTAACTGGCAAGGGCAAGAGTAAGGTAGAGGAACAGACAGAAGGCAACGAATTCAGCGAGTCTGACTTGGAGTTCCTTGTCCAATACATTGCCCCGTCATACCTGACTCCCGACATCGCAGATGAGATGTCCGAATCATTCTCGAACGAGTGCTCTCTCAGCCTCGAGCAGTTTCTGAATGAGAAGTTCGCCTCTCGTGTCAGCGCATATATTGAAGAGCAAGAACGGGAGACTCTGCCCACCTCTTCCGATGAGATTCAGGCTAAGACTGGGTGGACTGTGGCCCGGCCGCCGCACAAGCACCGGTATCTGTACCAACAATCCGCGGAGGGCCGCGCCGAGAACCCAATCACGGAACTCTTGAACATCCTCTTCCCCTCGCAGCCGTTCCGAAAGTGGCTCGCTCTTATTACCGGTGTTGACCATCTGAAGAGCCACAATCTGCTTGCGCGGCGCTTCCGTCGTGGTGCAGACTATACTCTAGCCAGCGAGTACGATGGCGAAGAGCCGCGCCTCGAGTTTACGCTTTGTCTCACTCCAACTATTGGCTGGGAGAAGCAAGAAGACGGCGAAGAGGACACAGAGGATCAAGACGGCGAGGATGTGCCGTCCAAGCCCTCGGCCAAGGATGAGTCCTCCGAGCATCCTTCCGTGGGTGGCTATGAGATCTATATGGCCGGGGATGAAGATGAAGAAGAGGACGAAGAAGACAATGAGAACGCAGACGGAGTGCCTCAACCGAAGAAGGCAAAGGCTGACCCCGCTATCTACCGTTCTGCCGGTGCTGACGAGGATGACGGTATCCTCTTCAGTACACAGGCCGGCTGGAACCGCCTTAGCATTGTCCTGCGAGATATCAACACGTTGAAGTTCGTCAAGTACGTCAGTGCTGAGGCCAAGGGTGACCGGTGGGATATCACTGGCGACATTGACGTGGAGTTTGATGACGATGAGGACGAGGACGACAAATAAGATGGTTTTCTGGTGACATGGATGATAGGGAACAAGTAGATTGTTGGTTAAATTTCCTTTGACCATAATGCACAAAAGTCTAGGGCTTTGTAGATATAGTATTTAAAAATATGCAAAGATTGTTCTCGTCTTTTTCATTAAAGAGATGCCAAGTGGTATTTCTACTACATGTCCTCCTTATTCAATATCCGTGGAACTTGCAATCTCGTTCATTTGCGTTAAGTTGTGTTGCAGCTCATCCACCTTCTGTTGGAAGCGGTTGAGGCAATCTGGGCCAAGTGGCAATCGCAGCAGGTTCTCCTTTCCAACACCCATAGCTGTGCCAGTCACAACTTCCAGGATCCTCTGAGCCCCTTTCATAGGGTCACCCGGTTGCTTGCCTTTCGCTGACCTGAACTTCTGAAGCGTCGCATCCAGTGGTGTCCCGGTATAATCCTTGTTATGACCTGCAGCCGGCTCGACAAATGCAGAGAGGAAGTTTGTCCGAAACGCGCCGGGTTCAACAAGAATGACTCGAATTCCAAAGGGTTGGAGCTCTTTTGAGAGACTTTCAGACATTCCTGCATAGCTTTTAAGCATCTCTTGTGGCTTTTGTATCTTCATGGTTAAAATAGACGGGAGGCTTACCTTCCAAAGCAAACTTTGACCCCGAATATATCGCACAAGAAGGCTGCGCATGAATACCAGCAATGCTGCTCACATTGACGACAGTTCCGGATCTCTGGGCCCGCATGAAAGGCAGTGTCCCTTTAAGTACGCGTACAGGACCAAACACATTCGTACTGAACTGTGTCTCAATCTCGCTCTCGCTCATATCTTCAATGCTCCCAAGCAGAGAGTAGCCGGCATTATTAACAACCACGTCAATTGAGCCCCCAGCCTGGAGAATTGCGTTTTCAACCAGCTTTGTGGTTTCGCTGTCTGTTACGTCAAGTTTTAACCATGATCCCCCAAGCTCCTCAATTTGTGGGTTGTCTTGAGCTGCTTTGGCTGGGTTGCGTGCTGTTGCAATTACCTTATGGCCAGCTTTGAGAGCGGCTTCGGCAATTGAGGTTCCAAGCCCAGATGATGCACCAGTTACTAGCCAGGTCTTTCGATCCATTGCGAGTCCTTTTATGGATTCAAGAATGAATATTGTGTTGCGGGTACTCAAACACAATAGCAGTCGTGCCGGCTTAATTGCTTCAATGCTGGTAGTGTTATTTCAAAATAGACATGTAGAAAATGCACTACTTCGTGATTCTTATATTCAGAGTTCAGAGCAATAGGATCCACATTTACGCCCCATGACAGCGGGGCTCCCGGACTTAAGCCTTGTGCTCTTATCATATGAAATGTCAGTCAATTAAATCGGACTTAGCGGGGCTAAACTCAATGTCCGGCCTGGGACGATCCATAAATTAGTTATAACAACTGCTGCACGGTTATCAAATCCAAAATACACATATCAGGTCCAACTATCTTTCTTCTAGAGATTCCCATACTCATCACACACGTCAATCAACTTCTCCAGAGTTTCAGTCTCTGATGCCGAATGTCCCGAACTTTGCATCATATACAATTTTGATTGTGGCAAAGCTTTGTGCAGAATTCGCGCGAACTTAGGCGGGCAAAGGAGATCCAGCCTCCCCTGAACGATACTCGTCGGGATATGTCTGATAGCTTCCGCATTCTGAATCAACTGGTTCTCCGTTAAAAAGTTCTTGTGCGCAAAGTAATGCGTAATGATTCTCGCGTAGGACAGAACCCAGTCCTCGTCTTCCAGTTCGACAAATGTCTGTGGCCCAGAATCCACGGAGCTCATGCTGAGCTCTTTTATATTCCATGCCCTGGCCGCTTCCACGCATCTTTCCTTGTCTTTGGACGTGATCCGTTTGTAATATGCTGATATCGCGGACATATGGTCGATCCGCTCTTCTGGCTCGAGAACGTCCCAGAATGCCTCCTGGAGTTCGGGATAGAAATTTGCAGCAGCTTCCTCGCTCCATTCAAGCTCTTGCTGGGTCCCCAGGAATACTCCACGAAGAACGAGGGAGCCAACTGCTTCGGGATGCCCTTCTGCGTAGGCGACGGCCAATGTGGAACCCCATGAGCCCCCGAACACCATAGTCCACTTGTCGATCTTCAGATGGGATCGCAATTTTTCAATATCGGCAACAAGGTGCTGTGTGGTGTTCTTGCGGATATCTCCTCTCGGTATCGATTTTCCGGCTCCTCTTTGGTCAAAAAGCACGACTCTATACACTGCCGGGTTGAAAAATTTCGTATTTTCTTTCGTGGCTCTGTCTCCGGGTCCGCCATGGAGATATATTACTGTTTGCGATTAGAATTATCCAAAATAATGGTGACAAGGACAAGGAAGATAAGGTCAAAATACCTGGCTTGCCATCCATGGAACCATACTGCTCATAGTGAAGGGTGTGAATGTCGTCGACTGGAAGCCAGCCCTGGTCAAAGGCGTCGGCATGGCTATATCCAGAGGATCTTCCCATTGTCGAGTCTATGTGTTGAGGCTATATGGATTCTCACTTCGTGACCGATCCTACTCGCGATTGCAAATAGAGCCAAGATACTGACTGGAAGAGCAATTTTCACTGATCATGGATTTTCTCACACCCAAAGAGCTTAAATCGGATGCAACTATGATTCATCAGGCAGTCGCGCAATAGGCCATCGATGCGGCCCCCAAACGCGGCCCCCAAACGCGGCCGTAGATTGGGGCCGGCCCCAAACCTAAACGATGGCAATAGCCATCCCACGTTGCCAACAGGAAGCCTCTCCTCGCTGCAGGGTATATACTGTGGTATGATTGGAACCTCAGACTATTTTTGATCCTTTCTTGTCTCAAGCTCAATTCCTCAACGAATAGCGAACATACAGGGGTTAAACGTAGTATATATTGACGGCAGGGTTCCATCTTCAGCCGCAAACCTTCTTTGCACCTTCCTATACTTTATCCTCGGTCCTTCTCAACAGACGGCCCATTTTCAAAAAAAAAAAAAAAAAAAAAAAAAAGAAAACCCTTTTTTTCGAAGAGAAGGGAAAAGCGTAGAAGATAATTAGATATTTCGAGACCTTGGACCCTACGTTTTCTTTGGAATGAGCTAATCACCGTAGACATGGGCTTCTAGGGCAGCAATCTTAAAACATGTTTGAAAGAGGAGTATAGACCGTTTACATATATATACATATATATATAAGAAAGTGTTTAGAGTATCCATGACCTCTCCAGGCACAAAATTCAGCACCGTCATTCAAAAATTAACCTCCTCGAGTCGGTCTATAATATATATACTTGTTTATCAATACTTGAATATATTTTTCCATCTAGCTTGGAACTCTTCCTACATCTTCAAGAGATACTCGAATATAGAGAAGCGGACATTCGACTCCAGACAGCACACCAGACATAACACTTTAGAGTAGAATTGAAACCAGGGCCAAGCCCAATCGCCGGACATGACAGGCTATGATCTCCAGGACCAGCCCGTAGTGCGTCACTGTGCACATCGCCACAAGCGGGAGCGTGTTGAAAATAGCAATGCGGGTCGTCCTATCCTCGTCCGGGTTGCATCGCATGATAATTAATCCCTGGTACAGCCATTCCTACCCCGGTAACCAAACAGACATACATGAGGACCTATTCCCAGGGCGACGGGCGTCCCAGCGCAACGCTGCAGTCCCCTAACATGAAACCATCTACACCGAACTAGGCCTTCCCCCCCCCCTCTCCACCCCAGCGGCTATTGAATGGGCCCGGGGCTTTGAATTCGGGCGGCGGGATGATCCCGCTTTGCACGGCCCTGGCGGTAGTTGAAACCCTGTGGAACCATGTCGGCGCTAACACGCTCGCCGCCGGGCAGGGCGGGCGGGCTACCGGGCGCAACGCCCCCAACCTGAAACAAACCACATGGCTGGGAGAGCGAACAGAATCATTTGGAGACGATGGGCTCTGAGTCACTTGGGAGAGGGAAAGATTGAACAAGGACCAATAATTGGCATGGCTTCTAGAGGGGAGGGGATGGGAGGGGGAGATGGGAGGGGGAGATGGTGAAACTAGACAAACAGGGCCCCCTTGTTTATGGATGAATGTGTATGTATAGATGTCACCAGCTACGGCATTGTTACGGGTAAGGATGGTACATACGGGCGTACTGGGTACGGGCCCTCTGGATGTAGGGCGCTGTCCCAGACAAACTTGAGGGGACTCGAGCTGTGAGACACGGGGAGAGTCGCTAAGACCAGTGGAAGACTGCCGGATGCTATCCGCGGCATCTACTGTTTCTGTCGGGACGCAATAATGTCGGATCATCAATAGCCCTGGGGTCTGCGGGTGAGGTAGCACCAGCACGCGAGGACGCCAGGGGGAGGGATTAGGAGGACCCGTCGCAGCGAAACACCATCCGATCAGCGCTGGAAGGGTGGAGAGAGAGAGAGAGAGAGAGAGAGTCAGATCCCAGGCGACTGGGTCCAAGAAGCATCGTTACCCCAAGGGCAGGGGGCGGATGGAAAGCGAGAGCGAACGCGGATGCGCCATGGGCCAAGGGAGGGGAAAGCATGGAATGATCTACCAATCCACGTCGCGACTCCCACAGCTCCGGGATCAAGGCCCGGATGATCGACGGTGGGTGGTAGCGGCGGCTGTTTCTCCGGCTCGAGTGACAAATCACGATATCGGGTCTTGGCGAGGAGAAAGGAAGGGATCTTGACCCAAGGGCGGCGCTGGTGCGGTGTCAGTGCGGTGTCGGTGCGGTGTCGGTGCGGTGCTGGTGCGGTGTTGAGGGACGATGGGTGGTGGTGGATGATAGTTCCGCGTGGGAGGCACCACGACGCCATGGATCCGTAAGGAGGGCCATTGATACAGCGTGGCTGTGGAATGGGAGAGGCCATGTTGGCGTTCCCGGATGAGGACTATTGGCATGGCCAACTCTATCTCGTGAAGTGGAGCCTCCGGCTGATCCAAACTCCCACCACACGGTCCCCTTGGAGGCTGAGTACCCACTCTCCACGCAGATCCAAGACGAGAGGGAGCCGGGGCGCTACAAAGTCGCAGCGACCATTCCTCTGGACAGGCTGACGTACTGTTAAGCTCCAGCGGTTCTGGGGAGCCAAGAATGGAATCACTGCTACCGTCCCCGAGTATGTGAGTGTGTGGAGAAGGTCGAGGGGGCAGAAACATGCTGCAAGGCTACGGCGCCATGTGGCAATCCCGCGCGAGGCGATGATAGGCGTCGCGAGTCGTCATGAGTAGACAGATCAGGCTGATCAGGCCGATCAAGCTGATCGAATTGATCGAGTTGATCGGTCCTCGTCCGGAAACTGAAACCTACACACCTCCAGTGGCGGTGCGGGTCTCCATCAGCAGCCCACCCCGATCATCCTGGTTGTTATTGGGCGGGCACGAAGGTACGATGCCCGACGAGAATAGTGCGAGTGATTCGGAGAGGGAAGAAGGGCTGAGGAAGACCGTTTATTCCTGCTGCCTGCTCCACGCCGCGTCAACGGGCTCCATTTACGTTTATACCTCGTATTTTCGTATACTCAAAGTGGTGACGGGCGGTATGGGACCTGATACCCTGCCCGGGTCGAGACTACGACACCAAAAACAAGCCCACCAGGAAGCAGTGAATCACATCGACCGGGGAAAATATTTGAACAGGTCTCTCGATCCAGGAGACAACCCAGTCGACCACGGTGGAGTCCAGGCTCAGAAGCAAACCACAGCCCAGGCAACAAGAGCCGGGGTCGAATCGATACATCCACCCGTCACAAACAATCAGACAGCCAGCCACGGCCAAACGCCCACCGACTTTGCAGCGTCCAAATTACCCGGTCGCCATTCTAGCCGCTAGTGGTCGACTTGCAGGGGAGGCGTAGAATGGCTGAGACCGTCCGGTGGAGGCTCCTCCTCTCGCCTCGACAATATACGTAGATCTTCTAGATGGTACATTTAGTCCATAGAGGTGTGATACATCGGGTCCTCGATACGGACTGATACGCCCCGGATCGAGGGACTTTCCGAGGCTTCTAGAGCCTGCGCCTCGGGGGGAGAAACAACCAACGGCGGGGAGGGAAAGCTCTGAGGCGGTTCGGCAGCTCGGGCAGCGAGCCCTAAACCCAACCACGATCAAACTCGAGCCCAGCGCCAAGATACTGTCCGGTATGTAGCACAGAATCCCAACAGAAAACTCCAAACGGTGGCCAGGATGGACCTGGGGTCTGGGGATACGACACCACATGCAGTCTACCGGCGGCGAACAAGAGCAAATCTCCCCAACAACCAGCAGAAAACCGAATGGAGCTTGCCTCCCCCATAGCCGCGGGGGTGCGGGCCCTGCTGGGCCGGTAGCACAGGGCCCGCTGCGCGTACCCATCTGCCAACTCCGTCGATTGGCACACAAAGCCCCAGTGACATTCGGCCAAACGCATGGTCGCCGGCCCGAGTCGTGATCTTGCTCAAGCTTCTGCTTGTGAACGGGCTCCACGCGGCGCGCGGACTGGGGAGGCAAAAATAAAAAGGAGGGGTGCGGTGTCACGCTTGGCGCCGGCGATTTTAGTTCTACGCGAAGTGGTTGCTGCCCGCGTCCGGTGGTGGGACGAGGGAGAGGGGGGAAACGGGAGAGTCCGGGAGAGGAGAGAATGCGACTGGAAGAACCTATGGACTGAACCCGGCCGATTGAGGGGAGACCATCACGGTTTTGGCTGCTGCTTGATCGGTTAGGGAGAGGGAGGGATACTAGGCAGATACCAGTCAGGAACCAGGTCAGAAACTGGGGCTGCAGACACTCGAGTTAGACCAGGCAGTAGTCCTGCTGTACCTAGGAGGGAGAATGGTCCGACCTAGTGAGCTTGCCAGCTTCACCAGGAAGGTTCTGGGAGACATTGCCGGGAGGCAATCATTTGCCATGTGTGGGACGGAGGGTTACGCATCGTGAAGAAGCGTGGCGTGTGGGTTGGGTTAGACAGGTCTTGCATGGGGAGGGGAATTGAGGGTGAAAGAGGACATGGAGCGTATGGAGCGTATGGAGCGTATAGAGGAGGGCATTGAGGACATAGAGGACAGGGAGCGTTTAGAGAGTTTAGAGGGGGTTCGAGCCAAGTACAGAATATAGTCTATCAACAACCCTGCCCCTGTGTACCGGTATTATGGGTATTGTCAAGGTCGGTCCGTTAACTATGATCGTCGATGCTGAATATTGGGAATAATGGGAATACTGCGAGTACCTGCGAGTGCTGCGAATGCTGGAAATACTGGAGAGGCCAGGGTATTCTCGCATCATGGAGCAGAAGAGTCCGAATCAAGGGTCAACCAGGAGAGGGGAGCAGTCCAATCGCAACTATAGCGCACCCCTGTTGGGGCGGGATGTACCTGGTACATCCCAGACCCTGCGTTGCGACCAGTCCAGCCAGAGTATCCGGGACATCTCCTGCAGCTGCAACAATCCCTGTTGTCCGGTCGGCCATGTGTCCAACGTCGATGGGAAATGGGGATTAGCGCGCTTTACTCTCGCCCAGGTTGACCACCCTCCCTTTCCCCCCCTCTTCTCCCCGGGTGTAAGTTCGTGATAGTTCCTCCCTCGAAAGATGATATGTCAGGTTGTTCCAGGAGCTCATCCTCCACCGACACCTGCAAGGAGCCCAAAGAGCCCAAAGAGCCCAACGCCCTGGACACCCCTGAGGCCGATCATTTGCCACGTGAAGGGAGGGGGGGGGGAACTACTGTTTCTGGTCTGGTTTTGTTTTTTTTTCTTATTTTTTTTTCTTTTCTAATTTTGTCATTTTTGGGAATTTCTGATTATTGATAGTGCAGGTTCGTGTTCTTCCGCGGGGAGGTCGATTCGGTATCGTACGCCGTCCGGCGATACCAGAACGGTATTGAGAGCCCTTCCAGGCCTTCTGGACAGGGATTATGGTTTGAGTTTACAATAGAACACGAGGCCAGCCGGGATGGTCCCCAACCTTGTCTCTATCTCGCGCGACTGTTTGTATTGGGGGTCGTCTTTCCTCTATACATGGACTCAATTTGATCCTCACCGTCCCGTGGATCGCAGATCGCGGATCGCGCGGAAAGGAAAGTGCCGCAAAACCACGTTGCACTGACCATGACGTGAAGACTATGGTCATGATGTAATGGAGAGAAAGAACTGCAAAAAAAAAAAGTGAAGACAGTAGAGACAACGAGGCTGGATGAGACCATCAATTTGAGGGTTACCACATCGTGGGGCTCCTTGCGTCGCCCAGGGATTTTCTCCAGTGACCCTGCGAAATACCGGCATTTGGCGTTGCGCGCAGGTGGTCTGCGCTCCACGACACCTCAGGGATCGGAGAATGCACGTCCTGTTGGAGATCATGATTGATGTTCCTTCTTTTCGTTTCTTTTCTTTTCTTTTCTTTTCTTTTTTTTTTTCATCTTCTTGTTCTCGAAATGATTGTCGGACGAGACATGGAACGGATCTGCGAGAGGAAGTCAGGACGGGCTATTGGCCTGAAACTCGATTATCGTCTACACGGTGATAAAATAGCGAATTATGAAATTTAGGTTTAATGACTATGATTATTTTATGATCTATTGCATTCACGGTGGCATACATTTCATCCATTGCTAAGTTTGTGTGTTTCTACTGAATATGGCGGGCGATTAGGGTTCAGATGAATTGGAATTCGATTGCCTGTTTTTAAGGTTCTGAGACGATGGTTATTATGGTTATTTTCGACTTTCTTTTTTTTAGGCTTTTCCTGCCATGCGAGGAGGATGGAAGAGCAACCACGGATCCACTTCCCGGTTGGTTTCTAGGCCATCCTTGCCCTCCAGTTGGAGGACCAGCGAAGGGAGGTTTTGCCCGTGCGGTCGCTTCCATCTCTTTTCCCTCCGGAAGTTTGTGATCGAGTTCATCGAGAAAAAAAAAGGAAGAAAGAAAAAAAATAAGAAAAAGAAAAAAAAAAAACAGAGAGGGAAAAAAACCGCAGTTGTTCATTGTCAGTAAGAGTCGAGGAGTAGAGGACGATCTCCGGGACGCCGTTCTTCGGGCAACTACGCCGACCGATACGGGAATCACGGTTCGGTTCTGAACCTGAAGCAGGACCAGCTCCGACACGGGAAAAATCCGCCATGCTGAGAGGTATAGGGCATTTCAGATTGGAATATTGGAATTGTGTCTTGGGGCGGATTACGTTTCAATCGCACTAGCAAACGATATACTTTGGGTTGAAAAAAATTCCGATTCCCCAAAACCCCCCTTTGGAAACCAGATGTAACTTCAAGGGAATCCCTCTAAACCACCTCCATCATTTCTTCAGACTCCCTTGCCTGGTCCCCAGAAAGGTCAGCCTCGTGGCACACAAGGTGGAGCGTGTGTTGCGCGCAGTAGCGCACATCTGGGGCTTGGCGCATGGTCACCGTTCCTCCCGTACGGTATCCCGTACATTCCATGTAATTCGGGGGTTTTTCTTTCACCTTTTTTTTACCTCATGGTATTGTATGGATCAATGTCTCGAGATCGAGGTATGTGATGGTGACCGGGGGGTGGGAATTGTTTGCCTGGCTCATGGCTGACGGGCGTGCCCCGGAGCCCCGAGTCATGGCGAAAGGGATGCTGCGTTGTGCCTCGCAACATCCACGTAAAAACCCTATGTGAAAAGAAATCCGAAAAAAAAGGAAAAAAAAGAGGCACGTCGGCAATAGTAGGAACCCAAGCTTGTTTCTATTTTTTATTTTTATTTTTTATTCCTTTTTTCGTTTTCTAGTTGCTCTTCGTAAGTAGGCGATTTGCCTCCTTCGTACTGCCTGCTGGGAAGGAGGTGACGGATGGGAGTATAGAGCCGAGTCTGAGTACATAGTGATTGTATTTCTGGTCCTGTCACTGCTCCGGATCTGAAGAGGAAAATCGAAGCTTTCACATTTGAACGTCGTCAGCTTGCCTTCTGGGCTCTTCGGTTCCCTTTGTCTGCCGATTGCCATACTCCTCGTATTCACCCAGCGTTGCTCACGATCTCTCACGGCATCGCTGTGCTTCCTTCCGAGCCCCGAATCTCAGCCGTTGCCCCGTCCCCACGGTGTCATCAAGACCCCGGGCGTGTTGCCTCAAACAGCGGTTAAGTTTGGGACTCCCCCCCCCCCCCCCCCCCCCTCGTCCGCTCCCAACCCGTTTTTGGTACTCTCCAGCGTTTACGGATTTGATTCCCACGTTGCCGTGGAAGTTGGTCCACGCAGGCCGGGGGAGTTTGTATGCCCCTATCCACACCTCCCCAGCAACGCCTGGGATCTTGGGATCTCCATGCTGGATTGACCCTGATTTGCATCGTCCGCACTCCTCGACTTTTCTTCTTCGCGTCCCTTAGGAGGGGTGGAGGATTCCAGTGATTATTCATCATCGTCATCCTACTGAAGTCCTGCCAACCCAAAAACCCAAAAAAGGTACCGGGGCCCCCACCAACTATACCCACTATACCGTACCGTTCTGACCATACTGTATCGTCCCAGGTCGGTTTGGCTCATCCAACCTTCCCCGGTTCGAAAGTCAATAAAAAAGAACTGAACGTTCTCGAGTGATCGCAATACATTTTAGCGTGAGATCGTCTCCTTCCCCCTCCCCTCAAACCACAATCCTCACAGGCCAACATCCTTCCCCCCCTCCCTCCCCGATCGGCCTTCTCGAGGTTCCATCGGGCCCCGTCAAACCGCTCTCATCCCTACACTTGACCCCGTCCACGGGTTACGACTGCTACCACTTCCACTCCCACCTTCACTCCCTCCGCCCCCCCCCCCTCCTCCTCCTCCTCGACGCTGCCCACTACTCACTACTACCTCATCCTCCTCAAAAGATATCCTCAAAAAAAAAACCCCACCACAATTCCTGTTGGCACTTCTTTCATACTTCCCTACACCTCCAACCTCTCTGTCGCGCCTGTCGGTTCCATTCTTTCCGCCGCTGGATTACCGAGTCCACTTTGCGCCCCGTCATCCTCTCCAAACACCGCTTCAGATCTTCACATTTGCTGTTCACAGTCGTTACCACCATTGTCATCGATTTGGTTTTCTTCTGTTTCATTCGCCTCAATTGGATCACTGGACCCTGCCTGGGAACATGCGATAGTGTTTTGACAAAAAAAAAGGTCTCCCTCCCTCAACTACACCTGGACTGTGGACGGACTTTACCGAAACGCTCGATCGGACCTGGACGCCTGTGACTCTAATTGAAGAACCTCTCCCCGGAAAAACGCGAGCCTTCTCACCATGGATTCTATCGCCCACCGGCCGTGGGAACCCGTGTCGGGACCCCAGACACCCGCGGCCTCGAATCAGACCCTCCCCTCGATCTCGACATTGACCGCGAACATGAACGGCGCCGGCGTTAATGGCGCCGAGAAGTCGCCTGGGAACTCCTCGCTGAACACAATTGAACGCGACTCGGGAAATTGGTCAATGCCGCAAAGCACAAGTAGGAATCCCCCCGGAACCGATTGGGAGCGGCATGCTGACCCTCCAGGATCCTCAACCTACTCGACCACGACCAATGGCACCGGCAACAACTATCCCTCCCTCACCTTCCTGACCTCGACCTCACAACCCTCGCCCAATCGCGGCCACGTCGCGCCCGATCGATCCCCCTTTGGGCATGACCATTCGACGACCACCACGCCGTCATCTGCCGGCGCGCAACAGCCATCCCCGAACTTCAACACCTCCCAGCCGAATTCGGCCTTGCCGTCCATTAACCAAAATTTCGATGCCTCATCGCAACGAGGGAGCGTAGTGGAGGTTCCTGAATCACGGCGGAGCAGTGTGGACAGTCGGATGAACCAAGGGATTAGCTCTCTGGCGATCAACCCGGCCTCGCCCTACCACAGCACCAATGCGTCGCAATCATCGATTGTGTCCAGTCTGCAACGGGAACGCGGGATCTCCAACGATATGAACTCATACCGGGGACCTCGGTATTCCGGAGGGAGCCAGCCGCTGTCCCCCTTAGGTCCACGCCCCGGGGAGCATCGTAGCTTTGCGGCCGGGCGGACGGCCCCTGCAATTTCCTCCAACCCTCGATCTGAAATTTACAATGCCGAAGCGCCCACCGCGGGTATGGCTTATGCCTTCCCCGACCCTGACGTCGCGCGCTCAAGCTCCATCTCATCCACCGAGAAATCCAACCCACCGTTCTCTCGGAAAGGTAGCACAGCAGAATCCCTGAGTAGCATGTACTCAGAGCGCATGCCACGGGGACAACACGGTAAGTTCAGTCTCAATCCAATGGTGGCTTGTTCAGCTCTTTCGGGGAGTTGGGGGAATCATTTGATGATACTTATGGATACTCATGCTTTGTTTCAGAACTGCCGCAGAATGTTCACCATCACTCGCTCCAGCACAAGCAAGTCCGGGATTTGATTGGCGAATCAGAGTCTGCCGGCGGTAACACTCCGTACAGTCGGACCCCCGAATTGCGTGTCACCCATAAATTGGCCGAGCGAAAACGGCGAAGCGAGATGAAAGACTGTTTCGAAGCCCTACGCATGCGACTCCCGCAAAGTCAGAACAACAAATCTAGCAAATGGGAGACCTTGACGCGTGCTATCGAGTACATCAGTTCCCTGGAGAAATCGCTCGGCCAAATGCGGCGCGAGAACTCGGTCTTGCGCACTGAGATGGAGGAAATGCGGGTCCAAATGAGCCAGCAACAGGCCAATGGCCCCTCGCGGACCCCTTCCATCTTCGAGCACCATCCGATGTCTGCGACTCCGACCAATGGACAACCGCCCGGTCCGGCCTTCTCGGGATTCGGCAATGGGTCCGTCGTGCCCCAGGAGCAGCCGCGCACGTTGCCACCTCTGATGAACGGCTCCGTAGCTCCGATGCAGGGAATTCAATATACCGACGAGCGACGATAGGAGAGAAGACTTCGATATCTCTTTCCACGTATCTTTCTTCTCCCCATGAGCGTCACGGATGAGAAATGACCGGTCATGCTGCAACATACACACCCCACCACGACTCCTCCTTTTCACATTGTCATTCTATATATCCCTCCTGCTTTAGATCTGGACCTCGGACCGTCTTCTCAACCGATGTGACCATGACCATGTTGATGAGAGAGACTTGGGGTCTCTGTGACCTTTTCTGTCTTTTGCTCTTTTTCACTCATATTCCTATGTGTGTGTTTCTGTCTTTTTCCCCTCTCTGGGTGTGGCTGTTTGTTCCAACCTCTTTTTTTTTTTTTTGTCATCAATCATACCCGCAATTCCTCTGTGCTGCTTACTTTGCTTTTCTTTTTTTTTATGGTTTGCTATCGAGTTTGCGGTCCTGATCGACCGCCTCGACATCATCGGTATACTGCATCTTTTGGACATGATGGGGTCACTGGGACATGGGTTATCGGCATCTGGGATCGACGTTGATTTTGTCTACTTTTTTGTTTCCTTTTTCTTTTTGTGCTTGCCTGTTGAAAGTGTACCAAATATCCCAAAACCGTACGCGTGGCACATTGATATCCTTATACGTTGTGTTTGTCGGTGCTGGATCCAGCGCGACCGATCAATTGAAACTTGGGTTCACACCTCATCTATTTTCAAACACTTTAATAAAAAGTAAATTTGGCTACATGATCCCTGATCACTTTTGTCACCCCCCAAAACGGCCGGATCTATTTTAGGGGGCCGGCCCCCGATTGGCTCTCCAAGCGCCCGCCCACTTGGTCAGCGCGTAAATGCCGGCCCCAGACTGACCCCAAACATCCAATCTGCCACTTGCTCTCCACCTCTCCCTGGTGATCCTCTGCCCTGATGCCCAATCATCGAAGGAGACATCCTCGCTGGGGGAATAGCTTGTCGGGGGTTTCTGCAGACTATGAGCTAGACCCCTGCTCATTGGCACCTGTCGGTGGACGGCAGGATGCTCTAGATCGTGCTAGCTCCACTTGCAGCACCAGGATGACTGCAGAACTGGAGCTTTGGATTCCTTTTAATCAGATTCTTCAGCCTCTCGCTGACGTTTCTACTTGAGATCATCTACTTCTTGATCTGAGTTTGAGCTTGTTCATCCTTGTTTTTCTTTTCCTTTGTTTCTTCTTCTAGCTCGACCGCTGCTTTATTACGTGGACAAGTGAATGCATCCCCGGGGCGTTTGAGTTGACTATATTGTTTCAGGCGTCAAGACAAAGGCATATTAATAGCAACACGCGCATTGTTATCTGTTTTGTTTGGTCTCGCAGCAAAAAGCTCTCTTGAACCTTGCCCATCTTCATCTCTTCTCCCTCGCGACATTACGACAGCCCCTGCAAGCATCAACACATCAGCAAACCATCATATACGCTTTCATTCTCACTGAGATGCCGTCTTCTCGACGCCGTTTGCCTTGATCAGCATCACAACAACAACAATAACAGCATGACCTCTAGACGGCAGATACCACCCAAACTGCATCTGCCCGGTCCCACTTGCAACCCCAGCTTCCCACTCTCGTCCCCTATTAGCGAGGAGATCTTCACGCCCCTCAGCGAGGACCTCTTCACGCCGACAGTCGAGGACAAAGATTTGGAGCGCAGTCGACCCTTCGAGTTTCTGTCCCAAGCCACCAAACAAAAAGCAGAGCCCAAGGCCGAGGCGGCGAGAGACCGCATCCGCATCCCCAGTTTCTCTCACCGAGACCGATATGCGCCGGACAAAAGAACAAGTATCGGTGAGATTGGGAAGAAGAAAAAGAATGGAGGGAAACTACCTGGACTGAATGTGATTACCGATTTTTCCTCTCGGTCTACGTCCAAGAAGCAATCTAGCGAGGAGTTGAATGCGCCGTTCGTCGATCTGAACGACTTGAAACAATTGTCCAAGAAACGGGGCCAGGAACGGTCTGCGCAGGCAGCTCCAGAGCTTACGGAGGCACCACTGGCCTCGAATACGTCTCAAAAGGGATCCACGCAGTTATTCCGCCAGCTGCCCGAGCAAACGAGGCAGTTGCAATATGGCAATCCTTTTCTCGACCCGAATCCCTTCGCCGATAGGCATGGCCTCGGCCTCTCGCCGTCTGATCGTCATGTCATGATTGGCTTGAGTGTGCCGGCGCATGAATCGGAAGAACGGGCGAAAGAACACGACACGGGCAACACGCCTCTCACGCCGACGATCGTCGTCACGCCGGCCTGCACAGATGTCGCTGTAACCCCGGCTCGTACCGAGTTTGCTTTGTCTCCGACCTATTCGGAGTTCGTACAGGGCCCTGTTGGCGGAAACATTGTTCTGAGCTTGGGACACTCGGAAAATTCCATGTCAGCTACAGTTTTGGAAACTGGCCGTCCTCGCGCGACATCAAGTATCTATTCCCAGCCCACCCCGCGACAGACTGCATATGATATCCCACCTGTGCCGGCCATTCCAGTTGAACACATACCAGCGTCGCAACAGTCCCTGGCAAATGACTTCTTAAATGCCCACCTGGCAGCGATGACAAGCAAGCGCCAGTCCACATCCGCAGAGACCATCATTGAGGATTATAGCCCAGTAGGAGAGCAGGACCATCATACACTGACTGAAGAAGATGACGACAAAGCCCCCCTGGCCGGACTAAGCGTAAACACAGCCGCAACTCGGCCTGAGTCTCAGGGCTGGTGGAATGTTCTGCTGTCTCCGTTACTGAGTAAAAAGTCCCCGGCCAGCCCGTCATTCCCTCGGGACGGGACCTCGGCTACAACTCCTGCAAAGGACACGGGTAAGGATTGGTGGGAGAAGACGCTGTCTATGGCTTCGTTCAAAAGTCCCGGAGCAGGGTCACCGTCTCAAAGTAATGAGGGAGAAAAGAGCATGGAGCAGTCCCGCTCATTGGGCGACACCTCCACCACTCAACCGACTCAACGACAGGCGATCCCATCGATGATGTACCATGGACAACCTATCCAGGGCGAAGCTGCCGAATACTACCAAGCATGTGCGCACGAGCTCTTCAGCCGGACGCCATACTTTGAGTGCACCAGCCACATCTGCTCCATCACTCCGACACACTCGACCATGGCGAGTGCCACGGCCGACCTGGGCGAAACACGCGATCGCAGCCTCATCCTTGGCAAAGTGGAAGAGCCTCGGCATACAGCCCAGGGAGGACGAGGTATTCTAATTGACGTCGACACCCCAGCTGAACAGACCGAAAAGCACCTGTGTGACTCCAAGGAAGTACCCAAATCGCACTCATCACGAAATTCAGTCGATTCGTGGGAGTCGCATCTTTCATACGACTTTGATACAGATCATAACGCCTCTTCACCTGAAGAACCGCGAGGCCGTGCAAAAGAACATGCCCCCGAGTTGCCTATCGAGAGATCGTTGCCCGAGCCATTGCCATCGGCCCCGGTTCCCATGCCTGCTCCATCGCCTCAGTACTACCCACAACCTGCTCCAGTACCCCAGTCCGCACCGGCGCCACAGTCAATCTCGATATCAAATCCTATCACTATATCGCAGCCGGCGCCGGCACCGCAACCCTTCGCGTCCTTTGAACCTCCCGCGCCGATATCACAACCTGTCTCGGCTCCAGAGCCCGCTCCAGCACCGCAGACTGGGTTTGAAGCTCCTACTAGCTATCGTGAACCCCCAGTGGACGTAACTCCACAGGAACAACCGCGGGCACTGAATGAGTGGCCCAAGATGCAGCATGAAGCGCCTTTCGGAGCGAATGAGCCGATTTCTCCGGCGTTTCAGCGCGCAGCAGGAGGCCCAAGATCAATCCCCATGAGTTCAATGAAAGAAAGCTCCTCGACGAGAGAAGCCTCCTCGATGACGGAGGGGCCTGTTTCTACGCTGTCCGCCCCCACCCCGGCATATACGCAGTATCCTCGAGGCGACGAGGCCTCTCTTCCGGCGAATTATACCGGGTATTATGATCCCAATGCCGTGGTGATGAATCCCACTGGAGTAGCAGGACCAGGAGAAGCCCAACGCCAAAGACTGGAGCGCGAGGATGCTATGGGAAGGAAAATTGGAGGTCTGTGGCGTGGGCGAGGCTGTATCCCGAAGAAAGGCTGCTTTGGACGTCCCGGGCGAGAGGGTCGCCTTCGACGACGATGGTACTTCGCCATCGCCCTGTTCTTCATTATCATTCTGACCGTGGCTATTGTGGTTCCGTTAACGGTCACCGCAAAGGGATCTAGCAGCGTAGAGCAATCACAATGGCTAAATCTGACGAGTTTCCCGCCCATCGTGACCGGTATTTCGACCGTCGTGGGAGCAGAAACGATCGTTTCCAAGTCGACGTGCGTTAGCCCATCGTCGCTCTGGAGCTGTGCTCTCCCGAAGGATGCACAGGCAGACAACACGCCCTACGCCGGCAACGAGCCCAGCTTTCGCCTCCAGATCCAATTTCGCAACGAAACAACCGGCAACACGACGTACACGACCACCAATTCTAAACGCGATTCCTGGGATCCGTCGCCCTCAGCGCCCACTCTCGCGAATCAGAAATTCCTCGGTAATACGACAGATGGGAACTCCCAGCCCTACGCCGGCGAAGAAACTCCCTTCTACATCAGTATGCTATCTGCATCGAAGCCGCTCTATCGACGCTCCTCGACCGACAACAGCAGCTCCTCCGACTCCGACACATCCAACAGCACGTTCCAGTTCCCCTCGCCGCTCATGAACTCGGACGGCACCGCCGCCGCCGCCACGCTCTACCCTCTCCCAGACACGCAACCCATGCGCCTCTACAACCGCGGCGAAGATGACGAGCACTACGGCTTTTATACGTACTATGACAAGTCGATCTTCTTAGCCTCGCGTGCGCCCCTCGAAGACAGCGCAAAAGACGACAATACACTTGACCAAAACGGTGGCTCGAGCGAGAGCGACGCCCGCACGCGCTGCACGTGGTCGCAGACCCGCTTCCTCGTGCAGATATGGACCAAGCCTGAGAAGAAGGGATATGCGTTGCAGTCGTCCGGCACCAGCACCAGCACCAGCGCAGCGGCAACAGCAACAGCAACTGCGACCGCGGCGACGCAGCCGGGCTCGTTCCCGTGGCCGGTGACATTCACGGTGGACCGGCACGGTGGGGACTGGAAGAAGAAAATGGTGTATTGCTACGGAATCGACGAGGACCAGCACTACAATACGACAGACCGGAAGCTAAACCCTGAATATCGCGGGTACGGGGGCACGTTGATTGACCCGGCGCCGGGGCCGCTGAGTGGGTCGGATGCGTCGGGCAATTCATCTTTCGATGGGGGCAGTGGGGGTTGTCAGTGTCAGTGGGCAAACTGGATATCTACGGCTTGATTTGAATACGTTTCATGGTTATGGTTATGGTTCTTGTTTTTTTTTCTCTTCTTCCTTCCTTTGTTCCTGTCCTTTAGCACTGTTTATCGATTGGATGTGAAGGGTCTGGGGGAGGGTCACTGGTTCATTATTGTTCTTGTTTCTTCCTGTTATCGCATTATGCATAGATCACATTCTGCATGGGTGGGCGGTTTTGTCTTTAATGTCCATAGAGCAAAAAATTAAATTCCCAAGCATAATTGAAAATCTCTTTTACCAGTTCAGGAAGTCAGTGCGACCATATCTTAGTCCCTGAGACGTTAGTTTGGTACCGATTAGTTATTCAGTCGGGGGCGGAAGAAGACCAGATTAACTAACTATAGAAATATAGGATTTATGTAAAGTCACGTAATTCGAGGCATGCCAAAATCTCCTGATATGTATACCTGGTTTTACAGAAAACCTGGGTTCCAGCACCAAACTTATTGCCCTCGCTCTATGTCTGCAGCTGGTTCCAATGCTCGTGTGTGTATGTTGAGAAAGCGGTGATGGAGCGCCCATTTTAGTGGCCCCAAGTTTCGGCCCCCAAGCACAACAACACAGAGTGACTAAATTGGGTGCTAGCCCTAAAGCCGTTGAATGCCCGCCCCTAATGAAAGTCTCCATAGCGGCTGAGCTGCCAGCGGGGGAGATATCAGTCAATCAGAGCCCGATGACTATTATGTGCCGCCTCGCTTTCCGGTTTTGGGATGAAAGCCTTGCTTTTCAGCTCATATTTCGGTACAGAAATTGTTTGAAATAGTCTGGCATCGCCGTCATAAGAAAGAACAACATCCTCCGCTCTCCCATGATTGACAATAATTATTTTCAATCTTAATCCTGACCCGTCGGGGAGACAGAGAACATTTTGTGAAGACCTTCACCGTTTGACTACACCATTTTGGTTATTCCAACATGACGGAATTTCGTATAGAAGATGAGCTTCTCCCTCATATCTACGATCACTATGCCAAAGTGAGACCAAATCAGCTCTACGCGCAATATCCGAAGTCACCCACCGGCTACAATGAGGGTTTCCGCCCGGTCACTTTTCGCGACATGGCCAATGCCATCAATGGTATTGCCTGGTGGCTGACCAGTACATTGGGTCCCGGGAAAGGCGAGCCCTTGGCCTACATCGGCCCGAACGACCTTCGCTACCCGGCACTGGTCCTGGGAGCCGTTAAAGCTGGCTACTGCATGTTCTATCCATCTCCACGCAACAGTTTGGCAGCTCAAAAGAGTCTACTGCAGAACCTTCGCTGCACAAAATTTCTCACACCAGTGCCTCGGCCACCCGCTGCCACGGAGATCCTAGAAACGCTTCCGTTAGATGTATATGATGTCCCGAGTGTGGAGGACTTACTCGCGGAGAAACACCCCCATTTCGAATACTCCAAGTCACACCCCACAGATATTAGCGACCCCATGGTAATCATTCATACCTCTGGCTCTACCGGAATCCCTAAGCCCATCATCTGGAGACTCGGAATGGCAAATGCCCATATTCGCGCCACCCGTTTAAAAGCACCTGATGGGCTTGAATGCCAATTTCGTTGGCCGGCAGGTAAACAGCAATTCGTCCCATTCCCACCGTTCCATGCTGGAGGAATTGGAATTGCGCTTTTCATTGCACCTGCTGTCGATGTGACATTTATTACTCCCCCGGCAATTGGACTCCCCACCGCCGCCGGACTAGTTGAGGCGAGGAAACGACTGCCAATGGAAACGGCGATGCTGATGCCATCCATGCTACAAGAGCTGGCACAAAACCCCGAGCTGCTGGACTACTGCAGCCAGCATTTTGAATTCTTCGCCTACATGGGAGGCGCTTTGCCCCAGGTCGTTGGTGATACAGTAGCTGCCAAAATCAAATTGGTCAATCAGTTTGGGGCATCGGAAATCCTATTATTGAGCCATGTCTACAGCCCTGAGAATAGGGACCCACTGAAAGACTGGGCCTACGTTCAAATGCATCCAGACCTGGGAGCTGAATTTCGCGAAGTGGCTGATGGCCAATATGAGCTGGTCCTAGTCCGCAAGCCAGAGCTCGAGGCCCATCAATCGCAGTTCACGGTATTCCCTGAAATGCAAGAATACCCAACGCGCGACCTCTTTGTCAGACATCCAGACCCAGCAAAATCTCAATTGTGGGCGTGGAGTTCCCGCGCCGACGATATCATCGTTTTCTTAAATGGCGAGAAAACCAATCCCGTTTCAATGGAGCAGCATATCACTTCGGTCAATCCCGGCGTTACTGGTGTATTGGTTGCGGGAGCCCAGCGCTTCCAAGCATCACTGATTGTTGAATATGGCAAAGAGTCCTTGGATCCAAGCGAGCGAGCTGCGGTGATCGAGAAGATATGGCCCAGCATCGAAGAAGCAAATCGAGTCTGCCCGGCTCACGCACGCATCGCAAGAACTCACATCCTCCTAACAACTCCTGAAAAGCCAATGCTACGTGCTGGAAAAGGAACAATTCAGCGTGCGGGCACAGTGGCAATATATGCCCAAGAATTGGAGGCTTTATATGCAGATGCGGATCGTCTGGCTGTACAAGCAGAAGGAGAATCAGATGGTCCTGGTCGAGTGGAGGACGCCACGAAAGTATCGGATTTCATTAAAAGATGTTTCAAAAACATCACTGAATGGGACGATGATAAAATTCAAGCTGCAGATAATTTCTTTCACCTGGGCCTAGATTCACTGCAAGCTATCACCGCCGCTCGGGCTTTGAAACGAGGCTTTGACCTACCGTCTTTTACCACGAATCTCATTTATCTACATCCTTCACTTTCTGGTCTGACAAAAGCCACACTGCAGCTCATGCAGGATGATCAGACCTCTCAAGCAGCTATCAAAGATGCTCAGTTACAAGAAAGGAACAACCTCTTGAAGGAATTCCAGGATCAGATGAACGGCCCTCGCGTCAATGCCACTTCTCATGCAACTTCTCACACGGTCCTTTTAACTGGATCGACAGGTACATTGGGCGCCTATATCCTCGATGCTCTGCTCAAGCATCCATCTGTCGCCCATGTTCATTGTCTGAACCGCCGGGTCGACAGTCGCGAGATCCAGCTTCAGAAGAACAGGTTCTACCACCTGGATACGAAGCTCCATCCCTCCCAAGTCACTTTTTGGCATGTCAATCTCTCTCAGAAGGGACTGGGACTTTCGTCAGATAATCTCAATCTTCTTCAACAGTCAGCGACCGTCATAATCCATAATGCTTGGAATGTGAATTTTAACCTATCACTGCCTTCTTTCACGCCTGACCTGTCCAGCATCGTTCATTTAGTCAACTTCGCAGCATCCTCACCTAAATCGCCAAATCTCTTCTTCCTTTCTTCCATCAGCTCTGTGATGGGCTATCGCACAGAATCCTCCTTGACCCCAGAGGCAATCATCAAAACCGATAGTCCCGGGTTAAATGGATATGCCAACAGCAAGTACATCGCAGAGCAACTCCTAGATTATGCAAGCAAAACGCGCGGGATTCGTGCCTCTATTGCCCGAGTTGCACAGGTGGCCGGGGCCGTCCGCAATCCTGGTCTCTGGAATAAAGCTGAGTGGTTCCCCAGCCTCGTGAAGAGCTCTCTCCAGATTGGGGCTGTCCCGGAAAACATTGGCACGACTCTCGACCGCATCGACTGGACACCCATTGACCTCTTATCCGAAGTCTTAGTTGATATTGCTCTGCACGAGAAGGCCCCAGGCCAAGTACACACCTACCACCCCTCAAATCTACATCCAAAATCATGGACAGAGATCATTCAGGTTGTTGCGAATGAGCTTTCATTGCTGTCAGGCAAGACGGTGGAAGGTATCCCATTGCAAGAATGGGTGCGGCGCGTGCGGCAAGATATCGAGACCGCCGGTGGAAGCCAGAATAGTGTTGGAGATAGGGAGCTGCAGCAACTATTGGATAGAAATCCTGCGGCTAAGTTGCTCGAGTTCTTTGATGGGCTGGGAACGGCGCCACCGGATAATATTCTGGATACTCAAAATGCAGCTAAGGAGAGTGAGAAGTTGCGGACTATTCAGGGCATCAAGGAGGAGTGGGTTCGTAAGTGGATTGGAGAGTGGATGTAATTATGCAGTTGAATTTCATTTTCGTGTTTTGATGACCAGGATACTAGATAGCCTAGCCGAGACTTGATCATAGGTCTTCTTCAATCATGACGGTAGCTTATGCAGGTATTTCTCTTCCCTCCTTAATTGAGCTTGTACCTGCTTAACTCCGCTTAATAGAAACTAGTCGAGCTGGTTTACCTCCATTCGCTAACTAACTATTCGCCTGTAATTATGTAATATTCAATCATACTCCAATGGCTTGGGTCTTCAAGAAACCGAACGACCCTTACCAAGGTTGGATATGGAGTCGTACGAAAGGCAAATAAACTGCTAATCAAGCTGGCAATGACAGGTACATTGATCCCGGAATCCCGGCGCATCCATTCGATCGGGTTTGGAGACCTGGCGTCGCTTACCCATACTGCGAAAATAAATCGCGCGAAGTTGCATCGAAACATCCGATCAAAACTCAATTCAAAACCTTAAGCTTGTTCCTATGACGAGTGCCTTTGGAAATCAAGGGCAGCGACAGTTACTGAGACTGCTAAAAGGCTCTTATCGCGCCACCTGCTATTAATAGAGCATGGTCACTTCAGGCCAGGGTTGTATTTGCCACCCTTATGAATAAGGTTTGATGGAGATATCATGACTTCTAGATAGCTTGGAGGCGTGACAGCATTTTTATTGATCTAGTGGTCTTTAGCGGGCTTTTCGCATTTCAGTTCTTATGCATTAAATGACTGAAGGGAGGGAAATTAGAACAAGCCGAAACTCCATCCACAAGATTTTTTTAGAATTAAAATTATATTAGTTCGATATAAATCTCAAACACCGCGTTATAACGGTGAAGAGCACAATCTAAAACAAGCCTTGAAACGCCCGCCTTTTCACCTAGAAACATCCTGCCCAAAACACTCGACATGATCCCTAGAGTGACTTCCCTGCCAGTAGGATATGTGGACAGCAGCCATTGATAGCAAACCGCAAAGATGTCCAATGAGGGACGAAACAAGAGATTGGAAAACAGAATTGTTCAAAGGGAAGGAAATCAAACACCGGTATTGAAAGACCCAAAGAAAAAGAAATTATTGATGGCGACCCGCTTATGCGAGGAACAGGAGAGCGCCATAGGCGACGCTGCCGACAGCAGTGCCAACCATGCCCAGTTGGGGAACGGAGATCTTGGCTCCGGGGTTGGAGGGGACGAAGCCAGTAGAGCTGGGAGAGGCCGGGGTGTTGCCAGCACCGGTGCTAGAGCCAGCACCGCCAGCGCCGCCAGCGCCGCCAGCACCGCCAGCACCGCCAGCACCACCAGCACCACCAGCACCACCAGCACCGCCAGCGCTAGAGCTGGGGCTGGGGCTAGAGGTGGGGACGGAGACAGGGATGGTGGAAACAGTACCGTTGGTGCCGGTAGTGCCGTTGGTGGCGCCGCCGGTGCCGCCAGTACCGGTCTGGATGGGGTGGGTGCCAGTCTGAGCAGCAGTGCCGACGTGGACGCTAGCGCTCTTCTGGTGCACGGGGGGCTCGTGCTGCTTGAGAGCACTGGCCTGGACGCCAGCGGCGATGGCGAGGAGGGCAATGGGAGTGAACTTCATTTTGGCTTTTTGAGTGGATGGAGCTGAAGCGATTGGATCAAGAAGTAAGAAAGGGCTTCTTGTCTAACGAATGACGAAGCTAGACAGGATGTTAGAAGAGCTTAGGACTCATGATATCCATATAGAGACAAGGAACCGACCTGGAGAGGATGAGATATCAATGCGATGGAAGAACCTGAGGAAGAAAGATCCAAGTACTGGGGCGCTGAGGAGCCCATTCTTATAGATGATAGAGCTGTCCAAATGCGGTCAGGTGGTGAGTGGATGATGATTCCATGCAACAGATAAAAAGACGAGAAAATTTTTTTCATTTTTTCTCGCATGTTCCTCTCTATGATTGCCTGTGCCTCTCTGCCCTCGACGGAGCCTTGGTACGACGAGTTTGAGACGAGATTTCCATATCGCGGGTTTCCGCATCCGGGGGTGGAGACTCCGATGTCACTCTGGGACTCCGGCCGAACCATCTCCACCGTAAGAGCCTGGGACTGACCCGTCGGGACCGTGGCCGTCACCAATTATCCCGAGATGTTCAAAGGTGGAGCCTCGATGCCGCCGAGGGCAGTTGAATATCACGTGATTTGATATTCCCGAATAGGAAATGCGATGGCATCGAAAGCGGAAGGGCATCGAGATCCTCGCACTTTGCCCAAACTGAGCATTCCTCGATGGTCGGCAACGTGTAGACAATGGCTTTTTTCTCTTGGTCTCCATCAGCTACGTCGCTTCTGCTTTCGGAGAACCCATCTCAAGATGGCTTTTCGCAGCCACACCCGCTTGGTGGAATGTACAATGTGCCATTGGGACAATGGGTGGAGAAATATCAGTGCGCCAGGATCCAAGCCCTGTAAGGCAGAAAGACCCATTAGGTGATCCAGTTGTGGCTATTCGTTAGTACTCTCCACCAAGCTTGTAGTCTCGTTACTAGATTGGCGACTGTCTAGACGAGTATGAACACTTTGTTGACCGAATTGTAGGCCAGCTGGAACTATGCAGAGCATCGCGGGGATGCCACTGCCCAATAGGTGGCCGTCAGCATCCCTTATGGAGCAGTACATAGATAGAAATCGAGCTCAACAATTGAAGGGCCGAGGCTTTGCTTGTTTGGATCTAACTGGACGTCCTTGTGCACTTGCCGGTGAGCCCTCTTCGACCTGGAAGACATTGAGGGCCTGCAAGTCGGTTCCACATCGGGACAGGTGACAGAAAAACTGCATCCGGACGAATCTATTTGCATCGGTGGTTTGGGTTGTATCCTAAATAAACAATGCCAAGGTGTCTGACAGCTGCAGCTTTTTTCTATCGTCTATCCGGCAGGAATGTGAATGACCTGTCACCCCAGAACTGGAGATCTTTAATAGATCCGTCAGTCGAGTGATGTCAGGGAGCCCACGCCTGAGCATGCATTCCAGAAGGCTTGTTGCATCAAACAAATCCTCAGGAATTCAACATACTATGCTCTGCTTCTGGATTGAGGCCCCACAGGAAGTCGTGCTCAACACAGTGCTGCATGGATTGCCCGAGGTCGAGACGCTTCAGTGCGTAGTGGTTGCCAACAGGCTCCCAATCCCCATACGCCCAAGTATGAGCCCAAGCATTAGCTTTCTCCGGTCTCAAGATCAAGTAAATGAGATTTACGATCAAGTCTTATTCTCCTTCGTCTAATATAACGGTCAGCTTGGGTTCTCATCGGTCCAATCCTGCCCGCGTTAACGCGAGAGCCTGTAGACGATAAATTTGAGAAATGAAAAGCCATCGACTTCCTAATCCATAAATCCTGTATTCCACTAGTAAATGGAACAGATGTACTTGTTCGGCGTAGATAGAAACTAGCCAAGCTCATCGCAGTTCGCAAGGTCAGAAGTCAGAGGATGCGAGGTGAGGCGAAGTCTTGGCGGCTCCAAACGGGCCGATAATGTTGGCGTCGGCACTTTCAAGTCTCCTTCCAAGCTTCAATGTCTTCACGCCGCGGCTGACACGCCAGCCATGCCGAAACCGCAAAGCCCCTCTCTCCTCTCGCCAGCCAACTACGATAACGATGCCGCCTCTCTGCGATCGCCCTCGGAGCAAGATTCCGACTCGGAAGATGATGAGTTCCTCCGTCACCCCCGCAGCACCCTCGAGCTCGCCCAGCATGATCGCAGCGTGCTAGAAGATGAAGACGAGCTGGAGAAACTATTGACCAGGAGAGGTCCGACTCATGAGCTTCGCCGCATCTTCAGTCCTAATGGGACTAGCGTGCGGATCGGAAAGAAGGAGAAGCGGCGGGCGCGAAGGGAGGCACGACTAGCACGTCGGGAGAGAGTCAGCGAGGAAGGAGAATTGATGTATGAGATGGAGGAGGGCTTCAGAGATGATGAAACATCGTCTCTAATGAGCGGGTCCTCCATGGACATAGCTGCGAAGGAGGACTATCTCTACGAGCCGGTAACTTTAACGCCCTACCTGCTGGTACAAGCTGGAAATTTTGCAGATCGCTGATTCTTGACATTTCTCTATGTTAGCCGCAAAAACCTTCATGGCACAAGCTTTTGTTTGTGTCTACCATAATCGTCGTCCTTTTCTTCATCCTTCTTCTGGGTGCATACAAGGCATCGGGCCCGTTCCGATCTATCAGGGTCCATCCTCCATCACTCCTCTCCAACGGCACCGCACTCTTTGCGCCAACAACAATTTTGATTTCCCTGGATGGGTTTCGAGCCGACTTCCTGGACCGCGGGCTAACTCCAGCCCTAAGTGCGCTCATTGCGACCGGCGTCTCGCCGCAATACATGAACCCCAGCTTTCCAAGTGTGACTTTCCCAAATCATTTCACACTGGTGACTGGACTGTATCCTGAGAGCCATGGGGTCGTGGGTAACACATTCTGGGATCCGGACCTCAACGAAGAATTCTATTACACACATCCGGCAGTCAGCATGCAGCCGAAGTGGTGGAATGCCGAACCTCTGTGGGAAACAGCAGAAAAGCAAGGAGTGCGAACTGGTATCCATATGTGGCCGGGGTCAGAAGCACACATTGGCAGTGTCGAGCCAAGCTATGTGGACAAATATAATGGCTCGGAGGCCTTGCCGCGCAAAGTCGACCGTGTGATGGAGCTCCTGGACCTTCCTGGACCAGAGGACCAATCGTACACGATAGCCCAGCGGCCTCGGTTCATTGCAGCCTATGTTCCCGATGTTGATAAGGAGGGACATAACCATGGACCCAACAGCACCGAAATTCAGAGCACGATTGCCCATGCAGACGAGATGGTCGCCGGGATTGTCGCTGGTCTTGAAAGCCGCAATCTCACCAACATTGTCAATATCGTGGTCGTCTCTGATCATGGAATGGCCACCACCTCGACTGATCGATTGGTCCAGTTAGATGACGAGATTGATTTGAGCCTCGTGGAGCGCATCGATGGCTGGCCATCCCGTGGCCTGCGTCCCAAACAACCTGAACATCTCGAGCTTCTACAACAGCAAGTCGAAAAACTAGGAAGGAAATATGCAAACGGGGTGGAGGTTTACACTCGCGAGACCATGCCTGAACGCTATCACTTTTCAAACAACGAGCGCATCGCTCCGCTTTGGGTGATCCCGAAGACTGGGTGGGCGATTGTTGAGCGACCGGAGTTTGATGTTCAGGAAGCCTTGAGGACGGGCGAGATCTACCACCCTCGAGGGATTCACGGTTATGACCATGAACATCCTCTTATGCGTGCTATTTTCATCGCTCGTGGCCCCGCGTTCCCTCATACACCTAATAGCCGCCTTGAGGCATTCCGTAAGTTGCTGGACATTGATGCCTCCCATCGGAGAGACTGATCAAACTAACCCTCCCTTCTAGAAAACACTGAGGTTTATAACATCGTATGCGACTCGTTGGGGATTAATCCACTTCCCAACAATGGAACTCTTCGTCTTCCTTTGCAGCCGGTTGGTCTTCACTCAGACGAGGATACACCGCCTCTTGTGCGACCATCCGACCCACCTGAGCAACCCCCGGCCACCGTTGCACCCTCTGCACCTACCCCTCCAGTCGTCGAAGCACCACCTGCCACTGACTCTGAGAGTGAGGATGAAAAGGGCCCAACCTGGTGGGGAACTCTGTGGACGAAAGTCGAGGAATGGAAGGATTGGGCCAGTGAGCTTTTTGCGGCGGAGAAAGACAACCATCCGCAGAAGTAGGCCTGCTCCGTTGCAATTTTTGCCATATTACCTTTTTTTAATTAGCCCATCATTTGTTGGTCATTGTTGCTGAGAGATACCCTTATTCATCACGCTTCTCGTGCTTCTTTATTCAAGCGACTACATAGATCTATGTTTACATGAAATAATATGCTGATCAAGCTCTGCTGATGTGAGGTAATATATATTGATTGGTTCATCTAATGATATGTGTCACAGTTCATCATAATGAAAAGATCATGTTTTACACAAAGACACACAAGCTGAAAATAGAGTTCAGGCCGGGTGTATAGTGGTAGACAACATGCTTTTTGCAAAGCGTTGCCGGGTTCACCATCGTGAGACTGTTTGCGGCTCTGCTAAAGTAACGGACTATCCCTTGGAGGTCATATATTGTTAAAATGGAGAACAGATATCAACCAGCACCAAGTGGTCGAGCAGTAACTCGGCTAACACATCTTCCTTGGTCTAGTGGTCATGATTTCCGCTTGTCATTAACACCGATAAGCGCGGGAGACCGGGGTTCGATTCCCCGAGGGAGAGTTCTTTTTTTGGCAAGTGGTTTTTTTTCAATTTTATTTTGCAGAGCCAGTATTAAAATACTTATGTATCATATAGAGGTATTTTAGTTCATTTGAACTAAGATCTCTGCTCTTCCACCTTTTTTTTTTTTTCAGTCTTCTGATGACGACATCAGATCTGCGCCTCCGGCATGCAGTGCCACTCGGGCATCCTCTTCCCCATGCGATGTGTTCCTGACACACGAACAGCCCAATCACATTCCAACATCCCAGAGTCCAGAACCTCTATTTGAATCCAATTACCTTTTACGCCTGCATTTGACATGAATATCCCTCCCCGATTTGTAAACCGGCTTCCAACTCTCAGCTCACCATCACCTGCATGAGTCAGGGTTCCAGGCAGAAGCACAGTCATGCGCCACACCCGGGCTCTCCTCGGAGTAATACAAGCGATACCATCTGGTGCCCAAAGGATGAGGCTCAAAATTCCGGGCACCATATAAACCACGGCGATTGCTCTCAATTTACTCAACAAGAACACCCTGATAATAGGGTCTTCTTCTTGAAAGATAGCACCCGCAGCCCATCATGGCCTTTAACCAGTCTGATGCGTTGCCAACGAAGGGCGCTATGTCCCAATTGGACACCGCAATGCTGGAGACGCTGGTGCCAGGATATACATTCATTTCGCGGTTCTTCTTGTCATATCTTCACATCGACTTGACGGCATACCTGCAATATCTTGTGGCATTGGCCGTGTTGGGTGCAGCCCTGAGATACATCCTTCAGTATCTATCGGAGTTCTTCAAGCAATACCTCGTCTCAACGGCTGAGATTCGTCTTGATGATGAGATTTTCAACTATCTCATGTATTGGATGTCCCGCCAGCCACACATGAAGCGAACAAATCGGTTCCTTGCCGGTGTCAAGACCAATGGCTACTGGAGCGACAACGACGACTCTGATGCCGAGGACTCTGACGACGACGCTGGCGATGAAGACTGGCATGACCCCGCCGGCCATGCGGAGCGTGCAACCTTCGATGAGTACTGGGCCAAGGCTGTCAATCGGGACAAGTACAAGACGCTGCGATTCACCCCCTCCCAAGGCCGTCATTTCTTCTGGTTCCAGGGCCGACCGTTGATGCTCGAGCGACAACACCAGAACCAAACCGCCCGATGGGTGCTCAACAACGAGCGACTATATCTGTCATGCCTGGGCCGGGATCCAGCCATCCTCAAAACGGTGATGGCCGAGGCCCAGCGCGCCTATGTGGAACGCGATGGCAACCGGACTATCATCTATCGCGGACAGCGCCTTTCATCAGGTAATCAATTTATGTGGGCCCGATGCATGTCTAGATCTCCACGGTCGTTAGATACTGTCATCCTCGACGATAAACAGAAACAGGACTTCTTGTCCGATATTCAAGACTACCTGCTACCTCGCACTTCCCGCTGGTATGCCAGCCATGGAATCCCGTACCGGCGTGGCTATTTGCTGTACGGCCCCCCGGTACTGGTAAGACTAGTTTGTGTTTCGCCGTAGCCGGTGAACTTGGCTTAAAGCTGTACCTTCTCAACCTGAATTCCCGTGCGCTGGACGAGGACAACCTCTATTCGCTTTTCTCAGAGCTACCTCGGCGATGTATTGTCCTTCTCGAAGACGTTGACACGGCGGGTATCACGCAAAGCCGCGGCCGGTCTGTTGTCGGCAAGACACCTATCCCCAAGGACAATCAGCCAGAGGCCGGAATTCTCCCAGAGGCCCCGGAGGATCCGCCCAAGCCTGTGGATACCACATCTTCGGACAAATCCGAGCGCGATGGGATTACTCTATCCGGACTCCTCAATGTCCTTGACGGCGTCGCTGCCAGCGAAGGTCGGATCCTCGTCATGACCACGAATCATCCGGAAAAGCTAGATGCCGCACTTCGGCGCGCGGGCCGCGTCGACATGGACATTGCGTTCCGATATGCCATCGACGAGGATATTGAGAAACTTTTCAAGTCCATCTATTCAATTCATAAGAACGAAGCCTCTCCCCGAAGTTCCAAGCGGTGGTCCAAAAGTATAAATGGGGACGCAGGAATCAAACAAGAAGCTCGCACCGACAAGGCTCCAACCAAGCAATACACCGAAGAAGAACAACAAAGACAGACAGAGTTCCGGAAACAGCGTCTCGATATGGAGGCTCGAATAGTAGCCCTTGCTAGGGAATTTGCGTCTGTAGTACCGAGTGGGGAGCTCTCACCTGCGGATATCCAGGGTTATCTTCTTACGCACAAGAATGCTCCAGAGGCCGCGGTTAAAGGAGCACCTGCGTGGGTGCAAGATGTGATGGAGAAAAAGCAGCGCGCAAAAGAAGAGCTGGAAAAAAGGATTGCATCTGAAAGTTCTATCTAGCTTCTGCACTCCCATACCGGGGATTTTTTGTTTTGTTGAGCATGTGGAAACGGCCATTGGTCAATGATAGACTTAATATCCTTAACGAATCATGTTTAACGCGAATGAAGCCACGAATATCCAATAAAATTTCACGTGCACTTTTATGTTTACCTAAATTACTTCCCCTGATTTTTATCCTGTCAACATTCCGTGACCTTGTCCTTATCAACTCCCTGAAGACGCTTTGTTCAACAAGACTCGCACAATCAATTGCCAATTTACGTTGCTTTTCAAACTCCTGCCTACACTGAAACCGCTACTGACGGCATCTCGATTACATCGTTCCACACATTGAACGACACTGTTCCTTCTTCATCTCACTTCATTTTCTTCACCTCAATATCCACCTGCTACCTCACCAATTGATACCTCTCTCACGATGGTTTCTCTGAGAAATTTTTCACCACCTCTGACGGCAGAGGGTGAAAACAGTTTCGCTTCGAGTTCAGAAGTGAGAGAATTGACCTTCGACTGTGAAGGAGTTGATAATCAGCCAATAATGATCAACTATGAACAGATCCTGGATACCTGGTTTCACTCGACACTAAAAGCTTTTATTGTCTCAGATCTGAACCTTTCATGGGAAAGCTATGACAGCATGAAAGCATCGGGATGAAAGATGATGGAAGGTAAATACTCTCCCACAATACTAACACAAAAACTAATCTCCCGTATTAGTTGCAGCTTTTGCAGCTTATGTCGCTAGTGTCGATAATTAATGAGTCATCATTCTGACAAAGGTTGGGATAAGCAAGGCCCCAATGATTTATTTGTTGGGGCCTAGTTACCCGTGCATGCTTACTTATAAGACAATTTACGTAGATCTTGCCAACTATCGAATTCTGCCCCTCTAAAAAATTTCACAGAAGGCATTGTGGAAACGAAACTACTTACGAGAATGGCTGTTGGCGGTTGTTTTTGCGGCAATATTCGAGTTGAAATCACTGGCGAGCCTTTGACATCTGTGAGTAGTTTGATCTAGACGGAATCCACTACTATGAATCTAAGATAGACGATTATTTTTGTTTTCGCTAGGGACTGTGCCACTGTCTTGACTGTCGCAAGCTCACTGGCGGAGCCTCTTCCTGGAGTTTTGTTGTCAAAAGCGAGGAAGTGAAAGTCTCTGGAACTGCCAAAGCAGTGCGAAAGACATCGGACAGTGGAAATGAAATTAGAAATTATTTTTGTCCCGAGTGCGGTCTGTATCTATGATTACCCTGCATTTGCGAAGCCAGCCGCTAACGCAAATTATAGGCACGCCACTCTATGGGCGGAAACTCAAGCCGGATGGAGATTTTGAAGTCATTACCATTGTCCGGGCAGGAATTTTTGATGACAGTGAGATGTTGAATAAACAAAAACCCGTAGCGGAGCTATTTACTGAGAGACGACTGGATTGGACGGCTCCTATCGAAGGCGCAGCCCAAGTTTGTGGCATGCTGAAGCTGCCTACCTCGTAGGTTAATAATATGATTTCTAATATGCTTGCATTTGGCACTTTTGTCAAGGTTCCTTTGCTATGGATTTATGGTGCGCAAAATAAATTCGATTAGAAAAGTAACTGGCATTACATATCGCACAAAGTAAAAATAAGCGAATGTATAGGGGGTATATAAAACAGAACCAAGGCCCAAGAGGACAACTAAACGAAAAGTAACCCAGCGCACTGACTCGGCCCACACGTTACTGATATATCAAATTGATCCCTGAAAGGCCCTCGGTTTTAGGCGATCGAGGCAACTTTTCCGTTGAGGTTAACATCTGCCACCCACATGCACCGTTTCTTCTTCGACTCATCACAAAATGAATGGAACAACATCCGATCCCCACAGCCACAGACCGTGGCTCCCCCGGGCGAGATGAGTCCCTGATAGGAACCGGTCTTCAGCAGCTCGACATTTGTCTTCTGGAAGGGACCTGTGATGCTGGAAGCCGTTGCCCAGCGCACGTCGTAGGCACTATCTGTGTAGCAGTGCGTTGAGTAGAACAGGAAGTAAGTGTCACCGTGCAGTATCAAGTTCGGTGCCTCGACCAAGGGTCCGTCCCCATCGTCTGTGCTGCGATCGAGGATCTGTACCGCGTTCCCGAGGGGGGTGACACCATCTGACGCGACTTTCTGCAGCATAATGGGCGTTGAGACGAGCGGGGCGACACCGTTGTTGCAATCGCCGCCGTGGCCGACGCTATTGCCGTCAACTTTGAACACGACATACCGACTGCCATCCTTGTCCCAGAAGCCGGCCGGGTCGATCGACCCGCCCTGGTCCAGTCTGCAGGATAGCGGCGTATCACTGGGGACATAGGGACCTTCAGGAGAATCTGCTATGGCCGTTCCGACGCAGTGATGGGGCGCATGCGTCTTGGATTCGCCCGAGTAGTACATGACGTACTTTTTGTCGTCCTGGTTGGAATGTTAGTCAAGTTCAGATGTCCTTTTCCCCTTTTGTTTCCCGACTTACGCGCATGATCACATCGGGAGCCCAGTGATCGTTTTCAGTCTCCCAGCTAGAGACGGTGGGCAGGGCATCGACATCCAGGAGCGTCCAAGTGGAGAAGTCTTGAGAAACGGCCACCTGGATATGCTTGCCGTTGCCGTTGGTCCCGAAGGCATACCACTTCCCATCCGCAGCTTTCATAAAGCTGGGATCAGGAAAATCCGTATTTAATCCCTCCCAGGGTCCCTTGGCTCGCTTCGGAAGCAGGGGTGAGCCAAGTACCGTTGGTAGAAATGAGACGAGAGCCACCCATGCCATGGGCGAGGAGAGTAGAGTGGACCACATTGCTTTTTGCGAAGTCACCGGGACGCCTGAAGAGGATAACTGTCTGGTATTGCTTCTTTGTTTTTAGAAACTTTACATGAGTAGCCAACAGGTGGGAGAAGGCGAGTCTTATAGGCAAAGCCCACCGCTATTCCGCTGTATCTCTAGGACCCTATTGCACAAAAAAGGCATCACAGCGCGCCAAGATCCCACATCCAACCTGCATCTCCAGCCTGGCAGCCGCAGAAAGAGGAGACTAAACTCTAGCGCCAATGGATCAAGCGGCATCCCGGCAGCAATACGCCTGACACTGATTCATCAGGTGGATTGGGAAGTGTAATCGAGACTAAAATCCGCGGTCCACTCAGGCGTGCTCGTGCTCGTGCTCTCGTGGGGGAATTTGGCCTGGAACCCAATGATCGGGTCTACATTTCATGCCGTCAGCGACCGCAAGGCAGGCTCGGCGCATGGTATGGGGTAAGGGGAGCGCGAGGCATAAACTCTGGGGTCCAGAGTGTCCACATCATTTGGATGTGGAATGCATCCCCAGGTTTAGCGCTGTGGATTCCCGAGGTGCGGGACCGAACGAGAGAAAATAGAACTTGAGAAGACCCATTGCCCTTATTGTCACTATATGGAGCGAGCCTTGTCGGGTATTTGCGCATCGGTGGGGGCGTGGCGCAGAGGCGCCAGGCGGAATACATAGATCGAGGCTAGGACCTACAGGGTCGAGCGCGGCGTGACGCCGAAGAATACGTCAAATTTTGGCAGGCCGGGGACGAGATCGGCTGTTGGAAATGTTCGAAAGGCATAAAAGAAAAAGAATTAAGTACGCTGATCATCGGGGAATACAAGTCAATCTGAGTATAATCATCCTGTGTAGGCGGGATTCGAAAACTTGGGGGAAAGGCTGGCTAGTGGCCGATCATGTCCAAGCTTTCGATATTTCTTTCTTCGTTCGGCTCTTCGGCTCTGGGAGAACCCGAAAACGATAAAAAGAGACAAAAAAACCGGGCTCCCCCAAAGGCATAGACAGCTGGGGCTCCGTAGTTTGGGTGGGGATGCAAGGGTACATGGATTGTCTCGCTCATTCCGCATCATCTATAGACAAGGCTGTACAAAGACTGAAAGTTCACCACAGCTTCCCCCAAAGGATTCCATGCCGGAGAATTAGGCAAGTAGGCAGGCACATAGAGGGGGATCTTGATATCCTAGACATTTTCTTTGACCGACTATCCAGCCGTCTTGGCCGCCAAGAAACAACAAAGCAACGCCGTCATACACGCCTTCAGGCGCCCCCAAGGGGTCGTTTACATTTCATAGGCCAAGAGACCCAGCCACCACAGGAGCCATTTTCGAGAGTGCGGCCACGGTCGCACGGGCAGATGGCTATTCCGACCCTCCGGAGCTGTGTTGGCACGACAAGGAGCAGCTCATGAGTCCATGGAACGGGTTGCACAGACCCAATAGTGTACCGTAAACTCGAAGACCCTGCATATTTTCCTTCTGAAAGCTTTCAGGGGTCTGCCAAGGCTGATCCTGGCCATCATACGTATGACCCGAGTTAGACCGTGGTTAGGCTCTTTTTCCTTTGCTGAGCAGACTACCGAGTATATGATGGGACTCCTCATATTATCACGAGAAGGGACTAGAGGATAACCGAGCCAAAAGGTCATGCCCTGGTGTTGTTGAAGGGTTGGACAATAGAGTTCTGATTCATGCCCAAAACGAACATCATAAATCATGATGGTCTCCATCAGACTTCAGATCATGAAACGCAAGTCCCACGCGACACTCATAATCCAAAAACCGAAGAACACAGTAGGCCCGACGACGAGATTGCTAGCACGCACTCTGATCGGCGCAAAAGACTAAAATCTTCCCCGGAGACCAAGATCACCTTCACTGATTGTAGACATTCATCAAGACAATTATGACACCCAAACCCCTTCTTTTCGCTTTTTGTTCGGACCCCGCATGCTGTCTTTGCAGATGAGATACAACTGGAAGTCAGTGCCAACCAGTCAGTGAAAGACGCTGGCGGTGGTCAGATGATGTCACGCTTGCCCCAAAGCCTTGATTAGTGTTTCTGTGATCGGCGCCTCGCATGGCAAGGGAGAACTTCTGGGGATGCGGGTATGGCGAGACTCAAAATGCCGACCCTATCATGACGCGAAGTCCGGGGAAGGGCGAACAAGTGTATCAGTTGACCTGTTTATAAATCTTTGCATTACAGGCAAGGGTGGCAACAAATTGGAGGAGGGAAGCAGTAATCTTGCTTGAACATGAGAGTGATGGTCATAGCGTTCAAAGAAAGAGGAGTCTTGCGCCTGCGAGTCTCACGCCGACGTATTGATTGCATGACCTCTCGGGCTTTGGGGGCGTGGAGAGCGTTCGTGCATCATGGTCGAGGCAACCCAAGACTCCCTAATTCATCAGATGTCCTGAAATCATTAATTAGACAGACGTCGTAGATAGTGAGCATGCACAAGATAGTCAAATATCACCAAGAAACCCTCTGAAATAAAGCCAGATTTAAGATCCGATCGATATGCGTTGCGCTCAGGCTGGAGGATGTGATTTGAGGAGGATTGATTCGGACAGCAGAAAATCCCCTGAGATTACGCGTCCCCGGTGCTTAAATTGACACCCATGACAATCGGCAGCTACGGGCACTTCTCTCTATTCAGCTGGTGCAGGGACTGTGGTTAACAATGCTATCTGCAAGTCTTCAGTCAGAATAGTAGAATCGCTCACCTAGGATCACCTAATTACCCTTGAGAGAAGTTCTATGCCAAGCTGACGATACAGAATATCAAAGGATGTAATTTTGGTGAGCGCACTGTGCTTCCAATAGCTCAGAACCGATAACAAAAGCATTATATTCATAGGTATCTCGAAAAAGAAAAACGCCGGCCAAAATGCTAATATGCAAAAGTTCATCCCAAAAGAAAAGAAGAATATACTTTCCATCATATATCCCTATATCCACTCATCCACGCCCCAACATCCAAGTCTCAAAAGGCACACCCCGCGGGATCTTCTTGCCATCCCGCGCTGTTGAAAACAGCACAGGCTCAAAATCCAGAACAGATGCATACTGTCGCACCAGCTCGCGCCAGTAGCACGACTCCGCCGCCGGCGTCAAGTAGCGGTCCCGGAACGTGCGCACCGCGTTATCCGCCACGCGCTCGGCGATCTGTGGGTTGTCAATAAGGAAATCGATCTTGCGCGACAAGTCCGAGAATTCGGCGTCGACCTCGATGTAGTTCGCGTCCGGGCCAGACGAGATCATAGCAGCATGGTGGGCCTCGCGCCAGACGAGCGGATGCGAGATGACGACGGAGCGGCAGTTGAGTAGGTACTTGCCGCGACCGGAGAAGCTGCGGCCCTCGGTATGGGCGAGGAACATGTAGCGACAGTGGTCCTCGATGGGGAGGAGATTGAAGCGGATGTCGTTCTCGTCGTCCCAGTCAATGACGCGGATGCTGGCCCAGCTGTGGCTCTGGGCGGTTTTGAGCAATTTGCTGCGCACGCCTGGGTTTGTGGCGAGGCTGCCGCGCCAGACAAGCTGCTTTTTCTTGTCCTGAAATTTCATCCCCGGAGTGTATGTACCGTCTGGCGCGGTCTCGCCATTATCAATGGCTGCAATGCGCCGTTGCACGTCATAGTAGGGACCGATTTGAACTTCGGGCCAGGCCCAGTATCCAAAGTCAGGCATCAGCCAGACCGAGTCGTCAGCATCGCGCTTGGAATATGCCCAGATAGGGCCTTTGCTGGTAGGATCGCTGGCAAAATCTTCTGTTGTGAACACGAATTCGATACTAGGTAGAAAATAGCGATCCGGGACTGCGACCAGAGCACGATGAAGCGAGTTGAGAGTAGCGCGGGCACGAGATGCAGTGACAGGCTGTGCTGCAAATTCGACGATGTAGAGCTATATTCAAGATCAGACTAGAGATATTCGGCCGAAGCATACTCGACGGCAAGAACCTACCTCGCCCTTGTCAATGACTGCCCGCACCATTCCATCCTCTACCTCTCGAGAGTCCAGATCCTTATATGAAATCCGGCTTTCCTGCTTGAGCACAGCTGACTTGTCCATCTCCACAAACAGTTTGGGGAACGCGCTTCGACACTGCTCCTCGTTCAGCCCATGGTTCCGCCCATCGCGCTCCACAATAAATTCCCAGCTCCCGTTTAGCGGAACTGCATGTGGCTCTGGCTCGCATTGTGACAGCGGCTCTGGCCGACCCGTCTTGAGAATGTACCGCGCAGCGTTATCTTGAGATTGGCGGACATTGAAGAGGAGGAATGTAAGCGCGAAGAGGGAAGCGATGGCGCCCGTGGCGAGAAAGCGGAATGAGGGTCTTTGGGCAAACATGCTGGGTTTCGAGAACAATTTCTGGACTGAGGATCACTACCAGGAGGACTTAAATATGACCCGATCAGCTTGAGAGAATCAGATCATGCGATAAAACCTCCATTCAAACTGCCAAATGGTCTATTGTTGCGTGGATGTTGCGTGTGAAGACATGAAGAGGTTGGTTGTGTCGTCGTCATGGTGTGATTGTTCCCGGGGCAACGGGTGGAGCTGGGACAAGGTGACCGAGGATAGCACTCCCAACGACCATCTGATAAAACGCGATCGCGAAAAACATCCAAAATGTTAGATAAATTCAATCAGAGACATATAATTGATATTTTACAGATATGTATATAGAGTCCAGTAGAATAGAAGGGGAAGGAACTGGAAGGAAACGAAAAAAGGAAACCGAGATGGCCACTGTATATGCAAATCAATGAGCACCGTCGGATCTATGGTCCCAAACGATATCGAACTATATACACGGGAGGGGAAAGCGCCACAGTCAGTTGATATATTCAAGGGGTATCTCAACAAGAGGTCATAAAATGGAATGATAGGCGGGGATTTAAAACGAAAGAATAGAAACAGGTGAAAGAAAAAGGAGAAGGAGGGGATTAAACGGCGAGACTCCGGAGCCCGTTATGTCGTCAAACACATGAAGGCGCACAGACGAGCCAAAAATTTTGAAGAGAAAGAGGGCAGAGAAATGTCGTAATCATCAGCACCGCTCGTCACCGCTGGCGACTGCGCTGCCACCGTTGCTGCTGAAATAGCTCTCGTCAATCTTCAGGATCCACTCAACCTTTTGAGCCTCGGTGCGCGTCGCAAACAGAAAAGTATTCTGGGTTCCGTACACGGCGAAGATATTTGGTCGCCCCTTTGCAGAAAGCGAACGGTCGGCACCGGCGGCAGACCCGTCAAGGAGGCGGGCAAAGTCAGGCGCATGGTCGACGCGAGAGTTACGCAGATTGATGGCATTGAGTTCGTCTCCTTCGGCGGAGTAGATGTGGAGGTACGGCCGGCGAAGCTCCACAAACCGGCGGACCCAGACACTGTTTGTGTCATCCGGCGTGAGCACATAGCCTGACTTCAAGGAGGATGGGTTTTTTGGGAGAGTTTGGATGGTGGCGATGAAACGAGGCTTCAACGACGCCTTGTCCGAAACGGCGTCCGAACCATTTGACTGGTTTTTGGCTGTGCCATCGGTTGGGGGTTCGGTGTTACTGCGGACTAGAATAGCCTCGGTAGGGTCTTTCTTAGCTGACCAGAGGTCAAGGTACTTCTTGAGAAGCTTGGACTTGCGCTCGTTGATATCTTGGTTGCGCATTGGCGTCGATCGGCCACTCCGGGCCGGCGATGGCAACAAGCTGCCGGCACTGAGCGCTCCACGGGCAGCATGCAGCTCAGCCAAGCGGTATCGGCGCTTACGAGCCGCAATATAATCACGGACAAGCGATACTTTGCGGGGTGCCCAGGTGGTCAACAATTCTTCGCCTTTGACGTAGTCGTTCTGGGTATTCATGCGCCACAAATCGGCGGCGCGTTTGGCTGAGACCGGGCGAATGACAAGCGAATACATCTGGGTGGTCGAGTGCACAACACGAGTGGAGCTCCAGAGCTGCTTGAACATCGACTGTTGACGGACATAGGTACGTCCCAAAATTTGAATGGTCTGGTCAACTTCGAAAACAACAGGAGTCTGAAGTCTGGAAGAAACAAGGTCCCAGCGAACAGTCACCTGGACGCGATACTTTTCTGCCGTCACACGATCAAGAAGCAGGGAACCGTGCAGACTTGAATCCCACTGGCCCACAATAGTGACATTTGATGTTCCATCGGCATTGTCTTTGACCATCGGCTCCTGGAGGAATTTGAGAGGTACGTCCGGAGTTTGGAGGTCCTGATCAGGGATTTTACCCCATGGATCAAGCAATCGCACAGAGCCCACACGAGCATTGGTGACATCATCCCAAGGCAAGCTCTCAGTTGAGCTGTATGTCATATTGATCGAGATACGACGCTGCAGGCCTTGGTGAAGTTGATACGTGCCCGCATCAAGGGGGCTATTCTGAAGGACCTCGACGGGGAGGTACTCGCCAGATTCTGCAAGCTCAAGAATTTGGACGCGAGCAAACACGTCATGCCGTTCTTCCGAGTAAAACTCCGATTCGGCGATGCGAGGGGCGGTGCGTTTCTTGGGAGCGATTTCTGCCGAATCACGCATGTCGTCCCAGCTGAGGAGCTTGTCAAGGTGCACCGACGTTATGCGAGCGTAGACGCAGACCTTGAGAGCGGCCGTTCGGGGACTTGAAAGTGGAAGGCTCATGCTATGCACGCTTTCAAAGCGCACAGGGCTCTCCTCGAAGCCATTGATCATTTGGGTTGTAGTTGCACCGCCTTCCTCGGAGATTCCAGGAACAAAAAGCTGAGCGTGAACGTCCGAACCCTCCCATTCAGCGAAGCCTACCATGTCACGCATGACGACGTTAAATTTCAAAGTTGATGATGGTGCTTGTGCAGATGATGGCTCAAGAGACAACCGAATGATGCCTACAACGCTTTGGGTATAAGGCGAGGTGATCTCGACAGAGAAGTCCTGCACACGGGTCTCGAACACAGCAGTCAGGGGTATATCGGCATCGCCGACAAGGGAGTATTGGGGCGAGCACGGCTCCGAGAAAGGGTTCTCGAGTTTGAAATGCTGGATATAGTCGGGGCGATCAATATACTGATGCAGTTGGCGCATGGAGTGAACGCGGCGTTGAAGTTTTTCAATCGACCACAGATGTATCACACACTGTTTGTAGTCAATAACTCGTACGCCAACACATGGCTTTTTAGCTTCTTCCAGGACAATATCCTCGTCACCAGAGATGCCATTCAAAACAAGATCGTACGAGGAAGCCATGCTGTGGCCGTGGTCAACAATAGCAAATTGAAAGACAACATTCTTGTCCATGATTTGACTCATGACTTGCGCCTCCTTCAAAAGCGATGCATGCTGCAGGATCTTCTCCGCCATACGGACATAATTGCGCTGTGACCAATGATGGAAAACGGATCGTGCAATCTCCAGTTCACGCTCATTCAATTTGGCAAACCCGTTCTCAAAAATTTGAGGGAGAGGCTTGCCCATGTCACGCATCTGGGTTTCAAATTGTTCTTTTTGTTGCCGTAATTGCTCCTCAAAATCCTCTTTAGCCGTGCGGAGAGCATCTTCCATTCGCTCTTTCTCTGTTCGCGTTTCACTTGGATCGTGGCTGGACGAGGCTTCTGCAAGCTTTAATTTGTCTTGAAATTCCTCTTTTTGCTGATCAAGTTGGCGCTGCATGTCCTGACGGACCGATTTGAGAGACACAGCGCCATTGGCGCCATCCTCATCTTCATGCTGTCGAGGAGTGCCAGGCATAGTAATGGCTGTGTCCAGGGAGAAATTATCGATTGTTCCATTTGACATGTACTTGTCTCGCACGGGAAATGAGCTGAGTGAGTCGGAGTCTTCCTCATTATCAGGAAGTCCACGGCGCACTGCTCGCATTTTCTGCACGTTTTCGAAGAGAGTATCAAGCTCATCATCTGGCAAATTTGAGATATGATCCGGTCCAAGCATTGCGCTCACTGCTTCTCGTCGAGCAAGAAACCAATCGGATTCTCGCCCACGTTGCGAGGGCATTGGTGACTCGGCTCTGCTTGAATCGCCATCGACCTCCGAGCCAGTCTTGCTAAGAGTGCGGTCATGGGTTTTATTTGGCGCAGGGGAGCCCAATTGACTCGTGGTCACGGAATGCCGCAACAGACTTTGTTCAACTCGCTCGGCGCGAGCTTCTTGGGGGTGGTTAAAGCGGAAGATATGGAAGTCCCCAAGAATGATACGGAAACCACTCTTCAGACGGGTGGGTTTGTCGATGCGCATGCCATTGACCATCACGGCCGCACCCTCGGTGGGAACAATAGTGACGATGTTGTCGACATTCTCAAAGGTACAGTGTTTGGTAAGAATTTTTGACCCATTCAGTCGAATCTCGACACTGTTTCCTTGATCCATATGCCCCACGGTAGTGGTGCCTGGCTTGATATTGTAGACCAAACACTCTGCCAATAAGGGATCATCACTGAGGTTGACCAAGTGAGGCATCTTTTTCGGTGTACTGAGCCCGATGAAGCCCTTTTCAATGTTGATTCCAAGCTCCTCCAAAGCGGCCTCACGTTCCTTATGGATGAGCTCTGTCTTTTGCAGTTTCTCTTCCCAAGTCTGGTTGAGATCCTTGTACAGCTTTTCACTTTGATTCAGCTGCTCCACAATCTCGGCTTTACTAACTTTCGTTACTGATCCATCGGCCTGTTGGATAGAGACCATCTGTTTCTCCAAAGGTGTATCAGGAGGATAGTATTCTTCTTGGGAAATCCCACCTGCACCAGCAGCCCCTCCAGGAGCCACGCCACCACCGAGTTTGGATCGCAGCTGCGCCAATTCCTCCTTCAGCTCACGGATCATACGAGCATTCGGATCTTCGTTCACAACGGCGTGGTTCTTAATTCGCTTAGCCGAGTCTGCATAACGCAGAGTGCTTAGCGTTTCGTCAAAATTTATGTCTGCTGGGGAAATCGCGGCAATCATAGAAGTCATTGAATTACCACCCAGTGAGTCCTTCAGGAGCCAGGTCAAGACGGAATCACGGTATGGAACCATAGATGCTTTCTTGAGTTTTCCTGAAGAGACATCGGCCAAGGCAGCAATGACACGACCCAGCGTGGATAGAGATCTGTTAATCTCCGCGCCCTCCTTCAAACGAGCACCGGTAGCACCGGTAGAGTTTGCTCGCTCTGAACCAGCCAAATCGACCAAACTAATTTTCGATACCTTCTCTGTGTCCATCGAAGTCTCTGCATCGTGGCGCTTTTGTGTAAGGGTCAAAGTAAAGACCGCATGGGATCGACTGGAGGTTTCGTTCATGTTCGTCGCCGCCACCGTTCGGGCCTTGTTACCCTCGTCCATCAAATTTTCAATCTCCTCGAACGAGCGAACCGCCAGTTTCGCGAGATCCTCCACATATGGACCAGTGGACGGGTGCTCGCGAACCTTCAGATTTCCTTTGTTGGACGGGTTGAGCAAATCACGAACCCGTTCGTTGTAGATTTCCAGGTAGGACACTTCCACCGTACAATTGAGATTCTTATCCTGCTGAATATCGGAGATCCGCAAAAACAAGGACTGGCAAATGCGAGGGATCACACCGTACTCCTGGCCATAACCCATCATTGAGTATGACTTTCCGGAGCCGGTTTGACCGTAGGCGAAAATACAGTTGTTATAACCGCTAAAGGCATTGTCTAGGAGTGGGGTACCCAGGTCGTCAAACAGATTATCTTGGCCGGCGTAGTTGGGAGCATTCTTGTCGAAGGACCAATATGATCGGTCAAAAGCGAAGGTCTTCGCTCCTCCATCTCCTTTGCCGCCTTTTCGCGATTTGTCCTCCGCGCCTGGCGGTGCCGTAAGCACCGTCTGGGCACCCTTCATCTGCACAATACATTTTGCACCTCTGTCGATTTCTAGATCGCACCACCATCACCTCGTTAGCGCGAGCGGCCCTCGGGTTTGGGGGTAGGGCAGGCCTGTCTATCATTTCCTTCATCCTCTGCTTCCCCTTGCGATTTTCGACTCACCTCTGCTGTTGAAGGGTCGCACCCGAACCACCACCTTGATATTACCTCCGCCGCCTGGAGACATCTTGGATCTCCTGCCCCATCCACCGCGGGGTTGGGATCACAGATCAATCTCTCGAAAGTCCCGAAAGGGCGGTGTCCCACCGATGGTGAAGGAAAAAAAATCGCCGATGCGCGGACTCCGTGCGGAGCGCGACTTTACCACGGAGTCGCTAGAAACAGAGAGATTTCGGGGTCTGTGGATGTCGTCTGCGTCTGGTCCGTCTGGAACTGGATCAAAGGGACGGGAATTGGGGATGTCAACAAAGACGTCATGTATCGAATATTATTCAGTGAGGCCCGGGGGAGTGTGTGGAGTGGGTCAGCGGGATCTCAGCGGTCAGGATCTCGCACAGTCGAGTCGAGCTACTGCAGCGCTGGATAGGCGAAGAGGCGAACGTCTTTCCGACAACACGATGCTCGAGTCGGCCTTGTTCATACGGAAAAGCCACTTGCCCCCGAAGCGCGGGACCCCTTGCTGAGGTAAGCACTCTCACACCCCCCAATAACCTAACTAACTAGCCAACTGGCGCAGGATCCGGGCATCGCTCGATCAGGGCCAGTTGGAAATATGCGACAGTTGCTAGCAGAGATAGATTGGGAAATGTTGCTCTTGCGATATCCAGTGGCATGGGCTCAGGGTTGGACCATTCCCTTGGAGGAGGAGATTTGTCTTTGATTCTCTGATGCGTTTGGTCTAGACCATGCGAGAAGTTCGAGATCCAAACGGCACATGAATCGGGGCCTCCAGGCTAATTTTGGAACCACCAGGGATAAACACGACGATAAAGGATAAAGTCTGATTGTTTCATGCAACATCTAGTTCCAAAAGTATCTACTTTGTGCATGTCTCTGATGGGGTTGGGCCAGTTCTATGGGTAAACAGGCAACCGTAACTTGTGTCATCAGTGTCGCTATATATATTTATATATCGAGATCTATGTTGGCCAACCTCTGCCATCGGTAAGGTAAATCTTGTGTACGCCCAATTTGTGCTATATCACAAGGCTGCATCTGCTCGCTGCTTTCCATACAAAATACCACGAGGGCTCGAATAAGATGATTATCAACCTGTCACTTCTGCTCAGATGACCAAGCGCCTAGTGTCTTGACCATCCCGACCATCCCGACCATCCTTCTTGCTCGCGGGGAGGAAGCCAGCGCCATCGAAACGCGGTTCAGCGTGGGGGAAAAATGATCGGAGCGGGCCCTGCGAATCGGACATGGGACGCGCTGAATGGTTCATCATTGCACTAAAGTTGATGGTCCAGGGGTCAAGGCTGCACGTGGAGCAAGACGACAGCCAGTCGAATCCTCCATCAGATCGTCTTGACAAGACGACCTACTACGTTCTATCAGTATACCAGAGACCGCCAGACGGGGCATCATCCGGAAGAAACGACCCTTTCAAAGCCAATACTACAATGAATTCATGGTTGCAAAGCTCAACGGACACGGAGTGCCCTGATCGGGCCGGATCACCGCTACACTAAACCACGAAGCGAGAACCCTTTCTCACCGTGACGAGAGAGCTTCCAGCATGGATACAACACAACGGACTGGGAATGCGGGCTCAGACCTCTCCGTCCTTCAATCCACCAGCCTCGAAAGAAGGCCGGAAGTCAGAAGCCAGGTCTAGTGGTCGAAAAGGCTTCCGTCATGATCTCGGAGGCTCTTGCGTCATATCTCATGCTAGCCAAACATCCGGGCGAGTTGCCCGAGGGGACGCAAAGGGAGAAGAACGCCATGGCCCAGATTGCAATACCTCTCCCCAAATTGCGATCATCGTCATTATCACATTGAGGTTCGAGCCCCGGGCACAGAGGGATGGGGGCAGAAACAGAGGGCGTCGGAGAGTCCGGGATCGTGTGGGTCCCCAGACGATGTTCTCTGGACATCCCTATCACACGTTTCGCTTTGCACCGGCCCGCCTACGTGATCTGTGATTCATGTACATTTTCAAACCAGATTATTGTTAGATGGCAGTTACACTTGTGATGGAGGGTTCTCGTTGAAGGGGGACAAGGGCATGGGATCCTGGCCAGTCAAAAACAGGATGGGACCTGAGGTGGAGGAAACTTCCCCGAATAGGAGACACAGCCGAGCAAACCCGGCTGGTGACGAGGGCACGAAGAATCAAGTCAGCTCTCAGAGAAGAAATGAATGGCCCCCGGAGGAGAAAGAGCAAAGAGAAAAAAAGGAGGCACAGGTCAAAACAAACGGAAAGAAGGAGACCATGACTGCCCAAGCCGAAACGGAGCAGACCCAACGATCCCCACGAATTTCCCCAAACAAGGCCCCGTATCGTACGGATACGGAGTACTTGGACAAGGATGTCGAGGTACCTCATATAGATATGGACTGCTCGGGCGTGGTGCAGGTACTGACAGAGCTGGCAGAATGTACCAGTGGACGACTGCTCCCAACGGGCTCACCGCCAAGTGGCCGGGGTTGCACATGACTGATCCGGGCATCCCGGACTCGTTTTCCTCATGACGGAGGACTCTGCTGACTCCCCAGACCGACCGGATCGTGCTGCACCCGAGGGCAACTCCCGGAGTGCTTCGACTTGGAGCTGACATAGGGACATAGGGCCCATGAAAGACGTCGTCTCATAATTAGGCTGAATCGTCGCTCTTTGCTTTTTCTTTTTCTTTTTCATCATCATCATCATCATCTTTGTCTCCTATTCTTCTATTTTTCTCTATTTTCCTACTCATGAGATATCGGAGAATGGCATCTCAAGAGATCTCAGTTCATCGCGAGAGGCGCTGTTGTAATCCACTCTCGGGCTCCCAGCCACTTGGGCACGATGACTTGATCGATTCCTGACCGACTACTCGTTCTGCCGGGATCCTGCCCGATCAGGCAACGATCCGCTTTCCGCTACGACGCGTCCCACTGGTCGTCACTTGTAATCTATAATCATCGGGGGTAATCTATGGTAACGGGGGGTAAATTGCGGTACAGTATCGTATGTGATAGTAATCTGTGGTAATCTGTGGTAATTCAAGGCAAATTAAAAGTCCTTTCATGGTGGGACTCGCTGTATATTACGGTATTTGACGGGGCGAATGGGGTACTCTCAGCGTATCCGCCTGGTAAACAGAGGGTAAGCAGATGGTAATGGCTGGCAATCGAAATGGACTCGACAGCCAGTCATCGCCGCCCGTTCAGCACCACCAGAGCGACCCCACCGGCACCGCTCGCCCGCTGATACGTCGGCGACGGCGGCGCCCAGTCAATCGGCGCGAAAGCGGTACAAAATGCCCCATCGCCCCCTTTTCGCCTTTCTCCCTTCGCCTCTTCTCGTTGGTTGCCCACGCTCGCCAGCTGTTCTGCCCTCCAACCACCGCCCGGCGCTGGCCACCCTTACTGCTGATTTTCATTAAAACCGTTCATTCGCCCTCTCTTGTCCCCGTCCTGCTGCCAGAAGCCCAATCATCATTCTCGCCAGCTTGTCCTCCCCCCCCCCATTTGATTCTTTCCCCCCCTCCCCAGCTCTCCCTCCAGTCAAGTTCCTGAGGTGTCGACTGGTCTCTGCCCACCGCCCCCCCCCTCTCTTCGAGGCTCCTCTGCCCTATCGCAGCCCCGTGCGACGCCGGCGGAAAGGAACGGCGTCTCCGACGAACGGGAAGTCGATACAGCTCTGAACTATACTACTATACTACTACTGTATAGCCTACGACTCTCTCCCATATACCACCAGAGAGAGAGAGAGAGAGAGAGATAGACACCTCCCTATTGGTGGTCTTTGGTCCTCGTTATTGGCCGTGATTGTTGTATAGGATCGCAAGGCAAAATAGCCTGTCGCGAGAATTTTCCTCGACATACACGACTCGACATCGCTAGTCTGCTTTCTCTTCGCAGATTCAGATTGATCACGGAGAATCTTCTTGCTCTTGGTAGGTGCCTACTTTCTTTGTGTGTAATGGATATTGAATGCTTCTCTGCCCCGGTTGATCCTGGATGTTCTCTCTCTTCTCTTCTTTCTTCTTTTCATTTTTTTTTTCTTTCTCTATCTCTGTCCTGATCCTCTTCTGCGTTTCTCCGTTTTGGCTTTGATTGCTCTCCCGCATACCTTGTCTTTTCCTTACTGGGAGCCCCCTTACCATTGGGCGTAAACAATGTGGTGCCGTGCTCCCGGATCTTGCCCCGGTGTCTTCCCTCTATCACTCTTGTGCCCAGTCATCAGTGTTCTAGTATCCTCTCCAACCTTGTGCTCACTTGAGGTGGTTCTCTCTTCCCATCAACCTGATCTAAGGGTTTGGAGACCGGGGGGTTCTATACGAGACTGATCTGGTTGGGCCGGTGGGAACGACCTCCCAAAGCAGCGGCTTGGGCGGGTCTCCGGTCGCGCACCGCCTTTTCCCTCGCCTTCTTCCCCTCTTCTTCATCTTCCGTCAAATCATCGTCTTCCTTGGATCCCTTGATCGCTTCGGATTGGAAGTTCCCCTCTGCCCTTCCCCGTCGCAACACGCCTTTGGTCCATTCCATTAAGGTGACCCTCCCCAAGCTTTCTTCCCCTTCTCCAATCCCACGTTGCGCGCGCCTTTTAGTGCTTTCGGCCCGTGGCAAAACAACACGCGCGCCCATGCAAGTCTCAGCGTATGGCTATTGGTCCCTCGTCTGCCTTCTTCTGTTCCCTATGCGCGTTCTCTCACTGCCTTGGATGCTTTTCTGATGTTCCTACCCGACTGCCTGGTCCTTGTTATTTTGTATCGGTCGCGCGCCACCTCCCCGGGCTCTGCACGCGTCGGGTCCCTGGCACGAGCCTTTGACATCATTTACATCATCGTCGGGTTGTCGCATCCTATCTAACAAAGAACGTCTAGGGTCGCTATCTACATCTGATTCGCTATCAGCCTCCTCGAAATCTGTCTTGCTTCTGCAGAAGCCGATCGACAAGGTATGTTCGCGTCCCAAGCCTGCAACGCTCCCCCAATTCCCGTGCCAACGCATACATCCCCCCCCCCCCCCCCCCCCCCCATTCTGCTGGGTTGACCCGGGCCTAACCACCGCCCCCTCCTCCCGGCGCGCGCAAGCTGATCCCAAGTCCCCTGCTCATGAATCATCGCCGCCCTCCCCTCGTAACCCCAAGTTGACAGCGCATTGCGCTCTGGTTAAAATGTGACATACTGACCGCTTCGCAGGCTCTGATTCGTGGAGTTTGTTCCAAGCCTGTCTTGACCGAGGCCTTACTGGATCTGCGCGACTCCGCTAGTCCACGCTGGTAAACTGCACCGTTTCCCCGGATCTGGCATTGACCGTGGCAAAGCAGAAACAAGAGCCCGGAAAAAAATAAGCCACACGAAGCCAAACCGGCACCTGGAAAAGCCCCTCACAAGTGAATGAGGTAGCCTGCCCCGTGCCTGAAATAGTTTCAGCGTAGCCTCAGCGGGGCGACATCAGGGTGTTTTTGCTCTGACAACGCATCAAGCACTTCAGTCGAGGGGTACCCCCCGGCCTACTGCATCCCAGCCCAACCACGTTACACCCGATAGTGGGCATCGACCGATTTGCACAAAAGAGTCAAACCCTCCGTTCGAGATCGTGGTTTGACCAAGGGCCTTTCGTGCCATTCGTGTCCCCTTCTTCCTGACCAAGCGCTGGCAGTATATCCGAGGATTCTCGTTCTGCCGTTCTGCATTTAAGGTATGCGCCTCTTATCGCCTTGTTCCCATTTTATTTGCTCCTGTCTGGCCCTTTGATGTCCCGTCGCCCCCACCCTTCAAATCCAGTGACCGTCTTCCGCTGCACTTTGCTGACGCGATGTCCCGAAGCTGCAGACTATCGTCTCCTGCTCGTCGAATCATTGACCACCAACGCTTACTTGTGGTGACCATTTCCCCTCCTGCACGCGCCTTGGTGATATCGATCCAGCATATCTGCCAAACAAATCTAGTCCACCTCGATCTTCTCCCACTTGCGCTCCGGATCCAACCCACTTCGGCGCTTAACTGTCTTTTGCCTCGCTGATTGGTGTTTCAGCTTGGGTTGATCGTCATCCCAACTGATACCTCCCGGTTCCAAATCCCGGTACCGCGCGCGCGTCGCTGTGTGACGAAAGTCTCCTTTCGACCCATCTGTTCACAGCTCTCCGCCCATCATGGAATACGCTCCGCAATATCAACAGCCTCATGGCCAACACCCACACCCCCCTTCCCACATCGCTGGTCCCTACCAAGCCGCACCACCAAACGCTGGCCCGCCCGTGGGGTCGATGGCCTCGCCAACCAATGCCCAGGCCCCTATGCAACAGACTCATCCCGCTCACCAGACGTCCCCGATCGTCCCGTCGCAACAGCATTATCAACAAGCTCAGAATGCGCCCGGTGCCGTCCACCAGCAGATGAACTTCCCGCAGGGCTATGGCGTCACGACTGCCATGCCCCAGACATATGGCATCTCACCGACACAGGCGGCCGCGATGGCGACTGCCGCCGCGTCCGGACAATTTTATCCACTTCAGCATGATTCGATGGCTGGGCAGATGGCACAGGGTCCGCGAGGTTCGCCGCGCATGGCTGGTGTGCAGATGAAGCCAGATCGGAATCCGCGGTCACCCCCGCAAATGCCAGGCCAGATGCCGCCGATGGGCTCTCAAGTTCAGATGCCGCCGAACGCGCAGATGGCTGGTCAGCGCCGGATGAGTCATGTTGGAAGCCCCAGTGTCGCCAGCGCACAGCCTGTCATGAGTCACGTAGGACGCGCTCCCGTCGCACCTCCCATGCCTGGTGGCCCCCAGTCCGCTGTGCCCCAGAACCAACCGTCGCCTGAGATGGTTGCTGGCGGGAATAGCCAGGAAGAGTCTCCTCTTTACGTGAATGCGAAGCAGTTCCACCGTATTCTCAAGCGCCGGGTTGCGCGCCAGAAGCTGGAGGAGCAGCTACGCTTGACATCCAAGGGCCGGAAGCCGTACTTGCACGAGTCGCGGCACAACCATGCTATGCGGAGACCTCGTGGCCCCGGCGGCCGGTTCTTGACTGCTGATGAAGTTGCTGCAATGGAGAAGAAGCAAGCCGAAGGCGATGGTGATGGACTGAATGAGATCGTGACCAAGGGCGAGAATGGCTCCAGCGCCCAGAAACGGAAATCAAGCGAGGTCACCGATGACCACAGCAACTCGAAGAAGACCAAGATCAGCGGCAGCGCCGATGGAAGTGAACAAGAATCGGCTGACCCGTCTGACGAGGACGGCTGAATGCCTCGTCCTCACCGGATCAGGCGCTCGAAAGCTTCGTGACATTCGATTCTGGTGCCTGTGTCTCAAACTCATTTTCCTTGGGTTCGTTTGGAATGTTTCTTTTGTTGTTACGGCTTTATGGATGGATGTTTTTTTCTGTATTGGAACCTTTTCTCTAGCGAGCGATGTGTACGGATGCCCCCTTAACTTCTCTTTCTATTCTCTATATGTGCTTGTTCCAACACTTCCCCCTTTTCTGATCCTTTTTTTCTCCACTTCTTATTTCCTTCTTACACCTTTTCCTTTTTCGGATTTGAAACCCCCGAGCCCCTGATGTTTGTTTATAGCTTTTACGCTGGCACGATATCTTTTTTTTGGACCTTGGCTTCTGCTTTGGAAGTATCCTCTTCCCCATGGTGATGACAGTCCCTGCCATTCCGTCCTGGAGAAATGCATCTTCCACGAGGAAAAGAAATGAACGTCTCGTTGCCCCAGTCCATATCGATACGTTCCCATTTCAACGCAAGCAAGAAGCCTCGAGCACGCACGCCAGGAAGTGCCGCAGTGTCTCAATGTCAGCCATATTGTTTTTCATCCTTCTTCTTGCACCGGCTCCGCCCTCGTCCTTGTGTATATCGATCGCCAGTACAGCAACACTTCCGGCTTTTGGTCTTGAATGTGTCTCTATTACTACCACCTTCGGTTGTTCATGGGTTCTCCCCTTTTACATGCAGACTTTTGATAGGTTGTTTCTTTCTGCCCGTTACCCTTTGCGCGCTTGACTACCTTGCGATTTCTTCTCTCCTCTTTTCTCTCATCTTGACCTTCGGTGTCTTTGGGCTGTGCGTTTATGGGTTTCCGGTTGGGAATTTAGATGAGGGTCTCCTTCGCTGGAAAAACAGATGGAATTCGGGTCATCGGCTCGGGAAAGACCGGTTGGTTGTGTATTTTGGTTTGTTGTTTCTTTTCTTTCTTGCCTTGGATATGGACATGGAATCGAATTTGTCACTGCCTATAGCATCCCATTGGAATGAAGATATTTTGCCTGCTTGAAGTATCAGGGCTGCATTTTTGTAGGAATTGCTCTATTCCAGGACTCTGTGTTCTATGATGTCTAGGGGAAGCACGTTAAGCCACGCCGCTAAGAATCTCGCCTCGTATGCGGGTATTGTTGCATGCCTGGAGTGTGATATCTGAAACAGCCTCGCCGCAGGCAGTCTCCTCGAACCCGTATTTTCAAGCCAATAGGCCCTCTCGGCATGGCCATCGTCTCCTTATCAGGGAGATTAATAGTAAATGTACAGCAAAAGACAGAAAAAAAAGCAGAAAATAACACCATGATAGAGTCAACCCCCGAGCGCCAGTGGCCATGCCAAAAAAAAAGGGAAGAACAGAACAGAAAATAAGGTGTGCGCAATGATAAGCTCCCAAAAGAGCTGAATAAGAACAAGAAAGAAGGGATATCATCTAAAACTTAAAGCCAGGCCCCCTTTCTCACACAGCCTCCCAATCCATCGCATCCACCATAAACTCCCAATCCGCCTCCTCTCGCCCAATCGCGTGGATATCCTCGCCCTCCTCCCCCGGCTTCCGACACAGCTCGACATGTTCCCTCGCGCGCGCATACGCCCCCTCCAGCCCGGCAAAAATGCCACTCAAAATGCCATCGAAATCGTAGCTCGCCAATGGCCGCGCCTCCCCCCGTTCCCCAATAACATCCATCTCTTTCTCGCGCTCCGTCATCCCCGCCGTCTTCCACCGGTTCCGCAGCTCCTTCGCCTGCTGCAGACACCCCAGCACGGGCCCGTTGCCTAGAACCGGCGCTAGCGGCGTGCGCTCTTCCGCCAGCGCCGCCAGCACATTCGCATGGTACCGGTGAAGGCCCGACCTGGTGGAATCGCGCCCGCTGACGGTTACATTGAAGACGGCGAGGAGATGGACGAGGGCACGTTCGAGCAGCGCGTAGTACTCGTGGAAGTCGAGCTTGAACATGAGTTCGGCGGTGGGGTCAGCCGTGCTCGCGAGGCGGTAGGCTTCGGCGAGGAAGGGCAGTTTCCAGCGGAGCCGGGCGATGATCTTCATGAACCGGGCCAGTTCTTCGGCCGGGGGGAGGAGCGTGGTGGTCGTGCTGGTGGTGGTCGTCCTGATGGGAGACAGCCCGGTGCGAATGCGGTTTTCGGAGCGGGGGCGGCGGCGGTGGGCTGGGGGCGGGGGCGCTTGGGGGGGAGAGGCATGGGCGCCGGGGGCCCAGCGTGAGCTGAGGAGGTCGGACATGGCTTTCCCCCCTCGTATGCTTTATTGGGTGCGGGATTTGGAGTGAGTTTGGGGGAAGTTGGTAGTTTCTAGGAAAGCGGATTGGGAGGAGTGCACGGGCCAGAGAAGCTTTGGGTGGATGTGGAGTCTGGAGGAGGCGGGGGAAAGGAGGAGTTCCAGGTATTGAGGGGCTGGGAGGGGTTCAGGATCTGGAAGAGGATCTGTTCTGGCAATGGGGGCCGCTTTGAATTGGGAAATGGCGGCGGCTCGGAGGAATTGTTATCTGTAATTGGGACATAGTACCGAATTGGTCATAGACCTATGGACGGGTAAACAGTAGGAGACAACAGTCGTATAGATCGGAAGAGCGCTCTGGAATGGAGTAAATAGACCCGAACGGTCGAGGTCAGTACTGGTGCCAGGGCGCAATGACATTAATTCGAGCCATCTGGGGGATTATTTTTCATCTTCTAGAGAGAATCCCCCAGCATTGACGGCGCAATATAGCCGGGGGCCTTGTGAAAGTGTTGGTGTTCTCAATAGAACATGCTTCGGATTCCGGGGGAAAAAACATGGTAGAGACTATAGCTCACATTTGCACCTGTGAAGATGCTTCACCGAAGACCCAGCGCTTTTAAGAATCGGATAATCGGATTGAGTATTTTGATCCGATGTCTCCATTGATTCATTCGGGATCCTTGCTATTGAGATTACCCGAGGGGGTCTCACATTCGAATGCGCCTATTTAGCGCCGATCTCGAAACTTGATCTATCGGAAAGCCCCTGTTGGTAAGTCGACCCGCCAAGAACGCCGCCACCTGGAGAATCACGGACAGCATCAGCCATCAAACACCAATCCCCCGAGTTGGGACTAGGCGCCAGGGTCCAGATCCCGAGAGGATGCGTCGGTGACAGCCATTCGATTGGGAACACGAGAGAAAGGGGCGTCTTGACTAAAACACGGAAACGTGACCTTTCCTGATTCCCTTTGAAGCCCTCCCATTTGCCTCCGCAGGACCCATTTCGTGCTTCCACCCATCTCGCCCGCCTGCTTGCGAATCCAACTTGGTGTTCTGTACTTCGTCGCAACAAGTTAGGGCTTGCGATTGTCATCTGGCCTCGTGCGGCCGGCTGTCAGGTGACCCGTGCCCGTGCCAGGCACACACTAGGCCCAGACCGGCTAGCGCATCTCCAGCTCTCTCCAAAGCCGTGGACCTTCCAATCTCACCTTCTCTCCACGCCGCGCTGGAGCTGCTAACGCTGGCTTCGATTCCAATCTTCCGCGATTTTTTTGCTCCTGGGCTTCTTGTAGGTGCCCTACCTCCGTTTTCTCTCTTTCTCCCACTGCCCGTTTCTGCCTCGTTGATTCCGTTCTGCCTCTTGCCTCCTAATCCCCTTCCCTCTTTCATTCTCCATCCTCCGCTCTCCGTCCTCGGTACCAGCGTCACCCCTATCTTCTGGACATTCCATGCCTTCTTTGCCTGCTTCATCTTCTTTCGCTACCTTCTCCGAGGCCGCGATAGTGCCAGGGGGCATTATCGCGCGATCTCGTGATCTCCCATCATGACTCTTTTCGTGGAAACCGCGCCTCCATCCTACGCGGACTCTCTTCATCATCTCTCTTTGTCTACCTTCCCCGCGGTGCCCTGATGGGTGATGATGTGCCTTCAATCTCGGAGGCCGTCGGTTCGGAACCCGCTTGATCTTTATGCTTTTTTCTATCTCATCAACACCTTGTCTATTCTTCTTTTCTTCAATCGCCCACCCGCCGCTCTCTTTCTCCTCGCTCTCTCTTCTCGCTATCAAGATCTGACGTTGACGATACCAAAAAGGTAGCTTTTCGTGTGCTCGGCGACAACTTTTGACAACCCCAAGATCGTCGATTTCGCCTTTGTTTTCTCGGACCCCCTTCTTTTCCTGGTTCGCCACCTGGTTGAGTCGTTCGCGGCTAGAGCCGTTGGATTGGACGAACTTATTGGGACGCGATGGATTCGTACGAAGGATATGCGTCTCCCGGCAGAAGCCGCGAGCCGGATTCATTTTCGGGCCGTCCGCCTGCGGAGTCCTACAGACGCCGGTCACCGGGTAGGTAGCTAGGATGGACCCTGCACGTTCAGCAACGATTTCTTTTAGCTCATGATGGCTCTAGTTTCTCAAGATCGACGCCGTGGTGGTCGTGGCCGCTCCCGCTCCCCCATGATTGATCGCTACGAGCCTACGGAACGCCGACCCCGAGAGGACTTCTACAACAGTTCTCGCGAACATGCCGCGCGAGAGCGTGAAGATCGCCGCCGACCCCCCTCACCAAACGTTGCGAACATCGACCGCTACATCCCGGGCCAGGATGGCGGCAAGCGCCTACCTTTGAGCAATCCTCTGCCCAACCCGCTCAGCCTTGATTTTCAAGTCGGATTCAATTGGTTTGCCGAATGGTGGCGAAGCGAACAAGATATTAATGCGGAAAGAGAACGTGCCAAGCATGGTGGCCGACGCCCATCGGATCGTGTCAAGGGAGAACGTGAAGCCCGCGAAGACCGAGAGAAAGAACGGGCCCAGATCCAGGCTGCCTATGATTCATACAAGGTGGATCTCCAGATCAAGTTGGCCAGGACATTTGTGCAACAGCACTGCAACGAAGAGTGGTTTAAAGAACGCTATACCTCCGAGGTGCGAGATCCGCTTCGCAGTCGCTTGACGGCCTTCCGGAAAGGCGCATATGATCAATGGGAGCGTGATCTGAACGGTGGTCTCTTCGATGACTATACCCTAGAAGGCATCTACAAGAGTGAGAGCGATGGTGCGGGTGGAATTGTTGAAAAAGAAGAGGGGGAAGCCACTGCTGTTGGTGAGACTCTCGGTGTTCTCGACCTACTCCCTGTTCGAGGGGGCGAGCTGCGAGATGAGACTCTGTCCCAGCCGGCCCTGCTCATCAAAACCCTCGCGCCGAATGTAAGTCGGATCAAGATCGAGGAATTCTGCAAGGAACACCTCGGGGAAAGCGACGGTGGCTTCAAATGGCTCAGCCTAAGTGACCCAAATCCTTCTAAGAAGTTTCATCGAATGGGGTGGATCATGCTGCATCCTGGCGCTGATACTACCAATATCGTGGAACGTGGAGATGGTCGCGAGGAGGAAGGCGAGGAAATGGACCATGAGGATGGTACCAATGGCAGCACGACGATCAGTGCAGCCGAAAAAGCTTTGGATGCAGTCAATGACAAGACAATCCACGATCCCATCCACGGAGATTTTGTTTGCCATGTTGGTGTACATGTTCCACCATCGCAACCGCGAAAGAAGGCATTGTGGGATCTCTTTTCCGCCCCGGAACGAATTGAACGTGATTTGGAGCTTGCCCGGCGATTGGTTATTAAGTTTGATACTGAAATGGGAGAAGAGGTGGATGGGTTCGCCAAGATCGAAGAACGCATCGATGATTTGCGTGGCAAAGGCTGGCTTCAGCCTCCAGTCACAGGGCCCGTTAGTGTCAAAAAGCAGAAAGATGACTTCGATGAAGACGGCGCCGAGGAAGGTGAAATGGAAGAAGGCGAGGAGAAGGAAAGTCCCGAGGAAGACGAAGTTGATGACGAAGAACTCTTGGCCAAGAAAAAGAAGCTGGACTTGATGGTCGAGTACCTGCGACGCGTCTACAACTTCTGTTTCTTCTGCGTTTTCGAGAGCGACTCTGTTCACGAGCTTAGTCGCAAATGCCCCGGTGGACACCTTCGTCGCCCGCGAACCGGCCTCTCTAGCCAAGCCAAGGACGTTGCTCGAGCCAGCGCCCTCGGCCAGCCATTCCCCGTGAAAAAGAAGGAGCCGAGTGAAGATGGCGAGGAACGAGCTTCCCCCGTGCAAGAGAAACGACCCCATCGGTTCTCGAAATCCGAGCAACAGCTTCAGCGTGCTTTCAACTGGGTCAAGACTTTTGAAGACAAGTTGTTGCAGATCCTGGAGCCCGAGAATGCCGACCTGCGTAAGCTCGGTGGCAAGCCTGTTGACCAGGCTCTTGAAGACGAGCTGGCCAAGTATGTCAAACAAGAAGATGACTCGCGGTTCCGGTGTAAGGTACCGGAGTGCACGAAGCTTTTTAAGGCAGAAAACTTCTGGCGCAAGCACATTGAGAAGCGTCACACAGAGTGGTTCGACAATATCCAGCGTGATGTGAGTTTTGCCTCCTGGACCCCCAGATGATACCTTAGGAAATCAACGCCTGGCTAACCCTTGCTTATTATAGTTGTCTCTCGTAAACGCATATGTTCTCGATCCTTCCCGCATTGCTCCATCGCGCTCTGATGCCAATAGTAATGGCCATTTCCCCATGTCTGGCGGCCAAGGCCACGGCGGCACCCCACGTGGGTTCAGTCTGTCCAACATGCCCCCCTACCTCGCGAATGGGGCAATCCCTGGCGGGTTCCCAGGGGCTGGCATGCCAGGCATGATGGGTGCAGGGGGCGCATGGGGCGGCAACGGGATGGCCACTGGTGACGGGACCGGTCTGCACCAGCCAGGCGCCATGCGACGCGGCCAGAACCGTCACAACCACCGGGCCGGCCCGTACGACCGCCGTCGATTCAATGGCAGCGGCCGACTCAGCCCTGTCCGCATGGGTGGTTTGTATGGCCCAGGTGGTCGACTTCCCACTGGTGCAGTTGTTCCTCCTGGTCATCCGGCCGCCAACATGGTTCCCAGCAACCCCTTCCCGGATGCTATGGGTGCTGGCGGTGGTCCGCAAGCTATTCCCCCTCGTGAGGCAGTGCAGGGCCGCAGCTTAAAGAGCTATGAAGATCTTGATGCTGTGGGCGGCTCTGGCAGTGGAGAGCTCAATTACTAAGTGGATGACTTGTAATCATTTTGCCTTGACTGATTTACATCTCTTGCCTTCTTTTGTTTATTTCCAATGTCCCTTTCTTTTCACAATTGTTCTAACTGGCGTGTGTGGCGCAAGAACGGATGGGGGAAATCTGAACCTACCAAATGCGCCTTTGTGATTGCCTTTTTTTTTATTTTATTTATTGGTGTCGCCCATTTTTCAAGGAAATCTTCGTTGCCCCGAAAACATTCTCGTTTCGTTTTCTTTTTCTTTTCTCTCTTCGCCTGCTCTTCCCACTTATTGCTCGGCTCGTTTCCTCTTGGCAAGCGTGCTCTTTCTTCCCTGTCTGGGTCGATTCTTTCTCTACTATTTTCTTATCCAGCCTGGCATGTACAATATCCTTCATCGGCCATCAATTGGAAGACTGAAAGACATTTCCATTTTGTGCTTGTAAACCATACAGAGTGTCCCTCCCTATAGTTTGTCATCTTGCCATAGCAGTGAGCACGTATAGACGTAGATCTCTCAGTCCGTACACTATTATATAATCATGTATTCATTCGCTCATTAATTAAATCATACACACATTTCTTTGACTAGGTACCCACCACCCAGCTCAAAGCACGCCCCAAACCACCTGCCTCCAAAGCTCTCCACGTCGACTCCGACCTTTCCCTCCGTGCAACGAGTCTACACCTCATGGCATCTGAATCACCATCTCCTCTCGTGAATCCAGCCAGCGCGCGCCCATCCCGCGCACGCGCCGCTCGCTGGCCAGGAATAACAACAGGTATACGTGCATGGCGACCTCGCCCCAGGCGTAGACCTTCAAGCACAGATGACCCGGACTGGCGCTGCGAGCGGCCGGCTCCGGCGCGCGGTCGAGGATGCACCACACGCCCCAGCCGGCGCGGGCGTCACGGGCGACGAAGTCGGAGAGGAAGGACCAGAAGCGGGTGAGGAGGGCGGCGTCCCATTGCGGTAGGTGGGTTGGATGTGGCTTGGGGTCTAGGGCGAGGGGGATGTGGAGGGACCAGTGGCCGCGCTCGAGGGCGTCGAGAGGCCGGGTTTGGTGGAGAGGATTGTAGGTACGGGCTGGAACGAGGCGGGTGGTGAGCATGGTTAGGGTTGGGGTGATGTGGGTGGTGAAGGGGGTTGTGGAGATTGGGGGTGGAGGGGGTCGGAGGGATAGGGGGAGAGAGGAGAAGAAGTCATGAAAAGAGTCATTCTCGGGGTCGAGGTCATAGTTGGTGGAGGAGGTGGTTGATGGAAGTGATATTGGGCCAGCAGTGCTTGGAGGTTGTGGTGGTGTATGTGCTTTTTCTGCAGATGAAGCGATAGTCGCCGCTCGGGATGCACCCGGGGCAATAGTCCGACCCGTTGCGGGTTGTGGCTCGACCCGCCGCCGTTTAGGCGCAGGCGGGCTGGTTTCGTGTGGAGGTGTGGATATTGAGCGGGGGGAAGCTGGTGGTGATGATAATAATAATGACGATGTTGGTGGATGAGGGCATGGTTGAGTAGGGGGTACGGCCGTGGAGATGTCCGGCTGGGAGTCTGGGATGACGCTGACCACGCTCTCAAGAGAATCTCGCACGAGCGGGGGCCCCTGATCTTGGGACTGGTGGCGGCAAGAATCGGGAGATGAGGATGATCCTCGAGCCCGCCGATTGGGCCCGATTTGGTTCGTCTCAGAACCGCGCAGGATCGGCCGATCAGGGGAACCTGATTCAAGGCCCGGGCCCGGGCAGGCCGCGCGAGGCCAGACCGGGTCGTTTAGGGGGCTATTCAGATGACGATCGGATATGGCCGCACTAGCCGAATCCTCTGGGGCTGCTGCGAGTGCTGCTGCTGGAACGGCTGATCCGGAGATAAACTCGGATGATGACGGCCCTTGGTGATAATCCCCGTTTGACTGTGGGCGGGAGACGGGCTCCCAAGCGCACAGGATGGCGTTGACTTGCGCACGGTATCGTGCATCGTCCCGAGCCGTACTGGGGGCAGCAACGTGAACGAGGATCTCCATCCGGGAACGAGGCGAAAAGAAGGTGGGGGGTACACCCGATTGGAGGCCCCAATCTCCCCAGTTCTTAATTGAAATGCAGGAACAGGATATAATGGAATTAGGCAGGCAATAGTGTCGGCGCAGCGGAGAACGTCGTCATGGAGGCAAGATGTGCGTGAAGCGCGGCTCGGGAAAGGTCGCACGGGTGCTAGTGTCCCGCCGTCCGCCCTCGTCACTTGGTCCAAGACAAATCGGAAGATCGCAGAAGTTCCGTCATGGGCCGAGCACAGAGTATTTGTCATGCCTCTCTGGGAGAGGGGGTGATTTCAACCTGGCGCTGAGGAGGTGGAGGAAGGAAGATGTGATACGCTGCAGCGACTAGTGAAATCCTGAGGGCTTGGCGAACCGATCACACCTGCTTTGAGGCGGGTTGGGAGCATTCGGAGCGTCGAAAAATCCAGTATTTCCCAGAACATCTCGGCGAGGATTCCTGTATGATCATAATAGTAGTCGTTTATGCATACTTCGTACCTGAATAGGTACAGATTACCCCGAGTTGCGGGGCGTTTTCCATTCGACCATGCTCATAGATCATCGACTATGGACGGAGTTATGTAAAGGATCCAGGGATCCGATTGCTCGAAGCAGAGAGGAAACTGCAGAACATGGTGTCTCTTCTCCTCGTCAGCCTGATATCGATCTATCAGTGGATCCTCACCCCGCCGAGCGCAAGGTAGCAAAGAAATCAAGTCTCAAGAAGAGCTTCAGAGCGTATCTTCTCATGTTGTACAGCCAACGCGGATGCCAGACTTCAACTCCTCACGGCTCACTCTCGGTAAATAAACGAGGGACAACCGAATCAGGAAACATAACAGAGGGCAAGGAACGCGGGTGTACAACGAGACCTGAAAAGAGCGCGGGATTCCCCATGGGAATACCGTGTATACTAGGAGAATGCCACTCATGCACCGTTTGTGGATCCCAGAGCAACGGTGGAGCAGGAGGATTATTCTGATAGAATCATCAAGCTGCAGGCAATGGATCCAGAAAGACGCATCATGAAGGATAGTTAAGGATAGGGAATGGTCCTTCGCTCTGCACTCGACGGAGAGCAGGAGTATAGCTCGCCTGGTGGTGGAGTCAACGGAAGTATAGGCACGATAGCCACGATAGCCACGACAGCCACGACGGGAAGTATAGGAAGTATAGGAAGTACAGGCAGTATAGGCAGTATAGGAACTATGGGGACTGCCTGACGGAGAGCTGGTGGTTACGCGGTGAATACTGATTACTGATCACGACGGTGCTGATTGGCATGGGTTTGGGGTATTTTTGATTCTCCTGACTCGAGCACACCACCATTCACCTCGTCCCTGTCTCGCGTACCTTTGTCGATAGGCTGCTGGGGTGCCCCCTGGTTTTCTCTGCATCTCCTGGAGGGTTGCAGGCCGAGGCTGCCTGGTGATTGGACGAGCCCGCTTGGATTGGGGCTGCGCGCCCGATTATTGGGCCTTGATTGCCCGCGCAGGGAATGACGCGGAGTGGGTTGAGGAGATGAGATTGGGCGATGGGGGAGGTTTCGTAGGTTCGTGATGGTGAAGCCCAGGAGGTTATGTAACTGGGCCAATTCGGTTCAACTGTTCGATCCGGTCACGACCCTTCTTCCTTTTCTCCATCGACTCTCGACCACCTTCAAGCTTCCTCCTCCACCATCCACCATCCACCATCCATCATCCAGCGAATCTTCCAATCTTCAATCCAGCAGATCTTCTGATCTTCTGCTTCGTCGAATTCTTCCCTCCCAAACCCGCCGGTCCCATTACCATTCTACATTTTCTGTTCTCCATTCTTCTCCAAGGCCCATTCTTCCGATCCACCCTCCGGCTTTAACCTTCTGCGCCAAGCGGTCCCAGCCCTCCCGCCCGGCGAGATCCATCACATCCACTCGTCCCAACGGTGCGCGCTCGGACTTTCCCTTCCTTTCCCTTTCCCTTCCCGCGTTAAGAGAATCCATCAGATCTTGGCTCCTCTTCCTCCAAGAATTCCTACCGAACTTCTCGAGCCCTTCGAAACTTTTGAATCCCTTTTGCGCGAGAGAACAATTCCCCCCCTCGTCTTTCGCCATGGCCACGGGCGGGGTGTATCCCATGGACATGCAGCATCAGCACTTGCCTGGTAAGTCTTGGACACTTCTTGCTGTTCGTCATGGACTGTAGCGCGCCGCAATCCCCGTGCTTTGCGACCGCCGCGATCCTCTACGAAAACCCCGATCGCTTTCGATCCACGCGACGCGGGTAGTCGATCGGGATGCAACACTCTTGACAATGACGTTCCGTCCCCATGCAATCCCGTCCGAAAGAAAGACAATCTTTTTTGTTCATGATATGCTAATTTTCCCGCACCGAGAGCTTCCCGCTCCGGGAAGCTGGGTGCATGCCCATGACAGAACAACCTGCAACGCCCACCAAAGGGGCCGCCTTTGGTACCGAATTCTTTAAACTCTTTGGCGGCGGCGGCGGAGGCGGCGGCGGAGGTGGTGGAGGCGGCCAAAAGAAAGTCACTCGAGGTGAGATCCGTCAATTTCGCGATTCAGCGATGTCAAGAGGAGTCACGGAAAATCCGTACTCTTTAACCCGTCCATACTAATCTGCGTTCTTGTCGATAGATGGCCAACCGCCAAAACGCCGCGGCCCAAAGCCCGACAGTAAACCGGCCTTGACCCGTCGACAAGAACTGAATCGCCAAGCGCAGAGGTAACCGAAGCCCCGGTGTGAAATTTGATGGTGGATTGGGCGCGACGGATTGTTCAACTAACTCTGGTTCCTAGAACCCATCGTGAACGAAAGGAACAATATATGCGAGCACTCGAGACCGAGGTGTCGCGACTGCGAGAGGCATACACCAATGAAATCTCCGATGCGAACGTCACGGTCCAGCAGCATAAGGAAATGCTGCAAACGGTGCGGAGTGAGAATGAGATGTTGAAGGAAATCTTGGTCGCGCATGGAATAAATTACGAACCCGAATTGGAACAGCGTCAAGCCGAGCGTGGCCCCATGGGCGGATTCCAATCCAGCCCCGTCGCAGCCAGCAGCACTGGATCCAACACAGCGGGATTCGCCAACTCGACCACTCACCACAATACAACACCCGCCACATCAATTTCAACGGGGTTGAGTCCTCGAGCGACCGGCGCATCCGAGCACCCCGACGTATCACCAGCGCTTGCCTTTCCGCTTCAGCAACAAGTGTATAATCACACTGGTCCGGGTGAGATTATGGGGGCTTTGGATCGATCCGCTTGCCAGCTGGGCGACTCGCCAGTCCCCACGATGCGCGGCGTCTTTGAAACCGACCCACAACTTCAGATTGACTTTATCTTAACGTATGCCATCCTTCCTCCATTCATCACCTGCCCGAACCCACTCCCCACTAACCATTGCAACAGACTCGAAGGGCCATGCCGCGAGCATACTGACTATCTCTGTCGTCGCTCCATCACCGAAGCGGATGACGAAGATATGCCATTTTCCGGTCATGCACTGATGGCTACATGCCCGCCACCCAGTTACATCGCGAATACCACCGCAGAGCAAGCATATCCACACAAGACATATGATCTCCCTCTCGCCAACCTCTCCACCCTCTTGAATCTCAGTCGCCAGCTCGTCACAGATGGCCAGATCACGCCTATCATGGCCCTCCAATGTCTCAAGAACCACGAACTATATCCTACCCTCGGCCGGGCTGATGTCAAAATCATCATTGAGACCCTGAATACCAAAGTCCGCTGCTATGGTTTCGGCGCAGTCGTCGAAGACTTCGAGCTCATGGATTGCCTCAGCAGCGTGCTAGGTACCAAGGTTGAAGCTCGCGTGCAGCGCGTTCGAGATGACTCGATATACGCTTAAGTACGGAATTGCAAATCCGTTGATGTCTATTGGGGCAGGTTCTCAACCGCCCGAAGATATCGAAAGGAGATCCAACAATCCTTTCGAGCTCCGGGAAACCACAACCATTTATGATAATGATGTCTGGAAATTTTCTATTTATCTCTTTGCCCGATACGGAGTGATGTTGGTGCCTGCCTAATGGGCAGTCCTCTGCCTTCACCTTTCATTCTATTCTCTCAGTCCATTTTTCTTTCGGTGTCTGTTTCCACACTTGACAACTTGCACTTACACTTCTCTTCTCCGCCTCCACCTCTGTTTCTGCTCATTTACCCCGTTTCCTTTCTCTCTTTATCTTCTCTCATCTTGTCTGGTATATCTCCTGCTATGGCAGTGCAGCTTTGCTTCGCCTTTTTCCCTTTTGCCTTTTCTTTTTTTATTTGTATCGGGGGATGTATATATTGAGATCGGTCCTGCTATTGGCTGAGCATGGACCCGGGGAGTTGATTCCTTTTTTTTTTTTTTTTTTTTTTTTTGTTAATCTTATTCACATTTGTCCTACCTGAAATGTCTGGCCCTCCTCGGATGGTGGATCCAGAATAACCTATCTTCTATTGTGTGACATATTGGCCCCCACTTTCTATTTTGTTCACTTGGCTTGCTTGATCAGTTCCATCAATTCCAGTTCCATTTTCTGGCCATGTCTTCTAAATATCCCGAAATTGGTAATAGTATTTTCCACCTATGACGCCGTGGAAATGAAAATACATCTAGGCATTCTAGTCTACTAAGCTAATTTTGACCCAAGTCACATTTCCGAACTCTGTAGCAAATCGTAATGAAATCGTCATCTCATTTCTTATCAAACTTTTGCAGATATGCACATTCAAAAAAATAAACATACTAACTAATGTAAGAGAATCTAGCCCAAACGAGATCGAAAGAAAAGACAAACAGGATATAACGTCTACTCGTCAGCCTCCTCCTTATCCTCGTTATCCTCCTCACCCTCGGCCTCGAGCTCGGCTTCATCGTCCTCCTCGAAAGTAGTCGCGGGCACGCTGTACAGACGCAGGACATTCTTGTTGGGGTCCTTGATGAGGACGTACTTCTTGATCGCGTCCGCGGGCTCATCCGCATCCAGAGTGCGGATGCGGTCGACGACAGTGCGTACAATACCCCAGCCGTTGCTCAGGTTCAGGTTCATCTGGGCAGCGAACTCGCGGGGCTTGTAGCCGACGACGCCGAGGACGACGTGGCCAGCGGCGGAGCGGGGGCTGGCGCGGGACACGAAACCAAGCTTCATGCCGTCAGCTTTGGCCAGGATGGCCTGGGTGGTCCAGCGGGCCAGCTTGCAGGAGTTGTTCTTCATCTCGGTGGCGAGGACGGCACCACGCTGGGAGACGAGCTTGGAGCGCCAGTCGAGGGCGCCGCCAGAGCCGGGGGCCTTGCTGTCGAACTCGTTCAGGGCCTTGAGGGTCAGCTGCTGGTCAGCGCCACCAGTGGGGTTCTTCATGACGGCGTCGACCTCGGTACGGACGATCATCTGGACGGGCTCCTCGTCGCGCTCGAGGGAGAGGTCGAAGCGGCGGTACTTGTAACCCTTGGAGGCGAGGGGCTCGGTCTCCTCAGCCTCGTTGTAGAAGGGGTTGGGTTGGGCGAAGGACACCTTGGCCTCCTCGGACTCGGTGACAGTCTGCATGGCGAAGTTGTGGTTGATGAAGGTGGCCTCCATGGCCAGGGCGGAGGGCGTGTTGATCTGGTCCTGCTTGCCAGAGGCCTCGGCGATCTCAAGAGGGGCGTCGGCGGCGTTCTCATTGACGGTGACAAGGTCGATAGAGGCACCGGCGCGCTTGTCGAGGTAGATCTTGTTGCCCTGGTGGACGATAACAATGTCCCACGAGTACACACTGCGGGTGGCACACATGAGCATGGAGAGAATGTCGGAAGTAGCGAAGATGGTGGCCTCGTCCTTCTCAGCCAGCTCCTGAATGATGGGATCCTGCGAGGTGGTGACGTTGTAGGCGGCACGGTCGAGGCTCTGCAGGCGGCGCTCGGCACCCTTGACAGCGGGCTTGTCGTAGGAGCGGTCGTAATAGTGCAGGAAACCGTAGGTTTCAAGGTCATCGCCCTCGGGGGCCTCAAGGTTCAGCTTGGACAGGCGGCTGAAGTCAACCTCCTCAAGCATCTGCCACTCAGGGCGGATGTTGACCGAAGGCTCACGAGTGCGCTGGGGCTTGTCGTAGTCCTTCCACCCGAAGCGACGGCCACGGTTGCCACGACCGCTCTGGCGGTTGTCGTAGTAGCGATCGCCCTGGCCACGGCCAGCACCAGCACGCTGGAAGCCACCACGGGCACCGCCGCGCTGAGCCATACCACCACGCTGGCCACGGCCACGGAAGACGGTGCCGCCACCACGGCCGAAAGTACGCTTGGTCGAGGAGCGCGTGTTGTCGACGACGGAGAAGGAGGATTCATCCTCAGCGGCCTGGACAGTGAACAAGCTGGAGGAACCGGCACCATAAACTTGCTGGTCTGTTAAACGGAGAAAGATGTTTAGCGGGATAATTTTGGGATTTTTGCGTTGATCCATGAGGTGGACGGGGAAGAATATTCAAAGATCAACACTAGTTTTGAGAACTAGGAGTAACTCACCTCTGAAGTTCCGGTTGTACTGAGGACGACCCTGGCGCTCACGATCCTTCGACTCAGCAGTCCAGTCGGCCATACGGCCCAGCTTGTCACCCTTGGAGAAGGGAGCGTAGGGGACACCGTTCAGCATATTATCAGCCGAGTTGGCAGGTCCCCAGGAGTCCTCAGCCGGCAGAGCGGCGACGAGGTCCGCAATCGAAATCGGAGCCATTGTCAAATAATTCGCACCGACGAGAATGGCAAACGGTGGGTGTTGAGTTTGAGGCGTGGGGTTGGGATTATCGGCGGGAAGTTTTTGTGTCGCGAGAGTGTGGCTGGTGCCGCCCAGGTGGCGGTGAGCACGGCCACATCACGTGTAGGGAACTATGAAAGTGTGGCTGAAGGCATGGTGCTTCTTGCGTGTGCTTCTTGTGTGTGCTTCTTGCGTGCCGTCTCTTGAAATATAGAGGGTGATTGACATTGTTTTGATCATACTTGGAAATTTCTTGCAGTAGTTCACTTGCGTGTTGATTACTGTTCGCCGGGTTTCACGCTCCGATTTGTTAGATTCCAAGATGCGACTGCGCTCAATTTTGGGTCCTGGGAGATAAGCCACCTCCTATTTCTTTCATGTAAGTGAATTTGGCATTGATCGATAGCTATTAATATTGGTAGAGCTTCAGTAAGCATTCGATGGACCTGATGTACTATACGGACGGCCTCAGCTAACCCAAGCCTCTGGGTGAACCTCGGGTACTTCAGGCAGACCTGCTACTACTTCGGTGAGATTCACTAGCGCCCCGATCAAAGTGACCCATAGCCCTGGGATCCAAACAACTAGTTCTGAATGTGTTTGGTCTCGATCAATCAACTCTTTCAGGCTTATCTCAGTCCGTCGGATGTACCACATGCCCGATCCCCCGCGCCTTGACTTCGGAGTGTGTGTTCCCAGAGCATATTTTGCATATGACCGCAATAACCGATAAATCATGACAAATTGATGTGTGAATCCAATCGAGATGACAGTGCGGATTTGCTTTTTGCATTATCAGCTTCATTTCAAGGTGATTCGACAGGTCTGAACAAGCCAACCGGGTTGTTCTGGTTCCTTGCGGTTGATCGGCCCTCTTGGCGGGTACGCGTCGATCTCACTGGACAAGGCGCACTCCCGAAGAACCGAGACTCCACTGATAAGACAGCGACCACCACTGAGGCTACTTGGATCCAGAAAAGTCTTCTTGTGGCTCCGCAAACTATTGTCCCCTGAAATGAGTTCCGAGATTTGGAACGAACACTTAATCCAACAAGATCGATCTTGGAGGAGCCATGATCGACGGCCAAGGCAACCTCGCTTATGGCCTGGCATACAAGGTCGACGAACCATTGTCATCAACGACCTCAATCAACGACTCCAGCGGACCTGACCCGCAGATCATGAACCTCTTTTGGTATAAAGCTGGCTCTTGTTACTGCGTGCTCTCTGCTATTCCATGGTTCAGCTTCTTAGTCCAGATGCTTCTGAGTGGGTGATTCTTTACTATCTAAAGTTCTGTAGATCCTTCCCATAGCAAGAGATTCCTGCGAGGCGCTACTTGGTCGTCTCTCTATAGCTCACAATTGGACATCCTGAAGCTCGAACTGAGTAAGAGTTTAGAGTACCTATGAGTTAGTCACCGGAGGGCAATAGACATCCGAGGTAGTCTGGCCAAGAAAACTATATAAAGAGCAAGTCAACTGCTTGGAACTACAGATTTCAGACAACAATCCGATTCTCTCAAATACCTCAACTTCCTACTACATATTCAATCCGTCTTTTCTTTCTGACAGAAGCATTTGAACGCCTCCAAAATGCGTTTCTCTATCATCTCTGCTTTTTCCCTCATTGGCGCCGGCATGGTATCCGCTCTTCCTTCTGAGGGTTCCATTGTTGCCCCCGTCAAGCGCAGCAGTGCTAGCACCGAGTCTAAAGTCCAAGAAGCTGCCGCCGCTCTGGCTGGCAACAAGGTCGAGAATGAATCCGAGACCTCCGATTGTGTTGGCTCTCTTCTTTGCTGTGGTTCACTCACCACCCCTCTGGACCACATTGTTGACCCCATCCTGGAGGACCTTGGCATTGATGCTGCCAACATTGTTGGGTCTATTGGTCTCTTGTGTATGTGCATTGGCATTTTTTGAAGTCGCTTCTCTCGTTAGTATGGGTATTGACGTTATTCTTTAGGCGATCCCTATGAAGCCTCCACTTGTGACTCCGCTCCTCAGTGCTGCACTGAAGCCAACCTCCTGGTAAGTCTTGATTCTAACAAATATTTACGTAGTGCCCATACTGACTAGTGTCTAGGGTGGTACTCTTGCTCTTGGCTGCTCCGCTCTGAAGAAGTAAATGGAGGTCACGAAGACTGTTCATTTTAATGGTACATAGTAAGGTCGAATAAAAAGACCTCCACCTTTCCACACATCATGTATATTCTTTCCAGAGAGACCGCTATTCCTTTTGAGTTTATTTAATAAGAATATTATAATCGACGATATGTCGAGTCTACGTATCACCCTCATCTAGATTCCAAAAACCTCACAGACACATCCTTGAATTGTTATTCAAATGAATTGAAGTCTCCAAGGGGACCAATATTTGACAGTGTTTCCGGCAATTGGTATCACTATCTATATTTTTATGTCCTTTTTTAAACCCTACTACAATGAGGAGTTCACTCTCAAAGACCAAAGCCATGACTCAACCGAAATGCCGGTAAACGAACCCAGCACGAACAAGGGCATAGTGGTGTACGGGGTCGCGATAAGTCGTATATGCCCAAACGCAAGAGCTATATCAAAAACTTCAGACAACATTGTCGGCTTGAAATCAGTACTAAATTGCAAATTCAACACCCTAAAAATCTTGCTTCTTCCTTTGAACGGTCAGCTAGAGAGATAATTTACATTGATTTTTGGAAAGAATGAAGGTGAGAACCTAAGCGCTCACTATCATATTAGATTAGAAAATATTCAAAGTGACAAATTTATGTCCAAAAGTTAAGAAACAAGGAGACTCTGAGCCGAGAAGCGCCACTGGTGGCTGTAATCGAAGTCTGAACCGGCGCAGTGGTCGTCGTCGTTGCAATCGATATTGAGGTTGTCGAAATATCTTCTTTAGTGCCAACTGAGCTGGTCGATGATGAAATGTCAACGGTATCGGTCTTTGTCGAACTTGCGCTCGTGCTGACAGAGCCTACACTGTTTTCACCATCACCGCATTGGACCACAGTTTCCCAACCACCAGCAAAGGTATCCTCCCAGTATGAGGATTGATTACCAAGAGCAAAGTAGTCAAAGAAATATGCGGAGCCAGGTTGCTCGTGAGCGTTTTGGTAAAACTTGACGGCACATTCATCGCTGCAAGGGAAGTCGGTTCTGGCCCAATCCTCGCTGTTGGAATAAGTCAAGTAGCAGTAATCAGACCTGCAAAAATATAAGAATATAGACGCCCAGCAAGCCACTACTTACTGAACTCACCCGCTCTTGGCACAAGATTGGCCATATTTGTACTGGAAAACTTCGCCCACAGTGGCCACCGCAGCCTGATAAACCTCCTTGTTCCCACTAGCAACCCCGGCTAGATCGCCACTTTTGTCGCATGCAGCCTTGACGTTCTTGACATATTGGGACAATGAATTGCTGCATGTAGTAGTGCACATAGTCTGTAGGTCCGAAGATTGCGGGTCGAAGTCAGGATCCATAGACGCAACGATCTTGAGGAGGGTATCATCGCAGTTGATACTGGCACTGTAGGCGTTTTTGCAAGCCTGTGACGTCGTGTCTGCTAAGTCCTTGGTTGTATAATCCCAACTAGGACCAGAAGTATTGAGGTTAAATGAAGCAGTTGCCTGACCCAAAGCAGCGAACAACACGAAGAGATGAAAAATCGTGGGTGTGGAAGCCATCATACGGAAAATACGAAAGAGCGACGATAAAAAATCCCGATTAATTAAGAATGAGAGACGAAAGGTGAGGAACGGGGCGTGTCTTGGGTGGCAGAAACAACACAGGATGAAACTAACCTAGGGTAGGTGGCGAACTATAAATACTCATCTCATTTACACTCAAAGGTCTCAGCGTTCCATTCAGGGTCCATAATCTACTCGGAGAGCCCGTAAGCGAGACCCTTGTCCCAAAGCGGAGCCGCTATTAGATTGCTCCCAAATTTTCAGGGGCGGACCCGGCATTTGAGCCTCAAGATCCGTAGCATCAAAAACCCGGAGAGGCCAGAGATAGGGCAAAATTAGTTAGACAAATGAGTTGAATGTAAAACTGACAGTAATTTATGCATAATGTGTGGACATTGCAATCTCACACGAGGACACAATTGATGCTTGACAGGTTGCCGGGTGGATGCGGCACATCCGGCATTTTAGTATTCCGTACTACTTTGGGATTGATGAATGATTGGAACGACGGATGTCATGATCAAGCGCACTATCGCTCACTCCTCTCAATATTGACATCAGAGTGCACTGATTATCCCTAAGCCCTTTCAATCAAAATCGATATAAGTGATGAGATTTTCGTTGGCGGTAGTCACCTTGGGTATTTAGCATAAATTTGCCTCATTCCTTTCCGAGGAGAATTTATTAGAAACTAGCATAGCGAGTCACGACTAGTCATGGATGAGGGTCTCATTTCTCCTTCCATAGTAACTAATACCGACACCAACACCACCGTGGCTCAAAATGTCCAAGGACAATGCCATAAGAAGAACACACAAAGCAGTCAGTGGCTTGATCTAGATATTTCAATTCCAGCCTAGGATGATTCAATCATTGGTAACAAGAAGCTTGGATCTTGCGAGTTGTAAACGTGAGGTTCATTCTTATGAGGGAATTAATGATAAGCTAATGTGTCACGTAGTAACAATCATCTAGATGAATGTCGATACCTTTCTCCAACCGTTTATTGGGTAAATATTTCTTCAGCTAGGAAATTTCAATCTTGATATCCGAGGAGGAAATTTCTACACATATATATATATATATATATGATCATGAAGAAAATGATAGTTTCTAATAGCAAATGTACCACCGATAACTTCACATATTTTGTCGTGTCATATCCACAACAGTCCAACTAAATCGGTAGCACGTCTTATCTGACACTTGAACGCAACCATTATTTCCTGTTTCCATCTCGCGAACAACATCCCTTCTTGAAAAGTGCTTTCATTGCAGAATTAGCAGCTTGCTACTTATGTACATAGCGGGTAGTAATGACGTGACGAGACTGACGAGTTTACAGTCATTAATTATACCCTCCGGTTGGAGCATGTGGAGGAGTAAATTCCAATTTTGACCAAAATCGCCTGGCTGTTGTCGAATCTGCCAGTAGACTAGGATTTAAAATTCTCATGGCCTAAGCAACGGGAGTGCCAGTGCCCTTGCCTTTCCGCATAAACGTAGGTGCGGGGCAGACAGAGTGGTTGAGGATATCTCGCCACCCTATATAAGCTAGTGTGCAATGCTATTATCGGCGCTGTAACCGGGTAATTGATAAAGTTAGATACCGTCAAGTTCGCTGTAACAGCTACATCCAATTCTGATTAGTCGAAGCTGCGCGCCCGAATGATTAGGCGGACCTGAGTGATATTTATGTAAGGATAGATGCCGAGACTAATACAGCGACAATTATCATAGTGCCCTCTCAAAAATTTGGACTAGCAACTTACATGGTCCAGGGCTTGGTAGCTACATTGTTTGGCTGGAGAAGAGGGCAAAGAGCTAGAGGATGAAAAATCTTCCCTACAGGGCGGGCGCCCAGAGGTAACACCCCGCAAAGCCATGGGTATAATAAACTCGAGCAGTTCGATTAAGAGTAAAAGCCAGATTATTATTGAAAGAGAAGGGTACATCAGGTAAACTCCAGAGCAGCGGATAAGGCTGCATATTCAGCCAGCCAGCCATTGGACTATCTACGTGCATTGTTGGAAATGTGGGTTAGATAAATAGTTCACTAAAAGCAAAACAGGTTGGAGAGCCGAGAAGAGCCGACCGTGCGTCTTGAGAGGGCGCCAAAGGATTAGAAGCCGGGATGACGCAACCCAATCACGATACCAAACCGCTGTTTCATTATAGTCTAAGGTCGATCCACAATATCATTATCTCGATCCCCACGTTCGGAGAAATATTGTCGTGATACGCGATACGCGACCCCCGAGTTTTTCCGCCCTGCACCACTCACTATTCTCTACCCCGCGTTCCTGATTCCTTTGATTCCTTCGATTCCTTCGAATCCTTCAACTGTTTGCATCCCTGTGTATCCTTGTATCTCGACTCCACTTGTCTTGACGGGGGAGGTATGTGCGCGTCAGCCCACAGATAGGCGAAAGCTTGGCGTTGGTTATGTCCCAATCTTGACCCTTTGCCCTTTCCAGTGGATGATGTATGATGTACAGAGAACCTACCATAACTTTGAACCCTTCCGACATCCCGGAGTATTGCTGTAGCGACCGTCGTGATCATAGTGGGGAGAGATGGCGAAATGGCCCTGGCCCGCATCTCGGGTATGCACACCCTGGGGCGAGCTCGCGATGAGGTAGGGCGGTGGGCCTATTATATAGATCGCTTTGCTCACTGTCGTGGGCCATGTCTCATTAAGTCTTGTGGCGCGGAGAAGCCGTCGGGCTTCCCTAGACTTCCCCGGCCTGTCTGGGCATCGATCTAGATACCTGCTGTCTTTGTTGGCGGATATCCCGGGTAGCTGAATTTTTCGATCTTCTCCCGGGCTTGTTATCTTCTCGAGCATGACTCGCCAGGTCTCGCCGTTCCCTCCTGATCTCCCTCCATTGCAAGTGTGTTTTTCAGGCGGGTGGAGGAGAGACGGCTTCGGTAGCTTGTGGCTGGTCTTGACCGGATTGAGACTGACGCGCGTGTGTTCGCCCCTCAACATCGTGGAGTGTCGACTTTAGCGTTAAATCGTGGTTTCTGGCAGCTAATGAGATGGCGCGATAAGCTACATCAATGGCAATTCGTCCAATTGTGTTCTCGCCACGCGACCAAGCATGCCCGTGTTCAGCCCGTGGCTATCGGACTAGTGGAATGGTCCAATGTCCGTTGCGCCAAGGTGCAAGCTTCTGTGACCCGACATCAACTGATAGCACCAGCCACCCGTCCGTTTCGAAGACATGAGGAGATACATAACGTTCAGTTGTGGCATTGTTGGGTAGTATCACTAGCACCAAAATGGAAAAGACGCTGTCGTACTCCAAGGGTCGGCTATCTTGGCTTGAGTTGCGTTTCCGGCGAGAAAAAACGCCAATGTCGCTCAATCTGGCTCAGATTGGGCCATGATGGTATCAAGTCTGGTCTTTGTCCGAAAAAGATTTGCTCGTGGCGTGCTCCGCGTGGTTCTTAAAAGGCCCTGCATGGCCGATGGACGACACCAGGGCACTTCCCTCTCTGTGACACCTCAACCTTGACTTCTTCCATTTGACCCGGAGACACAATACACACCCAACATGTCGGCCATTCGCTCCGACTCGTTGGTGGAGGGAGTCGTATCTGTCTCCGGCCACGATGTGTTCGATGAGAAGACAACGATCAATGTCACGGCCAAAGATAATCACCACGCTACCACGACCTCCTTGGGCTCGGGCTCGGGCTCGAATGAGGAGGATCGGAACAGTGACGATGTGATCATTGTCGATGGCACGGCGGCGGCAAACTATTTGCTCCCTATGCGGGATGATGGGGATGCGGCTTTGACATTCCGGAGTCTCATTCTCGCCTCGGGTCTCGCCTGCTTCCAGGCCGTCATGTATCAGATCTACATGGTGGGTCATGATCTGCCCCGACCCATGGGATTCGTGAGCTGACCGATTGATGCATAGTTCAAACCGACCGCCATTACCATCCAGGGAACTTTCATCGTGCTCATCTCTTACTTTCTGGGCAAAGCCTGGGCCAACTTCCTCCCCCGCGGGGACAATTTCGAGGCAAGATGGCGGGCTCGGGGGGGGTCAGGGCAAGCTCCCTTTACACATAAGCATCCTCAAATTCCTCAATAATGGGCCATGGACATTGAAGGAACATGCAGTCTGCTCCATTACCGCCACCGCAGCATCAAATGCCTCTGTCGCCTCAGAAGTATTTTCCGCGCAGATCTTATTTTACAACATGTCACTGAGCCCCGCCACTGTCATCTTGAGTACAATTTCCATTGGCCTGTTCGGCTACGGAATCTGTGGAATCATGCGCCCGATCGCGGTCTGGCACGTCGATGCCGTCTACTGGAGTACTTTGCCTACTGTCAAAGTCCTCCAAGGACTCCACTGGCAAGACCTGAAGAATTCAAAGCCACTGAGATACTTCTGGTATTCTTTCACAGGTATGACTCTCTACGAAATATTTCCTGCCTACATTTTTGTCTGGCTCAACTCGGTCTCAATTCCGGTAAGTGATCACCAAGTATCACTTATTCAATACTCTGGATCAGCCCATTAATCTCGGACGCGGTAGTGTCTCGCTTCGATGAAGGCCACTGGTAGTAAGGCTGCTGTTCTTACTAATCTCTTTGGCGGAGCCTCCAACAATGAGGGTCTGGGCTTGTTCAGTCTCTCTTTCGACTGGCAATATGTAAGAGAATATGCCACGCTTTATGTAATAGACGAATTAGGAAACTGATCCGAACAGATCACCTCTTTCCAAACCGCGCTTCCCCTTTCGCTCCAAGTCCACCAGGCTATCGGGTTCCTTATTTGCTTTATTGCTATGCTCGGTATTTACTACGGAAATGGATGGAATTCGAGATCGCTTCCATTTATGTCAACTAAACTTCTCATGAGCAATGGAACGACTTACCCCGTCGATGAGGTCTTTGTCGATGGGGTGCTTGATGAGTCTGCCCTGCTCAAATACGGAATACCCAAGTTGAGCGGAAGCTTTGCATTTGCCATGTTCATGGCGAATGCTGCCGTAAGTACCAAGTCAACCAAAATTCTATGGCATACACGTCAGCTGACCATATTCAAGATCGGCGCCCTCATTGTCCACTGTATCCTGTTCTGGGGCAAGGACATCTGGAGCACGTTCAAGAAAGCCAGGGAAGGTCGGTATGATGACAGACATCACGAGCATATGGCAAAACACTACAAAGAAGCGCCATGGTATTGGTATGCGGCAGTGCTGGTCGTGAGCTTCGTCCTGGGACTTATCGTGGTCTTGAAAGAGGATATTTCGCTCCCGGCCTGGGCATATATCGTATCCCTGGTTGTTGGAATCATCATTTCGCCCTTTGTGAGTATTTTATTTTAAAAATTTGGCACCCGGGAGAATTGTACTGACCTATCATAGAGCACCATACTGTATTCTCGATATGGAAATGGCATTGCTACGAACAATCTGTCAAAAATGCTGGGTGGTCTGATGATCCCTGGACGACCAGTTGGCAATATGTATTTTGCGGCTTGGTCTCACAACGTCATCTCAAATGCAGTCAATCTCTCGAACGATCTGAAGATGGGCGAATATCGTAAGTCCTAGTGTCCTGAATTCTCTAGAAAACTCTAACAAGTGATACTAGTTAAAATCCCACCACGCGTCATGTTCCTAACCCAGATCTGGGGCACTATGCTTGGCGGGTTTATCAACTACGCTGTGATGATCTCAATTGTAAAAAACAACAAGGAAGTTCTCGTCTCCGGCAACGGTAGTAATTCCTGGAGTGGTGCCACGCTGCAGGCCTACAATACCAATGCAACCTCCTGGGCCCTGGCTTCTTATCTCTACAAGGCTGGCGCCCAGTATGCAATGGTGCCTATTGGCATTGCCATCGGGGGTGCGGCTGTTGTCGCCCATCGTTTTTTCTATCAAGTATGCAACCTCAATCTCCCCAATGGATACAATGGCTAACCTCGAATGTAGTTCTTTCCCAAAATCCGCGGGCTAGATGTTGCGGAGATCAACATGCCGCAGTTCATTCAGTATGCTGGCTATATCCCTTATAATCAGAGCCAGACTTGCGTTATTTTCAGCTGGCTCATAGCTGGTTTCTATGTCCAGTACTATCTCCGCAACTACCGCCCCAAAATTTTCAAGGATTATTCATACTTGATCACTGGTGCTTTTGATGGAGGTAGTCTGACCGTGCTGTTCATTCTGTCTTTTGCAGTGTTCGGCGCTGGAGGCCCTGCCCATGCCTTCCCGTCATGGTGGGGTAATAACTCCAATGGCTATTATGATCTTTGCCCAGTTTCTGATTAGGCTTGAACCGACGGGAAAGCGATGTACTATTTTTAGGCGTCGGTTGCTTTCTTCTGACTACAATCAGTTGCTCATTATTCAATGAAATTCGCATCCATACGAGACATTAGTATATCTTACGATCAGAATATATTGTATGCAAATTTCTAAGCACATTCAAAGACCACTGACACTTGTTGCTCGGCCCTATCTAGTCAATCTTGGTATAATTATTCTAGCCGCTAGCCGCGCTTGTGACACGATCGGCAACCATATGAGCTTGCCTCAAATGAGTGCTCCCCAGTAGAATTCCCCCTGAAAGATATTATCTTCTCTAGATGAATGTGTGAAATTGAAAATTTGAATTCTGGTATGCAATACACGCGTGGTTGGAAACTAGAATTGACTGGTTTAAATCAACCCAATTCGTACTAAGCACAATCTCAACTACCTGGTCATTTCTTCCATGGCGGTATTTGAGGGCGCTTTTGATTCCCTCTGCCGAGGTAGCTTACCTGTCTCAGTCAAAGCAGCCACTACAATAAGTCCTATCCCAAAGATACCTCCAATAAGCCCATAGGCAAATTCCCCTCCCGTTGTGTTCGCTGCCAGTTTCAACCCCAATCCCCCATTTATGATACCCAATATAATCAACAGCCGACCATACCAAATATGGATATAATTCCATTTTCCTTTTGTCTGTGTCTTGCGAAAACGAAAGTGCTGCGCCAATCCAATAAATGGTTGTAGGAGGAGCAAAACAACTACAACAGTTCCCAAAATTGTGTGGGTGTTGTTGTGCAGCTAAACGCACAATGAGCCAAAGACGAAAAACCTGGGGTAAGAGGGCCAAAACATACACGATCTAGGATTTTTCCGACTCGAATGCCAGAAGCAAGCCCCGAAATCATCAATACCCAACTGAAAAGCTGCCATGCCGCATGAAACCAAACTGCTCTCTTATTTCTCAGAATGCGAATCATGACAACTCCAAGAGGCATGCAAACGGTGAAGACCAACCCCATAACTATCCCATGTGCTTTTAAATAGCCCGGAACGAGGGGCAGGTCTTGATAAATAACCTGAGCTGTTGCTATTTGGATAAGAAGGCCTAATGAGGGTCAGTCAGCCCTGGCAAGAGGGAAATACAGTGTTGATACATACCAAGAATGCAGTAGAGACCAGATTGATACGTGGAAAACATCTTGACTTTCTATATGAGAAATGAAAAATTCAAACTTGGTAGCATCTGTTTGTTGCTTCAGATGGGAATTCAAGCCCGCAATGATTGACAATATATATGCTTGATGTGAGATTATTGTTGCCCGTCTACAGACTTCCATCTACCAATAAAATCGATTTACGGCCCTGAGTCCCGAGAAATGCGAAGACGAGAGACTGGCTAAGACTGACCCCGCCCACCTCGTATTCTCTGGTGATCAATCGTCACCGTCAAGAAAACCGAGACCGAGAATCCCGAGATCACCACGCCAAGCTCTCTATTCTACATCCAACTGTGACCAGTATGTCAAATATTTCAAACCTCACTCCCGCGAGCATGACACCACAGATCATTAAACTCAAAGCGTGTGTTGGTTGTCGGACACGCAAAGTCCGATGTGACCGCCAATCTCCATGTACCAACTGTAGCCGGTGGGCACTGACATGCACATACCCAGAATCGGTCAGAAAATGCGCGCGGCCTGCGAAAAAGCAAACACAGGAAGTCCTTAATGCCCTCAAAAACCTTGTATCGAACTCGCGAGTCTCTGGTCACGCTTCGAGCCATCTGCCAAAGGCGCTCCGGTGGAGTGACCGCCATGTTGGAAAACAAACGCAGACAAGCTGGAGATATTTTTGCGAGAGGGTGGACCCGGTTGTGAAGATTCTACATCGTCCTGTAGTAGAAAAAATCGTTCAACAATCAACATTTCGCGCAAGCTCTCTGCATGAAAGCGAACGGGCCCTTGTCCATGCGATTTATTTCTCCAGCATTACATGTATGCCAGAGAATGAAGTCTATGCTCTATTCGGCCTAAAACAAGAGACGGCCGTCGAAATCTATCGTTTATCTACCGAGGAGGCCCTTACACAGGCAATCTTACTCAGAAAGAATGAAGATCTGTTGGCACTACAGGCACTCGTCCTGTTCTTGTCAGTTATTCGATTGTCAGGCGAGACAAGCGTCTCTTGGAAACTCACCGGTATAGCCAGACGCTCTACGATATTTACCAAGTCTGATTCCTCAATTTTTGAAAAAGAGATGCTGAAGAGACTCTGGTGGCAGCTTTGGTATCTCGATCACCGTGCTGCAAAAGACCTTGGACAAGATGATGAGCTGGACAGGCCTCCTAAACCTGATATGCCACTGAATATCAACGACTCTGATTTCGATCTTGATTCTTTTATGCCTCCAATCCCTCGCTGCGGCTGGACTGAACAAACATTTCCCCTTGTCAGATACGAAATCGCAAGGACAAGGCAAAAACTCAATATCAATATCAAAATTGATGAAAGGAGAAAATTAATTAAGGAATGTGAGATTCGACTTCAAGATGTTCATCTCCGATATTGCACCGATAATTTGAACCCAATCCAGTGGTTCATCCGGCACGTTGCCCATGTGCTGGTAATGGAAATGTGGTTTGAACTATATAGTGCGGACACAATACCTCTCAATATCGAGGGAGAAGAGTATCATCGTGATCACCAACAAAGCATTCAGGATCAACTCTTCCTTGAAGCGATAGACATTGTTGATACTTCAACACGTTTGGAAGCGGAGCCTCAGTCTCGCCAATGGGCTTGGCTTCTAAAAGGCTATCAGCAGTTTCGCCCACTAGTATTCTTGCTTAATGAGTTACAATACCGACAAGAATGTCCAGCAGTTACACATGCATGGTCTGTTGTGGAAAAGGCCTTTGTTCGTTGGCCGGACCAAATTCGGGAGTCGACAAATGGGCAAATTCTGGATAAATTGAGGGAAAGGGCTAATGTTGTTCAATCACGTCTGAGAGAACGTAATATCCGTGGAATTAACATGCTCGAATGAAGTGGAGCCATCTTGTTCAGAAATACTATCGAGCTCTTTGACCCCAGTACTACTTCTTTTATCTTCTGTGCGGACATGAATCGCTCTCAAAGAAGCCATCTCGACTGTCTTGATGTAGCAGAGGTGTTGGAGATCAGATAATGACCAAATTTGCCATTTTGCGCGAATGATTAAAGCTCATTGCTCGGACTGTGTGCGCTAATTGCTTGTTGGGGAAAGCCTGCATGCCGTACCCAGTGGCAGTAACGAAATTGCTACCACCTCCCTTGCGAGCCAATCATAAGTCCGATGTCTCATTTTTTATTGACTTTGACAATAGATACATTGGTAGGCATTATTGTACAGTAAGAAATATAGCGTGGGGCAAGTAAACTGTTATCGGAAGGGCAAAGTGCCTGTAAAATATCGCTTCTCATAATTGGTAATTGTGCTTAAGCATCTGATTACATTTTCGTACCATCATGGCACGAAATAACTGTAGCTAGCATTACAGACCTGTTGGTGGTCTCTGATAGGACCAGCCCTTGAACTGCTCTTTGAAATCCGCTGTATACCCCATTGAGTCCGTGTCTATTTCATGCGCTAAATCTCGCATCTTCTTACCTTGGGTAATAGACTCCCAGTCGCACCTGAATGAGAACGGAACAACAAGATGTCCTGACCAAGTACACTCCGAAAATGTTTTGCGAAAATGATGAGGCGGGTTGTGAATTTCTGATTTCGATAAAGATGATAGGATTGCACCGTGGCGAACCAAAATCTCCTGGATTCTTGTATCCTTAATGTATTTTGCGGCTTGAATTTGGCCGTTCCTCGCCCAGTCTAAGGCTGTCCACCCGTATCTGTCAAGGGCGTTCACATCAACTTGACCTGTCTCAAGGATGTATTTGACTGTATCGACATGCATATTCATTGCTGCCAGGTGGAGCGGAGTCATTAAATCATGAAATCTGGAATGGGAATTGACTTTTGCTCCTTCTTCAACAAGTAGTCGAATTGCCTCTGTTTGTCCCTGCTTAGCGGCCTCAAACAGAACCTTGGAGCCAAGAGATTGACCTGGCCATCTTTCTGCATGTACGGACAGCAATAGTTCAACAATATCTATTTGGCCCGCTCTTGCTGCTCGCATGAGCGGAGCCCATCCATCATCCTTCCATAATGGTTCTCGCTCAGAAGTGTGCAGAAGAAGGAGCTGTACAATATCGCGATGTCCTTTCTCCGCGGCTCCAGACAATGCCGATTCAACGAATTCGGAAGCCTGATGTGTTTCCAGAATAGCACCACGATTCAAGAAGAGCTCAACCAAACGCATATTTCCATTTTTAGCCGCACATGTTAGAGGGGCCTGTGATGGGAATTTCAAATTCTGAAGAGGTGCACCGTTGTCGAGAAGAAGCGCCACCAGAGTCTCGTATCCACATGTCACTGCCCAGCTTAAAACTGATCGACCCTTTGAGTCCACAGCGCCAAAATCAAAATCATACTGCAGAAGGAGTTGCAATATTGCTTCGTAGTTCTCTCCAGAGGCCCACAGAGAAGCATTCACACTCCGAAGGATGGAAGGCTCCCAAATTCCACCCAGACCTCGAGACTCCGTGTTGTTCCTTGATAATCTTTCTCCCTCGGCCCAAGCATCCAAACCAATGATATCACTCTCAAAATAAACCTTCAATGGGCAATACACATTGGCTTCAGAGTGAAGTGCATGTGCCATAAACGAGTTACGCTGAAATATATCACGAGATTCGCCAGTGAGCTGGGGCGATCCGGCCCAATGCAGCGGCGTCCGCCCAGAATAATCCTTGGTATTTGGATCTGCACCTGCCTCTAGAAGTAGCTGGACAACTCCAACAAAGCCCTGCTCGGCAGCAATGGATAGGGGAGCTCGCCCATCACAAGTCACGTTTACGTCAATTCCTTCAATATCCAGGAGCAGCCTTGCTACATCTTCATCTCCCCGAATTGCCGACCAAAAGAGTGGAGTCCAGAGATGTTTCTTGAGGCTATTTGGATGAAGTCGCATTTTTGGCGACTCGGGGCTTTGGGCGCTAATGTTTAAAAGTCTTTGTATGGTTCGAGCATGCCCCATCTGAGATGCAAAGAGTAGAACCCTATGGGCACCATCGCGGCATATCTCATTTTCATATAACTGGTTGTTGAAGGTCTCGTAAAAAAAGCGACTGCTGCAGGCAAGATTGCTCAAATATCTTTGCGAAACTATATTGGCGACAACTTGTTGTACTAGCTCGTTTGGAAGCGCAAGAAGCGACATGATTCCTTGGCCAACAAGAGCCTGAATCAAAGAAAGTAGGCTATGAGCAAGTATTGCACGGATTGCATGAGCCTTGTTTGACGAAGAAAACAAAGCTGTGATGTTGAAAAAGGGGAAGAGTTGACATCCGCACACAGCCACCACCACAAATCTTTACTAACTACTCTGAGCCGGCGCCACTCCAAAAGAAAACGATGAGGGCATCCCTATTATCCAAAGTCAGTCAAATCACCCTATCCTTCAGCCTCGCCCTACATCATGATTAGCTGTAAGTTGATGTGCTGTCTATGGAATTGGGAGATCTAAGCCATATGATCTGTAGACTTAGCGCTGGGGCGGGAGGGGCTAGGCAGCAATTTTTGACGACCCGGTCAGATGGAACCCAGGTTCTTTATAATCGGAAAATGTGCAGAGCTATTGAGAAAGCTTGGCTTTTGTGACATCTGTTACCCTCGAGAAGCTCCTGGCAAGGATCTTGTTAAATCCCAAGATTGACAAACAGAAGAAGCCGCAACTCTCAAATTATCCCTTCCACTGCTGGGAACAGCACAGCAGGCCAGGCGGCGGAGCTCGACATACAAAGTACATCTCTTTGCACAGCCCGTTCATTCACACTCGAAGATATTTTTCTCTTTCTAAAGGCCTCGCAAAGCCCTATGAAGAACATCACGGTTCAAAACCTGCCAAAGCCGGAAAACGGGACAACTACAGTAGGCGACCGCAACACTGTTACCCGGTGTAACTTGAGCAACTGTGCGATAAACAATTCTAGGGTGAAGCGCAGCGACTTTACTGACTGTGTCCTAACCCATGTACGCTCTGCAAGTCGATCAACTGGAAAGAAGTCACACCTGCACGAAGTTTCTTTGGCTAGTCGTAGCGAATTTTTTGAAAGTGTTATCCGTGATCGGTCCAGCGTGAAACGTAGTACAGTGGAAGTATCTACTGTACAAGATGCAAGTACCCTCAGACGCAGTACGGTGACTCGTTCGACGGTCTCTCATACCCAAATATCGAGGTCTAACTTAGATGACTGCGAGGTGGAGGAGTGTTGGATTGATCGCTGTGAATTCAAGGGAATGATACTAAAGAACGGATACTGGAAAAGGGGCCAGTTGATCAAGAAAATGGGAAACAAGGAGCCTATCGCTATCAAGAAGGATGAGTCCAAAACGGCGGTGAGTTTTCCCTTTAAGTAATTGTGCTTCGAGGGATTCTAATTTTTGCTAGAACCTTTCTGCAAATGTTCTTCAACATGTTGCAAGCCTATCCCTAGAGTCAATGGCTCCACTTGCCCCGCATTCAGACTCCATGTCTCAAATACCGCCCCCTGGACAAGATGTCACTCCTATGAACTCAGATGTGAGTCTGAGTAGCGAGGAGACGGATCACTCTGGAGATTTGCCGCCACCATACAAGGTTTGATATAGCAGGTAATGTCTGTGGCCTTCAAATTGTGCTAGAGGTAATGGGAGGTGTGGAGTTGTTGGAAAGCTTCTTTAAGGGATCAGTTATTCAAGTTGTATCTTATTGATGACAAATTTGGTTTTAGCCACGAAGAAGGGAATAGAAGGCCGAGTGCGTAAAGGCCGAATTTGAATTCAGAAAGGGATCTCCGGGTCTTGCAGGCCGATGAGCTGGCGATGTGGTCAATATTGTCATCACTTATCAGTCCTGTTGCGGGTCCATACGTTTCCGGCATGAGTTTGAATGAACATACTATCAGAGCAGATAGGCATTAGAAACATGCATTAAATCAAACAAAAGAAAGTTGAGGGTCATATTACTAGATCTGAGCTAGCTGTGGTATCTCAATCGAGGGAAGTTGCTCAAACATGATGAACGTTACAGAAGGAAAATCTCTCAAAACAGCCCCTAAGAATCAGTCGCTCGTAGAGCCGGCAACAATATACTGCTTTTCTGTCTTCAGCTGACTCAGAGTGCTGTCACTCAGGTTCAAGGTGTCTTTTACGATTTGCCTTGGCGTAGAGGCAATCCATTGGCCAAGGGCCATATCTAGACTGACATTAACCGGAATATTTCAACGAAGGATACAGCAAACATACCTGTGAACTCCGGAGCTTGTAGTACCTCCACAAACATTAATTCTTCGTCACCAGTGTTTTCGATGTAGTGGCTGTTGGACTTTGGGAAATAAGCGATGTCACCAGCTCGGTAATCAAAGGTGTTTGCCGTGTTAGGAGCAGTGAAGAGCGTTGCGCGACCTTGTCCCTTGACGAAGAATGTCCACTCATCGCTCGATGGATGCCAATGAATTTCTCGCATTCCTCCCGGATTTACTGTCACAATCGCCGATGAGAAGTTACTGGCGACCGGGAATGTGAGGGGGTCCACAATCTTGACCGATCCGCCCGCGACCTCGTGGGCGGGCTGTTCCGAGGCATGGTAAGAGTAGCTTTGAGTTCGAGGAATAACGCCCGAGGATGTTGTAACGTTCTGCTCCTCAATATTGGCCGGGGCTGCAGTTCCCTTGAAGATATACAGCTCATCATCTGGGATGTCGTCGAAGGCCGAGACAGTGACCCCAAGGTTCTTTGCTAGAACTTCTTTCTACAGAAACATTAACCTTCGTGCACTGAATCAACTAGAAGCTTTGTGACCTGTATGTACCGGACTGTGAAGGAAGACTTCGGTGGCAAGGAAAGTATTATCTTCGTCGAAGTCACCTTGGTCAAACACGAGTAGAAATTCAACGCCTACATCGAGCGCTTGGATAGAATGAGGAATGCCACTAAAGAAATTCAATTTGAGTCCCAATCGTTAGTTTTATGTTAGAAACTTACGGTGGAAAGAACCATATATCTCCCGCAGTCAAGTCGTCAACGAAAGTTTCTCCGTTCTCGTTAACAGCCTAGTCTCGTGTTAGTGATCCCCGAAAGGTAGATCCTGAGATGAAGTATTACCTGAATGCGGCATGAACCGTTCAGGATAATAGACCACTCAGAAGCAACATGCCAATGAAGCTCCCGATAGGCTCCAGGTTCCAGTCGCATGTCCACACCGGCCATCTCCGTAGCATCTGGCATCACTACCGTGTTCTCTTGACGAGCCCAGCCAGCATTGTCGATTCCCAGTCTTGATGAAGTTGAAATTAGCTTGAATTAAAGTTAATATTCAGAGTTGAGTATTACCGGTTATGGCTCAGGCCTAGGACGAATAATGAGTAAATATATTAATTTAACGCAATGAAGAACTTACCAAGAGGCCACTGCGCATTGATTGTTTGGCCATTGTCAGTGCCGGGGGGTGCCAGCTTGTCACTGTTGATACGGTCATAGTAGTAATTGCCTGAAAACAAGTTAGTAAAAATTATCTATCGAGGATTGAAGCGTGGACTAACGTGGACCAGGGTCATCAGAGCCGGTGGTACCTCGAATCGGCTGAGGGTTCTCAACATTCTCGAAGTCCAAGTATGTTCCAATGTCTGGGTCATTTTTCTGCCCCGGCAGGAGGGAATACTTGATATCTGGTGCTGACCCAGTGGCGATCTTCTCAGTAGACGAGTACCCGACCAATGCTTCGGAGCCTCTCAGGCCAGGATTGTTCGTCGAGGCATCAGCCCTGCGAGCCGGCGCGGCATTTATGAGCGGGAGTAGGATTGGGAGAATTGCCAGCACCCTGGAAGTAGATTGGAACTTCATTATGGATAATATGTCACAGGATCCACGTTTGAGTTTCCAGAAAGGCCTCTTCGGTCTCTTATAGGCAGGCACTCATACAGAAACCCGATAGTTCAAGTCAGGGGTCATCATAAGCCTTTTATAGATATGCTGCTAGGTGTTATTACAACATGCGGGATCCCATATGGCTGCTTGCATCATGTCTTCCCCTCACCGGAAATAGTACATGAGGGCTTTTTGGGAGAGATCGATCCATGTTCCCCTCATCAGGAGGCCTTGGAGGTAGGGGTAGAGAACACTGACGGATCAGCCACCACCTTGATTCGCCAACAGGAGCGCAAGAAAGCTCCGGACAGAGAAATTCGATGGTCTCGGCGGAGAAAAAGTATAAAATGGGGATAGGATGGTTCGACCTTGCATTATTTCCCCACTCGTACTCGTCAACCTGTAAAAATAGTATCCCAGCTGCCGTACAACACTGTGGGTTGGTAGCAGCAGGTAGATCCCGAAAGACTTGAATGGAATTCGGGAACTCGGTTGCCTGAAAATCTTTGCGGATCCGTCGAAATGCATTCTTCTTCCTCCTTGAAATCAAGGAACCTTGATTCACCTCGAATTAAACTGATTCTGGGTGAGCCGGGAATCCGCAAGAGTCGAGTCCACATTCAATAAAATTTCCAGTTTAGCTGGCACTTCTTGTTATGGCTTCAGTTTCCTCCAATGGTATGGATAGAAAAATGGGGCTGTGAGGGGATACTCAATATCAAGAGCCTCTAAGACCGACCCACCGAGGACCACGGAAGCCGCCACCTATGCAGCTAAATCTTTCGAGTTCGGGGTCGGATCGTAAAACTTTAGCCGAAGGATGAGGAAACTCACTCAAATGCTGCTACACTTAAATCTACAATCTCATTCCAAATTTGTTCGACAAGGGATCTTCGCTTGAGTCCAGAGAAAAATGAATATGTAGTTACCGCAAATAGTGCCGGAAGACTTGGAGGTACAACGTCGACGCTAAGCTTCAGGGCCAAGAAATGGGCCTTGCAGCCACCCCGGAACCAAAGAAATTCAGTATCCACAATTCGGCCATGTACTGTAGGTGAGAGTGGAACTCTCGCGACAGCCCTCTGGAAGGACGAGGGGAGATTGTCTCGATGTTTCGTCACCCGCATCATTTCTCGTTCTCCGCGCGAGGGGATGCATCGGATTTGAACTAGCTCCACGAGAAGAAGGCACAATGAACAGTCAACGCTGAAGCCGGCTGGAGCTAATGGGAAAATACAACACCTCTTTTGGAAGGAAAAGCCGTTATATCCGCAATCAAGGATAGCTTGAGGGGATTAGGTTGAATGAAAAGAGGGCAACCATTGGCTGTCACACTTTGTCCACGGGTCACTGACCCTTATGGATGCGACTCACTGGGATAGAGATGAGCAAGAAAGGTAGGTCGTAAGATCGGCGGGGTCGTAGCGAAGCTTGACACCACAGTAGGCAAGTTAAATTTAGACAAGGCGTGCCGTCTATTCCGTGTCTCTATTCCGTGTCTCCGCACGGAATTATCGGAGGTAAGGCTTTGGTTCAGCGGTAAGTTGAAAACGGCAACTTGTTAACGACGGAAACAAGAAAAGGTATTTACCCAGTCAAAGAGATGAGCTACATGGATTTTGCAAAAACGTGATTAAGAGATTCATGCAAGTGCAGCAGGCATCTGGAATTCGAGAAGATTCGGGCCTCATAATCGGGGGACCTTTGGGGTGGCTAGCTTTGAACGTCGAGGTCCACTTATCCACAATGATTGCATAACGAAATGACCGTAGCCAAGGATATCTAGCTTGTAAATGGGGTACCTTAAACTTCTTTAAGCTGTGGAACGCCAACATCTTCGTCGCCTATGCGAGGTATATGCGGCATGCTGCATGAATAGCGGTCGCAAAAATCTTGAGATTGGGATGTAACCTGTTTAGGATGTTGTTGTTGAAGTTGAGACTTTGAATTTCTGTTTAAAAAGAGAGAAGCTCCACTTCTACAATTGCGCAATGCGTATGAGGCTTTTAATCAGAGTGGCTGATATTAATGCTGTCGGCACAAACGTCTATCTTATCTAAACTTCGGTCTAAGGATAGGAACACCGTAGCATAACATCAATTGACCGACTTTACATAAGTATTCCTTTATTATCCTGTCGAATTCGCATCTGCAGGAGTCACACAAAATAGAAACCGTCTGAACAGCCTGTGTAGATGTTCATGATCTGTACCACGTCAAGGACACGGTTTATCTCGGGAGAGGGCTGGTAATCTGGATTCTTTTCCATGCCCAGAACATTGTCATGGAGATTTAAAAGTCTTCATAAATTCCTAAAACATGACCAAAGACAGGGAAGAATATCAGGGGCATTGGGCTGCTTTTCATGTGCTTTTTTGAGGTGCTTTCGGCTTAGCCAATTCAAGTATTATGCTGCGACAAGATCCGAAATGCCTCTGGATGGCCCATATTTGACTTGTTTTGACCGTCAAGCTAACTACCAAGACAAATGGCACAACAGGTTGGTAACAACTTGTACAATGTCAGCGCAACCCCACATCAACGGGCGGGAGATCTAGCCCCGCACCCGCTCAGACCCAGTCTGCAACTCCTTTCCTTCTCCAAGTCACCTCCAAGATTTGAAATCCGGTATTCTATGAGTGGCCTCAACCCTTGTACCTCGGAGAAGCTACGAAAAGCACCATTTTTGATCGTTCATTTATTATGGTTCTTTCCACCAAAAACAAAGGCGGCCCACCTTCATCGCTCGCCAGCGGGGGTTGCCAAGCCCCTAGCGCATCCGGGTTACCACTGGAGCCGTCAATGAGCCAGCCAGTGGAGAACCGTCGAATCATGAGATCATCTCCGAAGGGCAGTGACGAGGCCCTGAGTAAGAGCTGGGTTATGATAGGTCGTCTGTCGTTTTGGTTGGAGGGGCTGCCTAGTCCGGAGCTGATGGGGGCCGGGCTCTGCACCGCATTTCTTTCAGAATTGGGGGGCGGTTAGTGGGCGGAGGGTTGGGCACTGGCACAGGCGAGGCCATTCAGGACCCCTCGACTCGGCATTCGAATGCACACTTATATGAGAAGTCTCTGGCTCCTTTCATGACTCCTAAAGTCCAGTAGAGAATTGGACAACGCATAATAGCATCGACAAAGAGGTGAGTCTGTTGAAGTCTGCACACTGGGATGCCTTTTCTTGATGGTGATCGATGCCTAATTCGGTCCTGCAAATACTCGAATCGTCGAGGGGCGCTCAAAGTGGCATGCTGTCCTTCAAAGAATCTCCCTAGGGGTTCTCCCACGCATGCGATCTCTTCATGGAGACTGGTTTTCAAGCTCTCCGATCGGTTGAAGGTGTTAATTTACAGAATCATGCGTATCTCTATCTGGCAGACACATAAAAGCCAGCAACTAGGGCTTCCATGACTGGTTTACCGAGAGAGAGCCGTAGACTACATAAAGTGGAAAGGACTGACGATTTAATAACAAGAGCCATCATGGCGGTTTACAGTAATCACATTGTGTCGTGTAATGTCAGGGTAAAAGTAGCCCTAAAAACTCCGGGTCTGTCTTTGCCAGTCTATGGCGATAAGATAAAGTGACGACCGAACGTCTTTAACAAAAGAAAGAATCCTGCATAAGCATTCCTCCATCGCGTCCAAATCCATAACCAGTACGGGGGGGGGGTTCGAGAGGAAAGCCACATGCACTGAGGCAGGTGTCCAAAATGGGGAGAGAAAGGATAATGTGTGTTGTGAATAGAGCATCGGTTGTCCAATAGTGTTGCGATCAAGGTGAAAGGATAAAAAGATCCCCTCCGTCCATTTACCTGACACGCTTTAGGTATCGCATCGTCAGATAGACGGCCGCCAGGCTAGTGTAGACACCACCACCGGCGGTCAGCCAGACAGGACGGTGGACGTTGAGAGAAGTACGGAGAAACTGGCCCTCCTTTTTAGGCTTGGCTTCTATTGTAGTCGTCCTGTTAGCATAACTGAATCTGTTGATGGAGCATGGACAACGAAAAACTTACCCTGTTGGAAGAGTCTCTGACGTAGGTTATTCAAGCCCTGACGCGAACGCGCCGGGAGAGTCGCCAGCTGCTGGAGGATAGGTCCAACGGGTGCAGACATCGTGGAGGGTATAGATAGATGGATAGTTGATAAAAGGCTTGTATTCTCACAGATTCGTGATAATTTGTGATGATGATGGATGGAATCTTGGGTTTGGAGGGGAGAGTGACGACGAAGAAGGGAGAGTACCAGACCCCCCCTTGACCTTATATACTGGCAATCATCTGACAGCCAAATGCGGGGTTTGACTGTGGCGGGAGTGACATTCAAGACATCCGGGGCATCCCTGCATTTGTGGCAACATTATCAGAGTTTCAGGTTGGCTCGACCTGGCGATGCTGGGGCTGATCGAGTGACCTGATTCTGCACGAGGAACTCGGGCTACACGTTCAGCTACAATGCGAGAGTCATGTCACTTCCCTCACAAATCATGCGATGCTTGAATGCAATGAACGAAACACGGCAGTGGAGGGAAAGCAGCAAGTATGGGCTGATGGGCGAGACGAGGAGACGATCAGGGATGAGGAGACGACTAGGATGACCCCCTCCACATGCCTGTTGCAACACTCTCCACCGGGTGATTGGCTACCAGCCAAAGAAGAGTCACCTTGACGACGCAGCACAGCCCAGGGAAATGCCCATTATGACACTATGATGAGCGTGTCTAAGCGTCTCGTAAGCCCGCCCCCTATCGTGAATGCAAACGATTCGGTCGGTCGATAGGTTGTTTCCCCTGAATCTTGTGCGGGTGGTCCGACAAGCATAAATTCAGAGTTGCAACAGGGAGTTACTCGTGCCGTCCTGATATCGGGATCTCCAGCTTCAGTCGCAGAGATATTCCACTGTTTGGTGGTGTCTTCAGGCTTTCAAACGCAGTGGGTGGAGTTCGGCTGTCTTGTCCGGGTCCCACAGTGGAAAATCTGGGGGATGGGATCGTGAAAGTGTGGGGTTGGGGCCTTAGTGCGCTCCACCGGCCCGGCCAAGGCTACTTGAAGTTCGTAGCGCAGCAAAGAGAGGATATCGCACTCCTCGGTGGAAGGTGAGATGAGGCTTGATCATATCTGATCAGTTCATGAATCTTGCTAATCTTCACTACTACATCAATCACAGATCCCTAAGGCGACCGGATCACCTGCTCAAATCTCGTGACTTCCTTCCCTTTCCTACCTCACCGCCCACCCACGCCGCTGCGCTTCCCTCTACTTACACCGGCAGTATCACGTCTTCACCACTTCCCTCCCAGCACTGACCACCGCACCAACGAAACATGATACGCGGGGTGAACGAAGGGAGTGTTACGAGGAGCTCCTGCACCCAGGGATGCATCTCGTTCGGACCAAACAACGTGAGATCAATTCCCCCAAGGGGGGCGTCGCTTAGGCCCCGGAATGTGTCCTCATCCAGCATGTCAAAGTCTTCACTGGGCCCCAGCCAGATGTTCTCGGGCCGTGAAATGCCCTCAAAGTCGACCTCCTGGGCCTGCTTCCAGGCCCGCCAGATCTCACGACTCAGTCCGTCTCGCGTCCAGGCATGCACCGAGGCAATCAAAGTGTTGGTTTTTCCTCCGGTTCCTGTATACTGCGTGAAGAAATCGAAGGCAACCTGTGCCTGAGGCCGTCGTGCGTTCCCCACCAGTTCCCGGAACCGTGCAAGTCGTTCACTATCTAGAGGGTCAACCAGCTGGATGGGCTCGTCGCCGAAATCACCGAAGAGTCTGGACTTAATCGCGTCTGTTTTGCTCAGGTGGATGGGGATGACCTGCAGAACGAAAAGCGGGTCAATCCATTCAGTCCGAGGAGCAAAGCGGGCTCCGTGGCGAAGGCCAAAGTCTGTGCAGCGTGGCCAGGGGTTGACCATGGGAGAGTAGATGGCGACATCCACGGCCCACTGGTCAACTAGGCGAAAGGAAGAGAATGGGTGATCGCGGTTTTGACGCCATTCGTTGAGAGGCGCGCCTGGAGTATTGTACAGCACGACAAGGTCCCGGTATGGCCGGAAATAGAACGGACCACGTCTTCTCTCCTGGTTCAGGTCCTCGAGCCCGAAGTGGATGACTCGTTGTTCCGCGACCTGTCTGGCCTCAATGCAGACATAAGCAATGGTGGGTCGCAAAACATTGTGACGTGATGCCCAAACAAGGTCGCATGAAACCTCCATGTCTGGCCAGACAGGCCGGTTTAACTCGACCACTCGGGATGGGATACAAAGTTCCCAGATCAAGATACGAAGCTCGGGGGGCAGTCGACCGAAAACCGTGAACTGGGTCGCCATTTTTTTCTTGCGGAGTATTCAGAATAACTTGGTAATTGGCTGGGCAATTGTGCGCAGTACCTGGATCCAGCGATGAGTGTTGAGGAGCTAAGCTCCCGGTACAGTATCTGACAGCTGATTGCTGAGATGGGACTGGATTTCCTAGAACAGCAAAAGAAACACAAGGGAATGAGACACAGGATCAATATGATCAATGTGCTGAGGATTCAAGGAATTCAACAGTTCGAGTCAGCTCATCAAGCATGCAACAGGATTGGCGGGATGCGAATGACTTAAGTCGAAGTTCAACAACCAACATGCGAGATATAAACGCGTGTAGCTTGAAGAGCACAGAACAACAGAAGGAGGTCCAGGAGCAAGAGAATAGCTTGAAGCTAGGATAATACGAGTTCACTCGGCAAGGATGCAAAAGGCTTAAAATAGCGAGAAGGGTTGTCTCAACTAGTTCGTGTCTGTTTGGACAAGATGAGACTGAATCCAGGGTAGGAGAAAAACAGTGCGCAGTCCGGCGTGCTGGGAGTCACCTGCTGGAAATATTTTTCGCGTCTCGCAAATTGTTTTACACCATTGTATGCCGATCGATGTGATAAAGAAAAGTGCAAGATATGAGTAACTCAAGAAGTCTCGCAGCACGAAGTGTTGATGGCAAAATCGAAGACAACGGAAGGATATGAACAACAGTGACGTGGAATCCAGAAAGCGAAAACATAGATCGTGTCTAATTCGCGTACTGGGACAAGCAGTAACAGGCAGCAGGTGGAGGCTGAACGCTCACTTTGCCGTCATCGTCACCGAACACGCAATGAACGTGCCTCGAGTCTCCCAAAATCTGAATGAGTGTGCGAAGTTTACCTCTCTATTGTCCGAACATTGACCTTACACTCAATTAGCTGCATCTCGGGATATCCTTCGCCGCCATTTCCTAAACCATATGGGACTCTCTGTGTTGCCTGGAGGCATCGAGAGTTGGAGCTGGCCACTACGTTATCCAGCATCGATGGAGTGCTTAGGCGAAGGCCTGCATTTTTGGACCTGAATGGATCACAACTTGGCTAACACAAGAGAAATAAGATCTGGGATAGAGTTCCTCGTTGCAGGCACTAAACTGATTTTCCGTTTCAAGGTATTGGTTGGTGATCGGCGCGGAGTGCGTTGCGGGATTGGAATATGCATATTCTCCTCTGTCGACCCCATCAATCAATACTGCTATTGCACTGTAGAAAAGCCTTGGTTGCGGTGGGGATAAGTTGTTTAAGGCGCTGTGGAAACGATGCTAATGCACCCCTATGCGCATAGCTCTAGCGGGTGATCCACCGGATGTTTTCGACTTTGTTCCCAACCTATTCCAAATGGAAAATGTTAGCTGATTATTGTCTAGCCCTTGGCAGCACAAAGACTGGTGACCTTAAACAAAATACTAGATTCCAGTTCGTGCTATCTAGATGGGACAATTTTAAACATGTTGACAGAACTCGTTGGTATCATTTTGATCTAGTAATATAATTATTTACAAGGCAGCCGTTATATTAGGTCGAGAATCAATTAATCGTCGAGCGGGTTGGGGCTGACTCCAAATGGAACACGACATATACTCCGTGCATCCTCTGGCATAGTTTGCCAGATAACCTGGCGGACTTCCTTGCCGACCTGCTCGACGGCATCAATCGCCCACAAGACATCGAGATGCTCATACTCCTCAATGATCTTGGAGTGCACGACTCGCACATGAGGCTCATGCCCTTTCTCGAAACGCTCAAGAAGCCGACGTCCATCCACTAATGCATCCGAGCCTCCGACCCAAAGTGCAAAAGGTGGTGTCCCGGGGCCAAACCAAGCATTGTCCTCCGAGGAAGCTAGACAAGGATCTCCAGGGTCATCGCCATGTTCCCGATCGGTATCTTGCAGGAATTGGTCTTTGGTTTTGTTTTCAGAGAGCGTCTGCTCCTGAGTTGATAAAATACACTTGTGCTTGGCAAAACTCTCGCTGCCAAGCCACCACCGCATGGACTCCGCACTGACATACACGGGGGCGAATTGGAACATGCGATGTCGTAGGTCGCGCTCCCAGCGGGCGTCAGACCAACCGAATAAAAATGAAAAGACCCAATATGCAAGGGTTCCATATATCTTCGGATGAGAATACCGTTGGAAAGTCATCATAATGGGAATGAAAGCATGCACACCAAAGAAGAGTCGAAACATGTCCGGGGAAAGTATACGCATGAATCGGAAATAAGGCTTGCTCACCAGTGGCCCTGCGTACGCTGCTGGAGCAAGAGCGCAGAAGACTGAAATGCGGTCTCCAAGTTCAGGGCGATGTTCTTTAGCCAATGCCACAAAGGTTTCAGTTGTACCTTGTGAGTGACACACTAGGCCCAGCTTCTCGAAGCCGGTCTCGTACAGCACGCGAGATGTCAGGGCGGTAAGATCAAGTGAGCCTAGATGTCGAATATCCCAAGACCACATGCGAGGGTCAGAAGGTGCTAGAGTGGTGTGCTCTGGGTGCAAACCGCAACGGTTATTGCCCAGCCATACATCATATCCTGCTTTGCAGAGATAGAATGCAAGACTGTCGTCGTCATTGGTACAGTAGGTACCTGCGCTCTGTAGCAAACCGTGAATGAGAAGCACTGGGTAACGACGCTTCGAATGAACCCTGGATGAATAAGGCTTCTTTGAGTCACTGAAAACAGTGGATCCCCGTTCGCGTCGTTGCTCTGCCGGAAGAGTTGCATACTCCTGTGGATTATAGACATGCCATAATGTGATGATGAAACCGTCTTCAGTTTGGACTCGGAAGGTCTCGACATCCAGGCCAACCCGGCGAGCGTAGTAAGCAACGTCGGATACTATGGGATCCTTGCCGCCTTCCTGTGGCGGACACTCGTCCGAGCCCTGTTCTTCATCCACGTGCTTTTTCTGTTGGCGAATATGCCATTTTCGATCGGCCTCAGCTCTGGCAAGTCGGCGAGTCTGTTCTTCCTCTCTAAATGTTCTTTCCGATGTAGGCCGTCGGCCTTTGAGGCGGGCGCACACGTTGAGGATTCCCGAACCGAGGGTAGATAGGAGTGCGCCGATGAAGATAACCGTCAGGAATCCCACCGAAAGGAAGAACGAAACGATTCGAATCGCTAAGAAACGTAAATGGCTAGCGGCAGTCGGAGTGCCGTACGATGGTAATGGCGGAAAGAGGGGATGTTCGCATGAGTCGACAACCAACTGTGAGGCGTCACCGTACTTTTCAGCTTCGGAAAAGTGACCTCTTTCTGCATTGTCACTTCGGATATCACATATACAGTCTTCCTTAGTGTCCTGCTGCTCAAGGGGGATTCGACCGGTTCGAGTAGCGGAGGTTGAGCAGATAGAATGTCGAAGTTTGTCCGCGTGAGCGGGACCCGTTGTGTTATCGAAGGTCCGCAAGGGAATGGTGACCGACATGGTCGCGGAGTCAAATAATTGACACTGATGTACCAGACAACATCGTGAAGCACGACAAATATTTTGAGAAGGGCGCCAAGTATTCAGAAAACATTTCCTCCGAGCAGGGAACGACCAACTCCCCGCGGTGGCCAACAGGCCTGGGTCAGGGACAGTCACATGACAGGGGAATGCCAATCAGGAAGGATTAGCATGTGCTTTCATTCCTGAGGCAGGAAATGGGTCGAAAGAGGAACCAATCGATTTACAGGGAAATTTCGCCAATAATTGCCACTCTATGGAAATAGGAAATGTTACAAACTAATCCACCATATAATTGCTGTTCCTCTTCCTGGATTGGAACATTATGTTCCTGCCTTTACACCCTACGAGTCGTTCCTAGAAGAAACTCGACATCAGCAGCTGATTGATCTGGAAATTATATGTATCCATTGTACAGGTCGCAACTTTGGAAACAATGCAAGGAAATAATCAGTGAAAAGAGGACCATTGGAGAGTACTTCATGTTTGGTTAAATACGCAGGCAAGATACATCTATCCCCATTCCCGGAGAGCTGGCAACAGCATTATTCCTTTAAAGCGCCCTCAAAATCTTGCAAGAAAGTCCACAGGGTCTTCTTTCTCCAATTTCTGGCTTTCCAATCATTAGCATAAAGGGGGAAAAGGTCAACAAGGCTATGTAAGCTCGGATCATGAGCATAAATAAACCAGATATTTTCATCCTGATCTGCATCCTGTGCCTTAGAGATAGTCTCGGAAGCCTGCGGGATATCTATTCCCATCGAAGGTTCGAAGAAAGGCTGATCGATGGCTCTGTTCCGCTGGAGCTGCAATTTCTCGAGAGTCAGACCTGGGCATGGGAGTGTGAATTGTATTGAAGGAATGTCAACATTCGCAGGGATGCGAAGTCTTCTGGACGGTCTTATCTCGCCGCCGTGATGACACAGATCACCGCCCATAAATATAAATGTATCGGGATCTAGCGTTGTCCGTGCAAGACCACCGAGATGGCCTACGGCGTGCCCCGGGGTATCCAAAATATAGAAAGATCCATCGCCAAAGAAGTCAAAGCCTCTGAAACGGCCAATCTGGATGCTGGTTTTGTCGAACGTAATCTCCCGTAAAGTTCGTCCCCTAGTTGCGATTAGTATACTGGTCATAATATGAGAGAGCTACAAGACCAACTTGAAGTACTCCTCTTTGACAGGAGAATCGGCTTTACTGGGGTATCCAGGCAAAAATGCCTCTTTGAAGCCAGGACCAACCACAATTTCTGTGCTGGGGGGAAATCTTGAAACATCCCCAATATGATCCCAATGCCAGTGACTGAGGTATGTAAGCGAGGTGAACAGGGAAATAGAGAGTGGTCTAACCTCCAAATTATGCTAGTGATCTGGTTTGCTCGGACTCCGTCGTTTGACAATATGTCTATAACCTCCTTTTCAACTCGAATATCCCACCCATGATTCTCCAGAGCATTCACCACCGTAGGGGAAAAAGAATGCCAGTCAATTGGTACGCCTAGATCGAACAAGGCATTTTTACCTGAAGGGTGCTCAATTAAAAACGACCAAGCAGGCATGAGAGGCATGTTATCCATGCCGTCCATTGGGGGCTTCATAAGGAAGCTTAGCGCCAAGTTTCCGATTCTAGTTGTAGAGTCGATGATGCGAATCTGCGTAGTTTGCGTTCCTGCTGGTACAGGAAATTCAAATTTAGTTTGCGCCATGACAAGAAAGGAAGAGGTATTACTCTGAGATACTAGGAAGCTGAGTTTTGTTATGAAAATATTTATGATTTCTGTGTTCCCCGCACCTGCGCCTCATCCCGATACGCGATTGCGAACCTGCCGAATGCCGAACCATGCAGGAAATCCCTGATCAAATCAGAAGCTCAAAAAATTGATAATGAATCTTATGTAATTTGAAATATGGTTCTCATTTAGCTACCTTGTATAGCATCTTGGTATGCAATAAAATTAGCTCATGAATCGGCCCCTACCCCTACCTCTACCCCTACCCCGACCAGTTGCTCGGCCTCTTGCAGTTAAGCTTTCTCTGCCAGCTGGCACATGTCTGCGCCACTTCCATGACCCATTAGAGCCTACAGAAGGTCTCGTAGTACCTGGGTGGAATTTGAGTCCCTTTTTCAGATCCTCTTGATTAAAACTTCTAGCATGGGCAAAGTACCCTCTGCCGCTGGAGGGACGTGTAGTCGTATCCCATAAGGGAAAAAGATTGATTTGTTCCCCATGTTGAGAGTATTCATACTCTTCACCTGTCTCATCTCTTTTACTGTGACTGTCCTTATCTTCATTGTACTCGACGCTCTCTCTCTCTGTCTGTCTCTCAGAGTCTGAGTCGTCGTCTCTTCTCACCACTTTCCGTAGACAGATCTCATAAAGGTTTATGAGATGTAGGCCCTCTAAGTGGAATGGAGCGTTGGTCAAGCACGAAAACACCGGTGTCCAAGAGCCACCAGTAATGGTTATAAAATCGAGCGTGAGGTCTCTCAGATTGGGCTGTTTCTGCAGAAATGAGAGTAGTGACTCCTCGGATGGGTAAAATCCACTGAGAAAGCACTCTTCAAGAAGCGGAAGCTCAACGTTGCAAAAGATATTTCGGAAGATCCCACTATAGAGACTTAGAGAGCCGCTTGACCGAAAGAAGTAGCCTAGATGCAACTTGCGAAGATTTCTCAAGGACTGGAGGATTGATGTTAACCCCAGTGTCCAGCTAGCTATTATCGGCTCATGGGGCTTTTTCCACAGGTTCCCTATAATGGGTCCGCAGCCTTCGTGAAAAGCTTGCTCGGTCGTGTCAAAGGAATCAATGCCGCGTCCTGTATTTTCAAGAATTTTGTTGAAATCAAGATCTAAGGCCATTTCTAAGGACTGCAGGTTCCCACAGAAGTTCCCAAAGAGTGATTCTCGTCGCTCTGGATGAAGGGATGAGGTAAAAGAGGAAATATCATTGATCAAAACATTGCATCTGGGATTTTTTTGATGCACATTGAGATCCTTAACAGAAACTCCACTGCATACTATGGATGTCAGAATCATGTTGAATACAGTGGAGGCTCGGGCGCAGAGCGGGACCCATAGAGGGCGTGAGCCATAAGGGTCCTTTAAACCGTGTCCCTTCATTATCACAGCATCTAGTATGATGGCTTCTAAATGACCGAATCTGGTGAAAATTGACTGAAGAAGACTGGTCATCTCATCCACGGACTCTTCTTGGCGATTCTTCTCCTGTTCTTTCACCCAGTCCACTTGAGACTGGAACAATGAAAGTTCCTCTTGGGAGTACTCCTTCCGTACTGGCTCAGAAAATTCATCTTCTGATTCGTCAGCCCAGTATATGCCCTCTTTTAGCTTTCTTTCTTGCTCGGAACAGTCAAACACTGTAGATAGTAGAGTCAAATTATGAACTCTTCCGCGCAGCACGGAGTTACATGCCAGAGCATGAAGCGAACGAAGGCTATTCAAGGATACATCCAGAGTAGGCTCGCGAATGAAGCCTAAGAAACGTGGGCCAAGGGTTATCGCGGCTAGGTCTCGGCTGCCTAAACGGAGAGCCTTGATGTTATCAAGGTCAAGGAACGATATAATAGCCTGGACGATCTCCGGAGGTAGTGTTGTGATACCCATGGTTTCGCCCTCTGGTGGAATCTAATCCAATGCAAGACCGTTCATAAAATGCACTGGAGAGAGAACCTTGCTGAGTTTTTGCTAATGGAAGGAGGATTTGCCTAGCGTAAACCAACTTGAGCCTCAAGTTCTGCCCTGTCCTACCGCTCTGGAATAGCTAAGGATGCCTTTCCTAGTAATTGTTCAGTGATTCTCGCCGGGTTAAAAGTCCATGAAATAGAATAATAGTAATAAATTGATATCTTGTATGTGCAATTTCGCTATATATCAGTCCTATCATCCAACACGAATAAATTTGTATATTATTGCCATGAACAAAACTACACCCCAATGCTAGGTGACGGTAAATTTGAGGCCGAAAACAACTAGCTTTTCATGCCATTTGAAGTGTCCTTTTACCAGTCTAGTTATGAGTCGTCCACGTAGTTTATCCGCCCTAATGGTTCAGTATACTGCGGGAGTGCTCCCGAAGGCTCTCAGAGTATCCTTGGACTCCGCCTGGCGCCCCGCAAGAGCACCCAGGATGCTTGAGGGAGGTAATGAGGTGTGACGTACGAAATTATCTTAGTTTAGCGCTTGTAATCGCCAGCGGCCAAGAAAGAAGGCTCTTTACTAATCGCAAGATCTTAAGATGCTACTGGAAAACAAGTATTTAAATAGTCTCTTCGCATTTAGCCGTGCTATCTGTCCAAGCCACCTAAGGGTAGATCAGATCTTCTGAGTATATACCTATGTTTTCAATCTTCTTTCGTTCATTATTACCACCTCAGCAATCTTTTTGGGACGCCCTCCTTACTTGGATACTGTGGTTTGCAAGAGACAGCTCTATAACCAAACCCTATCGGCACACGAGCAATCTGATGCGACGTTGTAACAGCCTCCGACTTATCATGATAGCCTGTTCTTGACGAGACTGAATCTTATTGGATAATTTTTTCTGGAAATGTGGGCAGGCGGCGTGGAACATCTCTGGATCGTTTTCCTGTGTTGTAACTTCTCAAGCCTGTCGGGTAATTGAGACTATGCAGCAGAAAGGCTGAAGACAAGCCATCGTGCGGGCGACTTTTGTCCGTCTGCTCCTCTCCTTCTCCTTTTCGAACAGAGATTCGCCTTTTCAAAATTCGCTCTCGCGTACAAAAAAGAACCACAATGGGGCTGACTCGCTACATCAATGCCTTCTACTTCCCAAGTTGGCGGATTTACAGGGGTCAGAGTCCGTCCACTACGGATCTCGATCACACAACACATGTTTTCTATGCTTTTTTGAGGTAGGCAGTCCAGCCCATCGCGCTATGCCTCACCGACAAGTGTGCGGGAGCATCTTTGAACGGCCGGTGAACTTTTTATGGACTGTCTTAGCTGACGCGTCCATTCCCACAGAATTCGAGACGACGGGAGTGTCTTTGTAAGTCTTTGACTGGGCTGCGATCCCCGTTCTCAGGGTGGCTTGCTGAACCGAAACCGGGAGGTGAATCCAGCATCTAGACGCCAAAGCGGATTTGGAGTATCCAGCCGATGGCGTCAAAGGATGTCTCCACGCATTCAACACGCTGAAGCGCCAGCGGTATCCAAACCTCCAACTTCTCGTTTCTGTCGGGGGCGGAAGTGGAAGCCAGCCATTCAAGGAAGTGGCGAGTCGTGTCGATCGTCGGGTCCGGCTCGCGCAGGCCCTTCGCGACTTTGTCGATCGGTTCGAGCTAAACGGAGTAGACCGTGAGTTTCTTCCCCCGCCACCGGGTTCCCTTGGAACAACCCTGCGAAGCTTCTGGCTAACGAACCCCCTTGAGTGGACTGGGAACACCCGTCCAGCCCGGCTGAGGGGCGGGACTATGTTCTGCTGCTGGAGGAACTGCGCAGGCATCTTCCGGCTCCCCAATACGTCCTCACGACCGCTCTCCCAGTGGGCGAGTGGTGTCTGAAACACATCGACGTGGCAAAGGCTACTGAACACGTAGACTTTCTCAATCTGATGTGTTATGATTTCGCGGGTCCCTGGACGGAGTTGTCGGGCCACCAGAGCCAGCTCTACGCACCTGCATCTCCACATAACGCCTTTTCCAAGCGGTCTGGCCACGGTGCCGTGCAATACCTGCGCGCGCGGGGTGTCCCCAGCAGGAAGATTGTGCTCGGGGTCCCCGTCTACGGCCGCTCCTTCTTGGGCGTGGACGGGGTGGGTCAGCGCTTTACCGGCCATGCCGGCGACGGGGGTACGTTCGAGTATCGTGACCTGCCCCCGGCCGATGCGCAGGAGTTTTTCGATGAAGACCTGGGTACGGCCGGTTCTGTGGGCCCGGAGAGTGGCTTGGTGAGTTATGATACCCCCGACACCGTCCGGCTGAAGGCGCAGTATGTCAGGGCCCATGATCTCGGAGGGCTTTTCTACTGGACCGGCGTTGCGGACGTCAGTGGGCCCCGAAGTCTGATCCAGGCGGGGTATCAAGTGTTGAGTGGTGTCTAGGATTTGGAATTGGTCCTGTCTCGGGTGTACCATCTTGTCAAAGTGATTTGGCATCCATATCATTGCTTTTTTAAGCTCTCTCGATCGACGCGATCACCATAGTGTTCTTCAACAGCTTCGGCGCCGTATCTTTCTCTTCTCTCCTGCTACCCTCTAATCTGCTGATATGGATATTTCTGGTTGAATATATCTAAATATACTTTAAGATCATTTCAACTCTGCAAGCCTTCAAATTTTTGATCCTCCTTGAGCGTGACATATCATGGCGGAGGAAAGGAAATAAGAAAAAAGACATTATAACTGTAATTTAAAGGATAATTTTAACCAGCGATTCATATACATCATGCGTACCATTAAACAACCAAAACCAGCCCTTGTATATTTCAGCAACAATTCACAAAGTTCTCCACCAAGACCCCATCCAATCCGTCCAGAACAGCCATATCCAAGCCCACCTGGTCCACGGCGACAATGATGACATCGAACTCTTCCAAGCTCTGCTTGTTCCATTGAGTCTGGTCGTCCAGCCGGGGACAGAACTGAACCGCGCCGGCCGACACCAATGGGTCCGCGAAGGCAACGTAGGCATCCCACTCGGAGAGCAAGTGGCGCATGAGAGAGAGCGCGGGAGAGTTGCTCAGGACGGACTGGCCACGCTTGAAGCCCACGCCGACCACCAGCACGCGTGCCCGATCCGCTCGGCTGGGAGACCGACTCTGCTTCAGGTATTTTCGCATCACCCGGTCGCCCATTCGCGCGGGCCTGGCCGCCATCTTCTCTGTCGCCGCCTGGAGCAGAGGGAACTCGGAGTTCGTGAGGAGGTAGTACGGGTTGACGGGGATGCAGTGGCCGCCGACGCCGAGGCCAGGCGAGTACGGCTGATAGCCGAACGGCTTGGTGGCTGCGGCGGAGGAAACCTCGAGTGCGTTGATTCCGATCGCGTGGCAGGCGTCGGCCATCTCGTTGGCATGGGCGATGCAGACCATCCGCTGGCAGTTCTCATATAACTTGGTCATCTCGGCGACCTCGGGGGAGGACACCACCACCAGGTGTTCGAAGATCTCTTGATAGAGCTCGTGGATGCTGGCCAGGGAGCCTGGCACAATGTCGTCCAGACCGGAAATGATCTTGGGAATGGTCTCGAAGGCAGGGTTGACTCGACCAGGGTCGACACGCTCGGGGGACATGCCAGCCTTGAGGCCTTTGGAGCGCATCACCTCATGAATGAGCTGGCGTGTCATACCGACTGCGACCGAACTCTCGATGATCACGGTTGATCCGGGTCTTGCGTATTGTGCGACGAGCGAGATGGCACTCTCGAGGTGTTGGGTGTCGACGGTATTGTCATGGTGCAGCCTCGTGGGAACCGAGACGAGGAAGTGTGTTGCATCTGCAATATCATTTGGGTTGCTGGTGTAGCAGATATTAGGATTGGGATCCGTCTCGCTGAGATGGTTGAGACGACGCTGATCCACATCGTAGGCAATGACCGAGTACACTTTGGCAAAGGCCGTGACTAGTTGGTAGCCCACGTAGCCAACGCCAATCACTGCAACGACTGAAGTCAGCGCCTTGGACGGCGTCACTACCGGGCCCGAGATCTGATTGATACAAGCATCAACATCAACCCGCTGGCCTTCATGAGGAGGTGTCGCGAGCCTATGAGTGGAGGCAGGATGTGTGCTGGGCCGCGTTTTGAAGAAATCTGGGGTAGCACTTCCATCGTCCGATGCATCGGGCGAAGGAGGGAACGAAACTAGAGTCACCGTCATGGCTCGGCGTCTTAAGCTCTCAAGAATGCCCACAAAGACCGACGTAAGATCGATTGACAGTGGGTAATTTCACTCGATGCTTTCACGGTATTCAAGTCTATTCTTTAACATAAACCTGTCCCCATTCCCTCCGCGCGCAGCTCTTATATACCAACTTCATCGCCGGCCGCCTCCAGAGTTTCCCTCGCTAGATTTACCTTCAAACCTGCGACTCAGCTGCTCGCATCCGGAGACCAGTTGTCGGGGCCCGATGTCCCATGCCGGGGCTCTCTTTCATGTCGACATCCTCCAGCGGCATCTTTGTCGCTCCGTGCTCGGCTTTGCGAACCACGATTTGAGGTCTTTTTTTTTTTTGCCTTTTTTTCCCTTCTTATTTTTCTCTTCTTCTTTTCTTCTTCTCAGACAAACAAGTCACTTGTTTTCTTGGCAAAGTCTGCTTGACGGCGTTTTCCGGGATCCAGTCCATGCCATGGCGGCGCCGCTGGCTCAACCATATGGCGATAGGATAGGCCCAGGAGATCCAAGGCGTCTTGCCTGGCGCGATGTTGGCTTGCCGTTTAGTCCTAAGAAGTAGGAAACTCCGAAAGTCTTGGCAATGGCGTCTTCAGAGAGTTCCAGGCAGGCTTTTGCGATCTACTTTCTTGGCCGAAGCCAAGTTCCCTAGCCTGGTTTATCATTGGTCGGTCTCCAGCCCGTGTAGGGCTAAGCCGGACAAGGTGCCAGCTGTGTTGGCGAATACGGTAAGCGAGCGAAGGCCACGGGGTTCGGATTTGGGGAGTTTGCCGTATGCAGGTCGGAATATGAGGGCGCTGGAGGATGGTTCGTCTCCAATAATTGGGTCTGGGACCGATTCCCACGAGCCGTCCCGCCAGTCTAAGGCGATTCCCCCAAATTGCCACTGATTTCTTTTGGCGTCGAATCACATGGCCTATGCTCCAGTGTCTCTGGATCGCATAGTCGGGCCTTTTTTGGTCAGACCAGGACCCTTGGCAATGTAGGGTGGATCAGGACGGGGGAGAGTTCTGTGGGGGACAGGAGTCGGTTGGTCAATTCTTGACGAGCGAACGGGCATGCATAGTCAGAATAGGGTTCTGCTGGTCTCCTGCCCGATTGCCCCTGGGCGCCCGGCAGTCAACGAGGATGACCGGGGCCTGATTCGACCGATCGCGCCTGAGTCACGGTGGCGGAGCGGTAGCTTGGGAGTCTAAAGGGTTTTCCGGGACGGTCTGGCCGCGGGTCTCTCGCGTACCTCGCACGGGGCGGAAAGACCAAGCAACCGCAGGCGATTGCTGCCGACCTCACTTCCACCCTCATCCCGCCTCTAGATGGCGCCAACAGATCTCATAGATCTTGATCAAACATGTTCGTGCCAAAGTACCCGAGCTGATGCAGTCCCGACCTCGCAACAAACCCCGCCGGGCTCGGGTTCGCCGCTCGGGCAGCTGGTGTCGGCCATTGTATCCCAGAACGACAACATTCGTCGTCGTTCGTGTCCGCCTGTCACCATGTCAGCCCGCCTCTTCATGGATTATTTGAGTCTCCCGAGCAGCTCATCTTGCTGGGAGTTGCACCTCTCTTTCTTTTTCCTCATTCCCGGCAGAAAGGGCAATCTGCCATTGTCGTCTTGCGCCCTTCGTCCTTCGTTCTTCATTCTTGGTCCCTCGTTTAAGCTATAGAGCATGTACGCCCTTCAGGCCAACTATGCGGGGCATGTCATGTCCCCGGATGACCTGGACGTGGAGGCTCAGTCCATGACCCTGCCTCCCAAATCCTTGCAAGACTCCCAGCTGGAAGACGGCCAGATCGCTCTCGCCCGCCTGCCTGGCTCGGAGAACAACAGTCTCCGCCAAATCAATGTGGCTGGCGGTCCCGAATCCGTAGTGGAATCCGACATCCACACTCGGTCCTCGTCTCCCAGTGATGAATCTCAGAGCGGTGCATCATACAGCCTGCCCAGTGTGAGATCTCGCAGCAATGTGACTTCCCGTCCGGAGTCTTTGGGCTCTTTCAGGGGCCACAGCAGCCAGAATTATGAGGATAATGTGCCGCAACAGTTCGTTGTTCCTCATGAGGCAGGCATGTTTCTCAAGGCACATTACCGGGACTCGGATCTCTCTTCAAATATAGATGAAGAGGCTGGTCCAGCCTTCCACCCCCGTACGACAAAGCATCGGGAGTGGATTACGCCGAAGCCTTGGATGGATCACATCCCTACCAAGGTGACCATCGAGGATGAGATCTCAGAGGATGGAGTAACTCCATCGTCGGAGGCTCAAGTGCAAGAGTCCCGTGCTAGGGGGTACAGCACCTCTCCGGCACACTATGCGGACAATTCCGATGGTGGTCCCGCCTTCGAGGAATGGATGGACATGGTCACCACAGTCACGCCAAAGGCAAGACCCGAAGACAATCCCAAAAATAGGAAGAGAGGGCGACGCACCATTGTGGCACAGAAGCATCTGATGCAAGCTGCCATCATCGCCGTGAAGTACGAGCACCTCCCCCCCCCCCCCCCCGGTCAAAGCTTAAAGGTCCCCAAGGCTAACAGATTATGTGCTTAGTGGTCTCTGCATCTTCAGTACGTGGTGGTGGTCAAGATACTATTACATTCTCTTGCCCTTCATTACCGCCACAGTGGCCCTGAACATCTTCATGATTGTCTCCATCGTCTTCAATGTGATAAGGCGGCGCATCTCCCCAGAGAAAGAGATCATCCAAGAAAAGCCCGAATCGCTGGTGATGGTTATTCCCTGTTACAACGAAACACAAGAAGAGATGGTGAAGTCGTTGAACTCACTCATCTCCCAAAAGAATATCGATCAACACCCGCGCGCCATCATGATCATCTGTGACGGCAAAGTTCGCGGCCCCGGGATGGACAAAACGACCGCAGATTATCTCTTTGAGGATATTCTTGTCCAGAAGGACTATCGAATCCGCGTCCCCGCGGCTTACTTGGCCTGGGACCAGCAGTTTATGGACATCGAGATTCAGAAAGGGACATATCAAGGGATTCCTTACTTCTGCATCGTCAAGCAGCAGAATCAAGGGAAACGCGACAGTCTCATTGTGATCCGTTCATTCTTATACAACTTCAACGTTCGTTTGGAGCGGCCAGAGACTATCTTCACTTCTACTTTCTTCGCTCACATGGCTTCTTTTATCAACGAGGCAGGAATTGATCGGGTTGACCATCTCATCGGGATGGATGCTGACACGGTTTTTGACGATGATTGTATCAATGAGCTTCTCTTACAATCCCGCTTTGAGCACGTCGTTGGTGTCTGTGGTTACGTCGCCGTGGATTGGAAAGACGGCAACTTCAATCCGTGGCGCCTTTACCAGTCTGCCGAATATACCATTGCACAGGGTCTGCGCCGTCTTCACCAGTCGGTGGCAACACACAAGGTGTCATGTCTACCCGGGTGCTGCCAGCTGCTCAAGATCTGCGAGGAGACTTGTGGTCCGGAGGTTCTAATCGAGAAATTCGGTTACTGTCCAACCCTGACCGACGGCATTCTCACTCAGATCCGTGCCACCGCCAGCGAAGATCGTAACCACGTCTGCCATATGCTCTCTGCAAGACCCAAAGTGCAGACCCGTCAGGCACTGAAAGCGAAAGCTTATACAGATGTTCCTGGGTCTTGGTCGGTGTTCTTGTCGCAGCGCCGACGATGGACTCTGGGTGCCACGTCCAATGATCTGTTCCTTGCTACCGCCCCAGGTGTACAGTGGTTCGAGCGCATTCTCGCCGTGGTCAACGTCTCCACTTGGTTCCTGAACCTGTTTATTTTCGGTAGTGTGGCAAGTTTCATTGTCGCAGCTATGAGTATGTAATTTTCCCTCCTTTGATATTGGGCCACAGAACTAATTCGCGCTTAGGTGTCGCTCCTGCTATCCTGATGGCCTTTGTCTCGGTAATGCTGGTCCCTGTAGTCTATTACTTGTGCATTCCTCTCTGGTTGTGCTCCAAATGGCTGGACCGAATTCAGTTCTGGCTTGGATGCTTGATGTACATGTTCTGCGGCCCCTTCCTGAACATATCTGTCCTGGTGTATGCCTGTATATACATGGACTCTTTCGGCTGGGGAAAGACTCGGAAAGTTATTACAGAAGGCGAGCCCGAAGAACCGAGTCAGCAGCAGGTACAACTTCACGGTCATGATGCTACGTTTGGGGAAGCAAAGTCGGTGTCTATTTCGCTCGCCAAACCTTCGCGGGCTGTCATTGCCACCGCCCGATCTTGAAAATTGCGATGTCCCTCTCTCTCACTTTCCTTTACTAATTATATATTTTTCCCCTTAATCACCTCCTCGATTGCTTCGAGTCTCACAAAAATTCATGAGTCGCACAAGATTTGTTTCATTTTTTTTTTTACCAGATGGATTGATACTGAATACTATCGATATACTTAATTATAAAATATAATTGAAGCCTTGTGGTCGGAAAGTTTCAAGAGATTTAGCCCTTTGAAGACCCAAGAACGGGTCCGTAAAACCTCAGCTAGGTTACAAAGATAGTATATTGGAGTGTAATTCATAATGTATTGAATAAATTAGATGTCATGATGTAGAAAAATTTCGCGTAAATGCGTAAATGTACAGGATATCAACCAAACATAAGCTTCTCAAGCAATCCATTGAACGAAAAGGAAAAGGACTCCAACGGCCAGCACCCACGACGGAAAATAAGCCACTTGTGCGTATGCCCGGCTGCCGCCGCTGGTTTCCCCGGTGTATACGGTCTGGTTAGCCGTCATGTTCGTCTGTTGTGAGAAGAAAAACGTCGAGGCTGACCCGTTCCGCGCGGCGGCGGCCCCCGGGGCACCCTTCTGGTCGGGAATCACGCAGATGGCGTTCGCGGCTGAAGGATCCTTGCAGCGCGTGTTGTAGTCAGACGTGCGCTGGGCATCGCTGCTGTTGAAATAGGCTTTGAAGTAGCTGATTGTCATGACAGCGTCTTCGGACGGAGGGCCTTGGGTCCATCCAGACGCGCCGTTACTCCAGTGGCTGAAGAGGATCGCCGTGCGCCAGGACGGGACGTCGGTTATGAGGTCCCAGAGCCATTTACCGTCGAAGTAGAACGAAACCCGATTGGGCATCCAGTCGAAGCGGTATTCGTGAAACTCATCGGTGAGCGCGACAGGGAGGACAGGACGGCCGTATGTGGATGTGTTTGGTAACTGATAGCCGTCGATGATGGATTGAATGGAGTGGAAGACAAGGTTGATTGGGGAGGACGGGTCGTCCGACCCGGAGAGAGTGTAGTTAGTGTACTGCCGAGAAAGCAGCTCGATGTCGATCTCTTGAGTGTCGTTGTAATACTAGAGGGACAAGTTAGAAAACAGATTCTCGCCCAGGGGACGGGGAATCATGGCGAAGGGGAGGAGGGGAGGAGGGGCCAAATACCGAGAAAAAAGCACTGCAGGTGCCATTCACGGGAGTCAATTTCATCGCGGTGCGAAAAGAGCCATATTGGATATCATCGCGAGTCGTTTTGACCTGGCCACAGGGGACCCGCCCGTTGGACTGAATGTCGCCGCGTACCCAAAGTTGGAGACCGGCTGTGCCGCCGCGCTGGCTCTCTCGCGGCTCGTCCAGCGAGTAGTTATACTTGAGCGGATTGGATACCACGTTGGCAGCGGTAAAGTTCTCGCCGTAATACCCCGAACTGGGATCATACGAGGTCCAGTACCTTTGGATCTCCCAGTCCGTATCGCTTGCGATATCCTGGATTGTAAGGAAGTCCGATTCAATCAGATCAGTAAAAACCTCGTGTTCGGTGGCGGATGTGGAATTGACGGAATAACCACATTCACAGTCGGCCGCGACTATCGCTCGAGTCAGAAGGGCAAAAAGAAGTAAACATGGAAATAAAAATGAAAACGGAGGACTCGATCATGGCAAAACTCATAAGGGATCTCTCACCTGGCCAGATCAGCTCTGACAGCAAACTTGCTGACGCCAAATAAACAATGCGATTGCTACGCATCACAAAAGAGCAGTCCGGGAATCGGAGCAAACGGTAAGCAGTAACAGCAACGGAGTCTCTAGTGTCGAGACGCCGACAGTCCTCTTGACTTTCTTATATGATTTGCAAAAGGGCTGGGCGCTCGGTTAGGCCGACAGCGTGTCGGCTCAGAAGCCCCGACACAGTTCGAAGTGGCGGAATTAGGTTTGGTTCGATGCCCCAAGCCACCGACTGTTCTGCGCTCCCCTCGCAGCGGCGAGGACCCACCCCGGGGCCACGCGACAAGACTGCGGTCGCTTAACACCACTAGTCAGTGCACCGGCGTGTTGGGAGGATTGTCGTGCTAGTCTCGCAGGAATCCTCGTGGCGTGTAGGTGACAGCCGGATCACAAAATCTATTGAATTTAGTAACAGAGGTTGACTAATTAAGTTAAATGATATTCGGTATACCAGCGACAGTGAAAATACACTAGCCTTAAGTAGAATGATAGCAGGATCCACTACTAATGTATAGATTCTCTTTTTGGTAACAGGGCTCACTTTTCTTACGAGAGTGGTGATTGTGCTAGATCAACAATAGGCTACAACCATGACATAAACATAGAGAATTTACGACGTGAGGTAACACTCCGTACTGTCAACTCCGAGAACGTCGCTTGAGTTGTTGAAGTACTCATAGTATGAAGATATATAAGTTGCCCTGAGTCTCAAAAGATAAGCCACAATCTTCTCTAGGCTCTTCAAAAGACGACCGACGATTTTTGCCAAACTACATGGCCTCAATGGAGGGAATGCTAATCTAGTATACAGTCTGGACCAGGAAGTTTGAAAATATCCCCCTAGATTAAATAATACTCTGCTAACAGAAAATGCTATCTTATACACACATACTGATTAGTGAACCAGGGCGCTCTACGGCAGGCCTGGCTCACAGACAGGATGAGACCGATCAACGAACAAGCCAACAAACCACCACACACCACAATGATGGCCTCCCGAAGAGAAAACAGACACTGTCTGCACGAAATTAGTCAAAGAGTAATATTTCTCCGTATCGGGGAATGCGAAGTTATATCCGTGAAGACTGTGTACTATGAAATATTCATATCTTCATTGTGAGACCATCTATCGTAGGCCTTTTTCCCACTATAATAGCTAGTGTACCATCCACCAGCTTTGACCACCCCTCCACACTGTTGCATATGTTTTTAATTACACGATTGAGAATACTAGCATCTGGCTTCGACCAAGTATCTTAGGCAGCAGGTGGTAGATACTTTCTTGTAGTCTCAGTAATACCCATAGTGAATGAATAGCTCTGAAATGGCTTGAATAGTATGTCTTTCAGCCAGAGCTAATAAATTTTAATTAAGATTAAATAGGGCAATCGGGAACCCTAGAGAATAGGAGGCTAACTACACTAGTGCGCGTATACGTGATTGGTTATTTGAATGGATATTTTTTTTATTGACATTATTGACGTGATGAATAATAATAGAAAATGGTAGACGATAGGGATATGTTCAAACTTCCTGGTCCAGGCTGTACTGTCATTCCAACTAAACCTCAGATTTCGCAGCGATGCTCTCCAGATGCGTGGCCTGCTCGCCGCTACGCTTCTCATTAGCCTCGGTCTCAAATTGTACGAGATTTCCAGGCTTGGAGTCGGCAACGTCGCGGACATCAGTGTAGTGCACGGAGGGCACGAAGCCGACCGACTTCCAGGCAACAGGGACCTTGGCGTAAAGCTCATCGACTTGCTCCAGCGACAGGCCCTTGGTCTCGTAGATGCAAGTGTAAACGAAGATAGCGCAGATAAAGCAGAATCCTCCCCAGATGAAGAATACCTTGGACTGGAGGTTGGCGTTGCCAGGGCCGCTGTTGACCATGTAGGGTGTGGCGTAGGCGATAGCCCAGTTGAGCAACCAGTTGGTGGCGGTAGTTATAGAAAGGCACTTGGCACGGGCCTTGAGCGGGAACAGTTCGCCAGTCACAACCCAGGCGACGGGGCCCCACGAACTGGCGAAGAAGAAAATGTACACGCACACGAAGGCGATCAGCACCTTGTTCGCGACAGTGGAGCTAGTAGCTGTGCCAACAATGGCGACAATTAGCTGTGAGACGCACATGCCAACGGCACCGAACATCAGGAGTGGGCGGCGGCCCCATTTCTCAACCATATATAGGCCGGGGAAGGTGGATACAACGTTGATGATATTAGTGATCAGGGTGATCACGAAAGAGTTCTGGATACCGGAGTTTTGGAAGAAGGTGGTACCATAGTAAACTATGAAATTGTAAGCAGGGAATTTGAATTCAATGGAGAGATGCACATACAGATGAAGTTGACACCCGCAAGTTGCTGAAGAGCCTGGACGGCACAGCCAGTAGCAAGACGTTTGCCAATCGAGCCGCGCATGATCTCAAGGTATGTGGCCTTGCCCAACCGAAGCTCAAATTCATGGTTGGCCTGGATCTCAGCCAATTCCTCAATGATAGCCGAGTCGTTGACATCAATACGGCGTAGACGGGCAAGAGCTTTGGCGGCATCCTCATGTCTATCCTTCTTAACAAGGAACCGAGGAGTCTCGGGAAGGATGATCATTCCAGCCACAAGAATAATCGCCCAAGCGAATTGCACTGCGACAGGAATACGATAGCAGCCGGTATCCATGCGGTCCTTAGTCGAGTTGTTCACGATGGCGGCCAGCAGTAGACCGAAAGTAATTGCCAGCTGGTAGGCACCCACAATGGTGCCACGAATCCACTTTGGAGCAGTCTCAGACTGATATAGGGGAACTGTAATATATATTTAGTTTTCGCCTCGAATTGGTATTGATAATTCCAATATCACTCACTAGTTGCCGAAAGAAGACCAACACCCAGGCCGGCAAAGAATCGACCGGCCACAAACAGCGGAATCGAGACTGATGCTGTTTGCAGGATGACGCCAAAACAGAAAACAAAAGTATTCAGAATCATAGCCATCCGACGGCCAAAGTAATCCGCAATAGGAGCTGCACCAAGTGCACCGAAGAAAGTACCAGCGGAAAGGAGGGAAACGATCATGGAGGATTGGGACGATGTGACATCGGGAAGGTGGTCGGCAGGGTTAATATAGCCAGTGGAAAACATCTCTCGCCATTTCTTCATGGCAAGAATACCGCTGATAGTACCGGTGTCATATCTAGAAGTCTCCATGTTAACGGTGGACGGAAACGAGGCTCATTATCAACGACGGCAGCGACATACCCGAATAGAACACCACCAAAAGCAACGAAGAGACCGATGATAATTGCCGGGGAGGCTGAGCCCACGGCATCGTCTGGCTTCTTCAAGGCGAAGCCCATCGTGACAAGAGCGAATAGAATGGAAAAAGTAGGGTGGAAGGGCAAGAGTAATAGTAATAGGACTTGGTCACTGTGGATTATATCAAGAATCGAAGACTGCACAGCAGACGCAAGGTACAATAGAAGTCGAAGTAGTGAGAGGCGATTTAACAAAAGAAGCAAATCGAAGCCAAGTCTCAAAAAGCAAAATAAACAGGACGGGGGTGACCTTTTGTACTCCACTGCTCTTAATCAATGACCAAGAATTCGAAAATAAACCCGAAGAAAGCAAAAGCGGCCGGGGTCAACCCGGACCAGCCAAGAGGGGCTATGGCGGCGCCGAAACCATCATACACTCTGCTGGGGAGAGGAAGTACCCCAGCCAAAAAAGAAAAAAAAATAAAAATAAAAAAGGGTCTGGTTGATCTGCTTTGCCCACCCTCCATGTTTTCTGCGCATGGGGGGTGGGTTAGGGTTGGAGGAGTGTGGAGAAAACGGAACGCGGCCAAGCCAATCCGGCCACACTGCGCAGTGGGTTGGGGGGCGAGCCCGGGACTGGTAATTGGTTAGGAGGCGCATATTAACTCTCTGGTTTGAGCGTGAATATGCCTAGATGTTCTGGAAAGGGGTAAGGCAATCAAACGGTAATCAGAATAATCTAGATTTTGGGCGGTAGAGGCTCTGGGATCGGCATTGCCTCGTCTCGGAATGTCCAGAGTCGACGGATTTCACTGCGTTCGGCGTATCACTCTCAATCAAGGATATCAAAGGATATTCCTCGTGACCAAAGGTCTAAATGTAGAACAAAAGCACATGACCAAAACAAATATTGTATAATAGGGCCGTGGAGTATGTGTCAGGCAACTGAAAACGGGGGTTGCCGAAAACAGCAGAGCGTTTTGGTGGCGATCGCGATCGGCGAGCCGCATGGAGAGGGAAACAATAAACGGGCATCCCTTGTTGGCTTATGGCTAGCCACACCACAAGCCATTGTTGTAATTATCATGATCCCAGACCATCTTAAGAAGCACAATGGGCGATAAATCAACCATGGAATACAATGAAGTCAGAACCGGGCACTGTGTGGTGTCGTGCTTGTATTCATTTCACAACTATAGAGGTCGATGTCACTAGATGGCACCTATTGGCCCTGTCCAACCTCAATCTCCGGATTTACACCTCCGCACACCCCCAGACAATGGTCAGAAATCCCCAGAAACACAATCTGAGTGATCGGAAGATGGTTCATTGCTCGATGAGGGGATTGATCAACAACAATGTCGTCAACACCATGAGCAAAGCGGTTGACCGGGGTCTCCAGAACACGACCCCGCCCCTCTCGCGTTTCACCGGAGCCCAATTGAGAATATTCGGGGGACTATGAAACCTTCTTGGGTCGGGCTCGGGTCGTATCCACTTCCACGCAGACTCCCCGAGTTACATTTGAGGGAGCACGCCCCATATTCCTCGACGCCCGATTTAGACCGGAGACAATAGCCAAGACAAAGAGATAATAACAAGCAGGGGAGTAGAATGTTGACAGCGGGCGCAACGCTGCTGCACCCCCTGATAAACCCAACGCAAGGCCTTCTTCCGATGGGGGAAGTTGCCCAGCGATTCAATCTTGACCCCGGCCCTTTCCCTCCAAGCCCGGAGACGATCGGCCTTGAACTGCAACCCCGGCCCGCGTTCTGGGGACTTGGCTGAAGCCTAAACACTCAATGCGGGATTTTTCCCGCGCCGTGGATTGGTCAGGTTACCGGTGGCTCTCCGAGATTTGCCCGCTTCTCCGGCGAAACCTGATGGCCCCAAGCCCGGGAACTCATTCAGGCGCTGGGCTGGCACGGGTTGGTGCTGGCCGGAAGCCGAGTTGGCTCGGGCTCGTATTGGTCGTAGTTGTGGACGGGAATGTAGCGGAACCCGAGGATATGGAGGGATCGAGCCGGACTATGGTTCTGTACGTCTGAGCGTCCTGGAACCCCATATCATCGACTGCCAACGACTTTCTATGGGGAGTTTAATAATGATTAAGTGCATGTATTGTTTCCGGAAGAATGGTCTTCTATTGTCATGTACAAAAATTCAGGCGCTTGGACGGACGAGATGTAGGGGGAAAAAACAACGCTGGAACCAGCTACCAGCGCCAGATCATAACGAAATATGTGGTCAACACGACTATAGAGACGACCTTGACTGAGTGAACAAAATGCCGGGCGACAAGGTCCGCTTTTCCACGAAGACCGGATGTCGCACGGGCAGGGTGGAAGAGGCCCTTGTCTTTCGAGTTGGTCACGACGTCGTCACCACCTAGACCGCGATAAGTATCGTGGTATGCCTTGGCGCCGGGGTATCGGGGGGAGGGTGTGATTCCGCCACGGCTGGCGAGACCACCCAGTGATGGAAAGGTAGAGCTGGACGTACCGGATGTTTGGTACTGGTGACGAGGAGAGTGAGCGCGTTGCTCGGAGAGGGGGAGGACAGAGCCGTTGCTTGCGGATGACCGGGGGGCGAAGAGGACGGTATATACGGAATGGAGAAGCAGGATGGTGATGCTGAGACCTAGTACAGAGGCATAATGGATAAAGATGCCCAGCTGGTCGGGGAGAAGACAAAGGTGGTTTTGGATGCTCGGGGCAGATCCTTTGGAAATGGACTCGCCGGTTACAGGATCTATAGGGTTCCAGAGGCTCGTAAGAACGAAGCCTGGATGGCGAACTCCCATTGCCCATGACAAACTCTTGACTGTAATTTCATTCGGGGAGCCGTTGAATTCCCGGTGAATAACTTCACAGTAGTCATGGTCATCTCCCGAGTAGACTTGAACGACATTCGGACCAGCTTTGGAGACGAGCTCATTCGAAATGGTTGGCGTCAGCACATTCTGATACTGGTATCCCCCGGCGATCTTGAGTGAGTTGGGCTCATCCACTTCCAGGTTTGGCGCAGCCGGTGGATAGCGTTCTCGAAGGGGACCACAAGGAGTGGCTGGTTTGCGGTAGAGCGGGACATGTGTGAGAAGAATGGTAGGAAACCCTGCAGCTTTCGGCTCGGGGAGATGTTCCACCGCATCGTCGCCGGGTTCTAAGATGCGGTGCTTGAAAAGCATATCCTCTGTGAGGTTTTGTAGCACACGAAGTTCCTCGGTCTCCGCCTTTGCTTTGAAAATAGCTAGTTTGTTGAGGAAGTCACCTGGTTCCTTCCAAATGGGGATATGTAGTTCGTTGTGATCGCTGGAGCCAATGGTGGAAGGGGAGCTGCCAGTCAATGGATCGGGTTGGTCCATGGCACTTAACGATACAGTATCAACCGAGACGAAGGTATGATTTCCAATTATATCGACTCGATTTCCATTGCCAAAATAGCTTTGAAATCGTCTGCGAACGGGCTCTTGAATTCCATTCGCAAACCCAAGATCATGGTTGCCTGGAAGACTAGCAATAATCCTGCGGCCACGTCCATCGACTGCAGCAGGGTTCTGCTGCAGCCATGGATCTAGGAAGATTTTCATGAATCGGCCATATTCCTTCTTCCAAAACGAATCCTTGATCTTCCGATAGCGCTTTTCTGGACTGACAGTACTCTGCGTAGCCCATTCCCTTCCACCGTCAAACAGGTCACCCAGGAACAAAACGGAATCCGGAGTCAGATCTTTTTGGATAGATGAAAACGAGCGTCGGAGATACTGGTCGGTATATTTGACTGTCAAGGTCGAAAGGGGCCACGGCCGCCCGGGGTACGTGTGGGGGTCAACGAGCTGCGGGTCGGCGACAAAGGCAACATGGTGCGGCGTTGCGCCTTCAGGCTACAGAGCAATCAATATTAGCCTATCATACAAATAAAGTCATTCCAACGGGAAGTAGCGAGGCGAGCGAAAAGCATACCCATTTTTCCCAACTCTCCCAAACACACTTGTTGATGGCCTCCTTGAAGACTGTCCGCTCGCCCCACCACAGAGTGAAGAACCACAACCAGACGACCGCATTGGCGACTGTGAAATATCTCTTGACGAATGATGTCGCTAAACCTCGGACAAAATTGCTTCCCTTCGATGGCCCCGCGCGAAAGCTCGCAGCACCTTCTGCGATCCATTGTTTTGCCGTGGCTGGTAGCTTCTCCAGTCCCTGGTTCAAGAGACCTCTTGATCTAGCTGCAGAGTTCGTTTTGAAGGATGGAAGGGAAGAGGCGCCCGCATTGTGTGAATAGGCGTAGCTCATGGTTGGCCGCGGCCGTCGAGGCGTGCCTAGGTGGGAGATGTAACTTGGCTTCTTCGGAGCATGGGTGGGTCGAATTAAGGAGAGGAAGACCACTGCATGCTCAGCGATCGCCGAAGCAGCACAGAAGAATAGATGGTGAAAAGCTCAAGGTGTCAAACGAGGGAACTTTCTTTTCCTCGCTGCACGGCGCGTCAGGGCCCGGATCAAGGGGTTGGTTGTTGGTGGTCGAGGCCACTGTCGATCGCGGAGGCGGCCAAAGGGTCACGTGGGGCGTCGGTACATTAAAGCTGAGTCAACAGAAGTTGAATCTGCCGCGATGAGAATGACTGCTGACCAATTGGTCTAAAGAAGTCAAAGCAAATCAAATCAAATATGGGTGGAGATGTCTGCCTATAGAGAAGAGTGGTTGGGAATGGCTCTGCGGGGTACTTTGCTCAATGATTACGGTCGGAATGCGAATCCACCGGATCCGGAGGGTAGTCGATTGAAGGATAGATAAAAATACATGCACGATGGGGAGGGTCGGATATCAGAATGAAACAGACGCCAGTGGAAGAATAACAAGTCCAATGCCATGCCATCAATCATCTCAAGGAAACCAATTAATCGGAGGCTTACCTCCTTCTAGAACAATCATGCCATTCAAATCAATATGGGTGTTAAGGGAAATAACCCGGGGGAACGAAAAAGAGGAAACAGGCGGAGGACGTAGGTGGGTAGAGATATGGGTGTATCGTGGTGAAAGTGATGGGCACAACCGAAAAACAAAATCATTCGGTGTTGTAGAAAGGGAAAAAAACGAGTGTAGAAATGAATCAAGTAGACTTTTTGGGGCAACATTGTCCACCCCGGGCACAGTTGTCATCGCACTCTAGGAGGCAGGCCTGAGGAGAGCCCTCCCGAACGCTGGCAGCACGGCTGGGCAGACTGGGGTTCTCGGTGCCAGCGAACGAGGAGGAGCCTTGGGTGTGGTTCTGGTTATCCTCAATGTCGCTTCCTGGGGCGAACTCAGGCTGGATAGTGGAAGAGTGGATACCATAGGCATGGAGGCATCGGCGAACCTGTCGTGCAAGGTGCATATACCTCTCTGAGCCCTCATCCTTGATTTCCGTATCGACCTTGATATGGATCGAAGCGACAATCTTGGTATCACTTAGCTGCCAGACGTGTAGGTGGTGAGACCCCAGGACGCCAGGGAGCCGTTCGATGTCCTCCTTGATGTGGTCGATGCTCAAGCCAGGAGGAACTGCCTGTAGCAGGATGCGCGAGGCAGCCTTGCAAAGGGGGATCGCAGAGGCAAGAATAATTAGCGTGATCACAAGGGAAATGCCCGGGTCAACATAGAAGCGCCATTTATAATCAGTCAGCCAGATTACCAACGCGGAGACAATGACACCAATATTGCCAAGGGCATCGCCCATAACGTGGAGGAAGACGCCGCGCATGTTGAGGTCATGACCGTGGCCGTGGCCGTGGCCATGGCCACCCTTCTGGTCTTTGGGTTTGGGTTGAGCATGGTTGTGGCTCTTGTGAACATCATTCTCATTAGAGTGGGGGTGATCGGGGACTTTGAAGGGGATGCCATTCTCATCGGTGTAGTTGGAGGCACGGTCACGGTTGCGAAGGAGGCCTGAACGCTCGGTTGGGACCTCATCATCGCGGCTGTCTGAGTCTGATGATTGTTCATTGTCAAATTGCCCCCGGCTAGCGGCGATGATATCCTGCCGCAACGTCGCGGGGTGCACATATATATCTTCCACGCTGTTGAAAGCACGGGCGGTCGAACTGCTGTAGCGTCGAGAGCCACGGCTCTGGGCGTCCGTGGTGCGGCGGGTCCGTGAAGGAGATGATGGTTCAGTAGAGGAGTGGGGATGTTGGTCGGAGAGGAGGCTTTCAGGTCGACCGGCTCCTACCATATTCTCAGGCATGATCGCTGCCGCGTTTCCTCGCTCGTCTGCAATGACCGGGTCACTCTCATGGTGCTGGTCACTGAAACCCCGTTCTGCCACATCCTCCTCATCACCGTGTCCGTGTCCATGCCCGTGGTCGTGGCCATGCCCGCCGTGGGAGTGGTCATGGAAAAGCACCAGGCCAATGATGTTCGATAAGAGTCCACAGCAGCCGACGATGCAGACAAACTTGGGATTCTGCACTTCCTGCGGCTCCACTAGTCTCTGGATGGCCTCCAAGAAGATCGACATACACAAGGCGACCAGGAAAACGCCATTGACCAGTGCACCGAGGGTTTCCGCGCGTTGCCACTATCATCCAAACACATGAATTGTCAGACTGCGATCCAAGACGTGAACTTGCAGCAATTATGGAGCTCACTTACACCATAGGTATACATCTTCGAGCTTGTTTCACGATTGGCGACTCGAACAGCCCAGAGTCCGACACAGAGTGAGATGACATCGTTTAACTGATTTGCTGGTCAGGAGCAGGTCGGGAGACAGGTTGCACGGGGGGTCCGTAAGGCGTTGCGCTGCGATATGCGACTTACCATGTGAAAGGAATCGGCAACCAAGGCAAGGGAGTGGACAGCATAGCCTAGCAACCAGAGCAATCAGCAAATCAGCCACGATCCAGGTTGGGAGTGTTCTGGGATAGGAACGCGAGATCACTCACCTGTAATGAGTTCCAGCAAAAAGAACGCAGAGTCAATCACCAGCAGGATGATGATCCTGTTCGTTTTGGAGAGCCTCATGGTGGCAGTTGGGCTCGGTCGGGCGCGTTCACTGGCCCTTGACCAGAAAGAAGGATGTGCAGGAAATCAACCAGTGTCAAGGAGAGAGAGCTGGAAGAAAGGGAGAAGAGAAGAGGGAAAGGAGTAGATGTCGCGTAGGAGGGGGTCGAAAGGGAAATTTTGCGACGCAGGCGATAGCGTCTCGGTCGGAGAGGTGCATCCGCTGACGCACGAGTGGAGCCCCCATAACGGCCGGAGCACCCTCCGATCACGTCCGGCGTGGCGTTATCGTCACTGCGATCGACGGGTAGTTTGGCGGGGTGCTGGCCCGTGGGATTTGGTGAGCAGTTGGTGATCAGATGGTGATCCGTTGGTGATAGCCCTGGAAATCAGCCCAGCGCTTATCGCTGGACGCGGGGGTTGTCTCGATGGCCTCAAAAGCAAGCCCGATCGATGCTGGATGCAGTTCTACGGAGCCTGTCCTTGCTGTGCGAGGCCATGCGATCGGCCAGCCCTAAACAATCATCCGGTTAGTCGTTGGTAGTCCTTGCTAGGCTCGTGTCTAGGCTGTCTTTTTTTTTTCTCTCTGTGGGTCTTTGGGTCTTTGGCAAGGCTACTACTGCCTTTGACCCTATTCGGGTTCGGTTCTTGTGTCGGAGTTTCATAACTCCCCACCAGCCTCGACCTTGAAGCTTTTTAACCATCGCGATCGAGCAGCGACGGCCTTTGCGCAGCGCGTGTTCCACAGCTGACAGTCTACAGTTCCCGTGGAACTTCACGTACATCGTATTCTGTTTGACGCAGCGCTCATTGTCAATCACTCCCGCTTTCAACACTTCCACAATATGAGCTAGCAATGACAAAACTAGCACCAGAAACCAGACCCGGTTCCTCGCGATCCCGATGGTGATTTAGGCGACCTCCCTAGACTGGCAATCCCAGTCCACCTGCTTGAGAGCTGCTAGCGCCTACCATTTCTATCCACTTCCAACTGCCGCACATTTAGGAGTCTTGGTAGAGGGGCAAGAATGCTGCCAGTTCGACTATGGTCTTGCGCCACGGGAGCAACGGCGGGAAAAATAGCACGCTAGAGACTGCACCGGTGGAAAGCTGCCTGAGACTGGGACCGATTTGGCCCCCATCCCTCCCCGTATATCATCGAACTGCCGACCCACAGTCGGCGTTGGCCGATTCCAAGAGGGAGTATAATTTCCATTTGTTCATAGGAGACCATTTACAGCTCCCTTTTGCACCTGAACCTTGTAGCCTTTTATTGAAACAAGATTAGAACTAGACCTCCATAACTCCGTCACGTGCTGTTATGAAATATATCTACTGGTTGAGTAGAAAGCCTGTCAATTAGATGGGGAAACAAGCACCAAGTCAGATGACTTCATGGCTGTCTCTTGGGGTCGTGGATCCCTCCTTACTTGCTAATTTATATCCTGGTTTCAGCAACTACGGCTAGGTAGGGTGCTTGAGCGGTGGTTGTCTGATTGCTGCGCTGAAATGTTCTTTTCTCATACTCTTACCTGACTTTACTTTCTTCCTGTGACTCCCCACCTCACCCCAAACACTGTTTTCACACTGTCTTATTCCTAACCTGCAGCATGACGAATTTATCCAAGCACCTGAGTCGCTCTACTACCAGATATACCTTTGACCTAAAACTCGAAACTTGAGGAGACTGGATCTGAAGTGAACTAAGCTAAAAGCTAATAGCTTTGAGGGGGAGATAGTCCACTTAAGTCCGGTACATAAACTTCGAGTCTAAAGCGAGACAGAACTACCGAGAATAGAAGAGGATTTAGATACTTATGCTTTTGTGCAATCGATATCCTTCAGAGTTGGAGACTCTACATGTGGTATTATTATTACCTCCTTGTGAAGGTGGTCTGACATTTTCTTTCCTATATTCTTGACCCATTAAGAAGAAATGGACTTCTTTCGAAGAGTCATAATACGTTCAGTGCTTTCCGAGAAATCATTTAGAGATAGTGAGCCATCCTGTAGGGCTGCAACCATGCCACCGACGATAGCCTCCCCCTGTGAAACGTTCCTGGCAGAGGCAAGAATTATATCCATACCAGCCTGACCAGCTAAGACTGCACGAGCTGCATCATCACCGAATGCTTCAAGTGCACCGGCCTCAATGGCATCCGTGATTGTGACACCTTTGAAGCCCAGTCGGCCTCGCAATTCATCTTGTACCCAGGATTGGCTGAGTCCTGACGGGTACTTAGAATCCAATGCGGGATACAAAGCCCATGAGCTCATTACCATGTCGACTCCAGCAGTAATAGCCTCTTTATAAGGGGCTTCATCAACAGACCGAATCTCGTCAAGTGTCAAGTTGATAGTGACGGGTTCTTCATCGGTATTTTCATTTTTCCCTGCTGCGCCCAAACCTGGAAAATGCTTCACTGTTGCAATAACTCCAGCATCTTGCTGCGATTGAATAAAGGCAGAACTACACATACCGACCAGGGTAGATGTGTTTCCGTAAGAGCGCCCATAGTTGTCGAGGAAGTCTCCTGTCTCGCGATACACACCAAGGACTGGGGCAAGATTACAATTCACTTGATAGCTCTGAAGAGCACTTGCAGCATCGTTTCCGCTCTGTATCGCGGTTGTTCTGGGATTTTCCGACTGGCCAACCTCTTTGGCGCTTTTGACAGGTCCGCCAGGTAATCGACGAACTTCACCTCCTTCCTGGTCGGTCATTATAAGGAGCGGAGCCCCTGAATAGGCAACGCTTTGTTTGTAAGCCTCTTGAAAGCCGGTGATTACCGTGCTAAGATTATCGCCTACATTCTCCCCGAAGAGAATGATGCCGCCCACCTTCCCTTGCTTGATCAAGTCCAAGAGATGGTCGGAAGGCTGAAGTCCAGGATACGAGAAAACAACATGCTTGCCTACTTGAACTTCCAAATCATCAGAGCTGGAAGCCCAAGCAGAGTGGGCCAAAGAGAGACAGAATGTAAAAAGTTGGGTGGTCGTGAAGAAGCGCATTGTGAGAGAAAGTCACGGACACGAATCTTTTTTTTCGGCTTGCGTCAGCGATCAAGCTATATATGGCTAATCTCGCATTAAGTACATACCTTTGGACCCATATTTCCGGTTCTCGAGTATAGATTCTCTCACTTTATCCGAGGTCCCTGCAGGTACACCCACGGCGGGCGTTACATTGATCGGCACTCGCCAAACTTATTTTGGGAAGAGGGGTCTCTCTCACGATACGAGGTTACTTTAATCAAAGGCTCTTGTCAGGTTTCAACTTCGCTTAGAGGATGATTATTCTCCACCTCTTGCAGTAGATGACAGTAGGTACACGGAACATTATGTTATAACTACTGAGGTACGATATCACTGGTGGCTGTTTGGATATCTTGTGTGTGAAAAAAAGCTTTCCTTGTGTAAATGATTAGCAAAAACACTGTTTTTGAGAGTTCGAGAAGGCTAGATTAAACCTTGAATGCCAGAAGGTCATATGGCGATTGTGCGGGCTTCAATTATCTACTTAAAACACCAATCCGGTAGATCTCACTTGGCGAGTCTTATCGCAATTGCTGCATTCTTATTTACAACAATGTTAGATGTTTGTTTGAACGACGACATGCATTAACGATGTTTGCATAGAGTGCCTCTGTTATTGAATGACAGAAAATAGAGTGAGAATATGGCCAGAACGAGAAAACTGTAGTCTGTATCGTTAAATATTTACAAACGTCACCCATGTCAAACCATTGTCGCGACCGAAGCTGGAGGACAGTACATTGCAGTGGGTAATAGAGCAGCATCCTCTCTGACATTTGGATTGAATCGCCGCGAACCTGTTATTTTGTCCCCCCACTGTCAATGCCACTAATTTTAGTAGCTTCATTGCACTATTTCCTTCCATGTGGGGGCCATTGAGCCGGCCCGAGAATGATCAATAGTGCATAATACGAAAGATCTTCCTCTCCAGATACGAACATGAATTGGAATCAGCTTGAACACGAAACGTATCAATGAATGAGATATCTGGAAACCCCACCAAAGTTAGGAATCAATTTGTTCGATTATACGAATAGATATTATTAGACACTATCTGGAAAATGGTTGCAAAACTATAAAAAGCGACTAGAGTTCGTCAAGGCTAGGTTCTAGAACAGAAGCTAGCATTTTATTGTTCAATACAGAAATAATAAAAAGCTCCAAATATAACATTTAAAATGCAAATTCTTACATCTGCAGTAGCTCTCTTTGCTGCACTATCGCACTTCCTCATGGTCCCTCTAAGAACAAACTTGCAGCTGCCACCTCGACCACCATCAACCTTATAAGCGAGCTCCAAGGGTTTCGTGAGGACTTTTACACTGACAGTACGGGACATACTACCATCGCTAAGTGCAAATAACGGAGAAGAAAGAAGGTCTAGGTTCTCATTGTATGCAGGGCTTGGCCATGACTGCGAGGAGAACGGAGATTGCACTAGCATCCACGACCCCATTTCGAAGGCTGAAGAAAAAAGACTTTATTCGTGTGACGTAAAAGCCTTCGAGAAGTGTGTTTGCAATATGGAAAACTCCGTATCTCAATGCAAATCAGTACGTTGCTCTCGTCAGCTTCGCCTATAACTCGGGCTGCGGCGGTGTCGAGTCCTATTGGCATGATGATATGACCCAGAAGAACTTCAAGGGTGTATGCAAAGCTCTCCCATACACCAATACTTTAGGAGGTCAACTAAAAGGCCGTCGAGCCAAAGAGGGCGCATACTGTATGCAAGCATCTAATCAGACTTCTGGCTACTAGAGAGCCCCCAAATTCTCAATTTGCCTCTGGTTATTCTCATCGATTTGGTTTATCCATATAGTGTCTTTTGTCATCTTTTCAAATACTTTCTTTCGCTACTGAATAGGAAATGAGGTTGAGATGAGAGTAATAACAGCATTCTGAACAATGCCTGATGCCAAAACCTTCTAATCAATAAGCCAAACTGAGTGCGTCCGAAGTCATGGGTAACCATGAGAGGTGGCCTGCTCTTCTATTACTGGCCACTGATCATTGAACATCAATGCATTGTAGAAATAGACGGCGGTCTGTCGCGTCGACAAAGAGTAGTCGTGGCGGCTTTTGTTGAGCTTCGGCTTTTTCTACAAATGCCCGCAAGGCTTGTTGCAGAACGTGTCCCGCGCAGTAGATGTTCGGCGTTAATGTGTTTTGCCGAGGGGGATCAACAAAAATTTACCGGTCGCGATCCCGTCGTTCGTTTCCCTTAACTTTGCTATCCAGTCACTCTGAGTTCAAAAGCAGCCCTTTTAAATTTTTCATCGGGTTTATGCATCCTTCCTTTACGAATTGAAAGAAAAAAATTTCGTTACTTGCGCCTCGGCACACGTGTTACTCACGAGATATCATGTCCACACGAACCGTGACCAGGCTTGCGGCTTCCAGGGTCCCGTTGGCCTTCGAATTACACAGCCCGAGTTCGGCATCCAGTCGGATTCGCCAAAATCCAATTCTCTTTCTCCACGGGTTTCTTGGTTCTAAGAGAGAAAATAGACAGATGAGTAGGTAAGACGAAGTCAATTCAATTCATACGCTGCAACTGAAGACGATACTGATTTCACGACCTGTAAGGCAAATCGCTCAAGATTTGTCGCGAGAAGTATACACTCTGGTACTACCTTCCATGCTTCTAAAATTGACACAGTCTCAGTAATAAGAGAGCTAATAGAGATCTAGGATTTGCGGAACCATGGAGACTCTGGGCACCACCCCAAGCATGACTATATGGAAATAGCTTTGGACGTTGAGTCCTTCATTCAAAAGCATCAAATACAAAGTCCAACAATAATTGGACACTCAATGTAGCTTCCACTCATACGGTGCGAACGCTATGAAGGAAGCTGACTCGAAAATCTAGGGGAGCTAAAACTGCCTTGACTGTCGCCCTTCACTCGCCAAACCTTGTTTCTAACATTGTTGCTGTTGACAACTGTCCAATTCATTTACCTTTGGTTGCAGACTTCTCAAGGTATTTGGAAGGTATGAAAGAAATAGACAAAATGCAAGTCCGAACCCATGTGGAAGCCGAGGAAATTCTTCGACGCTATGAACAGGTAAATTCAACTGTCATCCTCATGCACAGTATACCCGCACTGACAGCCGGAGATAGTCTGCAGCCGTACGATCATGGTTGCTAAGCAATTTCGTGAAAATGGATAATTCATCTAGTCTGAAATCCCGCGTACCTTTGGACATCCTGAGTAACGCCAAGGGCCCCTTAGGAGACTTTCCATACAGAAGTGGGGAAGCAGAATTTCGACAGCCTGTCTTATTCCTTCGCGCGCTTCAAAGTCATTACTTCCCGCAAACTGCTTTCCCAATCATTGAATCTTTTTTCCCTAATTCAAAAATCCTTGAGATGAACTGCGGCCATTGGATAGTTCAGGAAAAGCCGGCCCAGTTTAGGAAAGGTTTGTTAACAATGGATTGCCCCAAAAGCCACGGCGGTGCTAATCTATTTCTTTAGCTGTGGTCAATTTCCTACAGACACATTAAACTATGCAAGATCAGGGGCTTTTAAGTGGTTCTATACAGGAGACATGTACTATGAAAGAATCCTATGGAGGTAACTTGGAAAGGTTTGCTCGCACTATTAATAGATCGATAAAGGGCCCTCGAACACAATATTCCACGTGTGATTGTATTTATACAGAGAAAGATCCGTTTAATTTCCTGCGCTTGATATTGTCATGTTTAAAAGAATAGAATCTACTAATATGATTCTAAGAAATTATTAAATTTAAATACGGCGGGCTGTGATGCTTAACTGCCTTTGTCGCTCTAATCTTCTTCTTGCAGCCTCGGTGAGTGTACTGATCTGTTAGGCCGTTTACTGTGTACAATGGTTTAAATCTCCGCTTCGATTAGCCATTTTCGGCATCCAATTTACCGTCAACTAGCGTTGGGATGTATTCTAGTCATCAATATGGAATCCTTGATACCATCAATTGTGGAGATACTGAGCACTGTACCACAAAAATCGATGAATGCCGTGCTCTCAAAGTCACCGCAAAGGCCCGTTAAATTGGACTTGCAAACTATTGGCATATGTGATCTCCAAGGAGTTCTTACATCACATTTGATAGAACCTTCGGGTAGTTTGCCACGTGTCGGTGGCTACTCATAGAACCATTTCGGGCCTTTCCGTTCGCCTCTCTCCGGAATCGGGCAGATCCACAGCCCCACTACCGACAACTTCCATTTATGGAAGCTCCCAGGCGAAAGTCTTGGCTTTGCCTTTAAGCGCTGGCGCCTATCCAATAGCTCTTGAGATTTGAAGAAAACGTTTGCTGATGAAAAAAGGTTCTACGACCTATTGCTTATGGACCTTTCTCAGCCGTATTTGATTAGCAAGCGTTGATTTCTATTCCCCTGATTAGGAAGTCCATGGTAGAATGATCTGGCTGCGGACAGTCCGAGTTTGTGGTTTCAGTACTGGTTGATTGTTATATAAATCTCAAGTTTAGCGATTTTGTTTCCGGAGATGTTTGGAAATTCTATTCTTCCATTCTCATGGCTTTCCATACGCAATGCTCTCTACTCATACTCAACCGCAGGTCATCAGCATATGCTCAGACCAGAGGAATGGCTCTTCCGACATTTCTAATCTTGAAAGGTTAGGAAGGGAACGCCCACAATTATTTGGTGGAAGGTGGCCCGAGCTAGCATTCTGCTTTTCTATTGTCATGTCCCAAATATTGGCGGTATTTCATCCCATTCCTTCCATTATCAACAGCCTGCTAATTTGTCACGCCGAAGGAATTCTATATCACAGGATCAAATGTTCTCACGCCTATTCTTGTTAAAGAGCTAGGAATCCCCGCAGCGTCTACTATATGGCCAACAACCGCTCTTTCACTAGCAGTTACCTCCACACTCCTCATTTTTGGTCGTCTCACCGACATGTACGGAGGATATGTCATCTACAATGCTGGCGCAATCTGGCTGACCGTTTCCTCTATTTTGTGCGGTTTCTCACAAACTTGGTTGATGTTGATCATTTGTCGGGCTTTGCAAGGCTTGGCCCTCGGCGCTCTTCTTCCATCCGGCATGATGATTTTAGGCAGCACATATAGACCTGGCCCTCGTAAAAACTTCGTTTTCAGCATATACGGCGCATGTGCTGCACTCGGATTCTTTGCAGGCTTTTTCTTTTCCGGCTTATGCGGCGAATACTTGAATTGGCGATGGTATTTTTACCTCGGTGCGATACTTGCTGCCATCATGTCCATATCCTCTGTTTTCTCTCTCCACCGTGACTATGCTGAGAAAATAAAACTCGGGATTCGCATGGATTGGGTTGGATGTGGTCTTTCAGCCACAGGTGCCATTTTATTTGTGTTTGCGATCGCTGATAGCTCTTATGCTCCACAAGGGTGGAAAACACCATACATCCCGCTGTTCTTCATCTTGGGAGCTATCTTGCTAGCGGTGATGGCATATGTTGAAGGATGGGTCATTGAAAACCCCCTCCTCCTTCCCGGAGACATCTTTCAGGTGAAATATATGGCCCCTCTGGCGATCTCATTGCTTTTACTTTACGGGAGCCTGGGAATATTTCTACTCTATGGGGTCTTATAGTAAGTCTACGACCAAGAAAATTTCAATGGAACAGGACCCTAATATCAACACAGTATGTCCGAATTTATGGGCGCCACTCCTCTTCAAATAGTTGCCTGGACTGTTCCTATGGCCGTTGGTGGTCTCATCCTATCTGTGACAGGAGGATTTATCCTCCACAAAGTATCGGGGACGATATTGATGCTGACGTCCTGTCTTGGATATGTGGGCTCAGGCATACTGTTCGCTGTTTTACCAGTCGGCGGAAATTACTGGGCTTTTGTTTTTCCTGCAATGATCTGTGGCACCATTGCGATTGACATTAGCTTCAACATTGCGAACATTTTCATCACTACTAGCATGCCAAAGTCAAAGCAAGGGCTAGCTGGTGCACTCATTTATTGCACTATGCATATGGGGATCGCTGTGATGTTAGGATTTGCCGATATCGTGGAAACACAAACGAGCTACCTTGGAAAACGCCAGAGTTATAAAGCAGTATTTTGGTTTCAGTCCGGACTTTCCATACTTGGGCTTCTCATTGTTCTGGCTTTTGTGCGGATTCGCCATGCTAAGAGTGAATTAACTATTGATGAGAAGGAAACTAGCGAGTCTACACATGTGCCTACACCTCAGCAGAATGAAATGGTGTGAGACGACATTTGGTCATAGGTCCGAGAAATGAATCTCGAAATTAATTGTATATATATGAAGCAATTCCACAATGTTTTAGTTGCTCTCGAGTGTGTAGTTGCAGGTTGGGCACGATGAGAGTTGGTCAGGAGTGCTTGGGTAGCTGTCTTCGCCATAGGTTGCATTCAACGAGACGGAGCCAACGACGCCCCCAGATTCCAGTCGAATCCACGTATCGACCTCATGCTGTTGGAGCTTGGACTCGGTGACAAGCACTTGGCGAGATCCGCGAATCCAGCTACCGTACCCGCCATAGCCGGTGTGCTGCCCAAAGCAAAGGTTAATTCCATTTCCTTTGACCGACATACCGGAAATGAGGGTATCCCATTTGTAGCACCATGTATCACCGTGGTCATGGCCTGAGAAAACTCCAATCACACCAGGGGTTTCAACAAGGGCTTTCATGAACGGGACGTCTTGACCGCCATATTCGCAGGAGCTATCGTTGCTACCATCAGCACACCAACCTTCTCCCTGTTGAGCAAGAACATAGTCGTCATTGATTCCAGGCTCCTGGTGTGCATTGACACCAACCTGTGTCTGAAATGCTTGAGAGGCGTTCGTCGGGATATGCACAAACACGAGAGAAGGAATTTGCTTGCGATACTTCTCTACAAGCTCAGCATTGGTACGTTTGAACCAGTTGACCACACTTGTGTCGACCCAATTCGGTTGCGCCACCTCGTTTCCAGAGGAATCCAGTTCCTGATAATAATAACCACCCCGGCTGTCGAAAAACCATAACAGCATTTTTGGGACCTTGGTTGAGTATTTGTCGTCCGCACCGTAGACAGGAAGATAATAATTGGTCACTCCAGCATCACGACCAGAAACCATCTGCTTGGTACGCGAATTGGGCCAACGATGTTCTCGGGCCAGCAAAGCAGCTCGTGAGAGGTTGTAAGCACTGTCGTGATTACCGTAGGTGGAGGCCCAGGTTAACCCACGCTCAACAAGAGGCTCTACAATTTCGTCCATATACACAGTGCTATTTTCGAGAAAGGCGTTGTCTCCAGTGATAAGATCCCCATTCAGGACAACTAAGTCTGGTGATTCAGCATCCAGCACTCTGTTGATCACAGTAACAGAGTTGACATCTTGCTCCGGACCCCAGGAATCCCATGCGTCTATCTGTCTGTCAGTGGAATTGGTGGAAATAGTCATCAGCACGCTTACTCTCGCCAAAATGTAGATCTTCAAGGATTGAGATTTGGAAAGTTCCATCTTTTTGAAACCTGAGGGGTGCGAACTGCTTTGCAACAGCGCTCTGGAGAGAAGGAGAAACGAAAAAAGTGAGAAGTGCAAGCGAGCTCCACATATTGGATGATAGTCCAAATTTGCGTTCAGGTTCAGGGAGCTCCAGCGTTCAAATAACCGGGTGCATGTTGACTTAAATGTAATGTTTACATCGCTTCAACAAGACATAGTTTCTGGGATGGGAATTGAAAATGGCTCGGTGTTTCACGGCCAACCGGTTCGGCACCAACCGAAATCTTGTCAGATGGCGCGTGAGATGGCACACGTGCAGAGAAGGCTGGGATTCTGTGGCCCAGGGGGCTTTGGTAAGGTTGAAGGTGGAGTGGGACTAGGGGCACGGCCGCTGTACAGTCAAGCTTATTGGGGCGTGCGCCTGGCACCTGGCATGCATCGATTTTTGCCGATGCCAAACTTCAAAGTATCGACTAAATCCACTAACTACGCTAATTTGGACCCGGGGTGGATACTTGATCATACAAAGCTATCTATTGAACAAATGGCGCATACTAGAGTCAACAACGTTGAGCTTGAGGGATAAAGTCTTTACATAATTAGGTGGGATAGTTTGCAGATTAAAATTAACAGATAAGAAATTTGTAACAGAAACAAAGAATCCAAATCCGCCTCCAATCAATTAAACTTTCAGCTTTCAGGTTCTGGAACTATTGAAAGGGGATTTTACAACACAAAATAATTTCTGACCACCCTCTCATCTCTTGCAACTGGAAAGCAGCTTAACCACAAAGCGAGGTAATGTCATCAGGAACATATGGGCTCATGATATTGATCAAGTCAGAAAGAGGAACCCAGTCAAGAGTACCGTGAATGGTCTGCACCGGCTGACCGCTGTAGAGGACACGGGCGTAATAAGAGCTATGGGCTGACTCGGTTTTCCTGTGGGGGCGTTAGTGAGTGGTAACGCATTAAATATTCTGGTTGAAATACTCACCAGACCTCAAAGGCAATATTCGATCCCATAGCTGGCCAGCGAAGAGCATTGATACCGAGAGATCCAAGAATGGGACCGATATCTCCATCATGGATGAAAATGTGGCTGTAGTCAAGAGAAGAGCTACCCTTGAGAACGGCCTCCAGGCGGGCAAGAACCTCGCCAATGAAAAGACCCTCAACGACCTGAATGTACTTCTTGACATAGGGGTTTGTTCGCCAGTAGTAGTTCCACTCCCAGTCACCGGCGCGGAAAACTTCTTCTGCCATCTGCTCAGTCACGCATGCTGAGGAGTTTGAAACACTGCAAGGAAGTTCATAGCCGTTGCATAGACGAGCTTGGAAGTTGTCCGAGAAGTGATCAAAGGTGTCCTGCCACGAGCTCGACGTGGCACCAAGCATAGACCCAAGTTTCGAGCGCAGCTCCTTGGTGACACTGAGATGGTCGTTCCATTCAGTCGTTGACTCGAGCTCACTCAAGGTTGTGCTGATAGCATCGCAGGAATAGCCCTCATTAACAGTGTCGACAGATGAGACCATTTGGTGAAGTGGCAAGGCGCCGTTATAGTCCGGCCACACGCCGCGAAGGACTGCGCCAGCAGAACCTTGAGTCAAGGCGGATTCGCTGGACCGGAACCAGACTCTGTTGTTAGGCTTCTCGGGAATGAGTCCGAGCTTCTTACCGTAAACATTCCAGAGGTCTTTACCGTGCTGGAAGCCATCCTGAACACCGCCAATCGTGATCTGAGGATACTGGCAGGATCCATTCACACCAGGAGTAAATGGGTTCGTTGGGTCCTGGTACGTCTGAGCATACATAGGCATGGGATCAATGCCACTCGCGCTGTTTGGTCCAGCATAGAGGTATGGGCGAACATTGTCGCAGTGATAAGCTTGATTCTGAGTCAAGTTCAGCCAGAGCTCACCGCACATGAGTTGAATTTCTCACTCACCTCTCCGCCCGGAAGAATATTGTACGGGGAACGTCTCTGGTGGCGTTGGAGATACTCCAGATAGACCAGCTTTCCCTTGATGGACCCGTTGGCAATGGGACCCGGCAGGTCGTACTCCTGGGTACGCGGATGCGGCATGGAGCAATAGTCATAGGTGCCGTAAGGAGTAGCACTGGTAGGACCATTGGTAGGCGCTTTGTAAATACCTCCATATGTTCCAATTGATGCATTAGAGATGTAAGAGGTATCATTCAGAGATGGCGGGTAAAAGGTATCCAGGGGCGACAAGGCCAGCACCGGGCCCGCACCACCGAGGAGAAAACCAGCTGCGATACCACCACGCATGATGAGATGAGCAATCGAGTGGAAATGAAAAGAAATAAAGTCAAGAATAGCCCATATAGCACCAGGCATCGCGGTGTTGTATGCCCGTGTTCTCGAATTTAACAATCCGTTGGCAGCACCGTGCTCGGCTGCGCGGTCGCGCTAGGAATCAACTATACCGGGGTCCCCACTCTTTACAGCCAGTCGTGGCCTCGGCCTTGGCACGTGGGAAGAAGCAATATACGAACTTAAGATTAGTGATTAGTACAAGCGTTGTGGAGGAAGCCTTTTGTTGCCGAATCTGCCGATGTTGCAGAAACGTGGTCGCTTGCACTCGGTCGTTATCCGAAGAATAGCCGACGCAGGGAACAAGGGGCTTTTAAACGCGATGTTGACCATCCAAAGACACGTCAGCCAGGGACAAGTCTTTTCGGTCTCAAGTCAGCTACCTCGAGGTAAGACTGAGAAAAGCAATTTGATTCTTCCATTATGAAGGGCCTTTCTCTTCCGTTGGCTCTTGCAGCTGCATCATGGTCGTCTTTGGCCCTGTCTAGTTCCTCTAATGTGGCGGACTTCGCTTCCAACAAGGTTCTTCATGATGCTGAGCCTATTTTTGGATCCTATGTCAAAAAGGACACTTCCAAGGCCCATTGGATGAAGGATTACTCAGATGATACTCTGCTGGTCCATATGAATATCCCCGGTACGCATGATAGTGCGACTTGGAACTATACCCAAGCCACCCAAGACGCGCTTCTAGGAATTACCGGATTGAATGAAGTTACTGTGCCGGTGCCAGAAACATTTCGCTGTCAAGAATTATCTTTAATCAATATGCTCAACATGGGAATACGAGCATTTGATCTTCGCTATGCATTCGACGCAACGAATACAAGCCTTGTCTTCTATCACTCTCAAGCCCTACTGTCGGAGACCGCTACATTAGATGATGTTTTATTTGGTTTTTACAGGTGGCTTGATGACCATCCTTCTGAGACTTTATTTCTATCTCTTCAGTACGAGGGGTCAACTGCAAAATATGCGTCCAACAACGCGGGGGTCCAAATGGAACTCTACAACGCTCTGACATCGCCTGCAGCTCACCATTACTTCGTCCAAACAAAGAATGAGCTTGGAACCCTTGGCGAGGCCCGTGGTAAAATTACGCTGATGCGGCGTTTTGACCTGGATCAATTGGCAACCTCTTACACGAACTCTCTGCCTGGTCTCCATTTCTCACCAAGCCTGTGGACTGACAACAGCGCGGACATCACCCTGACTTACAATAGCGACAAAAATCTGACCGCTTATATTGAGGACTACTACGAGCCACTCACTCCGTCTGGATCTAATGCTACGGAGAATATTCGGTGGAAGTACAATGCCACAACGCAGAATATCCTGAAAGCAACCACCACTCACCCTGACAGTCTGTTTTGGACTTGGGCATCTGCTGAAAACACGGACAATGATCCTCCAGTATGGCCGGAAATTATGGCTATTGGCAACGGCTCTCTGACACCAACTGGTGGTGTCAATCAGCTGCTTGTTCCTTTCTTGAAGAAGCAACAAGGCAAACGTGTCGGCATTGTGATGTTCGATTTCTATGACAAGCCAGCTGATCTCATCGACACTTTTCTCAGCCTGTAACTCAGCTTATAGATAGATGATTATGAACAAGGGTTGATTATTGCAATGATTGTTGAAGGCAATCGCGAAACAAGAAGCAAAAGCTGATGATATAAGAATGAAAAGCTATTTTTAAGCTCGAAAAGGCACCTGTAATCGCACTTGTCGCATACATTAACGTCTCACTATGACTTGTCCACCCGAGCCCGTCGATTTCGCACCAACTTGAAAGCATGGGAGCCATAACCATCCAAATCAAGTCTAATATTTTGCTGTGGTTTATTTCTGCCGGACGACCCAGTAGTCGTCATTCGAATTCTACCATTTGAAAAAATCGCACCACATGGTATCATGAATACATAAATCGCGCCTGAGGTTGCAAGTTACTATGTACGGTACTAGTAGATTGGTGGCTAGAAATCGCACGCACAACTGATTTTCCTGCTTTCGTAGTTGGGCGAGCGACCGTCTCAACAACCAAATGACCTGTCCCTGACATGTAGAATGAGAGCCTTGTGAGCCTCCATGGTCTTTTTTTTTCAGCTGAAATATTGGCCTCACTACATGCTTTATGCTTCTTGGTTATCATCACTGTGACCATATAGATGGTTTTGATTTACTCTCATATTCCATGCGACCACATGAGTGTGAAGTCCGAGGGAACATGAATACGAATACCACTATCTCGATAAAAAGGAAGGCGTACTTAAAAATTTGTCACCAAGAATCAGAAAATTTAAATAATGCATCGCAGACTATCTCACTGGATAATTAAATTAATCACTAGTCCTCTCAGGCACCTTTCTTCCCGCGGCATTTTCTGGCTAGAAATTGAGGTTATATATAAGGCGTAATCGCAGAGGATCTACGATAACAACCATACAAGACATAGTTCAAAGCCAATACATTCAGGTGTATTTATTTCATGGTGATACGCTGAATATGCGGAGTATATACCCAGTTCGAGTCAGCAAACTCTCACTATTTTATAGCCTATCAAATTAAAAGCCAGACAATTTCTTTTGCTCAAGAATAGAGAAGTGTAAGAAATGGGAAGAAATGGGTAGGGCGGGTGGGATCGGATCCACAACCGGTGGGATGCCCCGGAAGCCATTGCCATCTGACATCATTGACCTTACCAGCAATTCTTGGGGCGTTGATCTAAAATAAATCCAGCTGAGGCATCTAACGATTCTAAAATATGGCATATATCACACTATTCCTCGAGCCGTTTTCAACATTGCCCTAACAGGATCTTTGTTCACCACGAGAACCCTGCCACTCACCAACCTGCGTGTGCGCCGATCTCCCGTCTTTGAATATGCCCGCGGTAACAACGGCTGCTGCAGGGCCAGAATCCGATCAGGACGATGGCATCCAGTCGGAAGACTGGCCAGAAGAAATCAATGAGCCACATTCAAATCAGAGTAGCGATCGGTTGCTATTTGACGGCGATGGACTGAGTACTGGCGTTCGAGTTTTAGGTTTGCCACATCTCCGACCACGATTTTTTTAAAAACAATTAGAGAGACTGATGGTCAATGGGCAGGCGATGGAAGGCTCGATATTAAGATTAACGAGAGAAAACCCAGTATCGCAGGGCTCCTTCAACTCCAGCGCACACCTATACCTTCTGAACTCGAGCACATCCATGAAAAGGATAGCGCAGCAGCCATCCCAAAAGAGGACGGGAAACATTTTCCACTGCATCTCAATATCGTCATTCAAGTGATTGGATCCCGCGGAGATATCCAGCCATTCGTAGCCCTCGGAAAAGAACTCAAGGCGTATGGACACCGGGTCCGACTAGCAACCCACTTCGCCTTCCGGGAATTTGTGCTAGATGGTGGGCTCGAGTTCTTCAATATTGGTGGAGATCCCGCCGAGTTGATGGCATTTATGGTCAAAAATCCCGGACTCCTGCCTAATGCCAACACAATCCGAACTGGGGCAATCCAGAAGCGCCGACGAGAAATGAGGGAGATAATTAATGGTTGCTGGAAATCTTGTTATGAAACGGGCGATGGAACGTATCTGCATCAAATCAAGGAGGATCCGTGGAGTGACACCATCGACTATCGCCGGCGGCCATTTGTTGCCGATGTCATTATAGCGAACCCCCCAAGTCTCGCCCATATTCATTGCGCCCAGCGACTGGGTATACCTCTTCACATAATGTTTACGTGAGTGCTGATACTATGACATCTTCCACTTCCATCATAAAATCGCCGATCTGACTGCATACGCACAGGATGCCTTGGTCCCCAACACAGTCATTCCCACATCCTCTTGCCATTCTTCACGGTCGAGATTGTAGACCAACTGTCGCCAATTTTGTCTCCTACGCAATTGTTGACATGATGGTTTGGGAGGGCCTTGGTGATATAGTGAACAAATTCCGCAGGAATAGCCTAGCATTGGATCCACTGGATAGCATCACTGCACCCAGTTTAATTCAACGGTTGGAGATACCTTGCTCGTATATGTGGTACGTCTCACTTTTCCGACGACCCTCTATCTATGACCCGAATGGAATAAAAATGCTGAAATATCTAGGTCTCCCGCTGTTCTTCCCAAACCAGCCGATTGGGGCGATCATATTGATATTTGTGGATTCAGTTTCCTGCCCTCCAAGCCAGACTATACACCACCTGATGAGATTGCAGCGTTTCTGAGGACAGGGCCAACCCCGATATACGTTGGTTTTGGATCTATCGTTGTTGATGATCAGATTAAACTCACAAAAATCGTTTTTGAGGCGGTGCAAAAGTCAGGTCAACGAGCAATTATTTCCAAAGGATGGGGAAACCTTGGAGTCGATGAAATTGACGTGCCAGACAATATTCTAGTCATTGGGAGCTGTCCACATGACTGGTTATTCAGACAGGTTTCTTGTGTGATCCATCACGGCGGTGCAGGAACCACTGCTGCAGGCTTAGCGCTTGGACGACCGACTATTATTGTGCCTTTTTTCGGCGATCAGGAATTCTGGGGAGGAATTGTCGCAAGAGCTGGGGCGGGCCCGCCTCCTATCCCTCACAAACAGTTGACAGTGGATAGGTTGAGTGCTGCAATTGATTTTTCTCTGAAGAAATCGACTCAAGAAAAAGCGCAGGAAATTTCAAAAAAGATGGAAAAAGAATCTGGTGTTCAAGATTGTGTTCGGAGCTTTCACCGACAGCTCAACCTACGGCCGCTTAAATGCGCCATTTGTCCTACTCGCCCCGCTGTTTGGCATCTAAAGCACACAGACATTGGGCTCAGTGCCTTTGCAGCTACGGTATTGGTTGAGATGGGCAGACTGAAACCAGAAGTCTTGGTCCTGTGAGTTATATAAATCTCATTCTTCATTAAAAGGAAAATCATATTAACGTATGCTAGAAATCGTCCAGTGGAATATGACACGTATCGTGACCCAGTCGGACCTATCAGTGCCAGTGCTCAAGTGCTTTTCGGCGCCATTTCAAACTTTGTCACAGGACTTGGAAACGTCCCGGTTGAGGTAATTGGGGATCTTGTCTCTGCCGGGAAAGCCTTAAGCCACCCACCAGAGCGTTGTCATGCCCGGTCGAAATGGCGAATGCGCGAGTCACATCGAGACGATGAGCTTGAGAGTGAAGAGGAAGAAAATGACGATTATAACGAAACTGCTGAATCGCACGCCTCCGATCCCGCCTCCGAGGAGCTTCCAGATGAAGAAGATGGTGACAGTGACATGGTCGACGAACAAGATGATGACAGAGATACGATTGATGACCAGCAAGATGACCCCGTCACGGGAGATTTATTCGCTGATCAAGTTCCAGATCGAAGACGCAGCCTGCAACTCGAGAAGGCACAGACAATGGGCAGCGAAATCAATCCTCCAGAGTCATACTCTACCCTCCGGGAGGCGGCAAGTCAAGGCAGTATAATGTCAAAGAAGTTCCTCAATCTGGTCATATGGCTTCCGACGGATGTCTCACTCAGCCTCTCTAAAGGATTTCATAATGCACCGAAATTGTATCATGATCCAATGGTAAAGTCCACACCAAAGGTACATGGCCTTCGGAGTGGGTTCAGAGCAGCTGGCCAGGTATGTACGATATGCTTTCTGCGGAAACAGATTTGTACTGATCTCGAAGTAGGAATTCCGAGATGGATTTTATTATGGAATAACGGGTCTCGTTACACAACCTCGATATGGGTTTAAACAAACAGGAACTTCGGGGATGATAAAAGGGGTTGGGAAAGGTGTGGGAGGAGTCTTCTTGAAACCACCAGCCGGTAAGTGTAGGAGATGAGCGGTATTGAGATGATTAAGCTAACAAATAAACTAGGTCTTTGGGGACTGGCAGGATACCCCCTGAGTGGATTGCGGCGAAAGCTACTAGATTCTTTGGGGAAGTCGCAGTCATGCCGAATCGTGTCTTCTCGCATAGCCCAAGGACACGAAGAGATGCGGGAATCATCGGCCGAGGAGAGAGCGGAGGTTGCCAGAAAGTGGATTTTAATGGAAGAAACGCTTCAGAACAACAAGCGGTGGTCATTACAATCCAATAATTAAGCATCTTGGATAGGCCTATCGAATAGCGTGAATGTATCTTTTATCCCTAATCACACTTTGTTTGAGTACGGAGGGTCTCATGCATGGGAGGATGCAAGACTGCTGCGCTTGGGTGGATAATCAGAACGGCGATACCCTATCACATGAGCCTTGCTGTGCTTACTTTGAGAAAGATGGAGTTATTACGATCACACAATTTGATGATCCTGCCTTGCTGGGGGTTAGTTACACAACCCGTTGTACCGGGGAAGCCCTCGGAGAAAGACCGATATGGGGGATGTCCGGGCGCTCCAGAAAATGCCCCAGGCGGGGAAAGTCCACAGATGCGGAGAAGATTATAAGTAAGGAGCAAGTTGGAAAACTTCTGTTTCATTCAGTACCTATTCATTGTTTTCTCACTTATCTTACGATGGGGACAATGCGATCCCCGACGTTCTTAGGGCTGAAAGGCCAACCCTTGGTCTACGCTGTCACACTTTGCTGCTCAATTGGCTTTTTACTCTTTGGTTATGATCTGGGATTCATGGGTGGCCTAACAACTTCTCCGGAATTCCTGGGGGCTTTTGGCAACCCAGGTGCTTCCTTACTTGCCTTTCTTGTCTCATCCTACGAGGTTGGAGCTATGCTGGGTGCGGTGTTCCAATTTTTACAGGGCGATCGATTCGGTAGAAAACCAAATAATTTGGCGGGGGCAGTAATCGTCGCTATTGGCGCAACTCTACAAGCATCCTCATACGGCCTGCCTCAGTTCCTTGTCGGTCGGATCGTTGCGGGTTTTGGCTTAGGAATGATGACAACAGTCATTCCTATTTGGCTGTCCGAGTGTACATCACCCACATCTCGTGGAAAGATGATGGCCATGCAACTTTCCAATTTGATTGTGGGCCTGATCCTAGCGAATTGGCTTGACTATGGGATGGACTCGCATTCTGGATCAATTCAATGGCGATTTCCATGTGCTTTCCAAACGGTGTTTTGCCTTATTGTTCTTGTCTTTATGCCTTTCCTTCCCGAGTCACCACGATATCTATGTACAAAGGGTGATATTTCTCGTGCAAGAATCGCATTAGCTGCACTACGAGGTGGCGATACCGATAATCTCGATATTAATGAGGAACTGAAGGAGATTCAATATGCAATGGCGGTGGAAGCAGAGGAGGCGGGCGCGTGGAATGACGTTTTCAAGGACAATGGAATCAGTGGGTTCACTCGCGTTGCAATTGCGTTTTCAGCCAATTTCTGCCAGCAACTATCCGGCTGCAATGTCATGTCCTCGCTTGGCCCTTACGTATTCGAGGATTCGATAGGGATGTCTCGGAAGGACGCCATGCTTGTCTCCGGTGGCCTTCAAGTCTTTTATTTTCTTAGCAGTCTAATTCCCTGGTATGCCATTGATCGAGTTGGGCGTCGCCGACTATTTATGACTGGATCTATTGGCATGGGAATTTGCATGTTACTCTCAGCGATCTTTGTCGGTATCGGCACGAAAGGTCTCGGCTATGCCGCTGCTGTCGTTTTGTACATCTTCCAGACTTTCTTCACTCTAGGATGGCAATCCAACATGTGGATATATCCGAGTGAGTTACTTCCGCTCAAGCTTCGCCTGCGAGGAGGTGCTCTTGCCGTGGTATCTCAGTGGCTCTTTACCTTTCTGGTCGTCGAGATCACCCCCGTGATGATCACAAACATCGGGTACAAGTGCTATATTGTTTTTGCGGTGATTAACTTTGCATGTGTTCCACTAGTATACTTCTGCTACCCGGAGACAAGCAAACTGCCTTTGGAAGCCGTCGATTTGCTTTTTGCGGACCGTGATGGCAAGCGGCCGTCGATCTGGCGAGTTGTTCAAGACTCCATGGATAAAGAGTTTGTAACTGAAATTGAAAGCCAGTTGCAGGAGCGTGCCAGGATGAGAGCGGATATCCATGACAAGATCGAGAGTTCTAAGGCTGAACACCTAGAAATTCAGGCGGCATGATGTAGCTTCAGTGGATGCCAATTTTATTCATCTCGCTTGTCAGAGTATGAATGCACAATAACTTCACTTACACGAAGAGTGATCAAAAAATATACCCATATTCTTGTTTCTGTTAGAGAGTCATAGGCAATTTTAGGTCAGTCCGAGGAAGCAATATAGCGATCAGTTAATGCAGACCAAAAAGTCCCGAAAGGTAATCTCTCGAAGCTTGACGAAGTTCAAGTATGTCTTTATTCATTGGGTGGACATATTATTTTCCGATGAATGAATCACAATTTTTATTTGAGGGATTATATGTTCTTCAACCACCTAAGTGCAAGTGAAAATTGATTCTTCTTGGGATCCTGTTGTCTGTTTGCTGGAATCAATCCCTCCTTCTCCAAAGATTACACATTCCTAAACGTTAGATCACGATTAATTAGCATTTAAAGGACTAAAAAACGGAAGAAAGAGCGTATCATTCTGTAAAGCTAATTGGCCGTTTTTTGACTACTCAATTTATTTCCAGCACAATGAAGTTGTCCAACTCGGTCACTTTTTTTACTTCCCGTTGTGAAGCGGTAGTCGCTTCTCTGTGAATAATTCGCTGCTGACTGGCGAGACGATGTCAAAAAGTGAAGCCTTGAGGAAAACTTTACCTGGATTCTGAGGAGTCCTAGAGAATATGGGACTGGCCTGAATTTAGCAAATGGTCTTGTTATCCTTTCGAACGAGACTTTGCCTACCTTCCACAGGTAGAGCAGAAAAGGCGCTGTAAAATTCTATTAGTGTCCTTTCCCGAAACGCCCAAGTTGACAGCTCCTTATTTCTATTCTTACCTCTGCGGTATTCTGAGTGACTGTATTCTTGTCTTGGAAGATTTTCAAAACTTCGTTGGAGTCTTGGACAGTCATGTTGTCCTCCGGCACAAAGTAGTTCACTGAGAAAGCTAGTTCATAAACAGAGATCAGCAAAGGCTAGGCGCGTTTAGTATTGGCCAATGCGGAATCCTACCACCACCGGATCTCTTGCAATTCTCACTACAATAAATGAGTTAATTTGCCCCTCAAGATCAAATAGACCCGGGGAAAATCTCACCAATGACAGATAATTGCTTCTGGCGGCCGTTCTGGAAGGGTAATGCGAACACTGTCGCAATTGCAATGGCCTGTATATGTCATTTCTAGCGAATTAGAGGGAATGCCAGTGAGGTTGCAGGTTCAGCGAGGACCCTTAGCGAAAGATGTCTTGCGCTGTGATTTTTGGGGCGGGGGCGGGGTTGTGCCAAATAGCGTCCACGAATCTTGCGGACGGTGTTGGATTCCGCGAACCTGCATTCAAGTCGGCATGCAGATTGTCAGCGGTGACGTCAGCCACAGAATCCGGTCCAGACACCGAGTTTTGATACATTGCAAGTTGATTTGACAGGGGTGATAAACGAAGGGATTGACTGACTGGGCGTAGTCATTGCCAAACCTCTTAGGGTCGCCCATGGGGGAGCGCCTGGTGGTGATGGAGACGAATGTTGGTTTCAGGCCCCATCACATCACCGGTCTTAGCGCCCGAAGTCGTGGTCACACAACACTACGAAATACCAGGATCTGGCATGATCTCCATTACCATATGAGCACTCTAGAATATGTCCCAACGATGTGAGCTCAAGTGGTGTTCCAAATATTGCACAAACAGAAACGCCCCAGCCACAACCAACAAGATTGGCCTTTGCTGCTGTAGCCGCCGAATGCATAGGCCGTCACCATACCATGGCCAAACGCCAGCCAGTCATTGCACCAACATGCCCCACGGGAAATGATGTTAGCCGGAAGGGCTTTCCTAAGATCTACATGATCGGGTGATTAACGTGGGGTCCTTAAGTGACTTTCTCTTCCTTTTAAGCCCGCCCTTTCTCGATCTCTACTGCCGAACCCCAATTAATCTTTTTGAATCTAGACATTCAATATTTACCCCCGTCACAATGGCCAATCCCTACTTTGATATCCTGTACACTGACGCGGAAGGCCAAGGTAAACCCATCCCCATATAATGGACCAACCTTGAGAGATTAACATAGCCAAAGAGGAACCCTGGGGTCGCATTGTATTCAAGCTCTATGATGATATCGTTCCCAAAACAGCCGCCAATTTCCGCGAACTGGCAACCGGCGAGCATGAATTTGGCTATGCTGGGTCGAAATTCCACCGGGTGATTGCTGGCTTTATGGCCCAGGGTGGTGACTTTACCAGAGGAAATGTGAGTGGCAAATGCAGATGAAAGCAACAGGCTTTGGCACATGGGCTAATATCCCTTCTTTCATCTAATTAGGGAACGGGTGGAAAGTCAATCTATGGTGATCGATTCGCTGACGAAAACTTTGATGTTAAACACGACAAACCATATCTGTTGTCCATGGCCAATGCTGGCCCCAATACGAACGGATCCCAGTTCTTCATTACCGTAAGTCATACAAGTCCAAGGACACTGACTAGTTGAAGTATGGAGACGATCAGGCACTGATTGAAATAGTTCGTACCAACACCTCATCTGGACGGCAAGCACACAGTCTTCGGCGAGGTTTTGAGTGGCCACGAAATAATCGAACAGATGCAAAGCAAGAGTCTGGACAATAGCGGAGCCACCGATGGTGTCATTCAAATCATTGCCTCAGGAGCAGAGTGAGACTTGGATGAAAGGTTTAATGCATAGCCTGTTCATAAATACAGCTCTAGATAGCAATATAGGACAAAATATCATACAAAGATAGACAATGTCTTGGAGTGTTGAATTTAATCTCAGCCGCAATAGATCTATGTTGGTATCGTCACTGTTGCCGCATTTTCTGTTCCATCAAAATGCCCAGAGGGATGTCATCTTCGTCATAGAATTCCACATCCTCGTCGACGCCAAAATCGCGCAGACGCTCCCCTTCGGCATTTCGCCAGGACTCCTCCCCCTCATCAGAATCATCTCCATAGACCGGGCCGGGCTGGCGCTCGTCATCGCTTGCATAGTTTTCCGGTTGCTCAAAGCGTTCATGGAAACGCCTGCGTCTTTGCACCTCATAAACTCGTCGGCGGCTGAGATCCGCTGCTTTGCGGCGATCGAACGCTTCAACCTCGTGCCTCGCAGACGCATAGGGCCGGTGAAAGTTTGGATCATCATCAGGGGTGTGATTTGCCGGCAAAGGAATCCGATCTGGATCAGGGGGCGGCCAAGATACACCTGGATCTGGTTTTGATAACTCGGATTAGAATATCTTTATCATGGAATAGATGTCTTCGATGAATGACAAACCCTCGAAATCGTTGGTCTCGAATTCCCAGCCATTTTTCCGATCGGGGGTAACGGCAAATGGCCAAAACCAGCTGATAATCTACGAAAATGGTAAGGACGCCAGTTAGGAAGGCAGAAACTCGGCTTACATTGATGCTCCCGCCCATGCCTTGTCTGATGTTAGACCAAATGCCAATATCGTAGGGGAACTCTTGTTTCCTAATTCGAATTTTGACCCCTCCAGGGCCCTCCAGATATCCGCCAAGGACCCGTGCTCTGCGAACAAGCGTCTCGTGTCTTTCAATCTCCCAGGATTCAATGGTAGTAATATTGAAAGCGAGAGACCAGAGACTGCGCAATAACAGAATGAACAGAGCAAAGACCGTCATGCTATTGACGACGAACAAAATGAACAGATGAACAAGCTGTCCCACCGTGGGACCGAGGTACTAGAAAGGTGACCATTGCAATTAGAAGGAAATCCCACCTGAGCAAACGTAAATCATGGATCATACACTTGGCAGATCCCTACTTCTCCACACAATAGATCCACGCTCCCATAACAGGGTCTCGAGATATCCCATCCCAACAACCGCGTATAATAAAAAGCGAATGAAATGGGGGAAAGTGAGATGTGAAACACAATTTGATGTCCAAGGACAGTGGTGGTCCATTTTAGGAATACATCTAGATCTATATTAGCTTGGCTCATTCTTCATGTCTAAATTCATGTAAGTTCCAACCTCTTGCAAGTTTTGCAGTGGTGAGCTCTAGGAGGCTTGTAGGCTTCACATCTACGGCACCAGCGCTGCCGACCGGTGGTTTTATCTTCTTCCTGCTGTGCGGGGGTTGCTGACAATCGAGATTTCTCAAGCCGACCTGGATCTACGAAGCATGCCCGGAAATAGCAAACCCAGATGCATAGGGCGAAGATGTTGATCTTCCAGCCTTCATCTCTCCGGAGCGGCGCGGCTTCAAAGTAGAGGAAGAAATACTGGGAGGTGTAGGCGAGGAAACTGATAAGTACACTGACAGCTGGGATGGCGAGCTGGGATACTTCAAAATCATCGCCCAACATGTCGAATCGGACCTCTTCCTTGGTTCAAGTAGAGCGAGTTGAAAAACGGCCATAAATTGACGTGTTGTTTATTGGGAGCGATGACTAAGCACCGAGCATGATCTCTGGCCGAGTCGACCTGGACTTGAGCTTGCTCGAGTACAACTTCTCTCCATCGTCAGCCTCTCATCGTTATGAAATTATATATTGACGTCATGTTTCATGGTTTTAAGGGGCTCCAGAGAAATTTTGTGTGATGTGTGGCTAATCCTTCGCCGCCAAGATGCCGATCCAGGCACTCCCACAAGCAACCATCCGAGCGATTGGGTCAACATCAGCCATCTCTGATCCATGCTCAGTTGTCAAAGAGCTTCTTGACAATGCTTTGGATGCGTCTGCTTCATCTCTTTCAATTGAAATTTCACAAAACGCACTGGACGTGATCCAATTAAAAGATAATGGCCATGGCATTCCCGCTGAAGATCACGTCTCTGTTTGCAAGCACACATTTACCAGCAAGATTGAAACCTTGAATGATCTCAGGCACGTCGGTGGCACCTCACTAGGCTTTCGTGGAGAGGCACTCGCTAGCATTGCTGAAATGTCGGGCGGCGTCACCGTCATCACACGTGTCAGGTCGGAGGTTGTCGGGTTCAAGCTCAAGTACGGGAGAAATGGGGAGCTCCTTGAGTTAGTCCCTTGTGAAGATTGAACTACTGCAAAATAGACTAACCCTTGAACAAGATCCCAACGAATGTCTCATCCGGTCGGTACGACTGTTCGCATTTCGAATTTTCTTAAGGATGTCCCGGTTCGGAGAAAGACTATTCTAAAATGCGCTGCAAAAATGTTGGCGAAGACGAAGAAGCTTGTGCAGTGTTATGCCATGGCTCGTCCATCGGTTCGAATCTCCCTCAAGGTTCTCAGGGCTCAAAATGAAAACAATAACTGGAGTTATGTACCTCCCGTAAATGCCACTATTCCAAATGCTGCTATAAATATCGTTGGACGCGAACTGTCTTCCTGCTGTACGATCAAAAAGCATGCATCCGCATCTAACCTCGATGAAGATGGCCACACACGGGGTTCAAACTTATATCACATTGTTGCGTTTCTTCCGAATTCAGACACAGGTATCAATCCCAACTTCATTGATTTGTCTCCGTTTGTTAATGCGCGCAGATTTCAACAAAATAAACAATGCGGGCCAATTTTTGAGTGTTGACAGTCGACCGATGTCAACCGCAAGTGGAGTCGGCCGTGAAATATCAAAATTGTTCAAGTCTTACATTCGACTGATTCCCGCGAAGGACGGCAGGACAAAGAAGCTTTCAGATCCATTCTTCTGCCTGCAGATCAATTGTTCTCGCGGAGCATACGATGTCAACATTGAGCCTGGCAAAGACGACGTGATCTTTGAAGATCTCCAGCTCGTCTTATCATTGATTGACACTCTACTGAGTGACCATTATGGATCACTGCCTGTGGTGATCAAAGGAGGATTCGCCAAGAATGGTGATAAACAAAATAAACAAACCAGAAAAAGTCACGGGGGCACTGGGTTTGAGCTTTTGATGGCTAAAAATTCCTCAGCCCAGCTATCCAACCAGCAATCCAAAGATATCATTGAATTGGGAGAGGAGCCTACTATATCTTCACCTCATGAAACTTCTGTTGATGGGTTTCAAAACGACGTTCGGGAATCCTTGCAGGGCTCCCAAGAGGAAGAATCTCGTTTTATCAATCCCTGGTCTATCACACGCCTCAACGCCCCGTATCGAACATTACCAGACAATTATGCCAACCAGGAGAGAGAATCTGGAAAGTCTGCTGTGCAGTCATCCTATAGCACATCGGGCCCATCAAGACCACTCATCTCAGAAACGCTTAGAGCGACATCACCAGTGAATCCCCAATGTCCGGCTTCCAAAACCGACAACTCTTCTCGTCAAAGATCGTCAACTCAAATTTTGTCCCGTAAGGCAGCACGTGAACGTGACAGGGAGCGATACGGCAATGGAGCTTTAGACACGTTGTTTCAACGCACCACCCAGGCATCGCTGTTCCATAGCTCCAATTCTAAACCGAACCAGACTGAAGAGACCATCCCTCTCTCCCAGCTTGTGGAGCAGAGATTTGCAACCCAGTCAGATGATAACGTCTTGCAAAGTCGTCAAATCAATCAGGAGAATGCTTCACGAATTGCAAATTCCACGGTCGATGATGATCGAGCATCTACGTCCTCCCAAGACGACGATAGACCAGTCTCGTCCGAAGGAAACCCTAACATAACTTCCATAGACAGCGGACGAGGCTTTCCGGTTCTGGAGAAATGGGCTGCTAGCATTAAAGAAGGCTTTGGCTCGAGACCTTCTTTTGAGTTGGACAAAGCACTTGAATTTGAGAGACGAAAAAAAGAGGCAAATCAAATCTATCGGGATCGGTATAATAATTTGAAACCCCAACGCTCAAATCCTATCCCGAATTCACCACATCGCAATCGATACATTTCTGCGAAGGCAGTCTTAACTGGAGACCGAGCTGTTCATGAGTCCGACCCGCATATTTCTCTTCAGCAGCTTGATCCAAGGTCATATCTGATTCATCCGCATGGCGGCGATAACTCCGATAAGCCATCAAGAGGAATTCCACGTGTCCGGCGAGTACCCAGCAGCAAACTCCCTATGGAACGTATACCAGAAGGTTGCGATCTTCATGATGTTGGCTTAATTCTCCCGGCGCATATGACTACTATATCCAAATCACTTAGCTTGGCCGCTCCGTATGATTGCTTTATGCGCTTTGAGCACGACTTTGAGGCACTCAATGCATCTGGGGTAGAGGATGCCGTTCCGCTCTGGAATGCGCGACTGAATGCTATCATCGATGAGCAGTATAAGCCCTGTGACGAATCTGGAACTCTCGGCTCCCAAATTGATATTTCTTCGGCTGTAAAGAAACATTTGGAGCAATTGCAATGCAGCTAGAATAGCCACAGTCCCTTGCAGAGCCTCTATGTGCCACGACTTTGTTCATGAAGAACTGTCGCCTCAATCGCCTTATCTAACACATAAATATCCTTAGCTCCATCGATAACGTACTATATTATTTTGGTGGTCTTTTAGGCGTTCTACCGGCGGAGATTATCACTTCATCTAGTATCTTTCCTGCTCTATAATTTCCGGTGCATTGGTTTACATGTCAGATACAACTATCACTTGTTGCAGCCATTAAAGGAAGAATGACCTCGTACTCCTCCATGTTCTACGGGAGAAATCCCGGTAATCCTCGACCCGAGAAGTGCCTGAGTTTGGTCCCGTTACATAAAGTTGACATCAACAATCAGGGTCTACTCAAAAATATAACCTCAATCTTGCAGGACACGATCACTTGGAAATCTATATTCCTATACTCTCGCCATTTTATACTGGTCCAGTATGGCGGGCATTCCCACTTATTCTATGATTGACAATAGGCCGCACCCCCGGGCCTCCTCGGTCTATTCCGGTAGACCGAATTTTCTCATGACACCCGGGGATATCGGAATCTTGAAGTCCACTCTTTTGCCATCGTGTGGCTTTTATTTCAGCCTCTCCATCGCTGCCTATGGGATCGCAAAGGTGACTGATCATGTTGAGATCAAGGACTGGCTCTGGCCGTCCGGCCAAGTTCTCAATGCATGGTGGAACGCTATCGGCAGACCCATGTACGAAACGAACATCTCTCTCCCGGATGCTTGGAGAGGTCTCACTTGGACTGAGAAGCTTTTACTTGGAGGCGTGACACTTTGGGGGACCAGGCTGTTCGCGCGCATTGTAAGTCGATCTCTGGCCCGCGGGAGAGACGATCCGCGGTATGATGCTTGCAAAAAAGATCTGGATTTCTGGAAACTGGCGCTCTTCAGATTTTTTCTTCCAGAAGCTGCTTTTCTCAGCGTCATCTCGCTGCCAGTAACGGTGCCATTCTGTATGGGCGACACTACTCTGTCGCTCGAGACGAATTCACTAAGCGTCATTCGCGCGCTTGGCGTCGGACTGTTCAGCTCTGGCTTTGCCCTGGAATTAATAGCTGATGCTCAACTGGAGCTGCACCGTAAGGAACGCGAGGACCTATGCCGCCATGGGGTCTGGAGTTTGGTACGACATCCAAAGTAGGTTCTCCTTGGGTGGCTCGCCATTGAGATGACGCTAATGTCCACCAAGCTATCTTGGTGATGCTCTTGTCCACCTGTCATTCGTAATACTCAACTTGACTGACTCTTTCAATCCAATTGTACTTTTGGGACCGTTGGCCAACTATTGTTTCCTGCGTCTAGTGGGAGGAGATAAACGTGGCGAAGAAACCCAGCAGAAACGGTATGAGGCTAGTGATCCTCATAAATATGCGCAACTAAAGGATTGGTGCGAGGAGAAAAACAGCTTTTGGCCATCCCTGCGAGACTTGGCGAATCCTTGGTCTTTGGCTGTCCTGGGATGTGGCCTGATTGGAGTCGTTCTGGAGGAATTCGTTCGAACTACTTTCACTATGCGGTAGTGGATCTTGTGAGAAGGTAGAAGATGTTTCGATTTCAATGTCTCTTCGGATCCATTGGTTACTTTTCAGTTGTTTGATCCTTGTCTTTTTTTTAGAGAGTAGGAAAGGACCGTCATTGCCCTTATTAGCCTTGTAGGCCGTTGACCATCTATGAAGGGGCATCACGTGATTTATGGGAATTGGAGACGCCCTCTTCACTACGCTTACCACGAGACATCTTTTCAATCATCATCAAAATGGAGAAGAAAAAGAAATTCTCGACTTGGCCACGGCGCTACTGTGCCGCAGCCGCAGTGGGTGCGCACGAAGCATCTCGGAAATAAAAAGTGGGTGTGCTTGCACTCAATCGATCGGACCAGATCCACCGACGATGGTGTGGACACCACTTGCCGACTTCACCCCGGTTGGCGCATCCCAGTCAAGCTCCACCTGAATTTGGGAAGATGAAGGGTGTAAGGACTGACCATTCTGTATGGAGTACGAAGTATGTTTGGTACTATTGGTTCGCATCCCAGCCCATCCCAGGGTATTTGAACCTCCCAGAATGCTGATGCTTTTCATTGCTGGCCGGGCGATGATCAGAATTCTATTCGCACCGTTGACAAGGCTCTCAATCACATTCAACGGCGCTCAAGGGGCGCTCAAAAGGCGCTCAGGAGCTTCCTTCCGTCCAGAAATTCAGCCCGCCACACAGCTGCCTTGCGACGAGAAAGGAGTATAGCGCGAAGTTTGAAGCCAATCACAGCGCGCGAGGTCGGTCTTCCCGAGTCAAACAAACACGCTTGAAAAGCCGGGGCCGTCGCGGGTCAGGCCAGTCTCGTCGTATTCTTCAGGGAAGCGAAGACCGGCCCACGGGGGTTTTCATGTGGGTCGCTTCCTCTCACGGAAACCGCTGCCGGCCAAATCTACTCCGGACTGGTGTTTTGAACCATGACCCTGGGGAAGTAGCCGCCATGTCCTCCCGGGCATCGCCCCCTCCGATAACAGCTGAAAAAAAGGACCATCTAGATCTCACCGGCTTACGTCCAACGTCTCATGCGCACTGGTCTCTTCCTCGGAAAGAGAAGGATGGGCGAAAAGATTCATCCAAGAAAAGTATCCTTCATTCGGCAGTTCGTGTACCTCCGCCGCGGTAGTCGAATCATGTCGCGGTCTGCGGTGTGCGGGTGGAGCTGCCATCCCGTGCACTCGATCCACTCAAACATGTTCATCCACTCAATCTCGGAACACCTGCAGAGTGCCAATCTCAATCATCCGACTGGACTCAAGGTCTCCCACCCGTCATGCACGGCTGGGTGACAAATCCGGGCAAATAGCTCTTTGTGGCCATGAAGTTGCATGTCAATCCCCATCTGCGGCCCTAACTCCTCTCCCGAGAGAGTCTAAATCACCCTGAGCCCACCTGCGTCCCTCTTGGGGTCTTGAATCGGGCCGGCAACAGAGCTCGTGCCCATCGATCGACATACTCCCATGAGGCCGGATCAAGATCCTGACTCATGATTCCCTCGGTGGCCCCAGGCCAACTCCACCGTTCTTGTCTACTTTCCGTCCGCGCTTTGTGCAGATCCCCGTCCAGACTGAACGCCACGCGTGAACTAAAACTGCGTCGAGTTCCATTCGGGGTCATCTCGCTCGCCTCGGAGACTTGTCCACCCCTACAATCTTCAGCCCGTGTGTGCGGGTCACCACTCGCGATCCGCTCGCTCAGACTTCCAACCTGTCAGATTCTAGGACGGGGGTTTCTTGTATCCGCCTGTCTGTCAGACCCTGCAGGTTTCATCCACCAATGCTTGCCTTATCGAGTAGCAAATCACGCATATCAGTCCTCAAGTTGCGCTGAACGCAAGCTTGGGCTTTGAAACTAGGTCTTGGCGGAGGACTAAAATGTGCACTAAACTCGGTGTCATCTGCACCTGTAGCGGCGGGCATAACGCAGCCATTGACAGAAAGGAAGAAAACAGCCTGATGACGGGGTCACCGACCCTTGTTTTCACAACTACAAATCTAGAAGCACACCTCCCTTTTTTGACTCGCCTTCTTGTCGACCCTAATCTACTTCCCTCTTTCCCACCATAGAGTTCTCCATCAGATTCTGAACCATGTCGGAGCCCAGGGCGAATGACCGAGGCCTGTTGCGGCGTGTGATCGAAGCTGCTCTTGACCGTGGAGAGCGCTACCCTCCTATGGCTGCTCATGCCGCTGCCACCGCGGCTCGGAATAGCGGGATGTTCGGGAGTCAGAGCAATGGCATGCCGGACGAAGAACAAGGGAAACGGTTCACCACCTCGACCAACAATCCAGACTCATTAATTCCGCCAAACGACAAGCTTCTTATCTTCCGCGCCTTGACTGGTATCGATAGTGTTCCCGCTCTCACTCAAGCTGGACACTTACTGCGCAGTGCGCCCAACGTCGGCATCTACACACGTGTTGTGAACAACGAGTCCAAGGCTGCGCGAGCATACACCTTCTTCAACTACCTGATCAACACTTGTCTTGGTATTCAAATTGTTGTCGCTGCCGCATTGACCGCCCTCGGCGCCGCCAGTGGACCACACTCTGCCATCACAGCGTTCGGCGCGATCAACACTATCATGGCCGGCGTTCTGACATACCTGCGCGGCTCCGGGCTTCCAGATCGTCTGAAGAGCTATCAGAACAAATGGAAAAACATTCGTGAATATATTGAGCAACGCGAGCGAGAGTTTTGCTTGGTTGGCTGCGATCTCGATGTACAGGAAGAAGTTTTTATCGTGGAAAGCATGTACCAGAGTGTCAAGTCCGAGATGGAAACTACCAAGAGCAGTGGTGATGCTAAAACACAACAACCTGATGATCCCCGTATTCGTCGCTCGCTTTTGCCTCCCTCGCATCAACTCAGTGGTCATCGTCAGTCCATCGTTCCCACTCGGCGTTCTGATGTGAATGCGATGAGCCCTCAACAAGAAGAGCCTGTGAGCCCGATCACTGTTCCTGAGCCAGTCATTGAAAAACACTGAGCGATGATACCCTTTTTTGCTCATTTTTGCCGCCTGCTCTTTGGAGTTTCCCGCAAGCGGAATGCTCAGCTGGCTGATTACCTGGACATGCTATGTTCTTTGTCACAACATCATCATATGATCATGCAGAACCAGACCCGGTAGACAATGTTGGATATGCTCAACTGTGTCTTGATTCTCCCTTTCCACCTAAGTTTGCAAAATATGTCTTATTTTTAACATCATGGGCAAAGCGGTTGGTGTTTAATGTCTATAGCACTTTATTGAACGGAGCATGAACATCTTGCAGGCGTCCACTCAGACCGTTTACACATGCAGATTTTGCAGGTCGTGGATATCGATTCATGTTTAATGTTTAAATACCTGATAATTTAATATTCAAAATTAGCTTAATTTGCCACAGATCGACATGTCATGATACTCTGACGTTTCTTCCTCATTTGGATAGTATCATGTTCCCATTTTGGACCCCTACTCTCTTTCATTTATTGTTTACATTTCTCCATCAACAACTTTTTCTCCTTCACAACTTCTCTTTTTTCTCTTTTTTTTCTTGTTACAACACTTCTAAAATGTGTCTGCTTCATTCCTAATTCATAATGGCAACCCCCGGTTCTCCCTCCATTGCTTGTTCCACTAATCTGGTGAAGATGCTTTATCATTCATCATGAGTGTATGCAGTGCTTCCGTATTTCAATTCATGATCACTAGGGTGGACCCTTTCCAGTTGGTTACATACAGGATGCAGCAGCGTCTAAGGCCTGTGCTCGCTGCCGTGATAGTCATTTTGTTTGTGAGGCGGTATGTTTTCAGATTTGATTCGATATAGTTTCGACGTTGGTATGCACTTTCCAGATTCCACCCATCCTCCTTGGTGATGCTTTCGACCTCATCCGGATTCCTCTTTTCATTCGAGAGCTTTCAAGCCTGTATCGTGACAGCGTTGTGATGGGAACCCCAGAGGATAGAAATGCGTTTACAGAGGCTTGGCCGGAGGAGATGAGTGAGCAAGTCTTTGGTCCTTTCAAAACTCTGGCCAAAGCTTTTGAGGTTCCGGTTACTGCACACTAGTCCACATCCAATCTTCCTTCTAGTCGTACTATTCCTCCTATGAGTGAGTCAGCACTTGCTTCAAAATTTCTTCGCTAATGATTCGGCAGAAAATCCGCGCCGCATATGACCGAACCCTTGCGGAATACAAAAGTTGAAATCCCCACCTTCCACGTCCTTCTCATGCAGCCCCGGAATCTAACGCCATTGCGTACGAGGCTTTGATTCGAACCCGTATCGGACCTTCTGACAATGGATATGCCGGATGGAGCGCTGCTTCAGCTCAGTGCTCATCTTCTGGCCTTCAAGCTGTTGAGAAGCGTCAAGGCGGAGAATAAAGAATATCAGAAAACAATTCGACATTTGAGGAATCGGCAATGCTCACATACCAGCGAAATCGATTCTATTCGCATTTCAATTAAAGGATGGAGAAGCAGCAGGTTCAAACATCTCGCTACAATTGTAGATCTGAAGAACTCAATTCCGAATCGATTTTAATTGAAAAGCTCAAGCAGCAGGGGTGTGGGCATCTCTCTGCGATTAAAATCCGGTGAAGCTGCAAAAGTCTCAATGTTTGTACATTCTATTTATGTCGATTAACAGATAAATCATATTGTAGGAGAGGGGCAACCATGATTCTAAGCTGCAAAAAAGCCTTTCCCACGCTGGCACTATTTTCTATCGATGAAAAGATCTCGATGGCTGGAGAGGCAAAGGACTTGAGGCATGAGAACGTAATGGAGTATACCCTGTGGGGCTTTTATGATACGTATATACGTATATTCGATGGTTGAAGAAGTGGGTGGAGAATTACTTTTGACCCCCATTGTCCGTACATTCATTCGCAATAGAAAAACTTTGTCATGACCCTGACCCACATTTCTCTTGGCTTCTGGCCACCAAGAACTGCAACTCGCCCAAGACAATAACAGGCCAAGCCTGAATCTCGAGTTTACGATCTGAACTCCATCGGAAAAAATTTGGCCTCCACTAAAGCCTCCCAAAATAGCACCAAGATGCCTTTCGAATTGCAGGTTGCCGACCCAGCCGATGCGCCGAACCGCGCCGAGGTCTTCTTCGCCGCGTTCTCAGATGACTTCAACAGGACAATGTTTCCGGTCAACCCGGATGTACATGCTTGGATGATCAAGAACATGCTTGGAGGCGACAATTTCGCGCAACATGAAGTCTTTCTCAAAGTGACAGATTTGTCAAATCCCGAGGTGCCCGTAGCGTTCGCGAAATGGAGACGGCCACTGTCCTCATCTGGTGCCGATCAGGAATCCCACCCCGAGACTCCTATGCAGTGGCCCGTGAGCAGTGACAACGAGCTGTGCGATCGGTTCTTTGGCAGAATGGATAGAGATCATGGAGAGCTGATGAAGGACAGGCCTCATTACTGTACGTGGGTTTCTTTATCAACTCCATTCCTCACATTCTTTTGCTTTTTGGTGCTCGTACTTCTAGAGTTCGGAAATGCGGTCTTCTTTTAAGTTCCATCTTTATACCAATCACTGGGCCATCGGGATACACAGAATCTGGCTGATGTTTAAACAGATCTTGAAATGCTGGCAGTCCACCCATCCTATCAGGGTCGCGGGCTTGCCTCCAAGCTATTGAAATGGGGTCTCTCTCGCGCCGACGAAGAGGGCGTAGAGGTGTATCTCTCCAGCTCACCGGATGGAAAACCACTATACGAAAAATATGGCTTCCAGCTTCAAGATGGTTCGTTCTCTCCGTTTCCTGGATACACACAAGTCAACATGATACGCCCGATCCAGAACTCTTGATTGTAAAGAAGTTCTGACTGTTTTTCGCACGTTGGGGGCATCCGAATTTCATTTCCATATTCTCTTTCATATTTACCCATGTTATTGTAAGCCAGCAGTCAAGCTGGCTTAGGATTTAAACAAGCGAATTTCGGGGTGTTCGAAAGAAGGTTATTCCTGCTACATACAAAAAAAAAGCTTTACGATCAGCCGAGTATTCATACATGAAGCCTCTTGTGAAATAGATTAGTCGTTGAAGCCCTCATTTGAATTATCATAAACCACCCGTGGTGGGTTCCTCGCTCCTGAAGGGTGATCTCACACATGTCCCACCTTATTCCTAGCCCTCAAGATCATATCGTTCAAGTGCTTCAAATCCTCCAGATGTCAGTGGGTTCTCCTTGTCAGGCCCATATTTCAAATATTATAGTGTAAGTGACGTGCAGGCACAAAATCCGATAATGAAACAATAAATTACGCTTGGAACTCATCACATACATCTAGAAATTCCATACGGGCACAGATACTCGTTATTCTACCAGCTTTGAGTCGGATTTTTACCGTCGCGACCGACTATTTCTTCCCAGCTCGAACAAGGAAGGGCGGGGATTGTATGGTAGTTCTGCTGGAACCATCTGCTTTTCACGCATACATCCCTCGAGCTCTCGTGCTCTCTTTCCAAGGATAGGATTTGCTTTTTGTCCCTCGAGTTCTCGTACTCTCTTCTGATAGACTCGATTTTGAAAGATCACGATGCCTATCATCCCTGCGAGACAAGCACCTAACCCTACTCCAACACCGATCGTGACGAGACTTGAACTTGAAGTTGAATTTGAATTTGAATTTGAATTTGAGCTCTTCTCACTCATGTTATCAGCGCTTGCTGTTACCGTCGTGGTGACAAGGGCCGGGGTGGGAGAGACCGTCACAGTGGTAAGAGCCTGGGTGGAAGAGCTGGTCTGGGAAGATTTAGTGGACTCTATCACTGTTCCCACATCCAGTAAGAAGGCATTGTCACAACAATTGCTGCCACTGATGCTGCAGCACCAATGGTTCAAACCACCTTTTACTGCGGGACATGGCAAGACATGTATACCGAAGCTTTCCTTCATTGTTGTACCTTTGCATTTGTTAGATTAGATAGCTCTCTAAGACCCATTTTTTTCAGACTTCATACCAACAGGACAAAGCGTTTTGTTCAGTTGAGGGCAATCGGAGCCCCATGATTCATCTGTACATGCATTGAGTAGGAAGAGCCCTGTATAAGGGCTGACTTGCGCTAAACAAAGCCCTGTTGAAGTGCATATATCGTTTGCTTGATTTCCTGATTTATTGATGGAGCAGCAAGCACTTGTTGATTTTTCTGGAAAGCAAGGCTGCATTTCATCCGTTGCTGCTGTCCCATCACTGAAGTAGCATTGTGAAGCTAGCGTACCTGGCAGTATACTAGCTTGTATCACTAGACAATATAGGACACATTGCCAAATTTTTTCGAATTTGGCCAGCATGACGATAGAGATGGAGGGTTGGTTTCCGTGCAGTCGCGCACATAGCAATTCTTTTTGTTTTAGAAAAAATGTTACGCTAGCGCGGTCCTAGGGGCTCAATACACTAGGCAATGGACTGAAGAGAAAAAGGCCCCAAAGATTTCAGAGTGGACCCTCTGTGTGATATTGCCAGATGTCATACATACGTGACGATTTGTATGGTAATCTAAATGAAAACAGACTATCTTAGGATTTGGCTATCTGAACTCGAAGCGAGCTTCCCAAATAACCGCCCCTAATCCCCTCCCCTCCGTGTCACTAAAATATATAGGATTTCCAGTGAATTATAGAGCGTCCGACTTTTATCCCCTCTTTTTGATCCCATATGTTTCTATCCACTACCTATAACACTGGTTATCTTTTCATTCACTGAAGTATGGAACAGGCTGGGGATATACGGTAACTCGAGGTAGCATGTAAGAGCAATAGAATTGTACAAAAATCTTATTTTGAGGCTTTTTACCCGCTTGCGTCCATATACATACTAGCGGAATGAAGGAGACGCACTCCGTCAATCAGCGCCTATGTAGCACGTGTTATTGGTAGGATGGTAAAATCGATCAGCATAGGTCTCCACTAACCAATCGCGAGCTCAGTCTCATATTGTTCGGCTTGGCCTAGGCTTGTCTTGCTAGCCAACCAAATTCGCAATGACAAAGAACATGCGGAATAGCTGTGCATAAGGTGAGACCATGCTAATGCACACTGAACACTGAGGTCACACTGCTAGCACGTGACAAGATCTAAGTGGTGTATGTAAACAAATCAGACAGGTCCTGTGACTCCCGCAAACCTTACCTATTCCTCGACAACATTAGTCTCTTTCCGCGTAAATATCCAGATATTGTGTGGGAGCCTTAATTGGAGAAAAAATAAGTGCAAGAGCATGATTCAACTAGAGCATCATATCCTGAATGAAAATTGGACAGGGGTTCATCAGACCCCGCACAGCAGGAGTGGAGAATAGTTGGGGGCCAACGCTAAACTAAGGAAAATTTTGTAATACGATACATACGCTCCGTATTCCCTGCCGGCAACATTCTGATTGAGCATTGATCAGCATATACCTACAGGCATATATCTAGTATTCTGTTGCCATCTCTCTTATCTCGATAACGTTTTTGTTTATACACAAAATCATGTATTATTATAATAGTTAGACAGATATCGGGTAGCGAACTCGGTGCTTGGCCGCCTATATGTTATCATACTATCATTTTCCTCTAGGGTTTCTGTACGAGGAATCCTGAACCCTGTCAAGCGATTTGAGGTCCGACGGCATGAGAGTCCGCATAGGAGCTGACATTGCGAAGGTTTTTCAATCTATACCCATGAGCGGGATTTTCAAATTGTAGCCGCCTTAGATTATCTTATATCACTCGTTAATAAGTTTCGAACACGTCCCCTGGGCGGCAGGGTCAATATAAACGATTCGCTTACGAATCTTCAAGAAATATAGTAGGTAGAGCAGAAGAGAAGTAGCTTCAGAAATAGTGGAACATAATACTTCGAGCTGGACCCTTTACATTTATAGTGCCGTGTAATCTCTCCCTTAGTGAAGGAGTAGAAGTATCTACCTAAAGTCAAATAATAGTGCTATATGTCGGGTTACATCATTGGTTCTACCCTATACGAATAGCGTTCCAGCTTAAAAGGCGAGAACAAGCTAGGTGTCAGATCGAGCGGTATCTGCGGTGAAATTAAAAGGGGAGTATAGAACTAAAGGCCAAGCTGCAGTGGTCAGTAGGGCGAAAATCAAGTTAGTAGGGCGGTAATGGTTGCAAGATGCAGGAGTTGAATGGAAGAGGGGAAGGAAGAGGAGCGAGACCGGAGATTTTATGTTCAGGCGATAGAGGAGGAGGTTATAGGATAGGATATCGGGGCGTAAGGATGAGAATGACAAAACTAATCGGAAGCAGTAAATCACATGTCCCTATATCACTAGAAATACAATCCTAGGAAGTTGTTGGTGTGGTATACTACATTGCTCATATTTTTGAGGCTGGTGGCTCTGAAAGGGGGATCGCTAAAGATTTTTTGAACTAATTTATTGAGATAGATTATGTACGCTCAGGTTTCTTACCTCCTAGGTAATCACAAGTGAACTGAGTGTACCTTAGAGTCTGTAAAGTGCGCATGGGATAATCATTAGCCCCGTCTGGTTCTTCTTTCTTCAGGAGGTCAAGCCTCACAAGTTCTATCTACAAGTATCCTGGGGGCATTGACTGCTTTCTTCTTTCTCTTCTTTCGCGAAATTTCCCCATTTTTACTTTTCACAGATCGGGAACCGACTAAACTAGGGACATCCTTGTCACACCAGCAGCATCTGTACTTCTCAGAGAGTACTATGCACCAAATTCACTGAATTGAACAAATGTGCCTCACCTATTACCTATAGACGAAACAGGATCTTATTGTTTCCTCATCAGGACCCAGCTTTACACTAATGGTTAGTGCCTTGTGTGTCCTAGGTGCCTAGCCTGAATATTCTCCTGAAGTTATTGTGGGGGACTATCGATAGCAATAGGTTGGTATAGCAATCACTCATGCCCTTATACTAACGTTGCATGAATAACGAACTTGTTCGTCACTGCAACATTTGGAGACTCTGTCAAATATTATAATATCCTTTCCAGTAGCGATACACTGCAAACGGCTTGCTCAGGATGTCCTGGAATGATCTCTACACCTATGAAACCTTTACCCTCATCAGATTTTGCCGCATCCAGACATTTACAGTACATTGTATGAATCATCTTCTCTTTGCTGAATCATCAGACTATACAGGACTTCTCAGGTGACAAATTAACAGTCTAGAAAGAAGTTGATTCATGCTTCGATCGGCTTCGGAAATAGAGGCAGAGTTTACCACATGGGTTGCAAATATTTGATGTGAGTACGGAAACTAGACTACCCTATTACCGACAAAATTATAAGATTTTTTTTTACATCTGATGAATATCATATTCATCGATTTCACCCAACGCTGTAACTGCCCTTTTTTGTTCCCTAAAACCCTATGGCGGCTTTTTCTGCGTATCTCAGCTGTATGAAGAGATACTTAGCCATCATATACCCAGTCCTGGTCCATTTTTGGACCAAACTTGTTGCCACCATTCCTCACATGGTCAATGATGTGGATTAATTAGGTCCATGGAGTGGAGAAGACCTCAAAATCAGCCAAAGAGTATTGAAAAAGATGAGTGAAAAACACCCTGCGGCCAGCAGGGTTCGCACCGGAATCAGTACGTTAGACTTTCACTGGGCTAAACGGGGTTTCTTCTCATGAAAGCTCTACTTTAGTATATCTGACCCTACTCTCCAGAAGAGAGGCGAAAAAAATGTCCCCTATTTCATTTTCTTTCAAACCCTTCTATGCTCTGGATGCCCTAGTGTCACTAGATAGTCCTGGAAATAATCAGCAAGATGGAATCTTTCCAGATGAAGCTACGTATTTTTTGAACGAGATGAAGATAATGAAAGTCCCTCCCAATACGTCTTATCGAAAATGAAAACTGTTCTCGATGTATTTTGATAGCCATTCGACAGAGAGTGATGAGCAAAAAAAATAATAATGGATAAGAGCTACCGAAATGGCGGTATGACGTCTTAAAGACAATTTTCGGGAATCAACTCATATGTGATTTTCTTTCACGCCGTATTTCCAACCCAGCTACATTTGACTGCATTCAATCGAAACAACGAGGTGATAATCTCGTGGCTGTGCAAGCTTTAACCCACTACAATGGCAGGGCTGCACTGTAGTACCGGGCCTGGCCCCAGGCATCGTATAAGCTTCTAAGCTCCTATAGCGCGGGAAGCCAAGGCTGGAGGATTGTGGTCAGAACAGATTGCCAGATGACATGCCGAAACCCGTTCCAGCTACAGAGCCCAACACAAACGCCTCTTGATTCACGCAAGCTTCTGCTACTGTAGACACGGCATGGCCCCATTCAAAGCTCCGTGCAATCGGGCTGGGCCATAAAGAACCCGACCGGCAAGTTTCCGATCACGGCAAGTCCCCACTCAGGCGCCAGGATTTGCGCCGACGGCCGGCTGACTGGCTGCTTCGGCGTGGAATTCCGCCGATTCTTGGCAATTCGACCAAATGGGGACTACTTTCCGACCGCTTCAAAGCCACGGATTAGCACGTTTATGCGGCTGTAAGGCCTCCTTCTCGCGGATTGTCACGGTTTTAAAATATGCGACGGGGTAACCTTTCGTCCTATTCTAAAGCCCGGTTGGGGGCATTGTTCCACCACTGTGGGCAGTTTTGCATCTGTATATAGCCCAGTCTTCCCGTAATTTAGATAGCATTGGCGCTTTCGTTGTTGAATAGACACGGAAAATAAATTGGCGGTTGCTGGAAACTCATGATAAATTGAGTCGTACATCACCAGTTCATATTCTTCCCTTTATTTTGGCCATAGACTCCCATGGCTTTTACGGATCCATTATCCAGCTCAGAGAAGCCTGAACCAACAGGTGCTACTAGCCGGCCTTCGTCAATCATCACCCAACACAAAGAACCCGATGATAAATTTACGCTGGGATGGCGAGGCCGACTGGCCTTCTTTACTTTGGCGGTGCTTGCACTAATGTCTGCCTTGGATGGGACTTCCCTTTCGGTGGCTCTGCCAGTGAGTATAGTTCCTCTCTTGGAGTCGAGTTCAGGACATATGAGCTAATCAATCTCTAGACTATTTCGCAGGCCCTTCATGGAACTGCAATCGAAGCCTTTTGGAGTGGAACGTCCTTCTTGCTTTCTTCAACAGGCAAGTTCAAAATATGGCATGTTTACACCTTAGAAAGGCTCGGCTAATATCAAAATAGTATTCCAACCAAGCTTTGCATCTTTATCCAATATTTTCGGTCGCCGTCCGATGATATTAATCGCAATTTTGTTCTTCTGCATTGGAGCGATTGTTGCCGCAGTTGGTCACAATTTCACTTACATGCTCGTCGGGCGAACAATACAAGGTGTTGGAGGTGGTGGCATTATTGCCCTGAGTGAGGTGATCATCACCGACTTGGTACCCCTTCGATACAGAGGCCAGTACTTCGGAATTATGAGTGCAATGTGGAGTCTGGGATCTGTGACAGGCCCTATCCTCGGGGGTGGATTTGCTGAGAATGTGACTTGGGTAAGTCAAATACGAACGTATCGGGAATGAATCTAACAAACACTTCCCTAAACACAGCGGTGGATTTTCTATATCAATTTTCCATTTGTCGTCGTCGGAGCCGTGTTTGTGGTTCTCTTCTTGAATCTCACCATCGTCCCAAGCTCGCTGGCAGAGAAGCTTCGTCACATCGATTATGTCGGAACAATCATTTTCGTCGGCAGTCTATCCTCTTTCTTGATCCCTCTCACTTGGGGCGGAGTTTCATATGCTTGGGACTCATGGCATACTCTGGTGCCTTTGATCATTGGTGCTGTTGGACTACTCGCCTTCGCATTTTACGAATATCGTTTCGCCACTGATCCCATTATTCCCCCAGCAATATTCCAGAACCGCACTGCCACCGCCTCATTCATTGGTAGTGTCCTCCAGGGTCTGATTTTATGGTGCGCCCTCTACTATCTACCTTTATACTACGAAGCTGTGAAGGAATACAGCCCGATTATGTCTGGAGTCGCGGTCTTCCCCGAGACATTCACAGTTGCCCCGAGCGGAGTGGTTGCTGGTATATTGATCACGGTCACCGGTCACTATCGTTGGGCGATTTGGCTTGGTTGGGTCATTTCTACTATTGGTCTCGGTCTGATGTGTCTTATGAAGCCCACCACTAGCATTGCGGGCTGGATTCTGCTCAACGTCGTTGCGGGTCTCGGGCTTGGCATCCTGTTTCCATCGCTGGGATATGCTGTGCAGGCATCAGCCAAGCCTGAGAACCTTTCGATTGCAGTCGCAATGTTCAGTTTCTTCCGTGCGTTGGGACAAGCAATCGGCGTCGCTGTGGGTGGTGTTGTGTTCCAGAACCGCATGTACACGAATTTGCTCAAGTACCCGGCGCTTGCCCCCATGGCCAGCGCATACAGCCAGGACGCCTCGGGCCTAGTTCAAATCATCAAGGGCATGGCTGATGGGGCGAACAAGACACACCTGAAAGAGGCTTACACAGATAGTCTGCGCATTGTGTGGGCAGTTTGTTGCGCAATCTCCGGGGTGGCTCTCCTCGTCAGTTTGCTGACTCAATCATATGATCTTAATCAAGCGTTGGAAACCAAACAGGGACTTCGTGAAGAGGAGCCGACAGAGAAAGACATCGAGGCTTCCGTTGATCGACAAGTTCAACAGACTACTCCATGGGCGTATTGATATTCAGAGTTGCTCCGTGAATGATTAATGATTGATGGCATCTGTCTAGAGTGTACAGCATATTTTACATAGTTCAAACTCCATTCCATACCGCTAATATTACCGTTTCATATTTACACATATTCGGGGGCTTCAATATCAAACCCATCGGTAAATCCTACGCCGCGGATGAGCGTTTTAATTCCTTCGCCTCTTTTCGTAGTCTCCCAAGCATCGACCACTTTCTCAAACGGAACTATTTTCGTGATCAGTGAGTGCAATTCGATCTTTCTGGTAAGGGCCAGCTCCAGCGCCATCTTGTAATCTCCAGGCCCATATCTGAAACAGCCTTTGACCGTAATCTCGTTCTCCGACACCGTTGAGATCGGAAAAGTCACATTCCGGTTGCCGAGACCTATCTGCACGAAGCGGCCGCCGACTCGCAACGAATGAATCGCCATCTGAATACAAAGCTCAGCCCCGGTCGCTTCGATGGCGACATCAAATCCAGGAATATCCGACTCGGTGAATTGTGAATCTCGGTGCATGCCACGCAGACACTGAGCGTTCTCCTCCGCTGAGAGCGCGCTGTTCGGGATCGCGGTCGAGAACGATACCCGCCCATTGGGGACAAACGAATGGGCAAAGTCGAGCTTATCGCGGCTAATATCGACGGAGATGACCATGCTCGCCCCAAACTCGCGAGCAACGGCGGCGGACAGCAGTCCTATGGTCCCTGCGCCAAAAACCACCACCTTGTCTCCGGGTTGCACCCCGACTTGCCGCACCGCGTGAACTGCGACGGACAAGGGCTCAACTAGACATGCTTCGTCGAGCCCAAATGGCTTAGTCAGATTGGTCGGGATCTTGTAGCAGCAGTCGGCCGGCATCTTGTAGTACTTGGTCAAAGCGCCATGAGTGTACGGCGGATTTGCTGCGAAACTCATTTGCGGACAGAGGTTGTATTTCCCTGCTTTGCAGCGACTACACAGTCGACAGGCAGAGCCAGGCTCGATGGCGATGGGGTCCCCGGGTTTCAGAGTTGTGACTGCGGGGCCTACGGCATGAACGATGCCCGAGGCCTCGTGGCCCATCACCAGGGGCCGGTCTTCCGCAACGAAGTTCTTGACGCCGCCATGGAGCCAGAAATGAACCTAGGGACTGTTAGAAAAACAAAATTGGCTCTCGCTAAATCCGGTTCTTGTTGCTCATCTGTGAATTGCTAACATCACTTCCGCACACTCCCACATACGCAATACGGATGATCACATCGTACGGGTCTTCGATGGCCGGCAACGGCCGATCTTCCAAACGAACATCCCCAGGCCCATAGAGCAGGCACGAGGGATTCTGCATCTCTAACATGCTCTGCGAGGGGAAGGGGAAGAGGCCTTGTGCGAATTGGTCGTACATGGCGACGTGTGTTGCGTTCTTATAGCAAGCCGGGGCGACAGATTCGGAGTATCAGATCATCTGACCGGAGACGGATTCGAGAAGAAAGTTTAAGACTGTCCCTGCCAGCTCGTACGGGGCGTCGACACGGAAGAGAGCAATCCGAGCGTGCAGGCGAAATCTGGGCTGACGACTCTCAAAGGCGTAAAGGCGCAAAGGCGCAAAGGCGGGGGAAACTGGCTAACAGACTGGCCAAACTAACCAGATGCCCCCACACACGGGAACCTGATAAGCAGTCCACACTTGTCAATACTCAAGCTTATTCGAATGACAAATCAAAGACTCAATTGTAACATTAACCCCCATCACCACCAACTAGGTACAGGAACAGAAAAGGGAAACTGGGAACCTGGGAAACCGGGAAACCACACTCCACGCCAGGTCGTCACGTATGAGAAGAACCGAGCAGAACGCCGCATCAAAAACAGGTCAAAGATGAAAATCAAATCACAAGGTCGTAACATCGTCAAGCTGATACATGGCAACACGTGCAACACGTGCAACAAATTACTCACGGCCCATGACACGCAGTCGCTCCTTGAGCATATCCATTTCGCGATCGTAATCCATGGCAGTCCGTTTCTCGCTCCTCTCGCGGTCACTGTCTTTCATCAACACCGACCGATACTCGCCGTCGCCATCGGGCGCGCCAACCGTGACCCAAACAAATTTAATCCCCTGGCTTCCGGCGGCGGGGCGCTCCTGCGTCCCCTGCCAGAACATTTCAGGCGGCACGGAGTCTTCGCCAGTCGCAGAACGAGGAGGCGATGGGCGACCGCCAAGCCGACCGTACTTGATCCATCCCTTCAACACGTCTTTGATGAAGCTGATCTTTTTCGCAAACGAATTGGCTTCTAGAATCTCCCGGATGCGGTCCTCAACCGAATTGATCGACTCGCCGCTCGCAATGCTGATGAAAGTTGCTGCCTCGTCGGACGCGACCGCGCGAGTGTCGAAGCCGGACGGGTGCATCTTGCCCTTGGCAGTAAAGTAACGGGCTGCGGAGGGCGACAGGTGATAGAAGTCGATCCATGGGGAGGAGCTGCGGGTCCGACCAGGCGAGATCACGAGCTTTGTATGGTCCGGGAAGTTGAACTGAAAAGCACCATCTCCGAACCCCCAGATGCCAACATTGCCCAGGCGCTGGTAGAACTTGATGAACTGAGTACCGGTACGGGTGGGCACGTCATCGGTTATCCCTTCATCACCGTGGCGACCAAGTGATCCGATCATGTACTTGCCGAACTGGTCAACCAACTTGACACGTTTGATCTTCTCTGCATCGGATCGTTCACACTCAGATCCCGAGTTGGTCCGCAACTTCATGACTTTCGGATTGCTTGCGTCAAAGAGAGAGCAAGATACCAATGCCCGCCGAATACCACGACAGCCGAGCAAGCTATCATCACGGTTTTCATAAAATTCAATCGGCTCCCCGGTGCGAGGGACATACTGGTCTGCTTCAGAATAGGGAATACCCTTTCCCTCGGCAGTGTCAACGCTTCGCGCCTTGCGCCGAATGTGTCGCTCGCCATCTCGGACCACAACACTGGTCGCCGGCTGGCCATTTTCACCTTTGAAGACACACCCGACACTGCCATCGTCCAGAACATATCCAATCCCGTATCGGTTAGTATAATCGACCCACTTAATGACATAGGCGTGCGGTTGTTTTCTGGAACCGACTCGGCGCCGGGTGGGGCCATGATTGACCAGGTTGGACAGCATAAGGCGCAAATTCGTGTTTACATCCGCCAGCGCAGTCCCTGGAAGATCATCACAAGCATCATCTGCGTGGAAAATCGGACTCAGTCCGAGACTGGACCGTGCCTTGTTAGATTTACTGTCCGCCCGGCCAAGACCGTTGGGCTGCGCAACTGGTCTGGCTTGCTGATTGAGTGGGAATCCCTCTTCGGTGGGACTGGCTTTGGGCCTTTCAACCTTCTCTGCGACAATTCTCAGATCTTTACGGGAGGAGGATCGCAATGAGGTATGTCGGCTCAACACACGATGCTCTTCCGGTAATGCAGACAGTTTGGCGTCGTTGGTTGTCGATGGAGCCTGGTTGGCAGCCTCCAACTTCCGAGATTGGGATCGTGTCTTTCCAATCGTCAGACCAGACGGCATGCTTGTCGACTTTGCCAGCTGAGGAATGACGTTCTTTTCAACATCTCGCGATGACGGGGCATGTGAAGTGGAAGCCATTCTGCGCGTACGGATCGGGCGCTCGGCGAGTCCACCAGCAGCGGCATTGTGGCGAGACGATGGAGCAATATCAGGCTCTCTAGCATGCAGGTATGGTCCAGTAGGTGGTTCCAAGGGATCGGCGATGCCAGGGGCCTTGCGGGCAGGGCTCATTCCTGGACGAGCTTGTTGACGAAGAGTTGCGGCATGGTTTTGTGACTCTAGTCTTCGCTGCTGGGCAGCCGCAAGCGCAGCATTGGTTCGAGACGCAGCAAGTGTGTTGGGATGCGCTGATTTTGACAAGATGCTGCTGTCTAACCCAGGCTCTTCTGAGCGGATTGCTTTCTTCGAGTTCTCCAGCAAGCACCAGTCCCCCTCAAAATCATGAGGCCATCGGTAAACAAAACCCATGGGCAACGGAACCATGGGTCGCAGTCCTCGTGAATCCTCTGTGTCGCACTCTGAGTAGGCCGATTTGGAGCAGTTGCGGCCAACTGATTTCCGAGCGGTTCCGTCGGGTTTCCGGCCTACTCCACACAGAGAATAGAAAGCGGCCCTGCAGGAATGGTATCGTTGGCTAGGGTCATCAACTTGGTATACATAGGCACGTAATTTGTCATCTGAATCCAAGCCGTAGCCGTGAACCATACAATCACCGCGCGGCGCCTGGTCCTTGAGCCAGATGGGTTTATTGAATCGACAAGATGGATCCAATTGACGAGGAATACATCCGTCATACATGTTAAAAAAAGGATGCTCCACGATATCGTCAGGATCTGGTCGCTCCTCGTCTACTAGATTCAAGCATGCGCTGACCAAGTCTTTCGCCTCCTCGGGAATGAAGTTGTTTTCCGGTTCCTTGGGCCAGACGTATGTGAGGTTCCTCACTTTCTTGTAAATTTCCTCCTGGGTTTTTGATTGGAATGGTGGGTATCCGGTTAACATCGCAAAACTAGTACAGACAAGTCAGCTTCTGTTCCATGTTAGATGGCTTAGAAATCCCTACCAAATGACGCCTAATGACCAGATATCCACCTTCTGAGTATGACCACCTTTGCTCTTATCAAGAACCTCCGGTGCAATATAATTTGGTGTTCCACAGAGCGTGTTTCTTCGCTTTGCATCTTTGTCTGACAGTATCATCGCAGCCAGGCCAAAATCTCCGACCTTCAGATTCATGTTATGGTCAAGGAACAAATTGCCCATCTTCAAATCGCGATGCGCAACAAATCTTTTATGCAGATATTTCACTGCCGCACAAAGCTGAATCATGAATCTTCTTACTTCCGGCAGCGTGAGGAATCGTCTTTTCCGAACCATATCCATTACCGATCCATTGGGACATAATTCGAGTACGACGTATGTGCTCTGTTCGAATGCGAATGCACGATAAAACTGGACAATAAATGGATGGCGCATTTTTGAGTGGATTTGAAGCTCTGTTCGGAACTGTGGATTCTGTCAGTCCATCTCCACAGGTGGAACTGGGCGACCTTCGGACATACCTTCTCCTCCATCTTCTTCTGCGGCATTTGTGACTTGACAACTTTCATCGCGAATACACGACCGTTTCGCGCCAAAGTTCCTTCATAGCAGACGGCAAATCCCCCTTTTCCCAGAAATCCACCAATCGAGTAGCGCTCTCCACCTTCGTCCGGCTCTGGTACCATCGCAGGGGGCGGGTCGGCATGATTCTTGGAGCTTGAGGAAGTTTTCGGCGCGGCGTTGGCCACTCCATGTCTTTCCCCCATTTTGCGCTCCATATGAACTTTTGGCTTTATCATTTGATTTGTCGAGCGCGGTGATAAGGCCTCCATTATGAATCTCGGCTGCTTTGTCGCTTTTGAGATTCGGCGGCGCAATTGTCGTTGTCGCAACGTCCACGGCGCGTTAGGAAGTAACCCGGGGGAATGTCAATCGTAAAGGTCATGAGAAGAGAAAAATATTAAGGCGTAGTGCAGAAGAGGGTATCAAGTTGCTGCAAAATCGGCATCCCTGCAGCCATCCGACCGTTAACACCTTAGAGCATCCACTATTCGGGCACATCCAGGCAGGGCAGGTTACCCAGGGAATGAAGGGGAAGACGGCCTTACCAGAATGCAAATCGCTAATGAAGCAAACGAAAACTGTACAAATTTCCGACCAGAGCAACCCGATCGAAAGTTGGAGTGTGGAGAAAGGATGAAGCCGAATTGAAGAACTCGGATCATAATAGTTTGCCCGATTTGGAAATCGATAAACAAGCGGTTGCTGAGGTCAGCCACACGTGACCGATAAGGATCCCCGAGTCGAAATTATTGATGGAACTTGAACACAGCTGACATTGCTTGGTTTTAATGAGTTAACTGTTTCGCGCTTTATTGAGGAACTTTTGTTCCTCTCCAATGTAATTTTCTGCCTCTTTGAGTTTTCCTGCCTGGGATGACGAAGTTCATCATAAAGAGAACGAACACACGCTACTCGAATGCGATACTAGCTATTGACGGGTTCCAACCTCAACATTAACTTGCCTTCCAAGGACACGCAGCGCAAGATAATAGAGGTTACTATCTAGTTATATCTAGTTATACAAATTACCCAAATAAGCTGAAACAAGGCAGTTATACGAGACAAGAAATGATTTCCACTAAATGGGGCTCCTCATTGCACTAATTTTTTTGGTTTTATCATTGTTTGCATTTCGGCAGTGGGGTAGGGCTGTAGATAATGGTGACGAAAAGGTTGTAGGTGCGTATGTCTGGACGGCGGGTTGGTCAGGTGGTTGATGGGAAGGGTAGTAGTGGGTGGGACGTGGGATTTTCGGCGCTTCAAGTTGGTAGAATTACGCACGTGCAATTTGCAATGAGGATTCAGTGTGGCCAGAGAATTAAATCATAATCTTCTCCCAAGTCAACTTCTTTTTTTCCTTCCAGCTCCCCCAAGCAGAGGTCCTCGGTGGCTGAATAGCGTTGGCGTCTGCCGTTCCTGCCAGCCGAACGGCATCTATTCATCTGCAGTTCAAGGATTTCTTCAATATTTTTGAATTAAACGGAGAAGTCTGCTTTTGCATCGGAGTTTTTACCCTTACTGATTGACTGAAGTGGAACTGGAACGTAAAGGTTACCGCATTGAGATGGTGATTGATATCCAACCAACCGTCCAACCGCCCAACCGTCCAACCCAATCCAATTCACTTCACCTATCAAAAATAGAATGAATGAGGGCCTATCAAGTATTGAACCTGAGAAGTGCGCGCCTGAAGCCAACAATGAAAACTGCAAGTCGGATCGCCAAATCAGCCAAAATTTCACACACCATTGCACCGGGCAGGCCCTTCCACGGGGTAAACACCATTGAACACAACCTATGATAGCATGAATCTGCTATAATATTTAGCTCACAGAAACATTTGTGGACTACTATGACAATATAAATAGTGGCTGTTTGTCCCCTGCATTAAGCCTGAAGCACACTCGTTGTCCGTTTGACATCACTATTTCAGGTCTCTTGTACCCCCTCTCTAGCTGTTGTCTCCCATCGAATATTTTCTCTTGCTCTATTTTACAATCAGCCAGGCCTTCTCTTGCTATATACTAGCTAGGCGAGGTCCTTCGCCAGTACGCAACTCTCCTAAAAGACAGGTCATTAAATCGATATAGGAGTAATCGGGATGTCTGTCAATTCACAAAAGCCAACAAGAGATGGAGGGCAGTCACAAAAAGATGAAATGATTTCCCGTTGTTCTTTTTTCCGAGGTTCCCTGTGCACCAGAGAATTGCAAAACAAGGCGATCAACTTGAACAATCTTCCCCAATCCTTTTTCGCGACCTATATCCCAAACGTATTCAGCCAAGAAGATTGCGAAAATCTCATTCAAACACTCATCCAAAACCGCTCGGGATGGCAGCAGCGGACCCCGGTTAATACAGGGCAAGGATTGGCCCCAAACACTAATCAGCGAGATCATGCATCTTACAGATTCATCAATTCCCAACAAGCTTGTCACCTATTGATGAAGCTCGCACCCATTTTAAAGCAGAATCGGCTTGTTGAGTTCCCTGAAGGAAATTCCGTGACCATGCTCACTCGCATCAACCCAATGATTTCCTTCTTTGAGTTTACAAAAGGTCAATATTTTACAATGCACCCGGAGATGCCAGACCAGCGTGATGAAGGAGATATCTCCCGTTTTACCATTCTTGTTTATCTCAACGAAAATTTCCAAGGCGGAAGGGAGGAATTTGAGACACTAGGGGAGATTGGAGCGCCAAAGACAGGAGCTGCTCTGATCTACGAACAGTATAAAAAAGAAATCAGCCACAACATTGTGAAAACGGGGACTAAGTATGTTATGAGGCTGGAGCTTGAGTACTGCCGTGAAAAAAATTTCCATGATGTGCTTTCCAAGTTCGATCGCACTACCAGGACACTTATCAAACATGTACGGGCGGATCTGGTGCCAAGCGGAATGGCTGTGCCCAGAAAACCGCGTCCGACTCAGGCCCCACGCGGTGCGCCACAGGGATCGGGCAATGACGACGATAATCCAAACTTGCGGGATCTTTTTAAAAGGGGACAACAATTCGCGGCAGCTCAAGAGCAGTTGAAGAAAAATATGCGGGACCGAAATAACGGAATGGAACAAACCAGCCAGGAATCCGAAGTGGTCAAAGACCGCAAAAAGCCCAAGAAACGCAGAATTCCAAAGCTTTGGGGAAAGCGACAGTGATCCTTCAAGTGGTTGCAGTGTCCGTTTAATGGGAGATAGCATAGTTGAGTGATGACTTGAGGGTTCTTGTGGATTACCGCTCTGAGGGCAGCAGAAAATGGAATGATTCTAGTCGGAGGGGATATCGAATCTGAGCAGGGAGGATGGCGTGGCGATTCGCATAACTCTCGTTTACCTCTACACAAAAACCAGCCATGGAATCAATATAAATTCATTGGCAAATCGAAATAATCTATCTTTCTTCATGTATTCTCCGTATATACCCGTAAGCCCTGATATGGATGTAGGCAGGTGCAAGCAGGAATGGGCGAAGATGGTTACATAAGGTGTCTCTGGCTATCCACGACCACCGTCGAAATTTCGATCATATCTTTACGGTATTTCCATATTTCCTCGGCTGCTTATTGGAATGTTTCTAAATTATATGCGACATTATTTCTTCATGAGGGTAAGAATCAAGCTCATATTCCCACATTACATTCCCAGGTTCACTGAGATTTTTAAGGCAGAAATTTATGTTTGGCACTGCAATACTCCGCATCACTTTCTACAATATTCAAGACCCAAGGCATTTCCTCATGAGACACATATGGAAAATGCCATCGCCCGCCGGAGTTGGAGTTGGCGTGGTGGTTGGTCCCTGTTGTTGGATGGTCTAGAATGTCATGGTTAACTAGACTCTCTTGTTGCCGTTCTAGTGCTGACCTCGTCTTGGCGTCTACATTGATTATAACCTGGTACAGGTCTCTTCAACCCTGAAAATTCCCCTGGGAAGGGGCTTCCTGGACCATATTACCTTTTCTATCGCTTGATTATAATTTCCTTCTTTTTACCTTTTAGATAGTGTCTAAAAGAAGCCACATGAAACCGTGAGGACCTGTATATTCCTGTATACGTCCGGATATTATGAGGATACTTGGAGCCCGACGCCGTTACACGCTAGTCAGCAAATCATGTGCTGTAGGAGATATTGAACGTCCCCTGTCAGCCGGTTTAGTTCGTTAGCCGTCATCATATTGAGCATCGCATTCCATTAGACCTCACCTTTACAAAACTATACAGTATTCTACTATATTGACAGATCAAATTACGATAATACAGACGAAAAGCAAAGTACAATAGGGTTTAAAAGTATTTCCCGACCCACTCTTTTCAACTATCCCCGTCAACTATATATATCTAGCACATACTGTACGTATTTCGACTAGTAGACCTTATAGGCCGTTGCGACTCTCCCAATTCGATCCGATTCAAGACCTGGGTTTTGGAGGTTCGGTTTCATCGATGCTGGCCCCCCTTCGTTTTCGTCGTACCTCCACCTCTCCTCCGCCTGTGTAGGATCTGTGATGCCGTTTATTGTTAAGACCTCCAGACAAAGGATCTAAAATTTCCTTGGGCTTATGCTCACTCGAGAGTACAGGAGAGCGACCGAAAATTGTAACGGCCTTGGGTTTCAGGACTCATCTCCATTGAAATAGTATTTATTAATTCCCCTAGTTCTTTCCAACTCAGCTCGGAGGAATATTGCGTGCATGTCACAGTGTGAAGAGAACCCTGCCTCCAATTAAACAATCGGAGCCGTCCGCAAGGAGATTTCGGAACATAGTTGTGGTCCTGGAAATAGCTATATAGTGCACGGCGCATTGGTTGATACTCAATCCACAATGGAAGTCCATACCGCCCTTGAGGTTATCGCCATCTTCAAGCAACGGAGGTGCCTCTGGCTGCTGACTCATCCCCACATCGGGGCGGTGGGGTCGGTGCCTGGTCAGCGCCGCGGTCAGATTTGTCCAGGTTTACAGTCGTGAGTCAAGCTCGAGGCCGCTCACTTCGCTGTTTCATGCCGACTCGTCGCCTCACACCATGTCCTTAACACTTAAAATCTCCTCCCTTGTCATTCGCACACTTTCCAAGCCTATTGCGGTACGCTTTCGTTAGAATTAGTCCTCCATGCTCTCGGACTGAAGCTAACTTGGGCCCCCAGAACCAAATCAAGGCACAAGCACGGGAGCATGAACGGTTTCGCCATATATGTGTCTCAATGGCACAGGCCATGCATCGTTTTGACATGCGCCTCCGACTAGGATCCATTCGTGACACCACTGCCTCACGCAAACAGGCCGAGGCCCAGGCCGCGGCGAAGAAGCACATCCCTACCTCCCCGACCGTCAAGACGGAGGCGGCCACCAAAGCTGAAGAAGAAGCTGTTGCGAAGGCAAAGGCAGCCGCCGAGGAGGCCGCCAAACCACAACATTACCGAATTCGACCACTTTCCGAATCAAAAGCCATCGAGTCCGGGGCTAACTTCATTAGCGAAACGTTTCTGTTCCTGGTGGCTGGTGGGTTGATTGTCTTTGAGTCCTGGCGATCGCGGCGCAAGGAGAGCACCCGCAGAGAAGGTGTAGAGGATCGTCTTATGGAGCTGGAACAATCCGAGAAAACCGCGCGGGAGGCTCTTGTGGCTCTGGAGAAGGAGCTGCTGGCCCTCAAAGCCAAACATGGGGAAACATCCCAGACCACCAAGCGCATCCTTCCTCGGGAGGTATATGAAGTCAATTCGGAAACAGAGCAGCCTGTGATTGAGGAGAGCTGGTGGTCGACCCTCACATCGTATCTCTCTTTCGGTCCAAGTTCTGTGAGCAACCCTCCGGCCGCATCATCTGCAAATCCGACTTCAAACTCAACGGATGCCAAAACGATCACCAGTCAGCCAGCAACTTCGAGTGTATCATCAACTCCCACCTCTTGAGGCTAAGCGCCAATGATGGGCGCTGCCCTTTCTCCCTTTACTGTATATTAATTGACACCTACGTCCAGTGGATACCCCTTTCAGTTGACACCGGGATGCCCTGTTCGCTGTTGATCGGCATCCTGCACATATTTTCTTTTGTTGATCTCCACTACTAGATTTGCTTTGAGCGTAGGCAAGGACTGGCGTTTTCGAAGGCCTTTGTGTGGTATTCATATTCATTTGTTTGCATAGCATAACCTCCATTCTGCTCTGATGATCAGATTTTGGCATCAACGCCTCGCCTGGGCTCTCCCGGATATTGCATCTCATCTCTCGCTTTCGCTGTTTATGGTCCATCCAACTACCTAGTAACTTTTCATTTCGCTGTTCTCTCTTTTCGCTTTGAGCGCCAGGGGAAATTGGTTGAGTGGCGCCCAATGAAGCTGGGCTGTCATGCACGAGAGGGTAAAAAGCAAAAAAAGGGCGACTCTGCGGCAACTTTTTGGAGGGACCAGTATCCAACCGCGGAAGAGGGTCTGCTTACGAAGTTTCAGGCGTCCGTTTGGCCCGTCCATGCCCAATGACGTCGGTGCTTCTATTCTTGACTCGCACGAGCCACAGTCCCTGACGTCGTGGCGGCTCCCTTCAAAGTTGTCGGGACAAGCAAAGAAGATCTCGACGAATAGCCCAGTAGTCTGGTAGTGTGCCACAGTATGCCCCAATGCCCGTGTACTGAGTAGTGGCAATATCGTCCGTCGGCCGGGACTTGCCAGTTGGTGGTTCTGCCCCTGAGGCGGCGAACCGGAACCCTCGACCCTTTCGAGTGTGGCGCAGGCAGTTTGATTTGGTTTGCCTACGTAAGTCCGATCTTCCTCCATTCCGACTTCCCTTGGCCTTCCTCCCTTCGACGCTACAATTCCTTTCCTTGAACTTATACTCCAGTTCAACTTTGGTCGATCGTACACTGTCGCTGGGCGCCGGTTCCCCGGTTGACACGAACATGGTGAGTGGACTCGCCCGCGTCGCAAGATAGGGCCTCCGTCCCCTCTCCCCCCAAAGGAGGACACCGGACTGACCCCGCCGTCCTTGGACTGTTTCTAGGGTCACTCACGACGCCCCCAAGGCGGGGAGAAAAAAGTCGCTTTGGGCGCTCCAAAGCAGTCGCCGACGTGGGAGACGGTCGGTCCGCCGGCAAACCCCAAGTCAAGAAGGCCACCTTTGAAAGTACCAAGAAGAAGGAGATCGGTGTCTCGGATCTCACCCTGCTCAGCAAGATCTCCAATGAAGCCATCAACGATAACTTGAAACTCCGGTTCGAGCATGACGAGATTTATGTAAGGGAGTACCCGGCGCAAGGCCACACTGCGGGGTTGCGGCGCGCGGACCAGACCACAGGCTAACGAGCGTCATTCCAGACCTATATTGGACATGTGTTGGTTTCGGTCAACCCGTTCCGAGACTGTAAGTGGATCTGGAAGGGATGTGATGGATGTGGTAGTAGTGCTCTGTGATCCGATTACTGATCTGTGATTCTTTTCTCTTTAGTGGGCATCTATACCGATAGCGTCCTTGAGTCTTATCGAGGCAAGAACCGCCTCGAAGTCCCTCCTCATGTATTCGCTGTCGCCGAATCAGCATACTACAACATGAAGTCCTACAAAGACAACCAATGCGTGATCATTTCGGGAGAGTCCGGTGCCGGAAAGACCGAGGCCGCGAAGCGGATCATGCAATACATCGCCAGTGTTTCGGGCGGCAGCGACTCCTCAATTCAGCAGACGAAGAATATGGTGCTGGCCACGAATCCTCTGCTCGAATCGTTCGGTAATGCGAAAACACTGCGCAACAACAATTCGTCGCGATTTGGCAAATACCTCGAGCTCGAGTTCAACGCCAACGGCGAGCCCGTGGGCGCAAACATCACTAACTACCTGCTGGAGAAGTCTCGAGTGGTGGGACAGATCACGAACGAGCGAAACTTCCATATTTTTTACCAGCTTACAAAGGGCGCCCCGCAAAAGTATCGCGACAACTTTGGCGTGCAACAACCTCAGTCCTACCTGTACACAAGTCGTTCGAAGTGTTACGATGTGCCGGGAGTGGATGACGTTGCCGAGTTTCAGGATACGGTGGACGCCATGAAGGTCATTGGCATGAGTGAGGCGGAGCAGGATAATGTGTTCCGTATGCTAGCTGCTATTCTGTGGATTGGCAACATTCAGTTCACGGAGGATGACTCGAGCAATGCTTCCATCACAGACCAATCAGTGGTTGACTTTGTGGCCTACCTGATGGAAGTGGATGCGGCCCAGGTTAACAAAGCTTTGACCATTCGTCTGATGGAGACTGCTCGAGGAGGCCGCAGGGGTTCCGTCTACGAAGTGCCACTGAACACCGTGCAGGCTGTGGCAGTTCGGGATGCTCTGGCCAAGGCCATCTACTTTAACCTTTTCGATTGGATCGTGGAGCGTGTTAACCAGTCTCTGACTGCTAGAGGGTCTGTGACCAACTCTATTGGAATTCTGGATATTTACGGATTTGAAATTTTTGAGAAGAACTCGTTCGAGCAGCTGTGCATCAATTATGTGAATGAGAAGTTGCAGCAGATTTTCATTCAGTTGACCCTAAAGGCTGAGCAAGATGAGTATGCTCGAGAGCAGATCAAATGGACACCGATCAAGTACTTTGACAACAAGGTTGTGTGTTCTCTGATCGAGGACAAGCGACCCCCTGGTGTCTTTGCAGCCCTCAATGACGCTTGCGCGACTGCCCACGCCGACTCGGGCGCTGCCGACAACACCTTTGTGGGCCGGCTTAACTTCCTCGCCCAAAATCCCAACTTTGAGGGCCGTCAGGGCCAGTTCATTATCAAGCATTATGCTGGTGATGTGAGCTACGCGGTCGAGGGAATGACGGATAAGAACAAGGACCAGCTGCTGAAGGACCTGCTGAACCTGGCTGGATCCAGTAGCAACCAGTTTGTTCACACTCTGTTTCCCAATCAGGTCAACCAGGACGACAAGCGCCGCCCGCCCACTGCGGGTGACAAGATCAAGGCCTCCGCCAATGACCTAGTCGCTACTCTGATGAAGGCGCAACCCTCTTATATTCGTACCATCAAGCCCAACGACAACAAAGCTCCCAAGGAGTACAATGTCGGCAACGTATTGCACCAGATTAAGTACTTGGGTCTTCAAGAAAATGTGCGCATTCGCCGCGCTGGCTTTGCCTATCGTCAAACATTCGACAAGTTCGTTGAGCGATTTTATCTCTTGTCCCCTAAGACATCCTACGCTGGCGACTATACTTGGACTGGTGATTCGGAATCGGGCGCCAAGCAGATCTTAAAGGATACCAGCATTCCTACGGAGGAGTACCAGATGGGTATCTCAAAGGTTTTCGTCAAAACCCCGGAGACTTTGTTTGCCTTGGAGGCCATGCGAGACCGGTACTGGCATAACATGGCCATCCGAATCCAGCGTGCTTGGCGCAACTACCTGCGGTATCGTATTGAGTGTGCGATCCGCATCCAACGATTCTGGCGTCGCATGACTGGCGGACTGGAGTTCATCAAGCTGCGTGATCAGGGACACCAGGTCCTTCAGGGTCGGAAGGAACGTCGGAGAATGAGTCTTCTTGGCTCGCGTCGTTTCTTGGGTGACTACCTGGGAGTGGCCAACAAGGGCGGGCCTGGTGAGATGATTCGTAATGGCGCCAACATCAACAGTAAGTCTACAACCATGTCATTTGTACAAGTGTTATCTAACTATTCATATTAGGCTCCGAGGACCTACTCTTCTCGTGCCGTGGCGAGGTCTTGATTTCCAAGTTTGGTCGTTCCAGTAAACCAGCCCCACGTATTCTTGTCTTGGTATGTTTTCAATACTATTCCATATGCTCAACTTCCACTAACCCTCGCCCAAGACCAACCGTCACGTGTACATTGTCTCCCAGAGCATCGTTAATAACCAGCTCGTCATTTCATCTGAACGTACTATCCCAATCGGTGCTATCAAGGCCGTCAGTGCGTCGAATTTGAAGGATGACTGGTTCTCGCTCGTCATTGGTGCTCAGGAACCAGACCCATTGCTCAGTTGTGTCTTCAAGACCGAGTTTTTCACTCACTTGACCAATGCTCTACGGGGCTCATTGAATCTGAAGATCGGAGAAAGGTGAGAAACGGGTTTCCCTTTCCTTGTTTTGACATCAAACTAATATACCTCACAGCATCGAGTATAATAAGAAGCCTGGCAAGTTGGCCACTGTCAAAGCAGTTAAGGATCCGGCCGCCGGTGCTTTCGACAGCTATAAGAGCAGTACAATCCATACCAGCGCTGGAGAACCGGCTAGTTCTGTGTCGAAGCCAACTCCCAGGCCCAAACAGGTTGCTGCGCGACCAGTCACAAAGGGCAAACTCCTTCGACCTGGTGGTCCTGGCGGTGGCCCATCAAAATTGTCTGCCACTGCCCGGAAACCTCCCCCTGCCGCTCAACCTCTACCCCGGTCTGACCCTCAGCCTGCTGCTCAATCTCGCATTGTGCCCCAGCCTGTCGCTGCCGCAGTGGCTGCTTCGCATACCCGCACCGAGTCCGCAAGCTCCGTGAGAGCGCCTCCGCCACCACCGCCCACCGCTCCTCCTGCGTCCAAGAAGCCCACAGCCAAGGTCTTGTATGATTTCAGCAGTGACCGCCCGAACGAGCTATCAATCCGCACAGGCGAGATTGTGCAGATTGTGTCAAAGGAAGGAAATGGTATGTGGTTATCCCCAAATCTCTACTGTTCAGATTCGAAACCAAATACTAACCTATAATCCAGGATGGTGGCTTTGCATGAACACCGCAACGTCCACTCAAGGTTGGACCCCCGAAGCCTATCTCGAAGAAGTCGTCGTTGCCGCTCCCAAACCCACCCCCCTCCACCTCCACCCGTTGCACCTCGCGCCACTCCCAGCCCCGTGCCAAATGGTGCCGGCGTTGTTGCCGCTGCAAAAACCAAACCGGCACCGCCCGCACCCCCTGCCAAGCGGCCCAATATGGCCGGACGGAAGCCTGCTCCTCCACCTGCACCCCGCGACAGCGCAGTGAGCATGAACTCGGGTGACTCGTCGGGTGCTAGTGGCCGTGGAACCCCCAACAGCACCTCCAACGCGAGCCTAGCAGGGGGTCTGGCTGAGGCACTCCGGGCACGACAGAATGCCATGCAGGGCAAGCATGATGACGACGATGAGTGGTAAACGGGGAGTAGTAGATATTGTGCTTGTGCGCGGACCTCATCCTCGCTGGAGGATCCGTTTGCGTTTCTGCGCTTAGCGTTGGCCTTTCTTTTCTTACAAGTTATTCCTTTCCTTCATTTTTCCTTGGGATTAGTCCATGTCGTCCTCCTCCTTCCTCCCTGTCATCTCTTGGTTTCTTTTATGCATGTTTTCATCGGACGAAACGTGAAACGGACCCTCTGGCATTGCGCTTTCATTCAGGTCTTGATGACGGATAAACTCATTACTGTTCTGTTTGGTGGTCATGGGCTGGCGGGTTTAGCCTGGATATCATTGCGTTTTGTCTTGTTTATCTTCTTTCTTTCTTTCTTTTTTTCTTTCTTTCTTTCTTCTCTTCGTGTATCTATGCAGTAGAAAGTGAATGAGAGATCTACCCCAAGTAATGAGTCCGTTCAAGCAACTAATTTCCCATTTAGCTTCAAGTTATGGAGAATCTCAATAATGTTCATCGAATATCATATCGTATGTTCAAAGACATGCCCATGTAGACCTGGACAGAATCCAAGCCCTATTGAACCAGGATGGACCAAGGTGTTCCCGTTCTTGCTTAGGACAAGAACTTGCTCGCCAGGCTCATCAGGCCAGCCGGTCCACCAGTGCCACTAGAACCACCCCCATTGCTCTTCATGTACATCTTCAGCGCCATCTCCGCAGCGGAGTTGACTGCCGACTGCTTATCACCAGACTAATGGAGAAACCGAGAAGTATTAGCACAAAACCCGCTACTTTCCAACAAGCCACTTCCAAAGCTCCCAATGGACTGAACTTACAATATTGGCTCCAGAACCCTGCTTCTCATCCCACAGCTTGCCTGCCTGCGCCATCGCCATTCCAATCAGCTTATTCTTATCCATACCGCCATCTGAGCTACCCCCGGATGTAAACATCTTCAGCGCCTGCATGGCTGCGCCAGCGCCCACGGTTCCGGAGTCATGGGACCGACCCTCGTCGCTGCCGCCACCATACATAGCCTGGTGAGCATTGACGGCGTGCTGCTCGTCGACGTCGTAGCGGGACGGATCAGCATACTCCGACTTGCGCTCGTTGAGGAAGGACAGCGCGGATTCGAAGAGACCGCGGTCCTCGGAGGAATGGTGCTCCTGGGCGTGGTGCGCAGCGCTGCTGAAGTCATCGCCGCCTGAGTACTCGCCGGGACCGGAGTAGCGGGTGTCGCGGTACTGAGACTCGTTAGGGCGGTCGGAGAAGTCGGCGTTCTGGTCGTAGTAGTTAGCTCCGGAGGAGCCGCCGCCGCCGTACTCGGGGTTGGAGTTTCCGTAGCCACGTTCGTAGGACATAGTGGGATTTGAGTGGGTTAGAGGGGTGAAAAAAATTGATTTGAAATCGGAGAGAGATGAAGCAGAAGGCAGAAATGGAGAGGTTGATGTTTGTTTGTTGAGGAGGGGGAGAGGGGCACCTGGGCTTCCCATTGCGGGGCGGGTGGAGCCGAGCCAATCTGATCGGGCAATCGTTTCAGGTGCCTTGGACGTACATCAGATCGATCGAGATTATGCCCGAGCTGCAGATAACGAACGCACCTCATTTGATCGATCGATATAGTGCATACGTGTTGGTTTTTTTTTTTTTTTTGTGGACTGTTGGAATTTAAGGTTCTGCACATATGAAGGCACAATGAGATACAAGACATTGACAAGGAATACAGATTATGACTTGTAGATACTACGTAGTTGTGGAGCACAGGCGATATTATTGCTATGTGTAACATGACTTCAAACGCCCTGAATGTAGACATATGTTATGAGCACGTAGAGCTCGATTAAAAGCCCTTAGTATTTAGAATTGAACTATCAAGATGCATAGAAGGAAAGAGGAAAGCTCAAATGCCGGGAATAACTATGCAGCCTGATATAATATGTGTTAGAGTTGCACATATAAATATCTCGCGAAGCCACATCCTTGAATCACAATTCTCTAGGAACAGGGGACAAGAAACATAGGCACCCCCAGCATGACTAGGACAAAAAAAAGCGATGTGGAAAAATCTCCCTCAACTCAGGGCTAAAGTGGTCAAAGAAAATGCCATACTAAAGTCCTGTTCGCATTTCTACTCGCCTAACTCTTAGAAGATGGCAGAACTATCTGTCTAAGCTATGCGAAGCAGTAAAACCCAGAGAAGCATATGCCAAAGGTTTACGAGAATCTTTTCACCGACCTTTGAACTCTATTTGGCTCAAATGTCTGTGGGAAAAATGTAACTGATATACTTCCCAGTCCAAACAGGCGATCATAAGATACCAGTAAATCAATATCACAAGTTTTGCTATAGATATCTTCTTTAGCTAATGGCATGGATTGAGTGCGCCTTCACGAGATTATGAGCTCTCCTGAACGCATTTGATTGCTACATGATCCTTTGGCACCTTTATGGAACTAAATAAATACCTAAATGAGCCAAATAACTAGCCTTTGATTTAGAATCTACGCTTTTCACCGCCTTGATTCCATTTCATTTGATTTTTTTTTCGCGGGGAAAGGGGCAATATTTGCCGCGGAAGTGTCTAGCTCGATCCCGCGGCCTGCTCCGAGCTTGTTGGAATGCCACCGCTTTTTGGAAGAAAAACTTCATACCAGTAACATATGTGATGAAGCTGAAAAGCAGAATCAAAAATGCAAGGGCGTTCATGAGGACGTTGTTCATAGCACGCATGCTGGGGATGGATTCATGGACAGCAAGAAGCTACCCCGGACAACTTTCTTTTGCTACTATGTATTGAGGTGCATGCCTGAATTATCCAATGACGACAGACATTAGAACTTTAAAGTTCAAACGGAACATACATTCTTGTGGTATGTTGTGTTAATATTCGCCGAGGAGAGGATCCCAGCCAATAGGATATAGATTTTTTTCCAATCCCAGGGGGAGGCTTTTAAAAATGACCTGATCATGAAGCAATTCCAGGAATTTGACTAGCGCTGACAGGCTCCGTTGACATGCTTGATACTGAGCCCCAAATACCTCAGAAAGGCCTCGAACATATTGACGTCAGGGACTGAATGAAGGGTAATTGGCTTTACATTTACAACTCCAGACCCATGCAAGTAACTATTTAATCGTGCCTTCGCACCTCACTTTCTATGAACTTTTACAACCAGCTCTTTCACATTATTGAATACAGGTAAGACAGTTCCCGTCCGCGACGTCTTGGCACCTTTGACCGAAATCTAGACAAGACTTGGGAACAATTCACCTCTTTCTGAATATACCAACACAATAAACTTGCAACCATTCTCCTATTGACAATGAAGTTCCTCATTGCTTCTCTGACTCTTCTTGCTGTGGCTACTGCCAGTACTACCGGCACCGAGGCGACTGCTTGCGCAAGCGGACAGGTAGTTGTCTGCAAAGGAAATGGCAATGGGGGCCTTATTACCCTCGGCAATGTTGCACCGGGCCTTCTGGGCGTGGCCTGCTCGGGTGGAGACTTCTATTGCTGTTCCCAGAAGGACGTCCAACAGGTATGGAAATTTAGACGATATAGCTCGGTATCAAATTTCAAGCTAATTCTAACTTCTGTAGATTGGCCTGGTCAACTTGAACCTGAATGCCCAGTGCTCTCTCAACCACGTCCTTTAAATGGGCTATGGAACTGCGTTGAAAGTTCTTGGAAGACTTGCAGGTGAAGATTATGAAGATCAGATAGCTCCTCCAGGTAGCTTTAATTCAGATCATTTGCCTTGAGCCTTAGTATGATTACAGATTTCCGCTTTGTATTGGTATGCATAAGGTCAGCTGAGAAGTCATGGGTGATAAAAGCCACTTTTCTAAAATTCCGATGTCTCTAACTTAACCCATGAAACTATGAATGGTCATATTGAGGCAAATAAGAGGGTTAGAACGGGAAAGGTTGAATTTGCAGTATTGGCCGGTTGAGAATTTTGTGTTTTCCGCGTAGTCACAGGCAGGCCTTGTGGTAATCTGATTCCCCAATAAGCTAATAGCATGTGATATGGCCAAGGAATGAGAAAATACGGGCTGCAAGTGGGAGCCTGATGAATCTTCCTGGAGAGGCCAGCCCAAGAATGTGTTGGACTCGGTCATATATCCAGCTTCGCAATGTGAACTGGGGAAGATTGACCGGTAGGAATTGTATGACAGGATCTAGACCATAGCTGTGCATACCTGCTCTTCAAAAGGGGTGGACAACCCATCGAGGCCCAAGGGGTCATGGGACGAGGGAAAAGTGAAGGATTTCATTCCACCTGTCCCTCCTCGTGTTTGCAGACCTTGCTTTTCTCGCCCAAAGAGGGCATTGCGCGCGGGAAGTAGGAGCAGTGTGAAGATCAAGGATAATATAGGTAATGGTAGGAGTTGCTGAAGAGAATTTTTGACCTTCAGAATCTCCTCAAATGAATATCAAACCAGTATGTCTCATATCAAGGGGCGCCCAGCCTTTACAAAGAACTTCTGTACGAGGACCAGTATTACGTATTATACAAGGCGTTCATCTGTCATGAAAATATTGAATAAAAAGGACAATAAGAAAGTCAAGGATGTGAGGGGTTCACTCTATTTAGTTCGAATATAAGTTCAGACAGCCAACAACACCAGAAGAAGAAATGAAAATGCCCAGGGTATCAGATGCAACGCAACGGGAAGAAGTGAAGATGTGTGGGAAAGAGGGTATAGAAGGAGAGGAAGTAACAAAGAAACGTAAACAAGACCACGCCATAAGGGTTACAAAATAAACGAATCATGATCGTCATCGGACAAATTGCGCAAGAATCGTAGCTGCCTCTCCTTCGAGGATAAAACACATCGTGGATCAGATTCAAGCTCTGCCTCACGCAACCACTCATTCGGTAAATCGGTGAGACCATATGCGTGACCCCACTGTTGGCGCTCGTATTGCATGAACCCGCCAAAGTGCGGATCCGTGTTGGCGACCCAGATGACATTCCCATCCGGCGAGTAGTCTGCGCCGCCAATTTCACCGAAGAAGTCGTGAACTTGGCGGGTTTGGTACAGCTGGGCGTCAATGATGGAGATGCGGTCTGCGGGCTCACAGCAGAGTAGAGTGCGTGGGCCGCCGCCGACAGGAGAGTAGCGAAGGGAGCGGTAGCCGGCGACATCGGAGTCAATTGTCTCCAAGGGGCGCCAGGTGCGAGTGTCCCAGATGATGACCGTTTTGTCCTGATTGCTAGTAGCGATGTGGCACATATCAGGGGACCAGGCACAAGCGAAGCCAAAGTCACGATGGCCGCGGAGAGGATGCACTGGTTTACCAGTATCGGCTTCAATGACCCATGCGTCCGGGGAGTCGCCAATAACGACACGCAGGCGGCTGTCCGGGGATGTAGCAGTGCAGTTGATTGGGCGGGACAGCTGTTGGTCAGAGAGGAAGATGTTCGTTTCGCAGTCCAATATACGTAGATGACGATCGTTCGAAGCAAACACGCATATAGGAGACCGACCGGACCGGTTGGGAATAATATCCACGTGGTTTGTAATGCCGTCATTAAAGTCCGGGGTAACCAGGCCCTTGGCGCCGGAGCCTTCCCCACCTGCTGCGCACAGCGCATACTCACCACAGAATCCACCTGCGATCGTCAACCCGTGTGCTGACTTCATACTAGAAATCTTGACTGGTCCGAGAATTCCCGACTCGGGACACGGATGGGAAAGGTCGATCAGACAGCGAGTATCGTCGAAAATGGGCGTCCATGAGTATACTTTTGAGCGACTGGCGAAATGGACCGTATTGTATGCGGGAACCGACATTAAGTTGCGGAGCTGAAAATGCTCAACAGAAGCTTTGTGTGCAGTATGCATAGACTTGGCCCGGAAATAAGATTCCACTTGAGGTAGATTTTCTGCACGGTTGTTATGCGAGTAATCGAGGTTATGGTAGGACGTATACCAGGCGTCACGGAGTGTCCTAGCGTCGGCTCGCTTCACTTTGAGAGTTTCAGTCCACGGCATCTGCTGGAGGTCATAGAATCCATTTTGTTGTTCATGAGGTCGATAGGTATCAAGCGGTGGCGTCCACCCCATGATCTTAGATAACGGCCGGAGCTGAGGTGGAATTCTGTTTTCGGAGTGGAACCCATGGGGTATAATATTTGACTGGACCATCCATCTTTGAATGAACTCATCGATTGTCAAGTTCCTTTCGTATGCTAATCCAAATTAGTGGATGAACCCTACAAAAAGAGGCGAGGGGGGCTATACTAGTTGTGTGAATAATAGACGCAGGATGCTCCATGGCTTGTTCAGCTTGCTGATCAACTGCAAAAGCAGTATTTGTCGGGGTTTGAGGCGCCTGCGCCACACTTCCAACGGTAATGTCATAAGCAACTGGATGATAAAACTCATCCAGATTGATATCGTGCTTAGCAGATTCTGGGTATTGCGCAGCGAGGCGCTCATGGTAAAAATAGTCTTCGTCGGGATAAAACCTCAGAAGATCCTCCAGATCGTCGTCTGGGTTTGTGGATGGCGATGAATGATCTTCCTCTAACGGAGAATCGTAATCCACAACCATATCCTTCTGTAAGCCGTCATCGTCGGTGCCATTTGCGATCGTAGCAACGTTCTGCCAGGTTGCGGTCCGCTCGATTAGGTCCTGCACAATACTTTCCATGTCGACATCATTTTCAGTAGCCCGTGACACTGGTGACATGTTTTCTGATTCAATGGACAAAGTATCCTCTTCAGATCGGGTTGAGTGGAAGCTTTCATGGACAGGCGGTAGAACGTGTTCATTTCGCCCAGAAGTTCCCAGATCAGAAACAGGTAGCGGCGATGCACCGCCGGTGACAGCATTAACAACTTCGGAAACTAGGAATGAGCGGCTTTCGTGGTTAATAGCGTGTGGATACTGCGCGACGGCCGCTAGAGCCGCAATGCCCACATTGTGCAAATGTTGATCTTCTTGTGTCGCCATATCCGAGTAAGTAATTGCGAGAGAAGGTGAATTAGAGCTGCGACGAAGATCCGGGCTTATGGGCGCCACGCCATGGCCCGAGGCCGAAGAATGGGCGCTAGAAGAATCTGACGAGGCGTTGTTCATAACCTGTGAATGAGCTGACACCGAGCCAGAATCACATGATTCATGATGAGAGGCAGATAGGCTGCGGTCGAGACGTGAAGGCTGGTCGGAATGCGGCAGCGTGGTTCTAGCGTCGCTGTCACCGCGCATGGCCCGTCATCAGGAGGGAGTCGGCCCAGATTCCCCGTCCGGAGACGACACCGAAATGGCGGGGTGATGAGGAGAGAAGCACGCCTTGGAGCGGGCGACCACGATCCTAGCGAGAAGGCCAGGCACAATGCAGGCGACAGCAGCTGATCAAAATCCGAAAATTGCAGGGCGTTGAAATGATTGGCAATGGGCGTTACACAGGATGGAGAAGTCGAGGACTGCACTGTATTTTTGTCCGGGATCCCAGAACCTCCAGAACCTGGTTGTCTAGTTTGTGAGCGCCTTGAAATGATCAATGGCCTCGCAGCTGACTGACTCGCACTGATGTCCCCACAGAGTTTGACGCAGCCTATTTGGACTGGTTGATGCGAGCAGAAGGGAAATGCCGAGAGGGAGCGAGACGGCTGGAGACGGCAAGAGTTCGGATCACGGACCGCTGACTTTCGCAACCGAAGGCAACTAGCTGGGGAGGGGCACGGGCGTGTAAGAGTCAAACTCAAGGGACCCGCAGGGTTTGGGGAAACGTCTGGACCGGAGGGAGGGGGATTTCCACTGGTGCGAGAACTTGTGCACGCCGTTCAGTCACAAGAATGGAGCAAAAAACGGAGACAACTGAATGCAGGCTGTTTCCTCTGATTAGGCTCGCGTCAGCTTCAGGAAAAGCGGCGGATGCGTGCGGTGCGAAAGGGCAAGTGTTCAGATTAGTTGAGCAGTGGCCAATAACTAATTGTCCGAGCGTATTTTTGGTAGGCGACACCAAGCATGACAGGGGTGGAACGGAGGGCCAGGGAACGTGTCGGAGGTAGAGTAGGATCACGGGGATTCGACAAGGAAGAGCGCTGGTGCGTTGGACTGGATGTATTGCGTATCGTCGAAAAAGAGACTTTAATTCCGATCCTTGAGATCGGATCCCAGGATCAAAAACGAGGCTGATAAGCGGGATGTAAGATGACGAAAGGAGTGGGGGTGGGGGGTCGGCAGCGCAGCGCGGTTGGCGGGTTTATCACCAGAGGGAAAGGGGCGGTGCAGCTGCAGCGACGGAGAGTTAACTCGCGAATGACGGGGTGATCTTCTGTATGAGCCGTGGAAGGGCTGAAAAACGGTGAAGTTGAGAATGCAGGGTTCAAGAAGTCATGCTTTCTTGTTCGAAGCTCAAAGAGAGTCGCAACGTCGGAAGTCAAACTTCGGCGCCGAGTGGCGTCGGTTTAGTCAGCAGGCCACGTTCCGTGTCGCGGACTCGGACTCCCAACGTTCTCGCGTCGTGGATCAAGAGATGTACGAGAGAGGGAGACTGATATACTTGCAACTCGGTGTACCGAAGATTCAGACTGTCAAGCTGAATCGTGAACGAGTCTGGCATTTCTAAGAAGGAGCTGCGCACTGCATAGATTCCATATGTAAATAATAATGCAGGGAGCGACGCACTGCAGATCCACCCCGGCCAATGCCCGGATGACCTGCGCTTTGATCCTTTGGGCACTACTTGGGCAGGGATGTGAGGTGATCCATGCCACGCCCTTTTGGGCTGCCAGTTCTGACGGGTCAGAGTGATACAAAGCTGGGGACCAGCTGGGTAACAACGGGAAGTACTGTGGAGACAGTAGGGGGGAAATAATCTATGTAGACGGCCTAAAACAGTAGTATAGATACCAATTGGGCAGGCCAAAAAAAGCAAAGACACCGAAAATGGGCCCAGAATTTCGGGTCGCCAATCAATCACACAAGTGACCCCGGTTCAATTCCAAGGAAGAAAGAAAAAATATGTACATGTAACTGGCGTAGTTTATATCTATACATGATGCTAATTTATTAACTCTCCCCCTAGCAGGAAAGCGACAAGTAGAAATAGAGCTCACAAATGGACATGGTTCTTATACCTAAGTAGCGGATTCTGCCGAGAGGAAAGATGCTGCTGATACGGCGAAGAACCATATAACCCGATATACGATCGCCTTTCACAGGAATGCCCGATTCCCTGCTTTTTGGGGCATAGTATCCCGGGTATCCTCGAGACAAAGCGTCGTGATATGCTAGCAGCATGATAGGGGATAGTCGACTCTCTCTGCCGGCTGGTATAGAAAAGCCAGACATCATCATACTAAGCATCGCATTCCATTGGATTCTACCTTTACAGGCCTATACAGTGTTCCGCTACATTGACAAAAATCACTAAATATACTCACAAGTTCACGGAGATTGATAGACCTACCCTGAGTTCTCTACAGAAAACTTCCAAAATTGGGATATTTGTTGACGTAGAACTTGGATCCAAATACTGTTAGTGCCTACGTCCACCCACTCCACCCACAGTGCAGAAAACGCAGAAGCGATGTGGGAGAGACCGTCGAGGCTGGGGTCTGGGAGCCTTGAGATATCGTGCACAATGCACCTCCAGGTGTTGGAGGCAGGAGCACCGCCTGGACATGAGTGCATACATGTTACAACTATACCTTCATCTCACAGATAGTCCAGGAATCAATCTTACAAACTATCTCAAATAGCTTCTATTTTCTCTCCGAGAAGGAGTCCTCCAGCGTAGCGTGTAGTGTGCGGTGGCTCGGTGATTGGTTTTTTGATGCCCGTCTGCTTTGTCAGAATTGCCTACGGGCGCCCTAGTTCCTAGGTATGACAGTGTCAGGAGATGTAAAGGTGATCGTTTTAGTTATCTCTGAGCTAGCTAAGAAGGTGCATTGGAATCATGTGATCTGGCTTAGAGGGTAACACTAGTATTGATTATTTTGTTCTGTTAAAGATCCGAGTTCAATATAGGATTCGGCTCCGTAAAATAGAAATACATTTTCTACAAAATAAACAGCGTGTTCGAGGGACATAAAATATCCAAATTACAACAAAATTCGCTGATCCCAGGATGACTGACAAAAGAGTCATGGAGGTTTACTTTGCTATCTCGCTAGGATTCGCGTTCCATGGGATTAGGGTCTAGTAGACAGACTACACACAAATGGCACCATGCATACATCCAAAAAAAAAAAATAATTGTCAAGATGATGCAAAGTAAAAGAAAGCGCGCATCCAAATCTCTTCCATATTAACACATCAAATCCACCGAAGCGAGATCGCTGTACAGAGAAGATAATAAAAATGAGACCCATAAAAAGTAACCATAGATCACAGTGAGAGGAACAAGAAAAGGGGAGGTAGGTAGGTCAGGAGGCTGAATAATAGCACACGTTAAGATATAGCTAGCTTTCGTGAATCGTGCTGCGCTGGAAAGGGAGGCGAAATCGAATGTTTATGTAAAAGGCCTGAGAATCAAGATGCGCAGAGATCAAAGATGGGCATGTCACATCGATATCAGAGACAAATTTGGAAACGCCGGGCCGAGATAAATCAGAACAAATCGGAAAGGTATGGTATGTAGATGGCAGAAATAAATAACAATCGAATGAGCACGATAGGGGCTGAGAAGAAAATAACCCAGACTACTTAATAATCCGAGTACGTCTCATAATGCGAATAACCATTCATGCCAGGCGCATGTGGCTGCCAGGTGCTGTTTCGCAACCGACGTTCTTTCTCAAAATCGCGCCAGCGCTTCATGGTGATCTTGGTGCTGTCGAACTCTCCCTCAGCTGCGCCGTGTCCCTTGTCCTTCTCACCAGCAGTCTTGCGAGTATCGCCCCAGCTAAAATCGTCGAATTTCCAGAACGCATACATGGGGAGAACAAAGTTCCAGACAGGGAGAGAGAGGAGATAGATCGCCATCCAGACAACATAGATAATGCGGTGGGCGGTAACGACAATCAGAACACCAGGTAGACCAAGAATGAGGGCGAGAAGGACGAGCGGAAGGACTTGGACGGGTTTGCTGACAATTGATTTGATGATGACATAGATGGTGAAGGAAATGGCGGCCGGAAGGACAAGAGTGCCGACAAGCTCTATGAAGATGACGAATTGCATGCTGAAACAGAAAGTCCCACATAGGTCGCGCACAAGCACCAGTTCCATCAGATTGTGCACAGTACTGTTGATCCAGCGACGACGCTGGGACAGGAGAACCATGAACTTGTCAGGGACAACGGTTTTGCAAACGGCCTGCGGCACAAAAATTTGCTTGCGCTTGGGGAATGTCTTGAGCATCAGAGTGGTCAAGTATCGGTCCTCACCAAGAAGAAGCAAGTTCTTCTTGTGCAAAGTATCGACCACATTTTCGGAATAATGCTCGACAATATCCGGGTTGGCAAGAATGGGCACCCAGTAATTCTGGCCACCCTTCGGGGCTTTGATGCGGTACATCGAGAAGCAACCAGGAAGACACGTGACACCGCCGAAGACCGATTCGAAGGATTTGGCTTGGTGATGAGAAATAAAGTATCTGGAAGAGAAGATATGTCAGTTTTTGCTTTAAAATAGGAGGGAAAGAAAAGCCATACTCAAAGACCTGGATCATCGTTACCCAGCTATCTGTCTTGTTGGCGATCTTCGTCTCACCACAGAGACCCATGATCTCCGGGTCTTTCACCATTGCTGAAACCATGTGCGTCAGGCTGTCAGGGAAGACTTTTGTGTCGGCGTCCACCATCAGTACAACTTCATAGAAATCCGGTGGAATACCAGTGACATTCCACAAGCCATTGAACATCTCAAACTCGAGTTCGGTCATACGCTCATCGAACATCACTTTTTGCAAGAAAGACATAAGGATGATTTGACTGTCACGCTTTCCACGGTTACCAGGCTTGGACTGAGTTGATTCCGCGGGAGTGCCGCATTTGACAATGACCATCATGGGAACACGCTGTTGCTTCTCCGGTGGGATCACGGAGGTCTCGCCATAGTCGTAGAAACCAGTGTACACCTTGGACATGTTGTGACGCTTGGAACCAGTGGCGACAGCGACATAGGAGAAGGGCTGCACCTCATCTGCGGGAATAACAAGATCTTTCACCATACCGAGGACGATATCTGGCGTAGAGAACTCTTCGCCCTTGCCCTTGATGATACCGTCACAGATCACCAGAATTGTCTTATGGCTGTTCGGATAATCGGTCATAGCGATCGAGTCCAGCGTCGTGCGGATACCCTCTTCACCTTCGGAGTAACAGGTGACAAGGCAGAGGGAATGGGCCAATGGATAACCGAATGGCTGCCACTCCGGCGGTGGTTGAGGAACAACTGCCTCGTGAATGAATCCTGCAGGACCAGGACCCTCCGACTCAGAGGCAATAGTAGAAATGCCACCATCCTGATGCCCATGGCCAACCAAACTAGTCTTGCTAGCAGTGGGGTTTTGACGAGAGTTGTCGGCGCTGAGAGTACCGCCACTGCTATTATGACTCAACTTATACATAGTACCCGACGTCGTGGAGCTTGGCATAAGGCGAGATGTGGAGTTCTGGCTGGCCATGGTGACATACTGCGAACGCTGTTTGCCCCCAGCACCTGAGCTGGCGACGTACGGACTGGAAAAACGAGAGGTAGTCGGCAGGAAGCTGGCACGTTTGCTCATACGATCTGGAACTGGAGGATCGGCAACACGAGGGCCAGGGCGGTAAATATCGTTGGACCAATCTTCGATTTGCTGGTTGCGCGTTCGAGTATCTGAAGACATGCTTGTCCTTTGCGCGGCGAATCTGGGCGCTAAGAACCACTGGAAGAGCAAGGCGAATGCAAATTTGACACCGACAATGGACAGAATGAAGATCAAAGACACATAAAGCACTACCTTGGACGCAATGCAGCCCACAGTGTCTGTATCAATGCTCCCAACTTTGATAATCTGCGATAGACATTGCCCAATTTTCTTCTCCTCGCCATTTTGCAAGTAGTATGTCAAATCAACTCCCCGGACATCGGGATTCTCTCGTAGGCTGTCAAATTGAGCCGGGTATGACACCTGGGTTGTGTTGAACCAGCGCAGAAGATCAAGGTCAAGCACAGAGCCTGAGTACACGGCCAAGTTCCGGCTCTTATTCTTGGTATCCTCCCAGGTGAAGTATACATCGCCAGAGCTATCCAGGTTGTAAAATGAGTTGCGAGCGGACGCGCTGGTATGGCATGCCCAACCGAGGTAGTATGAGACGGTCAGATTAGGCTCGGAGGAGCCATCTTGATTGTAAGCTGCGCAAGGAAAGTACCAGCCCAGGTCGCCCTTGGAGTTTGTAGGAACACCGCCGCCATCCTTCGCTGTGATCAGGCCCTTACAGGCACCGTTGACTTGCTGGAAGAAGAAACTGCCATCTTGACCGCCATACTTGTGCGACAGATCATACAGAACGTTTGTACCAGCAGGAATGCCTTCAGCGGCAGGGTGAGTAGAGCCCGTCAAGTCATACGCTTTGCCGTGGAAAATCATGTAGCCGGAGCCCACCTTGTTGACCTTCAGACGCACTGGCGTTGTACCACAAACAGTCGCCGTGAAACCAAAGGTCAGGAAACCAACAAACGCAGCAATCATCAGAATGATACTGATCAACCCAATCTTCTCCCGCCAGGCCGTTCGTTGTTCCCTCTGAGGCATGCCGAAGCATTTCAGCACAAAGTCGGGGATCAAGCAGCTGACTAGCGCGCAGTAAGTCGTCCACAAGTCTGGTGGGCGCACTTGGTCCATGGCTTTTTGTCGTCTCCGCTCCTCTGCCGACATACTCTTCGACGAGCGCCGACTGGACCTCTTCTTCCTTTTCGAGCGATGGCGGCTCGGAACCCGCTCCATGGGTTTGTTCATGTTACCATGGGCGCCATAAAGGTTCTCCTTGGTTTTCATATCCATGCTCCGCGAACTGTTGGTTTCAGCCTCACCATCTCGATCGAGTAACGGGTCATCGCCGGTCGCGGAGGGGTAGGTGGACATGTGGTGCGATCGTTGGCGGTAATGGTAATTGGGATGTTCAGGGTCGACCCGGCGACGCTCCGGTTTCACCAGACTCTTCTTGCGTCTCAGATCCCCGCCGTGCTCCATGCGCTCCTCATCGGCTTCGGCAGGTCGCCGGTGGCTCTGGGAGCGACGGCGGTGCCGGTGGTTTGATGGTGAGGTCTGCGGGCTATCGCTGTAGGCCCCAGTGTCGATGTCTCGGCGGCGACGACGATGAGAGGGTTCGCGGAAGGCACTACGCACTTCCTCGCGCCGCGGCGAGGCCTTGCCTGGCCTTTGCGGCAAAGACATTTCGCAAACTAATCAGGAGTCGGATTGAGTCAGTTGCCGCTCACCTCCAGCGCACCTAGCACCTAGCGAATTGGCATGCGAGGCGTGTCGCGCTCACCTTTAGAGAGATGCGCTCACCCACTGCGGCGCGGAAGACTTTTGAACGCTGTCTGGGAAGAAAATGGGTTGCACCGTCGAGCGGTTAGCACATGGCCCACTGCAATCAACAATGCCCGCAAGTTATCCCGGCCGGTACAGCTATGACGCCGGGGTGGGGAGCACAGGCGAGGAGACAAGACAGGCGTGGAATCTTGCGAGCAGCCTCGATGGGTTCTCGACCGTGATCCGGTCTCGACAGGCGTTTGCTGCAGGTTCCCAGGCGGTCGCGATGGGCTGCGGTCGGCCGGTGCAACGACGGCCGGGGGTGGAGAATAAACAAAGTGCGGTCCACACTGGGCCGAGAGCGACGGGGAGGGAGGGGGGGGGAACCAGCGAGCGAAAGTGGGTGTGTGGAAGACGAGGAAAATCAACGCAAATCAACGAGAGGACAGGCCACGGCTGTAGGCAGCAGAGAGACCTCAAGGGTTTCAGAAGATCCCAGATGCCACGAGAGGCAAGACAGAAGGAGAGGAAGAGAAGTAGTAACCGAGTGAGACAAAGCGGACCAGGTGATTGGGTTTCTGTGGGGGACGGCCGTTCAGGGTCCGTGACAAGTACCTCACTAGCTTAACCAGGCCTCCTCACGGTGGCATCGGGTCCCCTACCGATGTGACGGAAGTCGAATGTTATGTGGCTAGTGCGCAAATGATTGATGGACCTGAATCTCCCTCACGATGCATATGTATCGACAGATGCATGCAAATATTGCTTTCTCGGGTGCTCGGGGGAACCATGGAATGGAAGCGACTGGGCACCTTTGGCCCTCTCTCCTATGGCGGCACCAAACGAAATGAAACCAGGGACCTATAATGTTCTAGTCGTATGAGTAGTTTATTTAGTGCCATCTCCCCCCGTCACATTTCCTCGCTGTCCCCTTTGTTCATTCTTCTCGAGATTATCATGGTTGTCAGTAAGGAAGGATATCTATAGATCTGGATACTCGTCATCAGGCTCTCAGACTGATGCTACCGATGCACATCGATGTCCTGTTCGATGTGCTCCATAGTAACCCCATGGACAGAACCCCTACGCGCCCCTAAGAATAATCAGCTCTCGTGGTCGCTAGGGGCGATGGCCCCAGCCCACCAATCACCCCCGGGGCCACTCGGAGTTCATTGGAGGGCACCCTTCATGACGCCGATGATTGGCCCTGTGATGCCCGGAGTGCCCCACTGCCACTAGACTGGGAGGGGCTAGAGCGTAAGGGCCCGTGAGGCAGATCAAGCCGAGGGCTCTTCTCCCTTTTAGGCACTATGAGTATTCACTCTTCACTCCCAGCACGCTACTATACTTAGGTACCATGCCACTGCTCTGGGATCCACTACCGTGGTAGTCTACCGTGAGAGAAATGAGATAGTCACGAGGCCTGCAAGCTTTGAAGTCTGATCTTTTGATCTTGGAATCACCGGAAAACCTCTCCCCCCCCCAGTGTGAATCTGATTGACTGCAAAATGATTTCATAAAGAAGAAAAGCCTCCATGCTTCCATCTGCCCCGTCGCTGTACCTTGCGTCCTTCCGCGAGCCAGATGTATCGGGTACCGTAACTATTTGGATACTCACACCCCCCCCCCCCCCCTTGACACAATATTATGCATGCCAATTGCACAAAATACTCTGATCTATCGCTTCTGTCTCTGGCCTCTCCTGCTCGCTTCCGCCTCTCAGCTTTGGCCCACCGACAACACCAGTCGGTCCGGAGCCCCGAGTTGGCGAGTTGGTTGGTACCAAAATACCAACTTTTTTAGTGCTATTTATTGCTCAAAGCCTGCCTCGAGATACAACTTTCGGCCTTAAAAGGTCGACTACCAACCCCCCAAAAGGACAAAGACGGTCCCGTCCGGCGGATCCAACTTCGTTCTCACGGCTCTCCCGCCCACCTAAATCACCTCAACAAGGGATGGCCGCATCCCTCTCTGGTCCATCCCTAGCCCCAGAATCATAGGTCGGCTCTACGTTTCCCGCACCCGCGGAAATACGAGCCAAGCCCAGCTCGCTCTATTTTCAAATTTCTTAAAACATTCTTTTTTGGGGGAGAGGGTGGGGGGAGAAGGGGGTGCGCCTCTTCCATTCAAGCTGCTTTTTTATGGCGCTGGACATCGGTCACATCCAAGCCAAGGCGTTCTCCGCAGAAAGTAAAAGCCCGAGCTCGGAACCCTGCCTCGAGATCCTGGTCCGACAGCCTATGTTTACGGCTTTCACTGCATGCTTGTTGCTTTGTTGGCGCGCATTGCCGGGTGATGGGCCCTGTCTGCGTTTGCGTCTGCATCGCTGGAACGAGCAAAACAAAAAAAAAAAAAATAGAAAACAAAGGAACTTGTCCAAATGCCCAGATAATTTTGTGATCCGTAGTATCTAGGCATCCTGGTTCAAGAGACTCGGGGGCGCTGCGGGTTCTCACGTTGGTTTGTGTTGATCGTATTAGCGCTGCCACTCGGGCTGCGCCCACTGTTCGGCCGCTAGAAAACTCGGGCAACAGGAGACGGAAAGGGAGGGGGAAATGGCTCAAGGCGCCCGAGTATACCAGAGCAGAGCAGTAGGAAAGGGGCCATGATCCTTACGTTGGGACTCGAGTGAAAAACAGGCTCATGCGTCGCTAGAACGGTTCCCCTGTGTTCGGTGCACCCACCACGCGATGGGGATCGGCGGACGATCATCGCGGCAGACGGTCGCCATCTGGGGAGAGGGGGAGGGGGCAAATTCCAGCATGGAGACGGGAGCTCAAGAATGTCATGGACTATTTATCTTCCACAGCTATAAAAAAGGAATTTGAGGTCATAGCTATGCAATAACAATAGGATTTTGATTCTTGAGTCACTGTTTTCCGCTTCTCTCTCAGAATCTCTGTTTCGATCTAGGTTACGTGGTCATTTTTTTTCTTCACAGCGCATGGAAAATGGCCGGGCCCGAGATTGCCAAGGGCGGGATACAGACTACTTGATGCAACGCATGGAGACCACGTTCTCCCCCAGTTCCGACTGGAATGTGGCGCGGCGGTGGATGGCCGAGGGCTGGCATCTGACACGGAGGCTACCGGGCACGGCAGCTGCGGGATGATGCACGGTGTATCGCAAGAATGAGGAATCCGGCATCCGGACTATATTTGTAGGCTCGCATTCTCCACCATTGATTTCGTGGGGATTATCGTCAGCAGGCAACGTCTCTGGACGAAAAGCATGAGAGCTATCCAAGGAAAGCCGTCATGTCGAATGTCATGCAGCGATGGTAGAGCCTACCCAAATTTGCGAGAGCAGATGCTAGTCTGTATTTTGCTTTGCGTGTATTGCCAATAGTGTATTCTCCCTTCCCTCTATGCGGAGTAGAGAGTAAAGTACACGCATCTGTATAGGTGTTTCGTCATTATATCGACGAACCCAGCAAGGAGGCTCTGGTTAACACTAGTCCATCCAATTAATGATATGGCCGACCTTCCATATCGGGCCTCGCAGGGCCCGTGGATCGGGCCGTGCGAGAGTTCGGTGTCTCCATGGCATTCAGGAGCCCGCAGAGGGAAGGAAACTCAATTCCTCGTTCTTTCCCAGCTACCTGTTCAAATTATTGACTTATCCAAGAGCCGCCGGGTGTCAGATTGTCTCAATAATGAGCGGTCACGGCACCCCGAAGCGACGGTGGCGTGGTGCCTAATCCGTACCGATGGTGCCTCATATGCTCCCTGGATGACGGATGATCGGTGTCGCCGGACGCTGTGCGACAAGCTACTTCTTGGACTGAAACATGGCGAGATATGTGGTGATGCGGGCCACGAGCACCGCCCTAGGACCATGATGACAACAGGGCGAGCCTGACCAAGCCTTAACCGGAACGCTAGTTCTTCATAGCATGAGAGACACATAGATAGTCTAGTTAGGTCAGAGGAAACGCCCCAGCGTCCGCGACTCCACCGCTCTACAGACCACGATCATCCGAGCTCCACCTGCATCTGCATCGTACAAGGCTGTTTATAGGTATAGGTCGGGGCACGAGTAAGCTGAGCCCTCGTCTCTTCTCCGCTGATCGGAGGCTGAATTAATCCTGCACAGCACCCGAAAGAAAAAAAAAAAAGTAAAGTAAAAGAAAGAAAGGTAGAAAAACTGCGCAAAAGGTGGGGTTGAACAAAAAGCAAGTCAGCCCGATCCTGTCAGTAAACTAACTGCCTATCCCGTGTGTCGGGAGCCAAGCGGTCAGTCGCTAGCAGCTTGGACAGAAAAGCCCGGCGCAAACTATACCTCAGCCCGGAGATGATGTGATCCAACGCGGCAAGATCGAGGCACGATAAAAGGAGGGAGAACGTTCACCCCTTATGGTGTCGACGGGCGAATTGCTTGTTAGAGGGCGCTAAGTAGCGGGCCCTGTCCAGGTAGATATCGCCGAAGGCTGGTGGACCTCATCGGGAGTCGTTCTTCGGCCGCTGGTGCAGCATCCGGACGCCAAGAGGGGCTGTATGAGATAGAGCGTAATTGACGATGACCCTAGATGCTTCGCACGTCGGTCTTCCAGAGAAACTGCAGTGATCCCGTATTATACGAGGCCGACGGACTTGGCTGGCGCGGGCGGAAGACATGGAAAGGCTCACTTAGTTCAGTGGCTCGGCGTAAATTTAGAACGCTTTCCCCACCCGGCGCCAGGTGATTGGAATTTTGCCCCTCCAACAAGTAAGACAAGCCAGAGGTAAATGAGGAGAGAAGAAAAGAGAGCGCGCGAGAGAGAAGAGCAGGTGGAGAGGAGACCGGACAAGGCTGATCTAACCTCGATATATTTTACGATCGTCATTGTTGATTGTATCTGGCCATCTTTCTCTGTAATACTATCTCTTTTTATTCTGCATCCCCTTATTTCAGGGACGAGCGCCTCCAACTGGAATGACGTGACCCTAATAGAAACATGAAACATGGAACGAGCGGCAAGAGACAGGAATAAGACCATATATTATGATCCTATGATCTGCTTAGAGCCAATAAGACCGCGCGAAACATCAGGTTGTCAAGGTAGTAGTAGAAAAAAAAATCAAGAGAAAAAGAGAGAGAGAGAGAGAGAAAAAAAAAAAAAAAAAAAAAAAAAAAAAAAAAGCATAGATACGTAGAAGCCCCAACAGTAGACGTAGTGAAATGGTAGATAGTTAGATAGTCGAGACAAGAGAGGGAGAGGAGAGAGCGCAGAAGGGGGGGCGATGGCTATCAGGGCGTGTGGGAGAGAAGGGAGTAAACTAGCGATGCGGGTGGGGAGAGGTGGAGGCGACCCCGGGGCTTCTTTGACGCTGTTGGCTGCTGGCGGTGCCTCTGCGGTCCCCTCTTTTAACCCTCTTGAACCCTCTTGAGCCCCCCCCCCGGCGGCCTCTGATCTTGGACTTGGACTCCCCTCGCTTCCGAAAAAAAAAATTAACTCCTTCAGACGGTCTCTTGTCTCGCCAGTCGTTTCTGTCGTTCTTCGTTGCACTTCCGACCTTCTTCTCAACCACGTCGAACCCTTAAAGCCTCCGCTGCACTGATCGACCCAGCTCATCTGGGGCTACCCGAACCCTGACCCTCTTCTCTTCGTCTCCACGGGCCATTCGTTCCTCTCATTGGAACATCCTCTGGATCCCACCCCCTCCCCTCCCCTCAAAAGGGCCAAGGACACGAGAAGCTGTGACAGCAACAGCTCCCAAATCTTCTGCGATCCTCTTGTCTTCTCTTCATTCCATGTCGACATAGATTACCTCGTTACTGGCCTCCGTGTCTTCCTCCCGACGGCCCTTCTCACATTCGTTTTGACTTGGATCGCCCGCCTCATTTCAATCTCGTTTCGGTCGTGCCTAGCATCTCCCCGCCCGGCAGGGATTGCAGAGCCGTCGCCACTCTCCCCTGAGCAGGGCCCAATCTCCATTTCCACCATCCGACCTGCCCCAGACGACGGCTACGGCGGATATCCAGCATGGCCTCTCCCGTCGCAACCCAACAGCATCCCCTCCCCTCTCCGCCTCCAGCTTATCTCCGATCTTCTCCTCCGTTCCCCTCACAGGAAACCACTCCGCGCACCATCCCTTCATGCCCGCAAAATTTGACTCTATCTCGTAAGCCGGTGCCAGTCCCGCTGGTGACCTCGGTATCCGAGGACTCCCCGGTGATCCAGGAATCTCCGCGGTCCCCCGTCAAAATTGACCACGGGACAGAGCTTCCCCAGGCTTCCACGGCGCAGATTGAACATCTGCCCAATAGTCCCGAAACACCACAGCTTGAGCTGCCCGAGTTCGCGGGACTGTCAATCGAGGATTCGACACAGCCGCAACATGGCTGGAATCCGGCGTTTCCCCCGCGAAAGGATTCGGTGCAAGCCCCGCATTATGCGCCGCAACAGCCGTATGGCCATACTCCTGCGAGCAGCGGGTCGTGGTCAATGATGGAGTCTCAAGTCAAGGAGGACAGTCACGAAAATCCGAAAAAGAGCGGGTCGTCGCTCGAGCAGGGCCTGAGCCACAACAGTTCGTCTCGAGGCAGTCTCGAGAGCGAAGTGCAGACCTCGGATGGCTATGAGCCTCTTGCCTATCACCACCAGCAACAGCAAAATGTACCGCCAACTCATCGCCACTCCACAATCGGCATGAACTTGGAGCCTTCGGGCTCCACGGACAAGCTGGCGGTACGGCGATCACGACTGTCACGACCTCTCTCCACATATTCCTCGGCGTCCGATCTGGGAGTGGGCAATCATCGCCGCAATCTCTCTGCTTCGCCATATATGCAAGGCCGGTCCTCGTCGCGCAACTCCACTGCATCCCCAGACAATCGCTCTCTTTCATTCATCGACCTGTTGAATACCTCCTATCCCCAGCCTGGTCCCACAGCATCCCAATTCGACAATTCCCACCTCCGCTCCTCCATCGGCACACATGCCTCGCTGCTCAGCCACAAGCAAACATTCGAGATGTACCTCGCAAATGTCAAAAAGACCGATGAGGCCGCGGTGCAGTATGAATTCGCCATCTTCATGATCAACTCGATGCGTGAGATGCCTGCCGTCGACTTGGAGGACTCCACTTCCATCACGCGTCAGCGGCTCATGCGGGAAGCCAAATCCATCCTTCAGCGCCTTGCAGACCGAAGTTACCCTTTTGCCCAGTACTACCTCGGCGACGGGTATGCCTCCGGGCTTTTCAACAAAGGCAAGAGCGATAACGACCGTGCATTCACCCTTTTCATCGCCGCCAGCAAGCACGGGCATATCGAGGCGTGCTACCGTACTGCACTCTGTTACGAGTTTGGCTGGGGTTGCCGTGCCGATGGAGGTCGCGCCGTGCAGTTCTATCGCCAAGCGGCGTCAAAGAATCACCCTGGTGCAATGCTCCGCATGGCAAACGCATGTTTGGCCGGTGACATGGGGTTGGGAAAACGGTACCGGGAGGGCATCAAATGGATGAAGCGCGCCACGGAGTCATCTGATGCGCAGTACAACTCGGCGCCGTATGAGCTAGGTCTGATGCACGAAACCGGTTACGGTGACGATGTCTTCATTGACGAGTCCTATGCCGCGCAGCTGTACACTAAGGCAGCCGAACTGGGCCATGTCGAGGCCGCCTATCGGCTTGGTGATGCCTATGAGCATGGTAAACTCAATTGCCCGCGCGACCCGGCTCTGAGCATCCACTTCTACACATCTGCCGCACAGGGCGAGCATCCGCTGGCAATGATGGCGCTGTGTGCTTGGTACCTCGTGGGCGCGGAACCAGTGCTCGAAAAGGATGAGAATGAGGCGTACGAGTGGGCGACTCGCGCAGCTTTCAAAGGTCGGTTTTCCCTGTTCTTTCCCATGTTGATCCAGATGCTCGAGGCGGCTTTACTAACAAATGTCACTTCAACACAGGTCTGGCAAAGGCTCAGTACGCCGTTGGCTATTTCACTGAAATGGGCATTGGCTGCCGTCGCGATCCGCTCGAGGCGAATGTCTGGTACGTCAAGGCAGCCGACCAGGGCGATGAGCGTGCGAAGCACCGTATTGCGACAATTCGGGCAGCTGCCGACGGCGCCAGTCCAGCCACAGGGACCCGGAAGGGCGGGCGGCTCAGGAAGTCTGAAGGAAAAGGCCAGGGTGAGTACCTTGGTCTCGCGATCACGAATTTTGGACAGTCAAATCAATGCTAACGACTTGCAGCCGATGTCGACAACCAAAAGCAAAAGCGATTTGTCATTTTCTAGATACACAGCCAGCCTCATATCGCTCCTATCAATCACTCCCAGCCAAGCATTTATGTCACGCCTCATGGTATTCTCATCTTGTGTTGTTTTATTTCCGCTATGATTCCCCCTTGTCAAGTCATCTCCGCTGTGCACACCGATCTGAGGCACACTCTCGCCTCCACTATCGATACATCATTAATACATAATCCTCTTTTGCCTATCTCCGGGTAGAGCACCATTCATGATTTTTATTTAGGATTGGGTCCCATGGTCCTGTCACTCTGCATTCATGTCTTTGTCTATAGCACTCATCATTCGCCCCTCCCTCATTGTTATCTGACTATCCTTGATTACTATCCCCCACTTAACTCGCATCATGGTTCTCAGCAACTCTACACCCTGCATCAAACCTGAAACCCTCTATTTGCCTAAGAATGGTTCGGCTTTTTTTGATTCGATCTTGATCTCATCTCCGGCGTGCCATCTACTTTATCTGTCATTTCATCCAACCCCATGTTGCCTATGAATGAAAAAAAAAAAAGAAAAGAAAGGGATGGGGGCGAAGGAATTTACTTCGGGCGGATCTATCACCATTTGTGCTCCCTTGGAAGATCCTCGATCTAACTTGTGCTCGGCTGGTATACTTCTTTACTTCCCGCTGGAACATGCACATACTTGATGGCCGCCGCAACTTGGAGTGTTCCCACCCACTCTTCCGGTGGCCTAAAAGCCCAACCACGAGCATGACAGCTCACACTCTTCCTGCCATCTTGCTGAGTGATTTTCATGGTTTATATCTTTCGTCTCTCTCCTGTGGCTCTTTGGATGCATTCGTCATTTCTGGCGTTGGGGTTATTCAATCCTTTCAGGCCCGTGGGGGGTCTTATTTTTATCGGGTTATCTACTAGTTATCGTTTCTGATATGCAATAAAATATCGAGTTTTGGACTCTTAAACTGGGCATTTGTAACACCCTGGTTTACAACTTTCTCGGCGGCATTTTAATTGATTATTTTGATTATTTTGATTATTGCGTACATATAGCACTTCCACAAAGTCCTGGTAATGATATATTTGCGCGGCGCGAGATTTTATATTTCCATCTTAGCTCAACTTTGTTTTCGGACTTTCCGTCACACTCAGTGCATTTGACAACATTCTATGTCCACCAATCGATTAGTCATATTCACAGTAAAATCATTTACCAGGTGAAGGAATAGCTGAATTGTATGGGGAATTGGAATAGTAGATGGATTTGATACTACACTAGTAGTGCTCTAAGAGCAGGAACAGCCAAATAGAAACGATAACATGAAATGCCAAATCAATTATTCTTATCATGAGAGAAACGACCGATACAACAATCTGATTTCTAGGTAGCCATAAGTCATGAAGTACAACGCTAAAAGATAAAAAGAAACACAAGTCTTATCATATCACAGACATATAGTCTCTATGCAGCCCCCGTCACGAGCGGTCTAGACTGTGATAGCCGTAGTAAGCCCGCTTTTAAAGCCATCGTTCAAAATGTCCTCTTCATTGCTACAGTTCGCCATTGCTGCGATGGACATATCTTCTTGACTGATAGCAGCGGGCTTGAGAATGCGCTGCTGGGTGGGCCAGATCTGGTGGCCAGCCTCCTCCTCAGCCTTGAAGTGGTCGGTCACGACTTCGCGTACCGTGGTCTGGAAGTGCAGTGGGCCCTTTTCCATCTCCGGGTGGAGCTCGCCGTTCACAAAGACACCAGCGTTGAGGTTTTTCTGCGTGTTGATGCACAAATACTTGTCTTCGGACATGATGCGCTTGTACATGTCGCTGATGAGGTTGAAGTCCTCGTCGGTGGCGTGGATGTTGCGGTAAACCTCGTAGCGCATAACGGATTTCGTTGGGCTGACGGGTGTGAAACGTTGCATGAAGAAGAAGTTAGGACTGGGGAGCGGTTAGCTGGGATTCTTGGTGTAGTATCCTCGGCTCTCGGGACACTGAGTGAAAAGGGTGGACTCACGAGACATTGCAGGAGGCATTAGGCCAGAAGTAGGTGGTGGCTATCCGGAAGCCCTTATCGATCTGATCCTGTCGCTGAGCACCGTAGTGCTGAATGTGACCGTCCTTGGTCTTTACGTAGTAGGAGTGGAGATCGGCAATGGTGGGAATGTCGGGATGCGCAACCTGGCAATGGTAGCACTCATTATAGTTGTCGGCCAGGATCTTCCAGTTGAAATCGCCTTCCATGTCCCAGGTGTGATCAAAGACGTATTCATCGAAGTTGTAGTAGTCGAATCGGGGCTGCTCATCCACGCCATCGAAATCGTCTTTCCAGGCCACATCGGGCGTCTCCTTAGCATCGAGGTTGACCCAGATAAAGCCATTGCGATCAATATGGGTATGAATAGGGTAGAAATTGTCGTTGTGGAACACTTTGATGTTGTTTTCGTGGTCCTTCGCGACGATGAACTCGTAGCCGGCAGCATCGTATCGGACCCAGTCCCCGGCGTTAGGGACGCGGTGCTTGTGAGTGGTGAGGAGCCACTTGCGAGCAAAGATAGACCGCCGCTCCAGCTCATACATATCCTGGGAGGTATACCAAGAGGCAGGCAGAGCACGGACGGCCTTCTTTTCCTCCTTCACCGTAGCCGCCGCAGTTGCGGACGTACCGAAGAAATTCCTCAAAAATGACATTGTTATATGCAAAACACAGAGTCAGGTGTTTTTCAATGGAGATTCAAAAATAGAATTAGAGACTTGAAAGTCCTAAACTGGAGATTCTTTATTTTCGAGTGGTTATTGAACTACATCATCACCTGGAAAGATTCGCTTTTCTAAATAGCTATGTCAACTACCCTGACACGGATCCTGCCACCTTCGTCCCGATCCATTGGACGGAGCATATCGTTTGCCATCCGATAATGATAACGCCTTGAAAGAACACCCGGCATCAGGTGGCCAGTTTGCAACGGGCGTTTATACCTCGGGACCGATCACCTGATCGGGTGGGCCCCCAACCGGACCGAGTGGCTGAACTGTTATCAAGCCCTTCATGCCTGGCGAACCCCAGGATTTCCCATCGGGCGCGGGCGTGGCAAGACAGGGAGCTAATAGAATTCCTCCCGACCGTCCCGCCTTATGATTTCACATTGCCAAATCGATCTTGGAAGGTGAGATCGTCCGGAGTCTAGCCCCGGAACAACCCCGACGTGTACTTAAATTTACCCAAAACGGCAATGTTCACCACGATTCTAGAAAATGTGATGAAGGCCCAAGCTATATTATATGCATGGCGGTTAAGCTTCACAGTGCTCTTTGTCACATGTACCTTCGAAAGACTCAAACCGATGCCAGACCTTCTCCACGAGAGGATATGACTCATTTGTCAAGTTGGGATTGTGATCGGTGTTTAGACATACATTGAAAGCTTATAACGATGCAATGGTCACGGGGCCATTCATTCCAGAAATATCCTATATCCCATGTACATCCCATTGCAGCTTTTCATAATTATTGGGAGGGCAAACTGTCCAATAATTCAATAACCTGGAAAGGCGATCTCCTCGACGCGATCTTGAGAGATTCAAAGTCATTGGTGCGATACAAAGTATCAAGTCTTGCCGTTGTGAGGTCGGGCTGAACAGGATTGAAGCTCTGCTGTTTCTGGAATGTATTACTCCGTTGGTGATGGACTGATAGGGAGGAGCCGGGGAAATGCAGGCGCCCAGTATGCTCCATGCAAGCTAAGCCGATGGTGGATTGCCCGTGAACCGACCCGCCGATAAGCCGGCCAGGTGTGACCACGGCAAAGGCATCCGAGGCCCCGATCGATAGGTGTTCTTTCTAAGCTGCTCTGGGAGACAAGTGAAACCTTGATGGTACCTTGGTCGCCCTGGGAGATCTGGAGATATGCCATTGGGTATCAATCTCGTCATTTCCATATAATTAGAGATTTCTAGACATGAGGAGTGTATTGTGGTACTCAAGGGCCACTTTGCTTAAGAACATATGGCCTTAAAGGCTATAGTTGTAGGCAGTTTAGACCGGAGTTATTTTATTTATCACGTGAAGAAATTGGGCCTAACTGCACCAACAATTTTTAGGATGTCGTTCTTCTGTAATTTCATTCCGAATGAATTTTCAATCAAGTCGCCCGCTTGTGTTCCAATATCAGCCTCCCTTTCCATTCAAATAACCTGATCGCCGCGGTCGATAGCTAATTCTGTGAGCATCCCATATTCTCTCCAATTTCTTGATATGATGGGGTTGTATCTAATTCAAGCCTGTTCGCTGCTAAAGACTACACGATCCATGGTCTATAATCTCGCCCCAGCCACTTGCTTTCGCAGGCATACAAACAAAATGACAGTGTCGCTTTCAGAGCATGATTTCAATCGCCAGGATTTGAGATACCCGACGCGACCGTTGTCAGTCGGGGCATAAATGAGTCCTCTGTGTCGCACAAAGTTCCTATTATGGAATTCATCTCCACATTGGGATAGAATAGGCATGAAAATACTGCGTCAAGCAGACAATCTCGCCATCCTATCCAGCGGGAAACAAATAAATATTGTTGGGAATGTCATCAGCTGTCATTGGCTCAATAAACTTCAACTGTTGACACATTTCCAAAATGCTCGCATAACAGGAAGAAGTACGCAACAGGACTCGCCCATTTTCAAATAGCCCCAATGCCTGACGCTGCTACTCATTTCACACTGGTTGTTGCACACCCAAATGACCTGTAGTATGAACGTCCTGCTCGTCAAAAATTTAGCAACCAGCCATGCGAAGTGTTTGTCTGGTCAGCAGCCCGTTGCAATCATTAAAATTTGTTCCATGCATGAGAGCGAGAAACATAAATGACAGCGGACCTTTCGATCCCATTAGCATGCAAAGCCTCACAAGGCTGACCAATTAAGATTGAAAGGAATAAATCTTAAACAGGTTAGGCTTGGGGCCGACCTGACATGGTGAACCTGACAGGACGACTGAGAATGCTAATAAGGGGGGCCGGCGGGCGGTTCCCGTCGGACTTTCAGTGAGTCCGAGTGTATAGTAATCAAATGGGCTCGGGGGCCATATACGCAGCCCCGACTTAAAAGGCAAGAATATCTCCCGTTTTGAATCTTCAAAACCAAAATTGAATCATTCATCAGACACCATAATGGAAGTCCACGTTGTCTCAAAGCAAGATAACTCAAAGCATGCGGCCTTCACGCTGCTTGATACAGCGTATCTACCACCATTGGCCGAATCGTCCATCCGCATCCGCACCCAGATCCTCAGTTTGACTTCCAACAATCTAACATATGTTCGTTTGGGGGACATTGCTCATTGGTATTTTAGCTATTGCTCCACTGATGAGAAAGTTCGTCTTTAACATAGCTGCAGGTGGGATCCGTATCCTGTTTCTGATCATTACCCGGCCCCCTACAATGACAACGCCAGGTGGGGAATTGCACCAGCCTGGGGCTATGCGACTGTCGAGGAGAGCACCATCCCGGAACTCGTTCCTGGAACCGTTCTTCATGGGTTTTGGCCGACCTCTGCTGCCTTGACTGATCTCAAACTGAAGCCCTCTGTGCCGAAGGGAAATTGGGTCGAAGTCAGCGAGCATCGCCAACAGGTCATGCCACTATACAACCGCTATGTCGAGATACCAGCATCTCTGGCGGAAATTTCTAACGCATCTTCTCCCACTCCTTCTCAGCAAGAGAAGCTCAACCGCTTGGCCTGGCCAATAGTTATCCTGTGCCGAGCTGGAAGTCACCTCAATGAATACGTCTTCCCAGTTAATCCAGAGACCACGCCCATTCACCCCTTCGGCTCCCATGCAGGAGGCCAGGAATGGACAGCGGCCGATGCAGATCTATCGTCCGCAGTCATGCTCAGCCTAGGTGCTTCCACCAAGACCGCTAAGGCGTTTGCCTACTTCTTCAACAGACGACCAAAGGAGACCGCTCCCCTGGGATTCCTCCAGGTAACCTCGTCAGTTGATCGAATTTCTGCGGCTACTGAGATGGCGAGCCCTACCTTCCCCTCCAAGGCAATTGATTATTCAGAAATTACTAGCGATGCATCTTTGAAGTGGCTAAGGGAACGAAGTCCGTCCAAGATTGTTATCCTAGATTTCGGTTCTCGATCTAATTCATTGGACCTATTGCTAAATGCAATGAAGAGCGATGTAGCTCTTCAGTCAGCAAAAGTAGTAATTGTGCAGATTGGTAGCCAGCAGAAGGTAAGCCATCGTTATTCTGAATTATGATTTGTGCTTTCTCAGCCATGCAGTCAGACTAACAATGTGTTTCTGGAAATACAGGTGTACACTCAAGACGAAAACCTTGCAAGTGTAAAGGCCTTTGTTGATCTTGGTAAGGTCCAATATAACACGTCCAGCGTGGAGGACATTCTGATCGAGACTCTGGGAATGGAAAAACTTTTCACCCAGCTAAATCAGCAAGCGGAAGCATTGACTGATCACATCCATGAGTGCGCACCCGGATTGGAATTGATATGGGGCAGTGGTGTCGCCGGCGCTCATGGCATTGAAGCCGGCTGGGATCGATTATGCCGAGGACAAGTAGGTTCGGAGGAGGCCCTTGTCTATAGGGTGCAACGAGCCAGCCCAACGGGTGAATAGGCCCGAGAATATTTGTCAAATTGAGAACGATCAATGATTTGAGGTGATGAGAACTGGGTGAACAATCTATCTTCAACCTTGTTACCAACCATAGTTGCAATAAACAATGTCGGACAAAGCGATAATTTTATTAAAACTTTCCCTGCTTTTCAATACTTCTTCCTTGTATCCTCGGTTATTTGTCCTTGTGCAACATCCTGATATGTCTCTGTTAAAAACAATCTCCGACAGAAACGGCTCTCATGTATCCACTTGGAGTTCCTTATCATCATACTACAAAAGCTTCTCAAGGCTGCAACAAAGATCGTGCATCGTGAATTTAATATAAGTGACAATCTTGAACCTTTTAACTTCCGACACTTCACCCCAGCATCGATCCAAGACACCTGACCGTACCCATTCAGATTCTTGGTGACACAAAGGATGGCGGGAGAAGACTCGAGACACGATTACTCTGGACAATTTATTGCAGCTTCCGAATCGAATAACCCGTGGCCAGAGTTCGAGAGACACTGCTGTATTCGTTTGCGCGCACTTGAGTTCTTGGAGGCAGTTCCGCGCAGAACTTGGTGGTCACTGCTCCTAGCACCACTCATTGCTTACCTCTCCGATATGATATACTGGCAGCTACATGAGCAGGTGAGGCAGCTTTCAAGCTCTGAGGATGGCGCCAAACGCCTTATCACGGCGATTATCCAACGACCTAGTCTGTTGCAGTGGAAGTACCTTGTCAGGGGATGGTCGCAAGGGATATACAAGTCCCTCCTTGACGCAATTTTCGCCTCTCACGGAACCACACTTCCTAGCTGTGGTATTACCTATAATCAGGATGGTGACTGTGAGAGAATACTGCTTGCCACCTGTGGTGTATATGCGGAATACGAGCCCTCCCACGGAAGCGAGGGCAACCCAGACCAGTGGACTCTGTATCAGGCCTGGATCAAAGCCCGGATCCATATTGAACAGCCTCGCCCAGCTTGCAATCAAGATAGTTCATGTGGAATGATGAGCATCGTTCATAGCACCTGGCTCACCTGCTACGCGCGAAGCGGCATATTCGCGCACGGCATCGCCGGAAATTCTCGGGATGTTGTGTGGTCAATGGCGATAAAGTCCGGCATGTGCTTCACAAGCGCAGAAGAATATGCCTCCATCACATTATGCCAATTGATGGGACAAATCCAGCATCGTGGTAACGATCTCAGCGACGGGTTCGCAGCAGCGGGGTTCATAAGGGCCTACCGCCGACGATTTGAATCCATGGATTCCAGTTGCATTGTCCGTTACGGGGTTAATCTGCGACTGGGAGCATTCAGCTGCATCTACCAACTGGGCCGGTTCGCACCCAAGGCTGTGGAGTTGCTCGATGGCGGCAGTGTTTGTGTATCTTCGAGCGGCCGTACTGCAAAAATTGTTGCATCGGATCCGCCGATTATTGAAGGCTGTCCCAGCGTGATGTTTGATGCATGGGTACACGCCGTGGAGCTTGAAGAGGTGACAGTGGACGAAGAAGCTTCCCAGGCATGGGATCGTTGGCTTGAGGTTGTGTTTGACCGACGCAAAACCTCCCTCAGTATCCCCGTTCGATGCAGTTTGTGTCATTTTGCGATATCGGGCTCTTCAGGGAACGAGTCTCACCCGGGATGTATCCCATCTCGTCAATAATTATGGCCATAATGATGCTGTTCGAGGACCCACAGTAGCTGATGCCTCATCCTAGACCAGCCAAGGGTCTTCCGAACAGCCGAACAGGTTGAGACGGTCTCCACATGGCGTGTTGTTGCCTGACCCCGTGCCAGGCAGCAGCCCCCTAATGGCCTGAATAAACAGGCCACCAAATGGACCCTGTTGTCGACTTTAAAAGCAACCAGTCCGGATTTCCAGCTTTCTTTTCTCTTTTGTCGTGACATCTGGCTTTGTGCTTCAATTGCTTCTCTCAATGAGACTCAATTTCCAAGCTTTGTTGCGTTGATTTCTATTTTGCACTTGAAGCCCTTCCCCTCGTATTCGCCTCGACTTCATTTATTCCTCCTTTACTTCAGCGACCTACGTCTGTTTCCATTGTTGTCTCTTTGGAATTATTGAAATGGCTCCTCGTACATTCAAAAAGATGGTGATTGCTGTGAGCGGCACATTTCCTGGTTTCAAGCAATGTAAGACGACGACCGGCAACTTCGGAGAATTTACAGTCCCCCCCCCCCTGATTTGTGGAGATGAGGCTGACATAGACTCTCCCCGCTTCCAGCCGATGTCAAGGAGTTGATTGAGGCCCAAGGAGCCACTTTCAGTACATCAGTTAATGACCAGTGCACTCATTTGATTACGACAAGCAAAGATGTGGAGAAGAACAGCTCCAAGTGTAAGTCACCGTCAATAAATTACGCTTCATCCCATAATCACCATCGATGAGCTAGTAGTGACCCGATACGCCTACAGACCAAGCGGCATCCAAGTCCACCACCTGTCACGTAGTTTCCCTCGACTGGCTGACGGAGTCCAGCAAAGGAAAGAAACCGCTAGCAGAGAAGGTGTATCTGCTGGGTGCTGGTGCTGGTTCCGGTCAGAGCACTGCTGCTCCTCAGGTAGCGCCGAAAAAGTCGAACATGAATGCTTTAAAAAATGGGAATGGCAAGGACTTGACGGCCGATTCTGAAAAGACTGGCCAAAAGCGGGCCTTGAAGCAGGAAGATGAATCTGCCGAGAAGCCAATCAAGAAGCAGAAAGACTCAGAGAGTTCAATCTCGAAGCAGCTGGTTATTCCTGTGGACGAAGGATTCACCTCATCTGTTTCTTCTTACCTTGGTATCTAAAATCCTTTTTTCATTGTTGGGTATTAGCTGACATTTATGATGGCAGATCCTCGTGTACATATCGATGACACAGGTCTGATCTGGGACGCCACTCTCAACCAGACCGTTGCCTCAAACAACAACAACAAATTCTATCGACTTCAGATTGTTGCTGACAAAAAGGGCAGATTCATTGCCTGGACTCGTTGGGGTAGAGTTGGAGAGCACGGCCAGTCGGCAGCTGTTGGGGATGGCAGCTTGAAGACTGCAGAGATGGCTTTCAAGAAAAAATTCCGAGAAAAGTCAGGCCTCGCATGGGAAAACCGTCTCGAGCTACCGAAGAATAATAAGTATACGTTTATTGAACGCAACTACGAGGAAGACGATGAAGAGGAAGAAATAAAGAAGCCGATCAAAGAAGAGCCAGATGAGCAGAAACCCGAAGTGAAATGCACCCTCTCCAACCCACTGCAGAACCTCATGTCTTTCATTTTCAACCAAGATCACTTCTACTCCGCTATGGCTTCAATGTCATACGATGCAAAAAAGCTACCTCTGGGCAAGCTTAGCGATCGAACTTTGAAAGCTGGTTTCTCTACCCTCAAAGAGTTAGCTGAGCTCCTGGCAGATCCTGCTCTGGCCACCCCGCGGTATAATATGGGCTATGGACCTGCTATTGAGAGTCTAAGCAATCGTTACTTTACAACTATTCCACACGTCTTCGGTCGTAACCGACCGCCGATCTTGAACTCGGATGCCCAGATCAAAAAGGAAATCGAACTGTTGGAGGCTCTGACGGATATGGATGTGGCCAATGAAATCTTGAAAGATTCGAAACAGGTTTCCGATATTCATGAACTGGATCGTCAGTTCCAGAGCCTGGGAATGGAAGAAATGACCTCTCGTAAGTATAAACGCCCTGTCTAATCTACTTGAGAAAGCTAACGCTCCAAAGTTGAACATGATTCCACTGAGTTCCATGAACTTTCAAGTTATCTGTTGAATTCTCGCGGTGCAACCCATCACCTCAAATACACAATCATCGATATCTTCCGCATTGAGCGCCGGGGTGAGAATGCCCGTTTCAGCTCATCTTCATTCGCCGATTTGAAAAACAGTGACCGTCGTCTACTTTGGCATGGCTCTCGTAGCTCTAATTTCGGTGGCATTCTGAGCCAGGGTCTACGAATTGCGCCCCCAGAAGCACCTGTGAACGGCTACATGTTCGGCAAAGGTGTATACCTCGCGGATACGTCGACTAAGTCTGCTAACTACTGCTGTTCCTCCACCAGCGCAAATATGGGATTACTCTTACTCTGTGATACAGAGCTCGGCGAACCTATGCTGGAACTTTGCATCGGCGAGTACAAGGCTGGAGAAATTGCTCGTAAAGAAGGAAAAATTGCTACTCTTGGAAAGGGCCAGACCATTCCTGGAGGATGGAAAGATGCTGCAGCCGTCAATCCCGTGCTGGAAGGCGTCAAACTTCCCGATGTGAGCCGTGGCTCAATACCCTGCAAGGACGATCATAATCCGTGGCTGCAGTACAATGAGTATATCGTTTACGATGTTGCTCAGATTCGACAGCGCTACCTTTTCTACGTCCGTATGGATTGAGCGGTTCCCATTGGGTTGCTCCTGAAATGGCCGCCTGGCTGGGTTTTGCATAGCGACGGTGTTATGTTGAGTCGGGAGCTTGAAAAGCAGATTCATACTGCTTAAATTTCACCTATCTAGATTACTATTTTATCATCTTCACCTATACTGAATAAGAGATTTCACATATTGTCTTCACCCCAGAAGGCCCTCTGAAGTTTTGATATAATTTTGTGATGACATTTGGTAACAGCGCTTTCACTGGCCCTTATAAGCTCCGCCGTTCCCAACACCAATCTTTAATTTGCCCCCTCAAGCCTATATCACGAGCAATCGTCGTTGTATCCCATCCCAACTTGAGGCTGGAATAGAGTTTCCGGGCACCTCGCCGTCAGAGCGGGGGGTTACCCCCATTCCAGAGAATGGGGGCTAAGTGGGGTACTCTAGACTCTAGAAGGGGAACAGTTTCGATATTTAGGATGGTGAAAGGGGGCATTCATACAAAGTTCTTTGATGTACTTTGATTGTATCCGATCGGAGCGATCGACATTAGCTCCATTCGGGTTTAACAATTGGTCTTTCAATAAGAATCAGTAGTCTTCAGGCTATACATTATTTACATAGACTAAATCTTGTCTATTATTTTCTGTAGTCGATCGGATGTCTCTAATAATACACCTTTTGGGATTAGTAGGCATGAATGTTAGCGTGAATGGATCAGTGTCCTGGTCTTGTAACTTGATCCCGTGAGTATTAGGCCCAAGTAAGAGGGTCAATCATGGAAGCCGGATGTTTATAAACTTTTATGGTCATTAGAACCTATTCTCTTCAAGAGGTGAATAAACTATCAGATCTTCGCCCCGATCGTGACAACCCTGGAACAGATGTGACCGGTACTATTCATTTTGGGAAGGTGAAACGCATTGCGCTAGACTGTATTTGGTGATTAGCCGGTTAGTCTATCCTGTTTTGTCAAATAATAGCCTACGCTCGCCCATTTTGGTAACTCCCGACATCTTCACCAGGGCTTTGTTGCTTGCTGTAATGAAGAACCCAAGTAGAGAAAAAAATGAAAAAATCGTGGATACGTATTAAAATCTACATTTATTCTATCATCAAAATTGTTTCTTTAACTCATCCTTTGTGCCTTTAGCCGTTGTGCCTCAATACTTCATTTGCCCCGTTCAGAACACCAGATCAAGAATGGGGATCAAAAGCGCTTCCCCTTCCGATGCTCATATCTGCATCATCGGCTCTCTTAACATCGACTTTGTGACTTCAACTCCTCGATGCCCCGGCCCCGGTGAAACGCTGACGGCCACCTCGCTTTCCGTGGCCGCCGGGGGCAAAGGTGGAAACCAAGCGACCGCGTCCGGGCGCGCTTCATTTACTTCCAAGGATAGCCAAGATGTTACCGTCACTATGATTGGTGCAGTGGGTGCAGAGGATGTATATTACTCGACTCTGCTTAAGCCTGCTCTTGAAAAGTCCGGTGTGAACACCGCCAGTATCGAAGAGTTGACAGAAGCCCAAACCGGGTCAGCCAGTATTATCGTCGAAGAAGCCGTTGGAGGCGAAAACAGAATTCTCGTCGTACCAGGAGCCAATCATGCTGGCATGATGAATGATGTTGCGCAGATTATCTCTGTTGTAAAGCAACAGAAGACCAATCCAGGAGTTATTGTCATACAAGGAGAAATCCCCAGGAAAACTACTCTCGGTCTGCTGGAGTATTTCAATGGCGGCGTTTCTGCTGTTGATCGGGCACACGTTATCTTCAATCCGGCGCCCGTGTTTCCAGAGGGTATTCCGCTGGTATCACTGAAGCACACTTCTGTCCTTATAATGAACGAAACCGAGGCGGTGCAGATGTCACGATCCATTACAGGGCTCCCCGTCTCCGACCTCGACCAGCTTGAAGAACTGGATAGCCTGCAGCCCGACAAGCTGGCGCTTCAATTCCATGATTTCGCCAATGTCAAGATTGTTCTGATTACTCTTGGTGCCAAGGGTGTTTACTTTTCCACCTGCAGCGGTCGTCGGGGCTCGATAAAAGGAGTGAAGGTTCCCAAGGTCATCGATACAACCGCTGCTGGTGACACCTTCGTCGGATATTTCTCAGCCGCTCTCGCACGTTTCCTGGCCAAAGATGCGGACTTGGAAGCATTCGATGAGGAGATTGAACAGGCGGTTGAGAAGGCAAATGCAGCGGCTGCACAATGTGTCCAGCGCCGAGGTGCCATGCAAAGCATCCCTTTTGCGTATGACATGGAGTGAATATTGATAAAAAGATGAATATGGATATTTAGATTTAGACTATATACTTATATACAAATAAAGCGGATTGGCGTTCCGGTGATTGAAAAATAAAACTGTGCGTTTTATTCTTCTGGTTCTTCATCATATCGCGCAATGCTCCAGACCGACTGTAGCGCCTCAATCTCATGCTCCAAGTTGATTCCAGTTGTGGCAGTAATCATTCTCAATCGCTCCAAAAGAACTGTTTGCTGGGACTCGTGTGTCATTTCTTGTGCAATAAGAAGAAGGCTAGCAACCAATATCGGATCCCATTGTTCGGGCGAATCGTTACTGGTGACGATTCCAGAGATCGATTGTGCATGCCATATATGAGAGGTGAAGCATCTTGACCCAGGTAAAGATTTCAGCAATCGCGGTTTGTGTGACAGCAAAAGAAGAGAAGTAATATGATAGACAGTATTAGCGACCAGCGCCATTGGTGTCGTATAGATTAAGATTGGAAATGATGAATCGTGCTCGGGGTCAATTTTGGCCGCCTCTCCTCCACGGACGTCGACAATTTGTTGTGCCTCGACCGGGCGCTCATTGTACCATTTTTGGCAATCGGTCCAGAGAAAGGTCCACTGGGAAAGAAAGTGGGATTGCCGCAGGGATGTAAACGCAGCTAGCTCTGGCGATCTAGCTGTTTGTGGAGAGGCGACATCGGCGTCTCCATATATCAGAGCAAGACAATGCCCTAGCAGGCATAAGGCATGCTTGTAAACTTTGTTTATAGAGTGAAGTCGATGTTCGGGTTCTGTGGTATGGATCGGGGAACCATCTTGTTGGAGAAAGGAATGGAATGGGACAAGTGGTGGTTTGCCCTTGAACATCGAAGCTGCAAGATCTAAGGAAGAGTTTTAGTGGGCTTGAAAGGCTGGGATTTCACCTCATTGTGGGGGATTTACACACCAATCCTGAAGTAAAGCCAGAATGAAGATTCTCCGAGTTCATCGGCCAGATGCACTGGCGATAGAAATCCATTTGGAGACTCAACATAAGGTAGAAGGTGACTTCTCCATTGCTCAAGCCCTGAAGGTAGAATCTCCTGCAATAGTAATAGAGCACGTATTGCATGCTGTTCTAGCTCCGGCGCCGAGCTAATGCCATGCTCTGCTTCCGCGCGGAATCGAAGACTGTTTGAAAGGTCTTCACTCTGTGGTGGAAGCGCAAGGAGAGGCCTTTGACCCACGGACAGGGCAAGGATCGCTAATTGAAGAGCTCTGCATGTTCTCGACAGAAGCAGAACCTGAACGCCTAAGGCGCAGTCGGGGTCTCCGACATCTATCCAAGGGCCCACGTGATAACGAAAATGTCGTAATAAGTCAGTCTCGTGATTATTACTCGTTGTCGGAGGCCTTTGATGGGCTTTCTGAGGCCCAAAGGAGAATCCAAGATAACTTTGCGTCGTGCGATTTCGGTCGAGATCGCTGGGTTGATTTCTTGGTTTGCTCCCGAGTACAAACCCGGGAACACGTTGTAGGCTCGTTCCCGTAGGATAGTCAACGGGGGCATTCGTTGTAAGGATGTCGTTCAGTTCAAGAGCTGCACGAGGTCCATTCGCATTCGGATATAATGTATCACCAGGAGGATTGAGTATCTCTCGTCCACTGAGGGAATCGACCTGAGATTGTGACAGAGTCTTGTCAGGCTGTCGAGAACGGTCTTTCCCTGCTGCAGCATATGCGACAGGAAAATCATCCACGAACTATACGGTAAATCGTCAGTATGAAATTAATAATTTAAACTACATGGATGCAAGCTTGTCTCTCTCACCGTAATTGTACTATATGACTGTCGCGTGCCTCCGGGCGCTTGGCCCGACCGAGGCGGCACGAAGGCCAGATCGGCGCCATACTTGCAGGTGAAGCCCTTGACCTCGCAGTTGGCACATCGCGGCTTTTGCTCATCGCCTAGGGAGGGATATGATCAGTTGATATCAGGGACCGTGGGCGCCGACGGCGACTTACATTTTCTTCGCCTTTTCCGACACGTTAGACAGCCAGTCCGCACCCGCTGCTTGCCTGCCGGCGTGGGTTTACGGGGCATGATGGATTATGGCGCGCATGACCCCAGACGGGAATAAGAGTGGAAGCCAGAAATGCAATTCAGAGGCTCCATGCCCCCAGAAAAGTGCTCCGATGTCACCGGAGAGCGCCGCGTCGGAAGTCCGTGTAAAGTCGGGGCAGTGGTGGGGCGGGCCGAAAAGGGCATGGGGACTCGATGCGGCTGGGACCGCGGATGTCTTCATTTTGCGGTCATGGCGGAGGCGTGTCGGACGCCACCCGATGGCAAGTCAGGTTCCCATCGATCGATCAATTGCTTATGTCCGCTGCCTGGTTGGCATTTGTGGAGTATTCGCTGTGTTGAACATGTGGATCTACTACATCTGTTGAAGGGCTTGGAACTACTCTGTACTACCAACTACCTTCCAAATTCCAAGTATAGTCTGGTTCATGCAGCTGGGATGCGGAAGTTGTGATATTCTCATATACTCAAAATTCGTAATGCGTACATTCTTCTCTAATAGTGTGCTATTTAAGATGCGGACAAAAACTACTCCAGTCGCCCTCTACAGCGCCTCGATGTACTGCTCGCCATCCTTTTGCTCCAAATCGCGACCGGTAGCACCGCCCATTCGTTCAATGAATGAAAGCAGGCCAACATCGCGCTGGGCCTCACGGAGAAGTTCCGCGTCACGCTCTCCAGTGTGGCTTCCGAAGACACGGTCCATCTCTTCCAGAGTCGCATTCTTGGTTTCGGGCAGGAAGAACCACACCCACACAATACCGACAAGCAGGAATACGGCAAAGAAGATGTAGGTACCCCACTGCCAGGTCTGGAGCATGGGAGGTACAAAAAATGCAATGGCGAAGTTGTTAATCCAGTTGCTAGAAGCACCGATAGAAGCGCCCTTGGCACGAATGGAGAGTGGGAAGATCTCGGAAACAAGGGTCCACGAGCAAGGGCCCCAGGTGGCACCAAAGCCTGCAATATACAGCCAAATGAGAGCTAAAAACTATGGTCAGCGATATTGCATTTCTGGGAGACTGAAGCGCCACTTACCAACTGCGGTCCAACCGGCAGCCACATGGCCTGGCCAGTCATGTTGGAACTTCGCCACAATGACTCCGACAATTACCATGCTCGAGAACATGACGATGGAACCGCCAATGAGCATAGGCTTGCGACCGATCTTGTCGATAACCAACTGTAGATCGAAACCCGTTAACAGATATATCAGGAACAGCTTTCCAGGCACCATTACTTACCATGCCGGGGATAGTGCTAATGATGAATACAACACCGGTGACACCAGTTGCCAACAGAGCGATAGTACCGCCGGTCAGGCCGAGACTAACAAAAACATTGGAAGCATAGTAGATAACTGCGACAAGAGTCAGTCTAATCACCTTACGACGATCATCAGCAAACACATAGACTTACTAGCATCGATACCGCTCCACTGTTGGAAGAACATGATCAACCACGCAGTCGCAACGCGCTTGAAGTTATCCATTGAGCGAACACAGTTGGCATATTGGGCAATTTGGTTCATAAAAATGCTCTGACGCTCACGCTCCGCTAGCTTAGGTGCGGATTTAGCGAATGCACGCTTCTCAAACACTGCCTCAGCCTTGATCTCCAGGTACTCAACCTGAACAAGCTCATGTTCAACAGGGACCTTGCGCATCCATGCCAGAGTCGCCTGTGCTTCCTCGTCGCGTCCCTGTTTCACCAGCCAACGTGGAGAAAACGGCATAAACCAAATACCACAGGCCAGGCACACAGCAGGAATACCCTGAATAATCGAGGGCAGACGCCAAGCGAGATTCGATTGGGTTTCACCAGTTCCACCAATGTAGTTGCTTCCATATCCAACCCAGAAGGAAATCATGATACCGAGGATAGTCGCGAATTGGTAAAACGACACCAAGAGACCTCGCATCTCTGGGGCCGCAAGTTCCGCATTGTAAAGAGGGCCAACACCACTGAACAGACCGACGCCAATACCAGTGAAAAATCGGCCGGCATACAGACAAGATGGGTTCCCATAGGTGGCTCCGACGTAAAGATAACTTCCCAGGATGACCCAGCAGCACGCGAAAAACATGGTGTATTTACGGGAGAAGATCTCGCCGAGGACACCAGCTGACAAAGATCCGATGATACCTCCAACTTGGAGAATCGATGTGAGCCACCCGGTCGCCGTGGAGGATGCGACCACAGTTGGGAAATTCTCAGTAAAGCGGGTCATGACCAAGGACTGGCCGAGAACACCCTGCTGGTATCCATATTCGAAACCGCCGAGGCTGCAAGCCGTAGTTAGCGTGCCGAAAAGACTTTCACCAATGACTTCAGAAAGTGAAAACATACGAGGCGAAGAAAGCAATAAATAGGACTTTAGGGTTCTCGAATATCGACTGCCACATGGTCTTCTTCGCGAGCTGTACACGCGGAGCGGCTTCCACGTCGATGGATTTCCGGTCCGCCATGGTTGCAACAATTGATTCGGGCCGAGACAAAGTGCTTCGAAAACCGACTCTTCGCACAGAAGAGGAAGATATTGGAGAAATTTTTCACAAGAAATGAATTCAAACTACAGAAAATCAAGGGATGGAGACCCCATATTATATCTTATTTTTCGCATCTCTTTTTTCCTGCTCAGGCGGAACCACAAAAAAAAAACTTAAAAGGCCTACCCCGGTCTCGGTCTCCCGAGTGTCTCGCGGCCCCCGGGAAACGAAAAACGTGGAGGCAAAAGAAAGTGTGGAGGATGCGCTAATCCCAAAACAGCAACTCATAGGCTATGCAGCCTGTTTTGGGCGGAATTTAGCTAAGAGTTTGGCTTTGGGATGATCCACTCGGTTAGCGAAGGATGGAATGGAGTCAAAACTGGACCCTCACCCCGTTAGTTCTCCACGAAAACCGGCCGTGAAACCTGTGGTTGCGCGAATTGCGGCGACTTCTGACGTTCCTAGTTCTAGGGGGTGAGACTAGCCTCTGCAGATTGTGGAGTAGTTCTTGGCTTCTTGTTCCGCTTTTGGAAAGCAGAGGCAGCATCATGCTCATCTGGTTAAGTCGATGCGGGGAGATCGTGGAGTTTCGCGGAGAGGTGGAGGGAGATCAGGGGGATTTGATATCAAATATCAAGTATTTGGGCAATGGTCGGCAGTCGCCGATAAATAATTGAATAGGCAACAGTTTAGGGCAGGTATAAAGGGTTCGGTAAGACAGGAGAGAAAGTAAAAGACTGAGTGATTGTCTTCTACTTGAGCTTGGGACTTTTGCTGCTTTATTGGTTGAAACCAGTCAAGCAAAACAACTACAGTATTATGCACTGGTCCCGTTCTTTGCCGCTACTCTGCGGCGCCCTTCTCCCATTTGTTACTGGAGGGCTTGCAGTCTCCTATGCTCCTACAGAGAAACGGATGGTGGTGCTCGACAATGACTGGTATACAGCCGGTTTCCTTCCCTATCTAATTGCCCTTGATGGGGATATGGATGTTCTGGCCCTGGTTTCAGGTAAGTGTGACAAAGTTTTTCTATCTTCACTGCCCAAGGACTTGGAATAACACAATTCGCTAGACACTGCAAATACCTGGCAGCCACAGGTGGCCTTGCATGCGGTCGCCACATTAGAAGCCGGTAATCTTAGCTGTATTCCAGTCTATCCTGGCGCTACCTGGCCATTGATTAATACACCTCAACGCTTTCAGGCTTGGGAATCTATTCATGGAAAACTGCCTTGGGAGGGTGCTTTCGCCCCTGAAAACAGAACTGCTGAAGCCGAAGGAATGGATCCCACCTCGGGCAATCCCAATCGCATTGTCAAGGGGGCTTTCAAAGAGGGGTTCCCGAAAGGCAAGCCTAACAACTCTACCTCTGCCGCAAATTTCATGGTCGAAATGGTGCATAAATATCCTGGCAAGGTTTCCATCTATTCCGCAGGGGCTTTGACCAACGTCGCACTGGCCGTCCGCATGGATTCTGAGTTTGCGTCATTAGCAAAAGAGCTCGTAATTATGGGAGGATATCTCGATGTGAACATGCTTCAGGCTACCGGAAATGTGTTGCAGGCTGATCTTCAATCTGATGTAGGTACCTGCCTGGGAAAGACTTGATAAGAGCACTCAACTAACATGATGATTCCTAGATTAATCTTATGATCGATCCTGAAGCCTCTAAGATTGCGTTGACTGCAGACTTCCCATCAATCACCATCGCTGGCAATGTGGCGAATCAAGTGTTTCCCACTAAGGAGTTGGTTGATGAGATCAAGCAGGCAAACAACCCGTATGCTGAGCTTTTTGCGAAGTACTATGATCTTTCATTTCCCTTCTGGGACGAAACTGCCGCTGCTCTGATGGTTGACCCCTCCATAGCCGTGAACCAGACCTCAGGTAAGGAAATTGTTGTTGAATCTATCAAAATATATCAGCTAACAGAATCCAGTTTATCTTGATGTTGATGTCTCTTACGGCAGCCCCAACTACGGCAACATCCATGTCTATCAAAAGGCCCTGGCGCCTGCTGGCATCCGAGAGGTCAATTATGTCTTCGAGGTAGATGCGAATAAATTGCTTCGGCGCATTAAGCATTCCTTGATGCACCCCAAGTCCTGTGCTGATCTTGTGTAAATTGCCCATTCTGCATTCCCTTCATTTCCGGAACGTTTTATACTATTGCGTTTTGTCTGTTATACTTTCTGGGTATAGATAGCCCTCTCTATAAATACTATTATCTCATTATCATATGATTTTTAATCGTAACCATCCTCCGATTGCTTAACTATAAAGTTTTGTTCTGCAAAACTTAAGGTCCCTCTGCGGATGAATGCTCTACTGATAGAATTACGAAACCAGGTGGTGATATACGTAAGTGAAAGGCAAGGAATGAATAAAGTGTGTTGGATTGACGACAACAGATACGTTGTATCTTCTAGCGCCCGCCATACATGTACTTGATATTGGCTTATCACCACTTGCCCACTCCGGCTTGATGAATAACCTATACATGAACATCAAAGCTCCACTCATGTACAAATCGATCTCTCCTCATTTTTCTTATGACGAAATGATGAAAGTCGGACATGGAGTAGAATAGGGGTGTTTTGCTTGAGATGTCGCATATGAAAAAGTGTAGCCCCCTATACAGGTTGTCATGAAGTCTGTATCCAATCCCTACATTGCACTTTTACTTTGACCATCGGTCTCGGAGCAATCTGGAATTCAAGAGTATTTTAATGTGTATTGCAAGTGATAACAAGCGCCTGAGGTAGGAGTTATCATACGGAGACGTATCACTTTACTAAATCAGTACTAGCTCCGCGTAAGGTGATTCTTGTCATATACAGATAGGTGACGGGGCGATTTTTTCCAGAGAAGAAAGGCATTGGCCCCTCTACCGTTCGCAACTCCTCCTACGGTCCATTTCCCTTATCAACTGCTCTTGCTTCAATCGAAACAATGAAACCTTCATCGACTACCCGAATATCCAACGTATCTATGATTCTCCAGGACTCCTTCCATCTCTACTCTTTTTACTGCTCTTCTTGTTGCCAGCGAATTATAATCGCTGCTCATCTCAAGGGCATCCCGCTTTCATTCACATACATTGACCTGGGCGCCAAAGAACACCAGTCTGAAGAATATGAAGCAACCTGAATCCCAGCAGTAGCGTACCTACCCTAGTGGTTACGTCCAGCTTAACCGGCGAGAAGACGATAATCCGACAATCTATGACTATTTTGGACTAATTTGGGGACCGATTCCCAAGCCAATCGCCACTTTTGCCTCGGAAATCCGCAATGCAGGACCGCATCCACGTACGCGGCCTAACCAACATCATCGCCATTGATACTCAGCCTATCACCAATTCGCGTATTGCGAAGCGAGTCAAATCCATCCGTGACAACCTTGAGGATCGTGATACATTCATCAAAGAGGCCTTCGCCGACGGATTCCGATCCTTTGAAGCCCTCCTGGTCAAAAGGGGCCAGAATGGGGCTTATTGCTTTGGCGAGTTCATCTCCATGGCAGATGTAGTGCTCGTCCCTGCAATCGACCGGGCCTTGATGTACAAGATGGACCTGGACTTTGTGCCAAACGTCAAGCGCATTTATTTTGCTCTCAAGGAATTGGAGTCCTTCAAGGCCGCAGACTGGAGGAGTCAAGGAGATACTCCGGAGAGATTCCGAATTCAAAAAAATAATTGCGAGTTGTCTATTCAAGGGGGCGGCCCCGATTCAAGTTATTTCTACTGTAACTACGCCCATCATGATCATTTACATAACCGCCAGGAGCCAAGTTGGTTCTCCACAGCGGAATCCCATGCGCTGTTAATATCGCTATTGGTGGGTCAGAAGCTTGCAGATGAGCCCAACAATGTAGGCGAATTGATTCACTTTATCAAACCAACCACCAACCAACACACACCACTATTGACGAAACAAAGATCCAAATAGGAATGGGGGCCGTTTCATTGCGAATGGAACACGCATTGTTCGGACCAACTGGCAGAAAAGAGAAATTTTGTAGATACCAACTTGATCAAGCTACCAATCAACTCTATGCCTCCAGTTGGGGGACATGAAACCGCCCGCCAAAAGCTCCTACAGATTGCTACTTGTCTGTGCATTCATTGGGCTATGTTGTACTTTCGCTTTTTCCCGCCCTTTAATTCTAAGCGACAGGAAAACTTGGCCCGAGAAGAGGCAAGTAAATTTACTTTGCATTTCACTACGGTTATTTAGCCAAATGGAAGAAAAATCCCCAGCCTGAAAGAAATATTATTGTGAAACCAGACCTTTGATGCAGGATATGCAAAGTTTACAAGGGTGAAGTATCATCGGTTCTTTGAGAAGCCGATAGTCTCGGCTTTGCCTCAAAGCCCCGATTTGAGAAAGGAGGACCTCGATCGAATATTACACCATAACGCCAAGATTCTCGACAAAGATCATGTTATGTCATAAAAAGATATTTGGAGACTAGATTAAGGCTACCCTCGACCCGCCGGTGTTGGTTATTGCTCCTTTAACGAGGCTACAACTATTGGGTAACCTTTCACCAAATTTAGCAGTAGATGTTATATCTGACAATTCCTAGCAAGCTCCAGTCCTCTGCCATGACCACATTTGCATGAAGCACAAGTATACATACCAACACTCTCTGTCCCCTCCTCCTCCCAACACTGGCTGGGTGAAGCAGGGATAATAGCCCTTCTGGTTATCGGTCAAGTTCAAGTAGTCAGCGTGAACTTTTAGAGCCTGTCTGAGATGATACTAGAAGTTCAGGGCTTTGGCTCTCGAATCGAGTTTCTAACAAAATTTTGTTTTGGCTACAAAGCGCCTCCTGGAACATCACCATTTCAAAGGCCCCCTGAATTATCACAGTGATTAGAAAACCGATTTGAGTCTCACTCCAGTAAATCCGAAAATCTCAGTAGGTGAGCTCTCTTGTCTATAGTTTGAGCGTGTAAAGCATAGATCAATACTCCATGGGACTCTACAGTTTACCTTCATTCTACATGAAAAAATACAATATACCCCTAAGGACCTGCAAAATCTTTTCGGGAGTCGCTTCCGTGATCACTGCAATAGTGCTGAGCTTTTCAGTATCTCGACGGCCTTCTTATTGGATTAGGATCCGAAATATCTTGAATTTGTTATCATCCAAGTCAGAAGACTAGTGTGGACTTTCTCGGGCATAAGACTTGTTCTATTTCAATTCTGAAGCATCGTAGAGAATCTTCTAATGCTATTTCAGCAAGTTTGGTCAAATGACTATCGTGACTCGCGGCTCATGACAAACTCCACAGTAAGCTCCAACCTCCAACAGGGTCATAGTTCGAGTAGCCATCTCGAAGTATCAGGCCAGCTTCTTAAATTATCGCTCTTCATTATGATGAATTTGTTGGATGGACGCCTACATTGTTATTTATATCCATGCAATGATGATAATATACTGTAAAAATGATATTTCCCTGATCTATTTAAGTCTCAATCAATCCTATCAGAAGTTTCTCATCTCATTCCATTCAAACACTCTCCTCCCAAGTCTCTGAATCTTTTTCATTCCCAATCAATCAATCAATCGATACTTTTGTTGACATCTACAACAAATTATTAGCCATCATGCCCGCCGCCAAGTCCGGACTGACCGTTCACCAGGTCAAGGAAAACCTGAGAGAGGATTTCAAGCCCAAGATTGACAGGGTTAAGGCAAAGTATGACACTGCGAGGCAAGCACATCTAGACGCTCAAACTAATCATACACCCATTTCACTCAATTACAAGAGGCTCAAGGCGGAGTATGAGGAAGCCGAAAAGGAGTACAAAAGGTCGAAGAAGGCTGTTGAGGCGGCGAAAACTGCAGAGACTGAGGCAGATGCCAGTGTGAAGAGAGTGAAGAAAGAACTTCAGGACAAACTGGCCCTTATCGATAAGAGGTTGTAGATATCCTTTCATTTTGTGATATCTCCCTCTATCATCCCTGCATCCAGTGCCTTGTCTCTCTCATTTGAATCTCCGGGAGAAACAAATGTCTCCTGGTTTCGTGAGTCATTCTCCTTCTGAGTGACAAAATCCAAGGGACTACTACTACGTGCTTCCTCCTGTCAATCGTTTTCTTCAAATGTATCCTTTCAGTCGGAGAAAGCCAAATATTATTTGATCTTCCAATCCATGAGCACCCGTAAATATTGTCACATATCTTGTGGAATTTCGTAGGATTCTGTATGGCCAGGAACATTATATTCGCCTTGACAATAAAATCTCTATCTCAAAAAAGCAGAAGAAAGGGGGGGAAAGTATAAAACAAGAAGAGACCGACTGCTTTTCCTTCAACAAAATTTATCGACTGAATCCAATCAATGCTGTCGCCGAATTGTAGATGATTAGGTATAGGCGCCGATGACGTCCTAGCCCACGTTAGGCGAGACGCTGTGGAGGAGCCAGCCAGCTAAGCGCCAAAAAATGCCCCACAGTTTGGGATTCCTGGGATTCCTGGGATTGTACGTATTTACGCAATGAAAAGTAAATGTAAGAGGTTATCATATGCATCTACATTGACGGGAAGCCTAGAGAAAAGCATCATTCAAATTGCCGATAATATTTCGCCTGGCTCGTACCCCCAAGCTCGCTCGAGATCCTTGAGCCTCCAGAGAGCACCCCAACCGGTCGTCTCCTCAACAATTTTGAAGAGCTTTGCCACCTCAACATGTTCTTTGTAATGACTGAGAAGTCTTCCGGCAATGTACAGTGGCTGGATGGCGTTGATCAGATTTCCGCTATGGGGGTTTGTGAGTGAGATCCCACATACGCGCCGAGCGTGCCATACAGCAGAGAAGTGCGGCTTGGACGGCGGAACCATCTCCTCCGGCGGCTTCATGTCCAACATTATAATACATGCCGCATGGTATAATTGATTTCCAGATATGGCAGCCCAATGTGCGAAGAGAATTTCAGGAAATATCTGGCCACCGCCTATCCCCGTTGTCTTGATGGGTAACATGGCCCGTGGCCGTTGCTCCAGCCAAAACTGTAGCTCATCCCACAAACACGTCCACTGATCAATAAACGGTCGCGTATCTTCAACCATCTCGCCTAATTCTAAGTGTCGTGTTTGGCGACAGGCTAGATCGCATGCTTTCGCACAGAGGTAGACTGCCCAATTAGCGTGCATATCTGGCGATGCACGGCTTTTTTCATGAAATAAATCCCTGATGATTGTTTCTCTCTCATTAGGACCTGCTGTTTCTGGCATGGCAGGCACCCATTTGTTAAGGGGCAGGACAGTCCTCTCTGAGCCATTAGAAATGATCGCTCCGCATAGCTCCATGCGGACATAACACCAGAACACAGCCTGCAGATGCCCCCTGAGAGACCATTGACATTGAATGAAACAAAAAGCGCAGCACACCCCTCGACATGACGGCGCCAGTCGCGTGGGCTAACGGACATTAGCTCCATCACAGCCAAAATACACACTGTTACCAGTACATTTGGGTCTCTCGCTTGAAGACATGGTGCTAATAGTCGAATGGATTCCTGATAGAGCTCTAGGCTGTCGTAGGCTTTGTCAAGGCACGCCTTGCGCTCGGTCTGCCGAGCGGAAAACGCAAGGATGGCATAAAAAAGGGCAGGCGATCGTTGAGCAAGAATTGGAATGTGAACTCCAAAGTGACGTGATTCGTCGAACTTGTCCAGATAAGGTGCACATTCTGTGATCCAGTTTTTGAGATAATAAATAAGTCGAATTTTCGGGATCGATACCCTAGTGAAGTCTAGACTCTGCCGGGTCCCTTGCGGACTTCGTCCTTCTAATGGCTCTGAAGGTAATGGAGAGTTGTATGTGCTAGGATCGAGAGTCGCAACCGCTGAAAACAGCACGCAGCGGAGTTCTTCTTGTAATTCAAGGAAGCGCGGGTTGGCAGCGTACTCGTCCGCACTGGAAAATGTGCCGGGTGACAAGAAGTCCTCCTCTTCAAACAAGGGAGCTGGGTCGTTGAAAGAATCCGATATCCCTCGATTGGGCAGTATTGATGCAATGTGATCATTCATGGCGAGCAAGTGGTCGCTTGAAGTTGAAATCTGGGGTAGAAAGAAAGACAGAAACGAGGTGGAGTCAAGTCGGGTCAACGTGCCATTTTGGGAGGCAAAATCTACTTAGTCACGAAAACCGCACCCTCGACACGACCCATGGTTCGCAATGGGGAATCAAGTTATGAAAAGTAATTCTTCATCTTTAGACCAATTCTATACAAAATATATTCAAGAAATGAAATTGTAAATATAAACACATCATTATGGACAATATTCAACTTCGCCCATATCGCCACTCCATTCATAATGTACCACGTCAACAAGCTTTCGCAACACCGTGGGCTCAAAGAAGCTTCGGGTAACATCTGCAAGCCATGCAAGGTGTGTAGCTGGGTTATTTCGGCAGTAGCTAAACATCTTCTCCATATCCACACGTTTCTTTGTGATGTGTGGCCCCTCATTACCTAGTGTTCCGTATGGTTTCAGCGCATGCATTAGTTGACCATATCGGGCAACGTTCGCCTCCGACCTGTAGGTGCATGAATTATACGCTTTCACAGCTCTCACTCCCTGCATCAACTCATAGGCTTTGTGATGCGATCCAAGAATAGCCCAATTGCAGAATCCCATGACGACCAACGCACCTAGCTCGGAAGTATCAAGAACCGAAAGGACCGTTTCAAGACACTTTTCAATTGAGCGATCGATGTATTTGCAAAGATTCCCTCGGATGCCACGAAGAATGACATTCTCTCGCTGCTTTCGTAAGATATCCCCACGAAAGTCCACAAAATCATTGATGTAGACACATGCCTCGACGATCTTCATATACTCCATTTCCGATAACTCATGCCCGGTTGCTAATGATGCAGTCATCACGCCGTGAAACGCGGCGCTGTCAATATGTCGGTGAACCCCCAATCCTGTCATCCGGCTTCCATAGATGCCGTCAGGAAGATGAGGCCTGGAGTGATCTCTGAAGAAGCCCAAGACACGGCACTGGATCATATATGCGCTCAGGTTGTTAAATTGCCAGTCTGATACACGGCCCCCCATGTTGCACAATTTGAGAAACGACATAGCAGCAGCTCCAACTTGCTGTAGAAGTTTTAGGCCTTTTTCGTCTGCGGCTTCGCAATAATCACCAATCAGAATATCATTCGAAGAATCAGCAACTGCTCGAGCGAGACCTTCATCGCAAATACCAGCACCACAAGCAATTACACCGTAATATTTTGCGTCTGTGCAGATTTTCAACTGTTCTGCGGTTGGGTATAGCTGATGGCTAATCTTGGCATTACCATCCACACCTGGGTTTGGCCGGCGATCCGGAGCCTGGATTATAGGTATGAGGCTTGCTGTATTGGATCCTTGACAAGTATCTGGGACTGGCTGAATTTCCCTGTTGGCTAATTTCAATTCAGTAACAGCATCACGGAGCTTTTCCGAGGTGAACAAGTCGCTGCACCATTCATCTTGTCGCTGAATGACTCGTTCCGCTACTCCTTCCATGCTTTTAATCGCATAACATGTAGTCTGCAATGTTTCTCTGACAAACTTGCCATTCTTCAAAGTGACACTGATTTTATCACAATGACATTCAGTCTGGGGGTTATATTTCTGAGAGAAAAGATTGATTTCATCACAAGATGGAGGGCGTGTGCCTCCTATTATAATATTTCCTTTGACGACATGATTTTTGAATGCGGAGACGACCTGCATGAGACGTGCATGGCTCGTGAGTTGAAAAGCCTGTGTTTCGTCGAGAACGGTTGCTAGCTCATCAATATCTATTGTGGCTTCGGCCCCAGATGAGTCGGGTTCATCTGCACTCAAAAGCCAGGCATCAACCCAGGCAAGGTATACATGTAATAGATCTGGCTGGATTGAGTTCACTAATTTTGAGATCATCGTAGTGTTTAAAAAAGTAAAATGATGAAGAGTCTTTATGGATGCAGAATTTTCCTTTCATACTGGAAATTGCATCACTTAAATAAGACTATGTTTATCGGCACTACACTGAACCCTCCATTCTAAAGCACTAAAATTTCGGAGAAGTCCGTGGCTTTGCTTTGTTAGGTTTGGTATAGCAAATAATGTCGTGGGCGGTTCGTTGCCAATCAACAGCCGATAAATAACTAGACATAACACGGCGACTCCGTTAGTTCTTAGAATCAGACCAACCAGGCGATCGGCCCTCGGTTTTCCCGCAATTTTTGGTGTTTGTCCCGGGAACTTGATTGGCGGTGCTCGTGCAGGGTGCATACGAGCTTTGCGCCATCCCTTTATCGTGCAGAACACCACTGCCGTCAGCGGTAGGTTAAGTTCTTCGCGTGGTCGCTCAGCCACATCATCTGGCAGCTCGTACGACGCAGCTGAAGTTAGTGTGGCTACCTGAAACTGATGCCCAGCGAGGCCGCACTCGGGGGATCTCGGTAAACTCGACAGTTCCTTTTTTGAATATCGAGCATATGTGAATGCAAAAATTCTTCAGACTGTTCATTCGAGCTGGAAACTAGACTTCGCTATGTCTATCTGTGGATTCTAACTTTTGGGTAATTTCAACCGACTGGGAACTAGAAAGATATACCGAAATAGTGTGAAGGTTAGTGAACTCATAATATTTATCTATGCTTTGACGTGTCGGTCTAGGCCTAGTCTATTTCTTGCCACTTGTCAGTATAGGTGAGATTTACCGGGGGTGGGGTCAACTCGACCAACATAGATAAACTAGACCTATGCCCCGGAGTCGGTATAATATACCAAGTTTTCAAACTCCTCAAAACTATTCAATCGAATTTTACAAACTGAATATAGCTAGCTTGGCTCCTGAATGAAACCCCTCTCCTGCTTTTCCTTCTAACCTTCCAACCAAGTAGACTCTTCTGTGATATGGTGGGATTTTTGTAAGAGAGAAGGATGAAATTTTCAACCGAATCTGTTGACGCGCAATGTACCAGATTCAAGTAATTTCCATCTTTCTCATTTTGAGTCAATAACTAGATTGCTTGATAACATCATTTGCACCTTTTCCATCTTTCTCATTTTGAGTCAATAACTAGATTGCTTGATAACATCATTTGCACCTTTCTGGGCTTCGGTTTGTAAACCCCCATTTGCAGGATGAAGCCTTTGCTACCGTGGAAGATTCCTGGCCAAACCTTACATCGAGACTCGGAGCTGCTCCAACATCTTTGGATCACTCTTCCACAGCCCGGTTGAAACAACATGAAGCGTGTCTGAGAGAGACGAGATAGAAGTCGCCGGTAATTTTGCTTCTTGTCATGCCTGTGGAGATAAGTCATTGGATAATCAGGTACCTATCTAGTCAGAACAAGACCTCGGTCCGTATAGGTTCCAATGCCAACGCTTTTCAAGCTCTTCACCCCGATTTCTTTCTGAATATCAAAATACTTAGACCTTACTGCGGAGCGCGCACGGTCAAGACCTCCAACAGCAGAATACTATCTTCTCAGCATGATCTTAATTCTTGGAGGGCTTATGTCAGAAATCAGATCCGAAATCCGGCTTTGGTCATTATTCGCTGTCCCTCTTTTGCTACACATACTATCAGCTCCCTTGATGTCCAATCAAACCTCTCCTGATTGTTGCGGGGAAAGGAAGAGAAGGAGTACCAGGTTATCAGAGCGACATGTCGGCCAAGCAACATGGATGACGTTAAGCTAGCATAACAATACTCTATACTGCTACTAACATTTTGTGTCTGATTCAAAACGAAACTGACGAGCGGATAGCAGCTCTTAATGTGGATTATATATAGAGCGAAGGTTCCGATCATCAACTTTTCAATATTCTCTGAATCACGAGTGAGTTGCCAGATCGAAAGCTTCATATTCAATAATCCATATCTTTTCTCTGCCTTTCATATCTGCCACTTTATTGAATTTCAGCAGATTTTACCCCTTTCAACTGCCCCCCGGGCTCATCACTTCCCGACGAGGTAGCCCGAAGAAACAGCTGTGCACCCCTGCCAAGCGCTTGGCTCTTGATTGCCCCACTCTCGCGGGGTGGATGATACTCCGATGCTGAATGACCCAAGGGCAAAAGGTGTTCTGAATCCTTGAACAACATGCACCACTATATATGATCTACAGCCTCAAATGCTACTTGTTATTTTGTATGATAATCTGCCATTTTAGACCTATACAGGTCTGTAGATTTCCGAGAAACGCACCCGACATCCAAAAACCGCCCCTGGTACCTGCTCAAAAGGGCTTTGGATGAGGGTTGTCATCAACCGTCCGAGGATGTGGCCTCGCGGCCCCCATATCGTGAATGCAACGAGCCGACGGTTTTCAATGTTCTTGAGAGCCGTCAGAATTGAAACTTCCAGCGAGTCACCAAATCTTTTCTGTAATTCTGGGGTTGATAGCCTGTCATATCTCCAGACCCCTGGAAGTTGGAATGCGACAAGCCAGGAGCCAGGTACAAACAGTCCAGACCAAGACAAGAGCCCTGCCACTGCACGCCCGCAAGGGCCCCGTTGCCCAGCCCACCAATCATTACTAGCGGATCGATGATCCCCAGCTCTCCTGTAGATCTCCTCTCTTGTGGTGGCCTTGTTTCACTTCTTTGGGGCCGGGATCGGCAGTTGTTCCACGCGTACCAGATGGGTCTACCACTTACACGCACAACTTGCCCGAAACGACGTCTGGAATGCTATAAGACGTCCCAGTGACCTGACATTCTTGAGATATTGGTCTAACTTGGTATATCTATCGCTCTACTAAGTAGATCTGGTAGGTCCGCTCCCTCTTCCTCTTCACCTCTTCCCAAAATTTTCGAACATTGCAGCGGTCGCTCTTGCTCTGAAAGACTTGATCTATTGCTTGCCTGTGTCGTTCAGGCTGCTATCATCCTCAATCCCCTGGTTCTCCTTAGCTTTTCAACGAAAGCTCTTTGCTAACCTTTGACTGTGCTTCTCTGCAGCTGCGATTCTTGCTTCCGTCCATCACCGATATCTTCCGCTTTTCCGTGTCTCTCTGCCATCATGCGCGTTTCCATTCTCGTGATTGGCTTCCTCGCCAGCATTTCCTCCGCTCTCCCCAGTGCGCTTGAAACATGCCGTGGTGTAAGCATGATCTGTCCATTGGTCTCTCCGATATCATTTTGCTAATGAAAGATCTATCCTCAGCCCCAGATGTCCTGCAACGAAACAGCACAACTTGGAGACCCAATGGCTTGCTGCTTTAGCCAGTTGTCCTGCAAAAATGGCGTACGTACCCTCCACCAACGCTCAGTTATTCCATAATCAAGTGGATCTATACATTGCTGGGATAGATTACTGATAGATGTCATTCCTCGGACTCAGACCTGCTCATATTAAACAATGACCAATCAAACATCACCTTGACAATCAGATATGATACCATCGGAGGCGATTTGCATATATATGGAAACAGTTTTGTGGTCGGAGTTTCTTGACACAGTACTGTATGAAGAAAGACGATATTCTCCCATAGACGAGCCTTGTGCAACGTCGATACTGTACTTATCTTTTAATGTTTCAATGGACATATTATCACTATCAACCAACAATGCCACTAGCGTTCACTCCATGAACTCCTGCCACTTAACCATTCTGTCCTTGAAGTTCAGAACTTCTCCGTCGGCCACCATAATCCCCTGCCCTTGATGGTGGAACATCGTCCCCCTCTGAGGGGCAACCCACGCCGCGATCGGCCTGAGAACCCACATGGAGTACTTATTAACCAGCGCCGTGTCTTCCACCACACACTCGATATTCGCGATTACATGCGGTCCGCCCACGAGGGGGGCCTGGACCTTGAGTCCAGGAAGAGCATCTATATCGAAACGTTCCCACTTATTTGTGTCACTGTCATTTGAAGAGCAATTGCCAATGTCGACGGTCTTCTGCGCAATTTCCACGGAGGGCACGGCGAGGACGCACTCACGGCGTTTTTTGAGAACCGCGAAGGAGGCGTCCCATGGGCCGAGTGTAATCCCAATTAGAGGTGGTGACTCATGCTGCATCATCATATGGAAGCCGATAGTCATGATATTATGTGTTGACTGCTCCAGAGATCCTGTTGAAACTAGCAGCACAGGACCGGGCTCGATAAGGCGGTAGACATGCGAAATAGGGCATGGACTGAAGCCCGGAGGATTAGAAGACTTCATACATTGCGCTTTCGTGTTTTCCGTGGAGTTGTCATCGATAGCACCTGCTTTTCGCTTCGGCGACATTGTTCAAAACGCTTGAGCGTTCTGGCAATAAGCTTGGATCTTGTAACAAGATTATGCTAATAAGCGGAAAGGTAAATTCAAATGTAGCTTAATCACAGCAATGGCTCTTCTTATTTTCATTCTTTCCTTGGTTTCAAGATGCTTTCTTGTATTGGGGTGACTTCCGCAAAGCAGCAGCTATTCCGATCATTTTCGGGGGCGAATGAATGACGTACCCCACCATGGGTCCTTCGGTACCCAACGCAAAACATCCCAATGAGAAAAAGACAACTTTTATTCCCAGAACCTTGGTGAAGAATTGTGAGAAACAATGCGAGGGACTCATAGTGTTTTCCAGCCTCACGGAATTTTTCTTCGAACCAGCCACGCAGTAGCCAACAGCTACATGTTAAATCCTGTATTGTCCGGATATGGATCTTGGTAGATACTGAACCTCATACCTGGAGGGCCAACTCCTTGATGCGACTACTCACTCCGTAATGATCGCCAGTAACTCAAGGGCTACTCTGAAAATGATGGCATAACAGATGCTGTGACCTGAGACAGCATCTTGCATGCAAGGCCCAATGAGGTTGGGCAAGGGCGCGGACAGTGAACGCGCGGTAATAGGGCATACGGACGCATGCATCTTTAACTCGACTGCAGAGAGGGCTGGCCAGCCGATGAAATAAGATTTTGGATTTTGGATTAGAACTATGGCCGTGTCTTGGGGAGGCGTTTTTTCTTGTTTGGGGAAGATTGACTCATGGGCTGAGGCAAGAATGCGTGCACACGAAAAGCATACTATAATAGAGCAGGGCTATTATAGATAACAATGGATTATAGCAATACTTGCCGAATAATGATAAGGCTGGGACGCTCAGTCTGAGTGACAATCACATCCAGGGAGAATCGAGGGCAAGGTCTAAAGGGTACATGGGTCAACATGCGCTCCGGTATCATCAATGAGGCAAGATTGTATGGAGACTTGGGGTAATGCCTCCGGAGGTATAAGGATACTAAGGGCGCAAACTACATGACTTGAACTACAGAGGAAGCTACCATTCGTAAAATGCATGAATAGATCAAAATATACAAACAACGCAGGCGAATAAAACAGCAAAGAAATCGAGTGGATGCAACCAGGGTCAGTAGACAACGTCAAATAAAAGGTATATCTACCACGTAAAAGTCCAAGATAATAGACAAGAAGCGTAGGAGCTGGATAAGCCGTATTCTGGGGCCGGAAACACCCTTGAGGGGTAATGGTCAAACCCGGGAAAGAACGGAAACACATCTCAAGAAAGGTAAAAAGAAAAAAAAAAAGAACTCCTTAATCCTCCTGTACAAGTTTTGAATAAAATGGGACGTTCCAAGCCCGATCAACATGACGTGGCGCGTTTAAAAAACAGAAGCGCAACCCCAGTGCTGCTCGACGTCGAACTCGCCGGGAGACTTCCACTCGTCATCGGCGTACGAGAAGAAGATGGACTTGGAGCCCAGCTTGGCGGCAATAGCCTTGATAGCAGTCTCCTGCTCAGACACGCCAGGGACAGCGGCGCCGTTGGCGTTACCGGCATTGGGCCAGCCGGTCTCAAGGTTGAGAACGTCCTTGCCATTGCAAATCTTCTTGAGGATGTTGTACTCCTCGAGAGCGAACTCGCCGGCCTTGGCAGCGGTAACGTCGGAGTTGAAGAAGGGGTGAATGTTGGCACCGACGATGTCAACGGGGCTGCACAGAGTCGAGGCACCATACTGCTCCCAAATGTCAATGGGCTCAGTGGTGGTAACCTCGCCGGTGTAGCCAGCAGACTGGAAGGTAGACTTGGAGGAGCTGATGAAGCTGGCCAGCTCGGCGGCAGTGCAGTATCCGCTGGAGACAGCCTCGTTACCGACAACGATGAGCTTCACCATGGACCACTCGGCCCAGGAGGAGATGGCCTCGACTTGCTCCTGGGCGCCAGAGGTGCCGGTGCTGTCAATGTAGACACCAAGAATCATGGTCATGCCGTATTCCTTGCAGGCCTTGGTGATATATTCAAGACTGTTGCAGTCGGTAGAGTAGACACGGACGAGGTCGAAGCCCTTCTCGTGAATGACTTGGATGTTCTTGGTGACCTCGGCCTGGGTCATGCAGTTGCCACTCGAGGTATAAGGAGAAAAGGTCATACCGTACTTGCCGGAACCGGTCAAACCAGTGCTGGAGGTGCTGGAGCTGGCGGGAGCAGAGCTGGTGCTGCTGCTGGAAGTGGGAGCAACGGGGGCGGCAGTGGTGGTGGCAGGAACAGAGACAGCGAGAGTACTAGAGGTAGCTCCCTCAGTGGCATAGGGGCAGACGTAGGTGTAGTCAGTGCGAGTGACGGTCACGGTGGTCTCAGGCTGAGTGTAGGTGCCGGGAGCAAGGGTCGAGGCGGTAGGGTAGACAAGCACAGTGCTAGTCGGCACGTAGGTGGTGGTACCGGGGACAACAGTGTAGGTACCAGCGGCGGGGCAGGTGTAGGTGGTGTACTCAATAACACTGGTCACAGTCGAGCCAGTGGGCTTGACGGTGGCGTAGGGGCAAGTGATGACAGTGTCAGTCTCGACAACAGTGGTAACACCGCCAATGGTGTGGGTACCGCTGCCAACCGCGGTGGTAGTGGCACCGACGACAGTGGTGGACTCGGTCACAGTGCGAGTGGTGGCCGGGATGGTGTAGGTGCCGGTGGAAGAGAAGCTGGTCACACCGGCGACGGGCAGAACCTCAACGGTGGTAGTGGCCGCCTGGGAAGGAGTGACGGCCACAGAGGGAGTCACAGTCACCGTCTGGGTGCTGGTGCGAGTGGAGTGGACGGTGGTAGTCAGAGTGCTGGTCTCCTCAGGAGCCGCAGTCGACGAAACGGGCACCAGAGTCGGGGAGCCATAGTAGGTGATGACCTTGGTGGTGCAGCCACAGGTCTCCTCGGAGTCGGGGATCACAGACGACGAGGAGGAGGAGGGAGTACCACTGGTCACGACAGCGGGCAGGCCACTGGGAGTACCGCTGGCCTGGAGGGCGCGACGCTGGTGCAGAGCGTCATGACGACGGTGGAGGTTGTTGCTGTCGGCCAACGCAGAGCCGGCCAGAGCGGCAGCCGCAAAGATCGAACCCTTCATGATGATAAGCGGTTCAATATGCGTCCACGCGAAAAGGAATGAATGCCCGCTGAACGAGTGAAGCGGTGGTCAGTGTAGAGAGAGAGGGAACGTGGGTAAGAAAGAAGGGAAGGGAGGGAGGTGGGCACGCAAGGCCTTTTGTTGGACCAGGGACTCGAATCGGGGAGGGGGCGTAAACGACAGGAAGTTAGGAAGTTAGGGGGGGCAACCCAGCAGGGAAAAGGGGACCTAAAACTCAGGGAAAAAAGGAAAGTCTCGGGCCCTCCAAGGTGTAAGGATCCACCGATCGTGATTTTTCGCTGCCCCTGGACTGTTCACTGTTCAATATGGGGTCGAGTCTAGATGGGCGTTCAGGCACGCTGCAGGTCCTATTGGTTAGCCATCTGCAGACCCAACAAGTCCCTGCTGCTGGTTGGCCCGCACGGGTCGGGCAGGAGTGGAGCGAGTGGAAATGATACTGTCTCCATACACACTCTGAAGAGACTGGTTTGCGGGCCTGTACGCCCAGCAGAACAATAATACTCCAGGGGCGACCAAGGGAATCGACCTATAGTAACACTATTTTATGGGGTGTCGAGCTGAGCGACGTGGATGCAGGTACCACCGCCGTTGACACCCGGACGGGTCGAATCTCTTGAACTTCATGGCTCAGCCTTCGCCCCAGCCCAGGCAGAAATTAGCCCTCTTGTCTCACTGAGGGGTCCCCGCGGATGAGAGACCTCGGAAGGGACTTTGACCCAGAGTACACCGCCCCTTGCTCTATGCTGTCTACGGAATACTCTGTATGGAGTATACACAAAACAACGCAAGGCTCTTCCAACAGAAGACTGCATTCGGCTGCCGACAGGATCAATACTTGTTGCATCTACAGGAACATGCCGCATACTACGGGTGCAGGCATGGTGACCGCGCCAATGGGCGTCAGATGAGTCTACATTGTGTAGTGTTCGAGCTTACAGGCGTCCTCTTCACGGCCGTGTTTATCTGTGTTTACTCCTCGGGGGTGAGCTGTCTCACCCCGAGCCCTCCGGTCCAAAAATGGATGAAAACCGTGAAATCCTTCTGCGCCATGTGGGCTGGCGTGGGCCCGATTCGGTATAGTGGCAGGTAATGTGGGGTTAAGCTCGACTTATGGTTGGTCACCTGCCCGCCCTTAATTTCCGCCATGCCGATCTCCATTCGTCGTGGCCCCGACTTGTACCACGGTCGTACACCCCGGGGTATTTTATCATCAGGGTCAAGTTTCCGCTGATGGAGTCGTACTGTAATAGCAACGGGCCTGGAACGAATACGGGCTACCTCCAAACCACTCATTTACCGCCGTTGACTGTTGCTCCCTTGTGTATGGAAGGTCCTCGTTTTACAGTATTATTAGCATTCGGTCTCGATCCACGAGCCACTGCGTTGTCCACCTGCCCATGCAACTGTGTCAGTCCCGGCGGCCAGAATGACATAGGTTGGAGCCCAACTGCGCCCACTTCAATCCTCACAGTTGTCGCAGCAATAATAGAACGACAGCACAGCAATGATCTGGCCTTCGGCGCGAGTTGCTTCACCATGCCCCTAATGGATCGCCATTATTGTACTCGTCAACACCCATCCAAAAGCTTGGCCGATCATCGGGGTCCGAGGCCACAAGTACAGCGTGTATGGGGTCTCCTTGAGTGTAATAATAAGTACCCCGTATCCTGACTATGCACTGAGGGAAATCGTGGACCGCGTGTTCCAATCCGGAGAGCCTTCTATTCACAGTTTAGTCTAGCATACTCTATACGTCCATCAGCTCTTATGCCTTTCGATATGGGCGCTACGACCCGGTCTATCCGCATGGTCGGCATCGGCGATCGCCCATGGTGAGTGGGACACCAACACGCCCCTCTTCTTAACCCTCGGTGAAAGCGCTGATCGCAATGCGACTGGCGGTCTAGAATCTCTAGCAGTGCTGAATTCGAGGTACTCATAATTCCGAAAGGCTCCCTAGTCTTTCAGCAGTGAAAGCGAATTTTTGTGTCCTTTAATGGAAGAGCTACCTGAGCATAGCATCCACGGCACTTTGCCGACATGCAGCGCTGACGTACGGAAGTCCCTGGGGGGCTCTGGGGTCTTTCCCCATTATTACGCCGCCTCCTGAATCATTTGTATGGCGCTTTCCCTGGTCTCACTAGTTTCGGATCACCTGCTTCCGACAAAAGTCAGTGCCCCTATTATTGGAGCCTATTATTGTCGGCAAGGCAATGGTTCCTGTGAGCCTCCCTCCAAGGCAGGCGCTTAAGCCGCCATTTCGTGCGACCGCGTCAGGGGAGAATTTTGCCCAGCATTCTCCCTGGCCTGTCGCTCTCTGGAGAGTGAGATTTCTCGGTTAACTCAAACGGTGCCTGGGCAACGACAGGTCCACAAGACCCCCCCCCCCGGTCTCGACCGCAACCATCTCAAAACGCTCTGAGGCGCCAAGAAGGATAGTCGATCTGGGCACCACCGTCCTGTCTTGTCAGATGGGGTCCATATTTAGGACAAGGCTTGGCGAGACCCTGTTCTTGAGGCTATTCAGGGGTATTGTCAGCGTCGTAGCGCCGTGGCCGGGGAACCACCAAGGCACCGTCTCTTCTTGGCCTTGAGATTCGCCGATGTTGACTCCGGAGTCGTAGCCGATGTCTTGAACCTGGCCATTCATATTGCAATTTCATAAATTGCTGTGGGGCTTCACTTAGCTCTCCGTTCATTTTGAAAGGCCTTGGGAGTTCGTTTAATTCGTGCCGAGCCCTTACCCGTGGCCTCTTCGCCTATCTATTTCTCAACCAAGACGAGATTCACGCGGTTGGAACAATGAGGTACTCTTGAGTTACAATCCAGCATCGATTTATCGTTGGTGTTCACAGAGTAGATTTGAATATATATTTTCATCCCCTACCCTAGCAGATCAGGCAGAAACATGACTGAGTATTCCTGAATTTAACTGGGCAGTGACTATCAAAACAATCAGCGTAAGGAGAACATTGTTGAACCATCCCGGTGCCGCCTTCAACCGTACTCAACCCATCGCCATTGTCAAATCCGAGTACGATGGTCTTTTGTCGTTGACTCTACCGGTGGTGCCCTCGCTCACCACCCAGTTTAGATGTTCGTCACCACAGCTACGTTATGGCGATTTATGCTGAGGGGTTGTACAGAAATGCAAAATACCCCGGGGTAATCCATTTGTCAAGCCATTGTTTGTGTCCGCCTAGCTTATTAAACAAAACGAAGCACTTGCCATAGCCTGATGATTCCGACGCTCCGTTAATAAGGACATTAGTCCGAATTTCGGTTGTCTGCACAGAGACGAAAGTCAGATATTATCCATGTAAGGAAGAGGCAAAGTCAGACTGTTTAGATCTAGGGAATTGGCTAGCTCCATCAACTGATCCGGACTAAGCTCATAATTTTCTCCAAAGGTTTCCACGAAATCAGGCTCCAGCGAGCGGCTATATCCAGCCAATGCGACTGGAGGAACAATGTTGCCTACGGGTTTGCTGCCCTGTTCCGGTTCACGAATGGGGGTTGTGGATACAGTCATTGCCATGTTCCCTTTCACTAACAATTGGGCAAGCTCATTATCCAATTGCTTCAACTCCGACTGGATCAGTCCGGCGGAAAGATTGCCACGAACGTTCATATACTCTAAAATGGCGTACGCACGCTGTGACCAATGTGAATGGTCATGTAGTATCGATAAATCAATTGCAGCTGCCATCAGAAGCGAGATAGTTGACGCGAATGCTGTGTCCATATCGAAAGGTAGAAACATTTCTTAAGACGACTCGATGTTAGTATAGAAGGCCTGTCTACAAGAAGGCTGATGACCTACCTAAGAGACCTTGTTCTTGTAAATTTGACAGTATCCTTAGGATCTGTTGGGCTGACTCCACACATATATGAAGCAAAGCTTTCACAGTCACGTACTGAAGCCAGTCCATTAATGCAGGGTCGGATTTACCTAATTTGGACTGGAGGAATATGTACAAAAGTAGCCTTGTTGTTAGAATAACACACTAGATGGATCTGTGAGTATTTTGATGTAGACACAGGTTAAAAAAGTCGCACCTGATGCTCGAGAATATGCAAATGAGCTGATATGCGCGAAGTACCACCCATGGCACCGTTTCTATATAAACCAAATGAGTGATTCAATTGCTCGGTGACCTTGGCAATGTCTCGCAGAACAGTCTGTGTGGCGCTCAGGTAGCGACCGTCCAGTTTCCCTTCACTGCCATACACAGCTAACATGCCTCAGCAAAGCAAAGCACAATATGTATTGAGAACTCACTCAGGTCTACTTTTGCCAGAATCTGACAAAGCATAACTTGCATCTCCAAGACATACGATAGGCCGGCCCACGTCTGTGGATGCACTGCAGATATAGTGCAGCACAACATAAGACCTGTGTCGTCTCAATAGGGTCACCGTCGAAGAGAGAAAAATCTGGCATGCAGTGCATTGCCTGAACGAATTGCTCTGCGCCAGGAGGGCTACATAATCTGGTTGATTGAACCACAAAACCTTTTCCAAATGCAAGAATTAGTAGATAATGGCAGAACCATAGAGGTAAAGCAAGTGCTTCTTCCGCGGGACTTTGCTGGAAAGCTTCAAACCGCTCCATAAAGGTACCTTCTTCAAATAGATAAAAGAGCTGGCCGCAATGAAACTTGACTGAATTAATGAGATGTTTGGCGAAATCCGGGGTTGGGAGGTTTGAGACGTCAAAGAGGTCCTGGGGAGAATTTGCCATCCCACTTGAGATCGTAAACATGATCATCAAAAAACAGGTTGTTAGGATCCGGGAACAGCAATGATCCCGTCAGTCTCTCATGGGCCATTCCCAACACTCGCCGACCAAAGGCCCGACTGGATGATGTGCCCATGAAAACTATCAGAATCGTTAGAGACTGCCTTAGTACTCCGCTAGGTGAAGTGAAAGATGTACCTGGTCTTCCCACGGGGCCCGGAACCCAATCTGTGATGTGAAAAGCAAGTGGATTTGTGAGAGGCGCTTTAGCTTCTATTCCATCTTGGGTCCTCGTAGGAGCATGTCCAGGAGCTTGGTTTTGGCTATCGGCCGATGACACTAATAATGTTGCGCTATCATCTAGAAAGCGCATCAGTGATTTAGTATCAATAATTGTCGCGCTTCACTTACTCACAAGGCTGGTTGAGTTCCTCAGAGGTCGATTTTGAGGGTGTAGGTTCATTTGACCTACATTGGAAGGTAGCTAGTCGCTCGTGAAGGTCATTGATATATCTGTATTGAATGGCTAATTAGACTAGCAGCCGATGACGACAAACGCCTGCACTTGCCTTCGTGTGACCAGAACCCTTTCTGATACACTATCAAAATCGCAAGTCGAATTCCATTTGCTACACTGATCACATGGATGTGAACCAGTACACCTGGGTTTTTGATCACGGCACCTTCTGCACCTGTTTCCTCACATAACACGTTATTACATCACAACTCCCATAGGTGAAGGAGGGGAAAGACACACGCTTTGGCCGACCATGCATTATCGCCATAGGAACCGTGGCTCTCATGCTGAAGACTCAATTTGGACTTGGTGTTTGTCAATACCGCAGGTCCTCGACTCATTGGGCAATAATCACGGGAATTATATGTCTGCTTGCTATCGCAACTATTACGACATGGTCCAATTACGTTATCGGCAAATTCAAGCTCAAGCATCCCGAGGTCTATGTTATCGATGTTGCAGGAGAGCTGATGTTCGGTCGAGTGGGCCGCGAGCTACTGGGTGTCGGGGTCTTTATCTGTGGGTGCTAATGAATCCTTGATTCTACCCTTCATTCTGACCTATTTATGTTAGACTGGATTTTCTGCTCTGGTTCCGGATTGTTGAGTACATCTATTGGGCTGAATGCAGTCTCAGATCATGGCACATGTACTGCTGTAATTGTTGGAGTCTCCGCAGTTGCATCATTTGCTCTGGCAAGTATTCGCACACTGGCCAAGATTAAATGGGCTGCGTGGGCTGGAGTGGGGTCTGTGTTCACTGCTGGTCAGTAGAGACATAATCTGTTGCTGTCAAATACTAAAGATCCCCAGTTATGATTGTCACGGTCGCCGTTGGCCTTCAAGAACGACCACCCACAGCACCAAAGACAGCTGATTGGGAATCGGACTACAAGCTTGTTAGCTACCCATCCTTGAACAAAGCAATAACAGCAGTTGCATCCATTGTGTTTGCATATGCCGGTGCACCTGGTAGGTTCAACACACTCTTTTATTTCCTAACTTTTCATTGAGCATCGACACCGGATAAGGGTGCCTGTGTGTATCTTATCAAGAAGATGCTTTCGTAAAATGCCAAGTTCTCATTCTGATATCACATGTCAGGCTTTTTCCCCATTGCAGCAGAAATGCGCAATCCTTCGCTTTATACGAGGTCTCTACTCATCTGCCAGTTTGCTACAACATCAATGTATATTTCGATTGGCACTGTAGTTTATTATTACAGTGGCTCATACGTCGCATCACCCGCACTTGGATCCGCCGGAACTTTGATCAAGAAGGTGGCATATGGAATCGCCCTCCTCGGCCTTGTTGTCAGCACGGTGATTGTTCTGCATGTGAGTTGAAATGAAGCTACTTCAGGGCTTTCCTGACACTTTCCAGTTCTCAAGCAAGTATATGTTTGTTCGAATATTGCGCGGGTCTGAGCATCTCACAGCCAACACTTTTAAGCATTGGGTAACCTGGTTTAGCTGCACCTTTGCCGTGACAGTCTCGTCCTATCTTATTGCCAGCGGAATCCCCATTTTTTCCAATCTGGTTTCTCTCATTGGGGCTTTGCTCGGAACTTTCATGTCCTTCCAGCCAATGGGATGCATGTGGTTATATGATAACTGGAAACATGGCAGAGAACAACCCACCGCCAAATGGATCCTTCTCTCATATTGGAGTATATTTGTTATTATTTCGGGGTCGTTTTTGATGGTTGCAGGAACATACGGATCTGTGGTGAACATCATTTCGTCTAATAATGCAGACTCAGGTTCCTCGGCATGGTCATGCGCTGACAACTCCAACTTTTAGCCTAGGAATTAACGAGAGAGACCACATTAAGCTACTTATTGAGAACAGGTACTACGAAAAGCAACTTTTGAGCTTATGCCTCAATCATCAATCAATTCTACTGTACTGATACCACCATCGCGGTTCTTGGATATTTTTCTCACCAACAACCCTGCTCTTAAGCTGGAGCATGTCGATACATAACATGTGCGCGGCCGTAAGCATTAGTCCGAATCCAGTACAGGGACCTAAGAGGTAAGAACACGCCGGCCGATATCCGCTAAACGGCAATTAAGGGGAGAAATATCTTATGGATAGATATGGGCATGTACTGACTACCTCATCGGGGCAGCGTATGTAACACTCTAGCCTTGTTTCACGCTGCCACATTTTGAAATCCCTTCGTTCAATACATCTTGGAATACTACGGTCTCATGGAGGTGATTCAATTATTTTCATCTCCATCCCTCAAATTCTTAGGGTGCTATCTAGCTTAGTAGTCGATAGGAGCTTATTATAATAGACCAGGAGGAATTTGACAGTCGGAAGTGAGGTTATATAACAAAATTCTATCTATAAGCGTTAGAAGAGGGCCTCGCACCTATGTATAGGCTGGGGATTATATTCTTATAGGATAACGCTAGGATTTGTATTGTAAAGGTAGCACAAGAGTAGTTTGAAAGACACAGGATTTAGGTAGAAGATTGGCCTCTATACTTACCTAATTTAAACCTGATTAAATCTATCTAGCGGTAGTTAAAATGGAAGCTTTTGAATTAAATCTAGAGCTTATTAATCTAGGAAAGTCTGAGCAGGATTAGTGTTATTTTCTAGCATATATAAAGGAAGCTTAGGAGTTGGTGATCAAGCGCTTTATTCATGCTAAGAAAACCCCACTGAGCCTAACTATTGGCTTATAGCTTCTGTCTTAAAGTTGATCGTAATTCATCTCCCTTGCCTCAGTTCCTGAAGAGGACTATATGGCTTCCTTAACTATCAGACAGGGCCCACATCTCCGCGATCAGAGAAGCCTATCGAAAGTCTTCCCCGTTGATTGCTGTTGCTGCAGGATTGCCGACCAAAGGATCATAGGATTTCCTCGAACGCTCGAACCGTAAATGATTTCCCGTCAATAACGACCTTTTCTCCCGGCGCCCTCCATGATCCCTTACACTCACCTTCCAACCCGGTCTTCATGGAAGGCACCGACAATACGTCCGGTCCTACGACGTATACGTCTTCCCATCGCGAATCTGTCCACTCCTCCCTCCTGGCACTAACCGTAGCTCCGGTCTTCTTCACCGTGTGGTTCCCATTGGAATCCTTCTGGAGGCTATGCGTCTGGCTCTGTTGAAGTGCGAGGTAAGTTCCCCAAATACGGCCCAGGAACGTCTTCACCACGGTCTTCTTGCCCTCGGGCTCAGTTTCGAGGTTGAAGGCACCATCATCCGATTCGAGAATCCAAGAAACTCCTTGCTTCACACCCTCCGGGCCTCCGCGGAATGGCAACTCCTGCCAGACCTCCTCAAAAGCAGTCATTGGAGCGCCAGGAAGATCAGTCCGGGGCATTTCCCCAGTCTCAAGTTCGTAGCCATTGGGAAGAAGACTGAAGTTGGCAATATCAACAATGCCGATCTCGTCAAGTGAGTCAAGCTCCCGGGTAAACGATACTTTGACTGTCTATGATGTTAGTCACGGTATTCTGAATCCTAGATCCGCATCATTGATGGAGTACAGCGTGCTCTTTATAGTGCTCCATATTCTCCGTAAATGTTCAAACAGAGAAGTCACATAGAATAGGAAGGGACGATTTACGTGGTCTTTGGTTGGGGTTTTCCTCAATTCGGGTGCCGGCCATGGCCCAATCGATGTCGCCGGTCTTCTTGTCCATTCGGAGATCCACGAACCAATCCCCCACCGAAAGGACGATGGTGTTGGTCGTCTCTTCCGGGGGTTCGGGGACCCATCGGAGCGAGATGCGGGTGGAGAAACCGCAGGAGGAGCCTAACGCAGCTCCAGTGGCCGTCATGATGCACGTCCAGTAGTTATCAGGGTCCGTCAGAAATATACTCGAAATGGGAGAAGAACCTATCCCGCGAGCAGGCGGGGGAGGCCGTAAGGTTCCTTATATGAGGTCTGTGGAGCAAGCATTGGAGTTGCTCTGAACAGGCGTCGACAGATCGGGAAGCTGGAGGAGATGCGGGATGTAGGAACGTGAATTCCTATTGGCCGATTAGTCGCCCTGTCACGTGACTTGTCCGATTCACGGAGATGCAGTCTATACAGGACACAGAGAACATGTCTATATTACGGTTCATTCTTTTCGATATTTGTCTATGAATTCTGCAGACTCAGCTCAATTGCTTTTTTTTAGCATAATTCCTTCCCCCCAGTGGAACTGATCTAAAAATGATGGAATTCGATTCATCACGGTCTCCGACAGGGGGTGAAAACTCCCATGGTGGCCGCTGGCAGCGTTGGGGGCCAATTTATTTGTGAATTTGGCGAAGCAAGGATTCGGGAGAAAGCCAAATAAGGCCCCAACCATATCTCGTAGAAATATATTGCTATAGTCTCATTCTAAGGAACATGACCGTCTAGCGGGGTGTCTGTCTTTAGCAAAGCACAGAGAATTCCCGAGATCAACCTTAACTTAAACCTGCATCGTCTCCACCCGGTTGCGAGAAAATGCAGATCAGAGCCTCTATATGCGCCAGCCTTGATTCGCGGCACAGTAGAATTGTCCAGAAATATATCCCAGGCAATGGGAGTTTCTCACTTGTCCTTTCTCTCATCTTTCAATATTCGGTGTCCGTCGTACCATCTGATCGGGTTCCTCCGATGGCCACATACCAACACCATCATGCCACCCCCAACCACTCCCTGTACCACATGACTCTGCCTGGCACAGCCCATCCCCAACCGAAGGACCAACATGCCGCTTGATACGCTTCAAACTCGCGGAATATCCGAACCTCAGCAGCCGCCGAGCCGGGCACACCTTCACCCGCGTGGTTCGGCCGGTACCACACCACTCTCAACGTCACGGCTTGCCACCAACCTTACCTAGCCTTGCGCACACCCACACTCGCGGCCAGTACCGAACCCTGCCGCCTCACTCCCGCGGACCTCGTACGAGAGCCAATCTCTCGGGTCGCAGATCATGTCACCCCCGGATGAGTAACCCAAATCCGGGCCCTTGTCACTGGGTAGACCTAACGCATGGACCCAACCCTTGGAAGGCCGAGAGAATCCCTGTCGGAACCGGCCTGACAAGCGCTGGCGGGTGTTGTCGGCCGATGCGATTGTATGGTGCCATGCGAGCGTGGCAGTGAAGATACGTTCGTTTCCGAGTCTTTATCCTTTGCGCTGAGGGCGTGAAGGTATTTAAAGGAGTCGAGGATGATGGCGCTGCGGATGTCTTCTCTTCATCTTTCTATTCTCCAAGCAACAAAACAAATACCATTCCACATCAAGAACTATATCGCGACTTGGAACCAAGCGCAATATACAGCCGATCACTCAACCACCATTTATCGTTGATTCCAATCTACCGCACAAATGAGCTCTACCACCAAGTCCTCCCAGTCCGCCCGTCTACAGAATGATTTCGGTGCCGACTATTGGATTCGCAATCCTTCCCAGGAGCACCGCGTACGTGGCACTGTCATGTCAACAAAGTGACTACAATTTGCGGGATAGATAGCTAACATCTTGTCAATAGCATGCTACGGCTGGCCGAGGCCTCTTTGCCGGCCTCCAGGACGTGAAGCAGTATAACGTCGACAACGGCTGGGCACGGCGTAAGTCCGGCGACATGCAGAGCGGGCTATTTGGCTCACTCTGGAGCAAGTACGTTGGCTCTTCCTCCCTCCCTTTCTCATCGTCCGGCACGGGACCAAACACAGGGGAATGCATTGCTGACTAGGCCTAGATTCACTGGTGGATCGTACCACCCGCCGACGGCCTGAGTATGGTATGACCGCGCGGCATCATGGAGCTGGGAATAGGTCGCTATAATGAGCCGGGTCATATGAAATGAACAAAAGGAACTCTGCTCTGGGATATACAGAAGAGACCTTTAAATATGAAGAATGCGTGTTTCTGTTCGGGAGTTTGGGAGTCCTTCTATTCTTGCTATTCTTTCTTGATACGATAGCCCTCGCAGTTCTGGATTAAGTGCGCCTGCGCATATAGAGGATACATAACAATATAGTATACTCTGATCGATTCAATAATCTCTTCATACCTCTTCGGGTCTCATTTTTAGAACGCAAAATAGAACCACTTCCGTATGATCCCGCGGGGCATCTATTGTAATCCTGCTGCGGAAGGTCTTGGTCTGCACCTGGTTGCAATCAATCAGTAGCAATGGTACCTTGGGAGTTGCCTGTCCTGGCAGCAGTGTTTGCAAATCAGTATTCCAGATACTGTAGTTGGGCAGACCTCAGAACCGTCTAATAATAGTACAGCAATAATAGTAGAGCACTCTTAAGACTAAACGAAGTTTTACACAGCTACTACCGAAAAGGGCAAGGTAAGATATTAGACCTGACTCGAGTCATAGAAAACATTGAATAAAAGTTAATAGAAGAACGCCGTTGATGATATGTACAGAAACACCATGAACCTTATACAAAGTAAACCCCAGCCCGGTCATTTAGAACGAGAACAAGAAAAATGGATGAGCATACCCGGCATCAAGCCAGGCCGAGAAGGGAAAGAGATCGAAAACCGCCTAAGGCGTTTGTCTTACTCCCACGAGTCAATCTTCATCGTGCCCTTCTCCTGGAAGTTTTTGTGCATCTTGAACGCCTGGAAAAGCAGATGCGGCTCATGGCCCATGCCCTTGCGCAGGCACTCGAACTCCGCGCGGTCGAGGTAGTCAGTCAGAATAGGCTTGTAATCCGGGTGGGAGCACTTGTTGATGATGACGCGAGCACGCTCGCGGGGAGACAGACCACGGACATCAGCGAGGCCCTGCTCGGTGACGATGACGTCCAGGTCGTGCTCGGTCTGGTCAATATGGGTGGCGAAGGGAACGATGCAGCTGACGCCGGTGGGGTCGACCTTGCTAGGACGAGTGCTGGGGGTGTGCATGATGCTGTACTTGGCGTTGCGCAAGAAATCGGCGGAGCCACCAAGACCGTTAAGCATGCGCGAACCCATGACACAGGTGCTGTTGGCGTGGGCATAGATGTCGACCTCGACTGGGGTGTTCATGCCGATACAGCCGAGGCGGCGAATAATCTCAGGCGAGTTGGAGACTTGCTGCGAGCGCAGGAGCAGCTTGCCGGCGTACTTCTCCCAGTTGTCGTAGAAACGCTTGAATCCATCGGGCGAGAAGCGAATGGAGGTCGCGGTTGCGAAGTCGAGGTTTCCGCTGTCAAACAAGTCCAGGAATGAGTCCTGCAGGACTTCGGTCCAGACCTTCAGGTTGGTGAAGTCAGCACCACCCTTGCTCAGGCCGCCGACAACAGCGTTGGCGATGTTGCCAATACCGGACTGGATGGGTAGCAGGTTCGGGGGTAAACGGCCGTGTTTGACCTCATGCTTGAGGAACTCGATCAAATTGGTGGCGATAGCTTGCGAACCTTCATCTTCGGGCGCGTTCGGTTGGGTCTGGTCGGGGTAGTCGGATTCCACGATTGCAACAACCTTCTCCGGATCAACCGGGATGTAAGAGGTACCAATTCGGTCCTCGGGGGCCATGATCAGGTAGGGCTTGCGGCCTGGGGGAAGGTCGGACCCCACAATGTCGTGCAGGCCCTCGAAAGACGGGCTTGCGGTGTTCACCTCAATAATGACTTTATCGGCCATTTGGACCAATTCCGGCGAGGCACCGACGGACGCACCGGGGATAATACCACCATTCTCAGTGATGGCAGAGGCCTCGATAACGGCCACATCCAGTCTGTTGTTAGGTTTGTTCAGCGTGTAGTAGCCCTACAGGCCATGCATGATGGCAGTTGGTTAGCGGTGATCCTCCACTCTCCGCGGCGGGAAATCCCGAAGCTGCCGATCGGGCCAATGGGGGCGAAGACATACATAAACCAAATCCGAGGGAAACATGCTGAGATGCTTGTCGAAGAACTTAATCTGGCCATTGTTGATGCCCTTCGCGATTTCCTTTCCGACCTGGTGCGGGCTACGCCGCTCAATCATGTTGAGGCGCGCCCAGCGGTTCTCTGTCTCTGCCCCGGACGAAGCGCCCACGAAGAGGTTATACTTGAGCTTGCCCTGCAAGTTGTTCTTTTCGACATGATCTGCCAGAGCAATGGGGACTTTCCTGGATAGTGGCATTATGCATTAGTGCGAGATTCTGGGAATCGAGAGTAATTGAAGTTTTTGGATTGGCTCTGGATGAAGTGCAGCAGGGGCAATGGCACGTACTTGGGATATCCAACACCTGTAAAACCGGACCAGCCGATGTACGAGCCATGGGGAAACAGATCAATCAAATCCTCTGCCTTGGCCAGTTTCTTCAGATAGGACGGCCGGCGTACCCGGCTCTTGAGTGCGGCAGAGGCAGCCATTGTGAGGGAAATTTAAAGCGCAGCAGACACAGAAACCGGACGAGAATGGAGTGGAGAGGTGTCTCAAAGCGACAAGACGAAAAAAAGAAAAAGAGTAGAGATTAAGCACGTAGATGAGAAAGAGAGAGGCAAAAAAAAAGAAAGGTCGAGGTGCTGTGGAAGGAAGCAGGATAGAAATAAGTCTGAACCCCACGGGCAAAGCTGACCAGGGAACCGCCACCACACCGGATCTTTGTCACGCGGTCCCACCGAGGGGCTAAAGAAACGGACAGACGAGGCCGGGAGAAAGGAACGAGGCGATTCACAGGCCTAGTCTGGTTCGAATTACGGGGTTGCAGGCTAGACCGTAGGCGCCGCGAACGGGATGTATTCTCTTCCGCAGGCCAATTGCTTCCCCTCAGGCTCTTACCAGCTCCAATTGTGGACCATATAGGGAGAAAAGAGTCGCATTGACTGCTCTCAGGCTAATTCCATATCTCTATCATTTTTTCCTTTTCTCCCTTTCCAACTCCAAGAGTCGCACAATCTCGAGGGGAATCGGTTCTCTGACACTCCACGCCCCAATTGGGCCTAGCGCCCGCCGGATTCATCGTGACGTCAACTCGGGATTCGCTCGGCCACACTCGGTATTTTCTCGTCATCTCTCGCCGACTGGATGTCTCCCTCGCCAATGCAGCTTGATGGTTTACGGATTGTCCCCGGGATACCCCTGATACCCCGTATTATTATCCAGATCTCCGGATATGCCATCCCAATCCAGTGTTTTTTTGGGCGGGACCGAAGTCGCGGACAAGGAAGATATCAGAAAGGCCGCAAGTGCAAAGCCGCGACCGGCTGCAGCAGATCGCAGAGCCCTGGGGCCCGCGGATCAAGGATCCACCCGGGCCGGGGGAGCTCTGGGGCCAGTCAGTCCACCGTCTCGGACTGTATCGGTTAAGCTGGCTCGGCCACACGGAGGAACCGCTTAAGCCTTTTCTGAACACCGAGGGTATTGCTAGCCTATCAGAGGGGGATCGCTAGACGCGCGGGTCACCCCGATTCGCCGGGACAAAGATCTGCTCAGGTTTCCGGAGTGGTTTGATCCTGGAGGGATGTTTAGAGGTTTGAGGGCTGAGGTTCGCTATGGGACGGGATATACGATGTCGGGCCGATTTTCAGCAAAGTCGTGCCATGCTCCCCGGTGAACAGGAAGTCACGAGGATCGGGCATTCTACGGTACAAGGGAAAGCCAGCGCCTAAGATTTGAACCAGGGCGATGGTTATCGGTCCCCGGTACAATAGAATACATTTGAATACAATACAATAAAAGGGGAGAGGGGGCGATGTGTGGGGGAGGACTATAGGAACTTGAAGAAATTAGGCACAAATCAGTCCATCCTGGCTCTGCTCCACAAACCCCCTAGAACTGCACACAGCCACAGACACCATCGCCAATACAATGCCGCTCATTGGCCTGACAGATATGCGGCCCTTCACGAAGGAATACGGGCTGTCCTCGCCCAAAAAACGGACATTAGTCGGCGATCATCGGAGAATAGCGGCGGGAAAAAGCGCTCGCAGAAAGTTGGAGAAGGAAATTCACCGCACTGCCATTTTGTGCATTTGAGATAGGCAAAAAAAAAAACATGGGAAAACATAAACAAGGCCAGTGGCCCTTGAGGAGCGGGGAAAGAACACCTCTCAACGCGATAATGTGAAGATAGTAAAAACAAGTAAGATGTTAGGGGAGAAAGGTTAAAAAAGGGGGAAACAAAAAAAGAACCGTTAATAAACTCGTCGCAATTTCCTCGTGTAAGACGCCGGCCCCTTCTCGCGATCGTTCCTGCAAATGCATTATTCACTCTGCTACCACCCAAGTAAGACTCTCTCTCTCTCTCTTTGGCACCGCATGAGATTGTCGGCCTCACGCCTCCGCGACGGCCGGCTCGGCGTCAGCCATCTCGGTATCAGCCTGCTCGGTCTTCTGCACAGAGTCCTCCTTAGCAGTGGGGTCTTCCTTTTCCTCGGCAGGAGTAGACTTCTCCTTCTCGAGGGTACCGTTCAACCAGGAGCGGAAACGCTGGTTGGACTCGTCGACCTTGTCCTTACTCAAACCACGGGCCCAGCTAGGGTTATTGACAAACTTCTCAACGAAGCGATCATGACGCTTCTCGCGCACAGCGGCCTTCTCCTTCGTGCGCTCTTCTTCCCGGGCCTGGATGGTCTCCGGGTCAGCATCGTTGTCAGGAAGTGGAGCAGACGAGCGCCAGAACCAGTCATGGCTGGGGGCTGGTAGAGGATAGTGTAGTTGTTGGCGCAAATGCGGATGATCAGGCCGTCGAAGTGCTGCAGACGCCGATAGAACCGGTCGTACTCCTCGTCCTCGTCCAGCTTGCCCGGCAGGTTGCGCTTGAGGAACGGCATGCGCATCTCGGAGAACTGGACGCCCTCAGTTGGATCGCGCATCGAAAACGCCGTCACGTAGTATGACCAGCGTGCCTCCGAGCTCAAGTCTGCACTGTCGAACGTAGCCTCCTCAGTGGTCATCACTTGCACGGTAACCCGTCGATCGTTGGTGAACTGTTGAAGGATATTGAGATTAGCAGTCTCTCGTAGACACAAAACCTAAAATACTCACGTAGGTTACACGGTAGATGTCTCCATCCTTGATTAATCTCTCCACCTGCTTACGATACTGCATCTCCTGGTGGTGGGTGGTCTCTGCCTTCTCTCGCTCCTTGAAGAAGAGGTTGGCAATATCAGAGCTGCGATCGCGCGAGTCCCCGGTAAAGATAGACGCCACAAACTTGGTGATTGAAGAAAAGATCCGCTCCAGATTATACATCAAGTAGCCGCTCTGCATGTAAAAGCGGCGCAGCGTCTCCTCGAGGTGAATCTGGTCAATGTCGCCGCGGATGACCTCCTCACACATGCGTACGATCTGCTTGTACAGGTTCGCCTTGGAATCCACGTCATAGAAGAAGTCACCAGGGAAGCGATCAATCAGACATAGGTCGTTTGCGGGCTTGGGCAGAAGACCCCGGCGGACCTGCTCGTGGGCATCTTCTTCCTGTTCCTTGATTCGCAAAAGGCGGGCGTAGAGAATCTCGAAAGTCCGGAGGAAGCAGAGGATGTTGAGGTTGCAGTACATCTGGTGCTCCGTCTTCTTGTAGGTCTCATTCAGAGTGTACTCGCGCTCCAGGTTGAAATTGCCATTTCCTGGGTGCTCCATCCACTTCAGCTCTGCCACATCAAAGGTATCCTCAGGCTCAGAGACAGCCGCAGATGTGGCTCGCACATCAGGGGTAGCGAGCTGGGTGGTCACAGGCAGGGCCGGCGCAACTTCAACTTCCTTGCTCTGGTTCAAATCATCGCCTTTCTCCAGTTTGCGCTCGAGAGTATCACGCAAGAGATCCAGCTTCTGCGTGTTGACAACCTTCCGGCTGACATTAGAGGCATCATCGCCAGGGAAGTTATCCTCAAGTTCTTCGGCGGGAGTAGCGCTCACCGAGAGTTCATCCATATAATCATGGAAAGTCTCACGGTCCAACCCGAAGAAGACAGGAATGAAATCTTTGACAAAGTTGATCAAGCGTTGAGGCTCCGCGCCAAAGCCAGAAGTACTGCGGTCAATGTACAAGCAGAGTAGATGAGTGGTATCCAGGAGGACATCCATATCACGGAACTTCATCTCCGCCTGGTATTTACGAGGGGTCAACCCGCTCTTGCGCATAGTCTGAGTCTCCTCAAACTTAGCCTGGAGATCTTGCTGGATGTTCTTGGCAATGAACAGCTTCTTGTCAGTTTGCCGGGTAGCGATAGCCTGGTGGTCGAGACTGCGCCAGTACGCGCGCTGCATCTGCTCGCGCCAGACTTTGTCCCACTCACGCTGGCAGGCCTTCCACTCCTCGAGCTTCTGCTTCAGACGATAGAGTACAACAGGAAGGACCTGGCACGGACGCTCAAACATGTCACGGATGATCTTCTCACCACGCTGGCGATCGTAGACCTTCTTGATCACTCGCTGATAAATAGCCTCACTTTGACCACCAAGTCCAGGAGGGAGCTTGAAGTTGGCGCGCTCGCCTTCAGACATGTGAAGAAATTGTTGACAGATTGGCTCAATCAGTTGAATGGTACGAGTGCAGGCCTCGATGTGGTGGTCATAGTCGTGGCGGTCCTCTTCAATACGGTGCAAGGCATCTTCATACTGATTCTTTCGGTGTGCAACAAAACCAGAATCCTCAGAAGCCCAAGTAGGGTGTGAAGCCCATTCGTCATTAAGAACCTCGAAGCAAAGTTGGTCACGACCGCTGCATGGCTTCTGTCGCTCACGCTTAGGTAGGAGACGGTAGCTGGGTCCGAGAGACCGACAGTGCGCAAGGTTGACCGTACCCGCCTCTGTCTTGGGCTTGGGGTCGATGGTCTTATCCTCGGGTTCTTCGACGTTCATGAACCGCTTGAACCAGCTCATTAGCTCGGCATTAGAGCCGATGAAACCCTCTGCTCTCTTGACCAGGACGAAGCGATCGATCAAGTCGTTTGTGTACAGGTTGCAAAGCTTCAGGAAGTCGCTGAAAGTTTGCTTGTTGGCGATGAACTTCTTCACACGGTCGAAGAAAGCGATCTCTTCCTGGCTTGGGGTCGTCTGCACACTAGGAGGAACAGGCTCCGGAAGCGCAGGAATCAAAGTTGGAGAGACGTTAGGAATATCCGCACCAGAAGGCTTGCCATGGTAATGTTTTTGTCTCTGTTAACAGATGTCAGAAAGATGCCACTGGCCAGATTCAAAGAGATCAAAGTGAGAGATAGGAAGTGTGAAATACGATGTTCATCGCATCACTATAACACAATGGCGAGTAAGCTGAACGAACCTTATTGCCATTTGCGAACTGAGCCGCCTGAGGCCCGGCCCTATTATCGGGCATGCGAGCTGCATCAACACCAGAGGGCCCAGAAACAGAGGAGATACTAATGCCAGGGCCGGCTCGTCGTTTCTTGTTCTCCTTTCCAGAGTCTTTGCCGGGAATGGGAAAATTACCCATGGGAGGCATCTTCACGTCACGATTGGGAGTCTGGGAGGGACCACCCATTGGATCACCGCGCAGATTGCTCATTGGAATGGCTTCCTCAGCGAGACGCTGTTGCTGTTGTTGTTTCGCATGAGCTGCAGACTCAGGAAGAAATTGCTTAAAATCTTCCAGCAAGTCGGGAGCGGTGTTGAAGAGTTGAGTGACTTGCGCATAAACGTCCTGGATCGGTTTTGACTCGCGCTGGTAGGTTTGCAGTATTTCAAGGAACTGTTTGTAAATCTCGGGCGCGCTGGAGAAGCGGTTCTATCAAATCAAGTCAATATTATGCCCACAGGTCAAATGCGAAGTGAAAGAAACAAACCTTTATCTTGTTCACGTAACTGATTGCGTGGTTGAACTCGACAGGCCCACGCTTGTTCAAGTCACCATGACCTCCCTGAAGCATGCCTCCTACACCAGCCAAGCTGTTCATCGGCTGAGTCAAGCTGGCGTTTGATGCGGCGCCAGATACGGACATCAAGGATGGTCTTCCAAGACCAGAGGCCGCAGAGGCTGCACCTTGAAGTTGTGCAACGCCGCGGTGATCTTGTTGGTGAGTCAATGCCGCGGCGCCCTGGGCCTCCTGGTTCTGGAATCCAAAATGGTGATCCGGAGCAGGGCCTTGTGCGTCTTGTGGGTACATTCCGGGGCCCAGCATTCGTGAGCCGGGGAGTACGATCCAGGCGCACCTTGCTGGTGACCTTGCGGTTGTTGTGCTTGTTGTTGCCATCCAGGTCGTGAAGCTTCGTAATAGTCGGGACGACCGTGAGGGCCAACTCCACCGGAGGGGCCCAGTTCATTTGAGCTATCAAGTGAACGTGGTGGGCGAGGCATACTCAAGGTATTCGTACCGGATGGCGTAGTAACCCTGATTGCATCTGGATTATCTTCGGTGCCGCACTCAATGCGGTAACCGGGAGGCAAAAAGGTGTTGAAGCCTTGAATCAGAGCCGGGTGGCCGTTAAAAAGAGTCGACACCCGTTGAATAACACCGGGTGTGTCAATGCTTTTGTCGAAAGTCAGCTCCCGGAACCTAGATCAAATGCGCTTGCATGCAGAAGACTCACGCTTGACTCTTGAAATCTTTCATAATGTCCAAGAACCGATTGTACACATCAGGCTGATCCACAAACCTTACTTTCACTTGATCCAGATAGCTAAGGGCATCCTAAATCGGGAAGTTGAGGTTAGTCGGTGAGATTTGTCCAACAGGCAGCCACATGGGCAACTAACGTTCAAGATTGGCTGTTGGCCTTGAGCTAGTGCTGCAACATTTCCAGGAATCTGCTGGCCTGGCCCGTTATATCCCATCATCGGAGGCGCTCCTGGATGCTGCATATATGAGCGTGGTGTTCCCTCACCATGTTGCATCTGTGGGCCACCAAAAAGGCCCCCTGGACCTCCAGAGGATTGTACATTACCCTGTGGGCCATTAGGTGGGTTGGCTCCAAGGTTTGACAGAAGGCCATTGGGACCGTGGATGGAGTTGGGGACTTTGGAGGCCACAGGCTGATGGAGAGGGATAGAGCCGGTGTGGCTCTGGACTGGATGATGATCGCCCCGTTGGCGCTCCATCTGCTGGCGCTCCATTTGTTCCCGTTCACGCTGTTCACGCTCCCGATGAGCCATGCCTTCTTGGCGCTGGCGCTCAAGCATCTCGCGTTCCCTAGAATCCCGCTCTCGCTCGCGGTTCAAAGACTGGGGAGAGGCGTGTGACATAGCCTGGCCAATGCCGGGAAGGGAATGGCCCGAGCCATGAGACGGCCCGGGTGGGTGTGGCCCATAGCTCGAAGGTTGGTGCGGAGCCCCGTGGCTCTGGCTCAGTTCGGCCAGGCCGGGGAGAGAGTGGCCGCCCGACTGGCCGGGGGTATGGTAAGGACCTATTTTCAGCAGCGCATGCAAGTCAGTTCATACATCTGGCAAAATTTTCCGGTGTCGAGATCTTGACTGCGAGGGCAATCATGGGTTGCAAATCGTATAGGGAGAATGCTAACCGGCTGGGGGAGGGAGGACGGGGCCAGAGGGCTGCGACGCCGGGCCTTGCTGAGAAGGATTTTGGCTGCGATTCAAAAGACTCATTGTTAGCGCCTGGTATTTACGCAATATAGAAGTCGTTCTCAAAATAACCTACCTAAATGACCCCAAGGGCCGAGGTTGTTGATTCATCTGATCCATGCCAGGGTGTGATGGAGGCCCACCCGCAGAGGAGTGCCAGGAATCGTTCCCCGAGTTCATGATTTGGTCATGAAATCGGAGTTGGAGAGTGGGGTAGTATCAAACGATAGGCAGTGTATAGATCTGCCAGGTAAAAGTGAGGGAGGGAGGGACCGTGGGATTCTGACGCTGGTGAGCTCCAGCTGTTGCTGTCTTGCGGTCTCTTGTTCGCTGCTCTCGCTCGCTGGGGAGGTGACACTCGCAGATCGCGCAAAAGTCACAGCATGACCAGCGCCCTGAGATAAGATAGCAGGTTATACTCGAGACACAATTCAAACTGACGATGACGAGGACAAGATCTAGGGACAAGAGTGCGCGCGACCGATCGCGGGCTCTCCAGTGGAGGCTTTCCTGACCGACTCCCGCTAGTCCAACTGCGGTAAGGCGTGTCCCGAGTCGGACCGTTGATAATCCGGGTGTACGGAACGATCTTATACGGTATTGATGGGTTCTTCTTATCTAAGAACTGTCAACAATAGGTCACGTCTGGTATTATGCGAGCGAGTCATTCCCTCCGCCTTCGTCATCGCCCACGAAATCTGGCAGAAAAATCCCGGAGCAAACGAGCGAGTCGGCAAGACGCGGTGATGGTTTATGAGGTGGCGAGAGCATTGGAGGAAGAGTTTTTACATGGATAATCGTCGAGGCAGAGATAATGAAAGCCTCCATAGCACCATTTCATGCCTTATAAAATCATTTCTCATGGATGTAGTGCCTCTGGAACAGATAACCCCCTAACCGCCCGCCCCCTCTGGTCACAACACAATCACGGGGAAAAAAAATGAGAAAGAAATGATGAAAGGGCCTCAAGCAGGCTTAACATTCTCTATCACGAAGCGCCTCCGTACAACGCCGCCAGGATACCTAAAAAGAAAACACGGTTGCATACAAACCATGAGAGGAAAATATGGATTGGGAGGAGGGGGTAAATTGTCGGGGCAGAACGGGGGGTTGCGAGGCAAGTCGGGCACAAATGCCGGGTTCTTCGCCAAAGACCTCGGAGGATGAAGAACGGGAGAACGAAAAAAAAAAGATGAACTGGAAGTCCTGAGATTGTGGAATCTGTGGCTTGCTGCTATGGCCATTATGTTTTGCTTTCTTTTGGGCTGGATGCGTCCATTTTTTTTTCGCTTTCTGTCTCATGCCAGTCTCATCGATCCTTCCACCAGCCACCTTATCCCATCCCCCCAAGATGCGCCTATCCATGGGAAATATTTATGGAGGTTCTGTGTCGGCCAGGCAGATCGAGCCGGTTACAGAGCGGAGAAAACGAATAGCTGTTGTCGCGCATGATTAGTTTCCCAGGGGTAAAATTGATAGCCAGAAGGGACCAAAGTCCAAGGAGAGACCTACGTTGTTTGTAGCCGCAATGGCAATACTGTCCTCGAAGGGATGCCAGCTCATATGCAGAATCTTCTTGTTGAAGTCGATCTGGTCGGCGTCGGTCTCCTTCTTCATTCGGCTGCCGGGGCCGGCAGGGCTGCCAGACCGCGAGCCAGCCTTCTTTCCGTTGCCCTTGTTCATCGGCGTCGGTACGCCGACCTTCTTCGCCTTGAAGGCCGACTTGTCCGCCTGGAGTACAATCTCCGTCTCCTTCTGCTCGTCTGTCGGGTAGATCATGAAGTTGTTGTTATAGCTACCAGTCATGACGTTCTCCGCATCACCGGAGAAGACCACCTCGAACTTGTCAAAGATGCTATCGTTTTCGTACGTATCACAGAGACGTGGCCGCAGGTGTTCGTGGATAGGGATCGTCTTAACGGGTTGACGTTCCATATTGACGTCCCAAATCTTCACTGTCAGATAGTCCCTTGACACGATGTATCGCCCGTCATGTGAGAATCGAACATCGGAGATGGAGGAGATGATCTCGGAAAAGAAGGACCGTGAGGAAGCATCCTCTTCTTGTTCGAATACTGTAGAAGAAGCCCATCAGTACAAATGAACATAAAATAAGGGGCGAATGTAAGGGGAAAGAGGGGGAAGAGGGAGTGAGGTTCGGCAATTAGGAACATACGCTTAGCATGATCATCACAAAGAGCGCGTTGCCGCATATCGGCAAGCTTGATAGTTCCCTTGGAGCTGGCATACATAAACCAGTTACAGCTGACGGGGTGGAATTCGGCCGCAGTAATCACTTCAGTCAGCTCCTCCATGTTGGCTGGCTTGATATCCACGATGTTGAAGCTCTGGTCTTGGATATTGAGATTCCACAGGTTGACCCGAAGATCGTCACTGCTGATAAAGGTCTCTCCATCACTGTTCACAGAGATGCTATTTATATGATACGCGTGGGCATTGGCGTACGTTCTCCGCGGGACAGCAGCAACAACGGTGTCGTGGTGTGTCAATCGCGGTAGCTTGAGCGCCGACGCATCCTTGAATGTGCCCCGGGGAGCTCGCGGGATGCCACCACCCACGGCGCCGGCAGGAGTCATCTCATTGGATAGATTGTTTTCGGCGACCACTTTCAACGATTTGTCAAACACCTTCCACAGCTTTATGGTCTTGTCGTTCGTTGAGAGGAGAAAGTGTGATGCATTCTGTCGTCGACACCATTTTATCTTGTTGATTTTCTCTTCGATCTCTAAAGATTTGAGATAGTCGAATTCCGGCTCATGCGACTGAAACTCGGTATGGAACTTATACTCGCAGGTTTTTTTCTATAGTGTCATGCCCGGAATTAGTCTTTCACACATGAGAGAAGTAGTGCATCGGGCCGAATTGAAGGAGAATGAAAGAATAAAAAAACGCGAAGAGGGACGTGGAAGAGGAGACCGGGTAACTTTACCGTCTCGTTTCGTTCGAACAGCACCACTCGTCCGCCCTTGTCTCCCGTCGCCAAATAATTACCGGTGTGGTCGAATTCAACGGTCGAGATGATGTCCGCTGGAAGTGTTTCAAAATCAGCCGTTAGCCCAACTGATGGATGACATTGGACGGTAGCTGGGGAAGAGAAAGGAATTTCCTTTTACCTTCTGTGATATCTTCTACATCACCTTTATCACCAAAGCATCTGAAAATCCAGTCAGTTGACCAAAAAAAAAAGTTCAATTCAAAAGATCCAGAGAGATCGTTTTGCAAGCTCCCAAATCTTCCGCAGTAACGAACAGAGCCGACGACTCCATCTCGGCAAGACTCACTGTGTGAACTTCCAGGTGGGTGTGCCTGGGTCTCTGTCTACCATTTTTTCGTTCAAGGATCGTCGTGGATCGCAAATGATGCAGCTGTGAGACAGGAGGAAACGAAGGGAGGTGGACACCGGTTTTGCGGTGGTCCGGAGAGCTCTATTGAGGTTGATGCAAAAGAATCACTCGGGATGGGAGCGACCCGAATTTGACGACAAAGCGGAACCGGTCGGACACGCACGATCTCAATGAAAAGCGGACACGAGGCGCACCGGGGATGGTGAGAGCGTTAACCGGGCACACTCGATCGTCAAGAAGGGTGGTTGAGGGGTTGGCAGCGGGATGGCGAGCGAGGGGAGGGGGAGGGGGAAGAGAGGCGGGGAGGAAACAACCCGCACGGTCGACGATCGGGCGCAGATAAGCCGACAACAGTCCTGGCGATGTGGACGGTGGATGGGCGGTTCAAGATGGGGGAGGGGGGGGGGGGTGTGGTTGAGTTGGTGGAGGAGGGGAGAATTGAGAGGAGCAAACGACCGGGAGGTTGTTATGAGTGGGCCCGCAGCAGAGCTTGAGAGGGGATCATAGGGAGAAAAGGACCTGGACCCGCGGGGGCAAACCGAGTTAGGACGGATGAAAACCAGGACCGTGAGATGTAGTCGAAGAGAGCGGACTAAGTCCCCAGGCGACGGAAAGGATGAGGAAAGGGAGGAGGGGGAGTCGTACGGGAGATTCTGGGATGGTTGAGAAAGAAGAGATTGGGTGCGCAGACCGTGAGGCGGTTGTGGGGAGTTCGTGACTCGGGACGTCGACCTCGTCTATGTCTACTTCAGCTTTTCTTCCCCCGCGATCGCTTATAATCTCCTAATATCTAGCTGATCTACGGCGAGGTTCTGGTCTTGATCGTGCTCGCCAGAGTTTTCTCCCCGTTTTCCCTTTTTTTCCCTCTCTCTCTTTTCCCCAACGCTGGGCCCGACAACGCTGACATCAACACTGGCCTGCGACTGTAACATTAACATGGCCCAAAGCAGACACCTCGCTCCAGTCTCGTCGGGCGCAGAGTGAACCAGGCCATAGCGAGCGCCTCATTAAATGTCTTGAGTTTTTTGGTCAGTCCCTCCCTCGGGCTCAATAGAGAACCGGCATCGATCGGGTCCCCGGAAAGAGTCTATCTAACCTATCGAGGTTCTTGATAGTTCGGATACTTCAAATCCTTGAAGCCTTCAATCTGTGCACCTCCATTTTCCATGGCCCGACGAGTCCTCAACTCCGCACGGTCAGGGCCCAGTAATTCATAGCTATAGAATTTTCTCCATTGGCCTCTCCATCCTTGCGTCTTTTTTCTCCAGGTGAGGGGATGACTGCCAGGGGCCATTGTCCTCCGACAGCTGCACATTGGTCCCGATGTAAGGCGGCTGCCCCCGCCTCTGTCGTCATTGTGTCGGGGTCGTCCAGGTCAAATCTCCCGGGAATCAAGCATTGGAGCATTCAGGGAGCCTAAACAGGCATGACTGGGGGCATATAGCGAAGCCAAAGCAGTTACAAGGTCCTGACTCAGCACCGTCTTTGATGTCCATTGCCCGAATGTCGGTGAGTCCGGGCATGCATGGACTTGGTGGATATATACTGTATTTCCTTCGTCTCCCGGCCTCCCAATTCGTCCACCCCAGGGCAATGAAGAGACGATATCGAGTCCATAGAATGCACAGGATCAATCGACGATACTATGACATTCTCATTCTCCCCGTAAAGGAATCACCTTGCCAGTCTAGCCCAGTACCGTCAACTACATATGTTCGAGCCCAATTCCGAATGCCCTAATCAATCCCGCATTCACCCTTCAATGCTGCTGCTTCTTCACATGCGTCCCTACTTCCTCCGGGGCCCATGAGACCGGGCAAATCCACCACTTTCACTCCGATCAACCCTAATCACCTCCCCAGCACTCACCTCTCATCCGCCTTAGCCCCCTCAATCTATCCACAAACCACAACCCCGAACCTCTCCAAACAGACCACACCCCGACCCAGATGCCTGACGACTCGGAGAACATGCGGGGTACCCGCGACACGCAGCGCCGCCCCTCGCACGACACCGACTCCCCAGCGTCCGCCAGCACCGAACCAACCTCACCCACTCTGGCAACACGCATCCAACGCTCCGCCGCCGCCCTCGCCCGAACCGCCCTCCCCAGTTCCGGCCCTGACACCACCCACACCCTCTCCTCCGCCACCAGCAAAGCCACCCCCTCCAGCTCCAGCTCCGCGCATCCCCTCGTCAGCCAAGACATTGGATCCGCATCGCGCACCCCAGCAACGACCCTCGCCCACCCACCACGCCCGACCTTCCGCACCACCCCCAAGCCCAAGATACCCCGTCCGACGAAGACGCCTTCGCGCGCGCCCCCGCCTACACACATCAAGACCTAGACCCTAACCTCCTCCCCCCGGCGTCCCAGAAAGGCAAGCAGCCCGCGTCGGCCGATTACTCCAGCGCCTGGGCGCGCGCAACGCAGGACGACGGCGCCGCCGTCGTCGCGCTCCTCAACTCGCCCGACTTCAACGCGGACTTCAATGCAGCCAGCGAGCCAGACATGAGCGACGAGCCGGCGCCGCTGACAGCGGAGGAGATAGCCGCGCTGGAGGCGTTCCGGCGGGGTGTCGGCGCGGCCGGCGCGGACGCGGCGCCTGGCGCGCGGTTAACGAGCGCCAGCCTGGTACCTGACATCGACGCGTTCCTGGCGCAGGATAGCGCAGGACCAGGAGAGACGGTGGCTGCGCTGCGGGATCGGGTGCTCGGGAAGTTGGCTGGGGCGGAGGAGTGGGTTGGGGTGCATGAGCGGTATCACGATGAGGTGTGGGGGTTTCTGAGGCCGGCGCTGGAGGCGGCGAAGGCGGAGATGGAGGAGAAAAGGGATGGCGAGGGCGAGGGCGAGAGCGAGGGCGAGGGGCCGGCGGTGCGGCGGCTGAGGATGATATTGGAGCATATGCGGGCGTGAGGGGGGTTGGTAGTACTTGCAGGTCCTTTTTGAGAGGAGAGGATATCGGGGCTTGTATAATATCGGGCTGTATGTTTTGAGAGCTTTCTACTTGCATTGTGGACTAAGACAGAGAGACTTGATTACAGGGTATAATTATTTAGATTGGGGGCGTTAGGAGTGTACATTTACAGCTGGGCATGGACATGGGCATGGTTGTGTCTCTATACAGACTTACGTGCATAGGTATAGACATGTTTATATATAAATATAAATATATATATATATATTCGTATGGCAAATGGAATCTGGGATCTAGAGATATGGAGTAGACTGGTGTTGACGACGGTGGAGCTATCAATTGCCGGGCATTTCTTTCTCTGCTTAAAATCGAATGATGCTGATCGGAGAAGCTGGGCTGCTTGGGTCCGATCGGGCCTCGGCTGTGCTGGTGGGAGACCTCGGAATTAAAATACCCAAAACGGAGATACGGGAACGAGGGATGGGCTCGGGGAGATGCCCTGTGGGATGAGTGCATGGAAAGGTGCATGGAAAGCTGGAGTACTTGCCATCGTTGTGACAACCTTCAATTTACGAGGCACAGAGAGCCCGAGGGTTCATTAATGAGTGCTAGAACTTAATTTATTCAAGACGGAGAGGAATTGTTTACACAGCCATCAATCTAGAAGGTGTATTCGAAGAACGTAAGAAAGGTTGGTATGTTACACGAAGACCAAGCCTGCCCGCCCAGGTCCATTCAGGGGAAGAGGAGGGGAGGCATAATATCATGAAGTCGGCATGAACAAGGGTGTGCAAGCAAAACAAATGGCCTGAAACAGGTACTAACGGCGTCCAAGAGACAGGAGGGTATGTAGGAGGGGGTCGTCACAGGAGAAAGAGAGCGCGAAGGAGAGGAAGGTGGGGAAAGAGTCGGATGAGAGAGGGAGGGGGGGGGGGGGGGGGAAACGACGGTATCTTCGGGGTGGCGGCGTCAATTTACAGCTCCAGGCTTGGTGTCTGACCCTTGACGCGACCAATGACAATGTGGCCGGCGTACTTGGGGATGACCTCGTCGTCGTGGAGCATGGCGAATTCTGCGGGAGAAAAAAAATTAGCTATCGTGTCAAATGAAGAGTTTGATTGCGGGGGAAGAGATGCTGGTGCGAATCTAGACATACCCTCAGTAGCATCGCGGCCCATGAAGTTGAACAGCGCATTAGCACCGCCGGGGTGCTCGTCGAGCCAGTTGGTCACATCAAGAATGACACCCTTGACCACAATCCAGAGGTCATCCTTCTTGTTGTGCTTGGCGACCTCTTCCATAGAGTACTCCTTCTCGGGGATCTGGAAGTTGGCTGGGTCAGGCTTAGCCTCCTCGGCAGCTGGAGCAGCCGGGGCGGCCGCGGCCGCGGGAGCAGCGGCCACGGTCGGCAGAGAGCCACCGGGGGCGGCACCGCCCCACTCGACGGAGATCTTGCCGGGGGTGGAGGGGTCGATGTGCAGGGAGATCTGACCGAGACGCTGCTGAGCGGCAGAAGAGCCCGTGGTGAGCAGCTTCTGGAAGAGGTGCTGCGAGGCAGAGTCACCAGCGACACGGCCGTAGACGACACAGCCCAGCAAGGAAGAGCCACCGAGACGGTTGGCACCGTGGACACCACCAGCCAGTTCACCGCAGGCGTAGAGACCCTCAAAGGGCTGCTTCTCGCCGTTGAGGACCTGGGCGTGCTCATTAATCTCGATACCACCCATTGTGAAGTGTAGAACGGGCTCCATCAGAGCAACGTGGAACTCATCGTCGAGGGAGAAGGGCATGTTGTGGAAGAAGCGCTTGTTCCAGGGATCCTTCTTCTTGCCGTCGGCAATGAGGTTGTAGTCATCGAAGGTCTTCTTCAGCGCGGCCTCGCCGCAGCCAATCTCGGCCACCAGCTCCTTGCCGGTCATCTTCTTCATGAGACCACGGCCGGAATAGTGGCGAGTGTGGAAGTCCAAGACCTTGGAGGCCTTGCTGTTCAGCACCAGACGGATGGGCCACTTGCCCTTCTCCTTCTCCTTCCACATCTGGCCGGAGACGTAGTCACGGTGGCCCAACTCGTCCGAGAAGCGCTGGCCATCGGAGTTCAGCAGCAGACCACCCTCACCACGGAGAGCCTCGGCCGCGAGGAACTTGAACTTGGCGGTAGGGTCCTTCGGGTCGACCAGACCGGTAGGGTGGACCTGGACCTTGTCCATGTCGATGCCGTTGGCACCAATCTCCATCAGCATCTTCTGACCATCACCGGTGGCATGGGTGCCGTTGGTGCTGGACAGGCCGAAGGTATCGGGACGGTGCTTCTTGAGCAGCGAGGAGTCGCTGAAGTCAGCGGCATAGCCACCAGTGGCGAGGACAACCACACCATCGACGGTCTTGGTCTCGCCGTTCAGGGTGTAGGTGACACCGGTAACGTGGTTGCCGGACTTGTTGACGGCGGTGACGTGGGCCTTCTTGATGATCTGGACACGACCCGGCTCGGCATCGGCGAGCTCCTCCAGGCGCTGCATGAGAGCGTAGGTGATGGCCATGCCCGGGAACTTGGCATCGTGGCCACGGTGCGTACGGGGGTGGGTGTGGCCACCCAGCCGGGAGACCAGAGTCAGGTCGAGGTTGAAGACATCCTGCAACCACTCGACAGCGGCGGCGGACTTGTAGGTCAGGACCTTGATCAGTTCGGGACGGGCCTTGTCTCGGGCGGACTTAAGAGTGTCCTCGTAGAAGGCCTTGACGCTGTCCTGGATGCCAAGGTCGACCTGAGTGCGGGTGAGGGCACCGTTGATGCCGGAGGTGGCCTTGGTAGAGTTGCCACCAAAGAAAGCTGTGGTGATGGGGACGCCCAGGTCAGTTGCTGTTCTTTGGTCGATTCGCGATGATGCCTCGCAGGGAATGTTTTACAGATTACATACCTTGCTTATCCAGAACCACGACGTTGCCACCGTTTAGATAGACGGTGTGGGCGGCACTGAGGCCAGACACTGTGCAGGGAATGAGCCGACGAGAACCGAGAAAAGAGAATGCGGGGGAAAGGGTATATTCTTACGTCCACCGCCGACCACAATGACTTGCGGAGCTGCCATGTTGGAAGGGGTTGTGATGTGAGAGGGAGTGAGTTCGAGGAGGAAGGGGGAAGGGAAAGGTGGAGGAAAAAAGTTAAAAAGGAATGGGGAAGTGGGTTGGGAAGGGAAGGCTTGCGATCTTATGAGACTGGGAAATATGGGAAGATGGGGTATCCGGGGCAGAGGCAGACCAGCTCAGAAGCCGACGAGCTCTTGTCGGCCGAGGCACGACTGGGGCCGGGGGGGGACAAGTGGGTCGGGGAGTTGGGATTCGTTATTAATTGCACGCTGCTGGTTTGTTCGGGAAGTGGAATCGCGCTGATCGTAAACCTGGGGAATATGACAATATGGCAGACTGGCAGACGGACGGTGCCAGGGGACTCGACGATGTTACAAGATCACATGCGCCTGTGACTTGGGATCTTCACATGCTGGCATGCCGTGGATGCGTCTACGTAGGGTTTGGAGGGAGATGTACGTCAGGCGACATCAGGCGACATCAGGGGGGAACGAAGAGCGACACCTCGAACACCCATAGTCTGGGAATGGGGCCTGGACTTGAAAGCTCTATTTTTTTCTTTTGGTTCCGGGATCTTGCAAATATTCCGATTCTTCGTGATTCTGCGCTGGCAACGAGCCCGGCATTCTCGGTCTGATTGTTCCCGCGAGCCTCGGAAGTAAATCAGTAGGTGAAAATTGGCCGAGAGCGAAACCCAGTACAGTTTCGTAGAAGGCCCCCCGGTCGGCCATCAGGGGAGAAGAGAGTATCGCAATCCTTGAAGTATCCAGAAGTCCATTCAATCTGTATCGAATGGATCCTATAGATCCTCTAGATCCTGAAGAGCTAGACAATTGATCGATCTAGAGACCCATCGATCCTCTTCCCGGAAGCCGGAGGAGCGCAAACAGGTAAAACCCGTTGCCGAGCGCTGAACGGCTCACCGCCACTGATTGGTGGAAGAACACAGGGAAGCTGACATAATCTGGATATCGACATTGCCTGAATCAGCAACCATGACATCATCGCTGCCTCCTCGTTCGGGTTTCAATCACCGACGGGATTCGGTCTGCAGAGAAAGGACAAGTCTCGGCGAGAATCCCGCAAGATACAAAAAACCCTGTCCTGCCCACTCATTTTGTCTGGCCGAGTTCATGGTCTCGGGATCGCATGTCCCGGGATGCTTGTTGGGCGAGACGGGATGGCTGCTCGGGCTAATGCAGCCCGAGGGAACATCTCGCCCGAGAGACCACCGAACACAGTGCACGGCGATGGTAGCTGTGAAGACAGACAGGTTCGAGACAGCGGGAGCTACACCGGGCTAGACAGATCGAAAGTGGGGCCACATCTCTCGTGCGAAAGATCGAATTCGAGATCACGGCAGACTGTGCGTTAGAGCATACATAACCTTAAATTTTGTGATTTGTCCCGAGTGCATTCCAGGGTTATAGATTGCCGCTCAGAGCAACTTCCAATCACGAGCAAGTTGAGCCCGACGATGCCACTCTGGATGCGTACAGACGCCTGTATATGCTGCTTTGCTTGATTCACTATTGACACGATGAATATCGATTTCAAAGCCAAAAAAACGCGTCTTCTGTCGTGGGGGGTATGATGGAGTTGATGCGAAGGATGGAACCGGCCATTTTACACAACTAATTGGATGGATTGCCGATATAGGCGAGGAAGCTAGGTACATGCAGGAAAATACATACTCCCAGGACACCCCCATAGGCCCCATAGGTATAAGGTTCGATCCGACTGTTTTACCGACGCTATCCAAGGCACCTAAGTCCTCCGTACCCTCTCTACTCCAAACCCACCGAGAATCCCGTTCTCGCTCACACACCAAACGGAGTATACCGCCAGAGAATCTTTTCGATCTCCCATTCCTTTTGATATGCCTCTCCGAACACACGTCTGCAGATGGCTGCCCAAACCGGGTCGCGATGAGTGTGCCTCCGCGCCTTGATACATTCCCAGTACTCGGGCATATACCCGGCACACTCCCAATCCACAATACCACTGAGCCGGCCATTCTCGACCAATATGTTCATGGAGAAGAAATCGGAGTGTGTAAAGTAGGACTGATGATCCTGGCGCATGGTCAGGTCTTGGCCTTCGAGAACTTTGTCAGGGGTGCATTCCAGGTGACTCGTAAGATAGTTGTTGAAATCGGCTTCATTGTTAAACGGACCAGCCGGTCCTTCATTTGGGAGACGGTGATCACATAAAGGACCTCCAACAGTGTTCGCGAACCGATATGGTGTATGATTGGGGATTCGTCGTAGCTGGGCGACGCAATCGGCTAGGTCGTCGGCGAGACGGTCGCATTCTGCGTAGGACATGAGGTGAGACACTTCGTCAAGTTGCTGTCCGGGAAGACATGTCATAATCATATAAGTCTTGCCAGCATATACTCCCACGTCGACGAGTCGGGGGGCTGGGATAGTGGTATGCTTTTCAACCAGCCGAAGGGCGTTTGGTTCACTTTGGGGAGCTCGGATACATTGCTTCATGATAAGCCCAAAGGGAAGCCGTTGAACCCATGGTACACTTAGAGGTCCCCAGCGTCTGTTTCCAACTTTCCAGAGGTAGGCATAAAATTGCATTCGTACCCATAGCGGAAGCCAACGCGATAAATGATAGAACGCTCGCCGGATAAAAGCAGGGACAGGATCTAAGAGTTTATCAGGATCTATATCAAGTTATTCGGAATGGATTTTGAAGAATATGTTACGTACCTTTTTTCGGCCTCGGCCAGCCCCGTTCGATTTTGTCATCGATAGAAAAGAGATGGAGTGCAGTTGCGAATCGCCCATGAACTTCGAACAGAAAGCTGCTTGGTAGGCTCAGTGCTGAAGCGGATGTAGATAGCTTAAAGAAGAATATGCTTGGAACCGCTTCTCCGTCTGCAAATCTCAGAGTTGCCTGCGCATCAGGATGAAGCAACGACAGAATATACTTGAAGAAAAAAGTCAATACTAATGCGTGTTCACAAGAGAAGCCTTCTTACCTCGTCTTTGTATTTCTCGCGCGATTTATTTTCACTCGAGGGGCCAATTTCTCGTCCCTTCTCCTGCTCAGCTTGTGCCTCTACTTTGATGTGGCCTTCACGAAATGCGTCGTGGATGCTAGGAGATAGGCACCACAGATTTCGCAGAGCATTTTGCGTATCATCATGGGTTTCTATGGCGGACTTCAATTGCCTGACACCCGACGGCGATAGAAATGCTTCCAAGATTTCCCGCAATGAGCCCTAGAGACCCGAAAATGTTAGGACTTGTATTTCATTGGTAGTGAATGTGTATAATTTACCTCATCTGATTCAATATCTCGAAGCATCGACGGAGGAATCACATACGCCGACTCAACAGCTCCAATCGAAAGGCCCTGTTCTGAAAATCGTTTGTTTCTCAACTCCGAATTGTTCATCATGCAGCAACCCGGGCCATCTCGACGGCGGACTAAAGTATCCAGACTATTTGGAACTTTGTCGAAAGTCCTCACTGCGGATGGTTAACTCGAGAATGAACAAAAGGGCATCAAAATTCTTACATTTTGAGACAAGTCTTTTCCAGTCTTGCTTGAACGAGCGTAGGGAACCCTCTACTACAGCATCAGATTGGACTCTCGATAGGAGATATTGGGCTGCTAAGACTGGATCGACAGCTTTCTCAACGAAATGTTTCAGGAGGAGATGTTCAGTTCGCGAGAGATTCGCCAAAGAGATCATCTCTAGTGCAGTGTTTGGAGTAGCCATGGCTAGATATTGGGTGGGTAATAGACGAGTCGAAGGGGGGTTTCTGATCGTCTGGTAGTCGTTCAGGGAGGAAAAGTGATATTGTGAGCAACCCAGTCTTCCGATGGCTTCTGGGGGAGATATGATCAATACCTCAATCGCTCACAATTAATTCCTGTTTATGAGGAAGCCACCAATGATACACTGTTCGAATTTGTTGAGAGAGTTACAAAAGTGTTGGCAACAACTTGTAGTCTCCGCGAATGATGCGAAAAACTCAGTCTTTTTTTTTGTTTTTGGCGGTCTTTGAGGGCGTGGGGCTGGCATCAACTCAGCTCTGTAGCTGGTGCTTAGGTAGAGTGATCGGTTTAAAAATAGGAGCCAGTGGTAGTCAAGATATCCTAACAGAGACATACCTTTGTATCAAAGGGGCGAGTTGGTAGTCACGATCAATTCCTGGCGCCTTCGTGAGTCAAGCGATGAGCTATAATTCTATTGTTGGAGAAAATGAACAAGATATAATGGCCAGTGGGAGCAAGAGATCCCAACGGAGACGTACCTTTGTATCAAAGGGGCGATTTGGTAGTCACGATCAAATTCTTGACGACTTCATGAGTCCAGATATTAATCTTGTCCTATGTTGGAGTCGTTGATTCGGAGAATGAGGCTGGTGGTGGACAAGAGATCCCAACGGAGATGTGTCTTTGTATCGAAGGTGCAAGTTAGCCGTCACGATGAAATCCTCGACGCCTTCATGGGTCCAAAATTATCCGTGTCCTGGGTTGGAGTGCTCCATCCAAAATTGCGGCCAGACGCAGAGTGATCTCCCTCCGATTAGCTATACAGTCGTAAAAGCTCCACAGAGCCATCTATGAAGCCAAATATATGTCTACATTAACAGATACCCAATAGGAGTGATTGGGATGGAGGAACGTTTGGTGTGTCGAAGGATGGGCACTACGATCGGCGGCTGGACGGGTAGGTGGAGTTGCCTTTAAGGCGCCCCATAACGTCTTTGATTGGTTGAGAACCACTATTAATTATGGGGGCCAATACCTCCCTATTTCGATTGATATAGATCCAGACGACAGCAGACGACAGCCTCATGGATATAAAAGGGACGGTGCATTCGACCAACTAATCTTGTACACTGTATCAAACCATCATTTACAAGCCTTCAAATAACTTGTTCATTTTTCTGCCCATCTTCATTCCCTGTATCACCTAACTTCGATATGAGTAGGACAGGACGTTCTGAGGCGTACACACCCTCTGATTCGCGAGCACGCTCGCGTTCAGCGCAGAGAAACAATTTTGTCTTTGAAACGAGTGGCCTCTATATTCTCGTCTCTGATATGCAAGAGAAAAAGGTCTATCATTGGGGCCTCTACCATGCTCTTGTGAGGGGCGTGGCATGGTGTATCATATGACCAACAACGTTAGCACGAATGGCCAATGGAAGTACATTGCGAAACAAAGCGTCGATGTTCCATATTCGAAACATTTGCTCGTCGCTACCAAAATTGGGGTTATTTCTACCTCTCCACAGTGGGCGGAGGCTGTCAAGACTTGTATGGATAATGTCAACCAGGATCCTCCGGTTACATGTCGCATCTGGGTGAAACGAGCGCTTCAAGATCTGCAGCAACAAGGATTCATCTGGTTCAAAGACGGCTGCAATGAGGACAACCTGGAAAACGAGGCATGGGTGTTGGCTCAAAAAGTCCAGCGTCCAAGCGCGAGAGTGATGAGAAATAGCAATTATAGTGAAAGAATATAGTAGATTGTAGCCTAGAGGCAAGAAACAAATCAACCAATCTTTCTTCTTCTTCTTCTTCTTCTTCTTCTTCTTCTTCTTCTTCTTCATGTTGCTTCCACTATATACAGGCATTATACAGGAATTTGTGCCTTCTGACTTTCAGCCTAGTGCGCATGAGAAGAATTTGCTCATAGTCTACCATCTCCATGGCTGCTACCAGTCAACCAGGCGGGTATAAAGAAATACTGCTAACGGAGCAAGCCTTATCAAAATGGTAGAGATATTGTACAACAAAAGCAGTGGGGGAAGCAGGAGATATGCGGTGGCCACCATGTCTTCAACCAACATTTGATGCACGAGTGGTGTTCAAAGATCAGCCGCCAGATTGGTCGAAGACGTGCAGAGTTGATCCAGCTACATGAGATGAAAAACAAAGAAAATAAATGAAACCATGATCTAGTATCGCAAGATTCGATACACCTAGGACATATATACCCGCTCTACTCCAATCCGTTTTGGCAGCTCTTTCAAGTAAGCCTATCTCGCTGTGTAAATGATAGTTTTCACTTATATGTCAAGAATCCAGAAGATAAATTGAGGATCGATATAAAATTAAAAGAGAATGATGACTAAATCCAGCCCCTTACAAGATAGATCATTGTAGAAGCTATTTGGAAAGGAGGTCGTAAACCATACATCATAGATTATAGTAGGCAAGTACTTAAGATTAGAACAGTCTATAAGTATCATACGTGCCACTTGGTAGATGCCTTAGATAGTCTATTTCCCTCAGGGGTTCATAATGAGTAAATCCCGAGATCCTTGTGCGATCATTAAGCTATCGACAACTATCGCTCTATTATCACATAATGTTACTAAATAGATTCCCGACGGTATGCATACACTGAGATTTAATTAGTGACCCTAAGCCTGAGCGCTAACAGAAAAACGGCGGGATCTATAAAAGGATTGTCCTACCGAACAGAGGAAACTTGGTATATAGAACTGTCTACGTACTTGGTAGCCTGTCCAAGCTCTTGTCCTCTGCAAATGGAGATATCGTTGGATCTCGTAAATCTGTATACTTACGTGGAGTTATTCCTCAGAACTTAATTATTTGGATGATGGATACCTCATAATTGGATTGAATGATAGAAACGGCCGCCATTGTGAGGGGCAATACAACGTAATCCCTCACTCAATCATGTAATTTCACTATTTGTAATTAAAACGTGATGAGCATTGACTCGTAGAAATACTAGTTGCAAAAAAAAAAAAAAAAGGGATTCTAGGAGTCTTTTTAACTATAATATCTGCTTCTTTAGATTTTCAATTCGTTGATGGGGGGTGATGGTAAATTGTGTACTCTAGTACTAAACTGGCCACGGCCCGTAATCCGAGACAAGATTCCCTTAGTGAGGAAGCTAAGCCTTCGCCCCGAAGCGAACTGACCGCCCACCAATCAGTTCTAGGAATACGGGGCCTGAGCATTCTTGCCTATTCGATCAAAAATTGCCTAGCTGCTCGTATGACGATGCTTCGATCTTGCCTGCAGTTCACGGACCCTTAGACGAAGGAGACGCTTCCAGAATGAGGCTTAGATCAATATTCTATAAGCCTCCTTTCACAGACAGTACTAGCGCTTGAGTTAGGGCGGTCCCCAAATATCATTAAAAACTAGGCTTGCCCCCGAAAATGGCAACCAGACTAGCTGATCTGTCTAGGAACTAATCATCTCGAATTTTCTGGATAATCTCAACATGAATTTTCCGCTCCTCGCCCTTCTCTTTTCCACGACAGTCCTAGCCAAGCCCGCCGACACAGCAGACCTGCCCGCGCCTGAAACAATTACCTCCTATGTAACCGTGACCAAATCTACTATTGACATTGTTACCAGTACTGCAATTGCCGAAGACGAAGATGTGCGCAGGTCTATGCTTGTTTCTGTGATGGAGGCTCTCGAGCCCACGTACCCGAGTTGGGTCAAATCAGTCCTGGCAACCGCGATACCGATCTCGTGGAAGGAGAGATTGTCGAGCGACCCATGGTTTGCGGATTCGGAGGTACAGGCAGAGGCATCCGGGATGATGCCGGCCTGGTATTCGAGTCTGCCCAGTGATGTGAAGTACATCATTACCAGCGATGAAGCGGTATATGCCTCCAGGATCGCTGATATAACTTGGTCATCTTTTATTATTTCTACAACCACTACGACCCCCAATTCATCGAATGCGTCGTCGTCTTTATCCACCTTTTCATCGACTCGGGGTACCACTTCATCCATCCAATCGAAGGCCCCTGAGACTTCTACTTCTAGTGGGGGCGCACCTGTCGCGACTGGCGGCCTTGCCATAAGCATCGCGGGTGCTGCTGGTATTCTGGGTCTCGCACTTGCATTATGAAAACCTCAATATGTTGAGAGATGATCTCATGTATTTTATCAGCTCGCGGAGGATGAGAGGTCAAAGTGCGAGGCCCGGGGTTGTTCTATAGACCAGGCTTGATGAAAGCATCGAAGGGGTAAAAAAGACACCCAATAAACCAACGCTGTGTTATGCAACTAAGATCTTGCTTGATATATCGTCATGCTAAATGTACCGTCTAATCCATCCAGGTCACGCTCTTCGTAGACAAGAACTCATTCAAGCCCTCATCTGCATTGAATCGGCCCCAGCCACTATTCTTCACCCCGCCATGCGGTAACACTGGCTCATCGTGGATAGTCATGCTATTAATATGCACAGCACTGTATAGCAATAGAGAACAAAGTCAGTTCCGCAAGAAACCCTGGGCACTTGATCGAGATCCATCCCCTCTCAAAGGCGAGACCTGAAAAAGGGAGAGAGAAAGAGAGAAAGAAAAGGGGGGGGGGGGGGGGGGGGGGGGGGAAGAGAACCAAAACTCACCCAGATTGGAGCTTCTTCGCCATTTTCAAGCCCCTCCGGAGGTCCTCCGTAAACACTGACGCTGACAACCCATACCCACTGCCATTGGCAAGCCGGATCGCCTCATCTTCGCTCTCAAAGGTCATGCAAGCCGCCACCGACGCAAACGCCTCCTCCTGCCATAGGGCCATGTCCTCGCTGACGCCACCCAGGATGGTAGGGGCCATGCGTACACCTGCGTCCACCGGAAGCGGGGCGTCCGCGGAGCCGGAGAGGAAGTGCGCGCCAGCGGCGACGGCGGTGGAGATGAGGGTATCGACGCGGGCTTTGGAGGCGATGTTGACAAGGGTTGGGGGAAGGGTGTCGGCAGGAGCGGATGCGAGGGCTTGCTGGAGGGCAGCGATGAAGGACGGGGCGATGTCGGAGTGCACGAGAATGCGGTCGGTAGCCATGCAGATTTGGCCGGACTGCGGACGGGAACGGGGCATGTGAGTACTCGGACGCTAAAGGATAGATGGACGGTAGGAGAGACGGCAAAAGATGGTGGATGCCAGGTGACGGTTGTTGTATATCAAACAAGGACATCTCAAACAAACAAACAAACCAAAAAAAAGGACTCACGTTCAAAAAGGCGCCAGCTAGAACACCCTGCACTGCGGTTTTGAGGTCCGCATCTGCGCACACGATCGAGCTGTTCTTACCACCGAGCTCCATTAGACATGGCTTCAAGTTCTGACCGCAGGCGCGGGCGATCTTGCGGCCGACGGCAGTGCTACCAGTGAAGTTGATCTTGCGCACGGCGGGGTGCTCGATCATGGCATTGACGACCTCGGCAGCATCCTGTGGGCGGCAAGAGAGGACGTTCAGACAGCCAGGAGGCAGGCCGGCATCCTCGAAGGCACGACCAATGGCCCAATAGCAGCGCGGGGTGTTCTCAGATGATTTGAGAATGGTGGTGTTGCCAGCGGCGAGAGCGCAAGCAGCGGAGCGGATGCCGAATACGTAGGGGGCATTCCTGAACAATAGATGGTGTTAGTTGGTTGTGTTCCGGCTATAATTGATAGTATACTTGGTAGGTATAGATATGAACACAGCTGCTAGATACGCGACGTACCAGGGCACAATTCCCAGTATCACCCCCATCGGCTCCTTGAAGATCATCGCGCTCTGGCCCTCGGCCTCGACAACGGGCACGCTGCCACAGATTGACGTGATACGACCCGCGACATCACGCAGCATACGAATGGCGAGCGGCACGACGAAGCCAGCCGACGCGCCGACATCCGCGCCCATCTCCGTGCGCATATACTCGGCATTCTGGTCAAGACGCTGCTCTAACAGATCCGCAGCCTTGAGCAGGATATCACGTCTTACAGTGGGTTTGGTCTGCGACCAGGCCGGGAATGCGGCGTCGGCTGCCTCGACGGCGCGAATGGCATCTTGCGGGGATGCGGAGGCCGCGGCCCAGCAGGGCTGGTTGGTATAGGGGCTGATCACATCAAAAGTGGCGGAGGGATACTCCTCCTTGCCGTTGATGAGGAGGGGAACAGTCTCGGTCATTTTGGCGGGGATTGCAATTACCGTCCTTATAGTCCCCGTGGTAGTGATGATACGAAGCAGAAGTGGGTGGAGGGCGTGAAGCAGCTTATCGAGCTATCAAGAGCGCTGATCAGTGCAAGAGTGAATGCCCCACCATCCCGCTTGTTGGACTCGCTTTTGTCCTTCTTTTTGTGCCAAGTGGACCTTCTCCAACCGACAAGGAACCGCTCTTGGCAATGCTTCTGCGGATCTGCCCTGATGCAATCGGAGTGCCGGATCCTTGCTGCATATCGTCACGACTGAGGCGGCGAACAACATATCAGTCCTTGGAAATTCTGGCTCTATCCTCGCACAAATCAAACTCAAAGGAGAGTGGAAACGATACCCCGAGGCACATCTTTGTAGAGGGTCCATCAGGCCCGAATGCAACCCCCGCTGTGGCTGAAAGGCCCGCCCTCTTAAACCACGGCACGGGGAATGGGGGCGTCTGTCACGGCTGTCAAGGGTACGGAGTCCATGGGGGTTCGTCGCTTGGCGCTACAAAGACGACAGGGACCAAATATCTGGACCAAATAACCAAATCGATGCCCCTGAACATCTATATCGACACGAAAATTCCAGATCGGGTGATCGGGCCACGCGAGCAGGGTTAAACACGCTTGTGCAGAGCACTGCCAATAGTCTCGGCCCCATCAGTCTCGAGCCTGATTTATCCGAAGCACCGTCTCCACTGTGCCTGGGCCCGATCCAAAATCTGGGCTCGATGTACTGAGGCAATTGACTATACTGGGTTCGGAAAGATGAGCGGAACAATAGGGTACGAAAAGTTCTTCCAATACTTCCGCCTTCTCTTACTCAGTTGCCTGCCCCGCGTGCTTCAAAGTGATAGGAGCGCGGCAAGAGAGGAGTATCTCGCAGGGAGCAGCATCCCTGGTCATCTGGATGTACAATTCCGTGCGGCCCTCGTTCCAACCCTCGGAGGATAGATTGAACTCCAAATTAAATCCATGGGTCCAAGCACCCAGGGTACGGGAGATATGGTCTTTTTCAACCGCATGGGGAATATACTATATACTGTCCTGGATTATCTTGATCGGCCGCGTGTTGCCCTCTGATAAATGGTAGTATGTCAATTCGATCCTGGCTGGCTTGTTGATATGGTCATGGTTGAGGCCACCATTCATTTCGCGGCACAGAATCCGATAGAAGAGGCTTAAAGGCCCGGATCTGGTTACTGTACGAAGCATGAACGATTGGAGTAGGGACTGGATAAGCTGCTCCCACGCGACCGGCACGCCTAAAGGGTCATGGATATTGGTCCAAGAAAATGAGTATGAGCAGGTAAATCAAACCCTCCAGGTCCTTGGCATTCGATAGTTTTGCAGCTCGGGACCACTTCTGACTCGTTCACACGGCTGAAACTTGACACTATTGGCTCGGGATCTGCATCACAGGCCTGTGAATCCGACAAGACGAGGCATTATTCGAGCCATGGCCTTTCATTGGTTCTCTATTTTCATATTTGCATCGAATCAAACCCGAGCTACGCACGTCTTACTGTACAGGGGTTGCATATGCAAATGACGAACCATGAACTGTCCCACGCCTACCTACTTAGGCGTTGCGTACAGCCAGCGTAGAGAAGAAAGACTATAAGCGGAACTCTCATTTAATTCGTTCAAAGTATGCCTATACAGCGCTCGTCGACATTTCTTTCACGTCTCTTTTTTTTTTTTTCTCTCAAAAGATTGCCCATCATACGCGATGACGATGGCTCAGCCCCATCGGCCCCGGAGTTGACATATCAGATGGTGATCAGAGGCCAGTCCTTCCGGATCGGGGCTGCAGAACCCACTTCATGCCGCATCGCTAAACCTCAACCAGGAAACCGAGAAGACCGAAATATCCACTCCACACACCGACAACAAGTGGATAGCGAAGGTTCCGACAATTGCACAAAACGTGTGTCATGTAAAAGCACCAACGCGGCAGCCTTCCCTTCCCGGCTAAGATGTGCAGTACTAACGGCGGCGAACCAGAGAATCGCAGCGCCCAGCGATGACATGCCCTGCCTGTCGCGTTGTATGGGAAATCTTCTGTCCATTCGGAATACATTGAGCTTGCCTAGCTTAATCGGCCGACCAAATAATGGGGACAATAATGGCCTCCACATCTGATCCCCTCCCTTCGCGAGGCGATACCCAACCAATACATTGTGCATCCCACCCGGGAAGGTGGCTTGCAGATGCGCCCGCTGAGCAAACGATCGTCTCCAAAGTGGATGAGTGGCATTTTGAGATTGGCTCAGGACTTTCAAGCCCGAGGATCGCTGCCCACTCCATTGTGGTACGAAGCACGCCGTACAAAGTGATGCCCTTGGGGTTTATATCGGCTGTGGAGGCCGGCTTGGCCCTGCGATCTTCTTCCCAAGGAATTTCGATCTTTTCTGTCTGGCTCTTAGCCTCCTTCTTTCCTGTTGACTTCCTGAGGTTTTGAATTTGATGAGATTGAATCCCAATTGCACTTGAGATCCCAAAATGGCCCTAAGCGACCGAGGGCAACGGATGATCGAGATCGTCTCCGTCTTGGTCGCCCTGTGCTTCATCTCAGTAGTGCTTCGTGTGGTGGCTCGTCTACGAAGGCGAGTTGAACTCGGCATGGATGACTACCTCAGCATGCTGTCGATGGTCTTGCTGATTGCCATGTTAATTGAATTAGTACTGTGTGAGTTGCGCTGTGGAACTAGGACTGCATTTTTGGATAACCTTACTAAACGTATATACCAGGGTGCACGATTGGCGGTAACGGATCCCACTATACAGACCTCGATGCTGAGACCCTCGTGAACTACTACAAGGTGTGTACCACGTGTGCCAAATCCGCTACATTTCCGGCGAAACAGATGGGATTCTGACCCATTTAGATCTTCCTGGCCAACCAGTTCACGTACTTCGTCCTTTGCCCCGCGATCAAAATTTCCATCATTTGCTTCTACCGTCGTGTTTTCTCCACGCCCAAGTTCCAAAAAATCACCTTCGGTCTAAACTGCCTCATCGGTGCCTGGGGCACTGGGATCTTCCTCGCCTGCGCAGGTCAATGCCGTCCGCTCCGCGCCTACTGGGATCATAGCGTTGAAGGCCACTGCTTCGATGCTAACCTTTTCTTCATTGTCAATCAAGCCTTTAACGTTTTGATGGACTTTGTCATCCTCATCCTACCAATTCCCATGATCTGGGGGCTGCACCGTGCGTGGCAAGACAAACTCGCGCTCAATGGCGTTTTCGCATTGGGCGCGTTCGTCTGCTTCGCTAGCATTTACCGCATTGTTGTGCTGTTTTGGATCAGCCCATCTGATCCGACCTACACTGTCTACCAAGCCTCTCTCTGGACGCACATCGAGCCATCTGTTGGCCTAATCTGTTCCTGCCTCCCAATAATTCGCGGCCTTTTCCCCGCCCTCAATCTAAAGAACCGCTCGAACCGCAGTGCTGGACCCTACTATATCAACACAGATATCAGCCAGTCGAACTTGATGATGTCAAAGGGCAGTCCGCGGTCTCCAGATATGGAATACTTGAAGATGCAGAACAGCATTTACGGCGCACAGGCTGAGCGCAGTGGCAAAAGTCAATTCCTGGGAGATGACCTCTCACCGTTCAATATCAAGGTTCAGACCGAAATTGCCATCACTCCTGGGAACGACTCTACCTCGGCATTGAACAGCCATACCTGAAGAGCCAACTATTCTGAATACTTTATCGATACGAAATGATGATATTTTTTAGCAAATTTCTGCCTTATGGCAATGCACAAGCTTACGCAGCCCTGTGTTGTCTTTGCTAGGAGAAGTTCTCAGCCTATAATCCTGGGATCAGGACTCAGGTCGCTTCAAGCCCTTCACGCCCATGAACATTTCTATGGCTTCAAGCAATATGTGCTAGTAATTCCATCCGAGGATATTGGAAAACACAGATCCAAGCAACGATCACTGCCAGGAAGTGTGAATTATCAAGCTGTCACCTGATAGTAATCTTTCATCTCTCAAGCAACCACGGCCTAATAGTCAATGATATATGATACGCTCAGACTTAATGGCCATTCCTAATGAAATATGTGACAGAGTTATTAATCTTCTTGTTTTTAATTTCTCTTTAATCTCACTGAATCGACACCGTAATGCCACATCTTCCATTCGTTCAAGGTCAACTAGAAGCATACGTAAATATTCAAAATCACAGCGAAAGCTTGTCTAGTTCCTATGATTTCTAAATGCTCATTATATCTAGTCCTCAAGCATTTGAAAGTCTATTGAATAAAAGCCAAGTCTGTGTACCAAAAGGCTACGGCGACAGAAAAGTGAACATGAAACCGTATGGTAAAAGCCGAAATTATTCTTGACATTCATCTATATAACTTGCTCGTCGAATTCATCTCTCATCACATGCAATCATTGTCGTCCTACACATAAGAGTCTTCCACTTCCCACATTGGGGGGACCAATGGCTTTGGTGGCCACCCAACCTGTGAATCAAACTCCAACTCAAAGGTATACCTCCCAGACCCAACCCACTCGCCCTTCCCATCCGCAGCACCACCCGGCAATATAATATTCGCCCTTGAACTCGGCGGTACTACAACCTCCAGCCGCAAGACGCCTCCCTCGATCTTCCACCGGCACTCCAGTCTCCCATAAGCCGTCTCATAAACAGCCTCCGCGCTCGTTACCGTGCCGCCAGGGCAGGGACGCACCAGCACCTCCCTCCACCCGGGCTCTAGCGGACTCACTCCAGCCACAGACTTGTGCAACCAGTTAATCACCGAGCCCAGCGCATAGTGATTGAAACTGGTCATCTCCCCGGGATTCACGCTTCCGTCGGGACGCATACTATCCCACCGTTCCCAGATCGTTGTCGCCCCCATGGTAATCGGATACATCCACGAGGGACAGCTCTTTTCCTGCACCATGCGGTACGCTAGCTGCGCATACCCAGCCTTTGTCAGCGCGTGCGTGATGATCGGCGTCCCCGCAAACCCGGTCGACACCTGGAACCGCGCCTTGCGCACTAGCCGAGCCAGCCGCGCCCCCGCCGCTGCGACCTGCTCTGGGTCATCTAGCAGCTCGAACACCAGCGCCAGACTAAGTGCCGTCTGCGTGTCGCCGACAAGGTAGCCTTCCGGCGCGACATACTTGGTCTGGAAGCGGGCTTTCAGCGCTGCATAGTCTGCATTGTACCGGGCCGCATCGGCGGCTTCACCGAGCACGCCCGCCACGGTGGCCAGTGTGCGCGTGACATGCACTAGGTATGCGTCTGCTACGAGCGTGCCGTCGGTTCGGGCATTGCCCGGGGCGTCCGGAGGCGCGGTGGGATCGAGCCAGTCACCGAGCTGGAAAAGGGTGTCGTCCCAGAGGCGGTCCGGGCCGCGCTGCACACCGCGGTCCAGCCAGGCGGTCATGCTGGGGTACTGGCGGCGTAGAATGGCGGAGTCAGCGTAGCTCTGATAAAGGGTCCAGGGAAGGAGGACGGTGACGTCGTCCCAGATAGCCTGGGGGAAGACAGGCCAGAGGGCCTCGGAGATGACGTTCGGGATGACGAAGGGAGGGATGGCGTTCGGTAATGCTAGCTGTTCGGCAGCTAGATCTTGCAGCCAGTCGCCGAGCATGCCGGCAGTGTTATAGAGGAAGCTAGCGGATGGAGCGAAGACTTGGATGTCGCCGGTCCAGCCCAGACGCTCGTCGCGCTGGGGGCAGTCGGTGGGGATGCTGAGAAAATTGCCGCGCATGCTCCAGGTTGCATTGTCATGGAGCTTGTTGATCATGGCATGGGAGCAGTTGAACCAGCCTGTGCGCGCAAGGTCGGTGTGCATGACTTCGGCGACGAGGCTGGTTAGAGTGAGCGGGTTGGTGGTGTCGTTGGGACTCCAGCCATCGATCTGGACGTAGCGGAAGCCGTGGAACGTGAAACGAGGAGCCCAATTGCGGATCTCAGTGCCGGCAGAGGTGATGGTGTCGGTGCATTTGGCTACGCGAAGGGGGCGGATACCGAGTTCCCCGTTCTCGAGTACTTCCGCATGGATGAGGGTGACGGTGTGGTTGGCGGGAATAGTCAGGCACGGGATGCGGACACGACCGACGAGGTTCTGACCGAAATCGACAATAGTCTTGCCAGATGGTGATGTGATAATCTCGGCTGGCTTGACAATCTCGGTGACCCGTACGGGAGGCGCATTAGGCGCTACCAGTGCTGTATTAGGGAATTCAACCTCGCGGACTGCATCCCAGGATTCCTCTGCCGCGAAGTTGGTTCTGATCCAACCTTCTTGCTCCTCTCGGACATCGTATACCTCGCCATCATAGATTTCGCTCGTGATAAGAGCCGAGACGTGGTTTTTCCATGAGGAGTTGGTTACAATCGTCTGAGTCCCTTGGTCAGATGTAATCTCCAGCTGCGCGATCAATGCTATTTCATCGCCGTAGAGAAAACGTCGACCACCGAGAAATCCCAGACGTGTGGCATACCAACCTTCTGCGACCTCGACGGCGATTGTGTTCTCCTCTTGCTGGAGCAGAGATGCAATATCGAAGACCTCATAGTTCAGCCTGTGTTTATAGCTTGTCCAGCCCGGCGCCATGCAGTGATCTCCGACTGGAGTACCATTGATATATGCCTGGAATACTCCAAGGCTGGTGATATAGAGGCGAGCCTGCTGAATAGCGGTGCTTGATAGGGTAAAGGTCTTCCGAAAGCGCAGGGGACGGAGTGGGCCGTCAGCTTGCTTGTTAGGGCTAGTGATTGCCTGTGCCACCCAATCTTCACGTTGTAACAATCCACATTCAACAGTAGCCCACGGTGACCAAGCAGTCGACTCTGTAGTGGAGCTACCGTATGCACGCACCCGCACTTGAGCCACCTCGCGGGACTGCAGGGGCTGGCTCGGCCAGGGGACCAGGATCGATTGGGAGGTTTCAGTGTGATAGTTCTCTGAACCACTTGCTCGCGATATTTCGATATCATAAGCCTTTTGCTCCCAGTTCGGGGCGGTCTCGCTGTCTGCCCCAAATCTCCAAGAGATGCGGGGGCTCGGATTCCCGATTCCCAGGCCAGAAGCATGTTGCTCGAAGGAGACGGAAGTGATGGAAGGTTGTGTAGACATGATTGGCAATTGCTGAATAGCGGAGCGAAATCTTGGTCTGCACAACTTCCACTTAGAGAAGGGAAGATTGAAAAAGATGAGGTTTTTGCTTTTGATGAACCCGAATAAACGGTCTCGGGGTAATCGACACCGAAGGCCCCATTTCTTGACCCCGCATAATACCCTTGGTACCCGGGGCCAACCCGAATATCAGTTCACGGCTTGCAACGTGGATCCGACGATATGGTTTGATCAGTTGATAAATAGTTGACGGAGACCGGCCCGGCTTACCGTTAAACCCCACGAGCATTTCGTCCGATCGTGGGTCCTGAGTATGGCCCGTAGCTGTGGCACCTAGCCACGATAACCGAGTGGCGCTGCAATACCCAAGATACCAGTCGTATGATTTGATTGAATTTCGATTCTTTATTCTAGCTTAGCATGATTAGACGGAAATGGCAACTGTAAACGCCATCTAGTTCAATGGAAAATCAAAATGTGAGCATTTATGGTACTAATTTTCGACTGTTGCAGCCATCCACGCAGCTAGGTTCAGGATATCGACCGCATCGGGTTTCTCACGGGGTTCAAGTTGCCCTAACCGGACGCGATGGCCATTGTTCATGTGGGTTAGGCCTTCTTCTGAGCTCGCCCAACCAATCAACAAATTGCACACCAGCAGCAACCTGAGACTGGTCGATGACGAACCGGAAAGAGTGGCTCCCGCTGCCATTACGCCGGCAGAACCTCGGCGACTTGCCTGAGCAGACCACCCCGCAGCCCTAGTCCCGGACCCAAAGGAGCCACCGGAAACCCCGAACGAACCAATTCCCTGGGGCCCCAAACTCCAGGTTTTACCTGCATTGCCATTGCGGAGTGCATGGTGATCCAATCCGGCGGATAGCCGAACCTAGCCCCGCCTACACATGGATATCTTCATTCTGAATGGAGTAAAACGACCACCCACAGGTCCTAGAGGGGATGAAAGCGAGACGAAAAAACGAGGCGAGACGAAATCCGGGGTACGCGGCACGTGGTCTCGGCGCGGGATCTAGACTTTGCAGCCGTTTTTTTGCCTTCGCGAGAGTTTGCACTCCCGAAAGGCGGAGCCGAAGACCATTTGTGGCCCTGTATGCCCTCTGTGTTTTCCCCTCCCTTCTCCGCATTCTAGGGAGCATGCCAATCAGCACCAGACCCGGCTCCGCGAGAAAATGCTCTCTTGTCTCGGGAATGGCGCGGCACAGCTGGTCTGATCTGACGAGTTCTACTTCAGGACAAATGCTGCCTTCTTGAGACGAGCAGCGAGCGGCTTGGTGTCTACGAAACATAAAAACCCCGTCCCTTGTGCCGACAATGAATCTCAATTCTCAACAGATTTTCTAGTTGTCTATATCATCCATCTCTTTCTTGTCCGCCTGGCGCTATAGCGATCCACAGGCCAAGTCATACCTGACCTCCTGCTCCTCCCCTTCCTCATTCCTTCCCTTGATCACTCGCAATGGACAAGCCCAGTGCCGACTTCGTCGAGCACGTTGAGGGCCAGCAGCTGGGGCATATTGCAAACCAAGAGGATCACGAGCTCAATAAATGGCAGAGCTTGAAGAGATACCCCTGGGCCTTCCTCTGGTGTGTCTATGCCGTGTGGTGTGTTCTCCTCGTCAGCTTTGAGAACCAGGCTTCCGGCAATGTCACCGGCATCCCGGAGTTCCGGAAGGATTTCGGCCACTACTATGACGGAAGCTGGGTGCTGGACGCCAAATGGCAATCAGCATTCAGTGGCGGCCCTGTCGCATCCGCTGTGGTAGGCGCCTTGTGCTCGGGGCAGATTGCGGATGCCATTGGGCGGAAATTAACCATCTTCATTGCCCTCCTGATCAGCGTTGCCGCTGTAACCCTGGAATTCCGGGCAACAACCAATGAGATGTTCTTCGGTGGGAAGTTTCTCAATGGGTTTGCTGTGGGTGCATTGGCCTCTGTGCCTGTTACCTATGTCGGCGAGGTATGCGGTCTCTCTTGTTCCCTTTCCCTCCAAATTTCCATCTTATACGCCAGATTTGGGGCCCGGTGCTAAGACTCAATCCCATAGATCACCCCACTTGCTCTTCGTGGTGTTTTAACCTGCCTGACGGCTCTCGCCTATGTGATCGGGCCCCTTGTGGTAGCTCTCATTACCAACTGGACCGGAACCTACTCGAACCGCTGGGCATACCGCGCTGTTTTCTGTGCCCAGTATGGGTTCGTCGCAACTTCCTTAGCCGGTATCGCATTTATGCCCGAGTCGCCCTGGTGGCTGGCGTCCAAGAACCGCGATGAGAAAGCCTTGGCGTCACTTCGCAAGCTGGGCTACAGCGAGAGCGAGCAGGTGAAAAAGCTTGCAATGATCAAGGTCACGCTAGAGGAAGTGAAACGTGAGACAGAGGGCGCAACATATCCTGAGTGTTTCCGACGCTCGAATCTCCGCCGAACAATTATCTCCATTATGCCATTAAGCATCCAGGCTCTCTCGGGAGTGGTCTTTACGGCGGGGTACTCGACCTACTATATGCAGTTGGCTGGATACAGTACAGCGATGAGTTTCAAGCTGCAGATCGTTCAGCAAGTAGTCTCATTGGTCGGGAATGTGATGTCTTACTTTATTATTGATCGGGTTGGGAGGCGTAATGTCATGCTGTACGGCTTAGGAATCCTCACCGTCATTCTCATGCTAACCGGTGGCCTGGCGGTGGTCGGATCGGAAACCGACAACCCCAATTCCGGGGGTGCTATCAAGGGCACGGTTGCTTTGATTCTTATATACTGTTGGTGGTATAACATGACGATTGGATCAGCAGGCTACACTATTCTCGCAGAAGTTTCAACATCCCGGCTGAGGATCAAAACTATTGCCATTGGACTGGCCTTGCAAAATGCGCTGTATACCATGTGGTCGTTTGTTCTGCCATATCTGTTCAACCCGGACGAAGCGAATCTCGGTGCCAAGGTTGCCTTTATTTTTGGCGGGCTGTGTGTGATATGCCTCGTTTATCTATGGTTCTTCCAACCTGAGACCGCTGGCAGGACATACGGTGAGCTGGATGAGATGTTCATGAACAAGGTGCCTGCAAGGAAGTTCAAGTTGTATAAGACTGAAGCAGAAGCCATGGGCATTGCTGCGGCGGCCGCCAAGGACGAGGCTGGGCTAGACGCCTAGGCAGATGCAATGAACTATAGCTAACCAGCCGAGGGGTTGCACACCCTTATCACTTGTTCCACGATGTTATGGTACGATGAGATCATTTATACTCGTCAAAAGATAGCTTCTCAAAGGACTTCACAATGTACCCTAATTTTTGGTTTCGTTTCAAATATTTTGGCTTAATGCAATCACTTGACCAAGGCCTAGCCAGCCCTCGATTTCAGAAATGTATTTCTAAAGTGCTGACCAGAACAACCCCGCGAGTTGAAGGCAAATAACGTGACATAAAGTTCGTAAGTTTCGTCAAAGAGAATATCTGTAATTTCAATGTACCATCTGGCTTGTGGCAAATTCCTGCGTCAAAACTTAGCACAAAATTGTCCCGAAAACCCATGCAGCAGAACTCACCGGGTATTGATCGGTAATGCTGGTGGCTACTCGCTCTATATCTTCAGCCAGGTCCTGAACTCCCAAATCCCACTGACGCAGGCTCGCTCCATTGGCGCCAGAAGAGGATCCGCCAGTAGCATCTGACTCAAAGGAGATGACACCATCTATCTGGTCAATCTTGCCTCGAAGACGCCCCTGCTCAACCATTCGTGCGGCATAGGCCTCTGCCTTTTCACCTGCAGAAAAGTCTCCTGAAGACTGAAGGCCGAGGATGGCTCCAAGGGCATCGACATGAATGTTCTTGTAGAGTTTGCTCGCAGCCACTAGATTATGCTCAACAACAGCCCTGTCAAGGACGGTTGTGCCGTCTGCAGTAACGGCAAGTTGATGAGGCGCCAGTTTCTTAGCAAATGCGGCGACCTCGTCCGCATTGAGCAGCCGGTCAAGGAACATCTTTTCCAAAATGGAGAACTCTTCGACCGAAGGTGCACGGTCATCCTTGTAAAGACGAGACAAAGTGCGCGAGCGCTGTGGGCCTGCAGGTGCGAGAACTGCACAGCGGATTGCTGCTGATAGTGCCGCAAGTCGGTCCCCTTCATCAACGCCCGGTGCCAGGCTGACATTGAAGTACTCTTGCGCGGCGTCGAGGAACCGCCGACGGGCATCGAGAATTCGGGCCTGAGCTAGCTGGAAGTGCAACTTGGCATCGTGCTCTTCGATCTTACTGGGCAAATTCTTGATGCGGTTCAAGAATGCCTCAGCACTGGTGGTATCTTCGTCCTCCAAGTAATATCTCACGATGCGAATCCAAAGCTGGGCCTTCGCTGCGTCGGAGACTAGGCGCTGAGAACTGTCGATGTTGATTCCAGATAGCGTTCGTGCTGCAGCGGTGTATTCTTCCTCAGATTCGTATGCCTCTGCAAGAATTTCTCGGATCTGAGAGTCTTGTTCCTCTGCTGAGGTCGCACGTGATTGCAGAAGCGTGACGGCGTGCTGTCCGACTTTGATTTTGATTTCGGCGTCGAATGTACGGAGGACGGGGATGAAAGAGTCAAGAAGGGCGCGCGCAGCGACAATGCTGACGTCTTCGTTCAAGATGGAGTCAAGGTAGTAGACGATGTCTTGGGCGAGCTCGTCACCGGATGAAGTAGCCACAATCTCATCGAGGAGGTCGTTGTATTGCTGGAGCTTGGTCGGTTGGTGACTTGTCGCTTCGATAGATGCCAGGGTGGCAACCACCTTTTGAGAGGCCATAACTGGAGTTGAAGAGCTTGTCTTCTTGAGAGAGGGGCGAGGGATAGCTGCCGTCTGACGGACCCAGCCGCGGGTTGGAGAGATGGCCACCTTATCGATAAGAAAGGCGGAGAATGAACAGGATATATGGAGTGCTCAATACATCAAATTTAGTATACGCGAGAGAAAAATCCCATTGTTATTACCAGAGGGCTTTCATCGATTCAGAATCGTTGGTGATTCCATTTATCTAAATATACATATCACTTTCGGCAGCAAGTACGTTTACAGCACAAAGATACAACCCGATGCCCTCTTTCCGAGGGCTCGAGGCCCATGCGCAGTAGAATCAAAGCTCTAAACATGTGTCTTTGAGAGGTAAAGTGGCAACTTTCGGGGAAATCGAGTGACCATTTGAGGCGAGTCTTCTCTTGCTGCCGCACCAAGGCTAGAGAAATTTTCGCTCTTTTGTCCAGTGCCATCTACGAGGCGATCTGAAAAAGACGAGACGGTGAAGTCATCCACAACAAAGCCGCATTTGCTCACCGCCTACCCTCTTCAGCTGGCCAGTTGGTTCCAACTCGGTAGCTCTGCCCGCTTTGTGGCGCAACTTCAACTCCAACCTGAACTTCTTTTCTTTCATCTCGAAGGCCACTCCCTCGCAGAACGCAGTACATTGCACTATTCCTGTACGATCGCGTACCCCGAATTAATCTACTGCCATCAGTTACGACCTCTCACACCTTCCTCTCTATCTCATTATGGCCCAGGTCAAACCAGACCCGGACGCCCTCTACATCAAGTCTGATCCTGATTCCAAAGACACAGTCCTTGCCGACATTGACGACGAGGATATCTATGAAGATGCAGGAGATTTGGATTTCTCAGCTTCTGCGCAGAATGTGTGGATGTCACGTCTTCCTCGACAGCTGTGGGAACACTGGTCACAACTGGATGATGATGAAGAGATTGAGATAGGAACAATCAGGATAGAAGGAGAACCTGGAGATCTCAAGCGGGTAATATGATATTGAATTTGTGTTTCATAGGTTCCTCGCCTCTAACAATTCTTTTTCCGTACATAGGTCAGCTTGCGACTCCATGACCGTCCCGATAACCGTGATATTCCCAAGGACTATATCCTACAAAAACAAGTCCCTTTATCCGCAAACTCCTCGCACACAACAAACAATACATACGTTTTCACAGAAAAGGATATACCTGGAGCAGAGAACCGGATGGCTGTGTTCGGAGAGACGCGCTCCGCCTTGTATGAAGCCATGAAGCGCGATGCGCGAAGGAAAGAGCAGGGCAGGAAATGGGAGCCTTATGTGCGAAAGACCGTACCGAGTATGTACATTCATTACTTCGCTTAAGGGATGGCTTTTCTTACAAAATGCAGAACATACGGCGCTTGTCGGCAGTGTCAGTGAGGAATTCAACTGCTTGCCGGTTGAGAACGAGGAATTCCGTCGAATCTCTGAATATAGAGCCCTGGAGGCTCTGAAACCGAAGAAGGAGACGAAGTTCATTGAGAAAATCCCTGGCAAGATTCTCCAGTCACGCCATGCCCTGCCCACGGAAAAGGGCACCTTTGTGGTATGTTTGATAATTCCACTTTATCTTTCTTTTTCCCAATTTGAGTTTCTTGCATGTTGACCTCTAGTTTAGCAAGCAACAAAGCCTCTCAAGGCCAAACCACAAGAAAACAAGTCTACGCGTATGCCTCAAAACGAGCTGTTGGATCGCATTTTCGCATGCTTCCGCGAATATCAGTTCTGGCCATTTAAGACGCTTAAGAACAGGCTTCAGCAGCCTGAGGCCTATCTCAAACAGACACTGGAGATGGTTGCTCACCTGGTCAAGGCTGGAGACTTTGCCATGACATGGGAATTGAAGCCGGAGGCACGACAGGCCAACTATGCCCAAATGTCGGATGCTGAGGTCAAAGCTGAACTGCCACCCGATGCCGCCAACTTCGACGACGCTTCAGAAGATGACCAAACACCCTCCGGAATGGTAACAGATCATGACGATATGCAGTTTGAAAATGTGTAGGGAGCCAACTTCCGATCTGTACTAGATTAAAGATCTATCAACATTAATACATAGGCCGCGCAGTCCCTTTTTGGGGATTGTTATATTCGTAAAAATTGAAATGCAAGGCATGATGAGTTTAAAAGAATCCAAGAAAGGCTTAAGAATGGCCATTGTACACAATGTACACAATGTAGATCATGATGCTCTAGTAACAGCGTAGCTTCCCAGATGACAAGACTTCAGCTCCGAGCATGACGATCAAAGAGCTTCTGTAAGCTGGTTCCATTCCAAGATTTTGGCATTTTGATTATTTTAGCTCCCCATCATCGCCTTGGTTCCTTTTTTGCCTTTAACAACCCTACGGCGCCTGGTGAGTCACGTGATTGACAACGCCACCGGCGGCTATGAACGCAACTCGTCATTCACAGCTTCCTAATCCACAAGCAGGCCAACATCCCCCAACAGAGCCTGCTTTGGCTTCTCGTAATCTGAAAAACTTCAGACCCATTTTTTTCCCTTCTGTCAACTAACTCCACCTAACAACAGCATTCCAACATGACAGAGAACGAAGACTTGTTGGCCAAAATCGGCCAGCTCGCGGGTAAGCTTCGACTTTTAGCTTCTTCTCAGCTCCAGGGCTCACTCTGCTTCAGGCCAGATCAACCGACACAAAACTGAGACCACCCAACCTTACCAGCATTCATCTCATCGATCACAATATGTGTCGCGTCATGCACCCTCTCACCCAAGTTGGGCCCCTTATTCTCGAGGTAGAGGTCGCGGTCGTCATGCGGCGCCGCACCGAAATCGCACACTAGTTTTGAACAATAATGGTCATCCCGGCCACCCAACAAGTAATAATTCCTCTCCGGGTCCCGGAAGCGATAATGATGGAGAGTCACGGCCGCCGATAACCTCGAATGGCTGGGTTGCAAAGCGCGACCGTCATATGCAGCTGATCAACTCTGCCGTTTACGACAAAGAAGCCCAGGCTAGAACCAAAGCTATGGAAGAGACTCGAAAACTCAGGGCACAGCGACGCGCTGAGCGGGAACAGACGAAAGTGCTTCAGTATGCTCAGGCTGCCGGAGCATCAGTAGCCACGACCGCACAACCTTCCGCTGGTCACCAAATTCTTGTCAATGACATTCCTTTCAAGATTACCCGTGGAGGTAGCAAATTGATTCGCATCTCAAGTAAGAATTTTATCCTTACTGCTTCACATTCCCTAGAACTAGCTTACCTAAAATAGATGATCCGAACACCGCCAACACCACACCAAAGCGAGTTCACATAGCTGGCGTGGCTTTTGTACGAAGCAAGAATGGTAACCTTCATCGTCTTGGAGCCGTAACTTCAAAGAAGTGTGTCCTTATATATTGACCCATCCTTGAGAATACGCTGACAATCCTGGAAGAAACCCTTCCTCAATCAAGAAACGTAACGAACTGTGCAAGAGATTCACCACGACCGGTATTTTATTTTCCAACGGACCACGCCTTGCTCCGACACCCTTCCCCTCCCATGAATTTAGGTGGATACTGACCCAGAACTCACACTCTTTTAGGCACATGCCACAAGGGACCCTCATGTCTCTTCATCCACGATCCAAGCAAAGTAGCCATCTGCAAGGACTTCCTTCAGACAGGCCAATGCAGCGCCGGTATGAGCTGTGATCTTTCCCACGAGCCCTCACCCCACCGCTCCCCTACATGTATGCATTTTCTTAGAGGCTGGTGTTCCAACCCCGAATGTCGCTATGCGCATATCCGGGTAACACCTGGCGCCCCCGTCTGCCGTGCCTTCGCCACTCTAGGATACTGCGAGAAAGGCGATGCCTGCGAAGAACGCCATGTGCACGAGTGCCCAGACTACGCCAACAACGGCGCATGCCACAAGAAGCGCTGCCAGCTGCCGCACGTCGACCGCGCGGGCCAGATTCGCAAGGCTGCCGCTGCCGCGGCGAAGGCCGAGTCGGCTGAACGCGACGATGACTCTGACCCATCTAGCGAGGAAGAGGAGTACGATGCGATCGACTCTGATGACGTCGATTCGGACGAGTTCGATGACGTGCCTGAAGAGCTGATCGAAGGAACGGATAGCGGCGAGATGTCCCAGCAGCAGGACTTCATTCGGTTCTAGACATGAATTTTCTATCTGAAACCGGAATGCTTCAGATGAAAGCGTCTTCTCTGGCGACTTGTAGTAACCTGGATAGTGTTGCTTTTTGTTTATTGTCCCCCTCATTTTTACGCCCCTCATGTGGTTCTTGAAAAGAGCCAGTAATACCCCCGAGTTGAGAACATACGTGCATTTGAGAAACAATCAAGTATTTTTAGTACAATCTTTTCCATTCAGTAATCCCAACGGAACTTCAATATCAACATGCTGTCTGAATAGACCCCTATAGAGCGTCATGAAAAGCATCAAATTATTTACTGGTCTCTTTTTGAAAATATGGAGATTGATTGTGGACTACATATGGAGATCATCTCACATCACCAACCTATTCGAAAAGAGGAAAGTAAAAACTTAAATTTTCCATGAGCGACTCGATACTTGAAAAAGAAAAGAAAAGAAAGGCGGCTGAAGTCTTCCGTAGCGTCGGTACTAGTCACCTCGCTAGCCACAGGTTATGCCGGAGCATTTAAGGTCTAGGACTGCAGAACTGCCCGGTTCATCAAGTCTTGCTGCACTCGGAAACTCACCTTTGTCCATGATTAATTGACAGCGGGATTATGTCAGTGCGTCGCCATGAAGAATTTTCGACCAGGCTGAAATCATGCAGCTGATAATTTTGGGTCGCGGCCTGATCTACCATGTATGTGATTGTGATTGAATTGCATGCCGCGTCGGCTGATGTAAAAGCAATGACTGCGATGGTTAGACCTAGAGAGATCCTACTATGACTGATTGGTATTGGTGTAATAATAGTTGATTACTGAGCCATCTAGGGAATACATTTGTTGAGGCCTTGGGTAGATCAAACCGCGTCCGGATCGCACATGTATTTCTACCCAAGAGAAGTAAATATACGAAGCTGTAGGCTCCTGGCACAGGGACCGTCCAGGCAGAAATCAAAACATGAGGAGGATTTGATCAAGGTTCCCGCGGTATCCTCGGTGCGGGGTTAATGCATCTACATGTAAGGATCTTCATAACAGTAATCGGGCGATGTGGCTAAATTGAGGAGTTCACATCGAATCACTTGGCTTTCGCGATGAACCAGTTACTTCCGTAAAGCCCTATCTTATGATGACGGTATGGCATTTCAGTACTGTGAATTGATTGGTTATGCATACATACAAGGATAGCTAGTATTACCTATCTAGGAAGGCCTTGGGTTCATAGTTCTGTTTCAAAAACATTGTCCAGTGGCTGGCTCCCTGGGGTCTCAAGATTATGCTAGTATACTGGGATACCATGTAAATTCCAGAGTCAGTAAGGATACAGTGAGAGGACGATCAAATTTTGGGAAACACACCTCTCTCACTCATTAGGAAATAAACTTAGCAAGGCCATCCTTATCCAGGATCTGCCCCTCAACCAGCCTTCCCGTCTCCGATACATGACCGTTAACCCGCTCATAGCGAACCAGCGCCGGTATAGCAGTAACATTCCAGTTGACCCGATACTCGTTTTGAGGATGCCTCCACCTATCCCGTGGGCGCTGTTAGTTGGAGATCAAAGCTGAAAGATTTCACCTCGACCACTCATCGGAATCCATACACTTCTTTCTGCCCGACTTCCACAACGGCTAAGCTTGGTGCGCTGTCACTCTCAAATGCAGCGTTGATGAATGGAAGTGCAGCGCGCACGTCCGGGCACCATGGTAGTCCGGTCACTGGGTCTTTTGAAGATACAAAAGCGATGAACGTCTTTGCGCCGGTATCGTTGGGCAAGTTCAGCTGCGTCGCCGACGACGGCAGGGTATCTGTCTTGGTAATAGGCATCTTTCTTTTTTCTGGTGTTCTGGGTGCAAGTGCAGAACACAGGCGGGGGATGCGAAAGACGGGGGTAATGTGACGAAGAAAAAGAACGGGAAAAAGAATTATGCGCTATTGAAGAGCGCTGCTTTCTGTAGCAGATTCTTTTTTCAAGCCAGAGTAGACCACATGAAGCTTTTTGCGGGCTGCCCGGTGACTAATAATCGCTAACGTAATGCCGCGCAACAACCCTTCTCAATCGGCGACTCGGGGACAGTTTAGGGAGCAAAACAAAGGTCAACAGGGAATAAATGAATGAGACACCAAAATTGCATCAGGTTATCAGCTCGTGGCAAAAGCTGCTCCTATGAATGCTAGCTTCAAGCTTTTGCTCGCAAATAATACCCGAGAGCACATAGAAAAATAATAGAATAGAGCCGAATAAGATGATGTCTTCCATGATAGATTCAAATCTACCATTATATGATATCGAAAAGATGCTATCAAAGAAACCAACCTGCACTCAACGAAATCCCCAAAGGAGCCTGCTGTTCTCAAGTGAGCTTCATCTCCTGCGCTAGGTGTGAGAGTGCTTGACAACTGCGAAAGAATTAATATACTTATGTTTGAAATCTATGGGTATACTAGTAGAGTAAAGCCTTTGTCTCATTCGGGAAAATCCCTTTAAATGATCAAGAACCTCTAGAATGGAGCTGGTATGGATTGACAGTGTCTAAACCTATGCCCTTGGCTCGAGTAGACAACCGATGGTTTCCGGATGGTTTCCAGGTATGGAAATACTACAATATCAGCATCATGAACAAGATCTATCCGCCTCCGTAGAATTCCATTGATATTAACTCAAGACGAATGGACGGGAAGCTACACTTGAGAGCACCGCATACTGGTTTGATAAGTATATCGCCGATGCTGCTTCTCTTCTCGCCCTGGCATAGGAGTGAATCGCTTCCACGAACCGATGTATGGACCCTCGGGGAGTCAATGATCGAGAAGAATCTCTGCTTGCAGTGTCTTCCAAATGAGTCACCTCTGGCCTTCAGTCTAGAAAGCCTTGATTATCAATCACCATTTGATTTCTCCAACTTGAAGCGGTCAACCACGAGAACAACTAACCCCCAAGAAACTAGATCAATCCGATCCTCCCAAACGGCCCCATCAAGACCAACACGACGATCTCCCAAACACGACTTCAGACCAGCAAGGACTATTAGCCTCGAATGAGAAGCTAGAAGCCCAGTCAAACAAGAAAAGAGAAAGGGAAGAAGAAATCCCATCTCCACTGCGGCCGCCCCCCGCCCCAAAAGCAGAAGCCACGTCCCAAAACAAGACACCAGAGGCCCAGAGATCACCAAAACAACCCTCTCTTCCACAAACCAGAGCTCTCTCCGGCATCTCTCATGTGCCCAATGCACCTACTCTCCCAAGCCCATGACCCCCCCCCCCCTTCTCCGGGGATCAGGCAGGCACAGCAAAGCCAAAACCTCCATCAGGCCCCACTGACCCAAAAGTGAGGCTGTGGTCCATTCCTTCGGCTCACGCAGTACCTCCAAGGGCCCCCGCGAGCTCTCACGACGTTTCAGATCCGTTGGGCAACGATGCGGTACCCTGAGGACCTGGATGAAGCGAATCCCCTTGGTTTCTTGCGGTGTTCGGGCTTTCAAGTGGGCTCCTCCAAGCCGTGGGCGGGGCTCGTGGTGGAGGAGATGACGGATCTCCCGTCAAGCTACAGAGTTACAGCTACCAGCTCCAGTCCCTGGCACGGGACTCGGTCGTTCCTCGTTCGTTTCGATGTCTCCGGAGTGGGCGGAGTGGATTGTTGCGGATGCTGAGTGGGACCTGGCACTTGGGACCTGCCAGGCGGGTTCATTATTGGTACCTTTGGTACCTTTGGTTCCTTTTGTTTTCTGGGTTTTTTTAATTTCTTTTTTTTCCTTTTCGGATGTTTTCTTCTTTGGAGAGTCTGGCAAGTGAGTCATTCAAGAGAGTCCTCTTCAGGGGATATGCTATGCCCCGGAACTGTAGGCCATGCGATAATTTCCAGTGAGTGAGAAGATGGTGACGAAGACGGAAGCGGATATCTCGGCCAATCTATAGGATACGATAGCATTTTCGTAACTATAGTCTATAGTCCTATGGCCGCGACACCCTGCCTACGTGGGATATCCCGCGGTCATCACCCTTTTTTCCTGGGAGCCTTGATTCTCTCCGCGAGCATAAGCCCGAACACTGTAGGATTTCTCTACTTTGCGTTCGACGCAGAGTCTGATCTTCTGACAGCCGTTGTCTGCCTTGTTCGACTATCCAGTTCGTCTGGCGTGACTAAGCCCAGCCCGGTTCTACGATTGGCTCGTTGCGACGCCCTCACCGCCATCTGATCCGAGCTGGGCGCTTCGCACTGACGGGGTCGCAGACCCCGGCGGAGCCTATCACGACGGGAGACGGGCCTCTGGAAGCCCTGGTGCCTCGTTTCGGGCTATTCAGGGCGAACGGACTCTTGCAGGGGGGCAATAGGGGTGGGAAAAAAAATTGGGCGGTTACCTGAATAGGGAAGAGGGAGAAAAAAAAAGAAGGGAGGGAAGAAGGAGCAAGCGCCCTGGGATGTATTTTTGGCTGAGATGAGCCATGGTTCCCGGCGTGCGAAGAGACGTTGATCTTTTACTCCTTGGATTTAGATTTGTGTCACTGCACGAGGCACGGGCAACGGGGAGCATGGTGCGCTCGGGGGCCGGTGGATTCCCTTTCCGCCTCTGGTGTTGGGGCTTTGTTTTTTTTATAGATCGGGAATAAAGGTGGACTGGGAGGGGACGTGCAAAGGAAGCATACCGAACAGAGACGGGCCTCCTTGGGCTCCTGTTGATTCTTTTGGGATCTCCGGCAAAAAAAGCCTTTACGTTGATTTACTTTGCACGGAGATGATGTTACGCGATGTGGGAGATCCTCCGGTCCAGTCAATCCGCGGAAGAGAGACAAGAGCCGCTCTGCCTGGGTCAGCCATGCCAGATGAGGGAGGGTTCCTCGGACCTCCCCATCATGATGGCATCATCGGCCCATCTAGGTCGCGGGGAACAGGGCAGGAAAGGGCAAGCGATGCGACTGGGGGTCGTTTTTGACCCGATTGGCACCGGTGGTACACTTTGGCACTGGTTCCAGCGACAGAACAGGGGGGAGGGAAGGAAGGGAAGGGGGGAATGGCTCCGGGGCAATATGATGGGCTGAACGGGGAGGGGGGTCGAGCTGAAGGGCGTCATCCGGTGCGGACGAGTGATCAGGGCAGGTCGGATCAGTGTGCCATCTGCGCGCTGCTGGTTTGACGGTTCCCCAGAACCCAGAGGAGGGGAAATGGGAATCACCGGCGCCTGAGGATACATTGGAGGGGTCGTGAGGAGCCAGTCAGGACCCCGGAGGGGGGTTTTCTGGGCTGCAGCGAGGATGCGGAACCATGGGCGGCGGTGGATCATCCGCGGGCCGAGCCCGGTTCCAGAGCATGATGGAGCGTGGGATGTGATAAGAGGAACCGATGCGAAGAGAGCAGAGCGAGGAGAGAGCCGTTTGCGCTCGTAGGCATCTTCTGTCGACGGATGGGGGGATAGTCCCTGGACATTCTAGCATGCGATGAGCCGGCGAGGACGTTTGGCGAGCACAGACCGTGTCTCAGCGGGCCCGTCGAGAGGCTATCGTTTATCGATCCGGGGCGATCGATAAGGCGGCGGGCGGTTGATTTGGTCCTCTGTTCACCCTCCAGTCTCCATTCACCATTGCTCCGTGAGGTCTGGCGGTCCCGGGGTCGCTTGATTCCTGATGGTCGCAAGGGCCGTAAGGCAGAGTCCGCCTGTGAAGGGACCGTCTGCCGTTGGGCTCCAACGGGAATCCTCCCCGTGGGCATCGCCCAAACCGGGCGTTGGATAGTCTCGCGATAATCGAGGCGATCGCGATCGAAGAACCCCCAAAACTAGTTAGCATCAGGAAGTAGAAGGAATAGAATCCAAGCCCCCCGAGAACCACAACCAACTCCAGTGAGAAAAAAAAAAGACCAAAAAATAAGGAAAATCCAAGGAAAAAGCACCAAAAACATGCAGGTCTGCCCAAGATGGTATGAAGCAGCCAATGACCGAGCAGCTGGTCGGGGGCCGCAAAGTCCCGCGCAGACCGCCGGACGAGAAGCGGGTACGTCGATCGAGCAGGGCTCGTCCAAATGAGCCCGGACAGTACTAGACAGTACCAGCCAGTACTGGCCAGTACCGGCCGCTGCGGCGCTGGACGGGCTTGGTCCGCGCAAACAGTGCGCGACCCGGTATCCGCAGTTGGTCACATTGAGTACTCCGTGGTACTGGCGACGCATATCTCCTGATGGCTGACTGGGCCGTGAGGACTGGCCATCGGCAGTCGAAACTGATGCTCGGAAACAGGAGAGCGTCTCCCGGCCCCACCCTGCTGTGGACAGGGAGGGGCACGACTGGACAGAGACAGGGACGCCCTGGGAGGCACTGGGACTGGGAGCGACTGGAGCGACTGGAGACGAAACCCAGCATCGACGTTCGGCGCAGAAGGTGCGCGCGGTGCTGCCGTAGCCGCCAACCAGCCCGTCCGCTGAAATCGCCTTAATAGTCGTCGCTCTCCGCCTCGTGATATTCAATCTCATCTGCATCTCCTCCTCTCCCCAAGTTAAACCCTGCGCCTCTTACTTTTCTTCTTCGTCTTCTCCCTCCCCCTCCTCCCTTTCTCCTCTATTTGACATCTTGTAATATCGGTGTCCTTCTTCACATCCGCCTCCGCCCTCTTTGTTTTTCTCTTCCCTCTTCCCGTTTTGTCCTTCTCTTTCACCGTCCTCAAAATACCTCCATCAACACACACACCGCCTCTTCGCGATGGCACGATACGCCCAATATGATATCTACCAACAATCCTCATCTACACTTGACGTGAACCCGGCGGAGGAAGACGAGATGAGCGTGCTGGATGACAAGATTTTGGACTCAACCTCTCCGAGTCTCTCCGATCCTCGGCGCACTTCCTATGACTCTCAAGACGCCGCCTACTCACATCGCAACTCCGTCTGGTCCAACTACTCACACACCGGTTCCGACCAGTCGCGACCTTCTTCTCATCTGGGCCATGCCATTCTCGACGCCGCGGCCCCCCAGTTCATGTCCGTGGACGGGCCTCAGCCCTATCCCCAGACCACCGCGGCCACCGGCGCATCCTGGGCCTTGTCCCGAACAGCATCCGGCTCCTGCACGCCCACCGCTTACGACCAGTATCCGTCGGAAGTCGAGACCAGCGCAGCGGCCCCGTTCGCAGGCGGTGCGGTCGGCCCCGTGGGCTCCATTCCTATGGGGGCCGTCTCATATCGGGGTGGTGGGATGAACTTTGCCGCACCGCCGGGTGGGGTCGCCATGTCCCCGCAGTCCAGTCAGGGCTGGATGCCCGCCCCCATGGATCTTGCCGATGCCGCAGCACAAGCCAAAACCGCCTATCGCAACGGGTCACCCTTAACGTTGCGTCGCGATGGAATTCGCAAGAAGAATGCCCGGTTTGAGATTCCCGCCGAGCGCACTTTGAGTAATATCGACCACCTGATTAGTCAGTCCTCCAACGATGAGGAAATCAAGGAGCTCAAACAACAAAAACGACTGCTGCGAAATCGGCAGGCAGCGTAAGTCATCCGACCTTTTCATCCCGAGAACCCTTTTTTTGCCGTTCATATTTTGTCTTGATCATCTCCGGATGTGTTCGTACAGGGTGTATCGACTCATCTCCTGATTTTGGTTCTTGCTAACTGGTTCGGCTATCTCTCTAGACTGGACTCCCGTCAGCGGAAAAAACTCCATACGGAGAAACTGGAAGAGGAGAAAAAGCATTTTACTCACGTCATCGGGCAACTGGAAGAGGAGAAAAAGCATTTTACTCACGTCATCGGGCAACTTGAAGAGATGGTCGCCAGTCTGCAGAAAGAGAAGAACGAGTGGATCGCCCAGCAGCAGCAGATCACCCAGTACCTCGAGGGCATGCATCTGGAGAAAGACGAGATGATCCGCATGCATACGCTGGAGACTGCGGAACTGCGCAAGAAGAACAACATTCTGCTGGAGACGGTCGAGAAGCTCGAGCGGGGCATTAAGCCGACGATGGCGGACAACCAAGCCAGCGAGTTCCCCGGCTTTGACAATATGGGAATGAACACTCACCCGTGGGACGAGTTCGGCATGGCGAACGACATGCCTATGCACGATTCGGTATCGGGCACTCATGCCGCTGTCGTCCACTCTCAGTCACAAGCTCCGATGACTCAAGTCGCCGAACGTGCCCCCGAGAAATCCATCCAGGCCACCTCCGACAGCCCCTTCAGCTGGAACACGTTCTATATGTGTCTACTCTTCGGCGCCTTCATCGCTTCCAACAGCAACGCCATTCCGGGTCGTTCCTTACCCCAGCTCTCCGAGGAGTACCGCGCCGAGTCTGCCAACGTGCTTAAAGCCGTCCTGGCCTCGTCTCCGCCCGATTTGGCACACTCCGCCAACACTGTCGCCGGCGCCTCTGGCCTCGCTGGCCTCGACATGGGAGCCCGGCTCGGCTCGGTCCCGGCGCCACCCCGGCCCTCGACTCTGGATGAGCTGCATGACACGCTCGTCATGCCGACCGAAGACCAGGAGCGCGCGCAAATGTTTTCCCTTAATGCTGAGCAGTACAATTCTCTGACTACATTCGAAGACGATAGCGCCGCCTTCAAACCCCAGCAGCCATCGAATCTGCAGCAGGCCCTAGCCGCGATGCGCAGCACCGCCCACCATCGTCTGCACCAGGCCACTGGCTCCGATGTCTACTCCCGCTCCTTGATGTGGGAGCGTGTGCCGGAAAAGGTCATTCGTGACTTCCGCCGCATGGTGCAAGAATACGGCGCCCACCCGGTGAAGGAGGAGATAGGTGCGTTTGCTGTTGCATGAGTTTAAGACGATGCAGGTCTAATAGGTGTTGAACATGCCTTGACCTTTTCCCTTTCTCTCTCTTTCTCCACTCAGTTGAGAGGGCCTGTATCCCATTTATGGCCACCTTAATGTTTCCTTTGTTACACTTTTCCTTTGTATCCTTCTTTGCCTTCATGTTTTTTTGTTTATTTACGACCAACGCCATTCCCCTTACCTCCCGAGATGATTTTCGGGAGGGAACCATGGCCATGTTTGTTTTATCTGTGTGAGCGATTTTTGTCTTAGTTCCATCAGCGTGTCATTTTTTGGGAAATGTGTTGTCATTTAGCGTGTGAGAGGAGCGGACCAGTTCCTGACTTTTATGATTTGATTCTTGTTGATACAGCTTTGGGTGGCATATGATGGGAAATTTGGGAATGGGGGGAGGTCCTTCTGGGATATGAGTATATGAGCATGAACTTGACCATGATGATGATATTATGTGCCAGTGATGTATACAGGTTCGACGGACTTGTTTTTCTTTCTGGGATGATGCGAAAGGCCTGGTTTTGATTTTATGTCTGGATGGATTCACTGGCTTACGGGTTATGACATGCACTTACGAGATTATGAAGATTCAATTCTTGTGTTCATTTTGGGGCTTTGTACTTGTGCATTTCGTTTTTGGTTCTCCATTTTTTGGTTTCTGCATTTTCCTCTCTTTTTTTACCTTTTGGCTTCAGTGCCTTCGGGGCTTGGCTTGAGCTCGGCTGACTGGGTGGAGTGGATATCTTGTGGATGGCGAAGGACGCCGGGGTGGATATGTGATTTGATTTGGGGAGGACTTTTCTTTTTCTCATTGCCTTTCTTTTACCGTGCAAATCCTTTCCGTCATCTTGAATCTGAGGCCCGGTTCGCCTCCTCATTTCGTGGTTGGCGTGAACTTGGCTCCCAAGGTGGGATCTTGATGAGCTTGGCCTTTGTTTCTTGAATGTGCTCCCCCTTCTTCGTTTTTTATGATTGTTTTCTTCGTTTTGCGCAGCGTATCTAAACTTCTCCCTGATTGCGGAAATTGGCGGCGACGCCCCGGACAAATATGATGATATTACGAACGACTCTCTTCTAAAAGCCCGTTCGGCGCGATGTCCTGGAGTATCAGTTCGATTCCAACGACCTGAGCTGCATCTTCTCGTTCCTGCTGCCGTGCTGCTAACTATATTCGTGGGCAATTCTGGCTCCTCTTTCTCTTTTTGCTCCCGTTTCACCCTCTCGTTCCACCCGGGCACGAGATCTTTCTCTTTCTTTTTCCTTGTCGACGAATACGGCCGGCTTCGACTGCTCGCGTTACGTTTACCTCGTACGTCATTGGACTAGTCGGCTATCGCGGTTTGCACCATCTCGGCCATTTGCCTAGCATGGTGTTAGACTGAAGGTTAGCGGTTGTCGCTGGCGTGCAGGGTGGATTGATCAAGGTGGGTAGCTCCGAATGGAGTGATTGATAGTCCCAGCAACGGGCTCTCTCCGACAGGATCCATTTCGTATTCCGATGCAACGGTAGATGCAGTCTGGATCTTGACCGAGGCCACTGGTCTAGTTTCCACTACATTTGCCTGGACCTTCTCAGTGATTGTTCTTGAGGCCCATACCTATACCTCGTCACTCTCCTTGACCTACTTCAGCCAGGGAAGCATGTCTATCGTGCTTCGCCATTATTCTTTTTTTTTTGGCGTCCACGGTTCAATATTCACCAAGTTCCTCGCTGTGCGGCTTCTGTTCATTGCATGGGGCCTTTCCAATCAACGAAAATTCGCCGTGGCAGCGCCATCTCCACGTGTAATCTTAGCCGAAGGACCTTGGGGGTAAGTCACCTTGAAAGCGCCCAATCACCCACCCCATTGCTTGGCCCACTGGGCAAGCCTCTGCGCGAAAGCTTGAAACTCGGGGCCACGTCCTGGTCAGGGCACCAGGACTTGGCAGTTGACGTCCTTCAGTTCCTGGGTTGGCCGTCCCAGGATCGCTTTGATGCCGGGCTCGTCTGGTACCTGCGGGCCGCGGGGAGTGACGAACGCAACATCGGCACAGCTTCGAAAGGGAAAAAGCCAACGGCAGTGCAGGAATCAAAGGATTGAATTGTTCAGTTGGTGAATAATCACAGTCCTAGCTCCAATAATATGACCAGCAGTCATGATCCAATGCGACCGAACCATCTGATCGTTGGGGGGCCAAAACGTGTAGCCAAGGGTTTTCCAACCTCCCAAGGTCCTCATTGCGACGGAGACTCCGAATACGTCTAGAATTTTCCGGTTTATAAAATGAGCCCGCTGATCCCATCATCTAGACGTCGTGCATCATCTATCTCTTTTTTTTCTCCGCTATCCGGCGTTGTCTTCTCTTGTCGCCAGTTCGGCTTAGGATATACTTCCTCCGAGGGACATCCGACTTAGGGCTCAGGGCCAGGCTTTGCCTCTTATCTCCTCCCCTCAACTCAACCAACAACCACCCAGCCCACCCTTCCATCATGGCATTCGACCCTCATAATGTCGATCTCGACACCGTCGACGCAACCGAAGTCGTCTGCTACCTCAACTCCGAAGGCAACGAATATGATGGCCGCCTAGGAGCCCGTATCTCGGCCATCTTCGTCATCCTCATCATCTCCAGCGCAGCGACATTCTTCCCCGTCGTTGCGAAGCGCGCGCCCCGCCTCCGCGTTCCGCTATACGTCTATCTCTTCGCCAAGTACTTCGGTGCCGGCGTCATCATCGCCACCGCCTTCATCCACCTGCTCGACCCAGCCTACGATGAGATCGGCCCGGCCTCTTGTGTCGGCATGACAGGCCACTGGGCCGATTACTCCTGGTGCCCCGCCATCGTACTCACCTCTCTGATGCTAATCTTCCTGATGGACTTCGGCGCTGAGCGCTACGTCGAGAAGAAATACGGCCTCTGCCGTGACGACCCAGAGCCCCTCATGGCCTCCGGCGTCGAACCCGCTCAGCTCGGCCTCACCCGCTCGCACTCCGTCTCACAAGCCTCCAAGCCCGCAAAGGAGGACAAAGTCGCGCGCGAGGTCGAAGCCCAGTCCCTCGAAGAAGGCGACATCGAGCGCTCCTTCCGCCAACAGATCGCCGCCTTCCTGATCCTCGAGTTCGGAGTCATCTTCCACAGTGTCATCATCGGGCTGAACCTCGGCGTGACAGGCGATGAGTTTGCCACGTTGTACCCCGTGCTCGTGTTCCACCAGTCATTCGAGGGGCTGGGTATCGGCGCGCGCATGAGCGCCATCCCCTTCCGCAAGGGCAGCTGGCTGCCATGGCTACTGTGCGCGGCATACGGGCTGACAACGCCGATCTCCATCGCGATTGGCCTGGGCGTGCGTACGACATACAACCCAGGCTCTTTCACAGCCAACGTCGTCTCCGGTGTGCTGGACGCCATCTCAGCCGGCATCTTGATCTATACAGGGCTTGTGGAACTGCTAGCGCGCGACTTCTTGTTCGATCCGCACCGGACGCAGGACGATCGGCGCCTGGCGTTTATGTTGGTGTCGCTGCTTCTTGGCGCTGGCATAATGGCGCTGCTGGGCAAGTGGGCATGAGCGATGAAGGTGGTGTCCGTTACTCTTCCCCTCTCGCCCTGTCTATCTTGCTTTTCTCGATGGAGCGGGGGAGGGACTATAGTGACGTGAAAAAAAAAGGAGAGTGTGGTGAGAGGAGAGGCTGTGTGTGGCGAGTTTGTTGATTATGTCGCTGTCATGTCTGTCTTTTGTTTGATCATGCTATGATACCTGATACCTGTGATACCTTGTTGCATTGGGATATAGATTTTGGGGCAATTTGTTTCTCTTATTTCTTGTTACTCTTTTTTTGGGACGCTTATGATTCCTGATAATGGTGGCGTTTCTGGGCTCGATGCATTATTCGATGTCCAAAAAGCCTGACACCTCGCGAATCCTTGGTTGGACATAGTAACTTTTATTTTGATTTAATCTTTCACATAACTCTTGAATAATTCTATTGGTCTATTTCTATGTCTATTCGGGACTCTTTTAAAGAGCCAGTAACTTTAGTACCATCGTAAACTCATGGGCACCTTAATATGCAGGATGGATATCTATATATGCCGATTGAAGAGAAGCATTTCTTACTTTAGCTCTACTGGTCGCAGTAATATAACCAACTAGATCTACTTCCTTCTATCATTCTTGCTAGCAACGTGCGAAAGTTTTTATAGGCTTACAAATGCTATATATTATCAAAGAAACTTGCGACTCAACTTGCAGCAATGAGAATGCTTGATCTGATGATGTCTAGTTGTGTGGAGTATCTGGCAGGGAGTGTTGAATATCTCCTGCCTCGCTGACTAGCGTGTTACGGTGCTGTATTCCGAGTATGCCCGTGATACGATACAAATTAGCAAGGAGTCAAGCGTTCATGTATGATGGCGGGACGCACAGAGGAATATGGGGGTCTTCGCGGTATTCCATGGCTTCTCTTTCTTGACAGACATCAATGTGCGGTGCCCTAGCTTATTAGCATTAAAATCAAGCAGGCGTCATTGAAGAATGGCTCGAATATTTGTTTGAATGAGTCGACAGCATACAGGAACCAAGGTCACGGGGCGTTTTCTACCTCAGGCTATACATTAAACCATTACGTCCGACCAAAAACAGCTAGGATAAGGAAATAAATTTAGGGAAGGACATAAATGGGTTTTAAGCCTTCTACGACCTATTTTCCCATACTCGCCTCTTCCGGGTTTGAGGCTTTTGGCAACGTAATGCGCATGATGTCTTCATTGTGCAGTTTTCATAGCTTTTTTTTCATATCTTGTGCGTAACATCCGAATCACCCTCGACTCTTATAGCCGACTCATTCTGTAAGCCACATCGAAAATGTCAAGCATGCGGTCGGATAATTTCCACAATCCTCTGCAAAGAGATGAACCCGTTTTATTAGTCACATATGCAAGATAGTGCAAACTGTTGTCCAGGATATAGATGTGAAACTGATATTGAACCCTATATATACAGCTCTTGTTTTGAGATCCATCATAGTCATTGTTCACAGAGCGGTTAGGACACAGACAAATATCACATCCTCGAAATCGTCTCGATCAGTTACCTATGGAGATGTAAATGGATAGCTGCGGGGAATTATGGCTTTGACATTGAACCCCGCCCCGATTCATGAAATGGGCCCGCAATCGATGTTGACCAAAAATGCAACTGTTGATCTTTACTCCCCGGGGAAAATTGTCGGTGATTCTCGCAAAGCAAACAGAAAAGGGGAGTTAATCATTGCTTACCAGGGCCGCAAAATAGATGCCCAAGATCTCTTGATAGCAATAAAAAATCCCTTCGTGCATCGTCATCCTTTCTCATCCAAAAGTTGACTTCTAGCCGACATTCAATTATACAACCCGAGTTACCTCAATTACACCGCCTGAAGCGTGATTGGTTCGTAAAGTCTTGGATTCTTCTTAAGTCTTGGGGGTTAGGCCCCGAAGACATTCGAGGTGCGAATCACGTGGATTCGCACTTATGTAATGGACTATATAACGTAACGTATTCCACAAGCGAGCTGCGCACACAAGCGAGCTGCGCACCCTACCAACCACTACTTTTTGAAAACACTATTTTTCCACCAAAACGCCATATATTTAATTCAACTATTTACTAGGGCACCGAGTAATCTTATGCCCTATATTCCCACATCCAGAACATTGAAATACACGCTTAGTAGTAGGCCTAGCGCCCTTAGTAGGCTGCTGAGGAAGCTCTGCATCATCGTTTTGAATAGCTTCAACGCTTGCTGGCAACGTTGAAACTAGAGATATAGATTCGCCGACCGTAGGATCTTGCTGCCTAGATATCTGGCGATTAGACCGTGTGCGTTTTTGACGCTTCTTCTCGTTGAATTTATGTAGTTGCCGAATCTCTTCCGCTTGCAAAACGGTGTTATGAAACGCTAGTTCAGCACCTTTGATTAATTGATCTAGCGCTCTCTCTGTAGGGCTTCCTGGCGACCGCGAGCGCTTGCCTAGTAGAGCTTTGATAGATGAAGCTTGCTTGCTAAGCTGCTTAATCGTATGTGGCGTAGTAGGCACGAAAGCACTACTCCTACTACTAGGCCTACTAGTAGTAGGTGTAGGTGTTCGAAGCGATATATTAAGCTTCGATAGGACTCGGTCGGCATCTAGCGGAACTAGGCCGGCGCTGGCGAAGCTTGATTGTATAGTGCTAGGTAGGAAGGCTTCCTGGCGTGCTAGGGTATAGGATTCTAGGAAGTCGAGCTTGTCGATATGGTTATATCCTAGGCGAGCTTGGGCCTCGATTAAGCGACCGTATGAGCGCTTTAGGATAGCAAAACATCCTATATCTAGCGGCTGTAGAAGATGTGACGAATGCGGCGGCATACAGAGTGGTATAACGTTATTTTGCTGGCAGATTTGGTCGAATTGTGGTGTTAGATGGCTTCCATGACCGTCTAATATTAACAACCGATATTTACCTTGCGTACGACTAGTAGTCGCTGGAATAAAGAGCTTTTCTAGCTAGCGTAGGCCTATATCGTCGGTAGTCCAACCGTTCGGTGATACTTCGATTCGCCAGTCTTTCGGTAGGTTATCAAACCAGCTAGCAATATAAACCTTCCCTTTGAATACTATACACGGCGGAAGCGAGTAGCCGGTTGCCGATATAGATTCAATTGCTGTTACCCACTCCCGATTTCCAGGTTGTAGTAGAGGCTTCCGACCGTATATATCCTTCCGTGTAACGATTCTAGTAGTAGATATTAAGCCCATTGCAAAGCCTGTTTCATCAAAGTTATAGATATCGTTAGGAAGGATCCCGTTTTCATAAATCGTACGCTCTACTAGCCTAAACCACGCGCGTAGGCTAGTAGGATCTTCGTTTTGCGCACGTTGATAGTCGTAGCGTCTAGAGAATCGTGTGCAAAGCTCTGGTCGCCGCTTAATATAATTAGAAGACCAATTTACACCTATAGTAGTAGGTGTAGTATCGCCGCGCGCTGCTAGTAGAAGATTTGCCATATCTCGAATATGCGAAGGCCTAGGAGACGCTCCTCGGGCGTCTAGCGATAGTATCCACTAGCAAAGCGAATCTTCTTCTTCTTGTGTCAATTTATGACTATTTGCGCGTGTTTCCTGGCGATTTGAAACACCCTTCATACGCGTTCGAAGCGTGCTCTCTGGCACGCTATAAACCGCTACTGCTTTTCGTATAGATAGGGTAGTATCATTTTGAATAGCTTTGATAGCAAGTAGTATCCTACCCTCCCTATCTAGCGATTTTGAGCGCTTTTCAGAACGTTTTGGTGGCATGGTGTATGGTGGAAGATAGTAGGTAGAAGATGGGAGACGCGTTTTTGGTGGGGTGCGCAGCTCGCTTGTATGCGCAGCTCGCTTGTGGAATACGTTAACGTATTTCACTATCTTTCCGCCCACACCAACATTCCGCCCACCCCATCAAAAAATTGTTCCTACACGTCACCATCTATCTTCTACCATATACAATGCCACCAAAACGTTCTGAAAAGCGCTCAAAATCACCAGATAGGGAGGGTAGGATACTACTCGCTATCAAAGATATTCAAAAAGGGTCTTCCGATTCTATACGTACAATTGCAGCGCGTTATAATATACCGCGTTCAACGCTACGCGACCGAATCAATGGCACCCTATTTCAACAGGAAACACAGTCAGCAACATTTAAATTGACACAAGAAGAAGAGGATTCGCTTTGCCAGTGGATCCTATCACTAGATACGCGTGGCGCTTCCCCTAGGCCTTCGCATATTCAAGATATAGCAAATCTTCTACTAGCAACGCGTGGTGATAACAAGCCTTCTTCTATTAGTGTTAATTAGGTAACACGCTATATTAAACGTCGACCAGAGCTTTGTACACGATTCTCTAGACGCTACGACTATCAACGTGCGCAAAACGAAGATCCTACTAGCCTACGCGCGTGGTTTAGGCTAGTAGAGCGTACGATTTATAAAAACGGGATCCTTCCTAATAATATCTATAACTTTGATGAAACAGGCTTTGCAATAGGCTTGATATCTACTACTAGAATCGTTACACGGAAGGATCTATACGGTCGGAAAGCTCTATTACAACCTGGAAATCGGGAGTAGGTAACAGCAATTGAATCTATATCGGCATCCGGCTACTCGCTTCCGCCGTGTATAGTATTCAAAGGGAAGATTTATATTTAAAGCTAGTTTGATAACCTACCGAAAGACTAGCGAATCGAAGTATCACCGAACGGCTAGACTACCGATGATATAGGCCTACGCTGGCTAGAAAAGCTCTTTATTCCAGCAACTACTAGTCGTACGTAAGGCAAATATCGCTTGTTAATATTAGACAGTCATGGAAGCTATCTAACACTACAATTCGACCAAATCTGCCAGCAAAACAACGTTATACCACTCTGTATGCCGCCGCATTCATCGCATCTTCTACAGCCGCTAGATATAGGATGTTTTGCTATCCTAAAGCGCTCATACGGTCGCTTAATCGAGGCCCAAGCCCGCCTAGGATATAACCATATCGACAAGCTCGACT